AAGAGGGCGCCCTCGGGGAAAACATCAGTGCCTAGCGACTTGAGTTTTTCGAGAAGGAGAGTGAGATGACTTCCCGCGTCCGCTGAACGTCTTGATGGCATGAAGCCGTGTTGCGCCGGCGGCAAAAGCTCGCCGAGCACCCCATTGAGTCGCGCCACCAAGACCTTGCTGAGGACCTTGTAGGTCGTCTCGCGCAATGTGATCGGTCGGTATGCCCCCAGTGATTTCAGATTGGCCCCCGGTTTATTCTTGGGCAAGAGCCGCACCAGCCCCTCTGCCAAGGACGCCGTCATTTTGCCGCCCTCCCAAATCGAGTTGAACAAGTCCAACAGCTTGGGAGCAAAGTAGGTTGGCAGCGCCTTGAAGAGCTCGTACGGAATGCCCGAGGGCCCCGGTGATCGCCCCGAATCCGTCTTCTTCAACGCCGCTTCAACCTCGAGGAGGGTGAAGGGCTCGTCAAGCGCCACTCTCGCTTGACGAGGCAGCCGACGACCGAACGTAGGGTCCGAGCGGTCGTCATCGTAGCATTTCGCTGCGCGAATAGGGTCGAGCAGGGACCGGCGTGCGTTCGTCGGGTCGCCACGAGCTGGGTCCGGCGTGAAGAGCGACTGCGCGTGCCGTGAAGCAATACCCAGCGCCTCCTGCATGTCAACGGTCTCGGTGCCATCCACATCCTCCAGCGAGACGATGCTCGTCTGGCGACTCCGGCGGTTGAGGCGCGTGCGAATGCTTGCCGATTTACCTTCCCTCGAGTCGACTGACGGCACATGCGCACGAATGCGCAGCCACTGAGCCTCCTTTACCGCCAACTGGTCCAACCGCGACTTGGCAAGAGCATACGCATCGCGCTCGGCCTCATTCATGTGCTCACCGCGTGCCTCCAAAGCCTCCATGACGGATTGGCTCTCGGCCCGCAGTCGGCGCATGTCGGCACGAGTCGAGCGGTATCGTGCATGGCCAGCGACTGCAACCGCCCGCAGAGCGGCGTCATAGACGTCGCCGAGCGGAGCGGTCCCCTCGAGCCTTCGATAGACCTCGTCGACGACCCCGGGAATCGATGCGACAAAGTCTTGATCGTCAAAGACCATTGGGTTGAGCCTCGAAATGAAATCGCTCGTGGAGGGAAGAGAAAGGGGGGGTTCGGCATCAGCGTTCGATGTAGGCAAAGCGAAAGTCGCAACTACAGGTCTGTGGTCCGAACAGGGCGCATCGAAGAGCGTAGAAGCGCTCAACAACCGGTTCGCCCAACTGCATTGGACAAGAATATAGTCGATCCGCGACCACGAGCAAATCTTTCGCTCTTCCCCTCTACCACGGTAGTGAGGACGAGTGAATGCAGGGGTGCAAGGATGGACATGTCGGACCGTGTCGAGTGCCTTGAACGCGATCTTTGACAGCAAGGTCTGCCAGTGCGATACAGGAGTCCAAGCGCGATCGGTGATGGACACTCGGTCGACCGATACATCCGGACAATCGTTGAGATCGCCGGCCAAGATCCGAAGAATCTTGGGTCTCGGGGCGTTGAAGTGCAGAAGCCCGAAAAAGTCGCGACGATCGTCCTCCTGCACCGGCGCGTACATGTTGATGATCTCGACATCGAGCTCCTCAAGACGAAACACCGAGCGCAGAATCCGACCGTCGAAACGAGGAGCTCCTGCAAAGACGACCGGGGTAGAGGAAAGGAGATGGCCCGCCAAAGGTGAGCCATCGGGTATGAGGGTAAGGACATGAGGAGTGAAACGAATACAAGCCCCCGGCCAAGCACTCTCGAAGCCTTCGCGCGACGCGTTGTAGCTGAGGTGGTGCTCTTGCAGGAGGATGGCCGCAGGGGCCGGCCGAAAGGTTTTGAGATAACGGATGATTTTGACTTGGTTGACTGCGTTCTTCATCGATCGGACGTTGAACGTCAACACGGTGAGTGACTCAATCATGATTAAATCAGTTCAGCGCCGCCCCCCTCGAATTCGGTCACCTCGGACCTGTGACCCCCTGAACTGTTGCCCCCTGAGCCATCACCCCCTGATGCACCGAGGATCATGGCGGATCCCGCCCGGGTGACACGTCGGTTGCCGGGTGCCGAGCTCGAACGAAGGCGTCGAGGACTCGTCGAGGCTATCGAGGTTGTCGAGGTTGCCGATGATCCCGACGTGCCACCGGACAAAGGCGAAGGAGAGGTCGGGGTCGAAACGGGCGCCGCCGTCGTCGTCTGCGTCTCCTTTGTTGAGCCCAGGGTCGCACGCGTCGACGTCTCTTCCCCAGTGTCGCCGCCCTCCGGTTCGGTCGAAACGACCGACTCGTCGTCGCCGTCGTTCACGTCGTCCTTGTTGGCGGTTACTGCACCTGCGGGGTTAGCACGAGGTCCCAGCTGGATCATGTTCGCGCCAGAGACACGAGAGTTCAATGCGGCAGGCCCACCGTGCTTCCCATTCTTTCCAGCAACTCGGAAGCCGGTGGTCGAAGTCGAAGTCGAGGTCGAGGCCCCCGGAACAGGGGCGGCGGTGGCCGGAGTCGAAACCGGCTTCCTGCAAGCGCCCCACTGGTGTCCGGCGCGATCGCACACCGCGCAGTAGTGCGTCTCGAATTCGTGTCGCAAGCCGTACTTGGCGCCCAGGATCTCGATCTCTTGTGGCAAAGCGGCGTTGAGCGCGGCCTTCTGCGTCTCGATGGAGCCTTGGAAAAGATCAGCATGTAAGCGAAGGTACGCGCAGTGGAACCCGTCTTCGGTCATGGCCATCGGATCGCCATTCGGATCGACCGCGAGGCCCCGCTGTAATTGCATCAGGGTATAACCTTGCGTGCGACCTGCGCGGCCGAACGAAAGGGTGATAGCATCATCGAGAGATTTTCGGAGCACGGAAGCGGGGATCGCGCTGGAGGAGGAGGGCAAGGTGAATCGCACCTGCACGACGTGGTTAAGGGGAGAGGCGCTGGGGAGCTCGGTAACCATCTCCTTGCCGTGGTAGGGGAATGGGCCCGCTGAAGCGGCTTCAAGACAAGCTTGCTCGGATTCGAATACAAGCTCGTACATGTGACGAGCGATCGGGAACCTCTTCGTGGCTTTCGTCACAATCGGGTTCAGCTTCACGCATTTCGAGAAAAGCTTCTCGACCTCGGGGTCAAGCACGACGCCCTCGGGCCGCGCGAACATGAACGGCGTCTCGGCCAATCCAAAGTGCTTGCGCAGCGCGGTCTGTACAGGACCTCTGGGTGATCCAGGACCATCCATAATGACTCGAATCACATTGGAGGCCGGGGCTGCGTCGTTTCGCACCGCTCTTTGGGCGGCTCGTGCGAGCGCTGGCGCCTGCGAAGGCGGGGTCGAGGCGTCGTGCATCAGGACCATCAGTCGGCGGGTCGACTTGCTGGAGGGAACAATCCCGAGCACTTGGAAGGTCTTCTTCATCAGCTTCTCATGGTCCAACCGGACCTGAGTTGCCTCGGGCGACCAAGCTGGAGGATTCGCGGTTCCTCCAGTGACCGCTTCACGCGTTTGCGTGTTGAGTGATGAATCACTCGCGCCATTACCACCCAATAGGTCCTCGGGCGGGGGCGCATCGGCGCCGGGCGGATCCGGCATCGCGTGTTTGTGTTGACCTGTAAAGCTTAACGGGCTTGGAGGTCAACTACTCACTCTACACCACAGAAACTCACTTGTGTGTGTGTGTGTGTGTGTGAAATTTTTTTTTTGTAGAAATTTTTTTCCTTTATGAAAATGAACTACGGAGTATATTGGTCTAAACATTAGCAAAAAGTCTCGTAAGGCCGCTTGGTGTAGTCGTTGCATACGCCGTTCGGGTTCTCAACGTTCTTCGGCGTGGTGGTGGGTTCAAATCCCGCAGCGGCCCCCTTCTTTTTTTCAATTCCCGCAGCCACAACCCCCCTCTTTTTTTTTCTCTTCCTACACGACCCGACCTTTTTGTACGCGATCCCTCACTCTTTTGATGGTCTCGACCTCTCCTTGTTCAGCCACGAAAATTGTTTGCTTTTTACACTGGCGGGATGCGCTTCGGAAAAGTGTGCAACATCGCTGGTGCAGGGGCCAGAACCCGCAGCCTTGCTGCGGTGACCCATGTGGCGCTGCCACAATGGGGGCCGCAGAGATCGCTGAGCGCTGCAGCTGCAGGCACTGACTGGCACTAACTGGCACTACTCTGGCACTAAGGGCCTCTGAGGGCGTGCTGCGCCGGCGGCGCGGATGGCTGGCGTCTCCATTCAGCCCATCATCTGCACTGGGCTCGATCTTGGCCCTTCACGACCTAGATGGTTGTGCATCTAGTCGTGGGTGCAATAGTTGACAAGACAAGGCCAGCGGGCCGCGGACAGCTGGCCCTTGGACGTCCCCGACTTGTCTCGACTGCAGCATTCACCGCGCGACCAGCGCGAGATCACACCACCTCTTCGGAATCTACTTTCACGGCGTCTTCACTGTGCCAGCTTCTACCTTGTTCATCCTCGTCAGCTTGATAGAAGTGAGCGGTCTTCACCTTCTAATTTCGAGCTACCCATTTGACCTCTCTGTTCGCCGATCGTGCGACTGGCCGACTGCTCGTACCGATTGCTGGATCAATCATGGGTTTCAAGATTGTCCGCGTGTTCATATACACGGGGAACTGCGCCGAGTTCTCATCCACATGTCTAGAGCGAGTACTGTATTTACAGCATGATCTTCACACGCCGGTTTGGTGTGAGCGCGAGGCGAAGTAGATCAATCTCGATTCGACTGCCATTGAAATGCGATGACCTTGTGTGAGTTGAGGGCTGACATCAATACTGACTGCGACGGATTCATTCATCTGTACGAGCGCCACAGTCTGCATGCATTGCTGTCACCACCTCCTCGCCATCTCTCGGCCGAGCGGCGGTGCGCATCATTCGAGGGATTGTTCTGTAGCCTCCTTGAAATGAGGTATTACAAGATGTGTTTGGTTGCAAAAGGCGTCAACAGCTAAAGCTAACCACAGAACCCTTAAAGTCAATAAACTACATAACATCGCTCCGTTTTATGCAACTTCGGCTCGAAGCCTCTGCCCGAGCTGAACGTACTCCTCGAGGCACTCGGGATTGCTTAAGGTGGCGAAGTTGATAGAACTGAGGGGTGCACCGGTGAGGAGTTTTTTAATGGGAATCTCGACCTTTTTGCCGTTGACGGTATAAGGCACATCCGTCACCTCCACAATACGCTCCGGAACGTGACGTGCACTTCTTGCACTGCGGATCTTGAGCTTGATCTCTTTCACCATTTCATCCGTCAACGCCTGGCCGGAGGCAACCTTGACGAAGAGAACGACACGCTCATCTGCGCCGCCTTGCGTCTTTTGTCCCACAACAAGTGCATCCGAAATCATAGATGAAGGGAACGTGTCCATGACTTCGTAAATCTCGGATGAACCGAAGCGCACACCCGATGCTGTGCAACAGAATACACCCTCGTTCGTCAATTCCACATTGATGATTGCTGAAGTTGCTGAGCGGAGACTTACGATTGAGAACACCATCCGAACGACCCAGCATCAACAAGCCGCCTCCATTGCCCTTCTGGCTCGGAGTGATGATGCAGAAATCACCATGGGCCCACACCCCCTCAAACTTGTCAAAGTAAGACGCCTGATAACGCGCGTTTCCTTCGTCGTTCCAGAAGTACACCGGCATGCACGGGAAGGGTTTGGTGCAGACAAGGTCCCCTTGCTCGCCTCTCGGAAGAGATTTGCCATCATCGGAGTAAGATTCCACCGCCACTGTCAAATACATTGCTATAGTCAGGATGCAGTGTTGCCTTCGATAGCGAGAAAAAAATACGGAATCACTCACTGCCTAAGCCAAGAGATTGAATCTCACCTTCATAGACGGGCAGCATGGCATTGTGACCCGCAAACAGCGAGCATATGTCGGTGCCTGTTCGGATCGTCGCGGTCAGCGGCTGTTCGCTAATCTGACAAGCCATACAATAGCGGATAGCTCACCACCAGTGATAGAACCGAGCAAGATATTCTTCTTGATATTCTGGTACACCCAGACGAAAGATTCGGGCTTGAGAGGTGACCCGGTTGAAAGCACCTGTCGCAAAGCCGCAAGCTTGAAGTGTTGATTGGGGGAATATCCTTTGGAGAGTACATCAATGTATTTGGCAGACTGCACGAAAGAACATAAACGAACCTAAACGCCAGCCAAGCCAAAACCTAGTGCAGTGTGGTAGAGGGGACTTACGGTCCCAAAAACGCTGACAGCAAGCTCATCGGCCATCTGCCACAGAAGCTCCGGTTTCCACAGCGGTGAACCGTCATAGACAATGACGGAGGCACCAGTCTGCATGCCCGAGACGAGGTAATTGTACATCATCCACCCAGGCGTGGTGTAGTAGAAGAATACATCCTTTTCGGACAAGTCGCCATGGATCATGTGCTCCTTTTTAGATTGAAGCAGCATCCCTCCGCTTCGGTGGACAATCGGCTTAGGCTGGCGGAGCAAAATGTGAAGTCATGACATCAGTACTGCCCGTTTGTCAATCGGTGGCAAGTGTCAAAAGGTCAAGACGGAAGTCCTCCCACCTTTCCAGTTGTGCCCGACGAGAAGAGAACCCAGAGAGGGTGGTCAAAGCTGGTTTGATAGAACTCCATCTCTGCCCCTGATTTTCTTTTCATCTCCTCTCCCTCACTCCGCAAGGTCAACTCCGACGTCCACCCTTCCTGGCTCGGCTCCGGCAAACCTTCTTGCAGGTAGTCAACAAGAATGACAGGCAGTGCTCTCTCGCCTCGATTTTTTCGGAGCCCTTCGAGTACGTCGTTAACTTTCTTGCGCTGGTCGATGCGTTTGCCGTTGTACCGCACGCCGTCGACGCAAACGATACCGAAGAGGTTGTCGCCGAACTGCTCAAATCGCTCCAAGACGCCTTTGGACCCAAAATCGCTGGCAGCGGAAGACCAGATCGCTCCGAGGGACGTCGCAGCGAGGCAGAAGACGACGCTTGCAAGCGACGTCGGGCCGTAGTAGCCAAGAATATCCCCCGGCTTCAGGCCTTTAGCAGAAAGTGCCAAGGACGTCGAATGAACGATCGAATAGAGTGAGGCATAACTCATGCGGGTGTAGGACAAAGGCGCGGAAGGTTCGGGCTCCACTGGAGAGTACAGAAAAGGCGAAGCGCGTGGAGTAGAAGTCAGCTCGGTGAGAGATTTTCGAATGAGCGGCCGAGAAACTTACCGACTTGGATGAGTGCGATCTTATTGCTCGTTCGGAACTCAGGGCGAAGCATGTTTTCTGCCCAGTTCAACCGCGCGCCTTCGAACCAAGCAGGAATCGCTTGCATTGGAACGGTGAGATCGATGACCTGCGGAGCGGGAAAGTCCGGCACGTGACAAGACCAACATAGCCGTTCATCGTAAAGCACGGCATGAGCGCAGACAAGGAGGGCAAGTGTCAGGTAAAACGAGGATGTCGAGGAGTAACACGACCCGTCGTTTGGCGCAGCTGCACTGCAATGTCCATAAGCCATGCTCCACCCGTAGGTATCGCTTGCCAGCTCAGCCACCGGTGCCGACCGCGGTGCGCAGCCCGAGTGGGCGCGTTCCGAGTCGCGCTCGCGCTTGCGGACAGATGCCGCGTCGGGCTGGGTGTTGTTACATCGCGATCGAGAACGAGGACACTACCGATCGTAGAGTGTGGTTCGAAATATGAAACACAGAACGGCGACCTTGCTGGCACTTACCTTATCCCACTTGCGACTGGCTACGACGGGCCGATCCGTCCACTCCCATACCTCTTCCCAAAACTGTGGGATATTGTCGATGGACCATTGATGCAGCGCGGCATAGTCATCTGTGGCGCAGGTGGTAGATACCAGAGTAAGTTCACGCTCCGCGTCAGATTGCTACGTATGCATGTCCTCCGGCAGGAGGTCGGGGCGACGGTTGGACGGGCAACGCATCATTCCGCCGGAACGAATCGTCAACCGCTCCACCTTCAAATGAGCCTAAGGGGACTGACCAAGTGAGACGCTATATTTGCGCTCGATGTGCTTCTTGAAGGCGTACATCTGTGTCTGCTCGACATTTTGGGGTTCCCACAACATCTGAGAGGCGGCCATGTCGTGCTTGGGCGGGCGGAGTCTGTGTTCGAAAGTGGCCGTCGGATCCGAACCTGTTGGGGTCGCCTTGAGTCGGAGCAAGCGGTCTCAAGCGGTCTCAAGCGGCGCGGCGCCGAAGGGCGCCGAAGGGTGCCGATCTCGAAGGGGCTGGCAATGCGGCATTAAAGACGTATTCACTCTCGTTACAGCTTGGCTACTAGTGGGCGTTTTTCATCTGATAAACTTCAACAAGAGCGTAAAATGTGATTTCAAAATCCGGAGAAGATACTAAGCACACTGGCAAGGCCAGTAGTATAGGACTCGTCATCAGAATCGATCATACGTACCCACTCAAACCCCTTGGCACTGCATGCAGTGGGTGGTGTCACAAAAACTCAAAGATATGGCAGGCGACCCCTGGACAGCTGGAAAGACACCCGATTTTCTTCGAAAGGCGGTTCGGTGATCGTTTCCGAAGGTTCCGAGGAGACTCGACGGCGGCGAGAGAGCTTTCGGATCGAGTGGAGAATGGGGACACATTCCACGCTCCAAGCTAGAGACGACATACGAAGTTGGAATTGTCTTTTTTTATTCATTCGGTGGTCATTAACAGTATGATTATATTAATACTGCCCCGTGAACCCACCGCTGGCTTGGAGCTGTTTAAGAAAGCGACTGGGCGATTTATAAAAAGACATTGTATAGCTGCTCCGCTACTGCCCCGCTATTACTTGTCGCGGTTCCCGCCCGCCTCACAATCGCAACGCATCGTAACGCATCGAAGTCCCGAGACCCCAAGTATCGAGCCGGACCCGGGAGGAACGGCGACCGGCACAACATCAACTGCCCGGCGCAATGGAGCTGCTGTCGGACTTGACAACGCTTTCTCTGTTTGAGGGCACACGTGTTCCAGGTGAGCGCCAGTAGCCGTGTGCATTGCTCCCTCCATCGCGAGTCTGGTGGATGTAGCTCTGTATACGAAGTGGATCCGTCTCCCGAACGGCCCGGCAGGCGACCGAGGGAAGACTCGAATCAGCCATCGTCACCGCCTCGGAGGCTATCACTTCCAACACAGACTTGTGGACCGAATTTCCACGTTCGGGTCCGACTTGCCTTTTCTTCGGTGTACCGATCCCTTCGTCGGAGAAGGCTGGGTCGCTCTCTCGCTCGAGGCACAGACGCCTTGTCGCAGACAGTCGATGCACCGATCAACCCATTCCTCTTCGACATATTCCCCAAAGATCAGGAGACCGTGCTACCTTGCTCACTTGTAAAGCCGTAGCGGGGATCTAACGCATTCCACTCGTGCTCGTCCCTTGCTCCCCCCCTATCCGTTCATCTCCCTCTCGCCGCAGTTGCGCCGACAAATGGCATGCTCATGTCACTGTTCGGCCAGCTGCTCACGCACCCTTCACGAGTCACATTTCCATGGTCGGCTCTTCGACATGCCCTCAACCTCTACTTTGCGTCACCCCCCCACCTGCTCGACCCGGCCAAGATTGGATCTGGCTGGAATGGGCTCAGTTTGATCTTGACAAGCTTCAAGCGGCTCGAAGTTGTGCAATCCACGGACGAGACAGAGGAAGTTCTACTTTGGCTGACGAACCTCAAGAGCGCCGCTGTCAAGCGAAGGCGGGTCATGGCTAGATAGCGAAGTGCAACGCTTTCACTTTCGCATGCTCACCAACCTGCGATCTCTTTTGCAGCCTTCAATTCGAAATTACCACATCGCCTGCGCTGCAAGACATCTTGACACATTTGATTGAGCCCGTTACGGAAGAGGAGATGGCGATAGGCAGAGCTCGGTACACCCTCGTCGAGAAATTGCCCTCGGCTTTGTCCATTCAACTGATCACCTTTTCCCTTCTTTGCCGCAGCCAAACACACTCGTCCAAACCCATAGGGTCGGCATCCACCGCAACATCGATTGCATACGACCCTTTCGCCCTTGAAGACCTCTCCAACGCGGCGCCACGAAAGAGATCCGTCGAAATATCCATCGAGACCGGAGCTTCGCACAAGAAGTCTCGACCATCGGCGTCCACACCTTCGGTTGGGATCGAGAATGATGCCGCCGATTATGAGGTGGCTGAAGCTGATCGGAAAAGAACAAAGGTTGCAGTGCCTCCTGTCACAAACTCACGGCGGCCAGTACCCGCAGCGTCGTCGTCGCGGCGAGGCTCGGCGACTGCGACACTCGATTCGAAACCGACGCCCGCGGCGGCTCGTCCCGCCGCCGAAGCGGTGCCAGCATCGGCATCCCCGATCGCGGCCTTGTCTACATCTCGACCCAAAAAAACTGCAGCGCCGGCGAAAGCCGTCGCGGTACCTGAATCCGTAGACGCGTCTCCCGCTGTGAAGAAGGTTACCCGCATTCAACGCCCCCACGATCCGAATCGGCCCAACTTTTCGTACTCGGCCTTGATTGGTCAAGCGATCTTGACTGCCCCCCTCAAGCGTCTCCGGCTATCCGAGATCTACGACTTTGTCACGAACAACTGTAAGAGATCCGAGGTTTGGCTTCGTGCATGGCCCTGTTGTGGAATCACCTGAGCTAACCCTTCCATTCCTCGTCTCACATTCTTCTTCGTCTCAGATTCGTACTACAAGAAAAACGAGTGCGGCTGGCAAAACTCGATTCGACACAACCTTTCTCTTCAACCCGTGTTCAAGAAAATACCCGACAACACGATCCCGGGGAAAAAAGGCTGCTTCTGGACCATCATCCCATCCGAGGAGTGGCGTTTCGCAGATGGAGGCTGGACGAAGCTGGAGAAAGGCTCGCCGGCGGCTGCCGTTCATCAACACAAGAAGGGGAAGAAGACCAGCACCGACTCGTCACCGTCGGGGGCGGGAGCCGCGGCAGCGGCTAGTCCGAAAGAAATGGTTGTCGGTGCTGGGGCGGAGGCATTGGACGATGAGGAGGACGACGATGACGACGATGATGAAGGCGACGGAGCAATGTACACTGAGGATGATGATTAAAGTGGTAGTCTGGCGTTCTGAGGTTTGATGGTCCGTGGGAGTGAAGGGTCGATGGATGGGGACGCTGTGTGTGATTTGATTGGTGAAGCTGCGCTCGCGACGGTGGAAAGCGGGGTTTTCTTTGTCTTCCAGCCTATGTTGTCCTCTCTGCGCTATCGAGTGTTCTTTGTTGTTCATGCGAATCAGATCCGTTGCGACAAGGCCGTGTTTGAATGCACTTAACGCCGCGTGATTGCCGAGACAGCCCGCTTACCGTGACTTCGACTTCCAGCATCCGCACTGACACCCGAGCAATCAGGCCAGGCCGGGGAAGCGATCAAGACATGCTCGCAGAGCTTCGCAGTGCTTCGCGCTCGTCGACGCGTTCCAGGCGTGACGCGTGACGGGTAATGTCTCTTTGCTCTCCCCTCGGCGAGCTCGGATTCGGCTTCACTTGGTTCATCTGCACTCTTTTCGGCAACCCGGCCATCACGACAGCAGCTGATCGCGGGAACGAATCGCTCGCCGGAACCGAAAAGGCCCGACGGTGAAGGTCGTCAACGAGGCAGCGCCGACTCGATGGCACGTGATGCGGACTCGCATCCCATCGTCGTTACTAGCTGTTCCCCCGATACGCCCGCACAGATGGTCGAGGACGCTGAGGATGGCTGGCAAACTCGACATGACCGTGACGACCCTCCAACTGATGAGGAGACCGACGAGTTCGAAGACTTGCACGATACGCAGAGCCCACCGTTGTTGACCCCGCTCGATCAAACGTTGGAGATTATCGGCTTTGGGTCGTACCAGAAGATGCTGCTCGTCCTCTGCGGGTTCGGGTGGATGGCCGACAATATGTGGCTCCAATGCGTTGCGATCATCCTTCCGCGTGTGCAAGAGCACTTCGCTATCGGGGATCAATGGATTGGACTGCTCAGCACCTCGATCTTTGCCGGTATGATGCTCGGCGCTGCGGTCAGTTCGCACGCTCTCAGTGGGTCAAGCCTCGACCTAGACCGAGAGAGGACTAATACCCGATTGTTTTCCAATCCTACCTGGCTCGTTCATTGTGGTCTCTGCCTTGGTCCTCTTCCGGGGGCGTGGGATTCAACCTGTGCAGGCGTGGGGAAGCTGTGAGTTTCCGAGCTAGGTCCAGTCAAGTTCCGCTCCTGATCTCTGCGCATACGAACGGTGATCCGCCTACCAGACTCCGACACCAAAGGGAGACGACCCGCGTTCCACTTCGTGAGTAAGATCGGCCTCGAAACCATTTCCTCGACCAAGGTCCTTGACTCACCGCTATCCTCGTGCTGTCGCAGACTTTGCTGCTCACTTCGGCTTTCGGTCTCGCCGCCGCACTCGCACCTTCCTTCGCGTGGCTCTGTTTCGCTCTCTTCTGGCTAGGAACTGGGGTAGGCGGATCGATGCCCACAGATGGGACACTCTTTCTCGAAAATTCGCCTCCTTCGCACCACTACCTCTTGACGGCGCTCTCGTTCTTCTTCTCCCTCGGTGCCGTCCTGACTTCGCTTCTTGGCGTCACGATTCTACCGAGCTTCTCGTGTGCCGAGGCAGCGCCATCAGAACAGGTATGCAACGTTTCTCGTGACAACAACGGGTGGAGAATTATGCTGGGCTGCCTTGCGCTGGTCAGCCTGTTTATGGGTCTGGCTAGGATCGGTCTCTTCCGGCTTCGGGAATCTGCGAAATTCGTGAGTTGATGCTGGCCGAGCAGTAAGCCGCTGGAGCCACGCCCCACGAGCGGGTGGGCTGACTTCTTTGTAAAGGCTGACAAGGGCTGAACTTCGCCTTTCGCTCTTTAGCTCGTATCCAGTGGACGCCCCGATCAAGCCGTTCTCGTCTTGGAACGAATCTCTCGCTATAATGGCGAGCCGACGTCGTGGGAGCTCAGTGACGTGGTGGACGGGGAATACTCTGTCCCTGGTTCCCCTTCAGCCGCGATGCAGCGGAACGAAATTATGACCGACTACGACGCGATGGGGGATTTGCCTTCATCATTGGATGATTCGCGCAACAGCACAGGGGATTCGACTTCCGAGATACGTCCGGATGTATCGGCAGCTGAACGTGTCGGGTTTCGACATCCAAGGATGCACGCACGTAACCAAAATCCGGGCTGGTGGCACGTCCTAGAGCGACGCTATGCGCAAGCTTTTGATGCGCATCGCTCCCGGGTCGGTGACCTGTTCAGCCTTCAACTCCGATTCACCACCTCGTGCATTTGGGCCATCTGGTTCCTCGCCAGTGCGGGCTATACCACATTCAACGTCTTCCTACCCAAATACCTAGAGCAGAAGTTGGGCGAAAGTACCGGACAGACTAGTCGAACGCAGAGCCTGTGGGATTGTAAGTGCCGTGACGACGCAAAGTATCCGCTGACAAAGACTCCGGGGTGCTGAAATTCCCCTTCCATGTTTTCCAGATGTGCTATACACTGGTGAGAGGAACTGACCGCGTATATCCCATCGGCCGATCGATCCGTACTGATATGAACTTATCTTTGCTTTTATTTCGGGCGTTGTTGTAGTTAGCGGACTGCCCGGAGCCCCGTTGGGTGCGTGGCTGATTGAAGGGCGACTTGGGAGAGTCAAGACCCTCGCATTCTCGACACTCGCTACTTCAGCGGGGACTCTGATCTTTGTGCTCGTGTCATCGCAAGTTGGCGTCGTTTCGAGCTCGATGTTCGTTTCGCTTGTTGCAACGCTCATGTATGCTGTTATCTACGGTTACACCCCCGAAGCGTTTCCGGTGGCGAGTCGGTGAGTCTTGATCGTGATCACTGTTGCGATAGTGGACACAGAATTTGACGACCGACTTTTGGATGCCGATGCAGAGGCACTGCATGTGGGATTGCTTCCGCACTCAGTCGGCTAGCCGGTATATTTGCGCCCATCATAACGGGACTGTTACTGTCCATTAATGTGTCACTGCCATTGTTCCTCTCATCGCTGTGCTTCCTTCTCGCTGCACTGGCTGCATGGTGCCTTCAGCGCTCCGAGAAGTGGCGATCCGGGACCGCATTGTAGCCCTGATTTTATTGGCATTATCTGAGAATCTTTGTATCACACTATGAGTAGCGTCCTGCTTGTGAAGGGTCTCTCTAGCAGAAGCCAAGGGCTTGGAGCTTCACTTGTTGGAGGGTCAGTGTCAGCAAGAGAGCGCTTCCGCCGGCAATTCTGCTTCGAACTCGAAACGGCGGTGCATCGAAAGCAACAGTTCTCTGGTCACCAGTGTAGCGCTTGATTTGCTCGCTCATCCTTGGGCACTAACCATGCCCGGCGTGCAGAAGCGACCTTGAAGAAGTCGAGTTCGGTGAACTCGGGAGTACGTGAGGTTACGTAAGAACGTAAAGTAAGAGAACGGGCCAGAAGGGGCCAGAAAGCCAGAAGGGGCAAGATATGAATGGCTCAAGCAGCCATCGACCGTCGCGCCGGTTGGTTCTCGCCTTGCCACTGCCCGCCCTCTTTCGGACCGGTCTCATGCGCCAAACCACACGCTCAGTATCCCTTCGCTCTCGTGGTTGATATGCAAGGCTTTAATAAGGTGTGTGCCCTCCGACACATCACTGCACGTTGTATCCTTGGCTCTGACACCATCGCTCATTGCTACCGATCGCATCCCTTTGACGCGAGCAATCTGGCTGCCTTGGGCGATATAGTACTACCCACCGGACTATGTGCCGGAGCAAGGTTCACTGAACAGGGTTCATGGAAAACATGCATTGGGTGATCGGTGAGTTTCGCACCCTTTGCCGTCCACTCGCCACCCCATCGCTCGCTTGCCGGCCCTGATGGCCTGATGGGCCCCACACCCAAGACTCGTTCGATTTCGCGCTAGAAGTCGTCTAGGAAGGAGCTCGCTTGATGAGCGTACATCACTAACCTTTGCGCATCGACGATTTCCTTGACTGCACACAGCGCCCGCAAGCTGGACAAGGGCATTCTCATCGTTCGCTTCGAGTTACCCTTCAACATCTGGTGTGGCCATTGCGAGGGGCATATCGGCCAAGGTGTAAGGTACAACGCCGAGAAAAGGTGCGTCTACTATGTCACTTCCTGAGACTTCGCCACCTCCATCAGGGAGAAAGCAGGTTGCTGCACCTCTTCAAGAAGCAGGTTGCTGCACTTCTTCAAGAGATTCAGTTTCACTATGCTGACGATTGGGCTTGATATTCCGCCTATACGAGCAGCAAGGTTGGCAACTACTACACGACCCCCATTTGGAACTTCCGCTGCAAATGCCACTTGTGCCAGAAATGGTTCGAGATCCGAACGGACCCTCAGGTCAGTTGTGACGCCGCGACGTGGCTGGGCTGTTTCACTCCGAGGCGCGTGGTGCCCCAGAGCTGTGAGATCATTGACTTGATTCGGCAATCCTCTTTCGTCTCATGCCAGAATACAAGATATGTAGTGCATTCTGGCGCACGTCAACAAAATCAAGACTGGGATCCAGCCGAGAACGGAGGGGTCGTACTGGGTAAGACCCGAGTCGAAAATACGAGTCATCAGCATTGGTGAACACGTGTCTTAACTGTGCCGATATCAATTGTGTCCAGACGAAAGGATCGCGGATCCCAGCGGTACGCCCGACCCCTTTGCCGTATTGGAGAAGTCGCAAACGCAACGATCGAAAGCTCTCACGGCCGCTGCTCAGCTGAACGCGTTGGAAGAAGATCGGGATGCACAATGGTCGGATCCTTACGCGACATCCTCTCGCCTACGTGCTTCCTTCCGCCAGGCAAAAAAGGCGCGTCTCGCAAGCGAGGCGAGGGCGGAAGACGTTCGAGATCGGTACGGTCTAGGGGAACGGGTAGCGAAGGATCATCTGAAGACGCCTGCCCGCCAAGAGGATCGGGACCAAGAAGAGAGGGAATGGAAGAGAGCAAAACAACAGCAAGAGCTCTTTGCGCGAGAGCAGCGATCTGGCTTGACGAGTCAGCATAGACCTGTCGGCGTGAGAACAATCCGCGACAAGCACGTCCAACCTTCGTCAACCTCTGCGCTGCGGTCTCGTTTGCGCCTTTCAACAGCGCTTAGGGACAATACCTTCTCAAGTTCTTTATCATCTTCAAGCTCGTCATCGCATGGAATGAAACGGTCTCGTGCCGCCCTGCAAGGCATCGTGAAAGTCGTTCCAAGAACCTCGGAGTAGTCAGACTCGCACCGCGCTCTCTCGCGGTCTTGACTCGTTCAGCGCCTAGGTGTATAGTTAGTCAGTCAATGTTGTACTGTATCAAATTTTTGCAGATCCTACTTTTGTCTCTTTTGTCTCATCTTCGAAGATATGCGCAGCCAAACCTAACATATCCGAAGTCCTAAATCTTCTTCATTCGTTGTTGCGGGCAACTTTGTCCCGCAACCTTTCATGAAGCTGTAGCGATCCTACTTTGCCCAGAAGATGGTTGTGGTGCTCTGCGTTAGCGATCGCGGGAAAAATCTTAATGCGGGCGGGATCGCAGACCCCGAAAGTGAAAGTGGTAGAGATGGCTTGTCACGCCACTTGAAATGATTCCAGAGCTCCGAGTCGGACAGAATCGACAATCTCGGCGGACGAATCGAGTGAGGATCCTCTTGCGTTTCATCGACCTACGCCATGCTTCACGCTGAAACCTAGGATAACTAAATCCAACTCGCTATCAAGCTTTCGTATCTAGGGAGATATCACCTGCGAGGCAACTGATGTGCACATCGACAAAAGCGCCGCGACTCGCGCCGGTGGCCGCGCTTGAAGGGATCGAACGAAAAACCAGCGGCGCCTCACCTGGTACGGCGAAGTAGGCTTCGTTCGACGATTGGACTCCGGCATGGTAGTTGTATTCTCTGGAATACCCGATGAACAACCCCTGAATGGAACGAGATGCCAGCTTGGTTCGACGTTCCTTGGGAACATAAATATTTCAAATGCCGTAGATCCGAATGGCTGAAGGTGAGTAAGACTAGGCTTCTTGCCGAGAAGGACTTCGATCGCCGTTTTTCCCTGATTACGAGGGTGCGGTCGACTTCTGAGGACAAATGTTGGGACGACCAGAGCATCTGACAAGAAACGTATTGGTGGTGTCTAAAAGAGGCAAACCCGCGAATCAAGGCAGCCATGGCCGGTGGCGAATCGATCAACCGAACAATATCAGCTTTGGGGCGACCAAACGCGTTCCCTGCGAAGGAATGAGTCTGGCGAGCTGCAGATGTCAGCCTTAACTCTTAGTACCACGTCATTTTGGTGTGCCTACTATTCGGGTGATGTCGAACATCCAATTATCTTGGTTGATCCGCAGGTGCGCCAGAAATTTTGAACTTGTCGGATCAAACTAGGAAGCTCCGCCGTCCGGCGTCTCGGATCTGAGTCGCTGCCCCGCCCGTGCGCTTGTCGAAAGGAGCATTTCTAGTCCACTGTGATAGTGACAGACTGAGAAGGCTAGCAGACGATGCCCCGATTGGATCATGGTTGCGGGAGCACAGCTAGAACCATAGCTATTGAACGGCTCTGGGCTGCGCGAATCGACCGTGGGCCGGTGCAAGGCACATGCAGGATGAAGAGCATCTGCGCTGCGAAGGGGATCTCGCAGTCATAGTATTACAACCCCGGTGGTAAAATCTGCCCCTTCCAGGTGGATAGTCACAACTTGTCTTTTGCGGCGGCCTCAAACACGTTGACGCTGTTTGCACCGCCAGCTGCGTCGATCTCGCGATCAATCAGTTCAAAACTGTCGATCGAGGATCCCGGGGCTGAGGGTACAGTGGCGGACACTGTAGACGATTCAGACTTCTCCTCGTCACTTGTCGGTGTTGAGAGTGTTCTCAAGATGAACTCCGCAATATGCTTGAAGTACAAGGGTTGGATGCAGGTGTCGTCTGTATAGGCGACGAGGCAAGGATCAGCTCCGCCTCTCTCGGCCCCGCTACGGCAAAATCGACGACACTCACTGTGGGTGCCATGTTCAAAGTCTCTCCAGTGCTTGTTCTGACTCGAACAATGCACATATAGCTGAGTCATGTGGTGCTGGGGTACGAGCTCATCCTTGTCACCGCTGAGGAACAGGACCGGGAAGTCGACGGGTAGTGTGTCGATGAGATCAATCGACGGCCAAATTTGATGCAAGAGGAAGAGGAACGGTGCAAGTAAAGCTGTAGATGTACCAAGCAGTTGAATACTGATCTCAGTATTTTTAAACTAGACCCAAAAATCAATCGCCACTCCAACTGCGACGGAGCATACTCACGCATGACGGACGGCACGAGACGACGTAGGGAGGTAAAGGTGTTCTCGACGATCAATCCGCGCACGCGGGTTTTGTTTTGACTTGCAAGGAATATGGCCACCGCTCCCCCGATCGATTGGCCATACTGTAGATGTGTAAGAAAACACACGGTTGCGCTGCGTCAGCCGCACCCGGTCTTAAACTCAGCAAAGGAGTATCTGCGGGAACTTGCCAAAAAAATGGGCGTCTTCTCAAGGCTCGGATGGGACAAAACATGATCGAGCGCGACTTGAGCGTCGATTTTGATCCCTTTCTCATCTGCCTCGCCCTCGGACAACCCGTACCTGTAAGAAAGTCGACGCAAGTTCGTTTGTTTCAGGCGAGAGCAAAAATGCGAAGTGTCAGCTGAGAGGCTGGGTCGCTGTTATCCGATCGGGCGTCCGAGTGGTTGTGCATGCACTGACCCCCGGTAGCTCAATGCGAGAACATTGCAGCGAAGTTTTTGGTAGAAGACCTTGACCAGCGGTAATCGGTGACCCTAAAAGGAAGGCTTACGTCAGAAGTGTAATGGTCTCCCACGCATTCGCGGCGCGTAGCTGGCGCTAGCCTCACAATGTTGCCAGCATTGGCATGAAGGAACAGGATCGTCGGCCGAGGTGCCTCTTCTTCTTGCTCGGCGTCGGGTCGCAACAGAAGATAGGCTCGGATCGTGACCCCATCTGGAGTGTGCAAGGTCAGTTGCTCGTAGTCTGGCATGCCGAACTCGTCGGGTGTGGCCACATTCGTTCGCGAGCCTGAAACAGTCCGGGGACAGCATCAGCATTCCCACCTTAATCCGTCAAGTTGACGAAGGGCCAACTGACCAGCCGGCATGGATGCCACGTAGATGAGCTTGTTCTGATAGAGGTACAGTAGCGCACCAACCCCGGAGAAGATGGTCAACCCGATGGCCGCGCCCGCCTTGAGCAGCGTGCTCAGGTCGGGGAGATACGCCTTGGGCATGATCAACAGCCAAAGAGGGATCTTGTGTGAATGGTATTGACGGACGAAGTGGTAGGCGTTCCGGTGCGCGATTGGTGGACAGATGGAGGAGGATGAGGCACGGAAGTGGGGCCCGCGCGGGCTGGCACCCCAGCACCTCAGCGCCTCAGCAGGCCTCAGCAGCCTCTAGCAGCCCGCGGCTCCCGAGCAGACACCTCAGCAGCTCCTACACGCGCGACCCTCGCTCGTACGGATAACATGAGTCTGTGTCCAGTACGCGTTCCTTATGAAACCCTTCTGCAAAACTTAGATTTTGGTACTCTGGAATCCATATGGAATGCAAAAACATTACAGCATCAGCTCACTAGCGGTTGCTATAAATGGAATAGATGTTAAGCATCCCCAAACAGATGTTTAACCGTCTGCAATAGGTTTCATGCGCTCAGAAAATGACAATTTCAACTTCTTCTCGTGTCCACCGTGGACTCCGTATGATCCAGCACCGCGAAGCTAGCGCGAGTCAGACCCTGCGGAAACCAGGAGCGAATCCGTGCGAAATCCCCATCCCAAAGGGCTGGCCGTGTAGCGGACTCCAGCAGACTCCAGCCAGCTCCACCCGTTCCTATTTCGACACCATCATTGCTTGTTGGTATTCTGCATTCTTTAGTATTGATTGACTGGGTTCATGACTTCATCCTCCAACTTACCAGATGATAGCTCCCACTGGACGGTCACTGCATCGGACTTGGTCGGCTAAGTTTACGAGCGTTGGAGAAGGTTGTTAGTATTGACATAGGAATGATATTGAGCTACGATAATAGTGTAATTCGAACATAGAAATTTATTGAACCTGATTTGTTATCAACGAACACGTAGAACAGGGGGGGGAGGAGGAATTTGGAGAAACAGCAAGCAATACCAGGAGCAGCCGACGAGCAACCGATTACTGTAAAGCATCAGCATCGGCTTGAAGTCGAATCGATCCAGTCACATTTCTTATAGGAGAAGTGCAACGGCAGCGCCGATGATGCCCACGGCACCAGCAGCCTTGACTTGGTTGGCACCGGAAGCGGCCTTCGTAGTGGTGGCAGCCGCAGCGGTGGCCGAGCCGGTGCGCGAGCCAGTGGCGGAGCCCATGGCGGAGGTGGCCGAGGCAGAACCGTTGTTGGTCGAGTTGGCGGCAACGGGGTCAGCAATGGCAGTTTGAGCCGTGCAGTTCGAGTCGGCGTCAAGGGGGCACGTCGATTCGGTGCAGATCGATTGGAGCGTGCCGGCGAGAGCAGCCGAAACGTTCTGTCGGACGGGTGGCGAGCAGCGGTAGTTGAACAGCGTGTTCAAGGCCGAGCCGGCGGCCTCGATATCGGCCTCAGCAACACCGAACGAGGCCGCGGACAAGGCAACTTGGGTGATGAAGTAGTTCATTTCGCTGGGGTCGAGTACCATGAACCTGAAAGCAGAAACCGGAGAGCGGTCAAGTCAGCGTCGGTTCCTCGCCGTGACCATGGTCGGCGGTTCCTTTCGATGTAAGACGTACTTGTGAACCTCGTACATCGACTTGTTGCCGGGGTACGGTTGGTAAGTGGAGCCGAGTTGCGTGCAGCCGAGGAGGACACCGAAGAACTCGTACAAGTGGTTGAGCAGTTTGCTGCGCATCGATGAAGTGGGGTCTCAGCATTGGCGGCACCACGGACAGTCATCAGGGAAAAAGCTCACTATTGATTGGTCGAGTTCGAGTTACTGTAGTGGCAGAAAAAAAAGGCATACGCGTTAGCAAGTGCAGCAAGAAACACAGCAGAATACCCTGCAAGAGCTGAAACTAAAAACGCGCGGGCACAGGTGCCGAAAGCGGTGCTGATCGGTTGTTCACGAGATCAATTCCGGAGGCCGTACTCACGCGGCCGTGTTGTTCATGAGGGGAGCAGCTCCTCCACCATCGAGGAAGTTGACGGAAACGCCGGAGTTTCCGCCTCGGTTGGTCGAGGCAAGAGCACCCGAGAAGTAGGGGACCTATCACATGACAAAGGGGAGCAGTAAGCACCGCAGACACGAGGAAACACGCCAGATACGGCAAGAAGCCCCGAGAGGAAGGCTCACAAGGTTGACAGCGGTGCCATTGTAAGTACCGTTGGGGTTGAGGATACCGGGAACGCCGACGCCGACGTTGACTGTTCGCGAGGAGAAGAAGCAGAGAAATGGAGGGGAACGGTGTCAGCGCCGCAGCGATGGAGGCTAGTCGGTGGACGTCGACAATGATAAAGAGTGGAAAAGAGGGATGCACGCGGCGTGGAAAGCGACCTTGAGGCCAAGCGGCCCGCGGAATGCGCGATGATGCGTGGCCCTAAGCCAGGCGCTGTAAAATTGTGCACGCCCAGTGGGGCACAAGCGGGTGAGAGGGCACGCAAAACTTACTCGACGAGTAGTTTCCGATAACGGCGGTGTTGACCAAGAGGGTCAAGAGTGTCTACAGTTGGAGAGTTGCAGTATTTTGTTGTGAACGCAGAAGGACTTGAGTTGGTTAGCAGCCGCTCGATCACGTAGCGACAGCGCTTGATTAAATCGGGACACGTTGTGTCACAATGCGATGACGGAGATTGGTGGGCGCAGCTGGCGAGCGATCGAACCACGCCAGCGCCGCCGTGCCCTCCCCACACCATTGGCGCGCTTTCGCCTCGATCGGCGGGTCGTTGGTGCCCTGGCCCCCAAGGTCCGCGGCGTCCGATTGACGAGTGCAACGCATGACCATAACAAAGACAAGAAGTGCAACTCACAAGTTGGTTAGCACCCGTGTTGTTCTTCAACAAGGCCGTGGTGTAGTAGTCGCAGATGGACGTGTTGGTGGGGCGCTGGGCGAATGAGCCGGCGGCCTGTATATGCAAAATCGGACGATGATGACGACAAGGGCAAAGCGGGGAATGAACGGGGTCAGTCGAATACGGGGACATCGTACCAGGCCCGACAGTAACATGCAGCGATTTTCAAATCAACTTACGAGGGCCAAGGTGACAAGGGACTTGAACAACATTTTCGAATAGATCCAATTCAAGTTCGGGTGGGGGGGGCGGGGGAAGAGGAGGAAGAAGCACTTTGCGGAAAGACCGGAGAGAGCTGGGGTTCACGAGCACGAGGGATGAAATTTATGAAACCTGATGAATCTGGATGAATTGTGCTGGCTTTTATTGGCCGATTGGGGCGCTGTCGCCGGTCTGCAGACGGATCAAATTGCGGTCACCGTGATCGGGCTGCACCTGACAGCGTGCAGTGGCCACCGCTAGGGTGGACTTAAGGCCTCCCACCGCAATCTAAAGCTGTGAGGAGCAGGGGCTTTCCGATCAGCGGCGGCAGCGGCGATCCGCGCGCGCGGCCAGAGTTCCAAGCAGAAGCTTCAAGCCTGTGCGTCCAAGCCCGCCCATCGATGATGTCGACAAGCTTTGATGGTGCTCCCAAAATTGACCAAGGGTCGAAGCCAAGTCGCACCAGCATGACACGCACGATCAGCACATCATATGTCCTGGTAGGTACCTAGGTGGCGCCTAAAAGGTACCTTTGACCGATTTGTGAATGCTCGCTCGTGAACAGCTAGTTCGAGCCCCTAGGAGCTCGGACAGCTAAACTCGACGGGGCTCCCGATGCTTATTTCGCAAAAGGGGAATCGTCATTTTGCACCTTCGCTACCAAGGGTCTTGCCTACGGCCCGAAGTAAAAACTGACCATATGCTTGACATCAAGAGCGGCTCGATAACCGGCAGCAGCATTGTCACGTTGTCAGCTCCAAGGCCGTCCGCCGAGCAAATGCCGCGTCGATGATTCGGGAAAAGCGCTTTCGCTGCGATTGTGAAGGGTTCGAATATTCGCGGCTTGCAGCCCTAGGCCTCAGACGCTCTGGCCCGTCCGCACGCGGCACTCCCAAAGTCGGCAGGCCGAGACGCGGAACGCTCGGAGCGCGGGCATTGCGTGGTTCGACGGTCGACGGCCGACGGCCGATGATCGGATTTGGACCAAATGTGGATCCGGCGCCCAGGGCTAAAGTGGGCCAATCTGGATCGGGCCATTAGGCGCGACCATCGAACGATCCTCCTTCCCAAACCCTCAGACCGTGCTAAACAGCGTACACCACTCCCTTCCAACGGCCACCTCGCCCTCGCTTAAACCTCGGAAGTTCCGTTCAAATTTGATCATTGATCTCTGAGGGTCGACGTCCGCGCTTCCCCCACATTGGCGATTTCGCATTTTCATCGCCAGGCATGCGGCACCGGCCCGCGTCCAGTACTTAAGTATCTTGCATCCCAGCATAGTCGCAATCTTTTTCACCACAATTTAGAAGAAGACTTGTGGCCCTTCCTACGTACCCGGGGTGAGATATGCGGAAATGCGAGTAATGGCCGCCACATTCGGGACGTCTCCCAGTCTCCCCGAATCCTCAGAGTCATACCGCTGGTGGGTGGACATGGCGTGGGACTCGAGTCATCGACCTAGTGGGTTAAGCGCTTTCTCGAGCTCCAACCTCTACCCCATCACATCTTTCGAACTCTGAGCATTCGATGAGGTAACCAACGCTTCAAACTGCCTCGTGCCCGTCCCCACTGCCCCCACTCGATGCGAATCCCGCCCAGATCGCGGAACGAGTCGCCGTCGCTGTCAGCCGTGCGACCGCTGTCGCGCCTGCGTACGTGTTCAAACTTGTACATGCATGTGATGACTTCATATATACTGGGTGGGTCATCGTGTGGGTATTATTTCGCGGTGAATCCTTGAGCTCGCCGGTCACCTCGGCATAGCGCCATGCGCTGACAATCCCGGGGAGATGTTTCGGTTCTTTCTGTCCAGACCTGGCAGAAGCAACTGGCGCGGTTGTCTCTTCTATCTCCCATAGTTTTGTTGCAGACTTTGAACGGCCCCAACGGGTTTGCAATATACTCCAGCCCCTTGCCTCGGGCACCACCGAGCCTCGATGTAGGTCACAAACAACTCACAGTCTCTCGTGTGGATCCCGGGATAGACCGCCCAACACACCTACCGATAGGCAAGTGTAATATATGCGAGCGATATAGACGCTACTCCCGGTGTCGAGTATCTACAAGTGGAAAGGCGAGGATCGTAGTCCGATTTTTGTTGCGGTCTTCTTGAAACTCGATTTCTTGGTGTCCTCTCGCAGTTGTAGATGAAAAATGAGCTTCGCACTTTGCTAGTCTATTCATAGCAACCATACAGCACAGACCCCCCTAAAAAAGAGAACAAACATAGACAGCCTCAATCACAGACGCGGCTGATTTGGTACCGCGTCAGAAATCATTAGGAGACTCGAAGTTTGTGCTCAATCGATTTTGGCGACCCTCTTCAACTCGATCAAACCTTTGTCTTGCCCTTTCCAAAACCCCTCTCGCTCGTTCCTTTTCGTGTCCTCAGCCATCTTCTCCTTCTCGGCAGTATCTTTTGTCCTTGAAATTCTTCCGCTGTCCTCGGCCAATTCCTTCGGGGTCTTCTTCAGCCCCAACTCATCCAGATAGTTTCTCCTCAGCTCGAGCCCACTACGTCGCACGCGATTGGCCGCTTCGGACCCGATCCAGCTCGTCCGGTGGAGAATGAATCTCACTGTCGTTCGTACAACGAGGTAGATGTGCTCCGAGAAGAGTGATACGAGCAATGCTGAGAACAAGGTCGAGGTGATGAGAGGGAGATTCGAAGGAGTCGAACTCAGCCCTCCGCCGAGGGCCTCTTTGGTCGCCTGCACGGCGTTGGTGCCATTCAGGACGGCTTTGAAAAAGCCTCCCGGGTCACCTCGAGTTGCAAGATGCATGTTGGACGTTGCGTGGATATGCGTCGTGTTCGCGGCCAGAGTATCATTTCCTCGCGACCAAAGGCTCGAGAGGAACGCTCTCGTGGGTGACGAGACATCACAGTGGGGTCGGTAGAGGTAGACCAAGGACGAGTTTGTGAAAGCAGCCAGGTACGAGATGAAGCTCTGCCAAGTTTGCTCGATGAGCTCCGTCAGTTTACAGGTATACCCTATTGAAGCATGACCGTGCACTCACGAGCACATCAAGCCAAGGGCCTATGGTAGCGACTCGAGTTGGAATCGGCCGGCGGTGCTGATGAGTGATCTTGAAGGCGTCCGACCTCAATTCAATCTGCCAGTCCACGAGAGATTTATAGTGCGCCACAAAGGAGGGAGCCGAAACCAAAATCACTCACGAAATTGTTGAGGTACGCAAACAGCGGCGCGATGGGCCAAATCACGGAAAACAGCGCCTGGTATCCGAATTGCAACACCATCTCTGCGTAGTCGCCCAAAACGTCGTATAATGGCAATTGAGACTCGTCCCGGATCCTCTCCAAGTATTCGTGCTCGCTCAGGTCGTCCATCCCGCGCTTGAGATGCGAAGGCGAGTTCGCACCCGCTCGCTTCTCTTGCACTTTGGCTACTTCCTTCTCGGCGAAGGACAGGACGAAAGGCAGACCGATCTCGGTGAAGGCCCCGACAACTTGGTTCGTCAAAGTGTAGGCGACGATCTGAGTGTGCAGCTTGCTCGAGTTGATGCTGAAATCTTTCTTCCCATTCGGGCTCATAACCGACGTAGAAGAAAGCTTCTCGGCGTGTTTGGACGGTAGGACTCCCAAGATGTAGGGGACCAGGACGGATCCGAAGGGAATGTAGACATAGGATGTGAGTACGAGCGATCCGTAGGCGACGAAGAAATTGAGCGCAAACGTCTTGAGCGTCAAGGATTGGTCATGTTCGGTTTGATGGGTGTGGTTCTCGAACTTGGTCAGCCTCTGAGCGGTTGTGCCCCATCTGGCGTGATTATGCTTCATGTTAGCTTCGGCGCAAAAAGCAGCAACGCCGCCACCATTATAACTCACAAAGCGATAACTTGCGGAACTAGCCCAGCAAACATAATCGTCGGCACCAGTGTCAAGTACCGCTTTGCTGGACCCTCGTAGACTTCCCCGAAGAGGGTCTCGGTGACGTAGATTGTCGAGATGAGCGCAACGAGGACAGATGCAAAGGCCAACAAGACGGGGATGGTCATCAACTGTCTTGCGAACGTCTTCCAGAAGGGGAAGTAGGCATGTTCCACCCCCGTGACGGGATCGACGATCTGTGTGTCCCCGTGAAACTCGGCACGCTCGCTCTCGACGGTGTGGATATTGTACGTCCCCCAATCTACCGACAGCGTTTTTTCCTGTATCCTCCAGGTCTCGATGAAATGTATCGACCAGCCGACCATGCCGATGCTGTAGATTGGGTGGTACGAAAGACCCAGCAAATAGAAGCTCATGCCCATCAGGGCGGGGTAGAGCAACGAAGCAAAGTAGTAGCGAAGGAAGGCAAAGTAGAGTGCGATTTTTTCGCCGAGGTGATCCTTGATCTCGTCCAGTTCGGCGCGTGGGATTGGTTTGAGCGCGTGGGATCGACTGGACCAGCTTTTGAGCCAGCGTTGATTGAAATCGACGTCGTGGGGAGGGAAGACGGAAACGACGTGCGGGAAGTTGGCGGGCGAAGGAACGGGGTCGAGCCCCACCGTACGACCCGAGGAGGCGGAAGACGTGACCGAAACCCCGGTGATGGCTGCTTCAGGCGAGCTAAGAATCGAGTACACGAGTCGTAGTCGTTCGGCGGGGGTAATGGGCTCGGAGGCAAAATCCCGAGACGTTTTGGGTGAGGCCCTCTTCGATGCAACTCCATGAAGCCAGTCGGATAATCTATCGGTGGTTCCGGACGCACAGGGATTAGAACCCACTTACACTCAGTTTCCGGTCTCAGTCTGTCGGAATGCATTCTTCGTGTGCTGTTTGACTCACCTCTCACGATGCACTTCGGCCTGCAGCCGGTCCTCGTTTGCCCGGACAAAGAGCAAGATCTGCTGGGTGCCCTTTGCCCCAGGTCTCCCGGTGACCTCGAGTCCGCTCGCTCCGATGGCGGCGATCAGGCTCTCATATTCAGTCTGCAGCGCCGCCTGCGTTTGGGCCTTGTCCGGCTTCTCGGGGTGCGAAGACGATGAAGGATGCTTGCCGGTTCGAGGTTTGGGCACGAGTTGCGGGTCAAACACGATGATGTAGTCGGGCTTGGGATCGACCATCGCGAGAGTCGCAGTCGTTGACGTGGTCGATGCACGATCGAGCAGCGCTGCTGATGACGATGACGACCGTCGGCTTTTCGTTGTAGATCAGAGTGAGAGCGCGACCGGGAGCGAGTGTCAAGGTCAACAGAGGTGGTGGCTATCGCGTAAAGTCAAGATCGGGCTCCCGACGCTCGGGTTGGTGTAGGTGACGGAATGTGAGATTACGTCGTTCGCATCCGCTGCCTCGAGCCGAGATCGCTCTGGATTGTCAATTTATCACAATTTCCAAATAAAAATTTCGTCACCAGAATGAGATCTGAACACCAAAGTACTGAAATACTGTTAAAAATAACAAAAGTAAGGAAATGGGACGGCCATGCAAACTAATACCCGGCGACTCAAATGGCCAGAGTACCCCACACACGTTGCCTCGCTTCCCTAGCAACTCCTTCATCAAAGGTTATCCTCAACCCAAGCAACCAACCGGCGAAGAAAAGTCCGAACAAGAGCATGGCCGACCGTGCCATCAAATCTTGAACGACATCGCCGCCCTCGCTCATCTTGCCCGTCTTGGTGCTGGCGTTATTCCCTCCTCCCGATCCTTCCAACGTGAACTTCTCTCCCGGTTCGGGCGCATCCGGCTCGGCGACTTTGGGACCGGGGAGACCGTCGACCGAGCTCAGGTTCTTGAGATTCCAGTACGGCTTCATGCCACCTTCTTTCTTCTCTTGGTTGTCCATGAAGTTGAGAAGAGTGTTCCTGCGAGAGCACAATGAAAGCCGAGCATCGAGACGGGTTTTTGCTTGTTACTTCGATGGTCCTGAGCGAGCTATGACGCTGGATTGCGTGGCTTCGAACATACCTCTCCTTCTTGTATTCGAAGAAAGGTACCGAGTAGCCGCACGAGGTGCCAACTTTGTGAATGTCGATCCAGATGATGGCTCGGGTTCCTGGGTATCGTCTCGGATCTCTGTCGGCCGTTCCAGACGGTGCCGATAAAATTAGCATAATGTAATTAGACCCGGTCGGACATTGACATCGCTTGTTCACTAGAATATTCTTCCTTCGAGGCGGTAGGCCTCAAGCACTCACCCAGGAGGCAAATAGTTTTCAAATTCGGGCGAGCCTCGTTCGAAAACCTTGCCCTTGCCGAACAGTCGAACGATCCTGGGCGGACCCTCAAAGGCAACAAACACTGTTGAAAGATGCATAACGGCGTTCATCTTCAGCCTAGGGCCTTTCTGGCTAGCCTGCCCCTAACACGTGATTCGAACCTCGAGCCCGAGGCCAAGCCCGAGCCGGCCAACTCCGAGACGGGCGGACTACTAACTGATTGTGATCCTGCCGTTGCCTTCTTCGTACAAACAGCTGATGGTCTCGTTCCCGCTTCCGGTCAAGTCGACATAGTAGGCGCTCTTGTCGTCGACGAGGGTGAAGAGGGCGTCGTGGCCTTTGGGCGAACAGTTGACGTGCGCATCCGAGGACAGGGGCGAGCTCGAGACGAAGAGCTTTTGCTGGCGGATCCAGTCCATGAGCGTATCGTTCGGAATCGTATCGTAAAAGGCTCCCATAGCTTGGTACTCGGTAAGGCTTGAAGGTCGCAAGTGGTGGCAACGTAAGAGGAATTCGCGCTGAGAGCAGGGAGAGAGTGAGAGAGAGAATTATAAGGTGGGGCGGGGCCGCGGCCTGCTTCGGCGCGGGCCAGCGCCCCATGCCTGGCCATGCGGTCATTGACTCGAGTTGACCGGTGACCTGCCAGTGCCAGCGTTCACCCAGGCCGGACGAGGTGTCGTGCTGGTCCGTGCGCGCGCGCTTCGTCACGTCACGTCTCTGTTGGATCTGCACCGCTCAATCAAAAGCACCTATCCGCAACAACAACATCACACAATGGCCTCGGCATGGCGATCCTACCTGAAACGCTCCATCGAGCATCTCCGTGATCGATCTGCAGAAGGTCAGTTCAAGCCCCCCGAGCCTGTAGCCCACTATGGGACTCGAACGAACAGAGCTCGCTCACCCCCATCACTACGGCGTCATGTTTTTGCTCGGCAGTTCTTCGAGCTCAGCCCACCCCCGTACATGGAACTGTCTTGCCTCTCGTGACGCTCAAGTCGAGCGAGGACCTTCGCCAATTCATCAAGGGCTGCGATGCCGATCTCGGTTAGTCCGAAGCTCACTTGCCATCGGGCACACCACAACATCACTCATGAGGCTAACACCGTCACTGATCATCGCAGGCGGCAAATCTATCGCCAATCTTGATTTGGGACCCGAAGGAAAGGGACGCTTCTGGGGATCGCTGTCGAACGAGTTGCACACAGGTCGACGGAAAGAGGGCGTCATCGAACGAGGAGGGTATGCTGGATTCAGGACAAAGGTACTATAGCCCTAGCACTCTTCCCGATTCGAGGTTCAACCCTACTGATAGGTTGTATTCGCTTTGTCTGCCAAAAGCAACGAACGACCGTATTCGGAACACGGTTCTGGGACACGGAGTTGCACGACTTTCTTCGATTACGCGTCAAAAGCTCTGGTGATGGTATGAGGTACTTCGTCAACATCCAGACCGATGGACCAGGTAGGTCTGAAAAAGTGGTTTTGTTGCCGGCTACGTTGAGCTCGCACACTCACCCGCCTCTCCCTCCCTTTCCCACAGTTCGGTCCGACCTGTTCCAACATCGACTGTGGCTGCCTTCTCCTACCTCCCCTGAAGCTCCCCACGAATGGTGCGACGTCTTGATCCCATTCGAAGACTTTGCTCTCACCAACTCGGGTGACATGAGTGAGCTTCAGATCGAGATGTATCGCGCCAAAGTTCGGACAGTCGGCATCTCCGTCTTGGGTCCCAAGCAGGGAAGGTCAGTGTGGACCCGAACAAGCGCTCAAAATGCATGTCAGGCTTGAGAGACTGATCGAGAATATGCCCTCTTATTCTCTTCACTCAGGTACGAGCTCGGTATCGAATCGATCGACGCTGTCTCGCTCGATAAAGCTCAAGTCGATTCGGCGAGGAAAGAGCTTTCGTCGGCCAGTCTAGAGAAAAATGTGATCTGATTTAGTTGAAAGAGGCCAGCTGTATGACCTCGACCGCGATCCGAATGGTTCAGAGCTAGCCCAGATTTTTCCAAAGTCAACGTTTAGGGAATGAGGTCACCCGCTTGCTCTTTGAGTTGAGTCTTGCAAGTTGCGTGCGATGAAGGGAATCCGGAGCCCTCGGTGTATGCACTTGAGGTTCCGATCTGTGCGCTCAACGATCCTTGCGGCGCGGCGCAGGCGCGCGCTCGACTTGCGGCCGTATCGTGCTTGTCTTGAGCCCATCAGACATCTAGCATCAACACCTCGATCTGTACCCACGACTCCTCTCCACATCGACTGTATTCCATCCTTTACCACACCACACCGCTGTTTGATCCCTGCTCAAAGTTGCAGAGGACCGCTACCAGCACTCGCGACTCAGGCGCTCAGGCCTTCTCGCCTCCTGCGCCGGCGCGCGTTGGATCAACAACACCTTCCTCGGACTGAAACAGCGCGGCTCTCTCGTCACTCGACGTACAAGCCTTAGCGGTGGCTACTTGTGAAATGTCACGGGAGTCAGCTTACCTCGACTTGGACGATTTTGCGCAATCCATCGTTTTGACTGAGGTACGCTCGCTGGCTTCGGTGTGGATGGACGGACGTGTTTGTGCCCTTCTCGCAGCGCGAAGCACGTGCCGCCCCACCCGCCGTCCGGGTCTGGAGCGGCCGAGACCCGGAATGATCCAGTCACAGTCACTGATCCGCTTGAGCCTCATGTTACAGGATCGCAACACGAACAAAACCACTCTGACTCCCTATTCCAGGGCCGTTTTGGGCGATGAGACGAATCGACTACGACAAGCATCGTTCGACAAACTGACGAATGGCATGGGCCGGGCTCCGTCGTCGGGCATCAAGAGCGCTGGCACAGTTGAGATCATGTCCGTCCGCCGCGGTCAAGGCATTGCGCAGGGGAATAGGTTCGTTTCTGAGCAACTTCGTCCCGCATATCTTGCTTTAATTTCTCTCTGACTTTCAGAGGACCTGCTATGTGTCAGCAACATGCACTCCACAGGTCGCGAGGCCAGAGGCCAAGACGTCGCTGACCTACCCTTAACCGCTTCGACGTCTACTGCCTCTGCTTCGGCCACGGCGTTCGTATCTTCCCCCTCAGCGTCTCCTTCTCGATCGCTCGCGACGCGCCACCGGGCCTCCTCGTCAACCTCCTCGATCCCTAACTTTCAGCATCCGGTCCATCTCCCGTCGTCGGGTTACATCCGCTCTCAGCCTCTTGGTGTGACATCGAAAGCCTCGACGCGAGCGGCGCTGGCCGAGCAAGGCGAGTACGCTCCGACGCTGAGCGGCGGCATGGCCAGTCATCGGTTGAGCGTATCTTCGTCCTCGTCTTCTTTGGGGAGCGAAGACGTGCTCGATGACGAGGATGAGGCTGGACCGAGTAGGGTTCATGATCCGAGAAAGTACGAGAGTGATTCCGAGGTCGTGCTGAGATCGAGTGCGAGTGGTCAGGCGTGGGACAGGTGGAAGCATGACCTTGAGGACCTACCGGTGCGTATCTTTTTGTCACGCCTTCGCAGCTGGAAAACAGCACTGACGTGTCCCGCCCTTCTCCATGCAGCCGAATCCAAAGCTCTGGCTCCCGTCTCATCTCTCTCTCTACCTCTCCGCCCATCTCTCTCTCCACCCACTCCTCTCCAAAGACATCACCGAGTTCATCAGAAAGTCTCGCTTGTCGGGCCGCACCTTCCTCAGGCTTCGAGATGAGGACATGGAAGAGATGGGCATCAATCTACGATGGAGGAGAGCTTTGAGCGACGCCCGAGAAGTTCTGAAGAAAGAGGCTTCTAATGGAAGGCTCTTTTGGGGATTTGAGGGTGGAGCAGCGCCGGTAGCGGTCAAGGACAGCGATGGTGGAAACAAGTCGGTGTCCGGAGCTGCGCTCAATCGGGATCTCGACGGTGCTCACATTTTGCTAGGCCTCTCCACTTCTGTTCGTTCCGCATCGTCGGCTCTGTCGGCCTCAACGGCTCGAACTCGACGTCTTGCCGGGTCTTCCTCCGGCTCTTCCGGCTCGGGCTCGACATGTGATTCTCGGCCACCCTCTGTTGGCAGTGGTATGCCGTACCTTCGGTCCCAGTCGCCGCCGCAAAGCCACGCATCTGGCACCACAGCTCGCTCGTATGCCCCGCCTCTACTTCGCCACAACTCCTCTTCAGCCTCATCGTGCGCCCTCGAAGTCGAGGGACAGAACCAACTCGAGGACGACCTCATCAAAGAAGAATGGAAACAGTCTTGGAAGCGACTGCTGAACTACTCCGCTTCGTCAAATGGTGGGAAGGGCGCTCATCGAGGTAGTCGTGTCCGAGGCATGGCGAGTGTGTTTGAAAAGGTCGATGAGGGGAGTCGGGAAGGCTCCCCGGTCAAGTCGAGATCGGGAGGATCACCGAAGGTTACGCGCAGGGAGAAGAAGGGACCGAAACGCGATGCTCCAGTACAAAAGGAGAGTCGCTGTCGCAACTCGGCGCGAGAAGCACGTGGACACGGGATGCAGGATTCGATCGATTCAAACGCGTCGAACGCTTCAGTCGACGAAGGAACGTATGTTCAGCAACTGCAGCGGAGTCGAAATGTGCATACCGAGTTTCATGTTCCATCTCGGAAGACATCGCGAACCATGGGCAAGGCTGACGAAGGAGGGTATCCAACTGCGAGACCGTTACCCACCCGAACTGCTTCGATGAGGGCATCTGCGATCGATGTCTTCAGCATGGGATCCGCCCTGCCCCTAGACTCGGAGTTCGATCGGACTAACCTTGGAACATCATTAAAGAGAGTTCCCAGTCCCATCTCCACCGCCAATGCGACCGAAGTGAAGACCATCCGTGGGCCATTCGCTTCGACCTCGTCTGCCAATCCGCACCCTCACGAGCGCGTTCCCTCGAACCCACCCACGACCCGAAGTGGCAGTCGGATGTCGAAGGAGGAGAAGCGCCGTTCGCTGGCGACCTTGTTCGACCTCGAAATTCCGAGGGTATCCACGATCTCGACCTCGACATCATCAATGACGAGAAGGTCAACGATCGTTGGCGCCGATGGAGCGGATGACCTGGTCGAGTGGGAGATCGGTGCGACGCAGGGTAAGAGAGGGAGTATGGTCTTGGTCAAACGTAAGTTTCGAAAGAGCGAATTCGTTTTGCGGTTTGGATTCTCATCTGAGGTTTGAAATTTCCATTGCTCACAGGATCCCAACTCGAGGCTGTCGCCCGAAGAATGGACGAGATTGAGGAAGCGCTTGCTGCAAGTATCCATGGCGGATCCGAGGCAGCAGTCTCGATCGCAGGTGATCTACCCGACCCTATCAGAACACTGCAGAGTCGCACATCTTCGAACGCTCGTGAAGAGCAAGATACGACCACAGCTCTCGAGGCTCTGACCCAACGGTTGGCATCGCTCGAGAATCGCTTGCTCCCGGCCCCCGCGCACCATCCACTGGCACAACAGCAACACCACGCGCACGCGTGTCACGGATATGGGTCCCCATCCTCGCCTTCAATGTATGAATCGTCTCCACAAGCGACAGCACGGGTCGACGCGGCGATGTCATCTTGGGTTGCTCATCAACTCACTCTGAACGAGATCGAGGCGTCTAGGCAGGCCCGAGCAAACGCTCTCGACCGTCAGCACAGGGATCGCATGGATGCGGCGTCACTCGATAACAGCGCGAGGTCGAGGGAAGCATCTCATGACATCATGGCGTATCGCAGAGACGGCGAAGATGGCCCGAAAGTTGGTCGAGCGGGTGATCCGGGGATGGGTCCGGGTGGGCCACTGTCATGGTCCTCTTTGGGGGGGTACGTCGTTGCGGCTAGTATTGGAATTGGAGTGCGTACTTTTCTCCGTGTTGACCTCTCACAACTACCGTAAGCACTGATCACACCATGACATTGCGTCTCCACAGATTGTGGCGGGTGAGGTCGTAGCTGCGAAGCTCTTTAATGTCCGCGCGGGACATCATTAGGGGTTTCACGCTCATTCAAGGTCGTGCGCATTCATCTAATTATCATTGCCAGTCCTATGATGCAGGGGTGACTTGTATATCTTCACTGCAGTACCAGTTTTCTTGTTGTTGACCCTCGGCTCCCCAAACTATGTTCTGGATGTATGGTTCGGCACCCATACCCACAGCGCGCAACCAATTAAGAGGGTGGTCACTGTGTGAACGAGGTACCTACACGGTGTGAAAGAGTGACGAATGCTAGCTCACATTTTCGAGCTCTCGGAGCTTTTCTAGCCCCTGGGGGCGGGAAATGGTGTCTTTCACATCGCAGGTGCTGAAGTCGCACCCTCTCTTCGTCTCTGGCCATCTCGCACCTTGCCAGCAGAGTTTCTTCGTGGGATATAGCAGACCACATCTGCACCCCACTCTTTATTTTACACATTACACGGTTATGAACTTGCAATTGCCCGAGTCTCGGCGTTCACCTAAATCCGAAATGAAAGTCACGGCAGAGCCCCTCGGCGCGCGAACCAGGCTGCGTGAACCCCTATCTGCCTGTCGAAACTGCATGAGTTCACTGTCTTCAATGGCATTTTCTGCTTACTGAAATCGTATTTCGTTCCAACTTTCAATGTTGCAGCGCTACCCGCCTTAGCTGCCAGGAGACACTGTCAGATACAAATGGCAAGTGGGGCCCCGCAATCCAGCGCGGCTGCATCAGATGGCCGCCGCGCGGAAACTGTCGACGGCACGGTGACTACAGGTCGATCTCCGTCCCGCCCCCGGGTCATGTCGTCTCGTCTTCCGAATCAACGGAGACATTTTGACGCTGGTTATATCAGGAGTCTTGGGGCTGACAACTCGTTCAGTCCTGGACGGCTGTCGATCTGCCCTAGTCGTTCCATCCACTGGTCCTCGCATCGATTCCACTTACGGCAGGCGCTTTCGAGTACCCCAACGCCCTGTGACTCGACGCACTTGCCGCCAAGATGGATGCTAGGCCCCGTCTACCACCCGAACTCATAGAAGCCATCTTACCCCACCTCGTTCCCCTTCCATCTACGCCGCTCTGGATGCTCCAGCTTGAAGATCTCACGACCCTCCGCGCTTGCTGCCTCGTCTCATCGCAATGGCGTGCCTACGCTCAGCCACAACTCTGGTCACGTGTGATCCTTTCTACAACGGAAAAGCTCATTCAGTTCGTTCAAGTCTTGCGGGCCTCCGACCTGGAATACCTCCAGCGGGCCGTCAAAGAGTTATGGGTCATCGCCGAGCACGAGCGTGGCGTTAGCAAGCTCTTCGGCGACTACATCGCGTTGCGCATGTTCCCTGGTCTAAGGGCCCTTCGGGTAGAGGGATTGCACATTCCCCACGACTTCCTGAGTTTTGGCGGAGGTGAGACGATAAAGTTTTGTCACTGGAGTTGCCTGTGCGGTCTGACCGGAGTCAAATATCACCTTGCAGTTCCCCCCTTGGTTTCCTTGTCAGTCTCGAGGCTCGCAGTCTACCGTCCGGAGGACATGCGCCTCCTGTGTGGTACTCGGGATCCCGTCAGAACCAGCGGATGTAGCCGGCCCGGTTCAGGAGTCATTTCGGTTGTAGCGGGGCCGAGTTCCGGAGTCGTTTCAAATTGTCAAGGTCAACACCGGTTCGGGCAGGATCAAACACCGGTTTCGGCAGATTTCTCAGCGATAAAGCGGTCCCGAGTAAACTCAGCACTTCGATTACTCAAGGATTGACCGTCAGCAATGAATCATGTGGCAGGATTTGAGTGGAAGACCGGGCCGGATGCGCGGATGAAGGAGTGAAGGGGAATGAAAGGAGCGCAGCGGCCTGAGCGACCGGAACGTTTGAGGAGAGTTTGCTTCTTGTTCTTAGGTAGACCATGTCAATATATTGCTGTTTCATCCCACTGGTATTCCCGATTATGATTAGTTACTAGTTGTTGATATTAGTCGCCCCGCGCGTCTCGAGCCTGCCTCGCGCGCGCTCCCTTAGCGCTTATCTTCTTTCTCCAACTATCTTTACTATCTTCATCGGCTCTCGTACTTACGCACTTCGTGCCTCGGCCTCAGTTCCTGAAAGACCACTTCTAGGATCCAATACAGCATCTTAGCTGGTTCTCACTTTCTGCGTGATTCAAGTCTCGTCTCTCGTCTCCAGTCTCCGGTCTCAGCGTTTCATTCTCATACTCGGTCTCGTTTCTCGGTTTGGGCTCCTTTCTCGTCTCTCGTCTCTCGGCCGTTCCGGTCGCTCTCTCGTATCTCGTCTCCCTCGTCTTCGGTCTCGGTTCCATCGTTTCTCCTTATCTTTACATTTTATCTTTGATCGACCGCTTTGCTATACCATACCTGAATCCAACCCTCGACAATGGCCTGGCGGACGCATGCAGCCCGGTTCCTTTGCGCCACCTTGAGCTGCGTAACATGTTCGGGTGCTCGGCCAGAGGTAGCCTGGACAAGATCATACGTGGAAGAACCCACCTCGAGTCCTTGTCGATTGTAGAAGCGCTCGATATGCAACGTCTGGAGTACCTGTGGTGCATGCAAACCCTCACAAGCACGCCACAGCGCTCCGGCTCATCTTCACACACGGAGGTTTCGTCGCGACAATCGGGACTTAAGAAGCTGAGCTTGACCTTCAGCCCAGGCTGGGGAGCCTCGGGAAGACCGTACGATGTCAATTTGAGCCAGCAGATGAGTGAGTTCGTGCTGATGGCGCCTCGACGATATGGTCTGACCTTTTTTTGCTACGATGTCGACTCAATAGACGCATCCTTCTGCCCCAGTGCCCGCCAAATCTCACCGATCTCACTCTCTCCCTCTTCACCGCAGTCCCCTGGGTACAGCTCCTAATCCATGTCCTCCCGCCAAGCATCACTTTCCTGACCCTCTTACTCGACCGAGAAGCCGAAAACCCGAACCGTACCGAACAAGGCTACCGGGATACGGGACTCCAAGTCTCCCGTATGGTCTTGCACGAGCTCAAGGAGGACAAGATGCCAAATCTGAGGAGGATGCTCTGGAGGGACCGATCGGGGGCATGTTTGGGTTTTTTGGTCGGGGCGAGGTTGAGGGAAGAACTTGCTCAACGAGGGATCGAACTGATGCGAGATGCATAGCGGGAGCAAGCCGCTTGTACGAATCACCTCTCCGCTCAGTATTCGATGCAATTGCAATGGGGAATCGGATCACGTTGCAAAGACGGTCCCGTCCGGAAGGAACGAACAAAGCAACTTCCACACCCTCTTCAATTCCATCGGATCCCCCGACTTCTTCCACATCACCACATCCCATCCTTTGGTCCCTCGATCCTCGGACCCCAGCTTGGCATCCTCATCGTCGACGGCCATCCCACCCGTATTCGACGAAGGGTCGTCAGTGAGATCGGGAAGCACCGACTCGGTGACGGACAGACTACCGGTCAACTTCTCCCCTCGTCGATCCTTCATTCCGAATTTCAACCGAGCCATGGGTTTAGGTCTCGGGGCATTCCCCGTCGTCGTCGAAGTAGGAGCGATCATTGAGACGATCTCATGCTTCAACCCCGCACTCGCGTGAAGCGCGCTTGATGAAGGGTTCGAGCTCGATGACGATTGCTGGATGGAGTGCTGTGCGAGGGCAGAGAAAGCTTGGTCGACGTACTGGACGAGTGTCTCGAGGGGTAGGGTGGAGAAGAATCGGGTCAAGTGCGGATTCGATCGTTGTGTCGGAGCCATCGAGAGTTGAGACTATTGCGGGATTTACGGACTCGACATCAGATCCCTACTCGTCAGAACTTTCTCAGACATGCGCTGCAACGCACATAGAGTTGTATCGAGCCTTGGAACGTCATCGCCATTGCTTGCTGCCCTCGTTGGCTCGCTTGCGTTCTGCGTAAGCGAGTCCCAGCCGTCACAGCAACGTAGTGAGCTTCGCGCATGCCAAGTAGTTCAGGATTTTGACTCACGCAGTCACATAAGCCTGGCTCGGCGCGCCTAACCATCCGGTCCTGTGCAATGCATCCGTCAACCTCCTAGCTAGCTCGGCAGGTCGAACAACTGTTGTGCGGTCCGGGCCGAGCAAATCGTTTTCTCTTCGAGGAGGTAGTTCACGTGAAGGAATGAGCAAATCTTGCTTCAAGTCTCCCAGAATACACTCTCTCACCTTCTGTACCACTCGTGCAATCCGAATTGATCCAGTCCTAACCTTCGACTCGGATCGACGTTCAGCAGCCTCAACAAAAAGTCTGAAAAAAGCGAGATGATGGGTGGAGAGCAGTGGATGGAATTAGTGATCGGCGCCAGACTTAGTCATGATGAAGTCCAGGGCGTACCCATCGGTGCGGCGCCAATCCGTCTCCACGGTTCCTGCGATCTGAATCTCCCCTCTACAAACTCGACGAACTCCGGAGACTTGCGCGTCGGTTCGTCCCATGGTGTGTCTAAGCCCCAGAAACGCATCAGAAGAGCAGAAGAAGGGTCGGGACAGCGAAAAGAAATAAAGAAGGAAAAAAGAGACTCACTACCGACGAGGAGGGTGAAGAGCAAGATACCGGCAGACCAGACGTCGATTGGCTCGCCAGCGTAAGGGTCGACAAGAGCGAGCTAGGTAGGAACGGGACACGAGAATTCCTTCAGCTCAGGATGCGGTGCGGCGCGCTAACAAATCTGATCCACCTCACCTCGGGTGCAGCTGCCGGATAAAGAGCCGATTTTGCAATGTCAGTTCTTAAAACTGAACCGCACCGGGGTCGAATTATGACTGACCATACGGCGGACTCCCACATCGATCCTTCAACAACCTCGTTTGCCCTTTGTACTTGAACACGGTCGCCAATCCAAAATCCGAGAGCTTCAAGTTGCCTGCGAAAACTCCCTGGTCTTAGCATTGCGGTCGTGGATGAGTACAGGGTGTACGCAAGACTGACCATGAGCATCCAAGAGGCAATTTTCAGGCTTGACATCCCGATGACAAATGCCTTGTCGCCCTAGATATTTCTATGGAGCAGCGCAAGGGAAAGCGTGTCTCAGAATAGGAGCGGCTGCGCGCGATGTCAAAAAAGCGTTGCTTTGGCGCGACTGACGAGTGCTTCGACGAGTTGAGTGAAATAGAGGTGGGCAATATCTTCTGGGACCCCAAAGTCGGGTGCTGTTGTTTGAAGAAGGTACCGGCGTGAGTATTGAGGATCACATTCCTCGTAGTTGGCCGAGTGGTTGCACAGAGGGAACGAGCAAAAATTGAAACTGACGAATCTTGTCAAACAAATCACCGCCATCGGCTGCAGCAACACAGAGTCAGCATTCATGTCGACCCAAGTACGTTGCACTGCAACCTCTCTCACCCAATGCCAGACACAGATAGAGCCCTTTTGGCCAGCCGTTCTGTTCGTCGCTGTCTTGCATGCGACTGACCCCGCCAAACAGCTCGAGCACATTGCCGTGCTTGAGCGTCTCGTGGATCCTCATCTCCCTGACGAGCTGCTTCCCCTGCATGATCGAGCCGTGCACGCGGTCGTCGAGACGGACCACCTTGACGGCTGCGAAGGGGTGCGCATGGTTCGGTGATTGGTGCCGCGCTCGGTACACGCGCGACGTCGAGCCCGATGCGATCTGTTCGCGCAGGTGGTAACCGAGTATGACGAGCGGTGGGAGTGAGCCCGAGGTGGAGGCCATTATGGAGTGTCCAAGCGAGGTGCGAGGGGGAGAGAGACGAGATGGAAGAGCACCGATGACGGTCGACCACACGCGTCGCAACGCGCCCGGCGAAATGCGCGATTAGGCGCGATTAGGCTCGACGTGGCGGCTAATGCGCAATTGCCCTGCCTGTCTATGGCAGTCGATGGCAGTCGATGGCAGGCGATGGCAGTTCTATGGCGCGCCTCGTCTCTCGCAGCCGACGACTAGCGTCAACTCGTTCGCCCTCGCCCACACACCCTCCAGCAACACCAAAGATGTCCGCAGAAGCACCTCGCAAGTTCATCCTGCTCATGGATCAGTAACTTGAGATCAAGGTGTGCTCACACCCTCTTCTCTCCCTTCCTCATCTGCCTCGCGCTCTCGCCTTCGCGCGGCAAAACACGCCCACGCTTCCCACCCTCGTACAGAAGACCGCAAGTCACTCCTAACCGAAGCTTTCGGCTCCGAAGTCGCCGAGGCATTCGACCAGAACTTGGACGAGTACCAAAAGTTGCACTTTGAGGCTTGTTAGTCGCTCACCTCTCTCTCTCTCCCTCCTCGCACGTTGCCCCACTCCCCCTCCCCTCCTCTTCCCTTCCCTGCCCATCTCGCACGTTCCACCGGGGTTCCTTTTCCGCACAGACCCAGACCGATCTGACCTCCTTCCGTTCACTACCCAGACAAAGTAAAAGTAGCGTCCCAACGCACCAATTTCCTCGAGCGATCTAGAATCGCGGCCAAAGTGCCTTCGTTCTGGGCGCGCAGTCTCCAAAACTGTCGTCAGGTCGCCGAGTTGATCGACGCCATCGACGAGGACGTCTTCAATCACCTCTCGGATGTGTGGATCCAGCATGATGACAAGGACCCGAGGAATTGGGAAATCACCTTGGTCCGTTCCGGGTCCCCTGGGCGAAGGATCCAACATTACTGACCCAAACTGACCCCTCTCGTCTCTGAACCCGAAGACCTTTGATGCCAAGAACCCCTTCTTCAGCAACAAGACGCTCACCAAGAAATTCTCGATTGAGCACCCGTCTTCAACGACCCCGGCAAAACCGTATGATCTCGAAGCCCCGCTCTACCTCTTGGCCCCCTCCAAGGAGGACGTGATCAAGTGGACCTCGGACGAGCACAACTTGGTCAAGAAAGCGCCGAGACCCAACCTCGAGGACTTGGAGGAGTTTGACGAGTTCGACGGCGCGGGAAGCTTCTTCAACCTCTTTGGCGAGGATGGCGAGGACAAGATGGGCGTCGGGGAGGCCCTCTTGGAGTGGTTCGCCCATGCGACCGAGTGAGTGCTCACGTCCTCTCGGGATGCCGAACTTCCCTTCTTCCCTTTCCTCCAAACTTTTTTGACATTCTCTGAAATCTCTATATTTGTCACCTCGCAGATACGCCGCGGGCCTCTCTTTCCTCTTGGAAAACAACGACGATGATTCCGAACTGGACGAGTTCGACCAGGGCGATCTAGACGACGAGGACGAAGACGACGAGGATGACCCAGAGGACTTGAACGCCGAGATCGACTTGGAGCAAGAGGAGGAGGACAAGTCGAGGCCCAAGAAGAGGAGCAAGAAAAACTAGAATCGTTCGCGGACCCTTGCTCTTGATTGGTGTCGTCGAGACGGCAGGTAGAGAAAAATAGATGCGGTGGCAGCTGAGACTGAGAACATGATTCTTATTCAGATCGAAATCACAAATTAAGCCATTTCACCGATCACGGCCACCTGACGCGCTGGACGCCAAGGCAAGCTAAGGAACTGAAAGAAGGGAGAGAGGGGATTCTTGCAAAGCACAGGGAAGCAAGGGAGCATTCAGAAGAGAGATAGTAAACAAGTAATACTCTACCACAAAGACCAACGCCGCCAACGGTACATGACTATAGTCTTGACCATGGTGGCTGAGTACCTCGTGTGGCGCGCCGAAGAGGAGCGCTGGGCACGGAAGGAAGTTGTCACAGAAGCGAGCGCCGAAAGCGAGGACGACGATCGTAGAGTTGGGACAGTACGACCAAATGAAAAGCAATGACAGGCTCACTCCAACTCTTGGGCCGACGGCATCGTCGGGTCGTCATCCCCCGGGTCTGAGTCCTCGGGCGGGCAGACGGTGCCGCATGTATATAGAAGTGGATTGACGACCAAGCTCTAACGCAAGCAGTCCCCCGGAGCGCATTCACCTGAGGGATTGCTCAAGAACAGTCGGTGTCTATTCCATCCGGATAGAACCGTAAGACACGACTGGAATAGGTTCACTCACTCTGATCCTTGCGATGCAGTGGACAATGCGCTTTGCAATCCTTGAGCGCCACTGTCGCAATATTTCTTGGGTCGACCGCCATGATCTGCCATGTGTTGACCCTGTTGCATGAGGTTTGATGTGAGTAGTGCCACACATCACTGGCGACCGTTATTCTCGCTGGATGGTGCGGCGTGGTGCCCTTTTTCTCATGAATATAGTTAATTCTCGGCTTCTCTGCGATTACGTCAAGCGATGACCGCACTCTCTTCGTGGTTCTCACTGTCGAGTCGGCCTCGTAAATTGTAGCATCCAGTTGGCTCGCTGTTCTTCTATTGCCTCGTTTCTTCTCGGTTTCTTCGTTGCTCGGTCGGCACCCATTCGCATCTGTTCATTCAACTGCTACACTGACACCCAAGAATCCTATTTCGTACTGGCTCGTATTCCCTATTGGGGGTAACATCCTCCTCTCGGCTCGCCTTGCCCCTTGATGATTTCGCCCTATGAACAGTTGTTCCGGTGTATCAACTCGGGGATTATTTTCTCCGTCTACCATGACGCTCATCTGACAATCTCGGCTCAATTTCAATTTAGGTACACCCCCTAGTCCCTTTCCTCTCAGGTTTTGGCAATATGGACCATCGCCTTGCCCGTGTTGACACCGGTGAACAACCCGCAGAGCGCTTCGACGCATTGCTCGACACCACCTTCGATCTTGTGCTCGGCGAGTTGGAGCTTGCCTTCCGAATACCACTTCGAGAGTTTGGCTGATTTCGAGAGAACGAATAAGAGGGATTGGTAAGAGAGTGTACAGGCCGTTATACGGGTCGTTTAGTGCAATGATCGCCCCAAGCACAGTGGCCTAATTAGAAATAGGGGTCAGACTCACGCAGGGATTCGCCGAAACGGGGGACGTAGTCCATGATGATGAAACCGTGAAGCTTGGCCTTTTGCATGAGCAGTTGGACGTAGTTCTTGAGCGCGTAGTGATCACCGGTCGAGTTGTAAGCGCTGTTGGGAGAATGAGTGCGAGCGTCAGTAGCCGGATCCATTTGCTAGATGGGATTTGATCAAAAACCCACGAGATAGCGCCGCAGACTGGCGAGGTAAAGCACACATAAGGAATGTCATGTTAGCGCAATTTTAAGTCAAAGGGAGGGGTCTCGAACCCACTCACAAGCAATGCGAGCGTGCACAGCCAGTTGGCCCATGACCAAATCCAGGATCTCGCCACCGACGTTGTCAAAGTAGACGTCCACGAAGCCGAGACGCTTCAAGTCCTCCTTGAAGCTCGCAGACTTGTAGTCGAGGCAGTCATCTGCACCGAGCTTTTCCTTGACGTAGCGGCACTTATCCGCACCACCGGCGATACCGACGACCTTCTCGCACCCGGTCAACTTGGCCAATTGGATCGCAATCGACCCGACAGCACCGGCGGCTCCCGAAACGACGACGACTGTGTCCTTGGAGGTCAATTGAGCAACGTCAAACAAGCCCCAGTAAGCGGTCTGAGCGACCATGCCCAAAACGGACAGGGCCTTTTCAGATTCTTTGAGAGTCGTGGGAATCTTCTGCAGGGCAGCGACGGGGGCGACGGCGTATTCTTGCCATCCGACGTAGGCCGAGACGTGGTCGCCGATGGAAAAGCCTTCGGTGTTGGGGCCGAGGGCGACGATGGAGCCGACAATGCCGGCGCGCATGACTGAGTTGAGGGGAACGGGGGGCATGTACGATCGCGAGTCGTCGAGCCATCCTGTTTCACACAGGCACAACTTATCAGTATATTTGCAAAGAAATAGGTAGAAGCTAGCTCACCTCGCATGGCCGGATCGATGGAGCTCCACTCGACCTTGATCAAGGCCTGTCCTTCCTTGGGCTGTTCGACGGGGACATCCTTCTCGAGCTTGAACGTGCCCTTGCCTGAGGTGATGTCGGGGTTGATGTCACCGGTAGGTCGGTTGATCAGGATAACACGGGACTGAGTGGAAGGAATGTATGGCGACATGGTGTTCTTGTTGGTCTGTGCAAGAGCCGGGGGAGGTGTGAGCATCCTCACTGCAGGACGGGTTTCAGGCCACGATCGACCGCCGGCGTGTTCAACAGCCGGGTGCCGCCCCACATTCAAGGACGGAAGGCGGAGAGTGAGACGGAGTCCGTCCATGACCACGATCACGACCACTTCAGTGTCACACTTACATTGAAATGAAGGCTGGGGCTTGATAGAAGTGATGACGTGATAGGGAGAGAATAGAAAGGTGACAGGAAAAGCCTCGGCTCAAGTCCGGTTTCCTCATGATGACGTGAGCCTGCGATCTCGTCTCGGCGAAGTCTCCGAGCAGGGGTGTGCCCTCAAGGCCGCAACTTTCGGACTTGTTCATCGCTGATGCAAGGAAAACCTGACGTCCACTTTACGTTGCGTCGAATTCTCAATCACACATTTATTTATTTTTGATCTCATATGACTATGATACGTATCGAACCATTGACTGCACATCTCTAGCTAGCCAAACCGATTCCGACCAGACAAGCTTTTTACTTGAACTCGTTACCGAGAATAAGTTCCTTCTTAATGATCAGCCCCGAGTTCGCCAGGGTCAGGAAAGCCTGTTATGGAAACACAGACAAAGAGACAGCATCAAACAACACTCCATCAGCTCCCCGCCTCATCATTCACGTAAGCTCTCCTTCTTGTAAGGTTCGGCAGCCACTCGGTAGGTCCAAGCTCAAACCTCGGACCGACGGACCGACTTGCCTGACCTCCCTTTCATTTTCCTGCCTTTGACTGACAACCATTGTGCATCCCCTTGTCATCCTTTCCTGTGTTTATCGTATCTCTCCCTATTGTCCTAGTTCTCCACAAAGAACCACATTGTCTACCTAGCTCCCTTTCACACCTCCAGATTCCTTAAATAGCGATTGGTAGCTCTCTTCTCTCTTTTCCTCTCTTCTCATCCTTTACTGGACCCGACACTCTTGATCCAAACTTGACAATCGACTGGTTTTGGGACTGTCCATTTGTCAAGCGACATCGAGAACACTACTGAGGAACCCGCCTTTTACTCACGCCGCTGCTGAGTAATCTGTTTTGGGACTGTCATAAAAAGATGTAAGGAGCCCAGATTACTCAGCAGCGGCGTGAGTAAAGGCGGGTTCCTCAGTAGTGTTCTCGATGTCGCTTGACGAATGGACATTCCCAAAACCAGTCGATTGTCAAGTTTGGATCAAGAGTGTCGGGTCCAGTAAAGGATGAGAAGAGAGGAAAAGAGAGAAGAGAGCTACCAATCGCTATTTAAGGAATCTGGAGGTGTGAAAGGGAGCTAGGTAGACAATGTGGTTCTTTGTGGAGAACTAGGACAATAGGGAGAGATACGATAAACACAGGAAAGGATGACAAGGGGATGCACAATGGTTGTCAGTCAAAGGCAGGAAAATGAAAGGGAGGTCAGGCAAGTCGGTCCGTCGGTCCGTGGTTTGAGCTTGGACCTACCGAGTGGCTGCCGAACCTTACACTTCTTTGGTGAAAAAAGCTCACCTCCAGCCCCCTATGCACCGTCAACGCCTCCCTTGACGCGTACTCCTCATAAACCACGAACTCGTCTCCCTTCCCCTCCTCTTTGGACCCCCTCGACGTCCTAAACGTCAAGCACCCCGGTTCTTGATCCGATTCGGCGCATTGCCGTACTTTGGATAGCAGCGGTTGCGCGAGGTCGCCCTGACCTTCTTTGACAGTTAAGAGCGCGAGTTGGATGAAAGGCTCATTGTAGGAGGGGCTGAGGTGAGAGGTGAGAGAGGGACTTGTGGTCAGCATAGGTGGATTCGAAGTGGTGCGCCCTGTCGGTAATCTCGAGCGGAAATCGAGGTGGGGCGCTATTCACCGTTGGATTCCCCACAAAAGAGGGGAGGGAAAGGCAGAGCAAGGAAGCAGTGCAGGATGTGTGGCTCACTGGGGCATTGCCATTGCTGAGAGAAACAGACTGGGAAAGTGTCGAAGAGGGGAAATCGAGCGGTGATGGGCGGGAGGTCGAGAAGCACGATCGAGCACCGCGAGTCCCAGTCGTGACCATTACTCCTGCTGAAACCGAATATGGCGCTGCCGAGAACAGGCGACATGGGGTACCACCACCACCACCAGACCGTGACGAGTTCCAATTGTCAGCCGAGGCCAAGCTCTCCTCTCCGGCTAGAAAATTCGGATTTTTACCACAACGAAGGATACGGTGGCTATCCACTGCACTGCCCTCAGCGCCGCTCCCCGGTGTAGGACCCCCCGGCGGTCCCCGGTCCGGGTCAACATCGCCTCGCTGCGGCAGCTATGGCAGCTACTTTAGGAGGTTAAAGGAATAAACGCTATTTCTTCGAACCCATATGCTTATTAAGCACCCATGGGATACCCCCCTAGCTCGTACACCTCCGCTCGCGCATTCGATCAAGCTCGGTCGAGTGACTCCGCCGCGGAGGTCTCCCACTGCACTCTTCCCAAGGTCATACCAAGGGTAGCTAGACATGGAGGAATGATCGAACAAAGCTCAAAATATAATCTACTGCATCTTCGAGCGTCCGAACTCATTCGGTGGGGTCTCCACCCTCCCCTTGCTTCAAGCAAGTACGCCGATGTGACTCTTGCAGCCCCCACCCCCACTTAATGCGAAACCGGCATCGAGTGGCCGTCGCGGCGGCCGGGCCAGACGACTCCGAGTATGGCTTATGTTGGGCCTGCATACGTATGAATCGTGTATGCATTAGCACAAGATCGCATACCCATACAGACTCGTTTCTCTCTCAGTCATTTCCATCTACGCCAATCGCGTGGGCGCCTAGTATGCGAGTATTACTGTTCTCAGTACCGGCTACCGACTCAGGACGCCGCGACGAATCATAAATTTGCTGTCCAGAAGCTTCGAAAGCGAGATTTGAACTGTTGCTGTAACCACTCTTGCGGACTAGTCCATAGTCGCCCAGCTGTAGCACACGAACGCAGAGGCTCGATATTTTCCGTAAACGAAAGTCGTGGCCGAGATCGAGGCAATGTGACCTAATCAAAACAGCACTCATCGTTGCATACACAAACAGCTGCAAGACACCACACACAGAAGTTTAGATAGTCACTATCGCACAAAAATAAAAGCATTCTGCCACACACTAGCTATTCCGACCGCTCGGACAACGGGTCTAGTCCACACACTTGTCGGACTTTGGAACGGGAAAAGGGCGATGTCTACTTGCCGAACCCTCTGAGACCGAGCACCCGCCTGACATCGTTGGTGAACCGCAGTGAGTCGAGCATCGGTAGCAGGTCGAGCAAGCATTCGTCATTGGGGTCATTGATCCAGCCTTCGATCGGGATCCCGTTGGCTGTCGAAACGAAAGCGTAAAAGGGCGCAGGTTTCCGATCGTAAGTGATACTGGGATAGGCCGCTCTCAATCTCTGAGCTCACCTTGGTTGATGGCATAAGACACGGGCGAGTTGTCGACCAAGCACACTTTGGACAAGTCCGCATCGACAACGCTCAGGTCCTTGACGTAAGTACCATTCGAGTGGAGGCAATCCTGGCAGTACCGAGCGCTCAGCAAACTAAGCTTCGTCCGTCAAGCAGACATGAGATAACTCACTGAGCGGAATAAGCGCCCTCCGACCATCCCACCTCCGCCGTCTCCCCCATCGAGCCAATCGATAACCGGGTCGGCGTACTCGGGCAACGAAGCAGTGAAAATGATGACAGTGTACCAAGTCGAGACCTTCAAGAAAAATGAATCAACATCAGTTAGACGAACCTCGATTAGGCCCATTCGGGAACAAGTCGCTCACCTTGCGCAAGAAATAGTCGACCCATGGCCGCTTGTAAACGGTGTAGACCGTACTCCTGCCCTCCAAGACAACCTCAACGAGCCTGACCTTGAGACCAGCCGATTTCCTGGAGCTCGCGTACGGTCTCGACGTCGAGTGAATGAGCGTTTCGTCCAGATCAAGGACGAGGACCTTGGGCGTAAGACGCGGAGGTTGAGTCGGTGGTTTAGGGATCGACGGGGTCGTGTGCGTGAGGTCAGACGAAGGCTTCCGCCGAAAGAACGACAAGGACTTTGTGGAAGGATGTGTTGATGTTGTTTTGGGGTCTGCTGCGGCTGCTGCTTTTTCCAATGACTCGGCCAGCTCGTTGCCACCGTCGCTAAGGTCGATTGTGGGCTGCTGCTCGATCCCGCTCTTCTCTATCACTGCCGGTACCGGACGGACCCTCGTGCCGGAGAAAAATGCCCATACGTTCCGGACCAAGCTCCACAACGACGTCAACCCAGGGATTGGCAGCCTCAGCAGGCCAATCATGCTCCTCCGAGGCGGCGAGAGGACCCGTTGCCTGTACTCGAGGTCCTTTTGCGCGTGTCGCCGTTCGGCCTCCTTCGTTTCACTGTCGACGTCATTGTCCGCGGGTGTTGTGGTTGTCGAATCTAAAGAAGAGTTCTCGTTGTACTCTTCATCCAGTATTACAGGTGATGTGGCACTCGATTTGGATCGGAGACTGATCTTGCGCGTCAGACCTTGCGCATTCGCAATGTCGACCAAATGCGGTGGTGGTGCGGTCGAAATCCGCACGACTGGTTCATCCTCTTCATCCGTCGTGGTCGTTGTTGTAGTAGCAGTATCCGAAATCGCTGAAGGTGCACCAGCGTCATCCACCGTTGTTCCGAGCTCAGCCGCCCCACCCACGTGCGAATCTCCCTTACCAGCAGCGGCTCCACTTGACCGTCTCCTCGTCCTCGCGCTCAAATACAGCGTATCCCCACTCGCGTTCAGCGCCTGCGCCAACAGTTCCTCCACCTTGGCCTCATCTTCGGCCCCTAACGCCTCGATTGTCGTCGTCGAGGCAGTAGGGTCATCGGCGTGGATGGTCGGCTCGTCGTCGTGGGGAACGGTCGGCGACGATGGGTCTTGTTGGTGTAGCGGCGTCACATTTCGTGTTGTTGGGAGCAGCAAAGAAGAGAGGTACGAAAGCGTGTTCATCGCGATCTAACTCGGTGTGGAGCGGATGATGGAAGGAACGACCTCGTTGGGGTCCGAAGCCAGTTCCGATTCCGATCGTGGCTGCCGCTCGTCCGTCGTTGTTCGCCGTGCCCCGTTGCCCGTTCAGCACTGCCCGCCGACGACGACAATCCCAACCCGAGGTGACCCCCCACGCGAGAGCAAATTCGGACGCAAAGCACCGATCACAGGCGAGTATAGCGAGTGTCCAGCGCGCAAAAAGGAACGTAGGTTGACCCGAACAGGATGTCGCGTTGTGGTAGGTAGTATGGCGGGATGACGAGACCGGATCTGGTCGAGCGCATCGCGAGGGCGTCCCCAGACAGCCCCAGACCCTCCCAGACCGGGGGGTGACGCGGATCACGTTCGCGCGCACGAGAGAATCCTGAGTGGGGTTGGGAGACACCTAAGAAATCTTGATATGGGCATGAAAATGTAAAGCATTGAAAGGCGGAGTTTTTTTCCGCCCAGAGTGAGAGTGTAATGTAAGGGCTCAGCGTGGCTTTCCGCCGACCATCACCTGAGCCGATCATGTGCTGCCTCCCAAAGGACAGGAGGTTCACTTCGGAGCCGCGGCTAGATCGAGATTCTCTCCGCTTCCGAGTCCGAGGATCCCATTCGATGACATAACCAGCAGATTGATGTTTTTCAATCCCAATATGATACACACAAACCCCACTCCTACATCTCCCACTTCACACTCCCGCCATCTAAAGCTTACTGTCCGGCGCCCCAATACGAACGACGGCCTTGCCCGTGTTCTCTCCCTTGAACAGGCCCAAGAGACCGTCGACGCAGTTCTCGAGCCCTTCGCTGCGGTGCTCCTTGACCTTGAGACGACCTTCTGAAATCCACTTGAGGAGGTCATCTGTGGGATGTGAATGGAAGAGGGTCAATGTTTGTGCAAGCAGGTCCAAAGAAAAAGTGAGTGGTGAGGCATACCTTCCGCCTCCTTGTATCGCTTGGCGTAGTCGAAGACGACCTGTTCAAGTAGAGCGTGTTGTATCAGTACCCAGCCGCTCCAAGACTCGAAATCAACTCAGCAGTGCCCAACTCACGAAGCCACGGATTTGTGCGGATTGCGAGATGAGGGTGAGGTACATTTGGAGACCTCGAGGGTTGGGGTCGTTGTAGGCACTGATATAATGGCACGCGCAGGAGTGAGTGCCAGGGTAATATAGTATAGTCTCCTTCCAGTAACTCACGAGATGGCACCGCAAAGAGCAATGCGAGCGAATTTGTTCAGTCGGGTCAAGACGAGATCGAGGATCTCTCCGCCGACGTTGTCAAAGTAGACCTGTGTTCGAAAACACGGTCAGCGACAATGCCTCCTACTCAGCAAGAACTCCCGCGCAGCTCACATCAACATATCCGACCTTTCGGAAGTCCTTCTTGAAGTTGGGGTCCTTGTAGTCCAAAGCGACATCGACGCCGAGCTCCTCCTTGAGGTAGCGGCACTTCTCCTTTCCACCCGCGATGGCGATGAGCTTCTTGCACCCGGCAGCCTTGGCGATTTGTACGGCGATAGAGCCGACGGCACCGGCGGCACCGGAGACGACAACAACGTCGGTGGGCTTGATTTGTCCGACGTCCTTGAGGCCCCAGTAGGCCGTTTGAGCGACCATGCCCAAAGCGGTGAGATGGTACGTGGGCTGTGGGAGTCGGACGCGCAAGGTCAGGGACTCAATCCCAGTGCTTGTATCATGCTGGACCCGGGCCAAACCCACCAAGATCTTATCATCAACATGAATCCTCGTCACTTCCCTGACGGGCATCTTCGCGTACTCTTGCCATCCGCACGTCGCCGAAACCCAATCGCCCACGCGAAGACCCTTCTTCTCGGCGGCTTTCTTCGTCTCGGCATCTTGGCCGAGAGAGACGAGTTTGCCGACTCCGAGGGCTCGCATAACGGCTTGAAGCTTGACGGGCTCGATGTACGAGCGCGAATCGTTCAGCCATCCTGCACGCGAGCGGAGAAAAGTGGGAGATTCAGTTTGAGTTCGAGATCCTGATGCGGAAGCTCCGGATGGACACCAAGCAGAGCAGTCTCGCAGTGTACCAAGGACAGTCGGACACGAAGGCAATTGAAACTCAAGCTTACCTCGCATAGCAGGGTCCAAGCTGACCCACTCGACCTTGATCAAGCATTCGCCCTGCCCGGGTTGTTCGACGGGCGCGTTCTTCTGGAGCAAGAAAGTGCCGTTACCCGAGGTGATGTCGGGCGAGATGGCCGCCTTGGGTCGGTTGACCAACACGATGCGGGATTGGGTAGAGGGTATGGCGGCGGGCATGGTTGCTTTTTGAGTAAGATCGCGATCAAGGGAGATCCTCTTGCGAAAGAGGGGACGAGGTGGGTCAGCAACGTTGGTCTTCGTGGATGAGGGGGTGGAGGTTGCGATGGGCTTGGCCACGTATTTTAAACATGACGATGGATGCAGGAATCGTGTTACAGCCTCAGAATCCAGAGTAAGAGGCTCACCTAATGAAGTGGCTGAAACGAGATATCCCTTCGAGTGCGTTCGGTGGGAAGGAGAGAAGCAAGGACGAAGAGCGAAGGTTCGGAATCGAGCGCCAAGTTCCGGTCGCGGGTAACCCGGTGCCGGTGCCGAGCCCAGCCTGCAGCCTAAACGAGCTGACTCGGAGGCGATCATGAATCTTTGGTGGCAGGCGGGACCCATTCGACAGCTGAGACAGCATTGGGTCTACTGTTTTTGGGCAGAGTTTGACTCGGATTACCCGGCTGTAGAAGGTCACACAAGACCGTGGTGGTATTTCCTCAAGCTTGGGCAACTCTTGCAGTCGTGTCAAGTCTCGGTGAGTCATCAAATGGTAGTAGCGCCAAAATCAACGTTGAATATTGAACATTGCACTAACTACTATTGTTGCAACACACCAGTCCGGTTATACGGACCAAAACACTCGGTTCGGCCTGTCGCGGGGCGTCCGCACGCTGCGAACGGGCAAGCTTACTAGGTTACGTAATCCGGCGATAGCCCGTGTGCCTTGGTGAACTCAGTCCAGAAGTCCGAAAATATCTCGCTCGACAATGGCAGATTTTTTGTCGATGTTTCACAGACCTCTCTCTGCTAAACAATGCCGATCCTTCGACGCGATTGCCCCGGAAAATCGTAACGGACAGAGCTGGATATATGCGCTTGAGCTTGCGAGCCACCGCTGCTTTGTTGAGCGAGACAGGCGGAGAATCGCATTGACTCCGCTCACACCGACATCAGTCCCTCGCTCAGCACCCCGCCTCCGGCTCTCAGTGCTTGATCGATTTGGGATGGGATGTCGACGGTGCTCTCTGGGTATGAGGCCGTCTACAAGTTGCATCGATGTGCGTGGAAATTGGCCGCGAGGACGGACGTGCGCACTGGTCGAAGCAACATCGACGGCTCGGGCCCGTTACAATGGGGTGCAGCAGCCCACCTGCGATGGCTCGATGGCACCTCAGCAGTCAAGAATCTATGGCGGATCGTTCGGGAGCGGTGCATTCGATCGGTCTTCAGCGTTGCGGCCGGGCGACGGCCGTTCGAGCTCGATGCTCCTGTCCGCGGCCTCGGCGCCAGAGTCGGCCGAGTTGGACTGAATGACTTCGCGCCGGGCACGATCGGTTCCTGCCTTCTGCCCTCGTCGGGCGCGCACCTCGTCACGTCAAATCGTACCACGATGCAGTCCCTGATGCCAGACTGGCACGTCGGGGAGACGCGATACACCCAATCCAAGTCCACAAAAAGCTCGGTGTACACGCTCACTCAGTAGGTCGCCCTTCTTTCCTCCTTCTCATCTGGTACGACCAACCGCCGGCACTTACGCGCTTGACGCGATTGACATTCCATGCTTTCCACCCCATAGTCCCACCGAGAATATATACATCTGCTCTTGCCCCGCATGGAAGTTCAGTCCCGGTCGGAGGGTGGCCAAGACGTGCAAGCATCTTCGTGAAGTGTTGGGATCAGAGTGAGTCATGCGAGGCGACCAAGAAGGCACGAGCGAGACACGCGTCATCCCACGCGATGTCAACTCAAGAGAAGGGTTGACATCTTTCTCATCTTATCGTGTATGCTGTACTCATAGTTTCGAGACGCAACGCACGGGCGTAGCAGAGACTCTGGCTCAGGCAGAGAAGCGCAAGGCCGAGGCGGCCAAATCCGCTCGACTCTACGCCGCCGTTCCCATGGCCTCGTCGTCGTCGACCCCTTCGGGCCCCGCGACCCAAGACGCAGCCTCGAGCGCATCTCAACCTGGTTCTGATCCGGATGGTGACCCCCCGAAGAAGGTGCGCAAGACCAGGGCCAAGTCGACGACCGCTTCGAACGCCACGACCAAGATTGCGGCGCCACCTGTCGATGTTGACAATGCACTCGAGACCGGTCGATCCGAACCTGGTCCGAGGCCTTTGCTGTTGGCGCACAAGTTTAATGGCGAAAAGATGGATCCGACTGGTTACTGGATGTCAGAGAAGCGTGAGTGTGCCTCTCGAGTGCCCCGTGACGATATCCAGGGCTGAGATCGAGCGCTTCTTCACTCGCGGCAGTTGATGGAGTTCGTGCATACTGGGACGGGCGCGGCGCGATGTGGTCTCGGAATGCCAAGCAGTTCGTTGGCGTGCCCCAATCCTTCCTCGATAGTGAGTGGCTCGTCTAAAATGAGATGCGGCGAAACATAGTCTGACGAGGGTGTCTCACTACCACAGAGCTTCCTCGCGGGGTCTCGCTGGACGGTGAATTCTGGCTCGGTCGTGATCGCTTCGATGAGATCTCGGGTCTTGTGCGTCGTATCGAACCAGACGAGGAGGACTGGAAACCGATCAAGTTTATGGTAGGTGGTATTCTTATCTCACTGTCTAGAGTCGAGTGCAGTGGCTGAGCCCTGCGCCCACTGAGCAGATCTTCGACATTCCCTCGCTCTTGCATCTCAAGTTCGAGGATCGACATCGCGCGCTGGCTTCCTTCGCCAGTCCAGATGGCCCGATCGCGGTCGTTGCCCATAAGGAATGCTTGTCCCTCGATCATCTCTATGAGGAGCTCGAGCGCGTTCAAGCTGGAGCTGGTGAAGGGTGCGTGGTTTGCTCGTCTTCGAGTCAGTCTGGCCCCAAGCTTAGCCAAAGTTGCTCTTTTTCCTTGCAGTTTGATGCTTCGTGCACCCGGATCAAAGTACGAGGGACGTCGTCACAAGTCGCTTTTGAAGGTCAAGTCGTTCGACGATGCCGAGGCTCGAGTCATAGGTCACGTGGTTGGCACGGTCAGTCATGCGGCTCGGTCACCTGTGTACGTCGCCTAGATGCACAGTCTGATCTCTGTTATGTTGTCCGACACAGGGAAAGTACATCGGAGTGACTGGATCCTTGATCTGCGAAACGGAGTCGGGACAACGCTTCAGTGTTGGTTCGGGTCTCTCGGACGCGCAACGCTCGGATCCACCACCCGTAGGTCACCCACCACATCTGGATCTTCTCGTACATCAAGACAACCCTACTGACACGCAAACCTTGACTCGACGACTCAGATTGGCTCTATCATCACCTACCGATTCCAAAACCTGACAACAAGCCGCATCCCTCGTTTCCCGACCTACCAAGGTATCCGAGCCGACATGGACGAGCCCAAAGATGCGTTCGATCCCGCGATGGTAGTCCCGGAGGAACCGCAGATTGTCGTACCGAAATTTGAGGAGGGTGGAAGTGGTGGCGCTGTGCCCAGTGGAAGTGGGAAGGTTCAGAATGAAGACTGAGTCTGCTTTTAGGCTTGAGGTTGGAGGGTTTCAACTGTTATAAGAGGTATCGACTGTGTGTCTCTGTACTCGCTTGCGCTTGTCTATCAGCATATTTAACATTTGATTACATTCATTCGTTCGTGTATTGCAATCGTACCGTACCGTGGTAGTTACAAGAGGCGTCGCCCGTCATCTCGGGTAAATGAGTTCAAGATTGTTTGATGAACGAATCATCCGCAATCTAGCCAAGCAAATTCAGATCCGGGCGCTCCACCCCACTCAATGCACCTCTAAGGAAGTTTGATGCTGATCTGTAAGCATGAATAGAGAGGAGCAAAGAACTCTCAGCTTGTACTCTCAACTCCCAGCACCACCTCCACTCTCACCTCGGCAAATGACTCCGCCTGCACCACGTCAATCTCCTCCTTCGTCGCCAAAACCAACAAATGATAAAACCCGATCGCCGCAACACTTTTTCCCGACTGATACCTAGGAACCAAGTCCACAAAACGAAATGTACCATCTTCCTCGGCCACGGTCGGTTGGACTCGACGCGCATAAGCGAGGAATTTGAGCGATTCGAGTTCTTGAGGTACACCGAGGTCGGAAGTGGTCGTTTTGGATTTGGCAACTGTGGACAAGCGCAAGGGGCCTCAGATTCCTACATAGGAAAGCTGCGATAGACAGCTTACAGAATCTTACCTTTTGCCACTTCGGGCTGAAGGACCGAAGGAGGGCGAGAACGACCCAAGAGGGAAGCGGTGCGCGCTCGGGCTCGCACAGGGGTCTCGAGCGACACGCGACCGAGAGCAGAGGGTGCTCTTTCTGTCCACACAGGGTGTGATGGATACGTCAGATTCTAAGAGCGAATTGGTCATAGCTCAGCATGACAGCTCACCATAATCAGGAGCCCCAACATCACTGGTAACATCTTCAGCATGCCAAGGCACCACCGACTCGCGGTGCGAAGCCGCGCGGCCTACTTCAGGCTGTTAATTGTCCAGCAGTGCCCCAAATTCCGATTCTGATTAGTTCTGTTACTGCTGTATGCGGCGATTTGCACTGACCTCTGGGAAATACTCTGCCGCAATGTCCAGCCCTCCCATGTCCTCAAAGTCGGGACCTGCAAGAATCACGAGGGAGTCAGCTCCTGACAACCGAAATCGTAAGCGAAATACGTCGACTCACCCATGTATCCCTCACCGCCAAATTCTAGAGCAGGCGAGAATCCGCGTTCGAATGGACGGCCAAACTCGACGGATGAAACCCTCATCCTCGCCGCAGCTGCTCGAGCCTCCTCCACAGTCGGTGGCGTGCCGGGGACGCGAGCTTGACGGTCGACTACCATGTAAAGTCACGAAGTCAGAGGCATGTGACACGATCACGGAGATACAAGATGGCTGACCACTGGCTTGCCCTCCTCCCAGAGGTACGAGAGAGTCCGTGACCGTTGAGTGCCAGACTGAAAGCCGACACGAGATCAGCTATTCAATCGCGCACAGGCATAAACCACCACTCACAGTCTCCAAGAGGTCCACCTTCGACTGCATGTTCCCTGCAAGTCAGTGGTAATATCAAAGATAAGATCAAGAACCCACTTACATCCAGGAGGGGGTCGAAAAAGAGCGTCCATCCCCGCCTTAACCGCTTCCCTCGCTTCTCTCTGCACCTCGGCTCTGACTCGTTCTTCCTTCATGCGGTCGGCATAGGAGCTACGCATCTCTCGAATGGTGTTGTCGTCCAATGCAGTTGAACTGTCGATCAGCCCTCTCTGTGATGAGGTTAAATGTTAGCATGTGAGCCATGGCTTCGGTCTGAAACTTGCGAACACACCCTTGGCTTCTTAGCAACTTGACGAGCGACTAGGGCAGCTCGAACAGCTTCGGGGACCATTTCTCCATCCTCGGGTTGGCGCGAGGGTTCTTCAGCACCCGGAGGCAAGGGTTCCTGTATCGAGTAGCTAGAACTCATTTTCGACCATAGGTCACAGCGACAAGTTGCGAACAGAAACCTACTCACATTTTCAACCCCTGGCAAGCCCCCCGGAACTTCAGGTGCGCCATAGCCTTCCCCACCGAACTCCATAGTAAAGCTGTAATATTCGCTCGTTAGTTGGACTGCAACACATGTGCGAAGAAGGGTATCAAGCGTAGTTCCTCACTCTTGCTCAAAGCCTCCCATGTCCTCGACGTCAGGCAAGATTCCACCGACGCTGGAAGTCCAATCAGCCCCACGCAAACTCGCTGCCGCGGACCTGGATCGCAAGGACGCCGCGCGGATTTGTGCGTCGAGTTCGGGGAACTGCCCCTCCAAGAGTCCCTGTCATAGTTGAATCAAGTCAGGGGAAGTGAGTAGCTGTGGATTTCAATATCTTTCAGGTACTGAACAAGAACGTACCAGCTCCCCTTCGCCGAATTCAAAATCAGCCCCTAAACCCTCGTCGAAGCCGTAGGCGGGCACGTCCTCCGCGCGATACTGCTCGAGATGTGGTTCGCGCAGTGTGATCCGAGAGACGTCTGGAGCTTCGTACGGGCAAAGTGTTCATAACGAGGATGATCAGCACCGGCCGTATCAACGGCGCCTGGGACTGATTCGTGCTGCTTGCAACCGCAGCAAAATTACGTCGACCCACCCGCATCTTTTTCGATCTGAAGACCACTCGACAGCTCCTCAATATCCTCTCCCACTCCTATCCTTGCTGCGGTCTCGGACCAATCAATCATCTGCTCATACTCGGCGTCCCAGCCAAGCACCGCAAGAGCCGGATCCCAGCCGAGAGTAATCTGGTTGCGTGCAGTGTGGGTCGCTACTTGAGGAGGTGCGAGTTGTTGATCGTTTGCTTCGGTATCACTGGTGAAAGGGTCGACGCAGGTGAAATACCAGCTCGCTGAGATAAGTAGATTGCGCGATTCCGAGCGGCAGTCCCAATCGCAGACCCGGAGATGAAAAGTCTGACCGTTTAAGAGCCTCGGAGAAGGCCTTTCTGAGATGTTGATGAAAGTGAATCACTTCTCCCGAGTATATGGTCCACTGAATCAGGGCAAGGCATTGGTCCGAGTTAGTGGATGAGACAAGATAGGGGCAGCCCTATCCCCACACGAAGAGAAGCTTGGGTGCCCCTGACCTGCTGCTGATAGACCCTAGCGATCCCACACAAGAGGTTGCTTTGCAGCCTCAGCGCAAGAGGCTCATCCGGGGTCGCCAACTTCTGGCACGCAATCACGAGGTTGCAGGACATGACCTCTTTGCGTGTCAACTTCTTGGATGCGACGCCGCCTCGCGAGCCGAGCGTCGCCGCGAGCCAGTAGATGCCGAAGCCGTGTCGACGGCGGGAAAGGATGTCCTACGGAGCGGTGATAAATCGCGTCAACTTCGAGTGATCAGGACTCGGATCAACACACGGCACTTAAGCCCAAGTTCAAAGAATCTCATCAACACTCACAACGTTGTAAAACATGTCCAGGTAGCTGTTGATGATGCGAGGAGAGCGCAGGGAAACAAGCGTGGAAGCTAAAGGCTGTCCGATCTCGTCTTAGAGCCCACCGATCCCCTCTCGCGAGGACACAGGAGGGCTTCCCTTGCGCGCTCGGACCCCTCCGTTCGTTCGGACAGCGGAGACCGCGAATAGCTGCGAAAGAGTCCATTTACTTACCCATCTAGAAACCAAAAATTTGGTATATCCGCCCATAATAGCAATGCTTTTCGTTTAATCAACGTAACCATTGCAATTTGGCAAGGAAGAATCACCATGCTTGACAAGAATGGCACCGTCCGAGTCCCTGCGACACAATCATTCCTCGATCGCACTTCCTTGTAGCCCCTCAAGTCCCATATCACTGCCCAACCTCTCCATCTTGTATCTGTTTGAGAACGAAGGCCTTCCGTTCTCGTTTGGCCTGGAATTCGACCCTCGCGAAGGGCGGCGCGTGGCTTCAGTTTTCGCCCGACGAGCGCTGTTGAGCAGGAGGGAAGGGGGCCAGTTCACGGCGGTGGGCGATTCATGGAAGGAGGTGTCGATACTGAGCGACACAAGTATACCGGGGTATGGTCAGTTTGCGAATCTTGAAGACGATACAGCACTGCCAAATGCAATTACCTCTCGAGTGATTTGCCAATCGTTTCTTGCCTACAAGCCGATGCACCCCGTCTCAGTACTAGTCTTCTGACTCCAGAAGGTCAACGAGTCGCACTCACATATACAAGTACGCGACAGCGGTCGCAAAAGCCGACAAACCGCCGTAAAGGAAGTAAGGGCCTACATCGGATGCAAAGCCGATACTCAGCATCGTTGTATCGAGAGTATCGCATGAAAACTTACCATAAGGGCTCTTAGCGAGGAAAGCCGGACTGGTCAACGCGACGAGTGTGTTGACGAGTTGATTCACTCCGATACAGAAGGAAGATGCCGCTGATCTTGTGCGACTAGGTTGAATCTCGGTGCTGTAAATCCGTACAATGATCGCCCACGTGCCCGAGAACAGAATGGCGAAGAGCTCGATCAAGACGATGATCGCCCATTTGCCACCTGGTGTGTATGCAGCGCCGGAAGCATCTGGAAGTCGGTGAGGAAGGTAGAATCCATAGAAAGTCAATATCAGTTTCAGAGGTATTGGCCTTTCGTCGACTCACATAGCGCCCCAATGAGCGTATGACAGACGGCGATGCCCACCCCTCCCCGCTGTCAGCGGGAAGCTCGAGGTTCGTCAGCACCAACACAATGAGGACTCCGTCAGGACATCGAGACGGGCATGTCTGACGCACCAAAAACAGCGTTCTCCTCCCAGCCCGGTCAACATACGTAGCCGAGATGGCGCTCATAACGAACAAGACCACACCCGTCACACCCGAAGCGACAAAGGCCGACGTCTTCGGATCGAGACCAGCTTGGGCGAAGAGCAGAGGTGCGTAGAACAGCACAAAGTCAATGCCACTAAGTTGTTGGAAGATCTGCGTGGGATGATAAACGTGCCCGCCGTCAGTAAGTCACACAACTCAGTTTGATCTATCAGGATCAAGTGCGTAAGGTGAGCATACATTCAAGAATGCTCCAAGAAGGGTTCGGCCTCGAACCCCTTTCCGGAAGATATCGATCCAGCCTGCCTTGTCACCCCTCGGAGGCAGCTGCAGTAGCTCCTTACGCTCCTCCTCGTCTCCACTTGTGATCAAGCTCAAGACTGCCTCGGCTTCTGCCTTTCTTCCTTGCGAAACGAGCCATCGAGGGGAGTAAGGGAGGATGAGCAGTGACGCAATCCCGGTGAAGAAAGCGACGCTTGCAGAAATAATGATGGGCAGTCGCCAAGCGAGGGAGCTTTGGTATCAACAAGGTCAAACCCATTAGAATCAGCACTTGCGAACATCTCCGTCCGGAGAGCCGGACTGGGACCGCAATCCTTACCTTTGGACTCGAATTGTGCCATAGCAAACGAAGAAGCCGAGAGCCAATGCCGCTATCGAATCGATACATGACCCAGTCAGATGAGAATGGGCACGCATTAATCCTAAAAAGGAGGACAGACCCACCAGTAAGGAACATTTGGTACATGGTCATGATTCGACCCCTGTTCGGCAGAACTTGAGAATTAGCCTCCAGTCTCTTTCTTCCGCTTCTCGTCTCGCTGGAGAATTTTGTGCTCACCGCAATGCCTTGGGGGCAATCTCGCATCTGATCGGAAGAGTGTCCTTTGGTCAGTCTCCACAGCTTCGTTGAAGGTACCAAAGCGTCTCACAAGTAGACTGCGCCAGCGCTCAAGAAAAGACCCTCCCCACTTCCGGCCACGCATCGACCAACGATAAAGACGATCAGATTCGGCGCCGCGACGCACATCGCCATTCCGGCAGCAAAGATCAGTGTCCCCAAAGAGACTGTTCGACGTCGACCTATTCGATCGGCGACAGATCCGGCGAACATGCCGGTGATTGCCGAGGGGATGAGGATGACGGCGACGACGAATCCTCGAAGACTGTTGGAGAGCGGACCATCAGTTCGGCGGTGCTCGGACAGAAGGTGCGCTGCCTCACAACATACAACTCTGAGAGTTCACCAAAATGTTCGATGAATTGGGGCATCGCCTGCGGGGCCGAACGTCGCGCATGTTCCGAAACGAGAAGAATCCGATGTGACCGGATGTCAGATTCTTCTTTGTGCGATGGCCTGGGAAGGCTGTGTTAGCCATCGAACTCACAGTGATAGCACCGATCGATCCTGTATCACCTCCGAACAAGCTTGACGAAAGTGACACAATTGCCGAAAAGGCCCCTATCAATCACGAGTTTACCCAGGCCAGGAGTCATGATCAGCACGCCGGTAGTCGCCGAAATCCAGAGCAGTGCCGTGCACCCGCCCTCGCGGCAGCGGCTCAGTTCCAGCGGGCCAGTAGTCGCCCAGACGGAGGAGGGACGGATTTCAGCAGCGCGAGCGGCCAACTCACACACGCGTGTCTTGGGGCTGATGTTGGCGAACATTACCGTGGGCCCGCACTTGTAGGTAGTGATGTCAAGGAAGGAGTCGAGGCGGAGGGAGGGGTGAGTGGCCCGGAGTCAGTGGTCCGGAGTGAATGTCTTGCCGGATTTGGTCGCGGTCGTGTCGGTTCGCAGCTTGGAGTGACTTCAGGAGATGGTCGATCAGCGGCGCCTGGACTGAGACAAAGTAGGGGGGTGACGTATCGCAGCTCCCGAATGGAGGCAAGGGCCGTGCGTTCCCGTTGGGCGTGCTGGGTTCACTGCTGAGTATGTGGACAACGTAGACAGAGGCTTGGGCTGCACGGCGACAAGATCGACGTCCACTCGAGGGCCGGGAGGCGCGGGACGGTCGCGCCGGCGAGTTTAGCCGAGTGCTTCGGCAGAACTTGGCCGAGTGCTCACTTGCAAGGGTCCGCATTCGATCAGATCACCGCCAGATCAGATCAGATCAGATCTGAATTTTTCTGATTCTGCCTTGATTGATCTGATCTGAACAGATCAATTTGATCTGAGACATGAAATTGCCTAATTTGGCGCAGAGAGACTTCTACATGTCCACATGAAATCCCCGTCTTCTTCTTCCTCTTCCTCATCTTCATCTCATCCTCATCATCCGCCAAAGTGATCACCTTGCTAAGCCGCCGCTTATTTCTGTGGCGCGGGGCCGACACCTAATGCGGCGGCGATGCCAGATGGCAGATGGCGCGATCCATTCTCTCTCATGATCAGGTGCGTTTCAAATCACAATACTGGCACCATCTAGGTACCGCCTACTTTTGGTTTGTTTTTTCCTCGAGGCTTGATTGATCTGAACTTGATCTGACCCCTGTCAGATCTGATCTGATCTGATCTAATCTGATCTAATGCGGACCCTTGCTCACTTGCCAGCAGCTCACCCAAGTGGCAGATTTCGACATAGAGGTGACTTTGACTTAGAACTTCAAGGAGGTGACGAGCTTGCTTGAAGTGCTACCTTGGCCTCCAATTGCGCGCAATTGTCTCATGTCACACGATGGACTTCGCTTGCACTTATCCGCTGGAACCAGTGTTGGCTTGCCTTCGGCTGAACGCAGATCGAGAGCTGTGTCGCCAACGACCCCGACTGTCGAGTCAAGCGATGAGGACAACTGCCACATACGATTGACTCAAAAATCTTGAATTACCTTTTATTACTAGGTCCAACACCATCATTCCAACTTACCTTCTAGAAAATGCCAAGATCGCGGGCAAAGTGGACTTTGGCTTTCACTACCGAACAATTCACCGGCGCCGAGAATTCATCGTTTCAAGGCCACTAATTCTTCGTTTGCTCTGAAGGGGGGCCCAGTTTTTTCAGGATACGAGCAGGCGTCCCCCCGATGACGCAGTTATCCGGGAAAGTCCCTCGGACCTGCAAAGACGCGAAAACAAGTCAGGGCAACAGACTCACTCACCCCGAGCCGTTCTTTCAAGGGTCACACTCACCACCGCGCCCGCTGCGACCGTGCACCCATTGCCAATGTGGCAAGGCCCAATGAGAACGGCGCTCCCACCGATCCAGCAGTCGTCTCCAACAGTCACGGGGTAAGCTCGCTCGAGTCCAGCTTGCCGCTCGGCGACATCAACCGAATGGGTCGCGGCATAAACCTGCACATTCGGAGCGACGAGCACTCGGTCGCCGAACGTGACCTCGGCGCATTCGAGGACGGTAAGGCCAAAGTTGGAGTAGAACTGACAGAGTTGATCCGAAAAATGTTAAGCGATACTCTTCGAGGCGGTGTAGTGTTTTGTCGCTGGTGAGCTCGAGTGAGGAAATACCACTGACCTCTCCCTTGAACTTGATATTGCACCCATAGTCGCAATAGAAAGGGGGGCTCAATGGCGATCTTCTTCATCTTCTCAAGCGGAATCTAATCAGAAGATGCTAGCAAAGTCAGCAACGTCGTGGGCACGCGGAAAAAAGCGCGTATCCCACAGAAGCGGTAGTATGGACCTGGAAAAGCTCCGCCAAGATGGACCAGCGCGAGTCGGGGCCTGTCGGGAGGTGACACGGGCGACGTCAAAAACGACACGGCGGATAGGCATCACCCAAAAGTGCGACACGCACCAAAGTAGTCCATTCCTCCCATCCCTTTCACATAAGTCGCCGAAGGGTGGTGGTTGTAAGCCTTACCATCGTTTCGCGCAAGGAATGAGAAGCGGAGTCCGTTCACCGGGTGTGCAAAGGGCGATCAGCTAACCATGCCCTTTAGGTGAGCAGGCTTTGAAAGGCACCCACATGTAGCAAATGACGAGCTCTGAGCCGACCTTCGAGGAGACCCTGGTCCTGCATCGCATCGTAACTGCGACCAAGGAAACAATATGGGGGTTGAGTCTGATGACGGCCCACACAGTCGCACCGACAAGCTCAAGGGGCGGTGCAGTCTTGAAGGTAGCACTCGTAGGAGCAAGAGCGTCATATAGTCGGACTCACGCTTCTCCCGCCAACATCTTTCTTCGTTCAATCAGAGCTCGCTCCGCGGCAGCGGCATCCTCATCGTCGGTCTGTGCGTGTGGGGACGCTGTGGCCGGAATATGTGACTGGGGCTGGAGTGTTTGAGGCAGCATCGTCGTGAGACGGAACCAGGTACCCTCGGAATCTTGTAAGCAGACAGTAGGTAGCCAGAAGATGTGCCGAATCTAATAGCCTTAGAGCACAACAACCGCGAGTCGAGTCAACTCGTGGCCACTTACCCAGGCACGTGGTGACCTACGACCAATTTAGCGCCCGCAGCCCGTTGGTTCAACCGTGGTCCGTCGAAGCCGGATCAATTTTCACTACGAGCTCTTGTGTCAAAGGGCATGGGAAATGGCTACCTGCATTCTCGAGACTTTCAATGACCAGACCAACTCCGAGGACGAGTCTATGCTGGTCGAGTCGAGTCATGGGCAAAATGTTGGCAACGTATTGGATTCGTACGTATTAGAGTCGTCTGATGACAGTGTGCTGGATCTGAGACCTGCTTGGGATCGAGACATCGATGGGAAAGGTGTTAGGGGAGCGTAGCTTGGAAAAGCTGAAGGTGCAGCCGTCGGAGCCACGCGGGGCACTCGCGGGACATTACTAACTTTACGAGCTGTTTCGTTGCGTCTGGCTTCCTTGAGGCGTCTCACAGGAAAGTCGCAATATATGTTTATTCGGGACTCGACACTCCAGTGAAGAGTATTCTGAGTTTACGGTGTACCATAACAACAACAGCCTATCTCGGCTTCAGAGTCTATTCGTTCATGCCGGCACCCGTGACGAAGACTCTTCCCGAGCGCCAGCCGATGGGAGAAAACGAGGAAACGAGATAATGAGGCATCGAGAGCACACGTCACCCAGGCCGACCGCCCCATCACGCGTCTTCGTCGTCAGATTCATCATCTTTTCCCTTAGGTATCGTCACGTTCGACCCATTGTCGGCGCCAACTGGCAGTCTTCCCCTCCGAGCCTTGTTCCCTCCCGCCGTCTTCCTCCTCCCCAGAATCTTCGTCAAATCGTCTTTACCGGAGAACCTCCTCGCATAGAAGCGATACCTCTTCAAGAACTCCCACGGTAACAATATCGAGCGATGGGGAGGGAAATGCTTCGGATCAGTCACGGACGCATGTTTGACGAGATATTCGTCAAGCGGGATCATGCCTCTTTGGCGCTCGTCTCGATGGAGTACGCGACTGGCTTTGTTGTGCCCATCTGCACCAACCGAAAGTGTAAATTCAGCCATCCCCTCACGCCAGAGTCGCATTCTGGTACCTACTTATCAGCCACAGCTCGTTGATCTCGGGATAAGCGTCCAAGCCGTCAGCCACACGCTCGCGGTTCGTCTTTGCCAAGTCGTGCTGAGCTCGACGGATTGCACACTGTATGCTGTGGGTCTGAGCGTGATAGCTATGTCCCATCTGCAAGTGTAAACGGAATAATTAGTACGAGCGAATAGTAAGCCTTTAAGGTCTGAGACAGAGCCAACGTACCCCTCTAGGAGCGGAGAGTGCGACAGCAATGCTGCCCGTCTCGAGTTCGAGCTCGATATAATTGAACGCGAAGAGCGTGTACTCCTCACGCACGAGGTTGGGAGGTTTTTGAAGCGCGATGACGTCCGGATCTTGCGATTGCGGATTGGGTGGAACTGCCAACCTCTCACCCCGCGGTAGGAGTGGGTTGTGCCACCTCAGTGTGATGTAACGACGTATCCTCAATGACTCCTCGACGCCGGTCGTGATTAAAGGCGTAAGAAGCCTAAATGCCTCCGAGGCGAGTACGGCGGCGGAGCGAAAGTCGATGCACATGGGGCTCTCGCATTCCATCGTGTCGGGGATCGCCATGGTCGCAAACATCGCCAACGACATGACTTTCTGAATCTCGGTCAGGTAAGCCGGGACCTCATCGGACGGCAATTCGCTAACCCGCCAGACGTCGCACGTCGTCTCGGTGAGCGATCGTAACGGTCGGTGGGGGATGATACACCGTCGTGTGCCGTCTGGGAACAGCTCCTTGAGTCGCCACCGACCCACGCCGAGTCGCTTATCAGGTCGCCCACCGCAGTCCGTGCATCGGCGGTATTTTGCATGACAGTGCTTGCAAACCCTTTCGACGAGAGGTGCCGAGGGGGGTCGAAGGGAGTCCTCGTCCTGCGCCGACGAGGTAGCGATAAAGTGCATGCACACATCGCAAGTCGACAAGGAGCCGGTGAGCCGACGACGCTTACCGCTAGCTTGAACCCGGGGAGTTTTTCTGGTGGGAATCGGGATGTTGGACTCCTTGTCGAGTAAGCCTGAGAATCCGCTTTCGTACGAGACGGCCAGGTCTGATGAGGCGCTAGCCGCGACGGGGTTCTCGGTAGCATGCTCCTCTTCCGGGGGGCAGCAGTCTGAACAGAGGAAGGTGTGCAGAAAGGGGATTGGCGGTTGGCTCATAGGATCCCTCAGCAAGAGCCGACCCAGCTCTTTATGGCACTTGGCGCATTCCCAGAGCTCATCCCGTACGCGTTGGGTCTTGCTGGTGTTGGCCTCTTTCCATTCCGCCGGGGGTGACTGGGACTCGGGATCGTCATTCGGAGGGGACGCATTCGACGCCCCACTGATCGAGATTGACTGTGCTGAGCTGGCGAGGGGAAATGGCAAGACAACTTCAGGACTCTCCTCCCTATGTGTCTTAAGGAAACTGAGCAATTCGAGGTTGTCGGCCAACTTGCCGACGGGGTCCTCCGTAGTTGCAGCCTTCGGCTCAACAACTGTAGGGGCCTGAAGATCGGACCCTGATGGCGACGTGAGGTTCGGCAGTTCGTCGGTCGGTGACCCGATTTTGGGTGAAGGGTAGATGAACGATACGTCGTCGACTGCGGGAGAGAGAAGCTCTTCGCGCGGCGAAGAATCACTCGAGGCGGATGTGCTCGTGTCCGTTCCGGTGGCAAAGATACGTCGTCGCGCCGATGCAAGGGAGGATGGGAGACTGGATGTGGCTGATTCGGCGCCTGAGTATGTGCCAGATCCAGGTCTAGACGAAGCAAGCGGAAAGTGGGAGCTGAGCCTCTTGTCGGATCGCAAAGGCCGAATGGTCGGGCCGTGATCAACGACCGGGAGGCTGCCGAGACCGAGGTGGCGCTGACTCGGCGATCGCTCCGTGGTCGAAGCTTGATCGAAACCAGCCACCGAGGTGATAGGGCGAGCAGTGGGTGACGCCGAGGCCGACATGTAAGATTGTGCGGCGTCGTGAGCTGGGTTGAGTGTGTACTGAGATGATTGTGGAGATGCCCAAGCCGATGAGCAGACCGAGTGGCTCGACGAGGAAGATGTGTGGGTCCACGTCGAGCGCTCGGCTGCGGGTAATTGAACTCGTGTCAGTGAGCAACTCCGCGGAGAGCAGAGAATGGCGGCAGAGACTGACCAGAGAGCGTGTGTGTAGGTGCGTAGGAATCAGCCTTGTTGGTGTTGAGCTGTAATTCATGATGGGTCTCTCCTGTATCGCTTCCCTCAGCCGGCGAGAATGGATACGCGAGATACGGGTGTACTTGAGCTGGGTATCCGTTGATCGTGCCAGCCTGGTCGGACGTAGCCTCTTGCGGTGATTGCGAGTACATGGTGTCTCGAACAGCAGCGAACGCTTCACCACCGTCTCCGCCACCAGTGTTTCGTGTCTAATGGAACGCCGAGGGTGTATGCTGCAGGGTAACGGCGCGCAGTTGGACGTAGAGACGGGATGTGAACGTCGCCAAATCTCCCTCCACTTCCCGTGATCGACTCGGCGACCGAACGTCTCCGAAGGAACTTTTAACGTCGGCCTACGTCGGCCCAACTCGGGTCGCAATTTATAAAACTACAATCGCCGACTATGCTTCCCTTCCACTAAAGCCATGCTTCACAACAAGTCGTGTTTACAAGATTCCAACCAGCACCGCAACACTGGAAGTCAAGTTATTTTTTTCGTCACGTGTCACGTGTCACGTGTCACGTGTCGGACGTGGGTGATCAGCCTATCGGTACGGAATCGCCCGCAAGTTGCATGGCTGCCTATCGCACCGAGCTCGCAAAAATATCTCCCTCTGTCTTCGTCGCAACGCATCACGTGGCTTGGCTGATAGCTTGCCACACTAGCACTTGCCAGTAAAAGGTGAGGGGAAGTGGTCTACCTCAATGATGAAGCAAAACGAGAGCCCTCAGTACACGTATGTCAATCGAGCTGCTGCAAGCTCATTCGTCCTCCCCGCCGTTGACCAGCGGATCAATCATCCTCGCCCTCTTCAGGGCCGCTTGGCCTGCCCGTCCTTGCGCCGAAATGCTCATCCGTTTGATCTCGGCATCGTCGGCTACCGGAGCGGCTCGGTCCGCATCGTTGCGAAGTTGAGGAGGGAGGAGGCTTCGCTGGAGGTTGAGGTAGTGCTCCGGGGCGAAGAGGCAGCGGATCAGGTCGTCCTGTGAAGTAGGAGTTGGAGGTCATCAGTGATACATCACACTGTCCATGAGATCAATCTGGACATAATATACTTGGTCTTCTACTGATTCGTCGACATTTTTGGTACTGTTGGTCCCTCTCGTACTCAGATCCTTCTGGTTCAGCTTCGATTCCTTCGCCGCCGAATTACTATGCGACGATTTGAGGAAGAGCGAAGTGCCTTGGCGCTGTTCACAAAAGACACAAGCGGTCCCATTAGCAAGCTTCCCGATGGCAACAGGCTCGGAGACTGTTCACTTACACCTCGCAACTCAGCGACACGTTGATCGACCGAATCACTGACGTAGTATTGATAGACAGCCGTTCGCGCAGTCTGGCCAATGCGATGGACACGAGCGACGGCTTGTATCTCGAGAGATGGGTGCAGCACGGGCTCGACGAGGAAGACGTAACGGGCGCAAGTGAGGGTAAGGCCAGCGGACTGCGACTTGGTGTTCTGTTGCCCACATGCAGCTTGAAGCGTCAGCAAGGTGACTACTGGGTTTCGGGGCCGCGAACAGCTCACCAGAAAGAATGCTGCGATATGTGGATCCTCGACAAATCGCTTGACCAGCGCCTCCTTTTTGCCCTTGTTCGAATCGATCGACACGAACTCGATCCCATTCCTCACGAAAGCCTGCATCAGAATCATCAATGACTCCTGCCAGGCAGAGAAGACGACGACTTTGGCGTTGGGGTTCTCGTTGCGAATGTACTTGACATGCTTGACGAGGAGATCGGATTTAGTCGAGAGTGGTTGGTACGTGTCGACGGCTTCGATCGCTTGGGCGAGCTCGTGGGGAATCGAGCGCAAATCCTTGATTGCGTCGAAACTGTCGACCTTGTTCAGCGTGTCCAAAGCAGCGTCGTCGTCTTCAGTGACCTGGTCGATCGCACGCTTCTTGGGCGCCACCGTCCCGTTCGCATGCTCGCCATTCGGCTTGGCTGCAGGTTGTTCTACGACCTTGCTGCGATAGTGGACCGTCTGCCACTGACCCGGGGACAGGTCCCGCTTACAGACGGCGCACTGCCTCGATCGCGTGCGCCTAGCGTAGAAATGGCCCATTCTGTGATGAGCGTCCTACTACATTGTGGGGGAAGTCTTGTAACTCACCATCGAGCAAAACAAACCGCGCAAAACACGTGGGCGCACGTCGTGAGTACTTTCATGTCAGCAGGCAGCGCTCGTCAGCCTGCGCAACGTCCAGGGAACAAGCAAGGCCAGTACTTACCTCCTCGGGTATAGGGTTCACTGCAAATGACACACGTCGTCTCATTCACGTCGGCCTTGAGTCCACTCGTCTCATTCAATGAATCGAGGTACCTCCTCGATGCTAGCTTGAGCCTAATTTCCGCCTCCACCTTGAGCTCCTGTTCGCGCAGCGCCTCCATCTCGCTCAAATACCCACGCCAGCCACGTCGATATGTATCCGGATCGGCAACGGCGTCGGACAAGGCCTGCAGTTGCGTAAAGTAACGGATGCGCACGTTCATCGCGCGAGTAATCTCTCCCAGCTCAAGGCGTAGTCGATCGGCGACTTTCTCCTTGGGTTTGATCGCCGCCGTCAGGCGATCGATGTCGATGATGAGCAACTCGCGCTCTTTGGCCGACACATACTCGGCATCACGAGTGTCCTTCAGCCTTCCGATCATCCGCTTCAAACCGACTACTTCATGCGCCTCCATACCGTCGCCTTTAGCTTGCAGCCTCTCGACCGTAAGCTCAAAAGTCAAGATGTCGCGCAGCGTATCGCCTTGCTCCAAAGTCGGGACGCGACGATCCTTGATGGGGACGAATTGCCTGACCTTGACTCGCTTGGCTCGATTCGCACCTTGACTCTCGATCTTACGGTTACGGTTCTGTTTACCCGCGATCTCAAGCTCGAGTTGATCTCCCAAGGCCGAGCGCTCGCCCGTGATGGCGGATCGCCATTGCTCAAGAATGATCGTATATTGTTCGAGATAGCAGTCCGCCTGCGAGACAGATGTGCAGCTCAGTGATTTCGGAACTGATTGAATGAGCTACTCTTGGGACCCACCTTTTCTTGATCCTCGGCGCGTTGAGCGTATTCTTCACCGGTAGCATCCTGTCCAGCCACAGACACACGTCTTTCCATGAGCTTGAGGATGATCGCCCGCCACTCCCAGATCAACTCAGCCCCTGATGACAACGGCTCAAAATCGCCCATTAGCATCCATGGAGATATGGTAACGTCGAAATGAAAATAACGTCTTCTCACATCCATTTATGATATCAGTCGTAACCGCAATCTCCTCAAACGCGTTCTGCGCACTGATCCCCGGCCCGACTTTGGCGAACTTGACCTCGAGGTCCTCAACCTTTAAATCGACTCTCGCCTCGATCTGTCTCTGTAACCTCGCCGTCGCGCGTTCAACTTGTTTCTCCCACGGACGAAGAATAGATGAGCGCAGCTCCTCAGCTTTCTGATACATTTCGGCTTCTTGAACGGCGAATTTGCCCATGTTGAAGTAGGCGTTCCCGGAGAAGAACCATGCCGAATGCTTGACGAAGAGCAAGTCACGCAGGCGTGAGCGAAGAGATCCGAGGGTCTTGATGGCGAGTTTTTCCTTGTCAGTTTTGGCGCGGAGCTTGACGAGACCCGTATTGTGATCTTGATAAGCAAGCTCGTCACCGTCATCATCACTGGAATCGTATTCGTCCTCCAGACCCAGTCCCAGCGCTTCGGCCACTTCGTCATCCACCGCCTCCTCCTCCTCGCTTTGCCGATCTTCTGGGATCGCCACTGATCCTGCCGTCAAGCCCACCGCGGCAGCCTTGGGTCGATCCATCCACGCCTGTCGAAGCTGCTCAATCACCTCCTTGGTCACCGGCTCTAGATCACGAACGACATGGTCGAAAAGAAGCAAGCTCTTCTCGAACCTCTCGCAGTCCTCCGCATCATACATCCCATACTGAGCCCTCGTCATTCGAGCGTGCAACAACACTCGCTGGTCGGTGTGGAGCGCCGAAACTGTATTCGCACGCATCGTCGTCAAGACCTCGTCGACGGATTTGAGGACGTGGCCGAGTCCGCGCTTGTTTTGGATCCCGACTTGGGGGTGGATGGCGAGTTGGCGGAGACTGACCAGCCAACGTGAGAGATCGGAAGCGTCCGGGTCCCAAGGAGTCGTGGGATCTTTGAGGGTGCCGTCGAGATCGAGTTGCAACGATTCGAGCATCTCCGAGTAACGCGTGTTGTAGTAGTAACTGGGTGATGTGCCATTTTCGGGTCAGTCTAGATGGTCACACGCAAGCTCGAGGAAACTACATCGTAAGAAACTCACGCTTCGACCGCACTAAAGTCACACGGTACGACGAACCTCTCTTGAGGCGGAATGACCAACTCCTTCTCGACCTGCGCCTTCATCGTCCTCGTCCCAATCTCGTTCCACAAAGTCTTGAACGTCTCTTTCTCTTCCAACAACCTCGCCAGATACCCCTTGGATGAACCCGGGCCGAACGGATCGATCTTGAGGAACGTCAACAACCCCTGAAGATCGTCCAATCGAGCCCTGAGAGGCGTCGAAGTGACGGCGAACGAGAATAATCTTGGCAACAAGCCGGCTGTCTCGGAAGCGGTCAAAGCTGTATCACCTAACATCTGCGCTTCGTCGAGAATAATGCGAAGGAACTCTATCTGAACGAGGAGCGAGCGACGATACTTGGGTCGGCCCTGGGGACCGGATCGAAGGGATCGCTGGTGAGGCTTGCGAGCGACGTTAATCTCGCGACGCAAGACGTCGTAAGTCGTCAAGATGATATCGTGGGATCGAATCACATCCTTAACGGTTTTATTTACGGGGACCTTGTTGATTCCTTCGTAGCGAAGGACTCGGAGAGAAGGCGCGTGGCGTTCGAGCTCTTTGACCCATTGACCGGTCAAGACGGGGGGACAGATGATGAGCGACAGCGAGGAGGGGTAGACGTCCGTTTCAGTCGCTGGGTCATGGTAATGAGGCAATAGGTTGCGCTCCATCCGCCTGTGCATGAGAATGAGCGAAATGACTTCGACGGTCTTGCCCAGCCCGACCTCTTCGGCCAGCAAACCTGATCCCAATGCGAGCGAAGGCCCACTAATAGTTGCCCCCGAAGCCGTTGCGCCGTTGGGATGAGCTACCGCGGGCAGAGTGTCGTCGACAATGCGTGACAACGCAGGATCTTCAACAACGATGCTCGAGTTGATTCGATTGACCCACAAGTCCTGCGCCACGCCAGGAAGTCGACACTTGCACCATAGTGGACTCCGCGCCACTTGGCGCAGCTGATCCATTGGGAGCGGTGCGATCGTTCCCAGATCTTTCTCGAGCTCTTCGTCGTCCACCCTGTCGACATGCATATGATCGCCATCACCGTTCGTCAATACCTCGGCCCTGGACCTGTACGTCACCGATCGAGGTGGCACGTAGACTCCTTCGCGTCTTAGGAGCCATCGAACCGATCTCGACTGGAACTGCATCAATGTCGCGTTCAATCCTCGAGGCGTCAACAACTCGTCCTCTTCCTCGGGACTCCAACCGTTCGGACAGTCATCGTCGACATCGATTGCTCGCCCCTTGCCCTTGGCGATCCGTCGTTCATGTACAGCTCTCTCCTCTTCGGTTTCCTGCATTGAGTCGTCGAGCTTCTGGTCCTGGACGATCAAGCCATCTTTTGTCTTGGGTGCACGTTGTAAAGCTGCATAGAATGTGTCGACGCTAGTCACACTTCCCTCCCGATCCATAGCCTCTGACTCCAAGTCATTCGTCCGGGAATGAGCCGGGAACAGCGCATGAATCACGAGCTGTTTCGCCGGGGTCGCGTACGTCGCTTGATACCATTGCTCGGTCAATCGAACCTGGACCAAGAGGTGGTCGCCGTCCCCGCCGCTTCCGTTCGACCGGCCTTGCAATGAAAGTGTCGAATCAAGTTTCACCAAACCCTGTCCCTCCAACTGGACTAACGCGTCCAACAGACTTGCTTGTCCTCGGAGAACGAGTTTGGTCACGTTTCGACCCGAGGTTCGCTGAGCCCAGGCCACGCAGATCGGATGTTGTAGATCCCACGCATTGAGGGAGAGGAACCGCATTTGTGAATAGATGGAGGTCGAAATGGGAGCTGTGACAAGGAGGGAAAGGTCCCCCATATTGCCCTGAGCCTGACGATTTCGGGTCGCGCTGAAGACGATCGGGGTCGAGAAGGGCTTTGTTGGGAGCGATGCATGATCGGCGACATGGCGCATGAGATCCAGTTCGATCCGAAGATTGAACAGATGGAGCAGAGGTACTTGCTTGGTCGATGTGACAGTTTGCGGTGCCTGATCGACGTGCTCCACCTCGTCGATGGCGACCGATCCCAATTCGACCTTGTCGATGACGAAATTCCCATCCATATCGTGACATTCATATACTCCATCAGCTATAGCCTGAGCTATCAAAACCAAGTTGTCGTGATCAACATGCTGTGTGGACCGGCGAGTGGGCAACATAACGACGAATCAGCAATGAGCTATCACAAGGTCACTCAAGTGGAGGGGGCCGTGAGCGGAGAACACTGAAGCGGGATCAGCGGGGACTCGAAGCCATTCTCGGCCCGAGAAGACGTGTACGAATTGAAAGTTGGGCAATGGCTGAGATGACCGGTTGCAGACGTGCTGTAGAGCATCTGGCTGAGGCTGGATGCTCAGGTCGGCGCGAGCTCGCTTTGAGGCTGCGGGATGGCTAACGGGCTCATCGCAAGAGGTTGGATAACGCCTCATCTTCACCATCAAGACTTAGTCGCGTAAAGTGGCTCAACGTCATCCTTTTGCCATCCATGAACCCACAAGCGAATGCGCTGCCATGTCGAGCGGCATGACAATGACGACATGCCCAACACGTGACTTGAGCCCCCCGGCAACGATCCGCAGTCGCACCGATGCAGGACGGTACAAGCAACTCACATTGACCTGATTGTGTCCTATGACAACAACTTTCACCATTGACTCGGCCATCACACCGGCTCGAGATTGGGATGGGCCAGGACCAGCTGGATCCAGCGCTGCTGCGGGCGACGTCCTCCACCTGGAGATGAGGCTTGCGACGCGTGTGTGGGCAGAGTCCAAGATGTCAAAACGGCCTTCGAGCGCCAAGTCGCGCCAAAGGTCGAGCCGCGCTGCCTCGCGCTGCCAGGCGCTGCCAAAGCCAATGATTGAAGATGGGGGGGTGAACGCCACCAAGGGGGTTCAGTTGTTCCAGCAGTAATGCTACAATGTAGAGTCGCTATCTTATCGCTACAAACTGGTGGATGACCTGCATTCGGATGTGGAACGCGCCAAGATGGGAGAACCGAGAAGTCCTCTTAGAGATCCGAGAAGGAGAGAAGGAACGGCACGTGGGAAGGCCCGAGGGAGAGGTCCTGGGGAGCACTACGAGAGATTACGAGCAGGGCTGGCCGTTGACTTGGCACGATTGGTCATCGATCGTGACGTCGTAGCAAGCGTTACTTTGGTCCGAAGGAACTGGGTAGAGCGGAGCGAAGAGGATCGGGTCAAATTCTGATCGTTAAAAGGAGATCCCTCTAGCAGAGGTTGCAAAACTCACCATTGGCTTGGTTGGCAGCGCACGTATCAATGACGAACACACTCGCGCCGGAGACATCAGTGATGGATTCGGTGATGTTGGTCGAGGCGTTGGTGGCATAGCAGTTGTTGCTCGTAGGGTCAAACGCAGCGAGGGTGAAGTTGGCCGCGTAAACGGCCTCGACGCAGTCGTACTGGTCGGCCGAGTTGTTGTTGAGGACCGTGAGCGGGCTGATCAACGAATCGGGGTAGTAAGACCACGAGTTGTCAAGAACGGTAGCTGCGGCCGAGGTGTCGACGGTACAAGTATTGTTCGACAAAACCCAACCGTTGTTGCAAGCGCTGAGGGTACCGTTCGCGGCGCAGCTAGCGGCGTTGGGATCGAACGTCGAGCAGGACGCGCACGTGCCGTTGTTGAGGTAGTCACCGTCGATGCAAGTCGTCGCGCCGCTGAAGATGTCGCAAGTGAGTGCGTCTTGGTACGCGGTGGCGCATTCTTGGCATACACCATCTGGGAAAGGACCGGCGAGTAGTGCAAATTGTCAGTTTAGCCTCGAGAAAGTAGCGAACAGGATCGCGGACAAAACCGGACTCACCAACGTTGCGGAACTGCGAACCGGAGCAAGTCGTGAAGAGGTCGGAGCAAGCGGACTTGTCGGCGGTCAAGGTGCACGAAGAGGCGGTAAGAGTGACATCGCGGCATCGGGACTTGGCAGCGGGCATGATGGCGTTGTTGGTCTTGCATGAGCCGAGTACCATGACGGTCGAGTCGGTGTCCCAAACTAGCTCGGGCAGCTCGGTGGATGGTGAAGCCGAAGTCGAGAAGCAGGTCAACGAGTTGGAATCGAAAACGGCGACCTGGGAACCTTCGCTGACTGCGCCACGACCGCAGATGACGAGGGTCTGGGCATTCGAATCAAAGGGGACATCGGGGATTGACGAAGCGAGGTAGTACGACCATCCAGAGCCCAGAACACAAGTCTTCTTGTTAGCGGACACGGTGTAGGGAGCACTGTGGTTGAGGAGCAAGAATGATATGTGTCAATCTCACTGGTACGAGGAAGCCGGATTGAGGAGCGGATAGTCACTTACGAGCAGGCGGTGACAACCGAAGCGCTGGAGCAGGCGGTAGCGAAGCGGTTGACGGACGTGCAAGCAATGCAGTCGTTTTGGGCCGAGTTGAGCTGTGAATGGTAAGGTATCGGCAACGAAGTCAGATCTGGTGCCTCATTACCAAGCTCGGCGCGCGCGCAGGTGAGAACTCACATAAGCTCCTGCGGCGCAGGTGGCGATCTTGCCGCCGCTGCAAGTGAGGGCCAGGCTGTCGAAACGGTTGCAAGGGACACAAGTGCGGGTACTGGGGGCGTTGACGAAGCCAGTAGGGCACACACTCGCGCACTTTCCAGAGGAAAGGAATCCAGTGTTGCTGTGGAAATGAAGCTCGAGTTCAGAATCCAATTTTGAGTGGTGTGTCGCTGTGAGCACCGTCCATAAGACTGACCACTTGGTAGCGGCCGACGAGGTGCACGTTGCGGCACCGGGAAACTTGCTCGAACAAGCCACGCATTCACCGTTTCCGTTGAAGGTACTAGCCGGGCAGGTTGTCACACCTGAGATAGAGAGAGATAACGAGGTGTCGCGATTGTCAGCTGTTTTGCTCGCGGGCCCTGAAAGCGTCGCGCAGTCAATCCGAGGCAGAAAACTTGCAAAGCCCAGCGGAGAGATAACCAGTTCGGCTGGGACAGGGTGAGAAAGAATGGGATAGTAGCAGATCGCAAATTAAGTTTCTGGGTCCTACCATGAACGTCGGAGCAAAGTCCTGGTCGGATGAGAAATTTCGAGCACTCACCATCGCAAAGCGGCAGTGGCTGAGCAAGTCGACGCGCCAGGGAACTTGAACGAGCAAGGTTTGCATTGGTTGCTTTGAGGGATAGGGTATTCACCCGTACCACGGCAAGTGGTGATTTTGGTGGCACGGCGCTGGATCGCGCCACCTCGCGTTGAATGGATGGCGGCGGCGTCGATGACCGAGGTCAGGGACAAGACGGCAAGCACGGAGACGATGGTCGATGAGAACATATTCTGGGCAGACACAGAGGAGCGGGGAGAGGTGAGGAGAAGTGGAGATGCGAGTGATGGCAAGGAGGAAGAAAGGAGATGTAGAGAGTCTGGGGGATATAAGGGCCTCGAAGGAGTTGGTGCTGTGAGAAAAATGCTGGAAATCGAGGTGGTCCCAACCCCAGCGCCGTCCCCCCCTTTTGGCCTCCTTTCGGTCAAGGATCCGACGCGACTTGCCGTTTTGATGGAAGCCTTACGTGCGCGGAGCGGGGCACCGCCGCGGCAACGATATCAAACCGGGAGCTAACTTTCCGAGCCGATCTCTTGCCCGGCTTGAGCCGGTCTCCGGTCGACCACGCGAGCGGGCACGCATGCGCGCGCACGCGCGGCGAGGCTGATGTCATCCTTCTGGCAAGCGCTTCGGTCAGGCGCCCGCAATCCCCGCATCGCTTCTCAGGGATGCAGTTCAGATAGAGTTGTCGGTGCTTAAAATAACCGTTTCTCTGGGATCGGTTTTCCAACCTCGGTACCGAGCTACATCCCTGCCTAGGGCGCTCACCCAGGGGTCCCACTCCATGCAACACGTTACACGTGTCTTTCTAGGCAAGTACTAAGTGGGATCGTCCTTCCTGACTGGTGGTGGCAGCCGTGGCCAAGGAGAAAACAATTCTAAGATTAGCTCACAGCGATCCGACGAGATCCCTACCTGCCTATCCAGAAGTTGGCCACACTGCGCTAGGTATTCAAGGTCAGTACTGAAAAACCGTTCTGGTGGTCTTGTCATTGCTAGCTTGCAGGAGGAAGCGTAGGTTCATGTTTGCAAGGCCCCTCCACCGAGTTTTCCTGCGATGTCCGGTAGCCCAGATTCGCAACAGTTTTGGGGGACCCGTACAGCGGGAAAAAAATTCAAGTCCGAAACACAACCTATTTCCGAGTTAACTCTGACTTGCCTACCCAGTACACTTCGTGTTTCTAGCGGTGCAGATGTAGGCCATGGGAAGGTTCCCCTTTCCAGCGATCGACCGTCGCACCGAGATCCAAAATTAGATTGACTCGGGGCTTCTTATCTCCGTTCAAAACTACGTACCTGAAGAGGGTGGTACATATGTTACTGAAAGCTCTCTGGCTCAGATTCAAGATCTACCTAAAGCCGCCATCAAACGGTCCCTGTAGATCAAAAGAAGACGAAGCCTAGTTAAGGTTGGTGAGCACTGAGCCGTAACCCAACCGATCGATTCACGTGGCAGGCCCAAGCAAGGCAAGTCAACGGCAAAGGCGCGCGCCGCGAAGAAAGTGCTTACCTATAAGTTCTACTAGTTTTCACGTTGTCTTTCCCTGACTACTGGAAGCGGTTCGGCACCTTTCGGTTGCTGCGATCGTCAGGTCGGTGTTTCTCCGAAGATCTGTACCGCCAATAGGGAAGACATTTCTGACATGCCCGTGTCGGCGTGGGCGACCGCGCGTGGCTGAGCTGCTGGACCCCGACCTGCTTGACCTCCTGAGTTCTGCGCGATCCGTAAGCGGCAGTGAATCGGGATCCGGGAACCACTGTCCGTCACTTTGAGGCTTCCCGCATTCCGCGTCTGAGATCGGGACCTACCATCGCCCTTCTTCCCCCTTTCGGTACTCACATGATGGACTCCGTTCTTCCAGCTTCCACCGGAGAATCCCGCGCACCCCCAAATCGCTTCGAGCCGTGTGCCTTGAGACGATCATTCCGCGCACGTTTTTGTACCGTTCCGGGCCAGCATCTCAGGCTTTTTCGTCCACCAGATTCTTATATGCCGCAGTTCCCGCAAACTCGGTGTAGGTCCCCAATAATAAGCTTCGAAGGTACAGTTCCGTTCGGAGGTACAGGATCGGCAAGTCTGAGCAACGTGCCGTTGCGCTGTTGCCACGGCGGCACCGGTCACCAGTCGGGTGCTGAGGAAGCGCGATTAGGTGATACTCGTGCCAGCCATACACATCGCCGAAGCGATGTATCCTCCAGCTTAAATTCGATGCTCTCGACCTGTCTTTCCGATGGCATGGCTGTGCCTTCGAGGAGGGCAGTTTCATATGGGTTTAGCAGAGTTGATTATTTGTACCGGTCACCCCCTGTTTCCCTGTTCGGTGCCCACCATACCGGAGGGGGGCCTCGAATGTTGTTCGAGCCAACTGAGGAATCATTTGGAGAGTTTAGGTGGAGAGATCATTGTTCTAATGATGAGATGGGATTCTCCTGAATAGATTACAACAACTCCCAGATGCGGCTTCCGGCAACATGCTCACTCCAGAGCATCCCCCGCCCCGACATCGACGTCCTCCGACCTAGTTGTCGTACCACTCAATACCCCTCCAGCTCCTCTCGCTCTCCTCGTCAGTTCCTCCCTCAACATCTCCTCCCTCGCCTTGCGTGCCCACCTTTCGGCTTCCCGGTCCATCAAGTCGTCGTCCTCCCCCTCTCCCTCCTCGTCCGCTTTTCGCGGGATATGCGCTCCTGCCTCTGCCGTGGTCGTCCCATCCAAAGTCGAAGTGGTTTTTTGATTCCTCCTCCTCGCCTCGGACGCCTCCCTCAATTTCTGCAACCTCCTTTGCGTCGCCTCATCCACCTCGTCCAAATCCTCGATCCGACCCTGATTCAGACGACCGTTCTTGAATGCCCTTGCACCGAACTTGTTCCTCGTCGCGAACCTTGATCGAATCCATATACCTCCCACGACAATCCCCAGTCCGATACCGGTCTTGAACGAACTGAATCCTATCCACCCAACGACGAGCGACGAAGTCCCATAGAGTGCCGACTTACTTCCCCTCGGATAAGCGCTACTCAGACTCGGCCATTCGAACCACAGCCACATAGCCGCACCCGCTAATAGACCTCCCAAGATCCCGATCCCAATAGAGTAGAGGGCCCCCCAACTGGCGATCCACACGAGTCCAAAGAGCAGCTTCTCGAACGCGTACACGACCCATCTGCCCAACCACCTTATGCCAATGAAAAGCCACGGAAGGAGGTACAACTTGAGCACGAACGATCCGGCCGAAAGGAGCGTTAGACGGGGCACGTAGTAGCTGAGGAAGGTGAGGTAGGTGTGTTTGTAGAATTTCAAGGTCGAGGCGTTGAGTTGGGCGGTGAGTTGGGCGTCGGTTAGGGGTTCGGAAGGGGGTGGTGGAGGTGGTGGGTCGGAGGGGAGGGGTGAGGAGGTGGTGTTCGGGTTGGGGTTGTTTGAATGGATTGGGTGGGATGGGCCATAGTCTGGTGGGGGTGGTACGGGAAACGACGAGCTGAGAGCGTGAACATGGTCATAGGAGCGCAAGCATCAGTGCATCAAGTGATATGTGGGAGCACTACATGGTTGAGGGGAGGCTTTACCCTGATGCCGACATCCTCTCCCACACCTTTCACGTTGCTTGAGATGTTGGGATGCAAAAGAGCGACAGGCCTGGCCGATCTCGACCGACACGCAATGGCTCCTTAGCTTTTTTTTGGTCATTAATTTTTTTGCAAGTTTGTAATGGGGATCAGTCCGGCGCCGAGTTGACGGCCATGCGCGCCGCCCCACTTGGCGCCTCTCCTGGTCGTCGCTCCCTCGGACTCAGGATCTACACCCCCTACGAACCATGACCGCCACCGCCACTGCCACTACCTCCCCCGACGAACCCATAACGATCCAGCTCCAATTGCAGTCCTCGTCCACTGCAGCCTCCCCGCCCCCTTCGTCATCGTCCGCCACGCCGTCCATCACGTTGCCTCGCTCGTCGTCGGTGCTACAGCTCAAGCAGAGCATACAAAAGCAATGGGCCAGGCACCCGTTGCCTTCAGGGATCACCTGTGTGTTGGGAGGAAGGGTCGTCAGGGATTCAGAAGTGTTGAATGCGTTATTTGATCAGGTCAGTTCCTCCTCAGTCTGGGTTCGTGCTATCGTCCGTGGGTCGGGCTCACCCCGGTCCCATTCGGCCATCGTGGGCGCTGACGTGGACATGTCCTACTCCAGGGCGAGGCACAAGATCCGATCGAACCCAAACTGTTCGTGATCGTCAAACCGGATGCATGGACCGTGGCTGAACCCATCGGGACGATCAATCATCATCAGCCTGGGTCATCGTCATCGTCATCGTCCGCGGCCACGTCGACACCACCTCCTATCCCCGTGATGAATACTGGCTCCGGGGGGGACACATCACCAGCTACGAACGCTTCTCTTGCTGGATCTTCCATGCCACCTGCGGCTACAACGCAGGCCACATCGACAGCTTCAACCCCCACCCCTATTACGTCGCAACCCCTTCCCCCACCCCCGACCCGATCAGGCTACAACCCGACCTACATACCCTCCATCACCACCCCTTCTCTCGTACCTTCCTCGTCACCTTACTTTCCCTTCCTCACCCACTTGAACGCCCTCCCTCCCCTCGAACGCACGACCTTCTTCCTCCATCTGATCCAGGTCCACGCTTTCTACACCGAGGACGTCGAGCTGCGTAGTCAGAGATTCCAAGAATACTCCGCGGGGTCGATCGAACGCGCTAGAGTAGGCAGGGTCCTCATGGGCTTTGGGGAGGATCAGAAGGGACAGGTTGAGCAGTTGCAGAACGCATTCGAGATGGAGGGCGTGGCTGAGATGTTGAAGGAGATTGGGCTGTGGAGCTTGGTTGAGAAGGATATGCAGAGGGCTCAAGAGGAGGCCAGTTTATTGGGTGGCGGGAACTATGAGGTGGAGAATGGGGGTGATGAGGGTGGTTTCAAGATGGTGACAATCGAGTGAGTCGCGTCGTTCGGATCGTCGCTCGAGATCGCTTTTGCTGACTGTAGCCGCACACCTTTTCCGTCCCAGTAACAAACCTTATCTACTACACCAACCTGCTCAAGCCAAGACCGAATCACCCACTACGTCCGAACCCACGGACCATCAAGCACGCTACCTCTCCCTCCAGCGAGGTCGAGCGATCCTCTCGATCCTCTCAACCATGATCCACCTCTCCCTATCCGCCCTTGGCGCCTCCTCAACCCCACTCGAAGTCGGCGTTTCAGCGCACCACCGACCCCTCATTCACCAAATGCTAGGTCTTGCCCCTCCCCCACCGCAAGCCGGTGCCCGAGCCCCTTTACTAGGTCCCCACGGCGCATTGAACGCCCTTGCGCCCCGTCGTCGAGGTCTGACCATCTCCATCGTCCTCAATCTCGAGGTACTCGTTTCCCTCTTCGTACCCCTCCTCATTCTATCGACCAAATTGGCGTTCTTGCTTTGGATATTTGCGCGACGAGCTTCGACGACCAAGCGATGGGTCTTGGTGGGGTTGGCGGGAGGATGGGTCCTCTGGGAGGGGTGGTCGATGTATAAACGACGGGTGGCGGTCGTGAGGGCTCGAATGGCCGCTGCGAACAATGGAGCTGGCGGAGTCGCGGCTGGTGGTGCAGCGGGAGGCGAAGCGGGAGCGGATAGGGAGAGAGAGAGGGATCGCGAGAGGAGGAGGAGACGAGCTGCTGCTGCGGCGGCGGCGGCGGCGGCGCCTCCGTTGGCTGCTGAGGGTGGTGCACCCGGAGCAGCAGGAGGACCTGTAGGGATCCCTTTGGATAACCAACAACAGCAACCACAAGACCAACTCCGACGTCGCGCAGCTCGTCAACAACCCCCTCAACCCCAAGCTCAAGCAGCTCAGCCTATTCCCGACCCCGGACGACCTCGAGCCCGAGCCCATCGACATGGTCACGGTGGTCGGCGACCTTCCTCATCCACAACATCGACGTCAAGCCTTTCACCTAAGTATTGGATCACGCGGATCGCGTTGATCGGCCTCGTCGATGAAGCGCTGGAATTGGGTCTTGCGCCTCGCTCGATAGCGGGACGACCGGTTCAATACGCCGGAAACACGTTCCCCGTTCCTGGTCAGCAACCACACCAACAACAGCCACAATTCGTCCAACAGCCACAAGCCCAACAACCTCGCTCCACTCTCCGTTCAAGGACGTTGAAAACTTTCCTCATCTGCGTCGTCCTCTTCTTCGGCACTTTGATCCCCGAAGTCGAAAGGAAGAGGAGGAAGGCATTGGAGAAGAGGACGAGGTTGTTGAAAGAACGGGACGAGTGGATTGCGAGGATGAGGGCGGTGGCGGAGAGGGCTGGTACGGGGATGGGGACGGCTGCGGTCGGTGGAGCGGAAGCGAGTCAGGCGGGAACACCCACGGCTTCGCAGGGCGCTTTCGGTCGGGTGCGAGCAGATGGCCAGGGTAGTTCTACTTCGATTGCTGGACAAGAAGAAAGCGCCGTAGTGCAAGGTCGTCGTCTGGTCCCGGACGCGCAACTCTTCGCCGATGGTTTGGGTGAACCCGATCAACTGAGGCAATACCAACAACGCCAACGCGAGATATCGCAAGCCCAAACCCAAGCTTCTGGATCCACTCAAAGCGTCTCGGCATCAACCTCCTCGAACGCACCACCTTCCACATCGACCTCCCCCAACAGCGACACCGCCACCCCGCCTCCCACCGCAGGAGATCTCATCGATTCCGGCCTCAATACAGGTGATAATTCGGCACTCGAGGACGGAGATGGGTATGTCGATCATGAGCTTTTGACAGCTTCGGATCTGGAAAGGGATTTGTTGGAAGGGGATGATGGCGATGAACAGGAGGGTGGAAATGAGGGGGACGGGGAAGGGGATGTAGATGCGATGGTTGGACTGTTTTAAAGACCTAGCGCGCTATCGGTTTGAGCTGGAATTGTTAGAGGCAAAATATTGCGGATAACATTCTTTCTTCTTCTCCATTTATTGTTTCGTTTGTACATTTCTCGCGCATCCTTTGTTTCCATCCTATCGCAATCTTGCAAATTTCGTTCGTTCGTGTCACCTTATCAGCGAGATCGAAAATCCCGCCACTTCATCACGTCGTTACTAACATTCAGCATCGGATGACGAGGGCTCAAAGAGTGCCCACACGTGCAGGTTGGGCCGGCGCCGGTGATCGGTCAACACAGAATGGACTCGTGCAACGGCGGGCGATCAGGTGAAGTTCCGCGCGCAGTAACCAAAAGCGTTGGTTTCAGGGGCTACTGGCCCGTAGTGGTAGGGAGCGCGGTAAACGGCGGCGCGGCCATGAGTTTCAGCCTCCCCTACAACGATCAATAGCCTAATAGTATATACAGTACGATGTTACCTGTGAGATACGTCATCGCAACCGCCACGTGACCCCCTGAGTAACCCGTGATCGGACAGTGCGGGGTGCACGTCGGCGGCACTCTTTCATGCAATACGATCCTCATTTTGATTCACGACGCTTCAACAGCTGACCGCCCTGGGCTCGCACAAGATGCAACCCATCGTACTTTCAAGTTCGTGCGATGTATCACCAATCATGAATTTCCGATTATGTCGCGCGCCGCCGATGAAGCCCAATGGGTCATCTCGCCGCGCCGAGAGCCCTGAACCTGAGATCAGGCCACGGTTCCGAAAGCAGTGATGAAGTATGCATGCTATTTGCTTTGTTGATTTCCGAATGACTGCTATATCAACTTCTCGGTGGCGCTAACCGTGACTCGGCCACTAGCGGATGCCCCCGCCCCCCGCCCCCCGCCCGCAGATCGAGAAGATGACGCTGGGCCGCCTGGGTGATTGCTGTTGTCGAAACTGTCTACTCCTCTTCAACAGGCTTGGTGAGATCGCCCTGAAGTTTCAAAATAAACGTCTCATCAGTCTCATGCCTCTGTGTCGTCCAACCCCGGCTCTCGGAAGGAGCTCGCTTGAATGATCTGAGCGAATCCTCACGTCAGACGACCTGAACAATGACGCACTTGAGTGGTGATGGGCTTTCCAGTCCTAGCGCCAACCTCGTGTTCGGGTTTCTCTCCGGCCTTCTTCTCTTCTCCATGGTGCGAGTGGCTCGAAGGCTGACCCGCGTTCTGGGAAGCCTTCTCGGCGGCGGCGGCGTGCGAGGTAGATTCGGGCATGGTTGACGAGGTTGGATCGGGGTTCTGGTGCGACGCATCGCCAAGAGCGAAAGTGGGGAAGAGTGGGGGCGGGCACAGGACGGACGTGGGTCAGATTCACTGCAGTTCTGTGGCAGACGTTCGACAAGATAGTTTCTAGGTACTCACTATGGGTTGAGATGGGTGGCGAACGCGTTGATGCGTGTGTCAAGAGTCGAGGTGATAAGCGTACCAGCACTTGTTCGATCGAGCGCTCGTGCGAAGCGAGGCAACGCACCTGCCGCTGGACGCGAGCGCGCGCGTCGACGTCATCATCGAGGGAGCCGCACCGCGAGGCCCCCGCCAAGTCGCGCAAGGTTCTCGATGGATGGCCACATGTGACGATCTAGTGTATACCCTTGCAACGTACGGCCCAGGAAACAGATCATCGGAATGCCCAACGCTACGGCTACGGTAGGCGGGGCGGGGTTAGTACCTGTTCATGAGCAATGCATCTCCCGATCGGCCTAAAATCCATGCGTCTATAGTGCTCCGTTGTCCTGGGAAAGGCACCACCACCCTTCAATGCATTCAAGGCTCAAGCGTCATACTTGAGCTTGATCTTTGAGCCGGACCGGAGTTGGACTTCGGCTCACCAAGACCGTTACATCAAGACCTCTCCCGTCTCGCTCAAGCATCAAGGTAATCATTTTCTCCGACATTCTGACAAACGGTACGTACCTCTATTCAAACAGATGTTTTCCAGGACACCTTTGACTTTGAAGGCTTCGTACATCGCCATTGAGCTTGAGCTCTTCATTGCGGGCCAAGCCAGTCCATGGGAACTCGCGAGGCTCGGTAATACTCTCGGCCCCTTTCCACACGTCCGAACGCACACGCTAGATGTGCAAATTTTCCATGTCGAAGAACATTAACCTCATGTACAAGACACCCAAACAGTTTGCGGATGATTCATTGCGTCAGTCCCAGGAAGTCATCACTTTGCTTGTATAATTCTGCAGCACACATGGAATTGGTATGAATACCCCACATGGGCATCGGGACTTGGCGCACTTCGGCTCCATGGCGGCGTTGCGTTGTTTGGACTGCCTGATCTGCTTCTTCTTGTCAAATGCGAAGTCGAGTGGTAGGCCCCCCGGACCATCACGGCTTCGGACTCATCACACGTGCTTCTACGGGTGTATTACGACGAGTCAATTGAGGCTCAATCAGCGCAGGGATCAGGCAGGCAAAAAATAAAGACAAAAAAGTGAGGGTCTGTAAGTGAGTGTAGTGGCATGAAGATTGTACAGCAACAAGAGATATTAAGAGAGAATCAGCTAGGACTAGATTCATGATAGATACGATGGCGTAGAATCTCCAAGGTACGAGTTCTGAAGCTTGTAGAATCCGGCACGCTACCTGACGGGTCGGCACCAGCTGTGCCCATCGGTCGACGGTGGTCGTGCTGCCGGTCCAGAGATATAGCACTGCCAGTGTGGCCGACTACCAAACCAGACCAGCTCCGACCGCCATTAAGATCACAGCCAATGCTAATGCCACTACTCCGTGGCTCCCAAACTCCATCAAAACTCTGCGAGCGCTCGACGATCTCGTGGTCGATGCAGGAGCATTTCCACCGGTTGCCGTCGGGGAGAAGGTCGAGTTCGTCTTGACGACGGTTGAGGTGGCCTCGGGTGATCCATCATTGTACACCCTGACGCTATCTAGTTCAAAGTAGGCAGTGTTGTAGGTGGACGGGTTCAGGACACTATCGAGGTAACAAGACTGCTTGAGGGGACACGTTTGGCTGTACACCGCGGCTTGTCCAGCCTGTGAGGTCACCATCACCGCCAAAGTTCACATAAGCACAATTTTCAGACCCACGGAGACATTGAAACGGGCTGTAGACATACCCAGTCTCCACACAAGGTGATGTCGATTGTCAACTGTTGAGGACCAAAGTACGTCGAGATGTCGCAACTCGGTTGACTCGGGTAGTACGCAGCCGGCAGACCCCATCCACTCGGGTTCGGCTGCGCATTCTTGTTGGTCGCCAGCAGATCTGAAGGCACCGATGCTCGCGGGAAGAACCAGATCTTGATCCCTGTGGAAGCGAGCTCGGTCACCCAGACTCCTCCGCCGTTCGCGGCAAAGTCGGCGCCGTACGAGGTCTTGCGAGGATCGGTGATGGTGCAGCCAGCGTTGTAGTTTGAGTAAGCCGAGCAGTTGGTGTATGTCAGATTACCGGTCATAGTGTTTGATGGACTAGTAGCAAGGCAGCCTGTATCGGTGTGGATCTGTGGATCGAGACAGACTTGTCAGACGGGCCATTCTGTAGTAAACAGATGCCGAAGCGCCGGGGTCTACGCACAGCATATTGATTCGTGGCCTGAAGATTGACTTTTTTGAGAGAATGGAGAGAGTTTGTCAGTACCTTTCTACAGCAATTGAACCCTGAGGCAGGCGCGGACCTCCTTCGAACGTGTCAATTTCTCCGTTGAGAGGCCAGTTCGGGCCCACGCTCCACAATGCCGGCCACACGGAGCACCCATATGGGACGTGGTACGCGTCAAAGACCCACAAAGATCCGATACCAAACTAAGAATCATCAGAAAAGAAGAGTTTATCCGATCAGCTACCGATCCTCGGGCATGGTTGAGCGGCGCGGGCGTAGAGGTTTGAACTCACGCTCGCGTTGGTAGTAATGCGGACGGAATCACGCTTGCTGTTGTAGGGTACGACGGAAGTGTTGTCGACCTTGATGATTGCTCTGCCGGCGGAGTTGACGTAGGCCAATTGAGCGGACGCGGATTGATTGACCCAGATCGTGTCGCCTGCGCGCGAAGGCGCGATGAATCGTCCCGAGCGCCCCACACGACGTGGTTCAGCCAAGGAATTCGATCGAGACACGCTGGCGGGAGATGGGCAACCGAGCAAGAAGCTTACCGTTGGTCAAGTTGTCGTACTTGCCTGAATAGAACAAGTTTTGCCAGCGAGCCGAACAGCGAATCAGAATGCATCAAGTGTGAGGTGGCAGTGTATACGCATCCACGCAGTCAGCTCGAATTTCAGCCAAGACACAGCACTGCACAGCCCCACTGGCAGCTTGCGCGCCGCAGACGACGGAGACAGAGATGCCTGACACACCCCAACGCACCATAGAATGTCCAATCGTCGAAAAATGTACTCCCAGAGTAGTCCTTGTAGAGCGAATATGCCGCATTCACCTGCGACACCTCGATTGCCGCGAGGAGCAGGGCTAACACGGGTCCGAGTCCAAGCATGGGAGCTATAGACTGCGTCTTGAAGGCGTGTGACGCGTCGGAGAAGAGACTGGTGTGTTGGAAGGGGTTGGTACAACAGAAGGCGATATCGTTTGTGGGCACAAGGGAAGTTAGTGGAGTTGAGGCGGCGATCGCGAGTGAGAACGAGGCTGAATGAGGCGCGGGGTGCTTGGGCTCCTTACTCATTAGAAAATGTTATATCCCTGAAGCTCTCTAGAGCTGAAGGTTTGTTCAACGAAAATTGGGGGGGCGCGAGCTGGGGAAATTGATGACAATCTCAACATTAGTAATTCTCGCTGGCGGGGGGCGGCTCTGGTGGGGCGGGGTGGGGGGGGGGGGGGGGGGCGCGCGCGCGCTTGGAAATTGGCGACGGTCTCAACATTAGTAATCCTCGTAGGCGGGGGGCGGCTCCCGCACAGGCCCGCGCGCAAGGCCAGTAGCCGGCAGCCAGAAACGGCGCGGAACGGCGCGGAAGCTGAGCATGCCTTCAGGCTTCGGCTCCGTCTGATAGCTGTGTATGAACATCAACATCTCAGTAGCTCATGGTACAACCTTCCTCGGGGATTAGTTAATCAGTCACGAACGGTGCTCAGTCGGTCCGACAAATCAGTCATTGGTAACAAGTGGCATTTGTGTTCCCCACCCCTGCGGCGATGTCGATCTCTCCCAGTTCACGTGTCTTAGTCGTGCCTCCCGACGCCGAGTCATTGCGACTCATTGGACAGCATCTGGGAGCTTGGCTTGACAAGAGGCAGTCGCTCTTGCCAACATGGCGAACGAGTTCAGTACACTTATCATGGACTGAACAGATCTGGTTCCTCGCAGTCGCTTGACGAGGATCTAGACTCTAGTGATCAGGTGCTCGTTGCGACAGCTCGTCTTGTCCAACGTCAACCTTCGTGCACTGCCAGTGTGGAATAACTGCAGATTCTCTGTCAGGCTCACAACTTGCAGGGCTACTCTCTTCGGCGATCAAAGGTTACATAATTGATTTTGCGTGTTCTATTGTCTTCATGCGCTGGGCGTTGTCCAGCATACGAGATTGGCTACATCTTCAAGCGAAGCACAGCCAATGACATTCTGGTCCCCAGCCTGCAGGCCTACAACGTTTGATTTCGAGGAATGGCGTGCTGCCATCACTGATTCGCGTGGTCCATCGGCGGAGCGACCTAGAGGGCCAGCCCACCTACTACTAGATTTTATTATAGAGGCTGACTCGGGGTACACTTTGTGTCCTCAGTCTCGAGCACAAGCTTGCCTCCGGAAAGGCAGCGGCAGGAGCACTTGCTCGTGGCGTCCGAGTCCGAGGCAAAGTTGCGACTCAGGGCATGTCCAAGTTGCGATCCTTCCTTTTCTGAACATGGGGCAACGGCATAGAAATTGGGAAATACTTACTGTAAGTTGAATCCGTTGCAAATAAAGACAGAGACCTGACTCCTTCCCATTTCTCACCCTCACCGGCCCGGCCAGCGATCGAATTCAACACGCCAAACCTACTAACGGCGAAGCGGCAGGTGGTCTTCATCCACCACCAGTTGATCACACCCAGGTTGTAAGTAGTGATGTATATGTTTGCCTTTGTGTGCTCCAGCGTCTGATGATTGGGCGGACAGACACGGGTGTGTGCAGTCATTGGAAAGATGGAGTCACAGGGGGCGACCCGGTGCTGGACGCCGGCGTGATTCCGCCTGTTCCCAATTGGACCCGGAGAAGATTCTCGACCTGCCCGATTACAGTCGATTTTATGCGGAGGTCCGGGAGGGGCTTTTTACCGGTCACAAGTACGCCAAAGGATATCCCACGCAACTCCCCGTGACTGTCGATGAGCACCCTGGGCAACTTGCACAAGAATATCCCACGCTAGGGAGTGGGCACCCTGGGTGAAGGTGATCTGTGTGCGGTTGTCTGCACCGTCGAGGCTCGCGCTTGGAGGGACAGGTCCTCCGGCAAACCTTTTGTGCATATTGTATGGGCCTGATATATTTTCCTTGTCTGATGTGCGGCAGATGACACGCCAGACCACGCCCCCGCCGACAGTCCGACTCAGTCCTAGGCGGGTCATTGCCTCTCCTGTCAAGCGTTCGGCAATGGACGCCGAGCTGAATATTGACTTGTCGAGCACCGATGGTCATGAGGATGAGTTCAAGCCCGCAATTCCCACTAAACTTTTTATACCGGCTGATGGGTTTGGTTACTTGGCGTTCAACAGTCACTGACAACAACAAGAATTCGGCTCACGCGCAGGCGAAAGAGGCCGCCGACAAGGATCATGAAGTCTCTTCGGAACGCGCAGCTGGCTCCTACCGCAGGACCGGGAAGGCCGGCTCATGCTTGATTGGTCTCAAGCGAATGGTGAGGGAAGAAAGGGTTCCTGGACCTTGTTTAAACAACGAAAACGAAAATAGATATGTTTGAATGAGGATAGGCAGAGAAGAAAATTTAAAATGAAATGCAGTCGAAATTGAATGAAATGTGGATGTCGTTAGAGTCTCTAGCCTTGCCATCTTGCGGTGGTTATTCGCTCGCGGCTAAGTCGGAGGTAGTGCCTGTCCTCGGGCCATAGTTGTGTGAGTGTGACTTCATAGAGGGCACTGGAGGTTCAGGGACTTGTCGCCGCCCCGCGATGCGTTAATTGGCTAGAAGTGCTTAGATATTGTCAGACTCCGCGCGCAGAAGCCGCACGTGAGCGATATCCACACTCAACTCCTGCATCCTGGATCCTGCAGGCTGCCAGCTTGAGCGGCGAGGCGACTGCCGGCGAGCTCGGACCTCAACTACACTGCAGACACGCATCACTATCTGAAAACCATGGACAACAGCTTTCATCGATGCAGCGTCGGGGCAGCGACACCACAAGTATGCAGGCATGTGATATCACCAAAAACCGCGGTTCGATGTCATGACGTGAACCCCTCTCGGTGTCGCTAGTAGTCTGTTGAACAATTTTCAGCTGCGAGTGAAGTGTGACGAGCCCAGAGAAAGATGCAGCAGTTATGCTCCAAGGGGCGGTAGAGTCAGTGCAAGTGGAAAAGATCCGAAATCATTCACCTCAAATTTTCGACAATTGGTGCAGGCAAATTCACTTCGGAGGGCCAACCTCGTCCCCGTGTTATGGGAACGTACTGCAGTGCGCTCTGCGAAATTTGTTCAAGTCTAAACCCTCAGCGGTTCCAACCGACTCGAGAGCCATTACAGTCCCACTGCATCGGAGATTTCCTCCTCAGGCTGACTACGTCCTGATCGAGTAGGCCTCACTCCCAGCAACTCAGCGAGCCTCGCCTTGATGCAGATCCATGGTAGATAGGGGGTGCGGAGAAAGTCGACTGTGCAAACTACCCCGGCGGCGCTTGGATATAGCCCGCCGTATATTTACTTTTAGGGTCGAGGTGCTCGTTGAGTGGGGAAGAGCTGTAAATTGGGAACCGCAAGACCCTTCGTAGAGCTCATGAGTGCGTCAAATTACAACTACTATACTAGGTAGGTATACCGCAACAGAATCATATGAAGAAAGAACAGCATTTCAGATCAAATAAATTACTTCGACCCTTCCCCGAGATCGGCCGAGATCTGTCTCAACCGCGCGTCCTCCGTCGAGTCCACAAATTGGACTCGCTCCCCTAGCCAATGCAACCTGTCAAAGGCGCTCTTGACCCAGGTCATAATCTTCGGCCCACTCGTCTTGGCAGGACTGGCCCAAGCGAGTCGTGCACCTAGTTTCTTCTCTTCGATGGCCTCCTCGTCTTCGCCTTTTTCCACCTGCGTCGCCGCGTCCTCGTCATTCTCCTCCATGTCTTCATCCTTCACCTCGACCAAACCGTCCTCAAAATAGTTGTCCGATCTCCGCCGTCGAAGCGCCTGATCATTGCGGCGTTGCACGATCGCGTCAGCCAGCTCATGTAGGCGTTCCGTGCATTGACGTAGTTCTTCCCCGACATCGGGTCCCGCTCTGAGCTCTTCAATGAGGCGCGCGATCTCGGCTTCGTCATGTGCTTGCGAAGAATCGGGCGGTATGAGGTCGTTGTCCCGGGCCGGAGTCTGAGGAGCGGTGCCGTTGGAAGCTTCCGGCCCGTTTGCAGCTTTGGCAGCAATGTTTGTCTCGTTGACCGGTACAACACCTGTCGAAATTGAAGCAATCGCCACGCTCTTCTTCAACTTCGACTTTGACGGTGGCTTGCTGGACGGTTGCCGTCCCGTCAGTCTCACCATCTTCCATCCGACCATCCCAGGTGGTTGTTCGGTCATCCGCCTTCGTCTTGGACCGTTATGAGCAACATCGCTCAACATGCGGCGTAAGCCCTCGTCGGATGCGGCAATGAGATTGGGCGGGACGATTAGACGTAGCGGAAGGGGTCCAGTGCTCGCCGCCTCGGCGATATCGTCGTGAACCTGTTCTTCAACCCCGGCGATTTGTTCGTCGTCGCCGGTGGGCGGAATGTCGGGTGCTGGCTTAGGGTTGGACGAAGGGGTTGGTGGATGCCACGCCAGCACTGGTTCTTCGGGAGCGACCGGTGTCGCATCCTTGCCGAGATCGGCGGCATCGTCTGCTGGCACTACCGGCACCTCGACCTGAGACCGTTTCCGACCCGACTTTGGCTTCACAGCCTGATTGGCCGTCGTGGCCGGGGCTTTCGTTTTCCGATTCATTTCCTTCACCTGCGACCACTCGAGCATGCTCGGCAGTCGCTCGGTCCGCTTACGGTAGCGCTTATCACCGGCCTCGACGTCCTCGAGCATGCGCCTGAGCGACGAATCGTTCACGTCCAAGAGGTTGCGGGGCATCATGCTGAGTACTGACTGGGTGGGTGGAGGAGTGTTGGGTCCGGCAGATGACGATGCGGGGCCAGGAGAAGAAGGTGGCGTGGAATGTGGCGCCAGGTGTTGTTCCTTGTCAACCACAGGCGAAGATGTTGCGCATTTGAAGTCGAGCTTGGGCATTAATGCATTCGAGATCCTCGCCTTCTTCGGTGATCGGGGCGTCAGAACGGCAGTCCAAGAGACCATCCCGGGTGGTGGTTCGGCTCGTTTCCTGCTCCTTGGCGAATCGGGGTCCACGCTTCCTAGTAGTCGTCGCAGCCCATCGTCGCCGGCATGTTGCAATCTTCTCATCTCGGCCATTTGTTCCACATCGGGAACTTGGCCGTCATCGGTGACGTCATTCCGTGTTGGCGGCGCCATATCTTGGTCCTGCCGTGCTTCCTCGTCTCCATTCTGCTGCATCTGCGTGTCCACACCCATCGGATCGTCGATCTCCACATTCTGGTTGGGCTGACCACACGGCGGTAAAGCCGCACCAAACACCTCATCCCCGTCCCCATCTTCTGCTCCGTCACCTTCCACATCTCCATCTCCTCGTCGATCTTCCGCTTGACCCCGCCCCTTCCCCTCTCCTTTCCCCTTGCCGATCTTCTTCATCCTCTTCTGCTCTTGCCGCTCCTCCCACCAGTCAATCATCCCTTCGGGTCGACTGACGCGTTTACGAGCTCGCTTCGAGTCGAAGCCGATCCCTTGCAGTAGGCGACGAAGACCGTCTTCGTGGTTGCTCCACTCCGATGCAGCAGTGGGAGGAAGGGGGTCGAGGGTTAGGGTGGGGGTGGGAGCAGCCTCCTGGTGAGTAAGTAGACTGGTGGATGCTCTCGGCGTTGGATCTAGATGAAATTGGTGGAATCAGTTTGCGAAGCCATATTTACATTACATTGCTTGATGTCTCACATTGCTCCTGAGCCTGAGTCAAGTTCGCCTGACGTCCTGGCGATGCTGGGCGTTTGGGCGAGCCAGCCGTTCGCCTGGCGATCGGAGACGAGAAGGCTTGCTCGAGAAAAGACGAAGCAGATGGCACACAAAAGGTGGACGACGGCGAGTCAAATGTGCTCGACGGTAGCGGGTCAACTTCCCGTGCCTTTCCTTTCGAGACGTTGGAGCTTCTCCCAAGCAAGGCAAGCACTTCTTCGCTCTCCGCTCGAGAGTCCGTGCAGGAGACGATCTTGCGTACAGGCTCGTTCACCGTTTGTGTGGTGATGTTGCGCATCATGGGACCTCCTCTGGCCCGAGGGGCGTATATACCTGCTCGGTCTTGTTCCATCGCAGCAGGGAATCGCTCGTGTTCGACGATACTTGGCGTGGATTGTGTCAGCGGTCGAAATTCGAAAGCTAGATGGTGAGGGGGCTTGGGCTTGATTTGTGGGACTGGGAGACTCGTTGCTGCAAGAGAAGGTGCTCGCTCGGCTGACGTCTTGGCGGCAGGGTCGAGCCCGAGGTTTGAGGCCGACATGGACTCGATCGAGCTCGCACTGGTGTCCTCAGAAAGGTTGGCCGAAGAGGAAAGCGAACGCCTTGCTTCAAGAGAAGACTTCGAGTCATCTAGTGATCCTTGCGAGCTCGATCTTGCCGAATCAAGACTGGAACGAGAGTCCTTCGGCCGGGGAGCCACTGCGCTCGGCGACATCGAGCCTGGCCTCCGAGGCGGAGCGACGACGTAGACTGGTCGACCCCCGACCCTCTTGATGAGAGTCGCGCTCAGTGAAGGCTTGGTCGTGGGCATGCTTAGTTTCGTCTGGGAAGTTGACGGCACCAAAGCTGGTGGCGATGCCGGGGTAGCTGCGCTCGCGGGTGAGATCGTCATCGTCCTGAGACCTCACCTGCTAATAGTGAGAGTCAGCGTGGTGTTCCTGGTCTCGATATTATACATACACATTGAAAAACTTACTCTGGTGCGAGAAGGACCTCTTATAGCGTGTGGACCGGGTGGCTCTGAGGTGAGGTGGGGGCACTCGCAGGACGTAGAAGGCCGGGTGAGCCAGCCGGACCAGCCCTGAGCCGTGGCGAAGGCAGGTTCAAAGGTGATGGGGAGGCGAGCGCGGGCGGAAGAGGAACAGAAGCCAAGTTGATGAATGTGCATACACTAGAGCCTCTGCCTCTCAATGCTAGCCATCGTCGGGCGATGGGTGGCAGAGGTGTCGTCACTGAGCAATGAGGGAGGAGCAGGGGAGGGGTTGATTGACCCACGGCAGCCCACGGCGTACGCCTGCGTACGCGCGATCTCGCGCGATCGACGGACCCGAGCTGACCCGAGTCGCTTCCGAACAGCGCGAACTCAAATTGAGCCAGGCACATCCTCACCAGTGCACTACATTCGTTGCAGCGGACAGTCGTCAAAGGCTCGTTTGCATACCCCACAATGATCATTCTTCTCCTCACAGTCCTTAACGATCGGGTTGTGACCCTCTGTATCAGATCAGCTCGAAACCGGCGGGGGTCCGAAGCCCAATGTCAAAACCGAACGCCACGGGTGTTTGGTTAAGAGAACGCTCCTCTCGAGCCTCTGAGCATTGCACCACACACGATACACTAAGGCTACACTGTAAGACTACGAAAACATGCCAAGGAACCCATTACCACACTCCCATTCATCTTCTCCTTCTGTGACTCTGAAAGCTCAACCGCCCCTCAGCCAAGCCCACGTCACCCGCGATATCTGTCAGATCCTCCAGCCCGTACACGGCCCCGATGCATCGCGTGGATTGAGGTTCAAGCGTGTCCATTCGGAACTGATTGAGACGGAATGTCCTTTCGGATTCCTCAGCCTGGTGTTCGCGATCGTTCTTCATCGACGTTGAGGCCTGGGAAAGTCGGAACTTGAAGTCGATAGGTGTGCTGATCCGGTTTCAATAATGACTGAGGGTCAGCTCCCGGAGTCGAGTGTGCTTCACTAAATGTAAAGACCCACGAGCATGGATAGGAGAAAACGGTCCCTCGAGTGTCTGACAGATGCGGGTCGATAGAAGCGCCCTCGATGGACGAATAGATCATCTCTGCGATTGCTCTAGGCACGGCAATCCGGTCGGATGTCCTGCGGAACCAGTGTAGCACCTCAGTCTAGGCAAAATGACAGATGGCAGAAAGCTGGACTTACGGATCGACCATGGCGGCCACGAGCGACACGCCAAGCCATTCGTTCTGAATCTGCACGTCTTCGAGGGGAAGCTCGAGATAGATCGACTGATTGCGAGCATCGAAAGGGGGGTTGCTCGACACAAAGCCAGGTCTCCTACAGGTCAAACTTGAATCAGCCGGCAACCCCTCCTCATGTTGGCCTCCGCGGCTCCGACGTACCGAGACAAGGCAAACTCTTCGACAGCGCGCTTCAAATCCGTGTACAATTTGGTGGCGCTGCGGCTCGCCTCAGCTTCATGGTTGGCGAGCATTGGTGGCTAGAGGATCAAGTCACGTCAGTGATTTGACGTCCCCCCGGACCTTGCTTGAGCGAAGCTGCTGACTTACCGAGGCGCGAGCAGGCATCCTTTGCATCGTCGCTCGTTGGCCGATGTCGCGTACGCCTCTAGCAAAGGGCGAGTTATCTTTGGCCATGACATTATTGAGCCTATGAGAAAGTGACAGTACCGGTGGTGGCCAGTCCGAGTCAGTAATAGTTCATAGTTGCGCTTCGCGGCGGCGGGGATCACTCAACGCGCGCCAAAGTCGTGGATCGCGCGAAGGACGCGTCGAGCGAACAAAGCGTGTCGCATTCGCGCTCGTCGGCATTCCTCGTCGGGTGCGGTGACGGCATCACAACTGGACAGGCAGTTCTCACCTCAGTTCGGGCCGTACTCTGAAATTAGGCATCGTATGGGGATGTCGAGGTTTGGCGGCTCGGATCGAAGTTGGTCGTACGACTTGTTCCTCCGCATTCTCCTGTACCGACTTGAGCGGGCCGACGTCGGGTTGAACGAAACGGTCCTCATGCGCCTCAGCTTGAACCGTGTCGGGGACGGCTGCTCTAGCGAGGGTGTCGATGGTGGTAGAGGCAACGATCTTGGGTGATGACGTGTCTTGAAGCACGGATTCCTGCTGTTGCTGCTGTCGCTTTGACGGCAGCGAGGCGACGACTTTAGCGCGCGACAAAGGTTGAACCGACGCGGGGATCGCTTTGACCACGAGCAAGGCGTAGCACAGCAAAGCAAAGCAGAAGAGTGGTGCAGAGGTCGAATCTCGCATACTGTCAATTCCTGGCCTCGCTCCTACTTTTGAGGGAGTCGAAACTGGAACGAGCTGATGCAGAACGCAGCGAGGACAGAGATGAGGCTCAACGCGCAACGGTAACGGTCGAGCAGGCGCGCGCCCGACAGGCTCGCCACAGCTCGCCACTCGAGCTCACGCGCTCGGGCCTCGGACATTCGGGAAGAAGGCTGAACGCCGCCATGGCCTACTTGCCGAATTTTCCCTACCACTGCACAGATCTCGAACAGAGCCAAAAAGTCTTCGGTATCAAGAGCAGGCACCGTGGCGAATCTGCGAGCTTCAAATCGGATGCAGAACATGATGTATAATCGTAAATCGTGCACCATTTTTGCGAAGCTCAACCATGGCCTCGTTGATCAATTTTGTCTGCGCTGTCACCGCGGAAACAGCGTGATCGGTACAGAAGATCTGAAGGTCGGCAGCCGGTCACAGGTGGAATAGGAGGCGGCCATGCGCTTCTCACGACCGAGCTTGTCTTGTTGCAAATCAACGGGAAGCGGATCGACGTGCCGCCATCGCACCCAGCACCGGAAAGGTACACCGGAACGCAACGGAACAGGCCCCGACCGCCCCAGACAGCGGAATCGAGCTGGCGAGTGGGTGACTTCGAGGTGGGGGCGGGGCAAGCGATTCTCAATTGAACGATTCCCGATTTGCTCGAGCATATCTGGCGCTCAAAAGTGGAGTCTACAGCTGTCCTAAGCTTTGGTCCTCTCCGTGGGTTCCCTAGTAGACCGGGCCTCCTCCACTCCCTCCCCCCCAAGCCTTTGACATCGATTTTCCGGGCCGTGCATCATCGATCACCTGCGACGGGCCAATTAGCGCCTGCACGTTTGTTGCTCCCTCCACCCCACTGCAACCCGTCACTCCGCAACCTTCTGCCTGGAAAGTCGTCGTAAACAATGTCGGAACAGGTTATGTAAGTCGGGCTTGAGCTCATGGACTCGTACGAGCGAGGCGAGGAATGGATTTGTCGTACTGCAGTGTGACCTGCACCATCGCACGGCCGGCTCACCCCACATGCCGAGCGAGAATCCTCGGCCCGTCCGGCGGCCGTCTACAAGCATGATCGTCTCCAACCGTGAACAACAACGACAGCTGACAGTCTCTAATTCTAACATTCAAAACCAGCCTTAACAAGTATTCGCGCACTTTCACTCAAGATGACAAGCAAGGCGCCGCCAAAGGTACGTCGACTGCATTCGGGCTTGCGACTTGAAGCATCTTCCGGAAGGCCCGGCGCGAACGACTGCCGTGGGTCCAAGGGCAAGGAGCTGACTCTACAACCCACCGGGGTCCTTTCAGCCATGCTCTACGCCACGGGAATGACCGACTCCCAGATGGCCTTGCCTCAAATTGGTATCTCGTCCATCTGGTTCGAGGGCAACCCTTGCAACGATCATCTGAGGGCCTTGGGGGATAAGGTCCAAAAGGGGTGCGAATTGGAGGGTCTCGTCGGTTTGCAACACTCGACCGTTGGTGTTTCGGATGGTCAGGTATGTCACAGATAGAGCTTTCAATGTGACCGGCTTTCAGCTTGGGTGCTGATATTCATGTGATTTCGAATGTGCACAGACTCAGGGCAATGCGGGGATGAGCTACTCGCCGCCAAGTCGTGATTTGATTGCCGACTCAATCGAAATGATCGTCAACGCACAACACTACGACGGCAATATTTCCATTCCGGGATGCGACAAGAACGTGAGTCGCCTGAACCACCCTTTCTGAACTGTTGTCTAGGTGGTAGGCCATCGGTAACGAGGCGCGGCGCGCGTCCAGGGGCTCGATTGGTTTTAAGGCAATGGATTAAACTTAGTGTCTGAGTGGATTATATTCTTGCGCGTGGGCCTATGCCTTCGAAATGCGGACTCCCTTGTTTAGCTTTTCCTTTAATCACTTGTTCCTCAACTATCGGTTCTGACACTGCTGCGTATCATCCTACCGCTGCCACCTCTATAGGTGGTGCACTTTTACTTCAGAACCCATCCGTACCGGGCCCGACCGTCACTGACCCCTAACTAGCTCCCTCGACCCTTCAGATGCCCGGCTGTCTGATGGCCGCTGCGCGCCACAACAAGCCGACCCTCCTCATCTACGGTGGAACAATCGCCGCCGGAAAACGCCACATTGACTGTCCTTCTATGGGAGGCAAGAAGGGCGAAGACATCACCCTTGGTGATGCTTTCGAATCTTATGGCGCTTGGACAACGGGCAAGATTACCAACGCTGAGAAGGACGATGTCGTCAAGCATGCCTGCCCCGGCGCTGGAGCTTGCGGTGGCATGTTCACTGCCAACACGTGAGTGTTTCAAAGAAGCCGAAAGTGGTTTTGGGGACAACGACGCATTCGACTAACGTTCTGTTCTCTGGTTTGCATGCGCAGCATGAGCACAGTCCTCGAAGTGCTCGGAATGAGTCTTCCATACTCGGCTTCGATCCCGGCCGTGTACCCCGGTGCGTTCCAAAGTCCATTGCACCGCGTCGAAACCTCCGGGAACCTACTAGAGCTGTATCTGTTCAAACAGAGAAACAACAAGAGTGCCTCCGCGCCGCCAAGTACATGCGGAACCTGCTCGCACTGGATCTCAAGCCGCGCGACATCATGACCAAAAATTCTTTCCTTAACGCCATCACCATGTGCATGATCATCGGTGGATCGACCAACTCGGTCTTGCATCTGCTCGCCATCGCTCGATCGGCCTACATCGAGCTGTCAACCGACGACTTTGTCACGATTCAAGAGAAGACCCCTGTGCTGTGCGATTTGAGCCGTCAGGTGCTTACGTCATGGAGGACTTGCACAAGGTCGGAGGTATTCCTTCAATCTTGAAGTACTTGATTGATGGGAGTCAGATGACGGTGACGGGAAAGACTTTGGCGCAAAATGTTAAGGATGCTGAGGATCTCGACTTCGAGAACCAAGACGTGGTCAGGCCTTTGTCGAAGCCGGTCAAGGAGAAGGGGCATTTGGTCATTGTGAGTTCCGGGTCGGATTGTTTCCTCCTATCAAACCAAGGTTGAGATCACTCACCACTTGCTTGTACTCGGCCTCTCACAGCTCAAAGGCAAGTTGGCCCCTAATTCTGCCGTGTCCAAGATCACGGGCAAGGAAGGCCTCCGATTCCGCGGACCTGCGATTTGCTTCGACGATGAGGATAGCTTCCAAGAGTCGCTCGCGAAGGGTGATGACAAGGCCGGAATGGCGGTCGTCTTGCGTTACCTCGGCCCTAAGGTGGCCCTGGAATGCCCGAGAGTGAGTCGATAACGTTCGGCTTCCGACAGGCGATGCTATTTCACTCATGCCCTCTCGGTGTCGAATCACAGTGTTGGGCCCGACGGGAGCATTGATGGGGCGGGACTTGGTGGCAAGACCTGCTTGTTGACCGATGGCAGGTTCTCCGGTGCTTCGCGAGGTTTCATAATTGTATGTCCCCACCCTTTGACGTGTCAAGGCGATACACCTGTTGCGACTCAAGCTTACGCCGCCTCCTCTTCAATTCTCTTAGGGACACATCACGCCCGAAGCCGCTGTCGGGGGTCCAATCGCCCTCGTTCACGATGGGGACATTATCGCGATCGATGCCGTATCACGCGAGATCAGCCTCGAGGTTGATGAAGCGACCTTGGCCGAGAGGAAGCTGGAATGGAAGCCGCGCCCTCTCAAGCACAAGCGTGGTATCTTATACCGATATGCTAGGGTCAGTGCAGATACGCTCTTGCAAGTATGACAAGGCCTGGTGAGGAGCAAATGCTGACGAGCGACTGTGTTTCGGCTTCGTTAAAGGATGTCAAGGGGGCCGATCAAGGTGCTTACACCGACTGAGCGATCATGGAAGATACTTCGTGTCTTGGCTAGATACATTTTGATCTCTATGAAACGCCGTTGAGCTCTATGAAACGAAGATATTTTGTTTAAAGTTCGTCATGCCGTAGGTATTTCTCGGCTGAAAAGCAACAGCAGAAAATTTGATTGAAGCGCTCGATCAGGTTCTACAACCTGATCGCGCTCTGTCGAAATCTCTTCACCACTGGCGACCAGCCGATGACAAAAACGCGTAGCCCTTAATATCCTGACATTCTGGCTGTAGCACCTGAGCACAGATCTGCCGGGCTTTGGCCAGGACGCGCCCCTATTACATCAACATCGAATCCGGCCGTCGGGTTAACGATGCTCGGCGAGCGGGTGCGGGCGAGATCGCGGTCGAGTTTTGGGGCGTGCTGCGACCTGGGCCAAACCCGAGTGGGCGCCGGCGCCGTCGGAGCGGGAGTTTCGGCGTTCTACACGCCCGTCCATGTGTCACCTTGGGCGCCAGGGCGCCGGAGCGCCGTGGCTGGCCTTGCCGCCTCGGTCGTCGGAGTCGGGTGGGCGCCGGTCCGGGCCACCGCAAAAGTCACCTCCACGCGGGGAGCTGCGGAGAACTGGTAGCCATCGACTTCGGACTGGACGCTTTGCTTCCGGATCATTGCTACTCACCTCACACTCGTCCAGAGATACCGCTCGATTACCGAATTACCTACACCACTACATCAAAATCATCTTGCAAACATGGTCGTCCACGCCACTCCCCCCAGCGTCGTCCACGCCACGCCCGAGTTGACCTGCCTTGACTTCAGCGGCAAGACTAAGTACAACGATTTCCGCGACGACCTCGTCCGCGACGGTTACGCCGTCGTCAAGGGTGTCCTCTCGCCCGAGAAGGCCTACGGCTACACTCGTGAGTCTTTTCTTATATACAGTGCGGGGTTTGCAACCCAGTGCAAGTATGCCGCGGCTGACACTTTCCCGCCTCTCATCCGCTTTCGCAGAGGATATCCACCAATGGCTCGAGGAGTTTGGACTCGGCTATAAGCGTGATGACCCCTCGACCATCAGGGAGGAGTGCCTGCCCATCATCCACCAAAAGGGTCTCGTTCAGGCCTACGGTGCCCCCCACGAGGTAACTTTTTTCTCCCCGATCGTCTCGATTGGCCCGGACTCCGATCAGACCGCTGACGTGGACCTTGATCTCGCACAGAGCTTCACCTGGGCCGTCCGATCCGAGCCCAACGTCATTGGCGCCTTCGAGAAGTTGTTTGACACCGAGGACCTCTTGGTATCGTTCGATGCCATCAACGTCTCGCTGCCCAACCGCCGTGACTTGCCCGAAGTCAAGCCATGGGCCCACCAGGACCAAGACCCCGAGCGCCCCGGGTTTCGCTGCGTCCAAGGCTTCGTCAACTTGAACCCCTGCGGCCAGAATGATGGTGGCTTGATGGTCCTCAAGGGTGGACATCTCGTTTCCAAGGAGTACCACGACCAGTTCCGTGAAGAGGAGCGCGAGTTCAGGTGGACTAACGAGGTAAACCTTTCTTGCCCCACCCGTTTCTCGTCGGAAGCCCGTCATTTTGCTGATCAATACCCGCCTTCCACTTCGCACAGATGTACTTGTTCAAGGACACCGGTCTCGCATGGCTGAAGGAGCGAGGCCTTGAGTGGGTCAAGGTCAACTGCGAGCCCGGAGATCTCGTTCTCTGGGACTCGCGAGCACCCCACTACAACGTCGCTCCTAAGGGCGAGACCGCCCGCTTCGTCGTCTACACCTGCTACGCCCCGGTCCACACTGCGACCAAGGAGGACCTCCTCCAGAAGAAGCAGCTTTTCGAGACGACCAAGGGTCACTCTCACTGGCCGCAAGGATTCCAGCCTTTCATCGAGCACTTCGTCGCACCCAAGAGGAATGGCGAGAACGACCCCCTCAACACCTGGGCACCGAGGAAGAAGCCGGTGCTTAGCGAGAGGGCGTTCAAGTTGACCGGTATCCCTTACATCGAAACCATGTCGGCTTAGTTGTTTTTGTGTGTATTATGACATCTTTTCTTTTGGTGATGCAATGTTGGTATTTTTGCTCCCCAATCTCTCGCCGAGTTCTGACCGATCGTTTGTCGGCGCGTCTACATTCTGCAGGTGGAACTTGAGTGCGTAAATACACTGAATTCAGTGAAGCCGAAACTCATTATCCTTTTCTCCATCCTCTTATGAGTAGGTGTCCGACTGGGAGGCTGCGGCAGGTATCTAGGTACTGTAGGTAAGTACCTACCTGTCTACCCGCCCGGAGAAGAACTACAGATTCCGGAACGCCCGCGGCGTTGGTGATGAGCGTGCCATTCGGCTTGCGGACATCGATTCCGAGCACAAACCGCCGTCGCAGTACTCGTAAGTCCCGAATCGCCCTCGAGAGGTCAAGTCTAGCAGCACGACTTATTCAATGAGCCATATTTGAACCCAGCCCTCTCTCCCGGGAGTGTAGCAGACCTCAACTCGTAGATTAGGTATAGCGGAACCGCCCCGGATCAGAAATTGCAAATACGACAAACGACTCAAATGCTAACGAACGGAAGGATGACCTTGCTCGCGTACTCGCCACCAAAATGAACCTTGTGCACACCCTTGTTGAGTGTGCTCTCGGCAGGGAACTTGGTGGTGAAATGCCGGATCTCGTGGTTCATGTCGTGACCACCGCAGATCTCAACCCTCAAGGACTCCCCGGCATCGTATTGCCAGCCCATGGCCCAGATACCGATCTCGAGCTTGACGATCTGACCACGCTCAAGCTTCTCCTCGAATGTGTGCGGGTGCCAGGGCCAGTTGGGGTGGATGTTCTTGGAAGCATCGATGTGGCGATGAGATGCGCGCAAGACACCGAGCGAGCCAGGGTGGAGCAGAAGTGAGGTGCGGTCCTTCTCCGCGATCTCGGCGTGGGAGGATGTGAGTGCGCGCTCGCGAGGGATGGTCATGTGCATCAGCTGGTTGCCGTCCTTGTCGAGCTTTTTGAGAGTGATGTAAACGTTCATGTCGTCGTGGTCATCGGTTGACATGTGAACGATCGCCTTGGGGATACCGACGAGTTGGGTCTTCTCATTGAACTTGAGATCAAAGTTGACAACACTTTTCCCCTCCCCTCTTGAGACGTAAGAGACGGTGCTGGCTTTTTCCGGCGAGGCACTGGCGAGCTTGCCGTCTTCGGCGAGGAAGAACTCTCGGTATTCGGTGTCGGGGAGGGGGAAGTCGGGAATGGGGATGTTTTCAATCGCGTCGCGGTCACCACCTTGCAAGAGCGCCCAGCGGACCTTGGGGGTATCCTTGACAAAGTTGTTCTCCTTGCCGTACAAGTAGTGGTCGAAGAACTCCATCAACTCCTCGTTAGTCTCCTTGATGACGTAGAGATCGTGCCATTCCTGCAGGAGCCAGAACATCGTGATAAGCCCAACCGCATGGCCTGATCCCAGAACGCAGTCGAGAGCCTCTTACCTGACGTCCGGCCCAACGGAGCCACTTGGGGCCTTGGCAATCCCAGAAGCCTCGGATGGAACCCATCGTGTGGATGGACGAGAAGTCGGAGCCCGAAATATAAGCGGGGATCTTGATCTTCTTCATGTCCGGTCGCTTGTCGGCCCACTGTGAACCGTGTCGAAATGAATCATGTCAGTGTGAACCTCGGAAAAGTAATATGAATGTTTCCGGGCACGGCGAACTTACGTAAGGCGAGTGAAGCGGCTCTCGGTCGTCTGTTGGTCAGTGTGCAGAAAAGACTCGGTCAGGCTCGAGTGCGAAACCAGTGACCAGAGCGAAATTTGGACTTGCACATCTCGGCAAAGTCTTCGACACCGTTGTTGCCCTTGATGATGAGCTTGTTGATCAAGTCCATGTTGGAGATCTCGAACACACCACCGCGAGCGAATTGTTCTCTGCGGGATCCGAAGCCGACGAGGACGGGCTGTCAGATCAGATACGCTCGTTAGACCAGACAGCTTCGACTTACCGGAACAGGTCACCACAGCCCTCCCAAGGGGCGATGGCCTTGAGTGAAGGGGGCTGTTGAGCGGCGATGTGCCATTGCGAGATGGCGAGGAACTGAATCCGCGCCGAGAAATATCGTCAGCGAGAGCTCGTTGTGGGAAGCCGGACAAGAACAGATACTCACACTGTTCCCCGCCATTCCGATGTTGCCGTTACACCAGTCCATCTTGGCGAGGGTCTCGATGACATCGTAACCATCCTCGCCCATGTTCTGTCCCATGATCTGGACGAAACCGTCCGAATTACCAGCTCCACGGGTGTCGACCGACGCGATGGCGTAACCCCTAGGACACCACCTGGCGGGTTCGAGACCTTCAAACTTCTCCCAGCCGGAAAGATCCTTGGATTGGATACCGCACTTCCACGTCGTCACGGGCAACATGTTGATCGAGGAATACCTCTTGCCGTAAGGGGACCACATGACCAAGCACGGGATCGGGCCCTTGGCGTCGGCGGGTTTGTAGACATCGCAGTAGAGCTTGGCACCGTCACGCATGACGAGGGGAAGATCGTGTTGGAGCAGAATGTCGGACGTAAGGGGAGCGCTAGTCTCCCCGTCCCATCCGGGGCGAGTGGAGCCGGCCTTGAGGAGAGTGGTTTCGCCGAAGTGGTCTCCGTCGAAGCCGTTGACTCCGATCGTAGGCTTACTGTAAGTGTTCGAGGGGCTCAGTGTTAGTCATATGCGGTAATCTGGAATACATCGCGGTTTCCGGCCTCGGGGGCGGCGAAAAGGAACAGCGACGACGCTGAGCCGATTCCGAGAGCGAAAGCCAAGCTATCCTTACCCGATGGGCTTGGTGGCGATGGTGAAGGTGGTAGGCATGACGACAGATGTAGTGTATCGTCGACAAAGTAAGCGGTTGCGGGGAGTAAGGAGAGGGAGAAGGTCAGACTTCGTGATGAGTTGTCGCCGTGCGAGCATACGAAGTTGAAAATCGGAGTCGATGCCTGCTACCACGTTGAGCAGCGGACTGCGCATGCCGAGTGGGCTCCGCCGGGGCAGGGGTGGGCCTGGGTGGGCGCGAAGGGCTTCGAGTCGGGCTCCGGTTTGAGGTGGGGGGGGGGGGGGGGGGGGGGCACCACCTGCACCACGACCGCCGCGCTGCGCAAGAGCAGACTCGGCCGCTGTCCTTTGCTGGGCTCAGCCGCAGTGGTCTGCGCGCGGCAACTGCCGGAGATTCCGTTTGGCCGGCACCTACCTTACTACGTTGCCCGAGGCGGTTTTCTACTAACCGAAAGGTGAGGTGCGTCACAGCACATCGTCAAATGCATCTCCTCCGACTTTTCCAGTGATCTTTCGCCTTGATGAAATTAGACTGTTATTGAATACCATTAGATTTTAATCATGCACATAGGAAATGGCGGCGTCCGGCTTGCGGTGCGCTCAAATAAATAAAATGATTTGAAGTAGGAGTTGTTCGGCATTGCGGTGGTCCCCATCAGCGAATATCGGTTGCAAGCAACTGTAGACTCTATATCAGCTTGCAACCAGATAAGGATCTGGACTGGAGGCTTTTCGGTACCGTTCACACAGCCTGGGACTCGCGCAAATCGAAAGAAGCTTTTTCAGTTGCGCAAAGGCTCAAAGCCCGACTTTGCCACAGCAATAACCTCTTCCAAATGAGATGTGCACAATCTTTCCTTCTCGACCAAAGCCACCGCTTGTGCCATCCTCACGGCATGTTTGATGTCGCGCCCGTTCATCTCAAACGACGACAGGCGGTCCAAGTTGAATTCATTGGGGCTCGCCTCGGCCTTGGCCAAGAACTGCGTGGGGTATGCACAGGACAATTCAGTGATTGGTCAGTGACTTGCAAAGTGGTGCGCATGCTCCCGCGGAGGACCAGCTTACACGCTCCCATAGAATACGACGAGACCCAGAGTCGAGGGTCTTGAAGTGAAGCACGACAGCAAAGCGAGAAATGAAGGCGTCGTCGAGTCTGGGGAGATGAGACTGAAACGATCAGGATGGCGGTTTGGGGAAGGCAAAGGCCATATTACAAGGACTGACTGCTCGATGACGTTCGTGGTCAAGATCAGGACTGTACAGGGACGGCGGCACCCGGTTCAGCAAATGACAGTCGACCTAAGCCCAAGCTTTCCTGTGGGGTGCTCACCGCCAGTAAAGTACTCCAATTCTGTGTTACAGCGAGATAGTACCAACCGTCAGCCCCCGTGAATCAGTGATCCCAAGCCCCCGCGAAAGACTCACGCCGTAGGAACACTCCCACCAGGGCGTTGTGCTCCAGGTTGCCGGGGCTTCGTCTCGTGAGGAAAATATCCGCCTGAGAGCATCGCGTCAGTTGGCCGATCAGTGGACTCAATCTAGCTGCCGCACACACACCTCATCGATGAGCAAAACAGCGTTCCAAGAGGTGGCAAGCTGTCCGTTTTGAAAAGTTAGTTTGTCGCTGTAGGTCGACCGAATGCCCTGCGCACTATATAGACCAACCTCAAGAGTGTCTTTGAGCTGCCTTTCGAGTCCAGCCGCAGTCAATACCATTTCGCCAGCGCCGACAACATACAGTGGTCGGCGAAGGTGCTCCGCAATTGCCTCTGCGGCAAGGGTCTGTAGTGTAGGGAATGAAAAGTCCTTCAGCGTCGTCCATGACAAAAAGCTGACGTCAAACTCACCTTGCCTGTACCAGGCGTTCCGTGGAATGCCATAATCAAGCCTGTCCCTTTTCCTTCCACTACGTCTTGCATCAGCTGATCCTTGAGGTTGCTCGCGTGCACGGTCACGAGTGCTCGAATGATTCGCCGATAAGACTCGGGAATGACGAGATGCGAAAAGCTTGCGTCGCCCCACTGGACCGGGGTCAAACGCGAAATGAGAAACTCGCCCCATCGCTGCAATGAGGAGGCAAAGTCAGTTGCCTCGCGTCCCGACTCTGAACTACCGATTTGACAGAGCTCGAACCCTCTTCACTTGCTTTGGTTCGGAGAGAGAAGCCATGAAGTGTCGGGGGCAAAAGGTAGCAATCCTCTTCGCGAAACGATTCGCAAGGTATCGATGAACCACTGGGACGAGGCTGATACTGAGTCCGGCCGCCTTGGTCGTTGACGTCGTCCCTGTGTGAAATACCACAGTCAGTTTGAGGCGGCAAAGGTATCGACAACCCGCGAATATGTGGAAGGGACGCACCCCCACTGATCAAGCACAGGATTTGCGCGGCGGAAGCTCTTGACATCGATAACAACCTGCCCGTCGCCCAAGAGCCGAGATCTGAGGAACGGGGAGCAACGGTGAGCGGCGTGTGCGATGTGTGAGCCGCGGGACCCCAGCTGAGCGGTGGAGGTTCACTCACGCTCCACTGAATGCACGGGTGTAGAAGAAGCCGCTATACTCCACATGTGATTGGCAAACATGCTGTAAAATTAGAGAGGACATCGTGGATCAGATGAAGTCCAGGCAGAGAAGATTTCTAAGCTCAAAGACGAGCCTTCGTGTACAGCTCGCCCCGGTCTGTGGAGGAGAGAAGGAGGATTTTAGGTTGGCGGTAGTTCCCACAACTATCGGGGACTGCAGCGGCTGACCGGCGAGCATCGCTTTGGAGGCGTTCGATAAGGGGAGAGTCTTGAGCGACGTGATAGCGCGAAGATTCTGACAGACTTGATTCGGCGAGTTAGCGAAATGAGCCCGCGGGCATAAAGCCACCGAGCCGCGATGAAGAAACGGACGTCGAACTCATTCACTCTCCGCGTCACCGGCATCTTGTGGTAACACGTTCCAGCCCATTGGTAAAAGTGACAAGATAATTGGAAAACTCTGCACAGAATCAAAGAAGTCAGAATCTGGACGCCAGAGGTCCCCACCATTGCCTCACCTTCCCATTGATTCTTGCACGTAGGCCCACGAATCCAGCTTCAGGGCGATCTGATTGCAGGAATCTGAATCTGGGTGAGCGACCGGACATCGGACAAGCGAATCGATCGGTTGGGACTGACCATTTCTCCGGTGACGTCATGAGCAGACTCGATTTCTTGACCGACTTTGAAAAGTGTCCAGAGGAGACGCCAGGAGATGGTACCGGCGGGAAAGGAGGCCAGTTTGGTCGCGCTGCAGAGGACGGGTTAGGGCGATAAGTAAGCGCAATGCTCGCGGTAGAACGCGAGCAAAGAGGACGAAATATCTTACATGTGGCTGAACTGCTGATCGAGCAAGGTTCTCAGAGCTCGCAAAGTCTGCCCGACTGACGATTCGCTTCCGTCCTCGGCACGTGACAACGATTCCTCGAGACTAAGGAGCTGGTCCCGTCGCACGTACAGCGATCGAGCATCAATCTGGTGGGTCGTGAACGATCAAATCTATCAGTAAAAAGAGACTTCCACCACTCGCTCGCTACCTAAAGAACTCACACCGGGACGGGACTGGTATAGTGATCCCAAAGTGGGGAACAGGCGCTTGACCGCGTCCAGCAAGTCCTCGTCGTGCAGAAGGATGTAGGCGTAGTCGTCGTCGGGTGTCAAGCTTGGGAAGGACCGATTTACTAGAGTGAATGCATATGCAGGTCGTTGAGGCTTGAGACTATCCGCCCGCTTCTTGGCCTCAAGCGCCTCGTCGAGCGGAATCCATAGGCCGGTGGTCGCCGACGGCACTTGGTGAATTACGTCGTACACGCTCATATCACCAGAGTCGAGCGACGGTGATGCCTATGCTGGCCTTGTGTAGTGACTGGCAGGCAAACTCGGTAGCGCCGCAAACCCGCGTCGCTCTGCGGAACCTTCGGTAGGTGCCTATTCTTGAGTGCAACTTGCTAAACGTACGCCGAGTCGCCCGCTCCGGCACTCCGCTCCGATGTCGGGTGGGGGAGCAATGCGAGCTGTCCACGCAGGTCAAGGCTTGCGCTGCGCGCTCAGCGCCGCTGCGCCTCCGGGAAGTGGGCGGCCCGGCCGGCTGTCCCAGTTCGTAACAGGCCGAAGAATCGTCAACGCCAGCAAGTTTTGCAGCAGTGATCGCCACGTATTTGGTTTGGTTTAATCCGTGATATTCTGATAGGGGTCAAACTTCGACTGCGCCACGAAAACTCATGCGGCCACACTAGTTGAACTTTCTCGTGTATCATAAGTTCAAAATAATCAAAGTTCATCGTGCCATGTCCGTGCGATGTCGAAGATTGCACCATCAAACCCTGACCCATCGCCGTCCCTTTGAGCGGATCCACCATCAACAGGTCTTTCGAAGACGTCAAGACCCCGTTCCCAAGCAGGTAAGGCCACAGGCTCTTAAAGTCGAGCATGTCGTACCCGTCTCCACGAGGCGCGTCCATGTCGTGCCATCCGGTAGACTTGAGGCCCAGCGTCTCGGGAAACGCTGTACTCGGTCTTGCCGCTGTAGACGTTGTGGCAGGCCCTGGATGAGGGCTGCTCGCGCGCGTCGGGGCGCCACTCAATTGGCCGGGTTGCTCGACCTTGAGCTTGGTCTTCTCGTACAGCCGTGGAAGGACTTGGACAAACTCTTGTGCGAAGCCAGCTCTACCGTACATCTCTGCCGCGAATGCGGTCGAATGCAGCTTGTAGTTGCGCTCGTTGAGGACGGGGTCTTGGAAAGGCGCAGTTCGGTTCGCAGGGCAAGGGGTGCCTTCGTTGCGAACCGCCGGTCGGTTGAAGCTTTGTAAGCACTGAGGCCAGTGGGAAGATCCAACTCGAGCTGAAGGGGCGCTCCTAGAACTATCCGATTCGTCGTTTTCCAAGTAACCCCGCTGAATTCCACGCCTACGACGTCGGCTACAACGGTGCGGTCGAGTGGGAGAAGAAGATGGCTTCGGAGAAGGCCTCAGCCATCGCGGCTTGATCGATTATATTGTACCGTCAGCTAGGGTGATATTTTTTTAGTTCCATGTAATCAGTCTGTTTCTCACCAACCTTGGAGGTCAGGAGGGAGGTGCGGCGAGAAATTGGGGCAAAAATGAGCGTGTTGAACAACACTCGATCACGTGACTGATCGAGCGCGGGGCGAGTTGCCGAGCGCGCCACTGCAGGGCGCATTAGGTCGAAAATTTGGGAAAAAAACATCTTTCGTTCCGTTTCGGGGAAGAGAGGAAACTTGATGAGCACCATCATGCAGACATTGCTGTGTGTTGCTCGAGATTAGTAGTTGGAGCTTTCCGAGCGGACACCGCCGCTCCCCCAATCGATCGCGGCGCGCTTCGCCCAGCAGCGACCTGCATGCCTGCAGCCGCGTTCGATTTCACGTGGAAGTGTGAGCGCCTGTGAGCGCGGTCTTGAGGGTGTGCAACCATCGACGATAGGTCGCTCGCTCTGATGTTGTACTTTCATCTCGGCCTGCGGTCTGCCTCGTGCCCCCTCACTCCATCCACATCTCAGAAGGGTGCGAGCGGTTCGTTTAGATTGGCCACCGACTGCAAGAGGCTTATCCTGTTATCCTCGCTTCGCCGCTTGCTCCCGCTGGCCAGCTCCGCTCGACTCGCGCCCGAGTTTCCGAGCACCGTCGCCTGCGCTTTCAGGACGTAGCACACGCGTCGTAGAAGGTCGGAAGGAGGGTGACCCTGTTCATCAACCATGTTGGGCTATGCCTCCTCGGCCGGTGCCTTTGCCTTCAGTACAGGTAAGCAAGGGTTGACCATCCCCTCCTCTCCTGCTCGCGCTCGCTCTGGCCCTCGAGAGCTCGGACTACGGCACTGACCCGACTTCTTCCTCCGACCCCGCCCAGCCACATCCTACGTCTTCCGACCAGATGCTTCGACATCATCCTTGCCCGACCGGAAACCGCCCCCTTCGTCGTCGTCCTCCTTATCATCGTCAAACTCGTCCGGCACACATCCTCACGGCGCGACGAACGGCCGAAGCCGTGGCGGTCATCGACAGCACGTCGACGCTCTCGCACCTTCCAAGCGACCTCACACCAACAAGGACGGAACACGGCGAACTCGGCCGGTTTCCCAACTTCCCTCGGCTCATCTTCCAAATGGTACGAGTACCTCAGCAAGTACCAGCACCGGCTCAGGCACGACTTCAACCTCGAACGGTGGCGGTCGAGCTCACGCCGATCAGACCGATAAGCGGGAAGGGCAAAAATTGGTCGATCGCATCAACCTCGAGGACGATTTGTATCGCATCCTTGGAGTTGCAAGGAAGAGCAAGACGGAGGAGATTAGGAGGGCCTTTCTTTCAAAGAGTCGGCTGTGTCATCCCGAGTGAGTTGACCTTCGAAGCGGGGGGGGGGATGGTCTCGGATGGGATCGAGACGCTCTATCGGACTCGTGAGATGCCAAATTGCCTGATTCTGAAAAACTGAGAGAGCCATCTAATTTGATTCGTCAGTAAACTTCCCGACTATGAACCTGCCACCCCGGCGTTCCAAAGACTATCCTACGCTTACGAAACGCTGAGCAAACCGGCCAGTCGAAGGATGTACGATCTGGGCGGAGGCAAACCACTCGATCACGGTCAGTTCGATGGTGACGGAATTTGTCTTTTTTTCGTGCACGAACACAAGAATTGATGCTCTCATCCTCTTTGAACGCTCAGGAGCTCCGAGAGGGGACGCCGACTCGGGGATGGGTGGTGATGAAACGTTGAACGGAGTGTTGAGAAACGTCTTTACAGAGGTGAGGCCTGTGAAGAGCAACTTGATTATGGCGCGATTCTTACACTTGACCCTGTTGGCAATCTCAAACACCCACAGTTCTTGGCCGGCGATTTCGAAATGATCCGAGTTTTCGTCAGTGAGTCGCACGAGTCATAACATCGACGGCTCGGCCTCCCCCATGACCGTTAACTGAATTTACCTGCACATGAACAGATGCACTCAACGATGGGAATCCTGGTCTCAATCTTGGTGACGAAGCCGTCGACAACCTTGAAGGCGCTTTCCGAAAAGTTCGCGAGGTCCTCCTTAGTAAGTGATTGAATTTCCCAACCAACCTCTCTTCCAACATATCTGACGCCTTCTTTTCCTCCCTTTCAACCTACCCTCCTTTTACAAGGCGGTCAAAAATACATGCGTATCGTTAAATTTGAGCTCATACGCCTCTACGAGATTCAACACTCCCTCCGCTCTTTGGGTTACTTTGATCTCGTCGGACGCTTCCGCCTTACCCTAGCATTGACGAGGGTCACGTTGGAGATCCCGATGATGCTTGATCGAGCAATGAGGGATGAGGTGCCGAACGTTCCTTATGGACTTGGACCGCCAGGGAAAGAGCGAGAGACCAAAAGTGGGAATAGGGAGACCAACGGTGAGGAAAGGGAGGGGAGGGGGAAGAATGGAGAGGCTTCGGGAGGGAGTGCGGCGGCTGGCGCGGGGGAGTTACAGAGACGTGGGTTGTTGGGTCCGAGGGTCAAGGGCGTCCTCGTCGTCGCTTGCAAGATGCTCGAGAAGGCCGAAAAGTTCGGGACTTGACCGTTCGGTCTCGATACGATGAGGGGGGTGTATTTTGTGTATTTTCGTGTTGTCGTTGTTGTCACTTTTCGTCAATGTTGTCTCGCTTCCTTCGCATTTGTTTCTCCATCTCCGAGGGGTTTCTCATTACTTCTAGCCATTTGCAACATGATACATACACGAGGCACGACACTCTCGCGAAGAGATAGTACCATATGCATAACATATTCCACAGCAAGTACACGGATACACAACATAATTTGTTGGGATAAAACAAAGTAAACAAGCCACTAGTCGAACAAGGATCGTAAACTATCATCAATTTCGGGGAGCGCGGGAACCTCGACTTTGAACCTCTCACTCTCGACTTCAACAACGGGAGGATAACTAGGGGCAGTCGAAGATGATGCGGTCCCGCGTTTACGAAGACCCTCGGCAGAGGGGTGCTGTTCCGCAGCGGCTTGCGTGGCCTCGATCTTTTGCCGATCGCAGGCGTCGACGACTTGGCGGAACGTGGCGTGCAGTACTTCGGCGTCGTTGATGATCGCTTCGATGTCGAGTGTGCCGCTCAGCTCGTTCATGAACTTGAGGATCTGCAAATGGAAAACAAGAGAGACTGTAAGAACCACTCACGCAAAAAGAAGCAGCACCCTGAAATACCACTCACCTCATCAAATTCGCGCAGGTACCGAATGACGACATCACGGTGCGCTTCGATGATGCTTAAAGCGATGAAGAGGTGAAAGTTGGAGCCGAGATGATCCGTCCACAAAATTTCCCAGAGCTGGAGCGTCTGAGTAAACGAGAGCTCGCGCTTGAAGCCGCACAGGATCCACCGGAAGCAGAAGAAGAGGTTCAACGAGCCCGTTTGATCTGCACAGCAGGGAGGGGAGCATAGTCAGTACACACGTGACAGATGAGGAATTTCGATGCATTCGTACTGACCTAGATGCGTGTAGAGCTGCGGATCCATGATGCGCAACAAGGATTGTAGCTGGCTCAACTGGCTTTTCATGCCGACCTGATCGCGCATAAAATTGCGTCGCATTCTCTCCATGACCGTCTCGAAGCAGCCCAGTGCCAGCACTGGGTCGCCTTCGCATACGACGTACAACGGCGAAAGTAGGTCTGACATGCCTTGAACGTAGTCACGAGATGAATCGGCAAAGACGTAGGTCAACAAAATTTCCTGCATGCGACGGACGTGCTCGTTCGAGGGAGGATGTGGTGATTCAGGGTCGACCGCGGACGGATCCATTTCGTCGCTCATGAAGAGCGGGTGGGTGCGATCGGTGCGGCGACAGTCGATTTCTGCAAGTGATAGATGTGTCAGGACCCAGAGCGGTGTTGACTTGGGTATCTCATGGAATATCGAGCACCCACCAACTCGATGATTTTCCTCGGCCCACCGTTCCGATTTCTTGAGCTCGGTATCGTCAGCCCAGTTCGAACGCTGCCGATCGTATTGCTCCCTGTGGCGGATGTGAGACAAAGAGTATGCTTAGACTCTGTATCAGATATAGCTAGGCCAAAATCATGACTACTCACATCTTCTCCTGCTTGCTGCGCTTTCGTTCTTCCGTCGTCGATGTCCAAGAAAAGACCTTGAGCAAGAAGGGCCACACGTCCTTACGTGCATCCTCGGCCAGTCCCCTCTGAAAGATCCGTTTCTTCGCCTCATACTCATCAAGCATCAATCGCCCCTGATCGTCAAACCACGACGCCCACTCAGTGACCAATATGGGTGTCGCGGATGCACGACTCGACCTTGGGCGCGTGACCTTGTAGACGGAGGAGAGGATCTCGAACGCGCCAACCTCGCTGGCTTCGTCGGTAGAGCCATTAACGATCACCTCGGCACGTCGTGCCCGTTCACCTTCTTCCGCTACAACACGTGCCCACTTGGCGAGGTAGACGCGCGCGGCGTCGTAAGCACCCACACCGGCAGATTCCTGCAGCCGCGTGAGTTCTCCGGGCGCGTTTGCAAAGTGGGCAATGGGCTCGGGGATGTGTTTGGCCAGCGGCTTGGCTAGCGGATGCGACAGAACGGATTGCGCAGCGACTTGGATACCCGAGCGAGCACTGTGATCCAGTGAAGAAGTGTGTCAACATTGATCCTTGTCCGAAGGAAAGGCGTATGGCCACTCACCCTCTTGTGATCCTGGAGAACGAGTTGAGTACCGAGAACGTCAAGTTGTCGACCGCCGGCACCTCATCGGGCCATTCGTTGCCCGAGCTGGGCGTGGCAGCAGCTGCATTCAGATCCAGACTCTGATGCAGAATACTGTTGCGCTTGTTCTCCCGCATCCGTCGGGCAAAACCAGTGTTCGAGCTTGACGAAGCATTGTTGTGCAGGCGCAAACCTTGCATCGCTTCGGAGGGGACCTCATCATCTTCAAAGAGCGGGGTCGAATGCACTTCGATATCCTCACGGGCCGGGTTGATCAGGAAGAGCGAAGGCTCGACTTGGGATCGAAGAACGTGCGCATACTTGCGAAGCTGGGAGAGTAGAGCCTCGCCTCCCCACGAAGGCGGGATCGGCACGTCGGGGTTGGCGCGATGCGAAGTCGCCGCGGATCCGAGAGCGCCAAGCGCTGCGACGCGTTGGTCCCGATCGACGACGGTGGATCTTGACTCTTCGTCATGGAACCAGAGGGGTGGCAGGGTCTCCCCGCCGAAAAGGGAGCAGGTGACGGAGCCGTACCACGACGTCAAGGTTGGGGCTTGAACGAGCAGTGAGTATAGTCGGCGAATGGGGATAGAAAAGGCATGCGCGGATGACGGTGCAGGGGCCGTCACCAAGATGGTGGCTGAGGATGAGGTGGGCTTCTGTGTCAGTACGTGACTGTGAAGAGCGCGGAGACTTCTGCTAGAGGTCCCTGCATCGACTCACCTTCAGTCGCGGAAGGCGGCGCATTGAGCTCGACCAAGACGTAAGCTTCGAAATCGCTGGTGCCGACGACGCTAGCTTCGGGGATCCACGCGAGAAGATAGTCGGTGCCATGTCGCACAATCGAAATGAAGCCGGGGATATTGTCCCGGTGATAGGTCGAGGGATGCTATAGTTACAATATCCGACGCCGGAGCCGAGCAGGATCAGCGACCGGACGTGGAGGCTTTGAAGCAAGCTTTGTGGACAACACTCACAAGATACACCTTTGATTTGGACCACCTGTATGGGGTAGGAAGAGGAAAAACTCGTTCAGACGCTGATATTCGTTTACAAGTGGCGTGTGACCCTTACAAGAGTGTGGCCATCGCATCGACTTGGTCGTCGCCGTCGTTATGTGGCGATGCGACCGACGCGGCGCCGTACTCGGCGGCCACACTCGTCATGCCGTCATCCTGGCCAGAGGCAAGTGGGTGGGACGAGTGCGCCATGCCATTCCTCTTGGTCGTCGTCACTTCGATAGCATCACCCGACTGTGAGAAGATACAAAGTAGGCAACACGGTGCGTCGCGGTGTCAGTGAGGCATTCCCGTCTCGACCGTCTCCTGCGGCCAATGACTCGATGTGGCGCGCCAGAGCGAACGACGTTGTGACCTCGGGGCGACCGAGCGCGGGAAGGCGAGCAGAGTGCACGCACACTGCGATCATCGACCGAATCATCCTCCCCAATCGACCAATCGGGACCCATGGGTCCGCCTCCCATGCCTGCACGGTGTGTTGTAACGGCTTGTTGATGATGAAAGGCGGTGTGCGGCGTCGACGAAACGGCACCCGAGTTGATTGGTGGAAGAGAAGAGGCAAGTCGCCGAGCCACCGTCGCCGCTCGACGCGATTAGCGCGGGCAGTCAAATAGCCGCTCCCATTTTTCTAATGAGCAATTTCGCAAACTGCCCACTCCAAAACGGTCGTCGAGCGAGAACAGCTGGTACTAAAGCCTACGATGGAGTTCACGTACATGCCGCCTCTTACTCTACTCTGCTGATGCCCAGAAAGACAAGCCCCACCCCTTGAGATTTGAGGACCCTGCAGGATCATGCGAATCGCATTCCCCCGATAGTTGTCGTATAGTACGACAACTCGAGCATGAACTTGAACGTGGAACTGATCGTGATATTCTTAATCCCAGGGGTAAGGTCCTCTAGCCGTACTCACAGCTTTGCACTCGTTACATCAATGGCAGTGTATCTCAGCTTACGTGCCACACTTTCAAAACCTCTCAGATCTTTACTGTAGCGAGTACAAAGTTCAAACTGGCCATTGCAATTCGAATTCGGTCGCCGACGTTTTTTGTTTTTGTTACTGGGGCTCATGAATTGCAATCCTTCGGGTTGGCTGGGACCGCTAGAAAAAGAGCTAAAAGAGGTTATAAAGCAACGACGGCAAGCAATTGGGTGAAAGTCAAACCCCTGCGCGCAAAGAGCGCTGCGCAGATTGTAGATTTTTTTTTTTTTGTAGAAACTGTTCATCATATTGCCCCCAATTCCTGTTCCCCCTGATTGGCCTACGGAAAAACTAGATGGAAGTCGACGATGATAACACAAACCGCCCGCAAGATGCGAGAAACGGGCCAAGTCCAGCAATCCGATACTTCGGATTCAAGTGCCCCAGCCAAGCGGTTGCTCCCCCCCAGGAGACGAATGAGAGAGAGAAGAGAAAGAGAGAAAATGAAAAAGAACTGGCGTACTAACGACAAGAGGCCCACCCCGCACCCACTTCCCAACTCGGTCGAGACAAAGACAGGAGAGCGACTGCGCAGCTACCCTGACCCGCGAAGTCCCCAAGTCTATGCTCGGTCACAACAAGACGCGGTGGAGGCCCCTCAAAACCTCCACCTCAGCAGTCCCTGGCCCCTCAAAGCCGACTTTCTGCCTGTGTCTGCTGATCCCTCCCTTGACTCAGAACCCCGAAGCCAAAGAGCGCGAGCCACCGTCGAGTCAATCCCAAATCGCGAGCCGGTCCATGAGCAACGGAGGCAGACCTGTAATAAAAGAAAGAAAGATGAAGAAAATATATTTAGTATACAGTTTTTGTAAGAGGATGTGTGATGTGGGGTGTGTGAGTGTGGGATGGGGTGGGGGGAAATCGAACCCAGCCTCTACTGCCCTCGCCCGCCCCTTGCTCCCCCCGCCCTCAACTTCATCCTCTCCTCCAGTACCACCCTCCTCCGCTCCAGGCTTTCCATCCTCGTCCCGTGCTTCTGCATCCTCCATCTCCCACTGCTGATCATCTCCAAGACCATCCCCGTGAAGATCTCGATCGTCCTGCCTGCGCCTTCCTGTTCGCTGAGCTTGGCCTTGAGCTTGGGGAGGCCAAAGAGTCGTTGTAGTGTCGTGTACTCGGCGTCCTCGATCGTGTCGCATCCGAGCGCGTCGCAGAGCACGCCCCTTGCCGCGGTCCAGACGTTCCGCGAGTCGACGCAGCCGAAGAAGTAGTGATCGGTGTCGTCCACCGGCGCTTCGCACACTAGGCACGCGGGAGAAGTGTCATGCTTTTGCTCGTGCTGGAGCTTGCGCGTCGGGGTGAAGCGGAGAATCAGCTTGAACCAAACTTCCCTCTCCCTCGCTGTCAGTGCCTTCGAGTTGACCGCCTTCCAGAAGCTCCTGAGATCGTCTGGCTGCGGTGGTCCCTTGAGCCCGAGCGTGTTGGTGAAAGCCTTCGCGTTCAGGACCCGGCGGATGCGACGGATTGTGTAGGGTCGAGCCATGTTCAGCAGCGTATACTGGCTCGCCTGTTGTGGAAGCACCGGGTCCGGAAGGCGCTGCTCCATTGCGAAGCGGGCCACGGGCTTGGGAATGATCGCCTCGAGCGGTGCGCTGGTGCCGATCCGGGGAGGCACGTTGAGTCGTCCCGCCGCCACCGCCGCCGCCAAGGGTGTGTTCTTGTGTCGATCGACAGTGAACCGGTACCAGGCCGCGATTGCCAGTCGCTGCGGGAGCCCGCGTCGATCGTACTCGCTGTTGTCGCCGAGCACATCCGCCGGCGGCGTCCAGAGGTGAAACCCCCCACCCGCATACAACTCGCGCCGATAGAGATCCGCCACCTTCGGGTAGCCCTGGAGACGAAGGTAGTCAGGTACATGAACCGCGTCGATGGTCTGTCTCCCTCTGATGGGGGTGTGGAGGCTGCCGAGCAGGGTGGGCAGCGCGAGCAGGTTCGCGGTGGTCAAGGCCCTCGGGTTGACCTGCGCGTCGTGAAGTTTCGGAACGCCCAGTGCGGCGTGCCATCGGGGATGAAGGTCGTTGGGGATGGGAGTGGATGGATGTGGCCAGAGATCGGTGGCCAGGTCGAGGTCGGGCTGAGCTCGCTGGAGTGCTGCGCGCGCAAGTCCTTGCCAAATCGCGCCGGAGCCGCCGAGAAGAACGTCCCAGAGCCGTGCCGCAACCGCGTCCACAACGTCCCGCATCCTTATCACCCCGAGTCCCCCCTTGTTCTTGGCGGTGAACACAATGTCTCTGCCGTAGCTGGTCCTGCCCTTGCCCCCACGGACGAAATCGACGAGCATGTCATCGAGCTTCTTGACGACTTCGGGCGGCGGGATGTCGGCTGCAAGGAAATGCAAGATCTTGGGAATGGCGTACCGATTGACGTAAAAGGCACGGGTGTGGTGCGTGAGCCAGCGATGCTGAACCGCTTCCAGCGTCGCCTCGAGCCGTTCGATGAGATTCGCGTAGGCGAGTTCGGTGTCGCCGCTGGGGTCGAAGGGGAGGCCGATCCACTCGAGCGACTCGCCTGCGGCCTTGACGACGATTGACCGTTCCCCAGGGTCCCAGCGCGATCGGCATTCTTCTTGTGGCGCTTGAAGATGAGGCGCACGAGTCCCTGGCCCTGCTTGGGAGAGAGTGAACCGCGCTCGATCATCGCGTTGTAGGCCTTGGTCAGCACCTTGGACCACGCCTCCGGTGCGGTCTGATAGAGTTCGTAAGGCACGCCCGACGGGCCCGGCGATCGCCCCGGGTGCGTCGTCCCGATCGCGGCCACGACCTCGTCCTCGGTGATGGGTTGCTGGAGGAGATCAATCTGCGCTTCCGAGAGTCGGCGCAGAAAGAGCGGATCTGAGCGCGGGTCGTCGCAAGTCCGTGCCGCCCTGATCGGCACGAGGAGCTCGTCCCGAAGTCGGTCGACGCGTTCCGGGTCACGAGGCTCGATGTGGTAGAGGCGCTGGAAATGCGCCTGCGTGTGGTCAAGAGCGACATCAATGTCATGCGTTAGCTCTCCGTTGCCCAAGCGCAGTGCTGTGATCTTGGAGTCCGAGTTCCGCGCCGCGAGCTTGGCGTGGACCGGCCGCGACAGTCGTTCCTCGGAAGCGATCTCGGGGACGTGGGCTCGGATCCTGAGTAGGCGCGCGCGCTCCTCGACCGCCCGCTCGAGTTCCTCGGACGTCTTTGTCCATTCTGCCGTTTCCGCCTCCCCCCATACCGGTAACGCCTCCAGATCCTGCACCCTCCCCACCAAATACTCCATCCGTTCCGTCCGCTCCCGATGCAGCCTCCTCGCCATCTCCCCACCCCTGTCCCTGCACGCCTCCAGAACCTCCTCAAGCTCTCGCACCGGATCCTCCCCGCTTGCCCCTTCCAACCATCCTTCCATCATCCGCTGAAATTCCACCGTCTTGAAGGTTGTAGTATTGATTCGATGTAGTTGGTTGGATGTGGTAGGTAGGCTGAGCTGTGGGAGAGCCGCATCAAGATCGTCTGAGAGAGCCAGCACGATCAAGACCGGTCGGTGATCGGAAAGATCCTTGGGATAGTTGTAGATCGTCGAGGCCTGGTCGAGCCTTTTTTGGTGAGCTCTTTGTAGGAGAAAGTAGTCAAGCCGGGAGAAGGAGTTGGGTCGCTTGCGATTGGGATTAGGTCGAGTGAAAGATGGGGTGATGGGGTGCTTGTAGCGGATGCAGTCCGTGTAGGCCGAGTCGAGCTTGCCCATCAGAATCGGCCAGTGGTGGCCGCGCCGACTTTGGTTCCGCCGATCGACTTCTGGGCGCGGGCAGTCGTTGAGATCGCCGCCAAGGAGTCGGAGGTGGGATTTCTGTGTTTTGTGGAGGATCAGTTTGTCGAAGAATTTTGCTCGTTGTTTTGGGTCAACGGGCGCGTAGAGGTTATTGATTTCTAGAATTTTGATGTCGCCCCGCAGACGAAAGGAGGTGACGAGGAGCCGGCCGTCGAGTGCCGAGTGGGTGCGCAAGAGCTCGGCGTCGATCAGGGGCGAGTCGGCCGGGATCAGGGTCAGGCAGTGCTGGTTGATGAAGAGCTTGCCCTCGTACTCGTCCTTGATGAGCTGCCAGAATTGTGGTCTGATGAAATGCTCTTGTAAGAGAATCGCGGAAGCTTTGAATGTGGAAAGGTAGGTGTAGATATTACGTCGTTTTTCCGGGACCCCCATGCCCCTTCTTACGTTCCAGGTGATGATGGTGTGCTTGATTATTAATGGGTAGTCGAGGTCGAGGCGCTCTTGGCGGTGGTGACGTCCTCAAAGAGGGGAAGGGCGGGCAGGACATCGTCCTCGGGCTCGTGGTCGGACCATCGTTTTTCCTCAGCTACCCCTCTTCCTTTCCCTCTGTCCACCTTCGTCACCTCGACCTGCATCGCCGCTGCCGCCGACATCGACCTCGTCACCCTCCGCCCCTCTATTCCATCCTTCACCACGACGCGGCTCTTCCCTTTGATGATGACTCGCTTGGCGTCGGTCGGTTCGTCACTTGGGTCACTGAGGTCCGCCGCAGTCTGCGACCTCTTCATCACCTGCTTCTTGAACTTCGCAGCGGTCCCCCTGATGTTGATGGAGCGTATCTCACCGTCCTCGTCCCACGTGGCAAAGTTGTGACGCACCAAAGGGGTTTCAGCGTTGAGCCTCCTCTCGATGCTTTGGTCCCGCTCAAGTCGTGCCTGCTCAACCCAGTTAGCTCTGATCCTGTCCCACTCCTCCCCCTCGCGTAGCGACTTGGCGAGAGTTTCGGGTGACAGAGGTGGGGTTGGTTCGTGCGGCGTCGATTCGCGGGAAGCGGTGGCGGCGGTTGCTGTGGCGTCGCTGTCGTCGTCATTGTCCAGCCTGTTCGTTTCCCCTAAGTCCGTCGCTTCCGCATTCTCCGCTTTCGTCGATCCCCTCGCTTCGTCCACATCGCCCACCTCCGTCGCCACCTCCTCTTCCTCCATCTCCGTAGCCACCTCTCCTTCCGTTTCACCTCTTTCATCCGCCATCACCTCATTCTCATCAATCACCTCTCCATCGGATCCGCTGCAGTCCTCCAAGACCGACTCGTCCTCGCTTTCAATTTTGATGACCTCCGTTTTCGCGGCCGCCTCCGATTCCATCTCCGAGTCCTCCGAGTCCTCGTCATCCGCCTTATCACCAGCGTCTTCCTCCCCCGATTCCTCCGGTCCCTGTTCGCCCTGGCCAGTTACCTCTTCCTCCTGTCCCTCCTCGACCTCGAGCCCGGCGAAGTGATTCTGTGATGCGATCCTGTTAACAACCAGCACAGGAATGGGGGCCTCGGCCTCCGCGATGTTGGTGTTGTGGGTGATGGTGTTTTTGTTGCTGTTGATGATGCCGTTGTGAGCCTCCTTCCGCTTCCTCTCCTGATCCAGTCCGCAGGTTCCCACGTGACCCACAAAGTGGCACCTACCGCAAGCCGCCTCCTTCTCATAGTCATGGCGAAGGGCGGTAACCGGGATGCCTCGAGTGGGAAGGTCGATCCTCGAAGGTAGAATCTCCTTCAAGGTCGTGTTGGGGCGTTGGAATAGGGAGTCGTCATCGAAGTGTAGGAAAGCCGAGTAGTCTCCGGCAACGTGGGCGAAGGCCGAGGCGTTGTCCACGCTGATAACGCGCAGAACCTGCACAAGTTGGCATGAATGTCCCTTGGCTGACAGGTCTTGCACAAGTGATTGGAACGATTTGATGATGGCATCCATGGAGGGCACTCCTTGAACACCGACGTTGATTCGAAGCTCGACCATGTTATGGTGGAACCTGTGAGACTTCGCGAAGCGGGCCTTCGCCGATCGCCAAGTGAGAGCGGGGGGCGTCGTGAGCGCCGCGTCACGTGCCTCGCCGGTGACGAACCCAACCGTAACGCGATGGTGAGCCGCCCCATTACGCAGGATTGATGAATGTTGTACGCCTAAGATCTGTGGTTGATAAGCCGCAAGATGGTCCGGCAGAGGAACTCCAGGCTCAAAGCAGATAGGAGAGATGGGCGATAGCAGCCTCGTGACGCAGGCCACGAGATCGATCTTGTCGGCATGAGTCGCTCGCGAGGCGCTCTGGTGAGACAGAGTCACTTCAAGGGCGTAATCGAAGATGTTCTCGACGGACCGGTTCGCGTTCAAGGCCGAAAATTTCAGCGATGTGGCGGTGGCGACGGGGTAGAGTTCGGCGAAGTAGATGGCCTGGACCCAGCGATCCATACGGTTTCCGGGTACAGCACCCATGGCTTGTAGGAGGCTGCCCAGAGCCTTGGCACGCTGTTGTTGTTGTTGCTGTTGTTCAGGTGTTTGAGCCGCCATCTGACTCGCAGCGGCAGCATAGTTGGGTGCGGCGGTGGCGGGGCCCGTGACTTGCGTCTTCGAGCTTATCGGGATCCGGTCGCGGGGGGGCTGGACGCTGGTGGCGGATACCGGTGGTGGCGGTGCCGGCAGTGGGGACCCAGGGTCTCCGGTAGACATCTTGTCGGTGTATCACTTGTTAACTCGAGTATCGAAGGCTGCAGTAGGGCAATTTCGAAGTGAAGTGAAGTGAAGTGAAGTGATTTTTTTTTTTGTAGAAAACGTTCATCATATTGCCCCCAATTCCTGTTCCCCCTGTTTCGGCCTACGGAAAAACTAGATGGAAGACTACGATGATAACACAAACCGCCCGCAAAAGTGCGAGAAACGAGCCAAGTCCACCAATCCGAGATTCGGATTCAAATGCCCTAGCCAAGCGGTTGCTCCCCCCCAGGAGACGAATGAGAGAGAGAAAGAGAGATGAAGAGAAAGAGAAAGAGAAAGAGAAAGAGAAAGAGAAAGAAAAGAAATGTACTAACGACAGAAGGCCCACCCCACAGCCACTTCCCACTCGGTCGAGACGAAGACAAGAGCACGACTGCGCAACCACCACGACCCTCGACGCTCCAAGTCTCTGCTCAGTCACAACAAGACGCGGTGAAGGTCCCTCAAAACCTCCCCCTCGGCAGTCCCTGGCCCCTCAAAGCCGACTTTCTGCCTGTGTCCGCTGATCCCTCCCTTGACTCAGAACCCCGAAGCCGAAGAGCGCGAGCCACACCGAGTCGACGCCAAATCGCGAGATGGTCCATGATCCGCAACGGTGAACCTGTAACAAAAGAAAGAGGAAAGCGAGCTATTTAGTGTACAGTAGGAGAAAATGATGTCACGAGAATTTGGTGTGTGTGTGGTGGTGGGGGGAAAGTCGAACCCAGCCTCTACTGCCTTCTCCTCCCCCAAGCTCCTCCCGCCCTCAGCTTCAACCTCTCCTCCAAGATTATCCTCCTCCTCCCAACACCCTCCATCCTCGTCCCCCACTTCTGCATCCCCCACCTCCCGCTGCTGATCATCTCCAAGACCAGCCCGGTGAATATTTCGATCGTCCTCCCCGCTCCTTCTTGATCGCGCAGACTGGCCTTGAGCTTCGGAAGTCCGAACATGCGTTGAACGGCCGTGTAATGCGTGTTGTCGATCGTGTCGAGCCCCAGTGCGTCGCAGAGCACGCCCCTTGCCGCGATCCAAACGTTCCTAGAGTCAACGCAGTCGAAGAAGTAGTGCTCCCGATCGTCCTTGGGCGCTCCACAGACGAGGCACGCGGGCGAGTCGTCGTGCTTTTGATGAAACTGCAGACTCCGAGTCGGGGTGAAGTTCCTGACGAGCTTGAACCACACCTCGCGTTCCCTCGCCGTCAATGCCTTCGAGTTGACCCCCTTCCAGAATCCCTTGAGATCGTCGGGCTGCAGCGAGTCCCTGAAACCGATCGTGTCGGTGAAGGCCTTTGCATTCAAGACTCGGCGGACGCGACGGATGGTGTATGGCCGATCCATGCTGAGCAAGTTGTATTGTGTTGATTGGTCTGGGAGAGCCGGTCTCGGAAGGCGCTGCGGCGGGTCGATCGGATGGGGCAGGATCGACTCGAGCGGCGTGGTGGGGCGGACTCGGGGAGGCCCGTTGATTCGTACTGCCGCCACCGGTTGAGCTATTGGTGTGAACCTCAATCGATTGATCGCATGTCGGTACCATGCCACGATGTGCTCTCGTTGTGGGCGGCCCCGTTGATCGTATTCGCTGTTGCTGACGACCACATCCGTCGGCGGCGTCCAGAGATGAAAGCCCCCGCCCGGGTACAGCTCGCGTCGAAACAGGTCCGCTACCTTGGCGTAAATGGCAAACGCAGCATAGTCGGCGTCGTAGGGTGGTCGCGACACAGCTGGTGCTCCCGGTAGGTAGTGAAGGGTGTGCAACTTGATCGGAAGAGCGAGAAGGTTCGCGAGCGTCAACGTCCTCGGCTTGACTTGCGCATTGTGCGTCGATGGTACCTTCAGCACGGCCTGCCATCTTGGGTGTAGATCGGTTCGGATCGGAGTGTAGTCGCAAGGCCACGCATCGGTTGCCAAGTCAAAGTCGGGGGCGGGATGGGCTCGTACAATCGCCGCGCGCGCAAGTCCCTGCCAGATCGCATCCGAACCGCCAAGAAGCACGTCCCAGACGCGTGCCGCAACCGAGTCGACGACGTCCTGCATCCGCATGACCCCAAGACCCCCCTTGAACCTCGGTGTGAAGACGACGTCCTTGCCATAGCACGACCTCCTCTTGCCGCCGCGGACAAAGTCGGCGAGAATGCGATCAAGCTCCTTGACGACCTCGAGCGGTGGGATGTCGGCGGAGAGGATGTGCAGAATCTTGGGAATGGCGTATCGGTTGACGTAGAACGCTCGGGTGTGGTGTGTGAGCCCTCGGTCCCGTGCCGAATCGAGCACCGCTTCGAGCCGTGCGACGAGATTCACGTTGGCGAGTTCGGTGTTGCCGGTGGGGTCGAAAGATAGGCCGATCCACTCGAGCGACTCGCCCTCGGCCTTGACGACGAGCGGACGATCGCCAGCCTCCCAGCGACACCCGATGGGTAGTACGACGGTCTTGTCGGTGTTGAGCCGGCCATTGGTTGCGAGCCTCCAGTCGAGCGCCAGGTCGTCGAGCAAGTTGAGTGACTCCGAGCCCGCGACAGCGACGACGACGTCATCGGCAAACGCAAGGGATGTAATGGCGCGGCTCTGTGGGTAGGGGTGAATGGTAGGAAGCGAGAGGTTCAGCGCGATGCCTCGACGGTGCAGAGCATCCAGGAACGGCTGGAACACGACATCCCAGACCGACGACGACGCCGGGTCCCCTTGGCCGAGCCCACACGTCAGCCGCACCGGCGGAGTCAAGAAGCCGTTGATGATATATCGCGCCGTGGTTGAGTCACCCGAGTAGAGCATCCTCAGAACGCGTTGGAAGGCGGCAGGAGCGCCGAGAGCGTCGAAGATGGCGAAGATCCATTCGTGCTCGACGAGGTCGTAAGCCGACGATTGGTCAAGAGACAAGAGCGCCGCGTCAGGGAACTCGGTGCCGCGCGCGCCCAGCTCTTCGATCAAGAGTCGCAGGTGGAATGACGCGTCCGCCGATCGGCGGCCCTTGACGAAGCCGTGCTGTTGCGGTGGGAGCAGGTCCGGCAGCACGTGGTTGAGTCGCGCAACGTAGACCTTGGTGAAGAGCTTGTAGTCGCACTCGCGCAAGGTGATGGGCCGGTACGACGAGAGCTCGGCGCGATCGGCCCCGATCTTGTGGTGCTTGAAGAGCAGGCGAGCGAGTCCTTGCCCCTGCTTCGGTGAAAGCGAGCCGCGCTCGGTCATCGCGTTGAAGGCCCTGCTCAGCGCCTTGGCCCACGCCCGCGGCGCTGTGTGATAGAGCTCGTAGGGCACGCCAGATGGACCCGGCGATCGACCGGGGTGTGTTGTTGCGATTGCGGCTACGACCTCGTCCTCGGTGATGGGTTGCTGCAGCAGCTCGATGTGCGCTTCCGAGAGTCGTCGCAGAAAGAGCGGGTCCGAGCTCGGGTCATCGCAAGTGCGCGCCGACCTGATCGGCGCCAAGAAATCGTCCCTAAGTCGCTCGACGTGGTCCCGATCGCGCGGCTCGAGATCGTAGAGGCGCTGAAAGTGCGCCTGTGTGTGGTCAAGCGCGACGTCAATGTCATGTGTCAGCTCTCCGTTGGGCAATCGCAGTGCTGTGATCTTGGAATCCGAACTCCGTGCCGCGAGCTTGGCGTGGACCGGCCGCGACAGTCGTTCCTCGGTAGCGATTTCGGGTACGTGGGCTCGGATCCGAAGTTGGCGCGCGCGCTCGTTGACCGCTCGCCTAAGTTCCTCCGTCGTCCGCGTCCATTCGGCCGTCTCCTCGTCCCCCATCACCGGCAACGCCTCCAGATCCTGCACCCTTCCCACCAAGACCGCCATCCGCTCCACCCGCTCCCGATGCTCCCTCCTCGCCAGCTCCCGACCCTCCTTCGCGCAGTTCCCCAGCACCACCTCGAGCTCCCCCACCGGTTCCTCCCCACTCGCTCCTTCCAACCATCCTTCCAACATCCCCTGGAACTCCGCCGTCTTGAAGGTCGCCGCGTTGATACGATGTAATTGGTTTTATGTCGTTGGTAAACTATTGTTGGGTTGAGCCGCGTCTCCTCGCTCATCCGAGAGAACTAGGACGATCGAGACCGGTCGGTGATCCGAAAGGTCCTTGGGGTGGTCGTAGATCGTCGAGGCTTGGACGAGTCGCTTTTGGTGGGTGCGCTGCAGAAGGAAGTAGTCAAGTCGTGAAAAGGACTTTGGTCGCTTGCGGACGATGTTGGGTCGAGTGAAAGATGGTGTGAGCGGGTGTTTGAATCGTATGCAGTCGGTGTAGGGCGAGTCGAGCTTGCCGATCAGGATCGGCCAGTGATGGCCGTGCCGACCTTGGTTCCGCCGATCGATCGCCGGCAGCGGGCAGTCGTTGAGATCGCCGCCGAGGAGTCGAAGGTGGGTGCTCTGCGTCCTGTGGAAATGTAGTTTGTCAAAGAATGTGAGTCGTTGTTTTGTATCGACTGGTGCGTAAATGTTGTTGATCTCGAGTATCCGGATGTCGCCTCGAAGTCGAAAGGAGGTGACCAGGATTCGTCCGTCGAGTGCCGAGTGGGTGCGCAAAATCTCGGCGTCGATCAGGGGCGAGTCGGCGGGGATCAGAGTCAGACAGTGTTTGCTGATGAAGACCTTGCCCTCGTACTCGTCCTTGATACATTGCCAGAGTTCCGGTTTGATGAAGTGTTCTTGTAGTAGAATGGCAGATGCTTTGAATGTTGATAAATAGGTGTAAATGTTGCGTCGCTTTTCCGGGATCCCCATGCACCTCCTCACGTTCCAGCTGGTGATGGTGTGCTTGATCATTATTGGATAGACGATGTAGACGTGCTCTTGGCGGTAGTGTCGTCCTCAAAGAGTGGGAATTCGGGGAGAATGTCATCCTCGGGCTCGTGGTCGGACCAGCGCTTCTCCTCCTCCACCCCTTTACCCTTCTCCGCTTTCGCCTTGGCCCCCTCGACCTGCATCGCCGCCGCCGCCGACATCGACCTCGTCACCCTCTTCCCCTGACCCGCTACCTCCTTTCCTGCTCGACCTTTGACCCTGTTCAGAACGCGCTTGATATCGACCGGGTCGTCGCTCGGATCGCTGAGATCGGCCACCGTTTGCGACCTCTTCATCTTCTTGTTCGACCCGGAGCCGGTGCCACGAATGTTGATGAATCGCAGTTGTCCATCTTCCTGACCCCACTCTGCAAATTGGTGGCGAACGAGCGGTTCCTCCGCGTCGAGTTGGGCGTTGATGATCGCCTCCTTTTCTGCTTGGACACGTGCAGCAGCTTCGGCGTTAGCTCGGTCCCACTCCGCACCCTCGCGCAGCGACTTTGCCAACGTCTCAGGAGATAGTGGAGGCCACGAGGGACTCCGAGGAGTCGACTCGCGGGAAACCGTGGTGATCGTCGTTTGGTCGTCGTCGATGATCATGATGCTGTCGTCCTGTACCCCCTGTTCCTGCTCGACCTCTTCTTCCACCTCCGTCTCCGTCCCTTCGTCCTCCTCCTCTGCTCCATCTTTCATCACGTCATCCCCATCGTTTCCTTCGTCCTCCCTTTGTTCGCTTCCCTCCGAGCTGTCGTCCTGTTCGTCCTCGTCGTCGTCCTTGTCGTCGTCCTTGTCGTCGCCTCCCGCCTTGTCGATGCCCGCTCCGGCGTTCCCATCCGAGTCCGAATCCTCGTCGTCCGCCTTGGCGCCCGTATCCTCTTCTCCTTCTTCGACCTGCTCCTTTTCCTCGCCCTCCTTTCCTGCATCCTCCTCCTCGACGTCATCCTCCTGTCCTCCTTCGACCTCGAGCCCCGCAAATCGGTTCCGCGATTCGAGTTGGTCGGTTCCGAGGGCGCGGCTAGGGGCCACAACCTCGGAAGCGTCGTTGTCGGTGTTGTTGGTGTTGGTGGTGTCGTTGTTGTTGTTGTTGGTGTTGGTTGGGTTGTTGTGGTACTTGTTGTGCCTTCCGGTGTTGTTGTTCGCTTCCTTCTGCCTCCTCTCCTGTTCCAGCGCGCAGGTCTCCACATGCCCCACAAAGTGGCACCGAGCACAGGCCGCTTCTCGTTCGTAGTCGTGACGAACCGCCGTATGCATGTTGCCTCTAGTGGCTAGAGAGACCTTCGACGGTAGGAGCTCCTTCAGCGTGTTGTTAGGGGCTTTGAAAAGGGCGTCGTCGTCGAAGCGGATAAAGGCCGAAAACTCGCCGGCCAAGTGCGCATAGGCCGAGTCGTTATCGACGTGGATCACGCGCAAGACTTGTACCAGCTCGCAACGGTGTCCCTTGGCTGTGATTTTGGTGACAATTGATTTAAAAGAGTCAACAATGGCATCCCTGGATGGGACCGCTGCGACACCGACGTTGATACGCAGCTCGACCATGTTGTGGTAGAAGTGGTGGGCCTTTGCGAAGTGAGCCTTTGCAGAGTGCCAAGTAAGCGCCAGTGGGGCCGTAAGCGCCGAGTCACGTGCCTTCGCCGAAACGAATCCCACGGAGATACGGTGGTTGACCACACCGGCCCTGACGAAAGACGAGTGTTGGATACCCCTAATCTGGGGCGCAAACGCCGCAAGGTGCTCGGGAAGGGTGACCTCGGCGTCGAAGCACAGGGGCGATTGCGGGGAGAGCAGTCTCGTGACGCAACCGAGCAGATCGGCCTTGTCCGCGGGAGAGGCCTTCGAGGCGCCTTGGACGGTCAAAGTGACGTCGAGAGCAAAGTCGAAGATGTTTCGAATGGATCGATTGGCGTTGAGAGCCGAATACTTGAGCGATGTAGCGGTAGCGACAGGGTACTCGTCGGTGGCGAAGGTGGCTTGCAACCACCGGTCGGTGCGATTGCCCGGTACAGCACCCATGACTTCGAACATTTGGGTCAAAGCCTTGGCACGGTGTTGTTGTTGGGTCTGCTGCTCGGGAGTCTGCTTGGTCTTTTGAATCGCGGCGGTGGCGTAGGTCGCGGCGGCGATAGGGACTTGCGTCTCCTTTGTCCCAATCGGGACGCTCGTCGCCGCGGACGCCGATGGTGGGGGTGGGCCGGTCTCGCCGGTCTCCATGCTAATGTAGGCTGATGTATCACTTGTAGCTTCGAAGGTGGTGGGTGGCGAGATTTCGAAAGTGAAAGTGAAAGTGAAAGTGAAAGTGAAAGTGAAAGTAAGTGAAAGTGAGAGATTTTTTTTTTTTGTAGAAACCGTTCATCATATTGCCCCCAATTCCTGTTCCCCTGATTGGCCTACGGAAAAACTAGATGGAAGTCGACGATGATAACACAAACCGCCCGCAAGATGCGAGAAACGGGCCAAGTCCACCAATCCGATACTTCGGATTCAAGTGCCCCAGCCAAGCGGTTGCTCCCCCCCAGGAGACGAATGAGAGAGAGAAGAGAAAGAGAGAAAATGAAAAAGAACTGGCGTACTAACGACAAGAGGCCCACCCCGCACCCACTTCCTAACTCGGTCGAGACAAAGACAGAAGAGCGACTGCGCAGCTACCCTGACCCGCGAAGTCCCAAGTCTATGCTCGGTCACAACAAGACGCGGTGGAGGCCCCTCAAAACCTCCACCTCAGCAGTCCCTGGCCCCTCAAAGCCGACTTTCTGCCTGTGTCTGCTGATCCCTCCCTTGACTCAGAACCCCGAAGCCAAAGAGCGCGAGCCACCGTCGAGTCAATCCCAAAACGCAAGCCGGTCCATGAGCAACGGAGGCAGACCTGTAATAAAAGAAAGATGAAGAAAAGATATTTAGTATACAGTTTTTGTAAGAGGATGTGTGATGTGGGTGTGTGTGCGTGTGGAGTGGGGTGGGGGGAAATCGAACCTAGCCTCTACTGCCCTCGCCTGCCTCTTGCTCCTCCCGCCCTCAACTTCATCCTCTCCTCCAGTACCACCCTCCTCCTCTCCACGCTTTCCATCCTCGTCCCGTGCTTCTGCATCCTCCATCTCCCACTGCTGATCATCTCCAAAACCATCCCCGTGAAGATCTCGATCGTCCTGCCCGCGCCTTCCTGTGCGCTGAGCTTGGCCTTGAGCTTGGGGAGGCCATGAGAGATTTTTTTTTTTATTACTGGGGCTCATAAATTGCAATCCTTCGGGTTGGCTGGGACCGCTACAAAAAGAGCTAAAAGAGGTTATAAAGCAACGACGGCAAGCAATTGGGTGAAAGTCAAACCCCTGCGCGCAAAGAGCGCTGCGCAGATCAAAACCCGCCGAGCACCTAACGCGGACTCCAACGGGCGGTGAGTACTGCTGCCGCTTCACGTCCCAAGAGCGGGAGCGAAGATACTCGAAAACCAGGCAAGAGCGCCTAGAGAAAGAAAGGGGGAGAATATACAAAAATTCACGACCGGAAACACGGAGAACCAGGAATACTAAGACAGAGAGGAGGGGAGGAGGAGGGGAACACACCCGAGGGGCCAAGGGAGGGGGTCGAAGCCAGAGCTAGAGGTCCCCAGGGACTGACAGGCCGCAGCCAAGCCCCAGCTACTCGTCACCCCGACAGCGCCTGATGTCCTCCCTTGGCTGAGTCTCGAGTGCTGGCTGTTGAGCCGTCGGGGCCGAGCGAAAACGATCCAATACAACGAAACAAGCCTCGCCTTGACGCGAGGATATTGACCAAAAAAACAAGCGACCTTTCTTCCCGATCCATGCCGTAGATCTTGACCAACGCGAACGAACGATCTATTCGACGGAATCCAACACACGGCTTAGGAATAAAAGGAGAAGTGGCTGAAGCGTAGTCAACAACCGAGCAACAGGAACGAGAAGAGGAAGGGAAGGGAGAAAGGGGAAAGAGAGGGGAGAACTTCACAAAGCCTCCAACGCAACGACGATCGACCCGGCTTGCCGATCCATCCAAGAACGAAAATCGCTACTGCGCAAAGTAGAGAGAGGGAGAGGTGCGCAGCCTTCCACTGCGCAACAAGTTTCAAGACAGTCAGCTTCTGACCGAAAAGGAAGGGGGGAAAGGAGGGGAGGAAAATGGGAAGGAAGGACTTAACTCGGTCATCACACCTCCCAATCTCGAACCCCAGGCACAAAACCCGCTCGAGAGAGAAAATCTCGCTCGAACGCTCTGAGCGCACTGGGAAGCGAGGGAGGGGCCACGACGTTGTCCAGCTCGAACCGCTGATGAACGCGCCAGCGGAGCAGGTGCAGCCGCTGGAAGCCGATCGCGCAGGCCAGCCGAACCCACATCCATTTCGAGGTCGTTCTCCCACGACCCCGCAAAAGGGGGAGCCCCATAGTCAGCTGCTCCGGAGTGAACGTCGACGGATCGACGTCGGTATCCTCGATGCCGAGCTTGTCAAGCAGAATGCGTAGCACCCCACCCCAGAAGCTGGTCGAGTACGCGCACTCGAAAAAGTAGTGGGACACCGTCTCGATGACCGCTGCATCGTTGCCGCAGAACAGACACGTCGGCGAAGAGGCATGACCCTGAGTATGCTGCCTCTTGCGCGTCGGCGTCACGTCGTACATGAGCCGCCAGTGGGTGTCCTGCTCGACAGCAGACGCGAACCGGTCATGAAGCCATCTCCAGAAGCGCTTCCTATCGCTCTGAGAAGTCCCATCAGGGAAACGCTTGACACGGTCCTCCCTCCCTGGGAACCGCACCTTGTTCACAAGCCGACGAAGCTTGCGAATCGTAAAAGGTCGGGAGAGCCCAAAGAAGTTGAAGCACCGAGGACGGGGAGCCTCCTTGAGAGGTATCCGAGCAGGTCGCAACGCGGTCTTGGGCAGCAACGCTTTCGCCTTGAGCAACTGACCCACGCGCGACCACACGTGCTCGTGCTGTAGGGCGGGTTCCTTAGAGTGCTGCCAGAACCCGCGTCGATGACCAACCAGAGCCCATCCCTTCCCTTCGTCCCTCCAGTACAGGTCCGCGATCTGCGCAAACTTCGCCACCGCGTCCGCATCGTCATATGCGTGCTGGGCACCTTCAGCATAGAGTGAAGGGAGGCGAGGCGGAAGCGAGAGCAATTCGGGAAGCGTAAGGAGTTCGGACTTGATGGTTGGAACTGTAACCCTGGCCGCTGCAACGACTGCCCCCCAGCGCGTCGAGTCGCGATACAGCTTCTCGACCCGAGCCGTGCTGCTGAAGAACCCCCACGGACTGAAATCGCGGGTCGCAGCGACGAGGGACCTCCAGCTCTCGCGAGCTAGGGGCGCCCAGATCGCCTCGTCCGAGCCCGCCACAGCATCCCAAAATCGAAGCGCCACCGAATGAACGATGTCGCCAATCGAAATCAAACCCAAGCCACCGTCCTCCCGAGCCTGGAACACGAAATCGCGAGCGACGGTATTTCGCCCTGCTTCTCCCCAGACAAAGTCCGTAAGTGCCGTCTCCGCCGCCTTAATGAACCATTGAGGCGGTATGTCGAAGGACAGCACGTGGAGGACCGTCGAGATGATGTGAGCGTTGGCATAGAAAACCTTCCCACTCGGCGAAAGTGTCCGGTCTCGAGCGGTGCGGGCCTTGGCCTTGATCCTGTCAAGAACATGGGTCCAAAACAGTTTCGAGTCACCGTGGCGAAAGAAGGCATAGCCGCACCACTTGAAGCTCTCCCCCTCCTGCACCGTTGGCAGCGCCTGCGCAGTCTCGTCCCGAAGCCAGTTCGGTCCGAGTGGTAGCACCAGCGTCTTGTCCGTGTTGGTCTTCCCGTTGGTAGCCTCGTACCACGTCTGCGACAGCGTTTGCAGCTTCGACAATGCCGCCGGTGACTCCACCACCACCACAGCATCGTCGGCAAACGCCAGATGCGTAAGCTGCGCACGCGGCCCCCCTGGCCACACCTTCTGCAGGTCGAGCGCGATCCCGCGCCGAACGAGGGCGTCGAGGAAGGGCTGGAACGTGATGTTCCAAACCGGGCACGAGAGGGGATCCCCCTGACCGAGACCACACAGCAACCGCACCAAGTCCGTGGGGAACCCATTGACAAGGTAGCGCACCCCCAGAGTCTCGGGATCGTAGAGAGCGCGCAGCAGCGAGATGAAACGCTCACCGAACCCAAAGGCCTCAAAGACCTCGAAGATCCAGGCGTGATCGACCCGATCGTACGCGCTCTGCTGATCCAAAGACAAGAGGGCGCCCTCGGGGAAAACATCAGTGCCTAGCGACTTGAGTTTTTCGAGAAGGAGAGTGAGATGACTTCCCGCGTCCGCTGAACGTCTTGATGGCATGAAACCGTGTTGCGCCGGCGGTAAAAGCTCGCCGAGCACCCCATTGAGTCGCGCCACCAAGACCTTGCTGAGGACCTTGTAGGTCGTCTCGCGCAATGTGATCGGTCGGTATGCCCCCAGTGATTTCAGATTGGCCCCCGGTTTCTTCTTGGGCAAGAGCCGCACCAGCCCCTCTGCCAAGGACGCCGTCATTTTGCCGCCCTCCCAAATCGAGTTGAACAAGTCCAACAGCTTGGGAGCAAAGTAGGTTGGCAGCGCCTTGAAGAGCTCGTACGGAATGCCCGAGGGCCCCGGTGATCGCCCCGAATCCGTCTTCTTCAACGCCGCTTCAACCTCGAGGAGGGTGAAGGGCTCGTCAAGCGCCACTCTCGCTTGACGAGGCAGCCGACGACCGAACGTAGGGTCCGAGCGGTCGTCATCGTAGCATTTCGCTGCGCGAATAGGGTCGAGCAGGGACCGGCGTGCGTTCGTCGGGTCGCCACGAGCTGGGTCCGGCGTGAAGAGCGACTGCGCGTGCCGTGAAGCAATACCCAGCGCCTCCTGCATGTCAACGGTCTCGGTGCCATCCACATCCTCCAGCGAGACGATGCTCGTCTGGCGACTCCGGCGGTTGAGGCGCGTGCGAATGCTTGCCGATTGACCTTCCCTCGAGTCGACTGACGGCACATGCGCACGAATGCGCAGCCACTGAGCCTCCTTTACCGCCAACTGGTCCAACCGCGACTTGGCAAGAGCATACACATCGCGCTCGGCCTCATTCATGTGCTCACCGCGTGCCTCCAAAGCCTCCATGACGGATTGGCTCTCGGCCCGCAGTCGGCGCATGTCGGCACGAGTCGAGCGGTATCGTGCATGGCCAGCGACTGCAACCGCCCGCAGAGCGGCGTCATAGACGTCGCCGAGCGGAGCGGTCCCCTCGAGCCTTTGATAGACCTCGTCGACGACCCCGGGAATCGATGCGACAAAGTCTTGATCGTCAAAGACCATTGGGTTGAGCCTCGAAATGAAATCGCTCGTGGAGGGAAGAGAAAGGGGGGGTTCGGCATCAGCGTTCGATGTAGGCAAAGCGAAAGTCGCAACTACAGGTCTGTGGTCCGAACAGGGCGCATCGAAGAGCGTAGAAGCGCTCAACAACCGGTTCGCCCAACTGCATTGGACAAGAATATAGTCGATCCGCGACCACGAGCAAATCTTTCGCTCTTCCCCTCTACCACGGTAGTGAGGACGAGTGAATGCAGGGGTGCAAGGATGGACATGTCGGACCGTGTCGAGTGCCTTGAACGCGATCTTTGACAGCAAGGTCTGCCAGTGCGATACAGGAGTCCAAGCGCGATCGGTGATGGACACTCGGTCGACCGATACATCCGGACAATCGTTGAGATCGCCGGCCAAGATCCGAAGAGTCTTGGGTCTCGGGGCGTTGAAGTGCAGAAGCCCGAAAAAGTCGCGACGATCGTCCTCCTGCACCGGCGCGTACATGTTGATGATCTCGACATCGAGCTCCTCAAGACGAAACACCGAGCGCAGAATCCGACCGTCGAAACGAGGAGCTCCTGCAAAGACGACCGGGGTAGAGGAAAGGAGATGGCCCGCCAAAGGTGAGCCATCGGGTATGAGGGTAAGGACATGAGGAGTGAAACGAATACAAGCCCCCGGCCAAGCACTCTCGAAGCCTTCGCGCGACGCGTTGTAGCTGAGGTGGTGCTCTTGCAGGAGGATGGCCGCAGGGGCCGGCCGAAGGGTTTTGAGATAACGGATGATTTTGACTTGGTTGACTGCGTTCTTCATCGATCGGACGTTGAACGTCAACACGGTGAGTGACTCAATCATGATTAAATCAGTTCGGCGCCGCCCCCCTCGAATTCGGTCACCTCGGACCTGTGACCCCCTGAACTGTTGCCCCCTGAGCCATCACCCCCTGATGCACCGAGGATCATGGCGGATCCTGCCCGGGTGACACGTCGGTTGCCGGGTGCCGAGCTCGAACGAAGGCGTCGAGGACTCGTCGAGGCTATCGAGGTTGTCGAGGTTGCCGATGATCCCGAAGTGCCACCGGACAAAGGCGAAGGAGAGGTCGGGGTCGAAACGGGCGCCGCCGTCGTCGTCTCTTCCCCAGTGTCGCCGCCCTCCGGTTCGGTCGAAACGATCGACTCGTCGTCGCCGTCGTTCGCGTCGTCCTTGTTGGCGGTTACTGCACCTGCGGGGTTAGCACGAGGTCCCAGCTGGATCATGTTCGCGCCAGAGACACGAGAGTTCAATGCGGCAGGCCCACCGTGCTTCCCATTCTTTCCAGCAACTCGGAAGCCGGTGGTCGAAGTCGAAGTCGAGGTCGAGGCCCCCGGAACAGGGGCGGCGGTGGCCGGAGTCGAAACCGGCTTCCTGCAAGCGCCCCACTGGTGTCCGGCGCGATCGCACACCGCGCAGTAGTGCGTTTCGAATTCGTGTCGCAAGCCGTACTTGGCGCCCAGGATCTCGATCTCTTGTGGCAAAGCGGCGTTGAGCGCACCCTTCTGCGTCTCGATGGAGCCTTGGAAAAGATCAGCATGTAAGCGAAGGTACGCGCAGTGGAACCCGTCTTCGGTCATGGCCATCGGATCGCCATTCGGATCGACCGCGAGGCCCCGCTGTAATTGCATCAGGGTATAACCTTGCGTGCGACCTGCGCGGCCGAACGAAAGGGTGATAGCATCATCGAGAGATTTTCGGAGCACGGAAGCGGGGATCGCGCTGGAGGAGGAGGGCAAGGTGAATCGCACCTGCACGACGTGGTTAAGGGGAGAGGCGCTGGGGAGCTCGGTAACCATCTCCTTGCCGTGGTAGGGGAATGGGCCCACTGAAGCGGCTTCAAGACAAGCTTGCTCGGATTCGAATACAAGCTCGTACATGTGACGAGCGATCGGGAACCTCTTCGTGGCTTTCGTCACAATCGGGTTCAGCTTCACGCATTTCGAGAAAAGCTTCTCGACCTCGGGGTCAAGCACGACGCCCTCGGGCCGCGCGAACATGAACGGCGTCTCGGCCAATCCAAAGTGCTTGCGCAGCGCGGTCTGTACAGGACCTCTGGGTGATCCAGGACCATCCATAATGACTCGAATCACATTGGAGGCCGGGGCTGCGTCGTTTCGCACCGCTCTTTGGGCGGCTCGTGCGAGCGCTGGCGCCTGCGAAGGCGGGGTCGAGGCGTCGTGCATCAGGACCATCAGTCGGCGGGTCGACTTGCTGGAGGGAACAATCCCGAGCACTTGGAAGGTCTTCTTCATCAGCTTCTCATGGTCCAACCGGACCTGAGTTGCCTCGGGCGACCAAGCTGGAGAATTCGCGGTTCCTCCAGTGACCGCTTCACGCGTTTGCGTGTTGAGTGATGAATCACTCGCGCCATTACCACCCAATAGGTCCTCGGGCGGGGGCGCATCGGCGCCGGGCGGATCCGGCATCGCGTGTTTGTGTTGACCTGTAAAGCTTAACGGGCTTGGAGGTCAACTACTCACTCTACACCACAGAAACTCACTTGTGCGTGTGTGTGTGTGTGTGTGTGTGTGTGTGTGTGTGTGTGTGTGTGTGTGTGTGTGTGTGTGTGTGTGTGTGTGTGTGTGTGTGTGTGTGTGTGTGTGTGTGTGTGTGTGTGTGTAAGCAATTGGGTGAAAGTTTTCCGACCCTCAAGTAACAACTTTATATCTAGCAACACGTCGCGAGGCCGACATCAGGGTGCGGTGGGACAGTGGTTACTCCGGCGATTTACTATCGATTTCCCCAAGTGGCATGTCGCTGCCATTTGGCTCCTGGGTTCAAATCCCAGTCGCACCTTTGTTTTTGTCTCTTGACAACCGCGACTCGGCTCGCTCGTTGCTTGAGAATAATTGCAGCAATGCCTCTTTTTGCTTTTTTGACAGAGCTGTAAGACTTGATTTTCTCCAATTTCTGCAAGGCAGATCGAGGCAGAACAAGGTGATCACTTTGGCCCGGCGAGGGCAGACAGAGATAGACTGTATGACAGGCGCAGTCCCGAAGTAGCCTGCGAAACGAGGAAAGCGCTCTGATCGTTCTACCCCTGTCTTGTTGGCATTCTGACGCGTTCCGAGCTGGCATCAAGCAATCCTTTTCTAACTCTTTTACGTTGACGTTATTTGCGATTCGCATTCGCGTCGAACGTGGCTGCAGAGGGTGGCGGTAAAGTTTTAAGTCGTAATTTCCAGCTAGTCTTGTTCAAAGGCGATCACTCACCGGCTCTTCTGAGGTCTACTGAGAAAAAGGCTACCCTCTTAGGAGGCCGGAGGCACCCGAGCGACTAGCCGACGCGCCTCGCTCCACCCGTTTTCCTTCCTTCGCACGCCGCCTCCGTCGCTTCGCTTGCTGCTTCGGCCTTCAGCCCGAAGCATCCTTCACATCTCACACCGATCATGGCTACAAAGCGTGGAGGTAAAGTAAACGCCGCCACCGGCTCTTCTGAGGTCTCCTGACGAACGGCTAGAGGCACGTAGGAGACCGGAGGCACAGGAGCGACTGACTAGCCGACGCGGCTCGCTCCACCAGTTGTTCTTCTTTCGCACGCCTCCTCCGTCGCTTCGCTTGTTGATTTAGCCCAAAGCACCCCTCACAATTCACACCGAACATGGATACAGAGAGTGGAGGTAAAAATGATCACCCACCGGCTTTTCTGAGGTCCTCTGACAAACGGTAAGAGGCACTCAGGAGACCGGAGGCACCGGGGCGCCTAACTGACGCGGCTCGCTCCACCCGTTGCAGTGCCTTCTTCGCACGCCTCCTCCGTCGTTCGTTTAGCTTGTTGATTTAGCCCAGCATGCTTCCTTCACAATTCACAACTGTGCTACTTGCGACGACGATTGTTCTCGGCGCGGTGTCAACTTATGCCAGTCTACTTTGCACTCATGCCGGTGGACGCACCACCCGACTCGAACAGGCTCTCGGCCGCCCAGGCACTTTCCCCCGAGCTTTTGACGGATATCGCTGAATACGTCCGTCAATTCGAGATTTACGACACTATTTGGGTGCATCGGTTGAACCGGGACGTCTGCAATGCGTCTTTGGTCTGCAGATCCTGGCGTGACGTATTTCAGCGACAGCTAGTGGCACGACTTAATCTCTTCACGTCCAGGCAGGCGAATGCGCTACTCGCGTCCCCCTTGATCGAAAGGTACGCCACCCATGTCCTGTCGCTCAAGTATCTCGACGACGTGGATCATGTCAAGGTCATTGGAGGACTACGTTTCGTCACGGAACTCTACCTCAGCTGTTCCACATCGGACACGCTCACCATTGATCAATCGGTGTTGCAAACCTTCCAAGGTACGGAATGTGGTTCATTTTGAGTCATCATGTGGGAGATCAACTGATACTAGCTTTGGCGATACTTCTCTCGTGAGCTAGCCCTCCAACGGCTCTATATATACAAATGCTCGATGAAGCTGCGCTTTGGTGCGGACAGGGCTACCCCTGTGGTACTACCCAGCCTAAGGACTCTTAGTCTGAACTTCGTAGCGCCGATCACTGTGTTTTCAGTGACTCAACTCCTGGTGATGCCCGCCCTCGATGATCTCAGGATCAGCCATCCGGCTACCTACGATCACAGGTCCTATAGGTCAGTCTGATCTTTGTGGCGCCGTCCACTGTGTTTTCAGTGACTCAACTCCTAGTGATGCCCGCCCTCGATGATCTCAGGATCTATCCGGCTTACCGCGGTCATAGCTACTATGGGTCACTGTTTAACCTACTCGCTGCTTGCGGCTCTCGTCTCGGCTGTTTACATCTCGATCTCTACGAGCCGGATCCAGACCGGCCGGCGTTCGCATACATGATTCAACTTGCGCATGACCTTCCGCACCTTTGCCCGTCACTTCGGACAATCAGATTGCAGGTTTTCTGCCCCTGGTACAAGGGTCTCGGGCGCGACTCGTTTTACAAGGAGATGATCGCCAACATCACCTTGGCCAGTACGCAGATGCAGATCAGGGAAATGAAGATTTGGTTCCGCGAATGTCACCCGCTTCCAATCGGCATCTGGCTCGCGGAGCTCGTCAGTGCACTCGACAACTTCCCTTACCTCCGAGTTCTGGAGATAGGGGGATCGTTTTACAGACTTAGTCCTAATAAGTCTGAGCAACGCCCCTTGCAACTATTGGTGGCTCTCAAGTGCGCCGACGATTTGAGAAAGGCATGCGAGGGGAGATCGATCGACTTGGACCTACCCGAGGACATCTGCTTTCGCAACGACTAGTCTTCAGCGGGTTCAACATGGGAGATCTCAGACTTCACTCTCGGATTCTGGAATCGAACTTTGGATTGTAGTCGTTTTACTGGCGCCCACTTTGGATTGAAAAAGACTTCTTATAATATGGTCGTACAGAGAGCTGCAGCATTCGAAGCCCGCCGCACAGGCTCCGGTGTAAGGGGATGCCTTACAGAAACAGCCCCATAAGTAGCCTCTGAGTAGCTAGAACTGTCGAGTTATAGTTACGACTTGCTTTTAGCCTAGCGGTCAAGAACGACAGATTGTATTTTATGCACATCAGAGGCGCATACCTTACATCCGAGGTCGAAGAAGCGCTTGGAGCTGCCAGCGACTTGACTCACGTGGTCGGTAGGGGGCGTGCCAAGACCTTCCGGTTGCAACAGCTGTCAAGGCTATAGTAACGCAGCAGGAATTTATATGGGAAAGGCCGGCTCGACACCATGAGGATAGATGATTGTGAAAAATACGGAACGCCCGGCGGGCGGCGGCGTCCGAGATGCTAATAGGAGAGAGAAAGACTGCGCGACTGGGGCTCATAATGTGGTTTCTCTGCTTAGCTCCACATCTGTCAAACGATTCGAGCACAAATCTGATTTGAGCTCGAGCAGCGTCCGGACACGGCCAGCTTCGCCGCCAGGCTTTTTGTGGGTCTGCTGGATAACCCGATCGACTGGTCCGGATGCGCCGTTGGGGGCCGTGCCAACTTGTGCAAGCTGCGAGTGCCAAGTCGCTCTTGGCCAGTTTCCCAAAGTCAGAATCCTCGACGTAGATATGACGGTCCTCGCGGCAGGAGAGAGGTCTAGGCTGAGAGCGCTGAGACTAGACTTTCGGGGACGAGGTGCGAGGGAGTTCTCGAGGGAGGATCAGATTAGGACTGCGACGCAACTGAAGCAGGACTTGAACTGTCGGACTTCTCGAGAAGGGTAAAGAGTGTGGTAGGAGTATGAGTATGAGTGTGAGGATATGTTTTAGTTGTTGGTAGGTACGAGGATGAGTTGTTGCTTGTAGGAAGCAAAGGAGAAACTACCCAATGGCCGGCTTAAATAGTATAGTAGTAAAAGCCATGGAATGTTATCGAAGGTCATGGAAGGTTGAGGAACGAGGTGGAGTTTTATGGAACGAAGACGACTTTCGGGTTTCGGCGTGCTGTCTCAAAGAGGAAGGTGAGGATAGGACCGGCGTTAGTCGCGCTTGATCTTCGAGGAGTTGGACTTCGGCTCAACAAGATCGTTACAGCAGAGTCTTACGTCGGAGATTCGATACACGATCGCGAACCCAAGGTGCTTACCACTGCCCTACATGGCACCGATCAAAAAACGCTCGCTCAACATGCAAAGAGTTGGAGATGGCTTGCCAGCGCAAATGCATTCATCTCAAGTCATTAGGGGTGCTCATCTTCGCGTTTCTTGGCCGCACTTTCTTCGAGCGACGAATGGTGGACGGATCTTGAGTAGATAGACATGCAGCAGATGCAGAACGAATCGCCGTCATCATTCGGCGGAGACGTGTTTCAACTTACAATAGCGGCTCAATGACACTAATGCTCGAACTGGATTCTGACGCAGATTATCGGACCGCGAAAAAGTACGAGAGATCGACTCGCGAAACTGAAGAGCTTATCCCATCAGCCGTACCCGGTAGACCCCATTAATTGTCCCTTTAGGAGTTTATGCCCAAGTGCGCAACTCGTTGACCACCTCCTTGTGACACCCAAAACGCCAGTGATACAAGCCTGCTCGGAGTGGGCCTGCCAATAAACTGCGTCAATTGGAAGAGCTTCAAAAGCACGTTCAGACTCGAGACCGGATCGAGGGGTCAGGGGTGGGGATGGTGCGACCGAGTAGACACCTTCTTCGGATCCATTCACGTTTTGGCACGACATGGGCTTCGAGCTATTCTTGTCATCAAACTTGTACGTATTGGTCGGAGTGGCGTGTGCAGTCAAGATACTGGGGTTTGCTTCGACGGCTGGTGCAGAGGATGAGTGCACACTCAACCAGTCCCAACGCTCGAGCTCAGAATCGAGCTCCTGTAAACCCACAGACCATGCTCTCGCTCGATGATAAGAACTGCCAGGTCACAAAGTACATTGCACCATCTGTTTCTAGAGGGGTATTCAGCCCGGTTCAATTACACTTCTGACCGAACCAGCTCCGTCTACTTGATCTTGTCGAGCGGCCTATTGAATCCACCGAGCCTATTCATGTACTGCCGGTGGGTTCTCGGCTTCTTGATCTCGACGTCGGCCAGATCCTCCTGCACGTGCTTGGCATGCGTCGAATCGAACGACGTAAAGCCCATCATCGCCGCCATCGCCGCGGCTGAATCGTCCTCGTCCTCTTCCTCGACTTGAGCGGAGGCGTCACCGTTGGCCTTGGAGGCGTTCGGGGATACGGATCGAGAGGGAGAAGCTCGTCGTTGCTGATGAGGATCTTGAGGTCTTGAAGGTGGAGAGGAACGTCGCTGATGATCCGATCTTCGTCTGGGGGGTGAACGAGAGCGAGAGCGCGACCGATCCCTACGCTCCCCGTTCCTCGAAGAAGAAGGGTAGTCCCTCTCACTTGCACCTCGTCGTGAGTCGTGACTGGATCGTGTATCATCCTCTTCGTATCGCCTGCGTCGAGGTGGCGATGCTCGTCGTGCAGTCGAAGAGTACGAAGCCTCGTCACCGTCATCGTCCCGTCTCCTCCTCGCACCACCGTCGCTGCCACGCCGATCATCTCTAGCGTAGTCGTCGTAGCGTCGTCTATCCCTGTCCCCGTTGAATGTCGTGTTGCTGCTATCCAAGTCGGCATACGAGGTCGCGGCCCTTGCTGCACCGGCACCGTACGACCGGGAGGAGTCCCGCGAGTCCCGCGAGTCACGCGAGTCACGAGAATCACGCCCGTCACGGCTTGGGTAGTCTTGGGTGCGACGAGACGAGTCGTACGAAGGTCGATCTCGGTAGGACATGGTTGGCTTGGTAGTTGATTGTGCAGTGGTTGTGGAGGGCCGGTGTGGGACCAGGGACAGGGGGACGATTGCCGCGCGGACTCGACGGAAGATATGAACGAACGAATTCATTAGACTTCACTAGACTTGATTGGGCGGGCGCGCTCACGCGGGCACGGACCATCGGAAACGAGTCCCGCAATTTCACCGCGCCGTGCTGTACTACATTGCACTAGACATCGCTCTCACGCCGATTCAAATTCTCTACATATCTGCTGAAATACTGAGACTTTCAAATCGAAAGGGATGAATCTGATCGCCCCACTGCCATGATTCTCACCTAATTGAAGCTGCCTCAGAAAACTTGAAGTTGAAGCGATCGATCGTCATCGGCGAAGCTCCAGTCGAGCGTCCGAGTCGTTCACCTCCCCCCACCTCTCCATCCATCCACCCAGAATCACTCCCCGAAAAAAGCAATGGCCGGTCGAATTCCAGTTGGTAAAGCGATCCTCATGACGGGTCTCGTCACTGCATTAGGCTACGGTATCATGGCCGGTAAGTCATCGTATCGCAGCGTCACAGCTCTTCATCATCGCGTCCACTTTGGACAACGCTGACCTCCTCTTCCTACATCCTCACATTATTCACATCCTCTGGGCATCTTCACACAAACCGGGCACTTTGATTGGACGCTTCCAGCGACGACGCCTACGGACGAACAGTTCTACAACTCGCTCTCGCCGGACTTGAAGAAGAAGGTCGACGACGCGAGGAGGAAAGGTGGCGTCGCGCAAGCCAATGAAGAACATTTGAAATCGATTCAGGTGAGACAACAGCTTGGTTTGATGGCTTTTGAATTGGTCAGCAGCAAGCGCGGGCTGGGGGGACTGTCCCGAGTCGAGCGTGAAGCGATCTATTCGTCGACGGGGAATTGGCTGTTCGGAGACGCTAGACTTGGCTCGCTTCCTGCGATTCGGGGCGAAAGTTTTCGAACGAATAGAGCTAATGCAATCGATATGACGTCTATGTGATACCAACCAGGCTAGTGCACAGGATGATAAGCCAGTATGGGCAACGACCGACGTCAAGACAAAGCGATGAGCTTGGGCCGAAGCTTCCTCCCATACTGCTAGAGGTCACTTCGAGTCAGATGACCCACCTACATCATCACCGCTTACCATATTGGCCGACTCGAGCTTGCTGAATGGTATGCAGACGGTCTTTGTAGCACCGACATAGGCAATGTAACATCAGGAATGCAGCGCATCATTAATGAAAGGCTGACTCGGGCCGACACGAGACGCTTGGCGAGCGACAATAGCGCCTGTGCAAGTCGTCGCGACTTTGAGCCACTAATCGCTGGTAGACAAGATCAAGATCGGGAACGGGAACATCCGCATGATTCTCGTCACGGTGTTGGTGGAGCTGGAGCTCTACGCGTAAGAACCGGAGATCAGAGAGCTTGCCGAGTGCGCTGCCGAATTTCGGGACATTGGCCAATTGCGGAAAAACCTCTCGAGTAAGATGGACAAGCTTCTGATCGGCAAAGCTAGGGGGATCTGGGTTACCAGCTACCTCAAGATCGAAGTCTTTTCAACACACAATCCCTTCAATGAAAAACTTGGCTCGCGTATCTGCGAATAAAAGGCGACACGAGCAGTGCTTCAACCGACGACTCAAAACAGACTTGGGCGAAGGAGCAACCGCTGCAACGCAAGTTCGTGCCAGTCGGTGCAGACCAACGATGCATAACTGACGTCTCGGTAATCCTGATGGAGTGTGTTCAGAGACACAAAGTGGTCCGGTTGAGTCTAGTGAGCGATGTGCCCTAAAATGTTGGCCGGGAGCAACTGGGCGACTGTGGGTGACCGACGTGGGACCCGACTCGTGAGCAGTTGTACAGGGGTGGTCGGGGGGATTACGCTTGATGATGAGCGAAAGAGCGAGGATGAAGTGATCATCGAAAGGTGAAGCACCTAAACACGTTGCTGTGCTGTGTCTCTGTTTAGGGGACCGGCAGAGGAGCCAAAACCTTTTTTTTTGGTATCAAGCTTCACATATTCGGTTGTCTACGCAAAATCAATGTTTCTTGAAAAGGGGGGTTGGACTTATGTAAAGTCATAACCACTAGATCCATGCAGCCCCCACACTCCTGAAACCACCAGAAGTGTGATTCCAATCATGTGAGCACCAACCACTCTTCCTATTCCACGGTGTTAAAGAATAGGCACGATCGAGAAAGAGAGAGGAGAGGGGAGGAAAATCAGGAAAGAAACTCGGAAACTCTGTCCTCATGAAAACGTCAATCACATCTGGTCCAGAAGCTCGCCGTCTGGCAGACGTCGAAGTCGGAATCTGAGATGCGAGCGGACTTTGCGAGTAAGAAAGTACGGGTTTGGTAGGGGAATTTGATCCTTGTGCTGATGCCATTGAGCAAGGTAGAGCTTGTTGAAAGCAATCGCAAGAACGACCCGAACGACGATGTAGGTCCAAGAGTCACGACTTTCGCCACGCACCCGAGGAAGGCCAAGCATGATCTGAGGAGAGTCAACTTCTCCAGGTTGGTGAAAGGCGCGCGGCACCCTAACGCGTGATCCAAAAGTAAAGCAATTTGAATTGATGTAATTCAAATACCGGGTGCCACATTAGGTGCGTAAGGCACAGCTGCCTTACAGTTGGAAGTCACCTGCCTGGCTAAGTGCAACCCTCCGCAGCTGCAAGGTCAGGCGCCAGAACTCACGTAAATGGTCACATTCAAAGTAGAAGTGCATGAAGGTGTCTCGTTGGCCGCACTGTAGACACCCATCAGATGCAGCGTGACCATGGTGATGTTGCAGAACGCATGTCGGCGTCGCCCCAAAGATCAGATACCAGTGAACGTCCTTTTCGACCGCTGTTGCCCATTGACTGTTGAGCCAGATCCAGAAATGTTGCTTCTGTGACTTTGTGAGATCTGTTGGCCACTTGAGTCGAGAGCCGTTGTCCAGCGAGGGATAGCGGGCCTCATTGATGAAGTGCCGCAGAGCTTTGATTGTAAAAGGACGGGTCGCGCCAAGGAACGTGTAGGTGCAGGGTTGTAGGAAGTAGCAGTCACCAATGGCGGTCCGGACGGCGGGGGGCTGGGGTAATGCAGAGGCTATTGGAGAGCTAGCACTCACATCGGCCCAAAGCTTTTCCGATAACGACTCTGGTTGCAGGCCTGGGTTGACGGGGTCCCCTGTGGTCTGAGGCCTCTGGTAAAGCTCAATGAATGCCCCAAACTTCTTGAGCCGCTTGCGCGCATCGTCCGACAGGCCTTGTGGGTGTAAGGAAGGCAGAGTAGGTGGGATCAGGAGCACCTCGGTTGACCGAAGGAGCTCGGGAACACATGGGGCAGCATCAGTCGCGCAACATTGATGACCTTCATCCACCGCGCGTGGGTTGCGCGGTGAGGTGAGGCAATCAGTGTTGACCAAATCGACATTTCTTCCGGATATGTGCGCTCCCAGCTGATCCGTGCGAGTGTAGCCCAGATCGGCTCGAAGCCATGGGCAACGCAGTCCCAGAACCGGATCGTCATAGAGCAAACAATGTCCTCGATGCTCAGCAGGCCCAATCCACCAAGATTGCGAAGGAGGAAGACCGCCTCTTTTGTCACGGGTCGGAAGGAGTCGTTGTGCCACACGAAGGCGATGAGCGCTTGTTCGAAAGCGTCGACGAAAGTGACGGGCGGGATGTCGAACGAGAGCAAGTGGATGACCCTCAAAGTGACATACGAGTTGGCGTACATCGCGCGAGCCGGCGGGGGAACACGTTGATTCGTCGCTGCCTCCAGTCGAGCCTTTGCTTGGTTGAGTGTCGTGATCCAGAAGAGCGAGAGATTGCCGTCGATGGAAAGCGGATGGCCAGCCCAAGTCAAGCACTCACCAGCACGCATAGTAGCGATCCCGCTAGCCCGCTCGTCCTGAGTCCAGTCCAAGCCGAGAGGGAGAGCAGTCGTCTTGGCCGTGTTTGAGCGTCCGTTTGTAGCCAAGCGCCAATCGACGGCGAGACCAGTCAGGAGATCGAGTGCTGCCGGTGACGACTCGGAGACGTGCACGATTGCATCGTCCGCAAAGGCGAGGTGGGTGAGGATTCCAGCTCGGGTGGGATGAAATACTGCTCTGAGATCAAGGGCAATTTTTTCCTCACTAGGGCATCGAGGTAGGGCTGAAAGCACACGTTCCAGATGGGACAACTCACGGGATCTCCTTGCCCGAGCCCGCACAGCATGCGCACAGCCTCCGTGAGGTATCCATTGATGATGTAACGAAGTGACACCGATCTGTAAATAACGTTGAGAAGGCCAAGGAAGCGTTCTGGCGCTCCCATCGCTTGAAAGACGCTCATGATCCAGTCATGATCAACTAGGTCATATGCGCTTTCCTGATCAAGCGATAGGAGAGCCGAGTCAGCAAGGTCAAGGGAGCAAATTTGTTTGAGGAGCAGGGACAAGTGACTTCCCGCGTCCGAGGCCTTTCGACCAAGCATGAAACCATGTTGTGAAGGGGGAAAAACGGATGGCAGCACTTTGTTCAGCCTTGCTACGAGGACCTTGGTCATCAACTTGTACAAGCACTGCGGTAGTGCTGAACGGTTGCGATTGAGGCTTGTGCACGGAGCGCGACAGGAGAGGAGAGAGAGCGACGAGGGACGGGCCGGACACGAGAGGGGCAAAGCGCGCGCGGGGGAACTGCCAGCGCCGAGATGGGAGCGGCTTGTATACATGTAAGGATGTATCCTTACACTCATTAAGGTCAATACACAACCAAATCTGTTCATCTTGATATTGTAACATCAACATATAACTATTTCTGAATGGTGTCTGCAAGGACTACATGATAGCATGTGTATTGCAAGACTTGTAGTGATTCAAAATTTCTGTGTCCTTACCGCACCTCCCGTGTACTTACCACACCCTCGTATCCTTACATGTGTCGACATGTGTAAGAACACGCCCGCGCGCGCACGTGACATGCGTAAGGATACGCCCGCGCGCGCACGTGCCATGTGGAACGACAGGAGGCGCACTCAGCTCGAAGCCTTTGTTCACATTTGTTCACCTAATTGTCCCCACACCGCCCATCGACGTCAACACCGTGGCACTGTTTGACTTTTTCGAACCAGCCAATTGCGACCTCCAGCTTTGTGCCAGCAGGCACGGACTCAAATCTTTCATCAATGAGATTGCGGAACCGCCAACTTCCCGACCGTGACGCCGGGCCCTGGGCTCGGACTCGTTCTGGAGCTGGAGACCGGCCCCAACGGCGGACTCCCAAGTCGAGACTCAAAGTCCCAAGCATCAAACGCCGATCAACGGTAGGAACCAATCGTCGAATCAGGAAAGGAAACGGCCAGTCGGTCCCCGAGTCGGCAAACTCAGCGCAACCTCAGGACGATTCTGGCGACCTTCAAGCTGAAGCATTGACCTGCACGGTGTCCGCGCCGCGGCTATCGAAATCCCCGACTCCAACAGGAGATTCTCCTATCTCCGATTGTATAAGCGACTTGCCTAATTGCATCAAGTCCGCAGAGGACTGCGAGGAGAATTATGACAATTATGTGGACGATAAACACAACGATCACAAGGACGACCGTGTCAATGACTCACCTTGTTCCACTCGGCTCGCCCACGACACTCCCTTCCACCACACCATCAAGCACGAGAAGTCAACAATGCCCCTCCTGTGCTCCCAGAACAGCGATCGCGGTTGGCCGTCGCTGCGCAGTCAAAGCAGTGTTGAGAGTGTGAATTCCGCTTCTACCCTCCAAGTCGGCTCGCTTTCACCAGCATTAGCTCCGAACCTCTCCCGTCTAAGCGTTTCACAACCCAAGGCTATTCCAAAGGACAGCTCCATTCTTCCCAAGCATCAACATACGACTCTTAAGCTTGAAGGTACGCCACATGTGTTGTCTAGGTGGTAGGCCATCGGTAACGAGGCGAGGCGCGCGCCCGGAGGCTCGATTGGTTTTAAGGCAGTGGATTAAACTTAGTGTCTGAGTGGATTATATTCTTGCGCGTGGGCCTATGCCTTCGCAATGCGGACTCCCTTGTTTAGCTTTTCTTTAATCACTTGTTCCTCAACTATCGGTTCTGACACTGCTGCGTATTGTCCTACCGCTGCCACTTCTATAGGTGGTGCACTTTTACTTCAGTAAACGTCGCCGGCCCAGACTGCAGTGGAGTAGATGGCACGCAAGGGTCAGCAAGAACGAAGAGGGCAGGGAGCGCGTGGTCAAGTTGGAATCTCCACCGCGCACCTAGCTGGATTGGTCCATTCACTGATTCTCGCAGCATGGCCAGTTACGACTTTGGTGAAGCGCTTGACTATATCAAGTTCCTGGTCGGTTCCAAACCAGCCCATGCGTTTAGAGAAAGCCTCTGCCCCAGCGGAACACCGGAACACGCGACCTTCCTTGCGCTCCACACAGCTGGAGCCGATCACAGCAAATGTCTCCATTTGGAAGTTCAACGAATTGTAGGCGCTCTAAGAAGCACACTATGTAAGTAAGCGTGTTGAACAGACATGAAGAGACTCCACAAGAAGCTCAACTCACAGTATCTTGGCATTGTGAGGCAAGTTCTTTATAAGCTTGTGCAGCTGCCTTGTTGGACACCGCCGCTGTACAGAGTTACGTGAAGGCAATAGTGAAACAGAGTTGTCCACATCATCGGCACCAATGGCTGTCGTATCTTGCTCCAGCGCCGGGATGTTCTCGCACTTGGCTCGCCCGCTTTCTGTCGCGTTGATCCGAGTCCACAACTCACCGATCCGAGTTTCGCCTTTGACGCCAGCGAAGAGGCCGATGGGCCTAGCCTCCACGAACAGAGCAAGGCTATCCCTAAGCGCAACTGTCGCAAATCCGAACGACTTATGCACGAGCAATGGGCCCAGAAAAGACACGACGAAGAGCTCGAGTATTGTATCCGACACGATATTCGACTCGATTATTGAGGAGCATTGTTGCGCCCGTGACTCGCCTTGGCTCTCCCACTTCCTGACTTTGTGCAGAGCAAGTACTTCGAATCGCTGGCAGTTCAAGATGGATTGGAAGGTAGGCATAGCTCTTGACTACCTGACTACCTCGTGCTAAATTCTAGCATAGCATTGCACTACGCTGTTGTTGAACTAACGGGCTGGGTTGGTCCGCTTTAGTGCCGACCAATTTGGTGGAGAGGGTTAAGCTCGCTAAGCCATATTGGAACGACATAAAGGATGATGCAGAGGCGATGACAAGGTTTGACGCGGCGCTTGCCTTGGAGCGTGAGGAAGCGACGCAAGCAACGCAAGCGACCGAAGGTTCATCCTCCATCAAGATCGCCAGAAACAAGCCGATGAGTCACGAAGCCATCAAGAAAGCGCGCCGATGCATGCAGGCCGCGTTGGAAACCATGGTGAGTCCAAGCTCAATTTGATACTGCTCACAGTAAAGTAATTGAAAGGATCATAACACCCTCAAAACCAACCCAGAGCACTTCATATGCGCAAAAATATGGACTCCAATTGTTTGCTGTGGTCTCTTCTGAGCTTCCTGAACTCAATAAGGAGCGTTTCATGGTCGCGAGCCCCGGTGGTTTGGCCTTTGCCTATCGACAAGACTGGGGCGATAGTTTGGGTTCAAGACAGCTGCTCTCCGACTTCGCGGATTGCGTTACCGGTAGAGCGTTCTTGGAGGAAAATAAGGCCGAATTGGAAGCAGCTGGTCAGTAGGTGCACGCGCCGACAGACTATTGTCACTTGCTGATTGACGTCCGTTACGCTGTCACGCAGTTTGGGAGGCGCCACTGAAGGAAGCGAATCTTGAAACAAAAGCCTCGTGGTACAGCACGATTGTGAAAAAACTTTTCAGTGTGGACTATGTTCTAACCGAGATTTCAGTTGCTGCTCACTTGTTGACTGCTAACGATGAGTCTTCTTCTCGGTGCAGATGATGCCGTGATGCGACGTACCAAGAACCAAGGGCACGAAAACAAGAGCAAACCGCCCAGGTTGGTGTACGACCCAACCGCGCTCATGCAACAGGCCAGTATCGTAGTTGAATGCGGCCCGAGCCTCAACTTGGAGACGGACTTCGCCAGCCCCAGGGCAAGCAAAAAATGTCTGGGGCCGACTTGGATCGTATCATTCCCCTGCTGCATGCAGGAGAGTTGAGATTCAGGCTAACGGAAGAGGTACTAGCGGATGAAGAAGATGAAGATGGTGCAGCTATCCCTGCCAACGGCCAAGATGGCAGCGCGGTGAGCCGCCCCGAGTCCGACGAGCACTCTTAGAGCTTAGGGCAGCAGCTCTCGACGCCGAGATGAGCCGGCGCGCTGGGACGGACATGAAGTGTAGGGCTGAATTGGAAGATACAACGAGTGGATGCCGCTGGACGAAGCAAGATGACTACTGGACTTAGTACACCAAGGATCGTGTCTGTAGTGCACCAAAGCCGCGAGCGTATGCTGCATGATGTTTGCCGTAATGATACCTCTGCTGCTTCCGCAGAACAAGAATACTGAAATGCTCCGTTTTCCCGAAGATTTCGGATTGTAACATGCTCTGCGTCCTCCGAAATAAACTGCTCTGGATCCGCCATTCTCTAAGTGCGCTCTGACATACGCAGTTCCGGATTTCCGCGACTGAGTATTCGAAGTGTTCGAGGTGTTTCGAGATCATTTTACACTGGCGCATGGCCCAAAAAGTCTTATCCGATCTCTCATTATGACGACTAGCGACCGAGTATGACGGTCCATGCTCAAGTGCTTGCCCCGAGTTGAACCCGCGAGCATGTCGTGCCTCGTCCGAAAGTGTGTTTCACGCGGTGTGGGCATCAGGTATTTGCCACGGGGGTCCCGACGTTTCGGTCCATCTGATCTGTCCAATCAACTCAGTCTGAAGGCGAGCCGGTCTTCTCAACTCCAAAGTACCAGGCGACTCTTCGTGCTAAAGTTGAAATCATTATTACTAGGGTTTGAAGTGTGAGGAACACTGTCAGGGAATCTCGCCGTTCCTAGCATCCGATCCAAGTGGCGCTGCTCCCGCTCGGTACGTAGCAATTCGCACTCTCGTATTGGCCGCCTATTACAAATATTACACCCCACCTTGCCGGGAATCCAGTGAGTGGGCCCGGGACTCCGACGGGTAACTCACAGTCGCCGCTCCTTCGCCCTTGCAGGCTGACATGTGGATGCCTGTCCATGCCAAAAGAGAATTGGTTTGTCGCATTCACATTACTTTTTGAGCATTGTGAAGGAGTAGCTTGGCGGATCCCGGCTGGTGTGGGACTGCGGCGACGCCACTAAAATTGAAGCTCCTCAAAAGCGACTCAAACTCCGGTTGAAAGTCGATGAAAGGGTTCAGATTTTGTCACAAAGCGATTTCGGTGTGTTGAAAACAAAATTTAGACGTTCACAGTGGATTGGAAACATCCGAAGTTGCCACCGGTGGCCGGCGCCACCAGATGTCAAGCGACGCCAGAATACTACTTTTTACTAGGTTCGGCGGCGCGCTCCGCGCGCCACCTCACACCGTAACCGTTGACCTTCAATGTGATGTACTTCGCTGCAACAGCTGCGGTACTGTTCAGTAACGAAAACCTAGAGACCCGCGTCGAGTGTGGACCTTTTCACGGGTGTCGCAAACTTGACTTGCGAGCTGCCAATCGAACATCCTTTCGACCAGCTGGAAACATCGACGGCGCTGCATAGGCGCCTCTCATCTCATCACTGAACTACTTTTTTGTTCTCTGGGAGCCCGATGATGGGCTCAGACCGTCGTCAAGACCCGCGTCGATTGTGGAGCAACGCCATCCCGACGATGTTGAGACTCTGAAGATACTCGATCGAGAACAGTGATTCGTCTTCGTTTTCGTCGACCGAATCCGGGCTGTAGAACGTTTGAGCGTCACCCGGCAGCAGGTCGAGCACCATGTCGTTGATCTGATCCACCTGCGAATCTTTGGGCGCCAGAATTGCTCGATCTCGGAAGTATTCGACTTTTTCGCCTATCGACATTTTGCCTTTGCCCGTTCCGTTCCGGTCATGCGGTCTGCAGCGGCCAGAAGACGCATGTCTGTCTGCGCTCGCACCGTGGGCTGTTGGTCTAAAAGTCAGGCAAGGACTACTACTTACAGAGAGATCCCCCCAGAAGTCGCCATTCATGATGCAAGCGTCGACAATTTGTGCAGGCGATGACGTGGAATAACGGGAAGGCATCGCTTCGGAACCCCTGTGATGTTACAGTCCAACTGGTCAGTTAGTCATGTTGCCCTGCATTTTGGTTTTGAAAGATTGGCACATACCTGCCAACACGACGGTCACTCCCCCGAACCGAGCCGTTGAGGTTCTGCCACGGGATGGTGAGCCGCAATCCACGGAACCCGAGCCTGTTTTTCTGCGTGATTTGTTGATTACAACTGTCAGTATTCTTGCTGTTGTCCATCTGTACCAATGACAATGAAGACTCACATCTAGTGTCCCATGGACCCGGATTCTCAACCGTACAAAGTCAATCCTTCCGCTGCATTTTCCCGTGGCCTGCTTCCTTCGCGAGCGTTGTTGTAGAATATGGGGTGTTTGTGGGCATCGATGTCGTTTTCCCAGACAGGCCACGGTGGGTGCCCCCGCTTTCCGGGGATAGGGTCACCTCCTGTCACTGACGATACACTGTCTGTTTTTCATATCAGATTTTCCGTCATACCTGCCCGCACAGCCAATGTCACGTGAAACTCACGAATGCAGTCCCCAATTGATGGTGGAGGAAAGCAACTCGAGGGTTGACATTCAACGAAGACGTGTTGAAGGGAATTGCTGTTTGGTAGTTTTCCATTAGCTCCTGAACAATCCCACACCTAGAGCACAGTTCATGAAGTCACTTACTCGAATCCGTAGCTATGCTGGATGCTGCAACTTGTCCCGTATGCGTTGCAGAGCTTCCACGACGACCCCTTCGGGTGTCGCGAGCTCGAGGCCGATTTGTCTCGAGAACAGTTCGGGTCGGCCCACTCGTTCGTTGTCCGCATCTCTGAGGCTGGACGGATGGTTGGTTGACATCATGTCAACGGGCTGCTCCCCTAGACGTTTTGCTGTTCGCGTTACTTACTACACGGAGGCATCTCTGTTGAGAGATCGATCAATCGACACTTCCCAAACATTGTGACAACTACCTGAGCCGTGTCCTGGGCCAGGACCGTATTGCGGCAAGTCGATCGACGTCATCGACTGACAGAGCTGTTCGTTCGCCATCCGCGAGTGGTGTTGGGGCTTCTTTCATGAGTTGCGATGAGATGATTGGCGATGGGATGAGGTGCGATGGGTAAGGTGCGAAGAGCAGGAGGGAGAAAGATGGAAAAGCCTGCGCCTCAGTTTCAACCGGGTTCATAGAATGTCGCGCAAGGCCGCGGAACGACGTGGAGTGAAGCCCAGTGTCGGCAAGCCGTGACACGCTGGCGGGGCCCCTAACGGCGGAATTAACGCACTGGTCGACACTATCGGACGTGCTGCCGGTGCAGATTGACTTGACGAACCAGTTTGCGTGACGTCGTGTTGATCGATTGGCGGCGGCGACTGTGCGATTAGAGCAGGAGTCGGGTTGTGCGCAAGAGGCTCAGCTCGCTCACGCTGCCCCTCTGCTCTCCGTGCGGCGTGAAGATTGTCGTACAGGAGACGGGACGTAAAAGTTTGCAGATGACATTTCGGCAACTGGATGGTTGAAGGAACTACGCTACGAAGTGGTAGACACGCAAAACAGGTCGTCGCAGTCTGCTTCGGGTTGCACAGGGTCACGTGCTACTCAATGGAACCTCGGCGAACGTAGGCGAAACGGTCTGTCGCTGGCCGACCCAAGCTGAAACAGCGCTAGCTAGCTGGAACGCACTGGACCGAGAGCTGCCGATGACGTCACGCCACGTGGTTTGTCTTTTGGTTTGTCTCCGGTTCTTTGACATTCTTTGACGTTCTTTGTCTCGACTCACGGTTTTATTAACGCGCCCCCGGAGGGGGCGACGGGTCCCTGAACCTCGGACGGAGTAACACCGACTGACAACGTCAGCTAGCATTACTAAGAACGTGCGGCATGGATCAGGCATGCAGCACCGAGTCCGCGAGTCAGTTCTATTCACATGAATGAGTCTCTTAAGTATGTACCAAACGTTAATGAACATTGCAGACAAGAAGGGATCGAGCAAGAGCTGTGGTCGTCCAGAGAAATCTTGACGTCGCGCTCGACACAGAAACCGACGAGACCAAATGGATCGAGGTGTGGCCACAGCTTCGAGAGCAGGAGCTCATCCGAAGATTCCCACAAAGGGGCGTCGCCTGTCGGAATGACATGTCGGTAGGGGGTGGCGGCACATGGACGTGTTCGAATACTGGTTCATCAGAGTCGTTATGCCTTGTTGCGTAGCCTTCAAAGAGCGATGATGTTGGTTCCACTGTCTCTGCGGTCACCACATTCGCCAAAACTACGTCGGGCACGAGACAGTCTCCATCCGCGATTTGTCGATCCGATACTTGGGGAGCAACCGAGACGGAAGCGGAAGTCGAAGTCGAAGCTGAAACTGCCGTAGAAGCTGGAGAGGTCTGGTTCAGCGTACCGGAACTGCGTCGAACGAGCTGGGCAAGTCTTTCGCCATCAAAGGCGACGGCAGAGTACGCCGGATTCTTGCTTTCGTTGATCAACCACCTGAGCATCTTTTGGATCCGGCTCTGCTTCACGATCATGGGTCGACACTTGTCCAACTCCGCAAGGTTGGGACTCCCTCCGCAGAATAAAACGCAAACACTGTCAGCGAGTTCCTCGACTGACATGGGCAGTACATCGGTGAACGAAGCGGTGTTCTGGCTGAAGATGAGGGTGTTCCCGCGCGTAAATTTTTGTTGCGCTTTGGGATCTCCGAAACGAGTTAGCTTGTACACAATCTTGTAGGCTCTGGCGCGCGCGGTGACGAGGCGCTCAAGCTGACTCGCGTTGGAGAAGCATTCTCGTACATTAGCGGGGACTTGATCCAGTGCGCGATAGAATCCGTTGCTCAACGACCGAGGGGGTTTAGTCGGTGGCCCTGTGGTAGGGAACAAACTTTTGAAGCAGTCAGGACAGAGTGAGCACTGAAGCGCGTTGCTCGTGGGTGAGTACGCGATCTGGTCGATGAAGACCTCGGGGATCGATGAGGGCGCCCCGCCAAGCTGAAAAATCGTAAGTCGGTGGTCGGAGGTCCGTCCGTAGTGTAGAGTTGGTTAATACCTTCCAAATCCCTGATTCTTCACGCTTCATGTCGTCTTCAGGCACCCATCGTACGTTATGCCCGAAGACTCTCTCAGAACACACGAGGCAGCAGAATAGACGGAATCGAGCCTCGGTGAAGTAATCATTCCATTCAGAACGAATCTCAGTCTTCAACTGATCGGATGCTGGGGCATAATGCGATGTCACTCTACGGGGTTCTTCTTGTTCGGGTTCGGGCTGCAGCGGTGGACGTCTGTGCATCGTTCGTTTAGAGTTAGTCGCGGAGACGTTCTCGCGATTCTTCTGGATTTCCTCGTTCAGTTCAGTTCGAAGCACGTTAACAGGTTTTGATGCGTATGCTCTGTGGTCGGGGAAGCAATGACGACGTGGCGGAGTCACGGGACTCGCCGCTTGTTGCCTTCTGAAAACATACCCATTTGAACAAGCATTACAGTGCGGATCGCACTGCCAAAGGAGCGCTTGTAGGAATAGCTCTTTGGCAAGCGGATTCCTCCTGGAATACCCTTCCACGTGGTGCGCCCGACAAAGCTCCTTCAGGAGATCGATGCTAAAGTTGATGTTGCTGCGCACAAGCTGTCCAAGACTGCATTTGATAACCACATCATCGAGTACTGACACTGGACTGTTACGTAGGAGCGGACCGGAGTAGATATACTGTGCTTGATCGGTGCGGCGAGAGGATCGCCGGCTGTCGCTAGTGGTCCACGCGAGGCTTAACACGTTGTCGAGATTCGAGCTTTGTGGGGTGACCTCGATGGTGCGGAGGTGTACAAGATCAAAAAGCAGTGACATGACGGCGATTGTGTTATAACGTGTCTTAGAGATGCGAAGAAACTCGGTCCAAGTTAGAACAAGGCAGTACAGAGAGACGGAAAGGAGAGGCCCGGGCGGTGGCAACTTGCCAGCGGAGGCTGAGGCTGGGCAGGCTGAGTGCGCTCTGGCGCGGGGACTCGGGGAGGCTGACGACGGCCAAGCTGTGTGGTGAATGTGTGCCGACTCGGCAGGTTAGCAACCGGGCAGTGGTGGCCCCTGGCCATTGAGAATTAATGATCAGCGCGCTTAACCGGGGTCCTCCTATCCAGGGGAGCATTGTTGAAACCGATCGGCGCTGACACCGAGTCGGACTCTCCTATTGCGCTCAAGGCAGCGTCCTCCCATCCGGGGGAGCATTGTTCGCACCAATCGGCGCTAATATCGGGCTCTCCTATTGGGGCTTCGACAGCCACGCGCGTGCGGGGTATTTCGGGCATTTCGTCCAATAAAATCTCAGAATAGCATCATTTTCGAGGCTGGGAACCCCCCCCCCCCATTTTTCGAAACGAAACCTTCAGCTCTAACGAGCTTCAGGGATAGAATAGGTAGATAGTTTTAAGGATAGATCTCATTAACAGCACAATTATTCTAGTACCAAGAAATCTTCGGACAAGTCGGAGGAAATGCTTTAAGCACACTGGCTAACGGCCACAGGTATTAGCTTGGCCGCCTTATTTTGCTTTGTAAGAGTAGATATTGCGCACATTTCGCTCCTTCAGCTCCTCTCAACGTCCTGTCCGCTGCTGAGAGCGCGTAGTGAGGCTCGGAGTCACCGACGCAGTGCGCCGGCCCAATAGCAGGCAGTGAATTTACTCACTGATGACGCGTGGGCTCTTCGGTACCCATGACCAGTCAGAACCCAATTCAAATCGCAAGGGTTTCCCCGGAGTGTATCACATCGGACTCAATCGGAGTGATCCCACAGTGGCCTCTCCAAGGCGGCAACTTGAGCTAAGCCTTGAAATTTCAGCTTCAACCTCCCGGATGATGGCAGCACAAGTCGAGACGCATAGAGCATGCGACAGTGCCCACAAGCAGCGATGCTTCTAGCAAAATCGTACTCAATTCCGAGGAAGGGGTGGCAACAGGCGCCTTCAGGTGCAGTGCTCACGGGAACATCGCTCGGGCAAGGGGAACCTCCGACCCGTGTTCCCGTAGGAGGACGCTCGTGCGTACATCCAAGTATTGCGATTGAACCCCATCTGACAACAGGAGGTATGTTGGTCATACTGAAGGGACCTGCTCACCCATTTTGACAAGGTTCGTGTTTCATTTACTCGAGTAACAACTGGCGCTTCGAGTGAAAAGTCACTCGGCTCGGGCAAGAGGAACCTCCGAGCCATGTTCCCCTGATAAGAGGACGCTCTGCAGAGGCACGCTCGCACTCCCCATTACTTCCGACCATCCGAACAGTGGGCTGAACCCTGCCTGACATGTCATGGTTCGTGCACATTGATATTGCAAATGCAGTAATCATTGTCACACCATTAATCATTCGAACTCATGGTATAATCACTGCAGCCAGTGTTTTTCACATTTCATTCTTCCGAGTCAGAGTCCGACAAAGAACGCTCCTCGTCGGGAATCAGATCATCAGAGCTGTCCGAACCGTATAGCATGCCCTCTTGCTGCTCCAGCATCTCATGCAAAGCCTTTGCGCCTTCTACATTCATGTCAGCATCCAGCTGCTCCGTGATGCGCCGCGCGAGCAGACGATCGTCATCGGTGGTCCGGAACGACTCGGACGGCGCTGCATAGGCGCCCGATGCGTCCTCCCGAGGCGCAACACTACGCGCGCCAGCTCCAGTAGCTGTTGTTGTCTTGGAGACGTTGCCCGGGTTCAACAGCAGATGCGGGGTGAGACACTTCAGAGCTCGAGGGACTGGTTCGTGCGTATCCGCCGGTCCTCTGGTCGTGTACCACAGCAGTAAGAAAGTGCTATCGCGGAACCAGTCTCGTTCGCGCTTTTGAAGAGCCCTCATCCGAGCTTCCAGAATGACGAGGGCACGGTCCCGGATCGTTGCGTAGACGTTACTGCCAAATGCGCGTTCAACACGATCATGGTCATAAATCGTTGGAGCGGAATCTATTTGTGTTATCAAGAATGTATCAGCATCTAGACTAGTGGAGTAACGTTCGACTGACAACTGACCTGTCGCGCTTAGCCAAAGTGCTTGGCGACTAGAGATGAGGTCGTGCTCGTCTTCGAGCCAAGCAAGGGTTTGTCGCACCTCGGCGCCAATCCGAGCGAACTCCTCCGCAGCTCGATCCAGGTCACGCACAGCAACGATGCCCCGTTTAACCCACGGATCGGTGGCCCAAGCAGCTTCAACATGCGTGAAAAACCCGTCTTGCCGGAAGAAATCTGTGTCTTCAAGATCAAGAATCGATGCTAGGCTACCGACTGATGGAAGATTGTTGAGGAGGTGCGATGGTGATGATCCGCCTGCCGTTCGAAACGCGTTGACAGCCTTGTTGTATGCCTTACGTGCCTTTTCAGCGCCAGAGTGAGTCTTGACTTCCGTTTTGCGAGCTTTGTTGGCCTCTCTCTGACCAAGTGCTGACCCGCCCCTACCGCGACGCGTCAATAGCAAATTTTCACGGCTAGTTTTGTAGGCAATCACTTCTCGATGAAGCTTGCACAGCGCAACGGAACACTGGCACAAGTGACGAAGCTCTGTGAAGCAAATAGGCACGTCATCGCAATCAGGAACAGGGAAAACTAAGTAAGAGAATTAAGGCCAACCTGTGGGCGAGATGCTTGTCCCACTTCTTTGCAGTTGGACAATTGCTGCTTGATCGATCTCCCTTGCAAGACGATCGTGCTTCGAATTCAGCCCCACAAGCGCTTCTGGTTCAGACTCGTCACTGCTCAGCAAGATGATGAGTCAGTGAGAACGAAGGACAAGCTCAAGCTCAAGTAGTTATCACCAAGCACGTACATGATGCAGTCAATCCTGTAAAGTTCCTCAGCAAGTTTATAAAGCTCGCTTTCCCTCAAACGATCTTCCTCAGCTTCCTGCGTAGCTGTTTTCGACGCTTGCGCTCGTCGCTGGTCTTGCCAAGCGACGCGGAGCGCCTCCTCCGACCAGGTGGCATCGTGGGCGATAACGGCGTCAAGTTCCTTTCGAGCAGCAGTGCTCCGAGCCTTGGCTGAGCGAAGTCGGCGGGTGAACCAGGACCCTAGTCGTGTGCAAAGAGTCAATGCGGCGACTGCGGAGCACTGACCAAGCCTTGAGATGTTCGCGTCGTTCACTGCCTGCGTGCGGACCGCCAAATTGACGAGGCGGTGGGACTTATTTGATGGACGATTGATGGGGATGAGGGAGCGCAGCGCGCTCCATAGTCGCTCACAACCTTCTCCATCAGTGAATCCAAAGTTCGGGATGAGACGGGGGTTGTAGTCAACCTGGCAACCCCAGGTATGGGCGTATGCATGGAAGACACTTGTGGCGAACTCGAGTCACTCAAACAGCTCAGGCAGCAGATGCCTGAAAAGGTTGAAACACAAAGCCCATATGATCAGCAACGACATATCGGAGAGGGGCCCGAGCCGAGGTGGTCAATGCAAACCTTCTCAATGTGGTGCTTGAAATTACAAGCGATGTCGTACAAAATTCCAATCCTAGCATCTGGGGGAAGATGGTCCGAGATGTGCTTGACAATGGCTAAAGCGAAGTACAGCCTAGGTGATTAGAGCGCAGGCATGAGCATCAGCAGTGAAAGTAAAAATGCAAGTTGGAGTTGAAGAACATAAGCTCAATACACTCACTTTTCGCCGGTCTTCTCAAGATTCACCATTTTTAGGGCGATATCATGGCGGCACACACCGGCGACAAGTCCTGTATCGATCTTGCGCGACGAGACTCGACCAGCGCCCCCGTCAGCAGCCTTCCACGACTCTGTGCACGCCTTCCGAACGGAGAACAGAGAGACTATCCATTTCGGGGCCGGAGCGATATTACTCAGTATTCGAGGCGGATCGCAAATATATCACGCTCCTCACCTTCTTCGTTGGCCGCGCTGTATTCTCGACGAGTGCTTTCATGTCCAGGACGGCTTTATCAGACAGAAACAAGCTCGGCACTATTCCTTGGACGTCGTATGTCGCATTATTTTCTCGGGTTTGCTGGAAGTTGCCATCGAGCACGATCATATAATCCAGTTGGAGGGTGTGATGGGGTCGGTTGAGCCGTTTCGGCCCGAAGCACGCTGGGCATTTGTTGGCCAGCGCGTCGACGGTGCCCAAGAGAAAGTCGCCAACGTTGCGCTCAGATGCTTCGATGGCGCGAAACTCGTCGATCGCCCGCTGCCATTGCTTCCTCAGCTCTTTATCCTGAGCTCCACAATCAGGCAGCAAATGAGTCCAGGTAGAACCCATGGCAAAAAACCGATAACAAATGCTCACATATGGGTGTCCATGATAATGCTCTGGTTTCGACCACCCGTTGTCCCCGAAATAGTCTTCGAAGCCTGCACCGTGGCCAGTGAGGGCGTAAGGGGTGTTACGCCAACGCGAGTTTTCTAGGCGGATCATGCGGAAGGAGAACGCTGATCCTGGGTTGACAGCGGTCGATGCTATAAACCCAAGTTGAGCCAGGCGTACAGCTTCCGCAATACAGGGCGGATTGGAAGCGCAGAACGTGACTTGCTTGGAATAGACTGAAAGGCAAGGCGCATAGGGGGGAGCGAACGAGAGAGAGAATACGCGTCATTGTCGCGCGGACACGCGCCGCGCTGTGCCTGAGACAGTCGCGCACGGTTGAAGTTGGAACACGAGGTTGAGTACTTTGAGTCACCGACCCCGCTGGTGTGCTTGCCCCTGAGTGTCGCACCACCACCCAATGCATTCGATGGACGACCTGAACAAGAAGTTTGTGCAAGTATCATTACTGCCGCCAGACTCGGTTCGAGTCACAGATTTGCTAATCTGCGGCTCGCACGGCTTGCTGCGCCGCTTCTGACACGACACAGCCCACACAGCCCGCACAGCCCCCCTCGCCTGTGAAGCCAACCTCATGGACCCTGCCTTCACCCGCGCCCTCGGACACGTCGTTGGATTCATGGCTACAGATATCGCAGTACTCTGGCCTTCCTTCGTTCCCAAGTCATAACGCACCCCCTCACAACCGAACCTACGATGGTATGATCGAAAGGCTTCTGTTACCCGAGCTGAAAGAAGACGTCGACTGCGCCTTCATCAAGTATGAGGTCATCCCACGCATCGTGATGTGCAGCACGTCCGGCTTGGTGCGCTCGGCGTTTGGGATTGAGCCAACCGAATTCGGTGAACAGGCGCAAGAAGCTCTCGCTCAAGTTGGCCGATCAGCGCTTCGAGCCATGTTCGACGAGGACTGCAGGCGACCGATCGAGCAAAGGATCGCAGACTGGGTCTTACCACTTGCGCAATTTGTGAGTGCCATGTCCCCAGAATTGGTCATTCCAGAGGTCGTATGTGAGGACGCTGATTCAAAGAATTCAGTTCGCGACTCAATGTCGGCACAGGCATCCGGTGCGCGTGGTCGGCAGCCACATCTGACGCTCGCACATGCAAAACGGTGTGCTCATTTATCCAACCTATGCCACCCCGGCAGCCCTGATCTGATCGAACACCACCATTTTTTGACGTGCTGCAACGGGCTGACCTCGGCGAAGGGGGGATCGATCGCGCGGGCTACGCTCGTGCCGTTGGCTTTTGAAGCCTGGGACTCGGAAGATGATTCGCGTGAAACCCCATACCCTCTCGTCAATGTCGTGCTCGACCTGGCACGGGATGTGCTCACGCAACCGGCACGCATGTACGCGCCTGGCTTCGCCATCCATGATGATGACACAGCCTACCTCGTCGTCCTCGATCACGAGGGGTGCCGGATCGCCATCATCTCGGACTGCTGGGGCGAGGGCTTTGGCGAGCTCGCTTCGCTGCTTTCCGTTCTACTCGGGCTGGACGTCTACTCGGCCGGACTGTCACCTCTCTTTCGCTATGCATGCGACCTCGAGACCGGCATTGCCCCCGTCGCATTGTGTACGAGATATCTTCGACCGTCCGAGCTCGAAGCAGACGCCCCCCTGGTCGGTCGCACCGTCGAGTTCATCGCCGAGGAGCCCGTCAGGCTCGTTGACTCCACAGTCGCCAACGGTCTACGGTCACATTTCAGCTCACGCGCCCGAGCTTGGTAGCCTGCTCCCCAGCGGTATTGACGAACTATCTAGAGCCCTCATTCGTGGTCAAAATCTAGCTCACAACGCAGAACTTTTTCGGACATGAAGCAGATGTGCTGAACAGGATCGTCGAGCGCTGCGCAGCCGAGGCTCCGTCGGAATCGGCGCAGCTCTTCGAAAAATATGTCGCGCTCCCCGAGAAGGCCAAGTCGCTCGGTCGTCATCGATCGCAAATGGAGGACAGCGCCTTGCCCATACTCCTGGTATCGGAAGAGTCCGAACGACGACTGCAACGCACCCGTCGGCGCACACTCGATGTGGTCGTCGTGCGCAATCCTACTCCTTTACCTACGGCCGTCGACGATGCCCGCGATGAGCAGCGCACACTCTTCCGGTTTTGCCAAGTTTTCGACCAGCTTCTCACCCTTCTGCCTGCCCTCTTCGATCTCGGCATCCACCATCGCGATTTGTCGATCGGCAACATCCTCCAATACCAAGGACACCTTGTTCTGGTCGACTGGGAGACTGGCATCGTTGCCCAGCCGGGTGAACAGGTTCCTGTCGCTGCCGAAGACGCCGGTTCGATCCGATTCACGCGCGCGACCGTATCCTGGGAGGTGAAAGGCACGAGATCGCTCTCGAGCCTCACTGATTCCGAGTCCAAACAGAAAGGATCAAACGGTGTAATTCGCAGGCGAAGAAAGACTACTAAAAGGACTAAGGTCAAGAGACGCGGCGGCGCCGCGCGCGAGGGCAAGCGTGAGGCCGCAGAGGTTGGCTCTGTTAAATTGTGTGTCTCGAGAGGGGACTGGATCGGCAACCAGTGAGTACACGAGACACAGTACGAGTGTTAGGAAGTAGTTTGGAGCGTTAGGGGGAAGACTAAAGAGGCTCGCGGTGCGAGTGCGCGAAATATCTCTAAGTCCAAAAGGGGTCCGAGCGGCGCCCGGCTGGCTAGGCTGGGCGCGGGCTGGAGATCAACCTAAGCAAGAGTGTATGGAATTCAACAGGCTCGAGGTCGACGTGAGGCGTAAGCGGAGCGGCGCCTTACAGGAGGTTCGCTCCTGGCTCATGCTGGGTGCACAGTTCAGCAAGCTCCCTTCGCATGCCCTGCACCACGACTTCGAGTCAGCGGTCTATTGGTTCTTGTTCGTTCTGGACGAGTTCGTCGGCAACTGCTTCTCTGCCGACTTATGGATAGACCTGGACCTTCGCCCCCGTGGCCGCGATCGACGGCGGCGTCCGGTGTTTCCGATGGATCTCGCCCGCACGGAGCTATGGGGGAACGGCGAGTACCCCAAGTTGCACAAACTGTTCCTTAAAGATTTTGAAAAGCTCGGCTCGGAGATGCACGGCTTTGTGGAGCGTATGATGTGTACCCTTCCGATCAATCTTGGTTCTCCAGGGGCAAGCGAGGCCGAGGTCGCGGTCGCAAACAAGCAAAAGATGGCGGCCGTCCAGGCGGAATTGCGGAAAATACTGGAAGTGGTGTCTCGTCATAAAGGAGGATTCCGCCACTTCCAACGGACTTTGCGCGCGTAACCATCACCACACTTCTCGCGCCGCGCTGTGCCCATTTCACCTTTCGTCTCCTTCGCTTTGGTCTCGACTCCTCGACTCTTGCTCTCGAGCTCGACCGTCTGCTATTGTTACATTCGGTGGATCGAGCACCGCCCACTCAAGCGCCGCCTCCCCCGACCAAGCTCCCCAGTTTCAGGGCTTGCTCCTCTCTTTTCTTTCTGCATCTCGATTCTCGTAAGAGATCATATGCTTGCTCTTGTCCCTCGTCCTTTGTGATATGTATCGATCGGATCACGAGGGTATTTTTGGTCGTTGCCGTGAGACGACGACGCTGCAATAATGTCTGCATTCCTCTTTCCCGCTGATTGAGCTCTTCCTTACTCTAGATTGAGAATGTGAGCCTTCTCTACTCCTAGTTCGGGTGTCGGCCACTCTATGCGATGAGAGCTTGGATTCTTAAAAGATCACGTCGTCAGAGCTACGATGATAGTCCTGTCTAGAGAACGAATACCTTCATTGGTTACGGGGTACCCTCGTTGAGCCTCCTTGAACGCAGTTGAGCGCCCACAGTGCGTGCAGTCTGGTTGCGTCAGAAATTCTGAACGATCGTGATCCTCGTTGGCAAGCGCAACTCGATGTAGCTCTAAGCGCCCGAATGCGTGCAGCTTAGTAGTGTGACCGCTTTTGATCGTCGGTGCTTGCTTGGTACAGCTCTAGGTCCTTGCTGGCGGTGCAGATGATGACTGCAACAATGGCGACCGTCGGCGAACATGTCCTGAAGGTGAGAACAGCGGTACGCTACAAAAGCCTGCCCACGCAAATATTTCACGGACACGAGCAAGACTCACGAAAAGAAGAGAGAAAGTCAACAGCTCGGACTGACTTTATTCCGCCAGTCGCCGATATTGAGAGTCGACCCCATTTTCAGATGTCTTCAAATATGAAAGCAGTAGCATAACTAGGTTGCGTGAATTCTTACAAGCACTACCAGACTCATGACATGAGAGAGACCCAGCAGGAAAGAGGATAGAACTCGAGCCACCTCGAATTAGAGCACCGAAGCCAATCTCGGATCGGTCTGCAAGGCCTGAGGCCTTTGCCCGAGGTACGATGGAAGGCAATAGAGCTTTTGGCTTAGTTGAATAGCTTGCGCGCGCCTAGAACCTCCCTTGGCTTTTGCCAGCTCACTGACCCGAGGTTCTAGTGAATTACTATTGTTTGATCCTGTCTATCGTTCTGGAGCACGGCTGCACGCGGTGCTTCCAATTTTTTTTTGACAATGATCAAGACACGTCAGCATTCCCGCCGTCACTCGCGCCGCTGCCAGGTTGGCTAGAGCCTTCGCCACACCCGATCCACTGCCCATACCTCTACCGTTAAGCGACTCGGAGAGCACCCACTCGGGAGCCTCCGACCCCGCCTCCGCCGTTACCGTGACCGACTCCGACTCAGACGACGACCGCCGCCGTCCTGCCGCGCGCAGGATGAGCGAACCGCACGAAGACGCACCCCCTTGCTGGAAATTGCACGCCCCGTCTTATTTTTGCCGCACCGACCGCACCTTATCGGGACTTGGACTCTTCTGGTCTCGCAACGATCGATACTTCGAAAAAGAGAAGATCGAGACAGATGTCGACAAGATCGACATAATTGGCCAGCTGCTCCTCGACCCAGAGCCGAAGGTGTGGCATTCCAGTGATGCCGCATCACATGTCAACAAGAAGTACGGCACATTCCAACGCGATTTGACAATTTGCGCGTTGCCGTCCGATTACATGTGGCAACACTACCGACGCCTTGACAACTTGCGACAGACGGGTGATTACCGAGAATTTTTAACGGCCGCTCGCGATCTGCAACTGGAACTGGGCGTCAGTCTTGTCAGCGACACTCAGCTGGTCCGCATGCTCCTGCTCCACATGGACGAGGAGCTCTCCCAGCGACTCCGACTCTTGGAGGTGATCAAGGGGACGGGATTGTCGCCCGACGAACTCGACGCCTCCATAGTCAAAGCCGACTTGACCACCAGCCCCGCAGTCTTCGATTACCAGAAGTTCGACGCAGAAGCTAGGCGACTCTGGCAAGTCATCAGTGCCACCCGCGCCTCCGTGAAGGTGACAGCTCAAGCCTCAGCGAGAACCGTCCGCCCCACGCCTACGCTGCGCACTACCGCCTTGCCGTCTACGCCGCCGCCGTTGTCTTCCAAAACCCGAGCGCCGCCGATGACCGACCGTGAGCGTGCTTCCTCAGAAGCAATCAGGGCTGGCCACTTTCAGGACACATGCACTACCTGGGCGACTTTGACTTGTAAAGTCCCATTGGGTTGGCGACAAGGTCCCGTATCCCCAGAGCAAGTTGCATCTCGATCCGACGTTGTAGACGAAATTGACGACAAGGGTGAAGAGCCACACTGCCTGTGCGATGACGAATACGACAACGACACGGATGACGAGAGGTGCGAACCCATTTCCCTTTCTGTGAAGCTCACAACAGATGATGGACCTGCCTTGTGAGCTCTAGTTGACACGGGTGCTTCCGCTTCTTTCATTGCAGATAGGGAAGTGGAGAAACTACGGTTGACACGGAGGAAGCTTCAGGTACCCACATCTGTTAGTGTTGCAATCCAAAGTCACAGGGTCTCGCATCCCGTCACTGAATTGGTGTGTGCCACTTCGTACCCTGAACGGCCGATGGTCTGCCCAGCACGTCGTTCTGAAGATTGCGCCATTGACGTCGTTGAAAGTGGTGTTGGGGCGACCGTTCTTAAAGCGACACGATATCCTGGTTGACTGCAAAAGGCGTCGAGTGCTGGCCCCCGATTCAACCCTACCCGGCAAGTGTATCGATCTGATGGACCGGGGAGAGAAGGGGGAATGGTCGGAGAGTGCGGTTCAGGCGAGCATTCGGACCTGTCTCGCTCATCTCGAAGAGCAGCAAGCGGAAGAGTCGCAATTGCGAGCACTTGAAGTCGCATTTCGCAAGGAGTTCTTGGACCGATTTCCGGCAGACCTCCCGCCGGTCTCGCAGTACGAGTCAAAGGTCCGCCATCGTATCGCGCTGAAACCTGGTATGAAAACTCCGCGGCAACCAACCTACGGCACTCCGATGCGCTGGCATGCAGCGTGGCAACGCTTACTGGATGATCACCTCGCGGCCGGTCATCTTCGCCCATCATCGTCGGAATACTCCTCCCCGCCCTTCATCATTCCCAAGAAGGGTATGGACACCGACCCGTCGATTATGCCGCGTTGGGTCAACGACTATCGGATCCTCAATGCAGCGACGGTACCAGATCGCACACCGCTTTCCCTGCCGGACGAGATTTTGGCCGTCTCAGCTCGGCTGCGCTTCTGGTCCAAGATCAATATGACAAACAGCTTTTTCCAGACAAAGATGGCTGAGGAGGACATACCAAAGACCGCGTTGGAAACCCCCTGGGGACTCTTTGAGTGGGTCGTCATGTATCACGAAGGACAAAGATAGGAGAGGTGAGCCGGACGTAGGGGCTCGAGACGAGGACGAGGGCGAGTGACGAGTTGAGAGATGTTCTACGGACTTCACACAAGAGGCGAGGACGAGGGACAAGTGTAAGGATGTGACCTTTGACGAGATTTGAGTTGCAGAAGGGAAGGAGAGAAGCAAGCTACGGAAATGGGAAACTAGACCAGAGGAGTTGGGGACAAGGTGGCGAGCTCGAGGAGGCGAGGCACGAGGATCACGTAATAGTGTTGAGGCTGAGGATCACGTAACAGAGCTTGGTTTATAATCACGTAAGAGTCGGGGGCGAGAGGGTTGTGACTGTGTAGTTGGACAAGAGGAAAGCAGTGCAGGTACCGAAGCGGGGAGAGGAGGTCTGAGGCGCGGGAAGGCCGAAGTCACGCGGATGACGTGGGCGCTGAGAGGCCGAACTTGGAGTGGTGAACTCCCGTTCGTGACATCATGCCGATGGGCCTGTTGAATGCGCCGGCGACGCATCAACGCCGGGTCAACGAAGCCCTGTCTAGTCTCATCGGCAAGCCTACCTTGACGACATCGCTATCTTCTTGAATACCATGGAGGATCATCAAACCCACGTCAAGGAGGTACTCTAGGCGCTGCGTCGGGCCGATCTGTATTGTTCGCCAAAGAAGACCGAACTTTTCGGACGTCTTGCGACTTTTTGGGGCATGTCATTTCGCGAAACGGGATTGCAGCCGATCAGTCGAAGGTGGAGCAAATCGTGGAGTGGCCGTGTCTGCGGACTGTCACAGAGCTGCGGGGGTTTCTGGGCCTTGTTCAATACTTGCGCAAGTTTATCAATGGTCTGGCCCAACGTACCAAACCTCTGGCGGATTTAACGTCGAAGAACGCCAATGTCCAACTCATGTGGGGTGCCGAGCAAGAGCGACACTTCAATGCCATAAAGGCCATCGTCACCTTGCTGCCATGCCTCAAGCCGATCGACCACACGGATTCCGCCGATCCCCTCTGGGTTATGACGGACGCAAGGAACGTTGGGATAGGCGCCGTGTTGCTTCAGGGGCAGGATTGGCGCAAGGCACACCCGGTGGCGTATTGGTCTCGACAGTACATCAGTGCGGAGGTCGACTACCCGACCCATGAACAGGAGCTTTTGGCGGTCGTGGACGCCCTGCGTCAGTGGCGAGTCAAATTGATGGGCGTCCACTTCAATGTCCTTTCTGAGCACGAATCGCTGAAGTACCTCAAGACGCAGGAAAATCTATCAAAGCGTCAGGCTCGCTGGGTCGAACGTCTAGCCGACTACGATTTCGACATCACCTACATTCCGGGAGGCGAGAACACCGTGGCAGACGCGATGAGCCGGTACTCTTTCCCGCAGGGGGAGCCTGATTCCGTACAGGCGGTTTCGGAGATGGACATCGACACACAGCTGCGGGGCCGCCTTGTGGAGGGCTATGACTCCGATCCCTTTTGCCAGCAGGTGTCATGGTTGGGAGCCCATGACAGCTAAAGGGCTCAGTTCGTGATCAAGTTTCATCTTGATTACTGTTCCCTTTTGGTGGCCTATGTGGCTAGGGCTCCAGTCTAATAAAAATAACTGAGATAAAGTCTGACCCTGACAGCAGGTCAAGCGCAATCTCGACTCGTCGCCGGGGTTCTCTTGTGTGGATGGGGTGCTGTATTTCGAGGGTAGGATGGTTGAACCTGCGGTGCCACAGCTTTGGGAGGACATCTTACACAACGCTCACGACGCGCTGGGTCACTTCAGCCCGCGCAAGACCTTCCATCAGGTGTCTCGGACTTTCTTCTGGCCACGGCTGCGAACATCATGCGACACCTATGTTTCAACATGTGATGTGTGCCAACGTACCAAAGCAACAACCACGGGCGTGTCGGGGGTATTGCATGCATTGGTGGTGCCGGATGGGCTGATGCAGGAGGTGGCTCTCAATTTTGTGGGCCCCCTGCCCAAGAGCCAGGGGTTCGACATGCTCCTCACTATCACCGATTGTTTATCGGGCTACACGCGCTTGATAACTAGCCGTGTTAAACTGAACAACGATGTGCTGAACAAGTTGGCGGCAGGGACGATCCAATGAGTTTGTAATCAAGTGAAGAAGAGGAAGCAAAAACGCGAATAGCGCGCGCGACTAATACAAAGTGGAGACGCACGTAGTGCGGATTTAAGGCAAGAGTAATTTACTTTAACACCCCCCCTTGCTCTTGGCCTGAAATTTGCCAAAGGCCAATAGCGTCGCAATGACGCTGGAAAGTCGCTCGAGGCAGCGGCTTGGTAAAGATATTGGCCACCATGTCATGGGTAGGGATGTAGGAGACTGAGATCTCTCCATTCCAAACATGCTCCCGAACAAAGTGCTCCAACATGCAAAGGTGTTTGGTGCGAGCATGGAAGACCGGGTTCTGGGTGAGCGCGATAGCGCCTTGATTGTCCCCAAGCAGACGAAGAGGCGACGATGTGTCAAGGCCGAGCTCGGTGAGGAGCGAGCGAAGGAAGACTGCCTCCTTGGCAGCGTGCAAAAGACCCAGATACTCTGCTTCCGTAGACAAACACGCCACTCAAGGTTAGAGACGAGATGACCACAATATCGTGCCACCAGACAGTTTGAACAAGTAGCCCATCATTGACCTCGATGTGTTCACATCGGATCCCCAGTCTGAGTCAGAGTACCCCTCGTATCCCAGCAAGGGTTCGTTGTTAGCCACGTAGTGGATGCCCAGATCGAGCGAGCCTTTGATGTACCGAAGGACGCGTTTGACAGCCTCGAGATGCGCTGCCCCCGCTTTGCCAACAAACCGAGAGAGATACCCCACAGTGTGTGCAAGATTGGGTTGGGTAGCAACAACGGCGTACATGAGGGAGCCGATCATAGAACAATAGGTTGAGTTGTCGGCTTCATCGGGATCAATCTTGGGCAACAGCTGGAGGTTGGCCTCCATTGGTGATTTGCAGGGATTGCAATTGGACATGCCAAAACGAGCCAACACGTTGACAAGGTATTGGCACTGCAGGAGGGTGATCCCGCCATCATCATGCCGGACGACCTGAACCCCTAGAATCCATTTGGCCGGGCCGAGACGTTTTACGCCGTAAAGGTTGTCGAGTTGATCCAGGACTCGATCAATCTCCCCAAGGTCGGGACCAAAGAAGAGGAGGTCATCTACGTAGAGCGCAATGTAGTGATCACCCGATGTCAGGAGCGGTTCCAAGCTTTACCACTAGCCTACACTGACCTCAAAAAGGTACAATATCCACTCTGAAAGGAGTGGACAGCTTGGTACTATGTATGGCCAACCCCCAGTGAAGCAAGCTAGGAATTGCAGGATTACTGGTTCATGACACCCGAAACGTTGGCACACCTGTAAATGCATTCATCGCAGGCAAGGCGGCGGTAGCCGAGATTTGCTAGGGTGGCGTTGATTGTGTCGTTCCAGACTCGACCAGCTTGCTCGAGCCCGTAGATGGAACGGTGAAGGCGGAGGCACTTGCCGTCATATCCTTTGATGCCAGTTGGGACGCGCATGTAGATCTCTTCCTCCAGGACGCCGTGCAGGTAGGCCTTGTCCACGTTGGCTTGTATGATGCGGTGGCCCCTGGAGGCTGCGTGCGCGACGAGAGCGCAAATGGAGGTGAACTTTGCCGTTGGTGCAAACATCTCGTCAAAATCTCCTGCCTGCTGTGCGCATCCCTGAGCTATGATGTGATTCTTCAATGACACCATTTTGCCCGCCTTATCGCGTTTGGTCCGAAACACGTGGCGACTCGGCAATATAGTGGCTGTCCTGGGAACGGAGGCAAGGTCAACCACGCTGAACACCTTGTAGTCGTCCTTCATCAAGCGGAACTCCTCGATGGCACCAGCTTTCCAACCTTCCGCATGAGGGTGACGCATGGCTTCCTTCCAAGTGCTGGGATCGCTGGTGGGGAGCGTGAAAGGATCCTTGGGCTCGGAGAGAGGACGGTCCGCCTTCGAGGTATTGATGCTGGCCTCCGCGAGATTGGCAACCAGCGCAACAACCTTGTCGCCAAGTGAGGATGCAAAGGCAGAAGGCATTGAGCGCAAGGATGCGAGGGCTTCGTACCGAGCCAGCGGATTGCGCGCACGTGGGCCTGCGGGTGGCTGCCAGGCCGGGCCAGGGGCGTCGAAACACAAAGCAGCCGGTGGGTCAACTTGCTTGGGTGCGACGTGCTCGGGGGGAACAATGACGACCCCGCTGTTGTCGTCCCCCGCGGCAGGAAGAGGGGACGCTCGGATGCCCGTTGCTTGAGCAGGGAAGTCGTCCTCAAAGAATGTGACGCTGCGGGACTTGAAGACCTGTCTCGTGTTGAGGTCGAGCAGTCTGTACCCCTTGGACTCGAGATCGTAACCAACGAAGAAGAGTGGGATGCCTCGCGGATTGAGCTTGCTGCGCGGCTCGGTGGTAACGGCCTTCCACGCTCGACAGCCGAACACGTGTAGATGGCCAGCTGAAGGTTTGGAACCGTACCAATGTGTGTGAGGTGTGGTGCCCGAGTTTGCAGAGTGCGGCGAGCGATTTTTGACGTAGACGTACGTCACCAATGCCTCGGCCCACAAAGCGTGAGGTAGGCCCGACTGGTGGAGCATTGAGCGGACACCTCGGTGATCAAGCGATTCACACGTTCGGCGACTCCATTCTGTTGGGGCGTGTCAGGGATAGAGAGCTGACGAGTAATGCCTTGCTCGTCCAGGAATCTGGAGAACTTGTTCGACATGAATTCACCCCCGTTATCCAAGCGGACCGCAAGGACTTTGCACGACGTGGAGTGCTCCACCTTTGCGAGCCAGGATTTGAAGGCCGCAAAGGTGTCGGACTTGTGTGACATCGGAATTGCCCACAAATACCGAGAATGGTTGTCCACGATGACGAGAGCGTATCTCGCACCCCCTAATGACATGGCACCGTCGAACGCGAGGAGGTCCATGTTGCAAGGCCCGAGGCCTTTGCCCGGGAGCCGGAGGAAGGTGATGGAATTTTGGGGCTTAGTTGGATAGTGTTGTAGATTTGGACTTGGAGTACCAATGAATGAATGAAGATTCGCTGTAGCTACGCGGCGTTGATAGATGACCTATTGTGAGATAGAGTATCGCCAAGGTCAATCAACTTGTAGCAGGCGAATGGGCGAGATAGATATCGAGTGTGTGTTAAAGAAGAGGGAGAGAGTGAACGAAACCAGAGCCTTAGATAGTATCCGCGTGCAAGCCACCTCTGAGTCCAATCAAGACACCACACCGCCATCTGCTGAAAGGCGCGCGGCACCCTAACGCGTGATCCAAAAGTAAAGCAATTTGAATTGATGTAATTCAAATACCGGGTGCCACATTAGGTGCGTAAGGCACACCTGCCTTACATCTGCCACCACCACCGCAGCCAGACGATCTCAGGAGCTTCTGGAAGGCGGTCAACTCGAAGGCACTGACAGCGAGGGAGAGGGAAGTTTGGTTCAAGCTGATTCTCCGCTTCACCCCGACGCGCAAGCTCCAGCACGAGCAAAAGCATGACACTTCTCCCGCGTGCCTCGTGTGCGAAGCGCCGGTGGACGACACCGATCACTACTTCTTCGGCTGCGTCGACTCGCGGAACGTCTGGACCGCGGCAAGGGGCGTGCTCTGCGACGCGCTCGGATGCGACACGATCGAGGACGCCGAGTACACGACACTACAACGACTCTTTGGCCTCCCCAAGCTCAAGGCCAAGCTCAGCGAACAGGAAGGCGCAGGCAGGTGAAAGGCACGCTGTCTCGGACAGCGGAGTCTCACTGGTGACCGAAGATGACAGGTGCAAGTTATATGGATTACAACTAGCTTCTGGTGTCAGCTCGATGAGATACGATAGTGCTGAGATAGGGAACACCAGTACTCACCTAGCTTCTGGTGTCAGCTCGATGAAGAGAGAGCTGAAGAAGCTAGGCGCGCGCAAGCTCTATTTCTAATGCCTGTGGCCCGTCGTAAGGCCTTGCCTTACACTCTCCCCTCCTTGACACAAAGCTCCCCTCTGAAAAAACACTCTCATTCCTCGTTCCGATGTTCCCAACGGTCCAATGCCTCCGTGTCCTCCAGTGCCTCGGCAGGCTCCCATGAATCGCTATCCGATGGCCATGAAACCCAAGAGACCAAATATTGAGTCTTCCCCGCTCGGACCCTTTCATCGACGATGTCCTCGATGACCCACTCGGGTTCTCCACCTACGTCCACCGGTCCCGGGCGCGCGGGTTCTCGGCTTGGGAACAATTCCGAATCATTTGAGCGGTAGGCCTTGAGCTTGCCCGTGTGGAAGAACGGTACCGCGGAATCGTCCTTGTTGAGTTGCAAGGTGTACGTGGAGATCCCTGGCTGCGCCGCAACAATGCGATAAGGGCCGTCGAAACGGTCCATGAGCTTGGCTGCGCGGCGCTTGCGGGTGTGAAGTCGCTTCCTGCGGTCACTTGAGTCGAGCAGCACAAGGTCCCCGACGGCCCATGAAGGTTCATCCGCGCGGTCCTTGTTGGCTTGGGCGGCTTGACGAACTTTGGACACAGCGAGTTGGTCTCGTGCCTCCTCGCATGACTGGAAGCGAAGTGCGAGCAGCTCCTCAACCGATGGGAGCTCCTCGTCGCCCTCAATAGGGGCAAGCGGGGCGAGGGTGGGTGTGTACCCCAGGACAAGCTCAAACGGGGTCTTCCCCGTCGAAACGTTGACCGACGAGTTGATGGCATACTCACAAGCGGTGAGACATTCAACCCAATTGGATTGTTCCCTGTTGACAAGCGAGCGTAGGATCTGGAATGCGGTCTTGTTCGTCTTCTCGCTGCGCCCGTCAGTCTCGGGGTGGAACGCCGAGGAAAGTTGCAGCTTGATGTTCAGACGCTTGTGCAGGGCGGACCAGAACTTGCTCGTGAACAACTTGTCACGATCCGAGACAATGCGTTGAGGCAGGCCAAAAAAACGATGCCACCCCTCATGAAAGCGGTTGGCAACATCCGCCGCTGTGTCGGCTTCGCGCGCAGGGATGAGGCGGACATATCCCGACAGTCGATCGGTGATCGTCAAGACACGGTCGAACCCCTTGTTTGTTGGCAACGGTCCGACAAAGTCAACGGCGATGTCCGTCATGGGGCGCACTGGAACGGGAAGGGAGTGAAGCTTGCCCGCGACGCGAGTGGTACGGGCCTTGGTTCGTTGACATGAGTCACATTGTTGCACGTATTGCTTGACGTGGCGGGACATGTTCGGCCAAAAGTACGTCTGTATAACAGTCTGGTACGTTTTTACATCACCTAGGTGCCCCAGCGCGTCATGAGCATCGTGAAGGATGGACTCACGGAGCGGGGCTAGTAGTGGAATGACAAGCCGGCCCCGTAAATACAGCAATGCGTCAATAATCTTGAACTCCGATGCGACCGACGCGATGTTGTTCAGGGCTTGCTGGCAGAATGCGTCGGTTTTGTACGCGTCGACAATTTGCTGCTTGACGACATCCGAGAGCGAGACTTGCGAAATGTTGGCCACAATGACGGGAAGTGGCTCGGGAAAGGAGTATCTGCTCATCGCGTCGGCTACAATGTTCTCCCTGCCCGGGAGATACTGGAGGTCGTAATCGAATTCGGCCAAGGTGTCAAGCCAGCGCGCCTGGCGTCGCGAGATGACCGTGCGCTGCGTCTGAAAGTGCTCAAGTGTGGAATGGTCGGTAAGGATGTGAAAATGGCCACCCAGGAGATCAATGCGCCATTCCTTGAGAGCCTCGACAATAGCTAGGAGTTCCTGCTCGTGCGTAGGGTAGTTGCGTTCAGCTGGGATGTATTGACGCGACCAGTAGGCAATGGGGTGTGCGGTCTTCCAATGCGAGCCCTGCAGGAGCACACCTCCGATACCTTGAAGACTGGCGTCGGTCATCACCCAGAATGGCATGGCATCGGCAGAGTGGTCGGGCGGGCGTAGGCAGTCAAGGGAGACGACAATGGACTTGATGGCTTCAAAGTGACGGACCGTTGGAGTTGTCCAGAGGTTGTCGATGGATGTCAGCCCTTTGATTGTCAACGGGGTCAGCGCAGCGGTATGCTCGGCAAGGCCCGGAATGAACCTGCGGAGGTACTGCACCAAACCGAGAAACCCCTTCAGTTCCGTGACGGTCGCTGGGAGATGCCAGTCGTGGATGCGCTTGATCTTCTTGGGGTCGGCGTGTACGCCGGAGCGGTTGATGATGTGGCCAAGAAACTCACACTCCGAGGTGGCGAGGTTGGTCTTTGATGGCGAGCAGTAGAGTTCGGCTCGGCGCAGGGCGTCCAGAACTTGGCAAACACGGGCCTCGTGCTCCTCCAGCGTATCGGCGAAGATGGTGATGTCGTCAAGGTAGACGAAGCAGATGGTGCCGAGTAATCCGTGCAGGGCGTCGTTGACGCGGCGCTGGTGGGTGGCGGGCGCGTTGCAGAGTCCCATGGGCATGACCGTCCATTCGTACAAACCCCAGGGTGTCGAAACCGCGGTCTTTGCTATATCCTCTTCCGCCATCTTGGTCTGAAAGAAGGAGTTGGTCATGTCAATCTTGGCCCAGAACTGCGCTTTGGAGCACGTCGACAGGATGTCATCGGCCAGGGGCAAGGGTGTGCGGTCCTTGATGGTGTGCCGATTGAGGTGGCGGTAGTCGTTCACCCATCGCGGTGCAATGGTCGGGTCCACATCCGAGCCCTTCTTGGGGATGATGAACGCCGGTGACGCGTACGGCGAACGTGAGGGGCGAAGACGGCCACTTGCGAGGTGCTTTTGAAGCAGCAGGTACCATGCCTGGCGATGGCGTTTGGCGACCGGATAGCCGCGCAGGTTGATCACAGTGCGCGGGTTGTCAAGCTCGATATGGTGTCGCACCGGGGATTGATAGGTGGCAACCGGTGGAATGTCGTCAGGGAAGCGATCAGCGTAAACCGCGCGCAGGCGCTGGTCGAGCGCGGCAAGGCGGAGCTGTTCGTCTTCGTTGACGGGCGCGATAGCGGCCACGGGCGACGTGCCGCGCGGCTGGGACGATAGTTCAAGCAGGTCAATTGGCTCCTCCGGGTTATTCTTACACGTGAGGTGGGGGTGGGGGAAATGACCTAGGTCAATCTTGTGCGTGTAGATGAAGTTGCCTCCCAGAATAAGCTCGAGGTCCCTCCCAAGGGGCGCCACTTCGGCGTACGTGGGGCCCGCCGCCCAACGTCCATTAGCCAGTTCGACCGGAACTCGCACAAAATGCGTGCAGGTGAAGACGGTGGGAACTTGGTTCTGCATTGCAAGAGTGTACTTCGTGTGCTGTTCCAAGGCCCGTTTTTCCAATCCCAATCGCTGAACGAAGTCCTCACTGAGGAACGTTTGAGGCGACCCCGAATCTACGAGGGCCGAGGCAGTGAGGGTACCATGAGCACCACGCAGAGAGACGGGGTAAAGGCGGGAACGAGCGAGGGGCGTACGAGTAATCATCGTCTTCCGAGTCACTGTTGAGGCCAGCAAACGCGGTTGAATCACCCGTTTCTTGGAACGTCTGGATGGCCGCCACCATACCAGGACGAGTGCGAGCGGCGGGAGCGGTCGACAGGGGAGTCGACGAGGTGGCGGGCGCTCCGGGAGCAGGGACATATCGAGGGCAGTTGCTCGACATGTGATCCGCATTAAGGGCGCGGCAGCGATAGCACCCATGGTTCGCGTCTAGGTAGGCGCGCTCCTCGGCGGTGAGCCGGGGACGGGGTCCCCCCGAGGCTGGGGCGGTGGTGGGGACTGGTCGCATCGTCGCCGTTGCGAAGGCCGTCGGTCGTGTGTTCGGCCGCTGTTGTTGGAGTGCGACGACTTGGTCGCAATGGCCGCTCGGCGTTGCGCGATGACGCCCCACTCTTCGCGTCCAATCCGTTCGAATACTTGATAATCGAACTCCCCGGGTTGCTCCGCCGGTGCATCGCTGTAGACGTCGGTTTCCGAGACCACAGCTGGGGCGGGAGCATCGAGAGCGAGTCTCTCGAGTGAGAGATCGGACCATCCAGCTAGCGACGAGACAACATGCGTGCAGAGGAGTCGGCACAGCTCGGGATCGGTGCCGAGGAGAACAAGCTTGGCGAGTTCCTGATCCGAGACGACCTGGAACCCAATCTCCATCTGGAGGACGCGCATTCGATCGGAGAAGTCCTGGAACGCGTGTACATCGTGACCCGTCACTTGGCGTTGCCGGTGCAACACCTCGAGTTGCGTCCAGACGAAATCGGCGGGCACGGCGCGGCGGATCAACTCCGACTTGAATTGGGCGTACGGTTTAGCAAGGTGTTTGCTCAACCCTTGAGAGAACCAGGTTTTGAGCGCCAGGACTTGCAACCCCATACCAGCGCCTTCGATCTTGTCGTGGTCGGAAGTGACGGGTACACGGGCCACGCGCCGGTTGTAGTAATCCAGGCGCATGAAGTATTCCCGAAGAGCCTCCATCGAAGTTTGATGCAGCTGAGGTGGGTCGCTGGCTTTGTATACGTGCGTGGGCGGGACAGGAGTGGACATGGCGGGCGTGCTGGGCTGGGCTGGGGGGGGGGGCGCGTGTGAATTTTTGTGTCAATTGCGTCTTCTTGCGGAGGCGGAGTGCGTGTGGGCTTGTGCGGAGGCGGGGCGTGTGTGGGCGGGGCTGGTGCGGGCGTGCTGGGCTGGGCTGGGGTGGGGCGCTGGGCTGCTAGTGCTGCAGGGTCGTCTTGATTTGAACGATCCTGGCTAGTCGATTGGTTCGATGGTTCGAGTACGGCCGGACCTGATGAGCGTAGGCCGTATCGTTGGGGTACCAATGAACTCGACGTTGTCAAAAAAAAAGTGAAAGGCACGCTGTCTCGGACAGCGGAGCCTCACTGGTGACCGAAGATGACAGGTGCAAGTTATATGGATTACAACTAGCTTCTGGTGTCAGCTCGATGAGATACGATAGTGCTGAGATAGGGAACACCAGTACTCACCTAGCTTCTGGTGTCAGCTCGATGAAGAGAGAGCTGAAGAAGCTAGGCGCGCGCAAGCTCTATTTCTAATGCCTGTGGCCCGTCGTAAGGCCTTGCCTTACAGAGTAGAGAAGGCTCACATTCTCAATCTAGAGTAAGGAAGAGCTCAATCAGCGGGAAAGAGGAATGCAGACATTATTGCAGCGTCGTCGTCTCACGGCAACGACCAAAAATACCCTCGTGATCCGATCGATACATATCACAAAGGACGAGGGACAAGAGCAAGCATATGATCTCTTACGAGAATCGAGATGCAGAAAGAAAAGAGAGGAGCAAGCCCTGAAACTGGGGAACTTGGTCGGGGGAGGCGGCGCTTGAGTGGGCGGTGCTCGATCCACCGAATGTAACAATAGCAGACGGTCGAGCTCGAGAGCGAGAGTCGAGGAGTCGAGACCAAAGCGAAGGAGACGAAAGGTGAAATGGGCACAGCGCGGCGCGAGAAGTGTGGTGATGGTTACGCGCGCAAAGTCCGTTGGAAGTGGCGGAATCCTCCTTTATGACGAGACACCACTTCCAGTATTTTCCGCAATTCCGCCTGGACGGCCGCCATCTTTTGCTTGTTTGCGACCGCGACCTCGGCCTCGCTTGCCCCTGGAGAACCAAGATTGATCGGAAGGGTACACATCATACGCTCCACAAAGCCGTGCATCTCCGAGCCGAGCTTTTCAAAATCTTTAAGGAACAGTTTGTGCAACTTGGGGTACTCGCCGTTCCCCCATAGCTCCGTGCGGGCGAGATCCATCGGAAACACCGGACGCCGCCGTCGATCGCGGCCACGGGGGCGAAGGTCCAGGTCTATCCATAAGTCGGCAGAGAAGCAGTTGCCGACGAACTTGTCCAGAACGAACAAGAACCAATAGACCGCTGACTCGAAGTCATGGTGCAGGGCATGCGAAGGGAGCTTGCTGAACTGCGCACCCAGCATGAGCCAGGAGCGAACCTCCCAGGATACGGTCGCGCGCGTGAATCGGATCGAACCGGCGTCTTCGGCAGCGACAGGAACCTGTTCACCCGGCTGGGCAACGATGCCAGTCTCCCAGTCGACCAGAACAAGGTGTCCTTGGTATTGGAGGATGTTGCCGATCGACAAATCGCGATGGTGGATGCCGAGATCGAAAAGGGCAGGCAGAAGGGTGAGAAGCTGGTCGAAAACTTGGCAAAACCGGAAGAGTGTGCGCTGCTCATCGCGGGCATCGTCGACGGCCGTAGGTAAAGGAGTAGGATTGCGCACGACGACCACATCGAGTGTGCGCCGACGGGTGCGTTGCAGTCGTCGTTCGGACTCTTCCGATACCAGGAGTATGGGCAAGGCGCTGTCCTCCATTTGCGATCGATGACGACCGAGCGACTTGGCCTTCTCGGGGAGCGCGACATATTTTTCGAAGAGCTGCGCCGATTCCGACGGAGCCTCGGCTGCGCAGCGCTCGACGATCCTGTTCAGCACATCTGCTTCATGTCCGAAAAAGTTCTGCGTTGTGAGCTAGATTTTGACCACGAATGAGGGCTCTAGATAGTTCGTCAATACCGCTGGGGAGCAGGCTACCAAGCTCGGGCGCGTGAGCTGAAATGTGACCGTAGACCGTTGGCGACTGTGGAGTCAACGAGCCTGACGGGCTCCTCGGCGATGAACTCGACGGTGCGACCGACCAGGGGGGCGTCTGCTTCGAGCTCGGACGGTCGAAGATATCTCGTACACAACGCGACGGGGGCAATGCCGGTCTCGAAGTCGCATGCATAGCGAAAGAGAGGTGACAGTCCGGCCGAGTAGACGTCCAGCCCGAGTAGAACGGAAAGCGCCGAAGCGAGCTCGCCAAAGCCCTCGCCCCAGCAGTCCTCTTTTTTTGTGCTGTCACTGCGACACACACACACACACACACACACACACACACACACACACACAAAACAACAACAAAAAAAGAAAAAGACCACAACCCCAAGCACCACCAAACAGCCAACGCTTCTGATGAATGTCAGCAGTGCCGACGCTCCAGGCGGTACCCTGCCGTTTGCTGTAGTTGTTACACCGTCGCCATCGGGTAGACCCGTCCTTCAACAAGATGCGTCGTCATCCGCCAGCCCGTGTGTCCGGTTCGGCAGCCACCCAGTAGGTCCAAGCTCAAAGTTCAACTTCGGACCGACTTGCCTGATCATGACCTCCCTTTCATTCTCACGTCGGCCGATGATCCTAGCCAGTGCTAAAGGTAGAAATGTATTATGGTTGAGTTGAAAGATTCGGTACCTTGTATTCCTCAAGTATACTGTAGACATTTCGAATTGTAACGAGCGAAGAATTGAAGTCCAACGGCCCCGAACCGAATGATCCCAAGTGAGAAGCCCCCAGGAACACGTGCGTATATGCCCCCCACCACCCAATCCAGAAAAACTAAAGGAGGACTGCTCGGTATCAACGGTCTAATTTTTTTCTATGTACAACAAAGTCCTTGCGCTCGAAGCCTTTACACATTCGGTGCGTAGACCCTCTAGTCATTCCGAGGGTCCTCAAGCCTCCTTGCCATGATCCCCACGAGTGATCTCCTCGCCCATCAATCCGGTATCGAAATGAGGCAAGTCAGACAACGAAAGGCGTGGAGCGGTGCTAGATGACGGGGATCCGGCAGCTTCAACGGGACGCTGGGCCTCCTCCTCCGCCGCTGACGTATCCGAGTCGCCGGATGGTTCACCTGCCGTGCTGCCCTCTTCTGAGTCCTCTTGAACCACACTCGGGGACGGGGTGCGCGAAGCGGTCGAACGACTCGTCGAGCTCTTGGGAATTTTGGGGGAGCTAGGCGGGCTAGAGTTCTTGGACAGGGACGATGATGCTCGACTCGGTGGACCGCCGGTGACACTGGCGGAACTCGTGGTTGGTGGACCGGCGAGGGGCGAGCTTCGCAACGAGTCGTACGATTTGGAGATCAAGCGTTCGGCGTTGTGGAGTGGGTGTACAGCATAACCTTGCGGGGATCGGGCGGTGGGTATCGTGGACACGGTGTGGGGGATGGGAAGGGTCGAGAATGAAGGGGCGGCTGAGAGAGGTCGACTTGCGAGATTGAGCGAGGAGAGCTGAGCACTGGACACAGTGGACATATTCTCTTTCTCCTTGTCGAGCGAGTCGGTCGAATCGGAGGCACTTCCAGAAGAAGACTCTCGAGCTGACGAAAGGAGCGAAAGTGAGCAGGATCAGATGGGATGTTCTGCGCGCTCAGGGGTCAAAAGAGTCGTCAGGGGTGAGACGTACTTTTGCCGAGGATCTTGTTGGCGCGTTTCCCCTCCTCCATTTGACGATCCCGGCTGCGTTGGTTGCATCGCATCACCAATTGAAGACCAAAGACGAGAGCTGTGCGGTGATTATCGCATGGTATCGATGGTCATTAGTATCGGGGACTAAGATTGGGCCCTGCACGGTGCCTGAGCACAAGGGCTCAAGTCGAGGAGCTGGTGATGGGCTGGTTTCACGAGCATCGCCGCGAGTGGGGCCCCGCTTCACTGAGCGATCGGAGCGACGAGCGCCAACGCCGCTCAGGCGCCTCGAGCGAGCCGCACCGACGACGCCTTGGCCAGTGCGCTGCGGCGGCAAGGTTGCCCCGAACCGCAGGCGCATCCCCCCAGCCCTTGGCGCCGAGCAATTCACACTCACAAATGACTACGACGAAGAAGGTGGCTATCCCGATCACGATCCACCAGGTCCTCGAGATCTCCCCCATGTCGAGGTTACTTGTGTTGCTATCGTCGAGGTGGTCGAGGAAAGAGATGCACAGCAGGAGTGGTACGTGGGAAAGAGGAGAGGACTCGAAATGGCAGAGGCTGAGGCGCTGAGGCGCTAATTAGTAAAGGCGCGAGGCACCGGCCACAGAGGATCGATCGAGGGGCGGGGAGGCGGGGGAAGAGCACGACCCCAGACCAGTCAAAGGCGGAGGCGAGCCGAATACAATCGCCAAGTCGACGAGTTGCGTCCGATGGTGGTGTGAGGTGTGACGGAGAGGATGCAAAGAAATGGCGTGAGCGATAGGGCGGGACAGTAATGGATGACCAAATGCCAAGCCCCGCGAGCTGCGTCGTGGGATGTCTCAACTTGACGAGCCAAAAATGAGACGAGAGGAGACGCAGCGCTGGCAGCTTGCACCGGTGTCGCGATTCGGCAGGGATGTTCCGCAGCAGTCTCCGAGCTAAACGTCGCCGACGACGGCGGACGATCACTGCGTGTGCACGTTGCGGTGTAAGTGGGTGGGTGTATGCACTGAGTCTCGAACGTGGCTTCACTGTAGAGCGTCCACCGAACGAACAAGATGCCGGCGAGTGTGCGGGTCGATAAGAGCGGGCAGTGGTTTCAGAACAGAAAGCGAGGTCCGAGCCAAGATACGGGCTGCTGCAAGGACTCTCGAGTAACCTGCCAGCCGACGCCGCACGAAAAAAATGGGGTCGCCAACAATTTTGCCCAGTTTGGGGGGTGATAACGCCGAGCCCGGAAGCCAGCGCGCCCTGCCCCGGGCTCAGCGCTCGGCCTCGTGGCACATGCGCTCAGATCTCACTTCAAGGCCTCATCGACTATTGGCTGGGGATGAACCCCTCAGATCCCTCACCAGCTAGTCAAGTATTGGACCACAAAACCAGCTAACACTAAGAACCAGATCAGCTAACACTAAAAAGCAAATCAGCTAACACTATAAAAGATCAAATCGACCTTCGCTAAAAGCCTACAACGCGTTCATGTCAAGCAAAAGACTTTCGGTCGATACTAAAATTAGACCCATCCCAAACCGTCCAGCCCGCGGCATTTCGGGTCGCAAGTTCCAGCGCGGTGTCTCACACCCCTACAAGGATACATAGGCGAACGAATAGGGCAACCGGATCCAGGAAACAAGACCGTTCGGGGTGAGATCATCCATTCGGAGTGTTGATCACCCACCCGGTCTAACATGCCGGCTCATAGGAGCTTGGTAGACCCCGGCCCCTCTTTGGGTATTCGCTCCCGTCATATTCCGATGACCAATGACGTAGGTCAAGCCGCATGAGCCCACTGGGGCGCTTGTAGCAATCCGATATATTGTACCAAGAAACACCTTCCAATTTTGCATTCTACAGGGTTCCGGATGTACAACACAACTCGTTGCAACGATAAAGAGAAGAATGAGCACTGCTGAACGAAACTCAGTCACTGATGACTGGTTTCCGCCTCTTGAAGTCCTATAGCTCTTCAACCTAGAACGTCTCCTTTGTTCACTTTATCAAACTCCCCACCAATTTACCCACATCCGTCCGACCGTCACCTCGAACCCCTAAAGCCTGTGGAACTCGACTCAGCTTCGCGGACAAAGTGGGAAACGGGAGGTCAGCCGAACACATTCGAGTACCAGAGTACTCGACTGCAATATGTTCAACAACTCACCCAACGCATTGTAGGTCTACCATGAGGGCAGCTCTGTTGTGATACGTCGCACATCGAAAATCAATTGTCAGTTTGACGAAAATTTCGGTCAGCAGCAGCGCGCCACTCACCCAAGGTCGATCCATCTGGCTCATATTCCTGACGATCTACGGTTCCCAGCAAATCACTCACAATCCATCAGCATATGCCACACCCGACAATAATGACAAGTGCCCATCATCTCTTACCGAAGCCGACTGCGCCTCATTCAACGCATGCCCAAACATGACGCTCTTGCGACAAGCTCGACTCGCGAACATCTTTTGCACTTTGCTCGGTCGGGGAGCATGACCATGGTGGCTCCAATCGCTGCCTTTCAGGAGTTCCAAAAGTTCTTCAAGGTCTATAGAAAGGAAAAGGAAAATTAGTCAAGTCATCAGCCGAAACTCGGGGATCATAGACGAACCTGAAACACCAAATGTGGTACTCCCACTAACGGGCTGAGCAACCAATTTGACCCTCTCTCCCACCTTCGCATCTTCATCAAGCAAGACCTCAAAACCGTTAAGCCGCAGTGTTTTTGCATGCTCGATAGCCAACAACTCGTCCTGCGCCAAGAGATGCAAGGTCCGTGGTCTGTGCATGTATGTGGGAGGAAGGAGATTAGGATCCGCTGTGCAGTCTGGTATTTCGTTGATGATAGAGAAGGGGCCTACTGTATCAACCTCTGGGACTGAATCACCGTCGATTTTTGCAAATCCTCGTAATTGTACTTCTCATCCGATGCATGCTGATCAATGATGAACAGATCATCTTGAAGCGGAATCGGCGTCTTGTCCCCTCCTGACGATGTCGATCTTCGTGTTCTTCGAGCGATGATGAAAGCGTGGTTGAATTGACCGACGATGCTCATGCAGGCAAAGTCCTGTTTGGTCACGACGAGGGAGAGGGCTTGTTCGGCTTGTTCGCTATTCTTGTTGACGCCCGCTCGACTGAGATCGATCATCTTGTCACCGTCGAAACTTGCTGGCTCGGGCTCCTCTGGCGCTGGCTGACTCGGTCGAAGATCGCTAGTCGAAGGCCGCGCCGAGTTCCATGCCTGGGTGATCTTCGAGAAGTTGGTCGGACATGACACACTCTTGACTTTGACGCCCTCGTGGTCGACTTTGGCAACGACGTTCTGTGCCCGCACATCTTGCGTCGTCTTGACCTGCGGCGTAATCGACTGTGTTCGATCGGATCGTCTCGAGTCGACGGCCTGGTCGGGCGAATCGACCCTACCCATACGAGTGCTCCCATTCTCCGTAGCGGGCGTTCTACCCTGCGGTCTCGAGGAGTTCGGCTCGTTCGCCTTGATCTTGACGACCCAAGCCGATAAATCCATAGTCTTGACGACGGTCCTCCGAGTCGAACCTCGAAAGTTGCTGTTGGCAGGTGCGTACTCCTCTTCCTCGCTCGCCGCACGCTCTAAAGTTCCCGACGGTTCGGTCGCAGGTAGGGAAGGTGCAGGCGATTCCTCCAAATCATCTTCCAAGAGTGATAACTCATTCACTTCTTCTTCTTGCGTTGAGGAGGGTTCGTCGTCGACCTCCATCTCGTCTTCATCGAGGATAACCTCAGCCTCCTCTTCGTCCACGTCTTCCTCGTCCTCCACGATCCTCGACCTCTTACTCGGTCTCTCGACCTGAGGTAGCGACTCTTCCTCATCTTCAGACACCCCATCGAGGAAAGTCGAACGTTCAGGCAAGGTCGGCATAGGCGGAAGCAGATCAACCACTTGTTTGAATGACTGTACCTCCGATCGATCAGACTTCATCTCTTTCGGCGAGACCGTTAGCTGAGGGTGAGTAATAGGGTACGATGATTGGGAAGGGGAGAACAGTTCTTCCAAAGCGTTCTGTAGGGGATTTCGCGAACCAGATCAGAATTTGTGTCTAAACCCGTCCTCGGAGGGGAAGGACGCACCTTGAGCGAAGCGATTAATTTCCCCTCTTGGTGCAAGAAGATGGTCCGTTTGTCGGGACTGACGTTGACGTCGTAGGCATCTGGTACGTCAAGAACACGAATACATATGGAAATTGAACTATTTGAAGAATGCTGAGATCGAGTCTGGAGCTTACCAGCACGCATCTGAAAGTCCGCTACGACGAAAGGGAACGCATTCGTGTTGAACCTCCTATACACCTCCGTCACGGCTTTCGAGATCTGACCAAAAACCCCGAAGGTTATGATCAGCACCACTCTTAAGCACGTGGACAGCGTCCGATCACGAAAGATCCTACCTTGGTCGCTGTGAATGGCCTTCCATTGACGTAGTAGAAGCTCCGGTTATTGATCGAGCGACCGTGGCCGGGTGCAGGTTTCGAAATGAGGCCTCGTACCACAACTTGCACAGGTCTGTGCACCATGAACACCACAATTAACATCAGACTCTTCCCCGCCCATGTCGGATGACGTACCCATCCAAAGTCAAGCCCCTACTGATCGCACGCGCGCTCTGCTCAGCAGAAACTTCGAATTCAAGATCGAGTTCGATCATATCGTTCAATGCGACGGGTGAGAAAATGGAGGAGAAATTTGACCGAAGGTCTTGGCTGATGGTCGTTTGAAGATGGGTTGTCGTTTTACTATGAACGGAAGAACAGAAGCGCCTGAAAATTAGATGATCGCTCGTGAACGAAACATCAGCCTCAACCTCAGTGCGATCTTACTGACCCTTTGAGCGTATGCTTCACTTCGAACCTGACCCCGGTCCTCACCAACGCATAAGCTTGTACCAAATCCAACGCCTTCCCCAATTCCCTCTTGGCGTTCCTCTCAAACTCTTTCCTCCTCACCGGCAAACCGGCAAATAAATCCTTGACCATGACCGTAGTCCCGACCGACCTCGCGGCTTTCCCTCCCACGACGCATTCACCGCTAGGGAGGAATGTGAGACGGGTCGCGATGGGTGTTGTAGAGGGTGTGGAGGTGATCATAGAGAGGTCGGCGGTGCCGCAAAGGGAGGAAAGAGCTTCCCCACGAAAACCGAGGGTCGAAATCGTACCGAGGTCGTTGAATTCGCTCAATTTCGAGGTGTGGTTCTTGAGTGCTGGTTGAACGGATAGAGGAAAGGCGTGTTGGTTCGAGCTACTACCTCGTCCTTCGAGGAGAGCGGTACCCGTGAATTATGTAGACTGACCTATCGAAGCCCAATCATGTTCCTCGATCCCCTGCCCATTGTCCTGCACTTCCACCAACTCGATCCCGTGATTGCGAAACAAGATCTCTGGCAGTCGGTTCCGTAACCACCATCCCATCAAAGATCAGAATACAAAAGGAGCCATCGCAACTGAGGTTGAAGCCGACCTACGGATTGAGGTCGCGCCTGCGTCGAGGGCGTTGTCGAGCAACTCCTTGACTATCAGAGCCATAATCAGTGATCAGTTCTTCTCTTCAACAGACCCCATCATAGCTCAAACATGATGGCGATCATACCTGCACTCTGTAAATCAATAATCACCTGCCCCGAGGTGAGTCGATGTACGGAGGTGTGGTCGATCGCTGTGTGTCAGTTGTGGGTAGGCGGGCCAAGGAGCCGAATTTCAGCAAGGTGTTCCATCAGCCACTTTCCGGAGCTAGAAAGTTCAAACGCTTACGCCGTATCGACATCCCTTCGACCCCAACAACCTTGAACCGTATGAAGCAGAGAAAGTCAGCCTGCCCCCCCTCCCCCGCGCCCTCTCACGTGCCCTCCCCGCCGGCGCGACCTGGCGCGACGCGACGTGCCTCTACGCGCCTGCACCGGTCCAGCCGTGGCTGTCCACCCTAATCGCCGGCGAGAGCTCACAGAGCCCTTTGATCGGCGCAGCATCGGCGTTAACCACGAGGAAATGCCGGACTTGCTCGGACTTGCTCGGACTTAAACAAAGTAGGATTTTTGACGACATGACAACTACAGTGGGAGAGCGAGGCAACAAGTGATGACTTTCTACACTACAACGCGTTGCAACATCACATATTCCCCTCTCTGGGTCAACGCAACACCTCCAAATTCTTACTCCATGCGATCACCTTCTCGTGCGCCCGAACTTTACTCTCATTGAAACCCAACACCTGTAGTCCGTCTAAATCGGTCGCTCGACTCAACGCGACGTAACTTTGTCCCGATTCAAACACCTTGTTGAGGTCGACCTTGACGCGGGGTAAGGTTTGCCCTTGGGATTTATGAATGCTCATAGCCCAAGCGAGGATGAGGGGGAGCTAACAAATTCAACGTGAGTGAAACGTCAGTCATCATGAATTCAATCTCCTAGTCCTTCAAGAGAAAAAAAAAACTGACCTGTTTCCTCGAAGCGACTTTCTGTCCCCCCACATCCTCCACCTTGAACTCCTCCCTCGCCATCAACCTAGAAAACGTTTGCCCTCCCGGAACCCTCCATTCGACCCTAGGCAATTTCTCCGCTTTACCCGCCGCCGCATCCGCGATCAACTTGTTCAACTTCCTCTCCTGCTCCATCTTGATCTTACTCCCATCCTCACCATCCAAATCGACCTCTTTCTCCAATTCGGCGAAACTGAACTCGACGACCCTCCCAATCGTTCCATTGACCAAGATCGAGTCAAGGTTCTTGATCAACATCACTTGGGCACCAACTTTGAGCGTCAATTTGGGAGGGGCCATGAAGTTGTTGAGGATCGTTTTCGCACTGCTGTGATTGGCGTAAGGGGGTCCACCGTTGCCGTTCGCGGGAGCGGCGTTGAGCGAAGGCCAGTCCTCGGAACGGTACTCTATCGCTGCGCCGGGAAGGGCGTTCAGTCGGAAGACGTTGGACCGATCGACTTCCTCGCGTCGTGGGTATCTACAGGTCAGAGCGAAAAGGTAAGCTCTTATTGATTGATGTTGAAAGACGTAGAGCAAGACCTACAGCTCGGTCGGATCGATCCCATCCGTATACTTGGGATCCCGACTAAGCGATTTGAAGATGGCGATCGACTTTGCCGACAGTGTGCCAAAGCGCATCTCGTTGAGCATGTCAATGAAGCCTAGAATATTGAAGACACACAAGTCAGCCCAAGGCAGATCGTGAAAGGTTCAGGTTTCCGACTTACGCGTATCACTTTGACGGAACACCTGCGTAAGGTTCACCGTATGGTGAATACAACGATTCCATTCCTTCGCCTCGAAAGCGAACGTCGGTACCCCCTTTGCGACGGGGGGAAGTTGCAAAAAGTCACCCGTGACGACGAGCTGTCTCATGCGAATTAGAGGTTGATGGGTGAGCGACTCGGGTGACGTCGCATCAAAATGTATGCGATGATCTCACCTGTATCCCTCCGAACGGTTTGCCTTTACCCTTGATCCTCAGGCCTTCGGCGATATAAGCCAACTTGTCAAACAGATCGCCGTCGACCATCGAGACTGCATTTTTACCACCCATCGTCAGCCACCCCACCTCTAAACTCAGGTTCCCAGCACCCCCGTTCCTGCCTACCTTCGTCGATCAACAAGACCTTCAACCTCTGCCATCTTCCTCTCGCCGTCTTGTTCTTCTGCACCTTACGAACGAGTTGATCCGGCGCCTCGAGGCCGAGTCCTATCCCCGCGAAAGAATGGATCGTCGTACCGCCGATGTTGCATGCTGCCATTCCCGTACTGGCGGTGATGGCGACGGCATCTTGAGTCGAAACGTATTTGCGCTTCAGTGAGGCGATGATCTCGCGCAAGAGAACGGATTTACCCGTTCCTTGAATTGCGATGCAAGGAGGGAGGGAGCTGTGTCAGCATGGGATACTATTCAAGTCAATATAAAAAATCAACAGTGATACTGACCTGCCGAACCGGTGAAGAACACGCTCTTGCCCTCATCGACCACAAGCTTGTGCACGATCTGCTGCTCCGGACTGAGTAAAATCTTTTGCTTGATATCCATCGTCGAATCGGCCAAGCCGACGCGGGTCAACTTGCCGTCTCCGATGACTTGGAAAGCCGAGGTGCCGTTGGCGAGTTTGACGGCTTTGCTGAGCGATGCGGACGAGGGCAAGTCCCATGGCATGACTCGTTTCTTTGGCACGGTGGAAGAAGCACTCGTGTTCGAGGTGGTGGAGTTTACGCTCGTGGACGAGGTGGTGGGTTTCAATGTCGAGGAGCTGCTGGGTCGGGTGAATCCGGCATTGTACAAGGTATTGGTGGTGGGTCGTGGGGGTTGTTGTGCTGCGCTCGTGGTGCGACTTGTTGAAGCGTTGTTGGCGACAGAGCTGGAGGAGCTCGTTCGCGCGACGGGTTGCTTCAACGCCGGTGGTCGGAAGGGTTGGGTCGTGGAGGAGGTCGTACGGGAAAGAGTAGTAGCCGTTGATTTGGCTACCGGATTCGCCGATCGAGAAGATGTCGAAGGATGGCTCGTACTACTGGTCGTGCGTTGTACACCACCATACGATGTTGCCTCGTCGCGTGAGGTCGACGTGACGCGATTCAGCTCGGCGTTCTTGTTGGCCGCTCCGATTCGCGACGACGAAGCGACGAGCGAAGGTACAGCAGCAGGTCGATTGGAGGCGAGTTGTGGGTTCATGTGCTTGCTGAGTTTGTTGGGCTTGGGTGGGGTGGGGGGCCATTCCTGGGAGTCGAGTTGGAAAAAGGTTGAACGAGGCGCCTCGTTCTCGATGTCGTCGTCGAAGTGGGAGGAGGCCGCGTCGTCGTCTTCGTAGTGACGCTTGGGTTGCGATGAGAGCATGCCCATTTTTGGACTCGGGGCAGTGTACAAGTTTCTAGTTGGGCGCTTGACGAGTGACAACTTACTCAAGGCGACGAGGACGACCGAGCGATCGAGCGACCGAGAAGCGAGCGCGCGATCCGAGCTGATCCGAGGTGGCGCCAACACGCGCGGTCAGTAGCGGTCAGTCACAGTGTCGGTCAGCGCCTAACTCGAGTCACGTTCGCCGAGCCCGAGCGCCGAGCTGACTTGTGCTTGAGGGTCGGCACACTTTGATGACTTTTGTAATGCCCCAAGGTGAAATCATTCGGTCACGCGCTCATCGTCGACGTCTCAGCCCTTTTCAACCGCTCTCGATCAAGCGCATCACAATGTCTCGGTGAACACGCCCTGCCAACCCCACCTCGACAAGCTTTTCAGCCATCATGCAAGGTCGTATCCGTTTCGGCCCCAAGAGAGGGATCAACACCAAGGCCAAGTCACGCGCCTCGCCGATCGTCTCGGGTCCACAACCGGTCTGTCAAGCGTAAGTAGCCACCATCATTGGAACGGGTTCATGTATACCTCGAGACCAGCACTCCGTCACTACGTCACTCCGGCGACGTGCTACTGCACCTAGCCAGCTCTGCAATTCTGACGATCCTCCTTTTCGCAACCCCCCGCTCGCTGACCTCTTTTACACCCCCTCCCTTGCCCGTCCATACACCCCCCCCCCTTCCAACAGTTGTCAAACCCAATTCAGCCGCTACACTTGCCCCTCATGCAACTTTCACTACTGCACCCTAACGTGCTACCGCTCCCCTTCCCACTCGACCTGTTCCGAAGCCTTCGATCGACAATCCCTCGTCGACGAAATTCGGTCTTCGGAAGGGACCAGTCGGGAACAACAAAAAGCCATGATGGAAATGTTGAAGCGATTCGAAGAGGAACAGGGGCAAGAGAATGAAGAAGATGCTGATGAGGTTACGCAGCGTATGTTGGACCGATTGGAAGGGGTCGATTTAGGTGCGCCGATCTCTTCCCATCGATCGGTTGGTAATCGAGGATTGATCGTGTCGGAAGGATGGCTCACACAGATTCGATTGAACCTTCGCAATTGTTGGAGTACCTCTCCCCGGCTCAGCGCGCAGAGTTTGAGGACTTGTTGCAAGCTTCGACCAAGGTCGAGGCCCTCATGGAGGCTCATGATGAACTGAAGAAGCCGTGGTGGGAAGAGACGGAGGGAGTGGTGGTTGAAGAAGATGAAGAAAACGAAGATGAAGAGAACGCGTTCACGAAAAAGACAATACGACCTGCAATCCTGCCTCCCGAATCGTTGCCGCCACTCAAACTCTGCGACGATGGTCGACCCCTTGTTGGCCCCGGTCTGCTCAACAACATCGTCGCAGTACTGTAAGCCCTACTGACTAGTCTACAACCTTCTCAGTACTTGACTGGATTTTTTTTTATGCTTTCGCTCCCCACAGCCTAGCCTACGTCTACGTCGTTCGCACCTACTCACTCTCGTCCCTCTCCACCCTCATTCCCTCGACGATGGACCACCAAGAAGTCTATCGAGTCCTCGTCCACCTCGTACCATTCCTCACGACACGTTCAACCTTTATCTTTTCTTCAATCAAAGAAGCGATCGAAAAAGTATTCTCAACCGAGGGTCAAGAAGACCCCTCGACCATTTTTCAAATCACGCAAGACGTAGCACGTTTACTTACGCCTTCACCAGTGATCAACGTTCAAGATGATGATCATCATCCTTTCGTAAACACTCTGGCAGCTTTGGCGGATTTGAAAGCGTTCTTCGGTTCCGTCACACGAGGGGAGCGGTTGAATTCGAAAGGGATCAAGACGGAGGCGAAGCAGGCGTCGATGAAATTGCGGTTTTACTACGCTTTCCTCGCTAAATTGGGCGAGGGCGTTTCGACACTCAGGACACTGGGTGAGGAAGTGGAGAAGGTTGGCAGAGGTGTTGCGGGCATGTGGGAGATGAAGAGAGTAGAGAGTGAGAGGAAGGGGATGGAAGGAAAACAAAGGGGTGCGAAGGTGGTTGGGGAGAGGAGCGGTCCGATTATTGAGGAAATTGCAGAGGAAGAAGGGGATGGAAAGGTCAAGTGATGAACGTGCGTCGACGACCGAGGATACGTGACGCTTGCAGATTCCGGCTTTACTTCCGCGTGTAAATTGAAGACGAGAATGTTGTAAAAAAGGATTACGGAAACGTTGGCGAAAGTCTTCGATTGCGTGTCGCACCTCGTACGCTGGCGTAGCGGGATCTCGCTCTTAAGCGCATGCGCAGCGCACTGAAGCACGCTATCAACTTCCCCCCGGGGACAGGTATGGACGTACTTGAGTTTCTCCTGCTCAAGGCAGAAACCACCTTTGAAGATGAAGCACAGGCACCCGAAGAAGAGAATGCCGGGTCCTCGTCGAACGATGGCGACAATTCCCTTGCTCCGAGTGAACTGAAGGGTTGTCCCCGAGTACGGGCTCGCACGCCGCTGAAAGCTAAAGTCGGTCCAAGTACTAACAAAAGTCGAGGTCGGAATCTCCGACGACTGTAAACATCGTTTCAACCAAGCTCGAATGGGCTGCCTCTAGCATTCAGACTTTTAGGGCTTTGATTGCCTGCAGCTCATAAAGTTCAATGTGTGCGAGCCTCTGTTCGTAGCAAAGTTGTTAGCGCACTAGATTCAAAATACATCTCAAACTTCGTTGACTTGGTTCTCTCTACTCCTCCCGATTTGTTACTGCTTCTTCAAACTCAAAATTACAACATACGAAATAAATCGCCAGAAATTTGCACGATGCGGGAGCTCGATGGAAAGAGCGAGTTTCAACTTCTCGTTCTCGAATTGGCCATTTGCCGCGAACTGTGTCGAACAAGGTAGATCGAAAGGTGATCAGCCCAATTCAGTCGAGTAAAACAGGTGAAGATGTTTTCGGGCTCACTTTTGCACCCTTACAAACAACCACTGCACAGCTTCCCTTATCCCATCCCTATAACGCACCCGCAAAAACACTTCTCAGTTGAAGCCCCCCCCCCAACCGAAAGTGAAAACCAAACACGGTCAAGACTGACCCTCTCAGCGCCGAAATCGGCATTACCGCCCCTTCGGACACGTTCAATTTACCTACGATCAATTTGTTGAACATCTGCTTGATGTCCTCGACTTGCATCGCGCCTTGAGCATCTTGTTTGTTCGCTAGGACGAGCGTCGGTACGCCGTCTACGCGTCGGTCGCTTACGATGGTTTCTGTGCGGGCGGGGCCGGCGGGGAGGGTGAGTGTGGACTCATTCAATCAAGGAGGGAGTGGGGGGAGATAGGGCGGACCGAATACGTTCCAGCATTCCTCGATGCGGTCTTGGTCCGTCGAGTCGATGACGAAGCAGACGGCGTGGCATTCCGAATAATATTTCGGCCACAAGGAACGGATGTCGCGTTGACCTGGGTGTGATGCGTCAGATATGAGGTGAGTAATATGAAGACTCAGGAGACAGGTTGTCGAATGTATAGGAACGTACCCCCTAGATCCCAAAATTGTAGCACCGAGGATGAGAGTGTGATTCTCCCGACTGCAAGGGGGTTAAGGGGGTTAGAGGGCGGGGTCCAACTTAACAAGTAAGCACGTTGTTCGGTGCCTACGGCGCTTTGAAAAGTAAGATGACGCACTGTTTTGCCCGATCGTAGGCGCAATACTAGCCGGATCGACGTCGGGCGTCTCGTTGAAGAGACTCTTGATCTTCTCTGTGCGGCCGAGTATTGAATATCTGAGCCAAGCCCCTACGCCGGGGATCCAAGGCGGAACAATTCAGCCCCACCTAAGAATGTCGTCTTTCCAGCGTTATCGAGGCCCATGATCAAGACGGAGAACTGCATGCACAAGGACGAGGGGGTCAGCGGGTTGAGCAGCGTACGTGTAAGGCAGGGATGACGTACCTCCTCCTTCTTGGACGCATGGGCAATCAAGCCTGATAAAAGCCGGTACATGATTCGGTTTGAGGGGTGTTCGTCTGCCAACTCTTGCAACACGTGGTCTCGAGTGGAGACGTGGTTCGACGAGGTTCGCGCTCCTCGTCCGTCTCGCAGTGATGTGTAGCTTGTGGCTGGTTTTGACCCGAGTGGAAAAGATCGTCGAGATTGTTGAGCGTCCACGTCTTGCTCCGGGATGTGTTGGTGGGCGTGAGTGGCTGTGAAGGGGGCCAAAAGCCAGCACGACAACTCGGCGCGCTGTCGATCAGATGCGCCCCACTTCACTCGTCTTCACTCGTCCGATCATTACGGCGCGTGTTCTCCGCTCGTCCCCGTCTCCGCGCCTCTTTGCACGTCTCTGTCACCTCATACCTGTCCACATTTCATCGATCTCACCTCTCACCTTGCACCTCACCTCACCTCACACCTCACACCTTGCCTCACACCTCACAACTCACAACTCAAATCGCGCCACCTCACCTCACCTCACCTTACCTCACACCAGACTATCGTCATCGTCATTCGTCACCGCGTCACCCAGCCGCAATCATGGGCAACTCGCCCAGCAAAGTCAAGATCACGTCCCAGGACAGGTCCATACTCGAGTCAGTCTCGCCAAGGAACCCGCAGAGTCTACTGAGCGGCCCGGGATTTCCGTGTATGGGGCAGTTGAGCTTATCTCTCGGGTGAACGACTCCTTTCTTCGACTCGCTCGCCTACAGCCTCAAATTGCAAAGGGATAAACTGAGGCAGTTCCAACAACGGGTAAGCTAGTGTTGACCTCGATCGAGATCATCCAACTCCAACTGCCCCACTCTGACCCTCTCTCTCCCATCACCATCACCCAGATCCAAGTCGTCCTCCTGCGCGAATCCGAAATCGCCTCTCTCGCTCTCCAACGAGGCAACAGATCCCGTGCGCTCATCGCCCTTCGACAAAAAAAGTATCAACAGTCCTTGTTGACCCAAACGGACCAACAATTGGAAACGCTACAAAAATTGGTTAGACTCCTTCTTTATTCTGGCTCGGATTGGAGCTTGTGGGAGGTATTGTGTGCTCATGCGTTGATGTTCAACTTTCCTTTGGGGTTTTTTTTTTTCGTTTCTCCAGGTTCAATCGATTGAATTCTCCTTGGTGGAACAACAAGTCCTTTTCGGTTTACAGCAAGGGAACGAAGTGTTGAAACAACTCAACCGAGAAATGGACCTCAACAAGGTCGAGCGATTGATGTCGGATACAGCGGAAGCGATCGCTTATCAAGAAGTAAGCGCGTTCGCGCGCCCCAGCGTTCTAAACACGCGGGGGAATTTGTGTCCGAGTGGCCTTCGAAGCAGAACTGACTTCTTGTACTGCTGGTTTTGGTACGATTTTGGGTGGGTGATCAAATAGGAGGTCAGCCAGATCTTGTCGAGCAAGATCACGGCCGACGAAGAGGACGAGGTTTTGGCCGAACTCGAAGCGTTACAAGCCGAACAAGTACACCTTTTTGTTCTTCTCAAAGAAAGCCTCTACTTTGAATCTCATCAACTCACACGCTTCCCTCCCTTACCCAGATACGTCAAAAAGTCAACCTCCCCAACGTACCTACAACTATTCCACCCGAACCAACTCGGGTCCACGTCGATCCGACCACAGAGGAAGAGGAACCCGAACCGGAAGCGGAACGGCAGAAAGAACGCCGTCAAGCCATGCTGGCTTGAGCGGCTCGTTCGGTTCGTTTCCTGGTGGAATGGTATGGGGCTTGTTTCAAGTTGAAGTGTGTATTCGTAGTGGTCTTATATCCGTTCGAGTCTGCTTTTGTTGTAATCTAGGAGACGTTTTTTTTGGGCTCCCGCGTGAAAAGTTGCTTTGGACCTGGGCCAACAGCTCACCTCACGAGCCAATGACAGTCCATTTTTTAAGCGTGTACGAGCTCAGAAGATGTTGGTATGGTATAAGTCCTACTTTTCAACATTACAAAGCATGTCAAAGCATGAGCCCGATCTCGACGAGGAAGCCGAGAAAGAAAAGGGGAGGTGGAGACAAGATCGGGTTAGCCTGATCCAATTTTGAATGCACACATAGGCGCACGGGACGACCCAAACGACTCAAACAAAGCTCTGCTTCTTCTTATCGAGCGATTTGGTCATGCCCCTCCCCGAACCGACGACGCCGACTGTGCACTCGCCGTTGAAGATCATTAGTGTGCGGTTCATCCGCGCGTTCGATGGGAACGTGATGGGGAACTCACCCCTGGCTTGTGGGTTCAAATCCTCAGGCGATTTGAACATACTCGCACCTGCCAAAGTGAAAGTATCAGCACTTTCCATCTCCCCCCAATCGCAACATCGCCCCCCGGCGTGAGAATTGCGCACCTTGAATGCCCGGAATGACGACGCCCTTCTTGGCTCCCTTTTTCGCAAACGTCTGCCAGCTCTTTTGCTTCAAACCTTGTTCCTGAGTCTTATTCGCCTGCGTCTCTGCCTTTTTTTCGTACTTTTTCCTCTTCCTCTCCTTCTCGATCGCTTCCGGATCTTCGACTTGGCCCGAACGTTTCTTCCCTTCCGAACCACCGATTCCAACTTGTCCCGTTTGCGTAGAAGTGGTAGTGGTAGTAGGTAAAGGTTTCAAATCTTTGAGAGCCACGACTTCGGTTGTTTCGTAACCATGAAAGATGATACTGAAAACTCGATTCTCGTCCGAGCCTCCGACGGTCGTGATTCGACAAGGATAATATTTGTGATCGCCCGAATACTTGGCGAGACATTCTTGTCCGGCTTGATATTGATAAGTCGGTTTGGAGGAGGTTGGGATGGGGGTTGAGGTAGAAGTGGGTTGGGAAGTGGAAGTGGAAGGTTTGGGTTTGGGTCGGGGTTGGGGTTCGGTGGTGGAAGTGGAGGGTTTGGTCGTGGAGGGTGTTGGAGTCGAGGAGGTGATGGAGTCGAGGTATTCTCTGGTTAGGTCGATTAGACTGGTCAGTTCGTCCTTGAGGGTTAGGTAGTCGGTGTTGGTCGGGTCTTTGGCTAGGGCGAGTTTGATTTGCGATAGTTGGTACTGTGCATGTGGAGAGAGTAGAGCGAGGAGGAGAGGTGGGTGGTGGGTGGTGGAGATGGAGATGGAGAAGCGAGGAGGAACGAGTCAGCCACACGCAGGGCAATGAGAGTCGGGGCTAGGTATTCAGGAACTCACCTCGTACGTTTCCAGATCGGATACATTCATGATGGAAGGGGGAGGCCGAGTCCGCGGGTCGTATTGAGGAAGAGTCAGGAGGCCAACGACCCCCTGCCTCGGCTGCGCGCTCTCGCTCTCACCCCAGCCCAAGCCAGCCCAAGCCAGCCAAAGCCCCTTCGCGCTCCTGCGCCAGTCGGAGCCGACGCGGAGTCGCGAGTCGGAGCCGCTCCGGGCAAGTCCTGGCCAGTCCGTCCGATCGCCGCGTGTCGTCATCGCCCTGGCAGCTCCTGGCAGCGGAGGCGGCGCCTGACTATCGCCGCGCCTCGATCACACGACAGCTCTCACCACTCTCTCTCCTCCATCCCGTCCGTTCCGGGGGTCGACCTCGATCATCATGTTCAGGCGTCGAGCGTTGTCCACCTCTTGCTCCCTCCGCGCAGCCCACACCACCGCAACTCGCGATCTGCACTTCCCTACGAACCCTCACCCAACCCCTTTCGAGATCTTTCACCTCTCCCCCGACGACGAGTTGACCAGTTCGAGCGTCAAAGCGAGGTATTACGAGTTGTGCAAATTGTATCATCCTGATCTACAACAAGCCGCTTCGTCGTCCTCGAGTACGCAGGGGAAGGGAAAGGGGAAGGCGACGACTATCGATCATCCACGAGCTTCGGACCCCTCTTCCGAATTCAAACAAATCGTCGCCGCCTACGAATTGCTACGTAACCCTGCTCGCAGAACGGCTTACCTAACCTACGGCGACGGATGGGTTCGACCCCCTTCGACCGGTTCGCGCGGTTTTCGTAACCCGAACGGTGACGCGATGGGTTATCCCGTTCATTTTCGTCGTGGAAGACCGATGGCCAGTTCGGCTCGACGACCGACTTATTCAAGTTCGGCTTATGATTGGCATACGTCCGGTGCTTCCGCATCGGGTTGGACCGATCCTTATGATTCATTTTGGTCCACTCATCCGACGATGGGAAGAACGCCGAACGGAAGCGAACGTTCAGGACCGGGAACGGCGGATCCTTCTACCTCGGGTTGGAAACATCAAGGGCAGGTCGGACGTAACGGAACGATCTTTCTCGCTTTAGCGACTTTGACCCTGTTCGCTACTCCGTTGGCCGTATGGTCCTCCTCACCTACTCTGACGACCTCGACCGAATCGGGTTGGATGCCCGTCGCGCGGGATCGTAGACATCGCGATGCGAGTTTGGCATTGGAGACGGCGAGGAGGGAGGCGAGGAAGGATAGTGAGGCCAAGAGGGAAGCGATCAGGTCAGTCCTTCTCTACGATGTCGTCACTGTACGGTGGCTGAGCTCATCATTATTTCGTGGTGTCGGAATTGGCAGACGTCGAGTTCAACAGATTGAACATGCGCGAGCGATCGAACGAGCGGATCAAGTTGAGCGCATCGCGAGGGGACCAATCTCGACGGGTCATGATCAATTGTCTACACCACGTAGAGCACCGACAGGAGGGGTCTTGGCCCTTCCACCACCTTCCAACTCCCCATCAAATACTTCCCACTCGACCTCTGGGTTATCCTGAGAGAATCCTTCACTTGCAAATGCACAAAACACAACAAACAAACGCAATCCAAGCTTACAAAGCCAGCCCCAGTGGTGGTACTACGTGGGTGTGAACTGAATCTCCTTCCTCAACATCTCGTAATGCCGCTCCATCTCCTTCATCTCATGCCTCGAAGTATCCCTCAAATTCTCCAAAGCGCTCCTCCTCTCTTCCAAACTCAAACCCCCACTACTCTGCCCGGGATGAGCGAACCGCGTGATCCAACTCGTTCCTCCCGTTGACGAAGGAGCGACCAAGTTCATCATCTGACCATCATAAGAAGAAGACGTCCCCCTCCTCTCCCTCTCCCTCTGTTGTTGTTGAACCTGCACCTGCACCTGCACCTGCAACTGATACCCCAACCTCCTCTCCCTCTCCCTCTCTTCCTCTTCCCTCTTCCTCAAACCCACCGCATCCCTCTCCAATCGGGGACCCAAAACCTCTTGAAGAAACTCATGATTCTTCGCGAACCGATGAATCGCAAGTTGTCGATGAGTGAGCGTATCGAGGATATCAGCGAAAGCGGTATAATCTTCTTCCAAAAGATGTTGATGATGAACCGCCGTAGTACTAGTAGTAGTGGTAGTAGTAGGAGGAGGAGGAGGAGGATGTGAAGCGGCGGCTGCAGCGGCGGCGGCGGCGGCGGCGGCGGCGGAAGCTCGAGAATTCTTTCCTGGTCCTCGAGTACGTGGAGCGGGTTGTACTGGAGTGGGATTGGAGGTTGGGTTAGGGGTAGGAGTCGGGATTGGTGCTGTTGGTATTGGTGTTGGAGCTGTGGTTGGGATAGTGGAGAAGGGGGAGGTGGCGGCGATGGAAGGATTCGGAGCGGGAGCGGGTGGGCCGCCGGTCGAGTTCGAGGAAGTGGGTAAAAGAGGTCTTCCACCACCCCGAGGTGTAGTCATGGATTGTGAAGGTGATCCGAGTATGTGTGATCCGGTTGGGGTTCCATAACCTCCAACACCAGCACCAGCACCAGGGACGATCGGACTCCCTCCTTCTCCTCCTCCTCCTCCCGCGTAACCGCCGGGTGTTGAACTCATTTGAGGTGGCATGTTCCCGAGTTGAGGTGGAGGTGGACTACCGTTGAAGAACGCTTCGTGGTTCGGGTAGGGTGCTTGGGTTGTAGTGGGAGGGGCAGGGCGGTGGAAGGAGTTGGATGAGTTGGGTGGGGCAGCGTTTGGATTCGGGTTCGGGTTCGAGGGGCGAGTGTTCATCTTGGTCGACTGACGACTTTGGGGATGATTTACGACTTGGACTTGTGATTGCGATTTGCAGATACGATTCACTCCTTGAGCGGACGTGAGCTCGGATACGAGCTGCTTGAGATGGACGAAACCCCCTGTGAGCCGAACCAGTCGATCAGTTTTGAGCACGTTGCACTCATCAGTAGCACGGTCAGGCTCTCACCTTGAACAACTGAACTTTCGAAACGGTCGGAAAGACAGCCGCGAGCCTAGACCTTTCGAGTGAGGTTAGTCGCGAAGGAAGGAGGAGGGAGAGAGAGTAGCTGATGATTGGGCCACGGTTGATCGCCGCACGCACACGCACGCACTCGCTCGCACTCGCACGCACGGATCTTCGCCGCCAATTCGTAATCATGTGATCGACCGGACAAAACAAGCAGCTTCCACTCCACGAATGTGTTGTTCTTCAAGCTGAGCTCGGGACAGGCAGTTTGAAAAGGTTGCCCACCCGGCATTATTGAAGACGGCATCGAGGTGGATCTCCGAAATCAACTACAATGTTGGGATACCAGTCTTCAACTATTTACGTATCATTTCGAAATCTGTCAAAAGAACAATGTACCTAGAATGTACCTAGGCAAGAAGCAGTCAAAAGTGACTTTCATTTTTTTTGTATCGAGCGCTGAAGCTGAACTCGTGCTCCACAATTTACCTAGTCCCTCCCAGCGAGCGAAAGTCAATTTTCTTCCTCGCCCCGCGCTTCCCTCACGGCACCCTGATCGCCTATTTCTTAGCATCAAACAATTGATCAGACGTATGACTGGCCGTGATCTGATTCCCACCAAAGAACCTGCCGTTCAAACCCGCGACCGCTTTGATCGCATCCTGGACCGATCCGAAACGGATGTAAATCTCGCCCTGTACGACGCCCTCATCAAAATCGTAAGTGAGCGGTAATCCACTCGCACCTCGTTGGAAGGGAAGCAACTTACTTTGGATTCTTTGAGCACATAAATGTCCAGAATGGGGCCGTACGAGTTTTGACATTCTTCTTTAACGTCATCGCGCAGTTCGACGTCCCAGTCTGGCTCGGTCTCTTCTTCCGGGTTGAAGGCGTTGGCCATCACACTGGAGAAGTAACAAGTGTGAGCTTGGGTCAGCTGGTTGGAAGTTAAACGTTTCAATTGTCTGCGGAGACTCACACATTGCGAGTCGTCGCTGTGGGGATGATAGGGCGGGGACTATCCAAATCACAAAACTAATGATCAGCGTTCCCGACCTCTCTAAACACCAGCTCCTCGAGCACTCACACAGAAGTTTTGAGCGCGTCCATCTCCTCGGGTTGATCACTGCGCGCTAGCTTCTGCATCAGCTCGATCCTCGAAATGTTGTTCAACGATGGACCTGTACACCCTCCGTCGGCTTCTCAATCAGCAATCATTGAAATTGAACGCGGGTAAAGAAGGAAGCCGTTTTCTTTTGTGCTCGATTGGCTGCCGGCTCGACGTACCATCTTCTTGTTGGAGTTGGGTTTCGCCTCGGTTCGCGGACATGGTTCGATCACCGACGAGGCCGACTTTGATCTGTAGATCGATCGATCGCGAAAAGGCAGGTTCAGAAACGTTCACGCCCCGCCCTACAGATGCGACCGTGACATACCTCCCGACCCGCCAAGACAAAGTTGTTCATCTTTGCCAGCGCCTCTTGAGCGTGCGCAACCTCTTTGAACCTGTCAGTCGGGGCCGCCTGCACATCAGCACATCTATCCACCACGTCATGAATGTACGAGTGTCTGTTCCCACTGACTGTACAAAAGCGTAACCCTTGGACTTGTTGGTGATGGCATCGCGATGGAGATCAACGCGGGTAATCTCGCCAAAGGACTGGAACACCTGGCGAACATCCTCATCGGTCAGTGCGAAGTTGAGCGAGCCGACATAGAGCCTGTTCAATAGCGAGGACCTGTTGCCACGTGACAAATCGCTTTGGGGTCAGCAGCTCATCCCGTCATACAAGACCGGCCTAGAGACTAGGGTGACTCACTGATTCGGAGGGGCTTGTCCTTGCGTAGCAACAGCACCACCAGGTGGTGCGTTGCCCGCGGCCACGGCTCCCGGTTCACGAGCTTGTCGGTTCTTCTCGGCTTCGGTGTACTGCACGGCGATAGGGATTCCGAGGAGCTTGGTGCCGGAGAGGGTGAGTGCCTTTTGAACGGTTTCCAATTCGACGAACTCGACGTAGCCGACACTGAAAAGTGGTAGGCTCGACATGGATCAGCACGTGAAGGAATGTAAAGGTCACTCCGAATGTTGCTCACCCTTTGGACCTGCGAGAGATGCGATCGACGATCACGCGTGCTTCGCGGACTTTGCCAGCCTGGTGCTCAAAGAAGATGCCCAGTTCACGGTCGCCGACACGCGCCGACAGTTGCGAGACAAAAATGGATCGCATCTCACGTTGCTCTTCGTCCAGTCTGAATGGGCAGGATCGAGTCAGTTTGGGCTGGTCGGATCGTGAGAGTGGTGTGTGTGTGCTTACTCGGGGCTGGGAGACCTTCGGCGGCGGTTGCTACGCGGCTCATCGTCGTAGCTCGGAGAGTGGCGTCGACGGGGAGGACTGTACGCGCAAGTGGGTCAGTTGCCGCAACAACAAGTCTACACCCAAAGGTGATATCGCTCACCTGCGCTGACGCCTCTCATCGCGCATTCGTCGGTCGTCGGGATAGCGACGTTCGGGTATATCGCGTTCGCGTTCGCGTTCGTCGTAATCATCCCTGTGCCGGCGAGGGCGTTCATAAGCATCTCGTGAGCGCGAGCGTCGTCTCTTTGAATCACGGGGATAGTAGTGATCCCTGTCCCTGTCCCTTCTGCGGTCGCTTTCACGCTCGCGTTCTCGTTCGTAACGATCCGGGTCGCGAGGACGTTCTCGATCTGTGCGATCATAAGAAGCTCGACGGCGGTGACGATACTCTTCGTCGTCGTCGTCGTCGGGGAGGCTACGGCGTTCTCGCTCTCGCCTAGGGGGCGACGAGTCTGGGCCGGCGTGTTCCCTTCGTCGTGGTCTGCTAGAGTAGGAAGAAGCACGATCGTCGACGTCGTCGTCGCGGTGACTGCGGTGGTGCCTGCTGCTAGTGCTGTGCGAAGGACGGTCGGTGTTCTGCGTCTCTCCTCCCCTCGCATGGCTCGAACGTGAATCGTAAGAGCGTACAGAACTGGCGTCAGAACGGGAGAGCAGAGGGAAGAGTGAGTACAGCACAGAACACAGAACGAGTCACTGCTAAGGGGCCCGCTCGGCACTCACACGGCCCTTTCCCCGCGTGCTTGAGCGTTCATCTGTCCGTGGCAAGCGACGCGATGAGACCTCTATGCCCAGCTGAGCATGCACTTGATAACTGACCTCTTCTTCTAGACGGTCGGCGTGCATGGCTGCGGGCGTGGTCGTGCAACTTTCGCCGGTCGTACGAAAGCCAACCCTCGGCCGAGTGTGCGTGCGCGCCTGTTTACTCGTTTTTCCCATTACAAAAATGGCCCGGCATTACAAACTCGTTTCTATGACCTAAGAACTAATGTCTCTTTAACGGCGCCATTACAAAAGTTGTTTCTTCGACTGTACCGTCCCTTTAACGGTCACGTTCCTTCCTCGTCGGATTGACTCACCCCTGCTCGAGAGCGTGTCCCGCCTCGGACCGTCTGGCTTACGATGGTCAGTCACTTTACTGAACGAGCCATCCTTTACAGTCTCCCCGCCAGATGGCCGATGAACTGACTCGCTCGCCTTCCCCACCTGTGCACCGTCCGTGCCGCCCCACTGCCAACTCACCCGCCCCCACCCCACCCCCCACAGTGTCGCCTTCTAGTCGTCAAATCCGAACAACCGATCCAACTCTCGCAACTGCTCACCGCCCCCGCCCACAGCATCATAAACCAAGCTTCCGACTCTCGGCTCCGTCTCGACGCCGGATCGATCAACGCCGACGGCTTCGGCGTCGCTTGGTACGGACCCCACGACGATGCCTCAACCCCTCTAGGTCCTTGTATCTTCAGGTCCATCACTCCCGCTTGGAGTAACTCGAACTTGCATAGGATCGCGGAGAGGGTCAAATCACCGCTCGTATTCGCTCATGTGAGGGCGGTCAGTATTTCTCACCAACTCCGAGTCTCGGCGACGCAAAGAATTTGCACTAGTCAGCCGAGAGAGCTCATCGAACGATCTTCCCTACACTAGTCTACCACGGGCGCACTGAGCGAGGAAAATACCCACCCTTGGTCATACTACAACCTCGTTTGGATGCACAAGTACGATCTTCCCTACTCGACTTTGGTCACGTGTCGACCTATCTGACCCACCCGCGCTCGATTCTACACCTTCAGTGGCTGTATCAGTGAATTCCGCAAGATTATTCGTCATCTACAAGCCGATCTGTCGGATGAATACTTTGGCGTGCCACAGGTGCGTTCGAAAGGTCCTACCAGTAGAGAGCGCACATGAACGTGCTCACCGTCCTCGGATCTCCACCCGCACCAGGGCAATACCGATAGCGAATGGGCATTCGCCTGTTACCTCGAACGACTTTCCAAAGTGGGTGCGACCGCAAAGGAAACCTGTAGCATGCATTCGGGCGGCAGGTGCTGATCAGACCGTAGTCTACAGATCACCGATCCCAAAGCCCGCACGATCCCTCACCAACTCCTTCGTCAAGCGATGCTCGAAACCGTCCAACTCATCAGTTCCTACACACAAAGAATAGGCGTGACCGAACCGTCCTTGATGAAGTCAGTTTGGCATAAAGTGCATCGTCTTTCGGCTCTTGCTCGTGAACTGAAGACGTTTGGGCGATACGTGTCAGCTTTTGCGTTAGCGATGGCGTGAGCGTCGTTTCGACGAGGTACATCACCAGTGCGACGGAGGAGGTGAGTAGGCTCGGAGAAACATTCATCGTAGCGACGCATGTACTGAGCAGTTCCCCTCTTCTCCCACCCCTTCCCCAGGCTGCAAGTCTCTTCTTCTCCACGGGCTCCATGTTTGAAGAATACGAACCAGGGATGTTCCGCATGACCAAAGCCGACAAAAGAGAGCGCATCATTCTCATCGCCAGCGAACCCTTGACCTTCGAAAGAGCCGGTACGTACCATACCTTACCCCCACCCCTGAAACCTCTAACCGATCTCCTTATCTCTCGTTTGAGCAGATTGGGTCGAGATCCCCTCCCAATCGCTGATCGTGATCACCCCACAAAACAACCTGTTGAAATACCCCATCGTGGACCAATTCTTTCAACATCATGCCGTTTCAGTCAGGTCCGATCGCTTTGCTTCGAGGAAGGGCTATAGGTGGAATAGGACTGTACCTACCGCCAATAATAATCCGCCAACGACGACGACGACGCCGACGACAGCGGGGACGGGTTTGGGAACGCAAGGGAACGCGGTCGTTGCGCCGCTTTGATGGGGCGCTCTTTTAACATTATGGGTGTATGAAATTGGGTGTAGTCCTTGCCATTGAAATTATACATTGTTGTACCAACAAAGGTTAAACTCATTCTATACCAACTGCACGCACGTCTCACCACGACGAAAAGTCCCCAAAGCCTCCTTTCCGCTTCTTACTAACGTTCGTCGTACCTATCGGTGTATCCAACTCGAGCTTGGAAGTGCGTTTCTTATCCTCCCGATTGCCTTGAGTTGGGTCACCGATATATTTGCCTACGCCGACTTTGGGCGCTTCGAGATGTACCGTCGATTGAACTTGTTGAGTTTTCGTCAAGTCCGTTCCGAACCATCTGTGAGCCCACACACCCCAACGAACGATTAAGCCACCCCCTCTCTCGATCCTTTCAAATTCCTATTTGAAAGAGTTCATATGAATGGATAACTCACGTCGTACGATCCTTTTCCCTCTCCTTCTTCTTCTTCAACCTCAACCCTTCCCCTTCTCTAGTCTCGTGTTCTCGCGCAAGACGTTTCTCCAATTTCTCACGATAAGATCGAAAGGGGTCTTCAAAAATGGCTACGTCCTAAGAGAGGTGCGAGAAGACAGTGATCACGAGGTGGTGAGGAGTCAGTGAATGTGATTCTGGGGGAAAGTAAAACGTTTTTGGGGAAATGGGGGGCGTACTTTGATCGTCACCGGTTTCAAAGGTCGGTCCGTCACGTCGCAAGGAACGGATTCGATTTTTTTCAACACGTCTTCGCCTCCGACCAGGCGACCGAAAACGGTATGTTTCCCATCCAGATGCGCGGTGGCCTAGTTGATTGTTGGGAAACCCCCAATTATCGAATCAGCGGTGAGCTCCTTACAAAGTCGGGGTGGGGGGGAACTCACCCTAAAGGTCAAGAAGAACTGTGAACCGTTCGTATCCGGTCCCGAATTCGCCATTGACAAAGTGCCCCTTTCCTCATGCTTCTTCGCATTCCGGTTCAGGAACTCGTCCTCGAACGGCTTGCCCCAACATGAACTTCCTCCCCTCCCCGTACCCGTTGGATCTCCACCTTGTAACATGAACCCGGGAATGAGGCGGTGGAAGGAGGTGTTGTTGTATTTGCCCTGGGAGGAGAGTTGTAGAAAGTTGTAGGCTGCCTTAGGGGCGATGTGCGAATAGAGCTCGAGGTTGAGGTTGCCAAAGTTGGTGATCTGCTTGGGGGGGGGGGGGGGGGGCGCAAGTCGACGCAAACTGGTCAGTCAGCATCACGTCGAGAGAATGGGTTTACATGTTGGGTGGGTGACTGACCAATCTCGCGTACGCTTTAGAGCCACTCTTTTTGATCGCTTCAAACATGAGATCGTCCTCGTTCCAAAGCGCGTTCTCAATCGCCGTATGAACCGGTGCCGACGTACTCGTCAAACTCGCCGCGGCTCTTCCGGCCGAAGTGACTGATGCGTTGTACGGAGTGACTGAAGTTTGCTTGATCGTCTTGCCGACCTGGGCGTTCGGTTCGTGCGCTAGCTCGTTCCCCTTGGCCTTCTCCGCAGCCGTCTCCGCAGCCTTTTCCCGCTTGTCCAAACTCTTCAGGACCCTCTCCACGCCCGCCCCAACAGCCTTGGTATTGATCCCTTCCAACTGCTCCCCCTCGCCGAACGTCAACTCCCTCTTCACATAATCGAATTTGCTCAAATCCTTCGCTTCGACATTCAACGGATCCTGAAGCGTGATCAAATCCTTCTTCTCGAACTTGTCGTCGGTCAAGAGATCGTTGAACGAACCCGGTTTGAGGTTCAACCTGTGCACGGTCTCGTAAGCGTAAACGTTGCCCGAGGTTTTGATGGCGACGATGTGGGTGTGTTCGTTGAAAGGTTTGAAGGTGACGGGGTCGTGGTAGGTGCCTTGCGCGTTACGGTGCAAGGTCAGTTTGGTCAAATCACCGGGACCGAGTTTGGCGCCTGTTTTAGGATCCGTGCCGTGTTGTCTTTTCCCACCACACCACATCATACCGCATCATCAGCATCCAAAAAACTTTCACTCTGGACCTGTGCATAAAAAAAGAAAACTCAACTCACCTCAAGAATGGGATGATGGACCATAAATCATAGACGGTGCCCTGATCCGTACAAACGGGGTGGGTGACCGGTTTCAAGGTCAGGGCACAACAGTCGAACGGCAACTTGGCGAGCAGCCGGTCCTTCTTTTGTGCGCCGACCGAGGAAGAGTGGGCACCGAATTCACCGGCGTGTTCGCGCTGTTTTTGGAGCGAACAGGAACGAGGGCGGGTTAGTAGTGGGGGATCAAATGGGGAGGAGGAGGAGGAGGAGGAGGAGGAGGAGGATGGGGAATGGAACGGAATGGAATGGAATGGAATGGAATGGGGGGGGGTACTTGCATGGGTGATGTAGAGCCTGTCGCTGTTGCCGTGTCCCATCTTGGAGCGTGTGAGGGGGGTGTGTGAGCTGGTAGCTGTGTAGTGTGCAGGAAGGAGGGGCCAAGAGGGAGACAAGTCGTCCGCTCCTGCGCGCGTCGAGCCGCGCTTGCTTTCACCCTCTGGCGCCCCACTCCTCCCCACTCTGCCCCACTCTCTCTCTTGCTCCTCCTGCTGCCAACACTCCCGCCCAATGACGCGGTCTGGCCTCCCTCGGTAAGTCACCGCGCACACCCCCTCCCCTCCCCTCCCAACCCGATCGCGGCAACTGACTGCACCCCCTCCCCCCCCCCCTCTCAGCTCTGCACGAGGAATCGGCTTCCTCCTCGTGCTCTGCCTCTTCGACGCCGTCCTCGCCACCTCGCCCCTCCCTCCAGCCTCCCTGTATGGGTCCCTCCTCAGCAACCTTTCCAGACCGTACGAACACGATGCGTTCGTGCAACTCGCCGCGCCTTACCTGGTCCGTCCCACACCCCACACGCCACACCCCACACGCTCTCAGGCTCAGCACGACCTGCGGGGTTGGGTTGTTTTTGTTGACCTCCCGATCCTGACCATCTCTTACGCTTCCATCGTTCCCAGCCCGAATTGAACAGTCCGATCACTCGCAACGGTTCGTTCTCCTTCACCGACCTCAAAGTGGCCGAATACGTCCTCTCCGTTCATTCGAGATTGGCCGAATTCCAAGTGAGCAAGCTGTTCCCCCCTTTCCCTCCCCGACTTGAACTAAACCGCGCGTATTGTTCAGTTCTACGCCGTGAACGTCACCCCTTCCCACCAAGTCGACGTCCGACTCTACCTCCCCGGACAAGGCCCCACCCGCACCAAACCGTTTGCCCAACCCTTGCTGCTCCCCGCCGTGCACCTCAAATCCTACACGACCCTCCCCACCCCCTTCTCCCCCCTCCGACTGCTCCGATCGAACCCTTCGCTGCTCCTGGGTGGTTTGGCGCTGGTCGCCTTGGCGCTCTTGCCCAAGTTGTTGGCGCGCTTGGATCCGGAAACGGCCAGGGAGGTCAATCAATCTCAAGCTGATTTGCACGCCAAATTGGCCGCATTCGCTAATTTGGGGGGTGGTCGGGGGGGGGGGGGGGGGGGTCCGAATGGTTCGGATGAGTTGACAAAGAGTTTGTCAAAGAGGTTGGCGAAGACGAAGACGAGTTTGGAGGAGCAGGACGGGGTGCAGGTCGAAGGAATACAGGACATGTTATCGACGTCGTTGACGAGTGGGGCGAAGCAGAATCAGGAGGGCATGCAGACGGGCAAGGGGAAGGGAGGGAAGAAGAGAAAGTGATCGACTACCCTGCAGCGTATGAAATACAAGCCATCCTTTACAGCGAGGTTCGCAAAAACATCTACAAAGACAGACAAGAACGGAGAGAGTACACCCCTCCGCCAACCACCTGGAAACCCGTTCCTTTCGCAGTCTTGAGCTCGGGCCACACCATGTCTTGTTTTTCCGTTCCCTTGCGCGCGTTCGGGGCGTTCATAGATCATCATCTGAAAGTGATAGGGATGGGACAAGTATTGCAAAGACAGAGAGAGGCCAAGAAAAGAGACGTAAAAAGAAGAGAAAGCAAGACCACGACGGAGGAAGGAGAATTTCGGGGGGATCAGATACGATGAAAGGACAAGCATCATGAAAAGAGCGACCCCGGGGGGGTTCTTTTTTTTCAGAGCTCGCCACGAAGAGGAATTTCGGCACCTTCAGAGTCGTACACCTTCTCCATCGGCAGCTCGCCCGAATCGATGATCATGATCTTGGACTTGGGCTTGTCGCCGGCGGATTTGGGGACGTTCTCGATCTGAGCCACAACGGAAAGCATTGATGGCGGTTCAGCTCTTGGGAACCGGGTTTGGAGCATGGGTTTATATATGGACTCACGGCGGTGACGACGTCCATGCCTTGGAGGACTTTGCCAAAGACGACGTGTCTGGAGGTACAAAAAAAAGATCGAAGCGTCAGTACCGGTGCACATATACCAGTCTGAGATCTAGCAACTGACCGTCCATCGAGCCAGCTCGTGACAACCGTGGTGATGCTTCATGGTTAAGAACGGCGGGTCAGCATACGCTCGCACAACAGCGCCTTCCGAGCCTTCCAAGGTATCCCGTACGCACAAGAATTGCGAACCGTTGGTGTCCTTGCCCGCGTTGGCCATACTGAGGACGCCCGGGGTCGTGTGGCGCAACTTGAAGCTGTTCAACCAGGTACGTGCTCGCAGCATCAGCCGCTGGAGCTCCAGCTCTGCATATCGGCGGTCACGTACTTCTCGTCCTCGAACTTGTCACCGTAGATACTACGTGTGGTGTAGAATGATCGGATCAGCTTTGCGGTCAAACTGAAACGGTGCAGAGGGGAGGTTTCGAAACGAACCTCTTGCCACCGGTACCGTCGTGGTTGGTAAAGTCACCACCCTGGATCACTACGGACCTCGGACCCAACGATCAGTCAAACCAACCGCCCCGTTCTTCCATTTCCGCTCGGTTCAAAATCTTACTAAAGTTCCTGAGAGTGATACCAACAGCAGGGGAATCAATACGCCATTTTCATCGCCCCCGCGCTTTGGTGGGGACTCACTTGATCACACGATGGAACGTCGACCCTTTGTATCCGAAACCTTTCTCTCCCGTAGCCAAGGCACTGAACCCCCCCCCCCCCCCCCCCGAACGAACAAAGTCACTGCTATCAGTTCCACGGGAAGGACACTCGGTGAAACAGAGGTGGGATATCGGGCATACCGGAAGTTCTCGGCCGTTTTGGGGACGGTCTTGCCATAGAGACTGTGACGATGAAATCGAGCAGGTTAATTCCTTTCTTCGAAGCACCTTTCACATGAAGGTAGTGACCTACCCCATGACGATACGACCCATCTTCTGTGAGCATGGACGCCAAGGACGACGGGGGCGGGGCGGGGGGCGACGGTCGACGGTCGACGTGGCATGGATGCATACGTGGGTCAGCTTCTAAGGGGCAGGGCACCAACCAACTCGGGTAAAGGGGCGAGCGACCAGAGCCGAACTAACCACTCCATTCTCATCGCCCACATCGAAGAACACCTTGCCTGTTTGTGTCACAATGCGCCCATAGTCAGTAGGTCAAGTCTCTCCAAACGACGCGATCCCGCCCACCGCCTCAATCAGCTGCTACGAAAATGACTGACTGGTGACGACCGGTCCTTTGCCGGCGGCGTTGACCGCGCCGAAAGTGAACAGGGCGAGGAGAGGGATCGCAAACGATTTGAACAACATGATGGTCGCGTTCGAGGGGCTTGAGAGCGGAGAAGCCTGAGCCAGAGGGAGGAGGCCGCCAGCGCGTCGGCGTCTTGGCGTGCCCAGCTCGTCGAACTCGAGATCTCGAGAGGCTGCGTGCAGCTTGACCGCTCGGGATAAGTGCTCGACCGTGGCATGCACCGCAAGTGCCCTAAAATAAAGGAAGGAAGTCTAGGATATCGCAAACTGAGAGAAAGGAAGAGACTAGTAACAAATTCCAAAGTAAAGAGCGGAAAAACAAAACAGAATGGGCGCACATAGAGTAGTCGCAGAGAACGCGGAGGAGAGCAGAGAGGGACAGAGATTACGACGAGAATTGTACAAGCTTTTATCTTGTTTTGAAGCAGACCGCAAAGGGGGAGGCGGAATTGTGAGGGCCGGGTATGAAATCGGTCTATTCCGGCTCGACACTCGAATCTCGATGACGGCCGAACCTAGCGGGGGAGAAGCGAGACGACTTTCGAGTCGAGGGGGACACCGAACCGGCGATTGAACGCGTGTCAAAATCCGGGGTCGAGGTAGTAGCCGTCCACTAAGAAACGGCGCGACCCAGGTTAGCTCGGAACGAGCGAGTCAATTACAGGGAACGTATCAACATACCGATAAGCCCACGAGCAGCGACCCTGCTCCACCGGTCAGAGGCACCGTCACCGTCGTCGGTGGCCCACCAGGGGTCAGAATGTCCCAGAGGTTCACCAGTCCGCTACCGAGCGGCTTGTCTTTACCCAGCGTCTTCTTGTGTCTACACGCACGTATAAATCCAGCAGAACATCAGCTCTTCGTCCAGCGGAATGTATTGCGGCGACTCAAACCGAACTTACAAAGCCGTAAACTCCAACGTCATCGGCCCATCCGTCTTGACCGTTGCCGACTCGTCAAAGTTGATCGAATCTGCCCCACCCTCGGCATGATGCGCCTTGGTCTCCTTGATCTGTCGATTCCCAGCCTTGACCACCACGACTTGCTTCTCCCCCGGTTCACTCGCTCCGGACAAACTCGTGATCGTCACCGTCAACGAACCGACTTGGCTCGTCGCACCGGATGGCGTTCCTACAGAGCTCATCAGAGCAGAGTTCCCGACCGCCGGGTCGGAAAGACCCGCGGCGGCAGCCTCATTCGCAAAGTCGATTTCGGCGATCGAACCATTGCCGAACGACGATGTCCTTTGGTAAGCATTGTTGTGACCACCACCACCAGGCACGACCTTTCGGATCCCTCCAAACACACCCTTCCCGACGGCTCCAACACCAGTAGCAGCACCCTTACCGACCACGCCCACTCCCGACGCCGCTCCTTTCCCAATGACGCCGACGCCACCTACGACCGCACCACCGGCATGCGCCACACCTCCACCGATACTCGTGGCGACTCGTCCAGCAGAGGAGAAGGTCGACGTACTCTTGCGCGATCGCGCGAGGAACCCAGGTCGGAACACGAGCTTGAGGTGCACCACTCCTTGCTGCTTCTTTGTCTTGACATCATACAACGGAATAGTGTGTTCGGTCAACTCGAGCGGCTCAAGGGCCGCAAGATCGATCGACCCTTGACCCAAATGCGTCGGCGTTCCCACTCGATCCCAATCGTAGACGATGACGTAGAAATTCGCCGCGACTCGACTGCGCACCTCGCACTCGAACTTTTCGTTCCATACGGGGGCCAACGTCTTTTTGATGACCTCGGACTTGTACACCTTTTCGTCGTTGAGGATGAAGACGGCGTAGGGATCGGACTTGCCCGAGCGATCTCCGGCAGCGAGACCCTTGGCGTGGACCAGATTGACCGACAAGGTACCCTGATTGTTGATGCTTTCTCGGGCCTCGAGCACCATGTCGATGGGGATGTACTTGGCACTGTAAGACGCACGCCCAAATTCAGCACGACCGCGAGCAGTGTTCTATTCATGAACACGTTCAACTTACGCCATGGTCACGGTGTTGCGCGATCCACCATTGGGGTCCGTGAGCGTGAAGGTGAAGGATCTGTCCAAACAGGATGTCAAGAACTGGTACACCGGGATCGTCGCCGAGGCGACGATGTCTTCGCGTGTTTCCTTTTCCGCACTGTTCAATCATCTCGAACGTTGTAAGCAAACAGCATTGAAAGGAGTGGCTCGCTCAAATGTCCCAGTACGACGCACGCATTGAGCTTGAGGATGATGTTGCTAAAGTTGAGTTCGCGAATGACGGCTTCGCCAATCTCATCCCACACGGCATGCGTCGACCTCGCTGGTTCGGATGAGTACGCAGGCCAGTACCCTGTGGTTTGAGGGGGCCAATCAACCGTCAGCGAGCCAAACGGATCAGGCCCACTTCGAACCCTTACCATCGTCGAACAAGACCTCAAGCCGAGCACCCCTCTTCGACAGTTGGCTGTAAGTCAACTCCCGCGGGGCCAATCAGTCACCGTCACAGAACCGATTCGTCTCGGGAAAACACTCACCCCGAAATGATCTGGAATGCCAAAACGCCGGTCTGCGTCTTGAGCAACTCTTCACGCGGGATAACGATCCCTGTATCGTCCTCAGCTGTGGTCGAAGTCGATTTGCCACTGATCGAGCCGTTCCGTTCGAGCGTTTTGGACGTCTTGGCTTCCGCTTCGTTCGTGAGGGTCTCGACTTCTTCTTCGATCACGTCAGGCTCGGGTTCCTTGAAGGAGACGTTCTTGAGGTGTGCGCAAGGGACTGCGCAGAACGATCCGCGTCAATTGTCTGGCACCTCTGGCAACTTTCAATGCTAGTTGTGCAAACTCACAAAACTCGACGTCGTACTCGACCGAACCCTTGACCGTCTTCTTCCCATCGATGCGCAGCCCGTCCTTGCGCGAGTGTTTGCCAGTCGAGACCCAAGGCTTGTTGACCTTATCCTCACCCTCCATCAACAGATCCGAGACGTTCAACTCCGTCACACCGAGCGACCGATCCTTGGTCAGATGCTGATAGTCCATGCACTCGATGACGAACGTGTCTTTCTTGCTGTGGATCTGCACGTAAACGATCTCGTCCCATTCGGGATCGAGGTTGTTGTCGATGACTTCGGTACGGGTAATGACGATTCCGCCGTGGAGTATCCGCATATAAGGATCACTCTTGCCTCCCGTCATAGCCTCGACGTTCTTGAGGTCACGGGCTCTCTTGAACAGGACCCGCGCCACACCAATAGGTGGGGTGTATTGCCCCGCACCCGAAATGGCACCCGTCATCATCACAGGTTTCCAAGATGCGGTCAATCGCACGCGACCAGTTCTCGCTTGGCTGAGGGGGAAGAAGTCCTGGCCCTTGGCATTGGCTTCTAGAAGATCCGCGAGCTTGACCTTAAGAACGCCCAATCTCGTGTTGGCGGAAATGGCATTCTCATCAATGACGGTGATGCCGATGACGGCGCTCGATCGATCGGTGACGAGGAACTCGCAAGGTCGCTCCCAAACGGGGTTCGGCGATCGTTTGAGCGTCTGGGTGCGATGCACGATCTGATCGTTGAGGCGTACCTCGGCGCACGTATTGATCTGTGGGCACAAATATCGGTCAATCAGCGCGGTACCAGAGACATATAAATAGGCAGATCTGGCAACCCACCTGCTGTCCTCGACCATCGAGGTCCTTGGCTTGATGCACAACGAGGCGCACGACTCCGGTCTCTGCTCGTCCAGCGCAAGAGCTTGGTCAGACATCTGACTTTGTACAAGTGATTGACTTGAGCTTACTCGTCTCGGGGATGGTCTCGACAGTTCCGTCGGGCAACTTTTTGGCCGTGAGAACAGGGAAGTAGATCTGAACAAAAGCATAAAACACCCTCGTCAGGTTCGTGGCTCAGGACCACACCACCACCCGCAGTCGATGGACATACCGCATCGAATTTGATAACTCCTCGTGTCTTGCCATCAAAGATGACATCCGCATTGATGCCCTCTTGTTGCCCATCCTCCATCAAGGACTTCAAGTCGAAGCTCGCCGTGCCGAGGTCGGAATCGGCGCGGTGTTCGTTCCAGTCCTTGATCGTCATCGTTAGGCTCTCGTTGAGGTTGTTCAAGAGGATATATTTGGTCTCGTTCCAGTGAGGAGTCGTACTATCCGAGCGGCAAAAGGAAAAGCGTCAGCTTAGTCCACACACATTCTTCCTAAACACTCTGTTCGCTTACGTGCTGCGCTTGATTTTAGTCTTGGCCAACTCGGCCCGACCGGCAATCGCGACGCTGACATAGGGATCCGGCGATCCTCCACCAAGCTTGACGCCCTTCAAGCCTCGGCCGCTGTAGATGGTCAGGGCCAACACACCGCAGGCGGTGTCAATAGGAGCACCGGAGAGCATCTGTTCGAGGTTGAGGGTGAAGGTGTTGGGGTGGTACATCATGGGACCGAGGGTCGCATGGACTTGGGAAGTGATGAAGGGTGAAAGTCCAGGAATCTGTGGGCCGACATGACGCTACTATCAGCGCTTCGACGCACTGAAATGTCTCACAGAGCCATGGCACTCACGAGTGACAGATCAAAGCCGACGGGCTTGAGCACAAAGTCAAAGATGGGCGGCTGCATGAGCGACAAGTCGACAAGTTGGATGTGCGGGAAGTTATTCATGAGCTTCATGCGGATACGCTGGGCAGGGGGTGGTCGATGAAAGTTGATCAGTACTTTGACTTTGCGCGTAACCTCTGTGTATGACCGAGGAAGTGTGTCTAAAGCTTACCATCGTGCCCTGGAAACTGATATCTTCAACGACAATATCCTTGCCCACAACGGCAGGTCCAATACCGAGTCGGATATTGAGCACGATCTTGGGGTTGACCTTGCGACTCGCTTGGCGGTGCGTCATGTCCTGGATGTCGTTGGGCACGAAGGATATCTTCCATTCCATCATGACGACATCATCTTCAGTGTCGGCGAACGTGCGCACGTGATCGATGTTGGGCGGTTTGGTGCCGAGGGTGAAGGTCGTCATGCGGATCGAGTCGAGGAAGGCCGGGGTCGAGATTTGCAAGACCTGATCAACGGATGCGACGATCTGCAAGGCAAAGTGCAACAATGAGGATCAGTATGCGAGTCCGGAGGGTGCATGCTCGCGTGACTTCACTTACCGTAGCGGAAAGCACGGGCTCATAGATCTAAGTGCGAGGCGGTCGAAGGTCACCAAATCCGAATGAGCATCCGATTGTTGGAACTAACCCGACTGCCACTCACCAGCCAAAATCGCTGAAGGAACAAGTTCAACCAGGTCGCCGACTCGACATCAGCCCGAAGACCTTTTTTGGCCACCTCGCGAACGAGATCGTCACGAGCATTGCGCCGAGTCCGCTTGATGCTCGTGTCGTACGCCGTCGCCGTGACACCGAGAATGACGATGAGCCATCCCCAACCTCCACCAAACAGCGTCATGAAGTGCGATGCGACGACGGCGAAGATGATAATGCCAGCGTTGACCCACCTGCAGGACGAGATAGAGATGTTAGAACCTGCTCTTCTTCATCCTGGTCGGAGTCGCGGAGGCGAGCGTACCACTGTCCAAAGTAAGCGTCGCTGATAAAATCGCTCAAGATCGACTGGGCCCGGGCATCCTCCGGTGCGAGGTACAGGGACTTGTCGGGGCCGTCGTTCCATCCCTGCGGAAGGATGGAAGTTCAGCACACAAGCGCGAGCGCCGGACTGCGTGGTCCACTCACAATCGAGAACCAATCAGGAACTAGCAGCAAGGAAAAGAAACACCAATCAGCTTGGTCGGTCGAGGACGTCCCATACGCCTATCGAGTTTTAGGGAAAACTCACTTTCTCGGAGAGCTTCACCGGTCTTGCCCTGGGGCATCGCACCAGGAGGAACAGACTTGTCTTTCGGAGCCTCCTTCTTCTCGGTGGCCAAGGCTTCAATCTCCTTGAGGTTCGTCGTCGGTTCGACAGGCTTGGTGCCGAGGTCGGTGACCATCTCTTCACCGCCAACCTTTTTGAAGTCCTTGAGCTCCTTGCCCCGTAAGGAGGGTACGCCGGACATGTCGACGGGTGCAGTTGAAGGTGCACCTTTCAGGGCTTGTTGCGCTTTCTCCTCTGGGGAGACATCGGGGTCAAACGAGTGCACGGCAGCCCCCTGCAATGACGGGAAGGTGAGACGAAACCCCACACGACGAAGAAGGCAAGACGAGTTGTCAGTGAGTCGTACGTGTCAACGAGGCAGAGCAAATAGCGTGTTTTGTTTCGCAGGTCGAATCGCCATTCGAATTCAAGGATAGTGGGTTCGGCATGCGGTGCACCGCCTCCTTCCTGACGGGGCGAAGGTCGCTAGAAGACGGATTCATACGGGCGGCGCCTCAAGTGGGGCCGCAGTGCCTGACCACCGACCGACCTTGCGCGATTGCGCATCCCAGCCGACCCCTCCACCATCCGGGGCCTTTGTAGGATACAGAACTGACCATGGCTTCATCCTTGAGTTCCTTGAGCTCCTTGGTCTGCTGCGAGATGGGTGTACTGGCCGCGTTGTAGCTCACGGAAGCTGGTGCTTCGGCAGCTACGCCTGAGAAGACCACGTCGGACCAGGCGAGCGATTAGTGCCTATGCATATTCGGAGAGGAGCATGAGGTCATAGAAAGTAAGAAAACGCCTGTACTCACCTCCATTGACACTCATGGCTGTTGGCGAACCGCGAGGTGCAGCAGAAAAGGCGATGGAAGGTGAGTAAAGTAGGTCTCAGGTCGACTGATAGCAGCACCGCCGATGCCAACCCTAAAGGAAAATGGGGTAATGCCGCGGGCCAATGCGGCTATTACCAGTTACGCGCGCGCATTTATCCCCGAAGCTTGGCGCATCTACCGCACGTATGCGAGCGTCATTTACAAAGGGTGCAATCTTCGCGCAAGTTCGGCGCGTTTGCTCGGGAAAAGTGGTGCGTTTACCGATCGTTTACCGATGAAGGATGGTGCATCTACCGTGTACCGTCGTGACGTTGCTCGTCAATCCGCTGACTCTCGTGCAGTATGTTATGTATCACATTGTCATTTGACAAGCTCCCTTATCTAATTACCAAATACGTACCGAGTAACCCCTAAGCCCGGGCTCGGCGAACGCCCGAGTAAGATTTCAATTCAGCCACCGCTTCCATTTACTGGGCATTACAGCGGGTCAATGGTTGAGCTGTAGTTCCTTAAGGCCTGCAACCGTTGGCACCCCTACTAAAGAAAAAACTAACACATTCGGCGAAAGCCTAGGGGCCGCGCCAAAACTGGGCTACAATTAACAACCACGAATGCCCCTGAAACGAGCTCCTCAAAAGCTTCGTAGCACGCCCCTCGTCTTTCCCCCCACTCTCCGTTTCTTACACATTCAATCCTCGGCCAAAAACTTCTACCCTTCCTTGTCGAGCGGAAATTTCGTCCATCTCGAGCACAACGACGCCTGAAGGTGGTACCTTCTAGATGGCACCAAGTACGCTCATGTCAACAACAACAATGAGCCAACTGCTCCAACACAAAGGGGGCTGCCCACCCATTGCACTGCAGCAACAAGGCTCACCAGAGCCATATCTATCTGAAGTCGGAAGATGAATCGGGTCTCGATCAGGATGAGAGTCCTCGGGTTCTCGCACCTCCTCAGCCTCGGGGCTGGGTTACTCGGTGCGAACGATGGTTAGCAGACACAATAGCACGATTTCCGACGACATGAGAACCGCCGGGTGAGAGGGCTTCTTATTACGCGGGGTGGACGTACTTGGTAGTCACGTAAGACAGCTCGTCAAGTTACAGTGTTATCACATGGCATGCTACACAAGATACAGCGGATTGTCGACTCTTACTGTACGGGGTAGATGCACCATCCTTAATTGGTAAACGGACCTCTTTTCGGGTGCAAATGCACCAATAGTCTTTTCGGCCTTTGCTGCAAGATTTTGACGCGGACAGCTCAAGCGCGCTGGTCTCGGCCTAACGGGGCCCGCTCGCGCTCCACTCTTCGAACACGCATTCTTTGGACCCTGTGCCAGCACGCACTCTTCTCGGCCCCCTTGGGCCTCCCGCCTTGCTCACCCGCTGGCGCGCGCGGGCCCTTCCTCTCCCTCTCCCTCGTCGTCCCGCACGCCTTAGCGTTTCGTGTTGTGGTTCCGGCACACCCCCTGCCAGTCTCTACTCACTCAAAGTGGGTAACATCCCTCGTAAGCCCTCTGCCCTTGTTGGACAGTTGGACTGATGAGCTAGCCTGCCACTACGTTGTAAGCAGCCGCCGTACCCGCTGCTTTGCAAGGTCGTATCGCACCCACTGCTTAGAGCAAGGGCGAACTTTTCGAGACTCGCACTATCGCGGCTCGCTGTTTCTAGCTAAGGTTCGCATTCCGGATCACGACTGTCCTTGTTGGGCATGTTGCCAAATTCCTTGTCCTTGTTGGGCAAGTTGACTCATGGGGCTACCTTGTATACAGACCTCGTTTGGCCGCGTCTACCTACCGCGTCGCCTTCCTCCCCTGCCATCACCCTGCGCTTTTCGAGCAAAGGTATGCCCTATCCCCCAAGTCAGTTGCAGTGTTTTAGTTACTAATCGGACCTGCGCTCTTTGAGCAAAGCCGATCGACCATTTTTTTGAGCTCCTCCCTCCCACCCTACTTGTTCATAACTCCTGTTTAGAAAACCCTCCGTTTGTTACGGAGTGCGGGTTTTTCTCTTATCACTGCAACTCGACTCTTCCATCCTAAAACAAACGCCACAAACAGCGCGCACTATGGAGGAGTCGAACTTGCGCGAAGAGTGATGCACCGTTTGTAAGTGAAGCTTGCACCTTACAACCGGGTGTTGATGCGCCAAACTTCAGGGGTAAACGCGCACGGGTCATTAGAAATTGCACCGTTTGCTCGCGGCATTATGTATGGATGCTTCTTCTATAAAACATGGCCTGGGACTTGAGTATCGCTTTCTCGAGCACAAGCTCCGATTACAGGATACTTGACAAGAGGCCCTAGTCCTCTTCCTTTCGTTTTGTCATTTAGCGAATGGAACAGTGATCTTGTTTGGATTTTCTAGAGCGAGCAACGTCGAACTTGAGCTGCCAGAGCAAGTTATTGCCACACATCAGTGATTTAAGCCACGTCCCACCTCGACCCCACACCCTAGGCAGAGTTTCGTCGGCCCTATTCGGCTCGTACGATTGGTCACCCGAGATCCGGGCCTAAATTCAAAAATCCGCGCCATCGATCAGGCGGCGAGGTGGTCCATCTACTCACCCTAACCCCACACCCACACCCACACCCACACCCCAACTACTCGCTCACCAATATGGAAGCATTGCGAGGCCTGAAAGCGTTTGGCAACGTATGCCCCTTCCTGCACAAGACGGGCCTGCAACAATTGCGCACGCTCTCGACCACGGCTTTACCCGGTCACCCTCAGACGAACCGACTCGCCGCACTCGCCACCACCAACTGCCCGCTCATGGCCGCTGCCTATGCCCAGAAGGGGTCGAAGGGGTCGGCTCCCGTCGGCTGTCCAGTGGCTGCAGCACCTTTCTCGACTTCGAGTCAGGCTGGAGAGCCTTCGTCGTCCGGTCGTCAAGCGCGCGGGTACGCCTCGATCGCCGAGCAACAGACTGAATCCGAGGCCCTCCGCCGTCAAGCCGCGGCCGAGGCCCAACAAGCCAAGAGCGGTAACACCGTCACCATCCCCAAACTCCCGGGCCAACAAGACGTCCTTGAAGGTCTCGAGGAGGAGCACTCGCCGGAGCGCGTCTTCCACGGAGGCCGCCCGACGAACGCGCTTGGGTTCGCCAAGCATGTCATCACCTCGGCTAGACCAGGCTTCGAGTACGATTCGTTCTATCATCAAGAGCTGGACAAGAAACACAAAGACAAGTCTTATAGGGTTAGTTCTCGTGCTCCGGCTTATTGGCTTGACGCTCGTTTCATCGAGTGGTCGACCGTGCGCTGGCCTCGGCCGATCGCGCTCGCTTTCCCCGCAAACCCTGACTCACCTCGAGTCCGCCCTTGCCCAACTTGCTCCTCCCGCCGCCATGTATCCGCCTCCAACAGTACTTCAATAATATCAACCGTTTGAGAGCCAAGTTTCCCGTCGCTCACACCGCCAAGGTCGAGGACGAGGTCACCGTGCACTGCTCCAACGATTAGTGAGTCAAAACTTTCGACTTCGGAATTTTTGGGCAGTTTCCACCAAGTCTTCTCAGAGATGTTGACCACTGTTTCCACTTCTCTTTCAGCCTCGGCATGGGTAGGCACCCCGTAGTGCTGCAAGCGATGCAGTGAGTCATTTCTCTTTCCCTCGGCATCCGAGGGCGTCTACAAAGAAAATCCCCGCGGCAACTGACTCAGCCTCGCTCCTTTTTAGTGAATGTCTCGACAAGTACGGCGCTGGCGCTGGTGGAACGCGCAACATCGCCGGTAACGGTCAATTGCACTTGGCCCTCGAGAAGGAGCTCGCCGATCTTCATGGCAAGCCCGCCGCGCTCGTCTTTTCGTCGTGCTACGTCGCCAATGTCGAGACTTGTGAGTCCGGAGTAGTCGACACAAGTAGGCTCACTATGTGGAACTGATTTATGAATGATACGGAGCTTGCAGTGAGCACCCTCGGCTCCAAGTTGCCTGGCTGCGTCATCCTCTCGGACGAAAGCAACCACGCGTCCATGATCCAGGGCATTCGCCACTCGCGCGCCAACAAGGTCATCTTCAAGCACAACGATGTCGCTGACCTCGAGGCCAAGCTCAAGGCTTTGCCCATTGATACGTGAGTGGACATGGGGACACATGGTGAAAGCTCGACACCGCTGTCAGAGGCTAAACTTCCATCGTCCATCGCTCCCCAGGCCCAAGATCATCGCCTTCGAGTCCGTCTACTCGATGTGCGGCAGCGTCGGACCCATCGAGGAAATTTGCGACCTCGCTGAAAAGTATGGTGCCATCACCTTCCTCGATGAAGTTCATGCCGTCGGTATGTACGGACCGCGTGGTGCCGGTGTCGCCGAGCACCTCGATTTCGAGGCCAACAAGAACGGTGGCAAGATCGGCAGTGCGATGGATAGGATCGACATTGTGCGTGTAGGATCCACTGCTGTGTCCGCGCCCGTGTAAGGACGTCTTGGCTGAGTACACTCTGGTTTCAACGCGCACTGCAGGTCACTGGTACTTTGGGCAAGGCCTACGGTGTCGTTGGCGGCTACATCGCCGCTAGCACCAAGCTTGTCGACATGATCAGGTCGTACGCGCCTGGTTTCATCTTTGTACGTACTTTTGATCGTCCCTGATTGTCTACTGAAGAGGCACTGATCAGGAGCTTATGGTACATTCGCAGACGACGTCGCTCCCTCCCGCCAACATGGCCGGTGCCCGTGCCGCGATCGCCTACCAAAAGGAGCACATCGGTGACCGCCAACAACAACAACGCAACGTCGCGACGGTGAAATCCAAGCTCACCGCGATCGGCATTCCCGTGATTCCGAACCCTTCGCACATCGTCCCCTTGTTGGTCGGTAACGCCGAACAAGCCAAAGCAGCTAGCGACCTGCTTTTGAGAAAACACAAACTCTACGTCCAGAGCATCAACTTCCCCACCGTCGCCATCGGTAGCGAACGTCTGCGCATCACCCCTAGTCCTTTGCACACGCCTGATCAGCTCGACGAACTCGTCAATGCGCTTAATGAGGTGTGGAACGAGTTAGGCTTGAAGCGTTCGGCGGACCTTCTAGGTCGAAAGGAGTTGGAAGGTCGTCCGGCCAACTTGTGGACGGCTGAACAACTCGGTCAATCAGCTGGTGAGTTGATGCAGGTTATTTATACATTACCAAAGCTCCATGGACTGATGCTGGGGCCTGTTGACTACACAGTCGTGCCCGAACTCGACCCCACCGCCTTCGCTCGCGGTGCAGTCGTCTCGATCGCCTCGGCGTTGTGAAGGCTGTCTCGGATTCGAGTTTCGAGTTCTGTTCTCAAGTCTCAAGTTCAAAGCTAGCTGCAGGGATTGATCACAAAGGGCCGAGGGGAAACTCTAAAGCGTATCGGTTGTTCTAGAGTCGTCTAACGTCTGCAGTGTCTCGTTCATCCGTGAGCGGGATTAGACTTTTCGTTGTCGACGACTTCCCACGATGTCGATGCATTTTTTTGGGTGTAGTCTCGGAAATCCATAGTGCGCTGTTTGCCAAACATCATTTTGAATCTCCACAAGGATATTATGCTCGGATGATCACACGTCGAGCTCAAAAGAAATGCGTACTCTAGAAATGGACAGCGGAATGGCTCATGAGCGCCGCGCGAAATTCATTACGGAATCATGTGCACGTGGCGAACCTCATTTCGCACCGACCCCATCTTGACCTCTGGCTAAGCGCGACTCTCTGCCTCCCTCCCCACCAATCCACGCGGCCCATCATGTCCTCCCCCGCATCCGATGTTGAATTGATCAAGGTGAATTCATCTCATGTCACTTTTTACTCTCAAATTCGGTGCTGACGATGAATGAGATGCACCGCTCCGCACCAGAACAAGTTGGGCGTGCACCCCGATTTCCCGAAAGCGGGTATCGTCTTCTTGGACATCTTCCCCCGTGCGTGTAGGAGAACAAGAGTGGGAACGAGGGCTAGTCCATATCTATCTGACCAGGGTCGTGGATGATGTACGCACAGTCTTCCAAGATGCGATCGTGTTTGAAACCCGTAAGCGAGCTACCGCATAAAAGGGTTTGCGTAACCTCCCTGCCCCCGGTCCTCTGCACGACCCTAACCCACTCGCCCCTCCCACCCCCCTACAGTGATCACTCACTTCATGTCTCACATCTTCACGCACACCTTACCTCGAACGCCGCACAACAAGATCGACGTCGTCGTAGGACTCGATGCTCGTGGATTCCTCTTCGGACCCATCCTCGCTTCCCGTCTCGGTGCATGTTTCGTCCCCGTTCGAAAAGCGGGTAAATTACCCGGAAAGACGATCGAGGCGATTTACGAGAAGGAGTACGGTCAGGATAAATTCGAAATGCAAGCGGGTGCGATCAAGGACGGTCAAACGGTTTTGTGCGTGGATGATTTGATCGCGACGGGAGGGTCCGCGAAAGCGGCGGGGGAGTTGATTACCAAGAGCGGAGGTAAGACGGTCGAGTATTTGTTCGTGATTGATATTCAGATCGGGGGCGCGGATGTGTTGGATGCGCCGAGCTATTCGATCGTCAAAGCTTAGGGGGAGGGGAGGGAGAAGACTGTGCTTCTGGGCTGGGGGGGTCTCGGCTATCACTTGGCTAGGACCAGGCTCCTTTGGGGATCAGTGATCAGAGATAGAATCAGGATTATCTATGTAAAATCAACACGGTGCCTTCAATACAGAAAATGGGGAAGAGAAGGAGCGATTAATGCGCCAAAGGCCCGGGGATTGGTGGGGAGAGAGAAAGGGCTTGGTATCCGGGGGAATCAAGGAACGGAAAGAGCTATGCAAAAGAAAGTCTGCGCATTAAACGTGGCAAAATCTCAACTCGACAAATTACTCAGCTCGGTCGGGCAGCAAAAAGTTGACTGGAGGAGGGAGGGAGAGAAAAGAAATCGTCAGTGCCAAATCATCTCTGGCGGGAGACTGCATGAGAATGGAAAGACTGACTCCACAAGTTGACACACGCCGCAGGCTCGTCCTCTTGGGTAAACACGTTGGCTTGGATGACGAACTTGGCTGTTGAAGAGAAGGGACCGAATGGAGAGAGACATGAGCGAAACTGTGCCTGCCTGAGTTGTGGGCAATGACTACTCACCGCGAGGGATCTCGGCCGGAAGAGCAACAGTCTGCTCGACCTTGTACGTGTTGGGATCGATGGGGCATCGCAGCGTCGAGTTGGCATTGCCACTGTGCGGTATAAAGTTGTTCCTCAGTCGAATGGCCTCTACCTTTCGACGACGAAGCGAACCCACAGCTCATCGCAAACATCGAACGTCTTGCTCAACAACTTGATCAAGCCCAACTTGACGACAACATTTGCGTATGAGCCATGCTGTCCAATGAATATTCACCCGCGCGTGTCAGTTTGATGCGAATTCCCGCTCTCCCCCGATTGAGGTGGGGCGCGGTTGTATCCTCAGCAACAGCAACTGACCGTGATGAGCGTCTTGACCTTGCCCGAAGCGTAAATGGTCAGATCCTTTCCGGGCACGGGAGGGTCGGGCGAAATCTTGATCGAGTCGATTTCGATAGCATCGGTGGGGTTGCCTATGGAGCAGCGAGGAGGAGGAGAGAGTGCGATTCGGTCATCAGAGCGATGTGGAGGGATGGGCCCATAAGGCGTGAGTGGTGGTGGCGTCAGCTGATCCGCCTCCCGACTGGGGCAACCAACCGACAGCACGACAGCACGACAGCACGACATGACGACTACCCCACACCCCACCATAGCCGATAGACCACCCACTCACCGCAATCCGTCCAATCCCATTGTGTCATCGTATGAACGGGTGTATTATCGCCGATACGCGACACGGTACCGGGGGCCCACTCGAGCGCGGCCACGGCGTCCTGTTGCACGACCATGTCCCATTCTTCGACTTGAGCCGCGGGGACGGAGGCGACTAGGCTTGAGAAGGTGGTCAGAGCCACGGCTGAGAAGAGGGACAACCGCATCGTGGTTTCGGGTGGGGGAGGAGGAGCGGTTGGAGTAAGGTACCGGAGACAGACAGACAGACAGACCCCGAACCAGGCGGAGGGTGCAGCCGGCGTCATCGCCAGCGCGCGCCTGACGAGAGCTGACGGAGTGCCTGACGGATCACCCGCTTGCCGCTTGCTCTACTCTTACTCTCTGACTTGGCCCGCTTCCAGCAGCAGTTGCCCCCCTTTCATGCTCGAATCTCCTCGGATTCCGCCCTCGCTTTCAGACCAGTCCCTCAACAGGACTTCTCCGACACTAAAAACGTGCGTCATGCAATGCAGTGCATCAAAAATAGTACGCTACTTTCAAAATGCTGTACAAGCGGGGGCACAGAACTCGATATTCACCGACGTCTTCTCCGAGTCGCGGCGGCATCGTCCCTAAATTCCCCAACGCAAGAAGACAGGGATCAGCTCCGATACCACGCGGATACCATGCGAGAGAAAATCCCAGCATCACACTCACGAATCATCATCACTATCCGTCGACACGACCTGCTGCGTCACCGCGCGCTTGGGCTGAGTCGCCGCCGGTGCTTTGGCCTTGGCTTTGGGGAGCGGCGCTGCTTTCGTCTTGGCCGGTGCAGCGGTCCTCCTAGTCGTAGCGGCAACCTTCTTCGCCGGGCTAAGTGCGTCGCATGATATATTTGACCTTTCTTGTATCAGTGTCTTGCTCTCCGTTGACATATCACGTGAAATGTGATAAAGAGGACTCACGCTTTCTTAGGTGGAGGCGAGTCCGAAATCACGTCGCTATCCTCATCGTCGTCCTGATCCTGAACCACAACATCGTCGTCGTCGTCGTCGTCGTCGTCGGAAAGGAACTGCGAAATCCGGCGACTCTCAGTAATCAGCACCGTTCACCCTCTTGAACAGAATGACTCATTCATACTCACCAACTCATTCTGCTTCCTCTTAGACGACGTAGCCTTGCCCTTCTTCTTGGCCGGTGGTGCCGCCTTCTTCCTCCCTCGACGCCCGTCATCACTCGAAGCAGGACTTTCCACCATAGAGTCCCTCTCCTCCTCTTCTTCCTCCTCTTGTGGCGTATCGGAATCTTCCGACCTCTTCTGCTTGCCCTTGCCCTGCTCAGATCCAAAAAGTCACACCTCAAATCAGGATCGAGTCGCTTCGCGCACGTTCGCTGCGCACGCGCGTGCGGAGCGCACTGACCTTGTTCGGCTTAGGGGCATACTTGGCCGTCAAGTATTCTTTCGCAACAAGGGCCTGCGAGAGGAGACGTTCAAATCAGCCAAATGAAGTTTTATAACGGGACAACCAAATGGTGTGGTTCTGAAATGTCCAAACCGACCTCGTTCTCCAAATGATCATGCTCCGGCCCTTCTTTGGAAGGGATGTAAGTCTTGGAGATGTTGGCGACCGCATCCTTGACCGATTTCTTGAGCATACTGGAGAAAATCGAACGAAAAGCCATGGTTAAAACTCCCGTATGCAAAAGCCAAAATCGTCTTAGCGCTCCTTGTACTCACTCTGCAATCGCATCCCTATCCCCCTTATCAACATATTCCTCAATGGCCCTCTGCATAAACTCCTCCGACAAGACCCCCAAATTCTGCGCCGACAGGTACTGCGTCACCAAACTCGACACTTTCAACTTCTCCATCTTGGACCCAATATCCTCCGATTCCTCGATCGCAGCCATGACTTTGGCTTTATCGACGTGATCCATGTCGACTTTTTTGGAGGCTCGAGCCGCTTTACGGTGGAATTGAACGATATCTCGAGGGTTGGCGACTTTGTCGACGAAATCTTGTCCGAAACGTTGGGGGTTACCGATTTCGAAAACACCGTTACCGTCCGGTCCACCACCGTAATCGACGCGGATGCGGATGAGCGGTAACAAGCGTTCAGATGCTGGGAGGTCCGGATTCAATTCAGCCCATTCGGCATTGGCACGAGCGATGAGATCGTTGACGCGTCCTTTGAGGTAACGGTTCACGGCGACCTTGTCCTTGAGATTGACTTTGTGGGACGGGTCGTGCGCTTCGCTGAGGGAGATGTTTTCAAAGATGAAAGGGCGGACGGTGCGCAGACGGATCGGTTCGAATTCGAATTCCTTGCCTTGAATCTTGATGAGTGAGACATGCCTAGCAAGCAGAAGAGCGTCGAGATCAGTGGCGAACCAGTAGAGATCCTGGGAGATGTGACTCACTTCGGTATTGCTTCACCTTTGGCAAGACTCGTGGCAACTGAGCTCCCAGGTTGAACGATGTAGTACGGCCTCCCAGGCACAGAGACCGGCGTCGCCTGCTCGATGCAGTCGTGTTCATGACCCCACACGACGAGATGAGCATCATCAGAAAATGCTCCATCGGATGTGTTGTTGGACTTCTTGCCATGGGCAACACTGTACGCGAGACGTTTGCAAAAGTCAGTTGCACTGTCTGAGAAGACAGATGCTCGCAGTTGCACACGTACCGGTTCTGATGGACGAGGACGATATTGAACCATTCGTCCGCATCTTCGACCGGTTGATGCATTTCGACACGTGAGTTCTTCATCTCGTAGTGAAAACGATCATCGCGAACGTTGCCGATGCCGTACAAGGCCAACTTGGTCGAGCCTTTTTGTAGTAGGATCGGCTTGATGACGATGCCGCCGTCTTCTTGCACATCTTCATCGTTCGCACTGGCACCGGGGATTTCGGTGCGACCAAAGTAGTTGATCAGACCTGAGGCTGACAAGATGTCGAGTGCGCACAGAGCTCCTTCCTGTGAGTTCAAAAGGGGAAGTGATCGGATCAATTCGAGTTCAAGCCCGAGTCCGAGTCTGCCGGGCTAGTCGACGCTCCGCCGCTTTCTGGCAAGAATCGGACGGAGGGTGAGTGAGATAAACTCACAGCGCCAGTACCTTGCGGATCGTCATGATTCCCGTGGATCGAGAAAACAGGTAGTCCGACATTGATATTCTCGTCCAGGTAGTTGATACTGGGCCAGCTGTGGGGATGCGAGTTGTTGGAAGCGCAAAAGTCAGTTTCCGACGTGCCGCACGCGCACGATCGCGCTCGCGATTTGACGTCGCGTCGAAAAGGTCAAGAGTGGTGGACTGACGTCGCGTCGCGTCGGATACCGATTCCGGCGTCGCTGACGATGTCCAGTTCGATGGGACGTCTTCCTTGAGTGAACTCGCGTAACGATGAGATGACTTGGTACAGGGACGTGCGGGACGGCCGGTTCTCGTGGAACAGGTCCCCGGCGAGGAGGAGCAAGTCGACCTGGGACGGAAAAGCGAAAGGAGGCGCGTCAGCACGAATCATCATGGCAATCACTCGAAGCGCATCACGGCCTCTATCTCACATCATTGGCCACGGCAAGTTCGAGGATCTCGCGGAACGAATTGATCGAGTCTCGTCCTCGCACGGGGTCATTCTCGGCGTACCCGACGTGATTGTCCGTCGCGAGCAGCACCTGCACATGCCCACTCGGATCAGCTCTACAGAGTCAGTATCAACACAAGAGTTTGGCCACTGACCTTGATACACCTGTCTGGCTCTACGGGCTGCGTCAATCGTGGGGGAGTGGTGCGCTGGCTATGACCGTTCGCATCGTCGCCTGAGCCAGAGTTCGCTCCTGGCCTGTTGTTGGTGTAGCGGGTCGAGAGCAAGTCAGTGTCTGTGAGCCGCTCAGGGAAGCTGAATCTGTACACCTACTCGGGTGAACTCATGATCGTGCACACGAGGCCAAAGGGGGTTGATGCAGTCGAACGCAAGCTTCCGTCGCCCAGTCGACTGTGGTGCCCATTGTTTGAGCGTCGAATTTCGAGTCTTTGAGGAATTTAGTAATTAGCCTATTAGCAAACGTGCTGGTCGGCTCGGGCTGTGGCCGTAATCGTGGAATCGCGCGGCGCGGGACTGCGCGGGAGAGGCGCGGCGGTTGGCGGCGGTCGGCGTGCTTATCTGTGCCTGCTGGAGCCCGCTTGCAGTCCGCTGGCTGAATGCTCGATCATCCTTATTATAATTAGCCCCTCCGAGTCCTCACCCGCGCTTGTCCTCTTTGCTGCATTCGACCAGACCGCTTTGCGGAGAAGAATACGAAACCGCATCCAAATTCCCATCTGCCCCCACTCAGTCCTCCGACCACGACTTCGCGACGGATCCCGATCGCCCGCTCGACCGCAGGACCCTCAGCGGGCGGCGGTCAGGGCGGTGGGAATCAACCCGCCGGAGGAGCGACCGCCTGGGCGAGCAGTCTCGACCTCGTCTTCAGCTTCAGTCGATCGGCGGCCTTCTTCGGCGAGAACCTACCCTCGGGTCCCAGTTTCGTCGACTCGCAACGTTATCGCCGTCCGACGCATGGGAGACAAAGCGTCGACGATGCCGATTCGTCCGTTACGGGTGGTCCTAGTGATCGGGAACGCGACCCTTCCGAGGACCGCGACGAGTCCATCGCCACGAGTGATGATGACTGGTCCGTCGATGACGAGATCGATCGGGACCTCGTGCAGTCGTGGGACGGTGATCGACCCCCGTCGAGGAAGGAACAGCTGCCTTCGAACGCCGTCGTCTCACCGAGTCGCAAGCGGAGAACAAAGAGCACCACCGCCAGGCTCAGTTCGAACGAAGGCTCCCCTGTGCCCAACGACCGTCTCCCCTATGTTCCGCCTTCGAGCTTGGGTTCGTCGAGGTTGGGTCTCGACTCGGGTATGAGTTCGGTCGCGGCCGATCGGGACCGAGTCGTCGACGAACGATCGCCGCTTATCGCGCCGACTCTCCGAGACTCGTCCACCTCGGCCACCTTTTCACCGGCGAACCAACCGAGCCCAAATCGCGGTGATCGACTTTCGCCGCTGTTGTCCCCGTCTGCCGGAAAGCCACAACTGCAGCAGCAACGACGGATTTCGGGCAAGAACAATGCCGCGGCGAGGAGGTTGTCCATCATTTCGTCCGAGGCGTGGAGTGCCGCGATCGAGGAACAGCGCGGCGAGTCGACCTGGGGGCAGACCCTCTTCAATACGTCAGTCCCCGAATTGAGTAGAAGTGAAAACTTCAAGTGACAGTCTTTTCTAATTTCTCCTCTTCCGCGAACTCTTGACAGCGTCAATGTGTTGATCGGAGTCGGATTGCTAGCCGAACCATTCGCCTTTGCCGACGCCGGATGGGCGATCGGCACATTACTGCTCCTGTTCTGTGCCCTCATCACCAACTGTGAGCAATACATCGCGAATGCAGCATAAGATTCACCTTCTGAATTGATGCTGCCATCGCCATGTTGCCCTCAGACACGGGCAAGATGCTGGCCAAAATCATGCGTCAAGATTCTTCGCTGGCGACCTATGCCGATGTGCTCATCAAAGCCTATGGCACTCGTGCCAAGAACATAGTATATGCCCTGTGTACCTTTTTTTTTTTTTGTCGATCCGATGATTAATTGTGTTCGGCAAGCTGACCTTCTTGGAAGGAATGCTACGCAGTCATCCTCGAGCTCGGCGCTTTGAGCATCGCTCTGTGCACACTCTTTGCGGACAGCATGGAATCCCTATACCCCGCAGTATCCTCGCAGGCCTACAAGGTCATATTCTTCTTCATGTAGGTCGGTGTCCCGTATTTCACAGACGCGATAGCTCGATACTGACCGTGGGGGTCTCCTGGTCGCTGCCTACAGTATTCTTCCCACAACGTTCCTCCCGTTGCGCTTCCTCTCCCTCACCTCACTCCTCGGCATCATCTCTTCCTTCACTCTTCTCTTGGTGCTTGTGACCGATGGCGCGCTCAAAAAGCACCAGCCTGGCTCGTTGCGTGACCCTATGCCGACCGCCGCGGGGCCACGGTGGATGCGTTTACCGCTTTCTTTCGGCCTCTTGATGAGTGGGGTATGTCGTCAGACTTGTCCGATCCCTAAACAAGGGTATAAATATTGATACAAGCTTCGATTGATCTCGCAGTTCGCGGGTCATGCGGTCATCCCATCCCTGTATCGGGACATGAAGAGTGAGCGCTCGAGTCGGTACCATATCCTCACCAGCGAGATGGTGCTCATCAACCTTTCACAACAGATCCGAGCCAGTTCAACTCGGTGATCGACATCGCCTATATCATCGCCTTCTCCATCAGCATGCTCTTTGGTACCCTTGGCTACATCATGTCAGTCGCTGAGACTGCTTCCCAGCTGTTTATGCTTTCGATGTGAAACTGGTCGCTGAATTGAAACTTTGGCGCACAGGTTTGGCAACAATGTCTCCTCAGAAGTGACGCGTGATTTGTTGGCCACGAAGGGCAACCCTGCAGTCTTGAACAAGATCGCCGTTTGGATGGTCGCTGTGAGCAGCCTTTACTGGAACTCCTGATTTGTGCACAGGAGTTCTCAACCTTGAGATCCATCTTCTCCTGCAGCTCAACCCCGTCGTCAAATACGCCGTCGCCAACGCGCCCCTCGTTCAAACCTTCGAAGTAATGCTCGGAATCCAAAAGACCCGCCCTTTGAGCGAACGTCGCTCCCGACCTCGGTTTCGCTCACCCCACGATTCAGACGCCTCCGCGATCCTCGAAGGTTCCGCCATCATGTCCGAAGATTCCTCCTCTTCCATCTCCGGTCTCGAAGGCAATGAAAGTAGTTCACGAACGAAGAATCAAGAGCCTTTTCTCCTTCGTTATCGGGCATTCATCACTCGCCCTCTATTGACGGCTTTGATCGTCGTCTTGGCGATCGTCATCCCCGATTTCGGACGGGTCCTATCGTTCCTCGGTTCAGCATCGGCGTTCATCATCTGTTGTATCGGGCCCATTGGAGCCTACCTCATCTTGGGACGCCAAACTCCATCCAGCACAGGTTCTACAACACCCAATACCATCACCCCTTCAGCCATGGAGAACGTGCTCTCTTCCTCCGTCTCCAAATCGAGATTAGGCGGTGACGAAGCGTCAAAGTACCCGTTGGTTGTAAAGGGTCTCGAAAGAGTAGTGTGTTGGTCCTTGTTGATCGTTTCGGTGTGTCTTGCGATTACGGGTACGGTTTGGTCCGTGATGCCTCTTGAGAGGTCTGATTGAAGGAATGGTAGGAAAGGCGAGTAAGGTTGGAGTCTTATGTGGGTTTTAGTTGATCCCTATGACGAGGTTGGAAAAGTCTTCTTTGCAGCCTCTCGTATACAGTAAATAGTCTATCGCAAACCAGAAACAATATGTTTGTGTCCGTCATCACACCGTCACCTTTTTCTGCAGCTGTACATAATTGCGCTCATTCCGCCTGCTGAGCATTGACCGCTTACAGGGACTGCTTTTCTCCTTTGGCCACAACCACTCGACTTTCGTTTGCTACCTCTGGAACGATAGGAGCTTTGAGCCGCGTAGACCGAGGATGCATTCCTTTACAATCATCTTTTGATCAACAACGAAGCCGATCCATCTTTGCCTTCCTTCAAACCCTCTGAATAATAATCGCCGACGCCCCACCCCCACCATTACAAACCGCCGCGCAACCATACTCCCCCTTCTTCAACAGATGCGTCAAAGTGACAATGATCCTCGAACCGCTCGAACCCAACGCATGACCCAAAGCGACAGCTCCGCCGTTGACGTTGAGTTTGGCCGGGTCGATGTTCAATTTCTTTTGGTTCGCGATCGCGACGGCGGAAAAGGCTTCGTTGATTTCCCATTTCGCGATATCGTCCTTGCTCAAACCGGCTTTCTTCAAAGCGAGAGGGATCGCATGCGAAGGAGCGATGGGAAATTCGATAGGGGCGCAAGCGGCATCGGCGAAAGCTGTCGGAAGGACGTGGTGAAGTTAAATAAATAAATAAAACGTCGCTTGATCAGACCTCATTTCGCGACCCCTCCTTCTGAGTACGATCAGGTCAACTTACCAATGATCTTTGCCAACGGCTTCAAACCCAATTCATCAACTTTGTCCTGCGAAGCCAAGACAATCGCACTAGCTCCATCATTGAGCGTAGAAGCATTCGCGGCCGTGACGGTCCCGTCCTTCTTGAAGACGGGTTTCAACCCCGCGACTTTGTCGAGTTTGATATTTTTGTATTCCTCGTCTTGGGAGATGATGATCTCGCCTTTACGTCGGTCCTTGATGATGACGGGCACGACTTCGTTCGCGAAAGCGCCGTTCTTCCATGCTTCGGCAGCTGGGGATCCCTCCAGACCATGAATCAGTTTCGTTCGATGGGAGCACGGCTAAATTGCGACGACGACGTTGGGACCCACCTCGTCGGTACGACTCTAGGCAATACTCGTCCTGCGCTTGCCTAGAGATGTCCATCTTGGTCGCCGTATCTTCGGCACAGATCCCCATCGCGTAACCACCGTACACATCGGTCAAACTGAATGATGGCGAGCAAAGTCAGCTCGGGCTGGTTCACCTCGGAGGTATACTTTCTCAGCTAAAGGTCCTTACCCATCCTTCACGATCGCATCCTGAACCTGCAAATGACCAAACGTGCCCGGTGTTCGTGGGTAGTAGAAAGGTGCCATACTGTGATCAAACGGGAAACGAGGGTAGGTGGGGGGGGGGGGGGGGGGCGTCAGCGTCAAAGGATCTCCCACCTGCGGAATCTTTGCGCAAGTCACCTCATGGATTCCATCCCGCCTGCGACCATGAGGTCTCGTTCCCCCGTTTGGATGTTTTGGGCGGCGAGCATGACGGCTTTCATCCCCGAGGCGCAGACCTAAAAGTCGTGAGGATTCGGGATGTGGGGGGGGGGGGGGGGGGGGGTCTCCGCGAGCGAACGAGCGAATGCAGAGGGATCGCAACATCAGCAACCCTTCCCACCGTTTAGGCCTCACTTTAAACAGATTCGTCGTTCCACTCGACTGACCTTGTTAATGGTGGTCGCCTCCGTCGAAGGCGGGCACCCACTGCCCAACACGACTTGCCTCGCCGGGGCCTGTCCCAAATTCGCCTGCAACACACTACCCAAGTAGACATCCTCGACTTGATCGGGTTGTACATTGGCTTGTTGTAGAGCACCCTTGAATGCTGTGATGCCGAGGTCGGTAGCGGGAACTTTGGCGAGTGAACCCTATAAAGGGGAAGGTGGAGAGGAATCAGTTATTGGACAAATTTTGGAGCGTGAAATCGGGTGACGGGTTGCAGTTACGTACCTGGAATGATCCGACGGGTGTCCTTGCAGCTCCGACGATCAGGACCGATCGAAGACCCGACACAGCTGAAGTAGAAGCCTGGTGATCCGAACATCCCATCCGTCCACGGATCAGCTTTGGTTGACTTTTGTCCGGGTTCCGTCATCCGGGCAAAATGGCCGTTCAAATCCCGAGCTTCCGAGGGACGGCAACCGGGGATCCGAGTCACGGCAGGATTGGTTGGACGTACCATGCGGATATGCGCCAATCGACGAGCGGCGATACGAGCAGGTGACGAAGCCATGTTCATCACTTTGGGCGTGTGTGTGGTCGGAGGGAAGCAAGAGTGGGGCAGCAGATTACCCAAGCTAAAGGCCGAGAGCAAGAGAGCAAGCGGCCGGCTTAGGCGAACCTCGCTTTGCGCGGGATTGCGCGGCTACATCCGACGGGCCGGTCGGCTCCGATCACGCTCACGATCCGACCTGCTACCCTGCGCTAATAGTTGATTTCTCTTCTCAATTACATGAACACAATTGCTGAAAACGGAAGACGAAAAAAAGAAAGGAAAGAGAAAGCACCCTCTACCCTGCGTCTACGACCCCTTCACGCTGCATCTAATTCAACCCGGGGCAGTGTTCAAGCGAACGCCTCGGTACACTTCCCCATCGTGACCGACGACCTCGACACCGGATCTGTGCGGTAAAAATTGTCGATCGGTTTGACGAACTTGCCCGTCCTCGCACCCTCCCTCTTCTCCTTGCCGACGTTCGCAGCCTCGACTTGCAACGCCTTGAGACCGGCCAAGACGGACGAAGGTCTTTCGACGACGTCGTATCGCACCAACGTCGGCGAGACGTCCCACATTCGATCACGCAGAGCAGAGGTATCGTCGTACGGTAATCGTTTGCCCAAGACCTCCGACAAGGCGCGCACGATCTTCCAGTCCTCCCGAGCTTGGCCAGGGGGTGGCACCGCCGCTCGACCCAACTGTGTTCGGCCCTCGGTGTTGACCCAGGTCGTCGACTTTTCAGTGTAGGCCGATCCGGGCAGGCACACGTCGGCGTATTGCGCTCCGAGGTCACCGTGGTGGCCCTGGTAGACGACAAAGGCGTCGCACGGGATCTGTTTGGGAGAGAAATCGTCCGCGTTCAACAGGTAGACGAACTTGGCCGTCGTCTTGGACGCGTCGGCCGAAGGAACGAAGCCGACGTCGTAAGCTGCTGTTCGGGATGCGGCCTGTCGAATAAAGTATGTAACAGAAAGTGTCAGCCAAATGTACCCTAAACGACGTCGTCTCTACCGCACCAACTCACCCGTTGAAGGACGTTGTACCCAACCCATTCCTCAGTCACAAACTTGGCCTTGTTGGCCTCGACAAATTTGGCGACCTCAGCCAAAACAGCCGCACCACTCTCGTGCTCAGCCACCGCCGATCCAACAATGATCATGGGCTTCTTGGCGCCCTTGAGCTCCTTGGCCCACTTCGAGTCGGCGCTCAAAAGGCTTTTGACGGCGTTGAGGTCGTCACCGAGGTGGTCGTAGCCGAAAGTCGAATCGAACTGCTGGCCGACGACGGCGACGTCGACGCCATTGTGGAGATAGCTCTTGCGCAATCGAGCGTTGAGGATCGCGGCTTCGTGGCGTGGGTTCGTACCAATGAGCACGATGCGGTCGGCCTCTTCGGCACCGGCGATCGTCGAGTTGAACGAGTAGTTGCTTCGGAAGTCAACACCGTGCGCAGGCGAGTATTCGCCGAGGGGCCCGTCGAGCGTCGTGTTATCCGAGCCGAGAGCGTTCGTCAAGTCCTTCAGGGCGACGAGGGACTCGGAATCGGCTAGCTGACCGGCGATCGCCTGGATCTCGTTCCCGTTCGCACCCGTCTTGGCCAGACCGGCCTTGATAGCTTCAAACGCCTGGGGCCACGTCGCGGGCACGAAGCGGTCACCCTCTCGCACCAAAGGGGTCGTCAAGCGCTGGGTCTTGAGTCCATCGACGGCGAAGCGGGTCTTGTCCGAGATCCACTCCTCGTTGATGTCGTCGTTGAGGCGGGGTTGGATGCGCATGACGAGCAGGCCACGCGAGTCGACGCGGATGTTGGACCCAACGGCGTCGAGCACATCGATCGATTCGGTATGCTTGAGCTCCCAGGGGCGGTACTCGAAAGCCTGTGGCTTCGAAGTCAACGCACCGACGGGGCACAGGTCGATGATGTTCCCCGACATCTCAGAGTTGATCGTCTTTTCAATGTAAGTGCCGATCTGCATGTCGTTGCCTCGTCCCGAAGTGCCGAGGTCCTGCACGCCGGCGACCTCGTTCGCGAATCGGACGCATCGGGTGCAGTGGATGCAACGGGTCATGACGGTCTTGATGAGCGGGCCAAAGTTCTTGTCCTCGGTCGCTCGCTTGCCCGTGATCTCGTGGAAGCGGGCGCGGTCCGAGCCGTAACGCATCGACTGGTCCTGCAGGTCGCACTCTCCTCCCTGGTCGCAGACGGGGCAGTCCAAGGGGTGGTTGGCCAAGAGGAATTCCATCACCCCCTCACGGGCCTTGTGTACGACGGGTGACGAGGTCTTGACCTTTTGTCCAGGCCTGTGGATCGTGGATCGGACCGTGAGTGAGTTGGAAAGCCCTGTCTGTGCGGCGACTGCGCAGGGGGCTTACATGGCGGGCATGGCACACGATGCCTGGGGTTTCGGGGGGCCGGGTGTGACTTCGACCAAGCACATTCTGAGGGAATGCACCGTAGCAGAGAGCGTCAGCCGCATCGTGCGGATCGCGCGCGCCAACGCCAACGGAGTAGGGCGATGTCGGTTGCCACACGTACCGACAATTCCCCGCAATGTTCAACCGGTCATGGTAGCAGAAACGAGGTATGGTGGCACCTGAGGAGGGATGAGCCAAGTGCGGTGTCAGTCCAACAATATCCGCCGCGATGTCGAGGGTGGTCGGGCCGAGCCCGTTGACGGGGTATGGACCGAACGTGCAGAGAAATGACGATGAAATGAAAGGAGGTGCGCCGCGGGTGAATATAGAGTGGTGATTCCTTATGGTTTGGCGTAGTCGAGGAGCATGTGGGTGCGAGTCTCCAGCGGGGTGGTATCGATCGTCGGTCGCTGTCCGGCTGAGCCAATGAGCGCTCGCGTGAAGCGACCCACACACCCGCGCTGGCAGCACCCCCGGCAGCCACCGACCGAGCAGGCCTTGCCACCACCCTCCACGCCATCCTCCATCATGAAACCACAGCTCATCCCCGTAACCAGGATCTTGTCGACCTACCCGCTTTCTCACACGCCTGAATGAGCGACGAGCCTTGCTCGATCGAGACGGGGACGCCATCGACCTCGAGCTGGATCTCGGCCCTCGCCGCGCTGGTCGAGTGCAACGAACGCGTAGGGGGCGTGAACCGCGGCAACGAGCGCCTCGAAACTCGGGAGAGCATGGTCGGACGACGAGACGAAGTGGGTCGGGGGTTGAAGGGGGGAGTGACCGTGGGGGATGTCAGTGCGGAGGGGACAGGGTCGTAGCGCCGTCGTGAGCGAGCGCGCGAGGTGGCAATTAGCCATTACAAAAAACTGCATTAGCGAAATAATCATGCGCCTTCACTCTTTCGCTCTCTCTTTCCTTTGCGCTCGGCTCACATCGGCTTACAGCAGGATCGAATCATGTCGAGCTCGGGAGGGGTGATCAAAGTACTCAAAAACATTACCAAGACGAAAGCGAGCGCTCTGCCACCGTGCACGTGCACGTGCTCCGCACTCGGATCCCGGCTCGCTCGTCTGGATCATCGCCTCCCAAGTTCTGTCACCCCACTTGGTAGCAACGCATCATCCGTGCGGCACTACTCCCTTTCGGGGTCAGATACACCTACATCATCAAACTCCAAAGAAAGCTCGCCACCACCAAATCGCAAGTCTCGATCGACCGTCTTGGCCTACCTCGCTCTCCCCTCTCTTCTCGGCGCTTTCGCATTCCAACACTTCTCCCCGACCGACGACTCCAAACGGCCTTTATCCCCGGACTATTTCATCCCTTTGAAGATCAACAAGGTCACTCGGTTGAATCACGACAATACCCTTATCGGGTTGGATCTGCCTGATTCGCTTTCGCCGAGACAATATATCGCCGCGCAGGGTTCTCGCGGAGACGAGGACCCGTGGCGGATACATAGCATCTTTGTCAAGCAACCGGAGCTACAGATTCAACGGCCTTACACAGTCAGCAAATTCCCCTTCTTTTTTGAGAATCTGAACCCTTTTGACTCACTGCCTGCGGCTCTCCTTCTTTCTCATAGCCCCTAAACATCTCCTTCCTCAACCCTCTCCCGTCCGAAAGCTCCCCATCCACAACTATTCAACTCCTCATCAAACGTTACGACGACGGTGAAGTCTCTCGCTATCTCCATCGACTCGGTCCGGGTGATCAAGTACAGATTCGAGGGCCGATGTTGACGGCGGATTTGCCGAAAGTGGACAGGATCGTTTTTGTAAATGTTTTCGGCTTACCCTTTCAGCAGCTGGCCTGGACTCTTCACTGATGATTAACGAGCCTTATCGTGATTGGATTAAATAGATCGCCGGTGGAACAGGTATAACCCCAGCCCACCAAATCATCACTTCATTCCTTCGTCACCCCACCGCCAACCCACCTTCCATCTCGATCCTCTACGCCGCGCAAGAACCCGTTTTGGCTTCTTCCTTGGAACAGCTCGAGAAGGACGCAAACTTCCCCGTGGATCTCAAGGTGTTTTCTGAAATGACCAGCTCTTCGAGGATCACGGAACAGGTCTTGCAAAAGGAGCTAGGACGGGCGAAGGATGGAGGAGAGAATTGCTTGGTGGTCGTTTGCGGGCCAGAGAGGTGGGTTTTCACTCCTTTTTCACGCAGCGGAATGAAGAGGCTCTTTGTCCTGACTTATTTCCACGACCTCCCCCCTCATGATGTTATAGTATGATAACTGACCTCGCAGGACCTCGAGCTCGGGATCTTTCCCCCGGGCCGATTGGAGGCGTCTTGGGCAAGCTAGGGTATACCTCCAGCCAAGTTCTAAAGTTATAGAGCGTATTTCCATATAGAAGGAAAGTTCCTGGTTACGGTACAAGTACAAATGTTGCAAAAGTGCCAAAGACGTACCCTCCAACATCATCGTTATCTCTATGCCTCATCCCTCCATCGATTATGTTCCGACCCCACGGATTGCGTCTCGATCGAATCCTTCTCATCCAAAACACTTTCCCCATCCCCAACAACCAAATCCTTTCCACCTTCATCGCCCTCCCCTCCTTTCTCCTCAGCCTCCCCTTCCACCACCGCTTTCCCGCCCACCTCCCTCCAAACCTCCGTCACGACCGCACCACACCTCCAACATCCCCATCCTTCCTCCCCCTCCTCCTGCGCCCCTACCAATTTCTCCACCACGCAATAATAACAATACCGACATCCCCAACCGCAGTTCGCGACATAAGGAACCTTCACACCCACGTCGCCATTAATCAACGAAGCTGAACCCGAGGGGTTCGTAGAAGCGCCTAAATTGGAGTCGGAACCTAATATGGAGGAAGGACCACCCGATCGATCGGATTCGAAATTCGTTGGGTTCGTCGGTAGTCGCGTAGGAGGCGCATTTTGAGTGGAGTAACAGATCGGACAGGTTGTGGAAGGGAGGAAAGCGTACGGTCCTTGCGGTTGGGAAGGTTTTCCTTTCGTTCCCTGATTGGAAAGTGGGTAAGAGTTGGGGTTGAGTTGAGTATCGATTTTGAGTGTTCGTAAGATCGTTTGAGGAAGGTTGGAGATGAGCATCGAAAGAAGTTTGGACCTCAAAGTCCAATTCGAAAGCGTTCGAAGAATCCTCGTTCGTAATCTCCGTACACTAATCAACGGCATGAGGAATAAAAGGAATTCCGTGAAAGCTTCCCAAACGAGTTGTCGGTTCAAGAATTCGAAGCTGACGTTGGGTTTGATCGAACGTTGAGCGTAGATCAATCGCATGCCTAGGATTCGATCGACGAGCGTTCGGTAGCGTCCGTCGTAGAGGAAGATGAGAAAATTGGCTAGGGTCGCCATGGCTGTGCATCGCTCGACGAGGTTCAGGAGTTCCCAACAGACTCGCTTGACCTCCATTCGCCATCGTAGGGACGAATCTTTGGAAGGTCGGACGAGGACATTGAGGATTCGTATCGGGTTGAAGAAGGAGAACCAGGAGGAAGGGAGGGGTTCGTCGGACCAGGAGGAGAGGAGCATTCGGTCTCGGAGGCGAGAGTGGAGGTACGAGGGCAGGACGAGGAGGGCCATGTAGCTCAATTTCTGGAAACGGGTTAGGTCGACGTCGATCGCCGCAGAGGACTCTGCACAAGTACCAAACGCTTGGGTGAGCTCCTCCATCTAGAACATCGAGCACGTGAAGAGCGCTCCTTGGAAACTGACGATTCGTTGCTCGACCTCTCTCATTCCTGTACTTTAGATTCTGCAATCCTGATCCATAAGTTATCCCTCGATCGTAGATGGACATTTTGAGTACCGCGATCCTCAACAGGGCCATCAACTCGGGTTCCCAACTCGCTCCTCCAGGCAGCTGGAGGAAGGGCAATCCACGATGTCGTTCATCAGCTCCACTGCACACACACATCTCCCTTTGTACGAAAGCGCAAGACCGACCCTCAAACCTTGCAAAGCCTTGCCCATCGGCGCAGCAAGGATCGACTCTAACTCGTGATCCAAGAGATCGGCATCCAATTGCGCGACTCGGGAGATGCGAAGTCGAGGTGCAAGTCCAGATCCTAGTCGGCGTTCGATCGCTTGGAGGCGCGGGGTTGGGTCGGTGGAAGGCTTCCAGAATGAGGTCGAGGCGGGTGGTGGGTCTGAAGAGGACGCCATGATTGGAGGTGTGAGGAGGGGACACAGGAGAGGAGTGGAGGCGAAGGCTCAGAGCGTGATCGGCGATCGAGCCGGCGTCGGCTCTGAGCCGGTTGCCGGACGAGCCGAGCGGCCAGTGGGCCGAGAAGGACGAGGAGAACTTGGCACGAGTAAGTGCTCGCAGCTCGAGTCTCTTTGCTTCTGCACCAATTATTCTTTTTCGTGCTCAAACGACTGCTCTCTCGCTGATGATGTTCGAAATACCCCGCCCGCCTCCCCGGTTTCGCCTCCTCTTGCATTCATTGCTCCGCCGTACAGTGTTCTTCGCGGGCTCGGCGAGTCCTACGCCCTCCGTCCCCATCATCCCCGGCTCAACCTCGAGAGCACGTAGACCTCTTCTTTGGTTTTCCTCTTTTTTGAGTTTTTTTGCAAAGTCCCCAAACCCAGGCTTAGACATTAGGCCCCGCCGAGATTTATATCCTGTGATGTGACTCATGTCGGAATAGCAGAGAGCGCCATGATCACGGCTGAGGATTCGACAACCATCTTCGTCTTTATTTTGAATTGTGACAGCCTAGGTGTTCTCGAGTTCTCGTTTCTTTTTGTATTAGGATTTTAACAACATCTACATCACAACCTTCATCCTCGCCGTCTTTCCGTATCCGACATAGACAGTTCTACTTGCTCGCTCGGCAGCCGGCGTGAGGCTTTTTCGGAGCCGGGATGTTCCAAGTTGCCTATTCATCAATGTTCACTTTCTTACACAAATCGGGTCCAAACGAGCGAAGAAGCAGGCAAACGAAGTGAAGCTGATTGGTCTTGTTCAATCACTGGGCTTTACCAGGTCCGGGCGTGCCTTGGCAAGTTCAAGTCTGGTCCCTCTCGCCTTGCCGATCGATTGGACACGTACCCGCGGCTGGACATGATTGCGTAGTCAGGTACTCGATTCATCGACCCAAAGAGATCACCGAAAAAAGCCCAACGTTTAATACTACACCTTCGAACGTAAGAATCCATCATCCACCCTCCCCTTAAAGCTGCTACAAGCAAGCCCTACATAGTACACGCCGATACTTCACTCGATCTCGACTCTTTCGGCCGCGCCCCCCACCCCCACTCGGTGTGAAAACCGGCCCAGATCGATCATCACGGGAGTCGCCGTCGCTGGTAGACGAGTACATCGTAGTCGCCTCCGTCGCCCTTGTATGCGTGTGCCATATCGTTGCATATACCTGTCCCTTTCCTTCGGCCCACCCACATGGAGGCGAGCTGAAGTAGGAGTAGGAGCAGGGCGAGGACCCCGATCCGGTATCAAGTGTCGCATGTAGAGTCTGTAGCGGAGTAGACGGCCGTTTCATGAGTGAATGAACCTGTGGGAGACTTGGCATGAACATGTGATGGGTGAAACGATTTGAAGGACACGTGAGGTCTGCCAGCTCCCGGACCGGTTGACCCAATCACCTCCGGAGCAGAATTCGGATCCAGTCCATCCACGTGTAAACCTCAAGTGGCTTGTCGGGATCTTGTTACGCTGGATCAGGGTATCAAACTTCCCTTACCATAAATGCTGTTGATGGCAGGGCTCGAATCAAATCTGCATTGACTATCATCTGAATTTGATGTAATCGAGCAGTTCAGGTAGGAAAGAGGAAAGGGAGCGCTCGATTACAAGTCAACCCAGCCGCGCCGCGACCCCAGCCTAAAGTGGAGAGAGTATGGCAAAAAAGGGGATGTGGGGGGTGAAGGGGCTCGAGGGTTGATATTGCATCCACGCGATACGGAGACAAAAGTGTTGAGGGGTGGAGGAGGAGAGATTATAGAAACCATGCTAGGAAAGGTGACGACGGATGACCCAAAGATGACAACATCTTAGGTCGACGCCTCGGTAGCAGCATGGGCATCACCTTCGGTGGGGGTCTGAGAAGAGATGGGCAGAGCAAAGGATTCGAGTCGAATGAGCTCCTGTTTCGCTCCTAGTCAAGAAACACTCCCACTTTCAAACTAGGAACTGACCTCCTTTGTCGGCTCCTTGATTGCTTCTCCTTGCACGACCTCGGTCTGGGTCGGCTGGGTCGCCTCTTTAACTTCCTGCTCGTCCTTTTTGTCGTCGGCCTTTGTCTCCTCAGCAGCGGCGGGCTTGGGTGCGTCGGCGTCCTTTTGGGGTTCGTCGTCCACGGGCGCAGGGGCGGGCGCGGCGTTGGAACCGAGTAAAGGCTTGTTCGTCTCTTGGGCTGACAGGAAGGCGGTGCGGAACAAGCCGGCGTCTGGGGAGTTGTGGGGAGAGCAGGGCAAGGTGGCAAAGGGGGTCAGCTCGGGCAGCTTTACAAGGCGTCGAGGCTCGTAGCTGCGGTACTGACTCTCTGAATTTGCGAAACGGATGGCCAAGGTCGCGGCGGATGCCTCACCGTCCGAGACGTCGGCGGCTACGTTGTACACCCATGAGCGATCCGAGCCGACGTTGGGCGAGAGCGCCATCTCGGGCGTGACTGAGCGCAGAGTGGGGTGCAACGGCAAAAGTATGAGCAAAACTGATCTGTTTGATGGCCGAGTTGGACTGACCATAGTGGTTGGCGCAGACCTTGAGGGTCTTGTCGCGTCGCATGACGAGACGGACCTTCTTGCTGTCCTTGTGCTGGAGCAGCCGCACGTCACCGGTGCCGCGTTCCTTCCATTCGGACGACTCGGGTGTGAAGCGGAACAACTTGGCTCGCCTGGTGTACAAAAAAGTGTTTTCGCGGAGTTAGTTCTTGAACGGGGTTGCAGTGGAGGCAGCGCAAAAGTGGAGGGGGACAGTGGACTGAGAATCGACACGCGATCGATCGACGTTGACGACGGCGACGATGACGACGAAGCCGGTTCGTCATCGCAGCTCAGCCCCTTTGCCCGCTCTGAACCCGACTCACATCTTGAACAAAGGTTCCTCATCCTCCTCGTGGGTCTTGACCTCGACCTTTTCCTCGAGCTTGATGACGGGTTCAAAGACGGCTCCCGACTCTTCCTCGGCGGCTGCGACGTTGTTGGTGGGTTCTTCCGAGGCCACTGCAGTAGGTAGAGAGGTGAGCCGGGTTTGGCCTGGGTGTAGCCGGGAGCTGAGCAACTACTATACGCTCGTGCTTACTGTTGACTGGGTGGGTGGGTGGTTGTGGATGGGTGTGTGTGGGGTTGAGGAAGTCGAGCGAGGCCACACTCCCACAGCGCCCGCGTCTCGCCCTGTCTCGCCCAGTCTCGCAGGACCCCCGAAAGCCCAGCCAGAGGCGCATGTGGAAAAACGCCCTTTTTTGGCCTTTTTGTCAAAGTTTTTTACCCTATTTTGGCCCCAAAATGTCAAAATTTCAAATGCGCCTCGGAAATATTACCAAAATGTGTTCTCCATGCTCCAAAAATCGCTCAAAAGTCCTCGAAAACGCGTTCCGAGCGTTTGCGGGCGCGCGGCGGCCGATCGAAAGTGGCTTGCGGCGCGCGTCGCTTCGGCTGGTGTCGCGCGTGGCTCCAGGCATCAAGAGGGCCTTCCTTGCTTTACTGGCGGGCTCGCTACTTCGTTGTCAGACTTCCGTTTTCCTGAACTTAAGCTCTTTGTATCCGCGGTGGCAGTTATGTGGCTTGTAGAGGTTCTACCGGCGGTGTCTCGCGGCCCGGGCACGCTCCGAAGGGCGGCAATCTTTGCTGGGCATGTGCGCACGTGCTGATTATGCGCTCGTCGGGGTAACATGAGGTAAGATCCTTGTGGGACAATATGTAGTCGTTGGCGGGCCTAATGGCTCGATGACCTGTCGACCATCAATCATGCGAAACGGCATAGTGCCATCAATGAGGTGAGTGGAATAGCATGCTTGCTCGATGAGGCGAAGCTCCTATGGACAGCGGTTCTTCTCCGTAAGCAGTTTGATCGCAGCTGCATGCCACGCCCGAGGCCAAAGCAGATCAGGGATCCGATCTCCAAAGGTGTGGCAGTGGTTACAACTCCGTCAAGCGATCCGAAATGACGATAGCGTCATGCTAGCGCTCCGTACTGCTTGTCGACGCGACGGCCAAAGGTCGATATCCATTCTTGCGTGCGTTGATCAGAGCATCGGTGGCGAGAAACGCGTCTCTGGTCTGAAGAGTCGCGTAGGGTAAGGTCGAATACTGGGTGGGCTCGTCTTTGGACAACTCGATGTGAAGAGACGCGTCAGGGGGAGCGACATCGAAGGCGGGACTAGGAGCTCGGCGATCGTCATGTTGGTGAGCGGCGATAACCGATCGAAGTCATCGTCCGTTCAAATAGTAGCCCTGGTCTTCGTCGAGAAACAAGCATGAAATCTTGTTGTCGTGCTATGCTTCAATGTCAGAACGAAGTGAAGCGGAACGGAACCGGCGCCGCTTCAACCGTGGGAACTATTGGTACCTAATCCCTAACAGCCATTGCACTAAGGAACGTGAATACAAAAAATGACTAGTGACCTGTACAAGCGCGAGCATCGCGACGCGCGCCTCGAAGCGAAGGCGAAGGGGCCCAAAGTCATGCTGAAGGCTGCTCAAGGTAGGCCAAAACTGCGTCGACCCACGGGAAAAATGTCAAAATCTGCAAAGGCGCCTCGGGGGCAAAACCTGTGTTTCGTCCCAAAATGTCAATTTTTTGCAATGCGCCTCGACGATTTTCAGGATTTTGGGTCCTCAAAATGTCCAAAAAAAAAATGCGCCTCCGGCTGGGCTTTCGGGGGTCCTAGTCTCGCCGCCCTTCTCCACTTGCACAGAGACGCGCAGTGAACACGCACGCACTCGCTCGCACGGACCCACACCCGCTGACTACCAGCTGCAGCCCACACTGGCCCACACCTCAGTCACACCCTGTCACACCTCACACTAGCTCACACTCAGGCGCGCTCAGCCACTGCTTACGGCTTGACGACCTGCGCCTACCTTCCCACCACCTTCCCACCACCACACATCCACTTCAACCAGGTGAGTACTGTAGCCACTTCTCCTCTGTCACACCTACTGACATCCCCACCCCTTTTCGCTCCATCCATTCGCCACCAGCGTCATCCTCCCTAGCCTCTCCTCATCGCGCTCCTCCCAAGTCAACCACGATGCTGCACCTCACCACCCGAACCGCTCGTTCCTCCCTCGCCTCCCTCACCCTCTACCCCTCCTCCACCGTCCGCCCTCTCTCCTACTTGACCTCCCAAACCCATGCCCGAGGCTGCGGATGTGCGCGCTGCGCCCCTCGAACGATTTCCCAACCCACCCTCATCCGACCCCGATCAACGCCTACACCTCTCACCCAACCGACACCTTCCACTTCTCGAGCTCTATCTTCGATCGCTTCTGCGGCTCTGCACCCCAAGGGTTGTGGATGCGCGAGATGTGCACCTCGTTCGTCCAGTAGTTCGACCTTGGTTTCACCCATCGTCAGGCCCGGAGCGACGACGGCCACCTCCGCGGGTTTGGGGTCGGATATGCAGAAGAGGGGTATGAAGGTTCGAAGTTCGGTCAAGCGATTCTGGTCAGTTTTGATTTCGATCACGACGTCGCCAGCTCTTCGGAGGGGTACGCCTCCGGAACGGACCCTTCATTGACGTTCAAATCTTACGCTCTCCATTAGCTCGAGCTGTAAAGTCGTTCGACGTAACAACACCCTCTTTGTGCTTTGCGATAACCCAAAGGTTAGTAACAGTTGAGCGTCTACTAAACCCCATCGCGGATCGGTTCTTTTCACCGATCCTAATCACGCCCTTGATTTCTACAGCACAAGCAACGACAAGGTTGAACGAGGAACGAATGGTAGTCTTCGTCTAGACGGTGACGGGAATGGTTGGAGCTTGCCATGAATAGTTCACTTTTCATTCCCAACTCGAGGAGGGCCGCCCAGAGAAGGCCGCCCAGAGAAGGCCGCCCAGAGAAGGTCTCAAGAGAGGCTGGGGAGTTGGTATAGCAGACTCGTCGGACGATGAATTCATTTCAGAGGAAGCAAGAGACACTTTATAAAGAAAGGATATCCAAAGAGGGAGACAAAAGGTGCGAGGAGCATCGCAAGGAGCAAAAAGGACGAGGGTAAAAACCGGAAGCCCCAAAAGAGAAAATGGTGGAACCCCCTTAAGCATCGGGGAGACCACCACTTCCACTGCCCAACTCTAACCACGACCCGGGAATTGGTTAAACGCATCCAAGTTCAACTTGTCCAATTGGGGGCATCCCAATTGAGGCAAGATTCCCGCCAATTTTGAATCCAAGAACCCAAGCGTCTGACCCAAAGTGGAAACGAGTCCTCCCAAGATGGTTGGAACTCCCGCTCGAGCTGTCGCATAAGCGAAGCAGAAGAGGTTATTTCCTTCCAATAACGTTTGAGCGTTCAATACGCCACCAGTAACGTTGGCGACGTCGACGCCGACGAAAGAATTCACCTTGCCCGTATTACCACCGATCTTACCCGCCGCGGGAACGGCGAGAATCGCGGCGACGACTTCGGTAACGACGTCGACCAAGGTGTAAGGCGTAGAAGGTTTGTACCAATTCGAAGGGATACGTTCTTCGCCTGGTACCCAAGTAAACGTTTCGGGGGTGTCACCGACGATGGAGAAGAAGGATTTCAAGGTCGATTGATCGAGGTAACCTTCCGGACGGGAAGCGGAATGGTTCGCGAAAAAGTGCGCGACAAAGTTGTGCGCCGCGGTGGCGACTACCAGGCCGGACCACGGTCTATGAGAAGGGATAAAAGGGGGGAGCACTTTGGTCAGTGCGCTGGTTTGGGATGAAGTGAGCCAGGACAGATGTAGAACGTACGCGAAGTAAAAGTTGGGGTTGGTGCTGATGGATTGTTGGATCGTAAAGTTGCGATGTTGGACGAGGATGTCGCGGGTGTAATCGGCCGTAGCAGGGTCCGGTTGCAAGTTGTACAACGCCTTGAACTTGTCTGTGAAGTTTGAATGGGGTTCGATCAAAAGTGTGAGGTTAGTTTTGCTGTATATAGGTCTAGAAACGTGGTGCGCAGTTAAACTTACCGATCTGGACACTCCAGACATCGCCATTGGTCAGGAAAGAATCACCGCGAGTCACCGAGGCATCACTCTCATAGTTGCTGTGAAGCCACCGAATCAAACGGGAAGCGTTAGCAAGTGTTGATTTCCGCAGATGGAATGCGCCAGCAAGCGAAGAAACTTACTTGTGCGACTGATCAATCCCACCCGGGGCGGACAGGATGCCAGGAAGGAGCGTACTCTTGTCAGGTGAACGACCGATGCTCCAAGTCAGAGCGATGGGGTCGCCGATGATGGCGATCGAGTAGGCGACGAGCACGGTCTGTATTGCAGGCGAAAATGAGACCGAGGTCAGAAGGGATGTTTGACCCAGTCGGGAGTTGGTCAAAGGGCTTACGGCAGTGTCGACACCCATGTTGAAAACTTCGACAAGAGCACTGATGGATTCAACGAGGTTCGTATTACCGTTGCGTGCAAAGTCTGTTGCAAGGTTGGGAGAGACACCCCTTGATTCAGCTCAAGGGTACCTCACGCAAAGTGAACTCCTGATCACTCACATCCATGATTGGAGAGCACGTTCAGACCAGGGCAAGGACCTCGCGTGTCCGAAGCGCCAGGCGCTTTGAACGCATGCACACCGGTGATGTCAACCAGTTGGGACTCGGAGAAAGTAGGGGCACGTTTGTTGCGACGACGCTCGCGGGCATCGGCATGGAGTTGGGGAATGTTGGCGCGTTTGATGATATCGTCGACGGTCTTCTCAAAGTGAGCGAGGTTGAGACCACGACTTTCAGCAGCGTATTGAGGGAAGGCAAGGACGGTGGTGAGTGGCAAAGCCGAAGCGAGGAGGAGTTTGAAGTTGACCATGGTGGGTCCAGATGGACGAGAGGTGGGGAGAAGTTTTTGTGATGGAGGAGAAGAGAAAGAAGAAATGAGAAGGTTCGGTACAAATGTTCCACAAAGCTACGAGAACGTTTTCCCCACCCGAAAGTGCCGAGGATCTAGTCGAGTCGCGCAATCCGACTGGCTTGCGCAAGTGGACAGGGGGTGATGTCTAATCGATGCCTTTTGACTGGTCTACTCTCTCACAAGATCTGGATCGAAGACGACATGCAATAGCGCATTTCTTATCTGCTTGACACTAAAAATTCGCCTAGTCGAGTACGACAGCCTACAACAAGCTGCGCCCTTAACATCGAACCACCTCAACTAGCTCCATCCGCGGCAGGGCCGACGCTAAAGTCATGTTCGGGATCCCCCAACACGGTTTCGTTAATTAAATGCTGACTCAGGACTTCAAACTCATCCCGAAAGCTTGAGGGTTTCGGAAATGAATGACGTGCGGGGTGTGGAGGAAGAGCAAACCCCGCACGAAACGGGCTCCGGCGCTAAGCGTGGAGCTCGGCCTCAGGAGCTAGCGGACTAGGCCGTGATGGCGTGCGGATCGCTACAGCCCGTCTGAAGTTAACAATTATGCATTCGTGGCGATCGATGGAGAAGGAGAATACTTGGGCATGAGTTGAGACTTGAGCGTCCGAACTTCCTCAACATGGGAACTCGGGATTGGCAGCTTTCATTGCCGCCAAATTTTCTTCCAGAGTCACCCACATGTAACCTTGTGAACCCACATCTGGAAATTCGTCAGTGATGATGGTAGTGCATCGTTCTCATTATAATATCTAATTCCGTCTCCATGTCTTATCTCCGACCTCATCATGTTGATCGCTTTCACATGTTTGCGGAGCCTGGCTCGTTCCGGACAGGAGCGGCTTTCAAAGCGAGAAGGCGCAATCGTTTGAGACTGAAGATTTTGGCGCAATCGAGTCGGCGCAAGCACGCGACGAGAGCACGCCTGCGCGCTCCGAGACGGTCGGCCCCATTGCTTCATCGAGGCACGCTAGCACGCTAGGCACCTCCAAGACCTAAATTAAAATGACGTGGAACTGGTGCCTTTCTTGTTCGATCGTGTGGGTTTTGGGCGCCGAATCGACAATTTAAAGTAGGTGTGGCTTTGCTTATCAGCCTGAGCGCTGGCCGCTTTTCTGCGCAGGGCAGGCAGCGAATGACGAGCTTGAAGACGGAATCTTGGATGTCAAAAAGGGAAGAGGTACGAACAGTAGTATTAACCAGTGGGCAAAGAACATAAAAGCTTCTACCGGGCACTCCAACTAAAACATTTTGTCGCTTTTCAAAGTCGTTCGACAGGAGGCAGATCGGCCGAGCGGCGGCGCGCACTGCAGCAGGCGATCGCCCGTTTTCGCAATCGTCGACGGAAGCAACGAGCTCAGTACTTCAGTTCCCAGCTCCATCGGCGCCTTTGGCGTTTGCGCGCGGTGGTGCGATCGTGGGCACCTGCTACCAGGAGCCACGTAGCAGCAACTCCACCGGCATACTTCTCCCTCTCGGCACTCCCTGAGCTATAGAATTCCCTTTTGGATCCAGCGGCTCGAAAAAAATTATCATGAGCGAGATCGTGCCTCCTCTTTCTCAAGGCGCCGGGTGAGTTCGGTATGCGCTGGAGGGCACCACTTCTTCCTGCTGACCGAACCCTCCCGCTCATCTCGACCCCTGCGAACGTTCGGTCTCATTCCCACATACAGCTATGGCGTCGTCGTTGGTCTCGGTGCACTCTTCGCGATCGGTATGGTCGGCATCTCGGACTTGCTGTCCCGTCGAGGTAATACCGATGACAACGAGGAGTTTACGGTCGCCAAACGCTCGATCGGCACCGGTTTGACCGCCGCCGGTGTCATCTCGAGTTGGACGTGGTCGACCACACTGCTTTCGAGTTGCACCGTCGCATACCAATATGGTGTTGCGGGTGCCTTTTTCTATGCTGCTTGTGAGTCTGCTGTTCCGACATTGTCACGCTTCAGCCTCTGACCTCCCGAAATTGTCCATCATCTCACAGGCAACTCGACCCAGATCATGGTGTTCTCGAACTTGGCCATCCAAACAAAGCGAAAAGCTCCTAACGCACACACCTTTCTCGAAATCATGCGAGTACGGTACGGCACCTTTGTTCATCTGTCCTTCATGTTTTTCTCTTTGGCCGCAAACACAGTAAGTACCTCGTAATACTCGACGACGAATCTCGTGAATATGTGCTGACCCCGTTGTTGCTATGCTCATGTAGCTCGTTGTCTCCTCTGTGCTCCTCGGAGGCGCTGCTGCGGTCAACTCGCTCACCGGAATGTCAATCTACGCCGCCCTATGGCTGTTCCCACTTTCCGTCGCCGCCTACACTCTTCGCGGAGGCCTCCGCGCCACAATCTTAACCGACTATGCCCATACCTCGATCATCCTCATCATTCTGCTCATCTTTTGGTTTGTCGCCTACACGACGAGCAGTCAAGTGGGCTCCCCGGACCGCATGTACGACCTTCTCATTGAGGCTCAAAACCGCAACCGCGATGCGCCAACGCTCGAGCACTCCTATCTCACCGTCCGTTCCCTGGGTGCGCTCAAATTCGCGATCTTGTCAATCCTCGAATACACCGGTGTCGTGTTCCTCGACAACTCGTTCCATCAGAAAGGCATCGCCGCAGCTCCTGAAGCGGCGATTCCGGGCTACGTCCTCGGTGGTCTTTCGTGGTACGCCATGCCGTTTACCCTTGCGACGACCGCGGGTTTGGTCGCCGTCGCCTTGGAGCACACGCCCAGCTTCCCAACTTTCCCTCGTCGCATGAACGCTAGCGAAATTGGTGCAGGTCTTGTATTGCCCTAGTGAGTCTGACACAAAACATGTAACCTTGCAATCTCGTTGCTGATTGAAGTCGTAACCCTGTGCGCAGTGCCGCTCAAACCATTATGGGCACCGGTGGAGCCGCTGCCGTCTTGCTCCTGATGGTCAGTCCACGCCTGAGCACTTCTCCGAGCCTTCGGACACGTTCCTAACAGCTCGGTCCCCATCCGCAGTTCATGTCGTGCACGTCCGCCATCTCTGCTCAACTGATCGGCGTCTCGACCGTCATCTCCTACGACGTCTTCAAAACCTATGTCCGACCCACCGCGAACGATCGTGCCCTGCTCAAAGCTTCCCACTGGGCCGTCGTCGGTTTCTCACTTTGGATGGCCGGCTTCGGCTCGATGCTCCACGGCGCCGGGATTGACCTTGGCTTCATCTACAACATGACCGGAATCTTCACAGGGCCTGCTCTCCCCCCACTAGTCTTGACCTTCTTCTCCTCAAGACAGGGCAAAGTCGCAGCCGGCTCGTCGATCTGGGTCGGTTTCGCCGCTGGTGTCATCGCTTGGTTGTCACTGGCGCACAAGTTCTCGGGTGAGGTCACGGTCGCTTCGGTTGGTAAATTGGACCCTTGCATGTACGGTTGCATTGTTGGTATCGGATCATCAGCGCTCGTCACCATTGTACTTTCACTTGCGTTTCCTGCGAACTAGTGAGTCCAGTCTCAAGGCCCGCCCTCAACTCCTATCGGAGTGGACGTCCACTCTGACGCGCTCTTCTCTCTCTCCTCATTAGCGACTGGGCCTCCCTCGCAGCCGTTCGAGTCCTCACCCAAAACGGCGACCAAATCGACGTCTCTTTCGAGGACCCCTCCTACAACCCCGAAAAGCTTCGTCGAGCCGCGCTCTGGGCCCGCAGCATCACGCTCTTCCTCTTCCTTGCTCTCTTCATCATTTGGCCCCTTTCGATGTACGGCGATGGTTACATCTTCAGCAAAAAGTTCTTCTTCGGTTGGGTCGTCGTAGCACTCTTGTGGGGCTTCTTTGCTTTTTTCGCAGTCGTTTTATTCCCTCTCGTTGAGGGACGACATACGTTGCTTTCCATCTTCAAGGGCATCTTACATGGGCGAGTCGGAAATACCAGCAGCAAGGTCGACACCAAGACGGATGAAAAACCGGCATCGATCGAGTCGGGGGAGCTCACGACGTCGCCTGATTCGGATAGCGCCAAGGGGAAATTGGACGAGTCGAGCGCCGAACAGAGTCGCGAGGGCTTGATTTGAGGAGGCAAAAAGCATACTTTCATATTGCTCTCTTGTGCAATCTTATTGGAAATTCACGCGCTCCGTTCAATCCCGTCTTCTGGTCTTGCGTCGTAATCTCACTCGAATTCCATTACCTCTTGAGGATCTAGTAGCACAGAGGAGATCACTTTGAGGCTTCTCATAAGTCACAATAGGCCGCACAGTCATCTACTATCCACAAATAGCGATATTCCGAAGCAAGGAAAGCTCGCCGAGCTTTTTCGGATGTGCGACTTGATCGTCTGGGACGAGGCGCCGATGCAGCACCGTCGATGTTTCCAGCTGATCGACTGAGGATGTTGCAAGATGTGCGATCCTCAACGGCTCGATTCGGTGGAGTGACCATCGTTTTGGCAGATGTGTGTCAATCTTTCAAAAGCAAAACGCAGGGCAGTATGACGAACTGACCGGTGCGGCTGTGACCTCATGGCAGGGATCCGAAGCAATGCCAAGTTCCCATTATTCCCAAGGCATCGCCTACAAAAATAGTCGACGCTTGCATCATGCCAATACTGGTTTCTGGGGGAAAGTCAAGGTGCTGCATCTCTCTGTAAGTAGGTAGTCCTTGCCTGACTTTTAGACCCTATACTACAGCCGTACGGTGCGAGCGCAGACAAACAGGCATGTTGACAGAGGATTCGACGCATGCACCTACTTGAAGGTGCCTTCACTTTTGGTGTACTGGTTAAGGCGACCAGGATGGTTTTACAACAAGGCATGCGTCTTCTGGCCGCTGCAGATCGCACGACCGAAACGGAACGGGCACGGGCACAGGGCTTTGCAGATTGGCTTTTAGGAGTTGGAGACGGCTCGGCGAACAAAACTGAAGACTCTATCGCGCTCCCACGTGAGCTTCTCCTGCCGGCGACCACTGACTCAGGAACAGGTCCGGGTCAATCAGCCACTCCCGTCCCCGCGCTCGAGCTGGACAATATGTCAAGAGGCGAAAAAGTCGACTGCTTCCGAGATCGAGCAATTCTCGCGCCCAAAACTCACCTGAGGTGGATTAGATCAACGACATGGTGCTCTACCTGCTGCCGGGTGACGCTCAAACGATCTACAGCGGATTCGGTCGAAAACGAAGACGAATCACTGCTCTCGATCGAGTACCTCCAGAGTCTCAACATCCGGCTGGGATGGCGTTGCACGCTGCAAAATTCAAATTGGGATGACCCGTCATGCTCGTCCGAAACTTGGACCCGGCCGCGGGACTGTGCAACGGCACAAGACTGTTGTTAACTCGGTTACACACCCGCGTGCTCGAGGCCATCATTCTCACCGGAGATCATGCTGGACAGCCCGTGAAGTTGTTGCCGCGCATCACGCTGAAAACTTGACAGGGTCATCAGTTAAGCTTCCGTTCACTCTACATTCTACGCAGTTTCCGATTCGGCTGGCAATGTGCGATCAACAAGGCGCAAGGGCAGTCACTCGCGCGGGTAGGGGTATACATGTGTCTGGGAGACGCCCGTTTTTTTCTCACGGGCCAGTCGTACGTCGCGTTGTCCCGAGCAACGAATGTGGACGGCCGGGTGTCAAAGTTTTGCTTCATCAGACGGAGAATGGAGAAGTGGATAATGTAGCAGGAAACATAGTGTTTAGATGGGTTTTTGAGTTGATGGATTGAAGAGTCACAAAGCTCCATATTGAAGCTCCGGCAAATATCTAGAACAGCCCCATAAGTAGCCTCTGAGTAGCTAGAACTGTCGAGTTCTAGTTACGACTTGCTTTCAGCCTAGCAGTCAAGGCGACAGATTGTAATTTATGCACATCAGAGGCGCATACCTTACAATATCAGGTGTGGGACGTCGAGGCTGACTCCTAACCGCTGGGAGCGCTGGAACCGGTGACACCTTGACTAATTCTTCACTGCGGAAACGCGAAGCGACAGTGGCTGTGTCGTGACTGGCGTGACTGGACGGATCATGGAATCTCGGCCTCGGCGAACGTTACGGGGTGACTGCTTCAATTATTAGTCAGGGCTGTAGCTATGTCCTTAGTGTCGGCAACTGCGCCAATTCCGCCGTTGGGGGCCCAGCGTGTCACGGCTTGTCGACACTTAGGTACTTAGGCTTCACTCCAAGTCGTTCCGCGACCTTCCGCGACATTCTATGAGCCCGGTTCAAATTGAGCCGCAGGCTTCTCCATCTTTCTCCCTTCTGCTCTTCACACCTTACCCATCGCACCTCATCCCTTCGCCACTCATCCCATCGCCACTCATGAAAGAAGCCCCAGCACAACGATCTTACAACGTCGCGATGGGGAACGAACAGCTCTATCAGTCGATGACGTCGATCGACTTGCCGCAATATACGCGAAACAACGCATCACCGTCTCTTCCCTGAAGGCCGACGGCCACGAAAGAGTCAAGTTACCCGAACGTAACTATGGCCACGCGGTCCTGGCCCACGACACGGCTCAAGTAGTTGTCACAATGCTTGGGAAGATCGCGTCGATTGATCCCTCAACAGGGATGCCTCCCGTGTAGTAAGAAACGCGAACAGCAGAACGTTTAGGGGAGCAGCCCGTTGATACTCGTTCATGATGTCAACCAACCACCCATTCAGCCTCAGAGATGCGGACATCGAACGGGTGGGCCGACCCGAACTGTTTTCGAGACAAATCGGCCTCGAGCTCGCAACACCCGAAGCGGTCGTCGTGGAGGCTCTGCAATGAATACGGGACAAATTTTCTCAAGAAATGGCTGCAGCATGCAGCATGCAGCATAGCTACGGATTCGAGTAAGTAACTTCATGAAATGTGCTCTAGGTGTGGGGTTCTTGAGGAGCTAATGGAAGACTACCAAGCAGCAAGTCCCTTCAACACGTCTTCGTTGAATGTCAACCCTCGAGTTATCTTTCTTCACCATCAACTGGTGACACTGCATTCGTGAGTTATAACTTGGCATTGGCTGTGCATTCTTAGATATGACGGAAAACTGATACGAAAAACAGACATTGGACGTCAGTGACAGGAGGTGACCCTATCCCCGAAAAGGGGGGGCACCCACCGTGGCCTGCCTGGGAAAACGACATTGATGCCAGCAAATATCAGACGCTCTACGAAAACGCTCGAGAAGGAATTTACAACGGCAGGAAAGTCGGAAAATCTTACGCTACGCCGCTGCCCGTCAACGTTGACGGTCATGCTGAGCTGTACGCACACACCATCCTAAGGGTGGGGGATGTCTGTGCAGTCATGTGCTCAATACAAGGCAGAGCGTGGAAGTCAAAGACCACCGGAAAATTCAGCGGAAGGTTACACCATATGCATACACCCACACACTATTTTAAGGGTGGTCAAACCTTCGGCTGTATTTGTGGCCTTCGACTTCCACGCTCTGCCTTGTATTGAGCACATGACTGCACAGACATCCCCCACCCTTAGGATGGTGTGTGCGTACAGCTCAGCATGACCGTCAACGTTGACGGGCAGCGGCGTAGCGTAAGATTTTCCGACTTTCCTGCCGTTGTAAATTCCTTCTCGAGCGTTTTCGTAGAGCGTCTGATATTTGCTGGCATCAATGTCGTTTTCCCAGGCAGGCCACGGTGGGTGCCCCCCCTTTTCGGGGATAGGGTCACCTCCTGTCACTGACGTCCAATGTCTGTTTTTCGTATCAGTTTTCCGTCATATCTAAGAATGCACAGCCAATGCCAAGTTATAACTCACGAATGCAGTGTCACCAGTTGATGGTGAAGAAAGATAACTCGAGGGTTGACATTCAACGAAGACGTGTTGAAGGGACTTGCTGCTTGGTAGTCTTCCATTAGCTCCTCAAGAACCCCACACCTAGAGCACATTTCATGAAGTTACTTACTCGAATCCGTAGCTATGCTGCATGCTGCATGCTGCAGCCATTTCTTGAGAAAATTTGTCCCGTATTCATTGCAGAGCCTCCACGACGACCGCTTCGGGTGTTGCGAGCTCGAGGCCGATTTGTCTCGAGAACAGTTCGGGTCGGCCCACCCGTTCGATGTCCGCATCTCTGAGGCTGAATGGGTGGTTGGTTGACATCATGAACGAGTATCAACGGGCTGCTCCCCTAAACGTTCTGCTGTTCGCGTTTCTTACTACACGGGAGGCATCCCTGTTGAGGGATCAATCGACGCGATCTTCCCAAGCATTGTGACAACTACTTGAGCCGTGTCGTGGGCCAGGACCGCGTGGCCATAGTTACGTTCGGGTAACTTGACTCTTTCGTGGCCGTCGGCCTTCAGGGAAGAGACGGTGATGCGTTGTTTCGCGTACCACCTCATATTACAGTTACTTGGAATCGAACTCAGGGGCACGCTTTTTCGTCCTGTTGGTATCTCATCTTCCTTAGCAGTCGATTGGTCACTAGGACGCATCAAGTTGACTCTAGTTCCCAATCACATAACCTCCTGACCACTCCACGCAGTACTACGAGTGTTACCTCTGCAATACCCTCCACCTCCCCTTCTTGACCAATTCCCTCCCCTGCTCATCCAAAGTATTCACCACCTCCCTCTTCAACTTGGCATCCAAAACCTCAATCAATAACCCACCTTGTCCGATCGCCCAGACGAGCGTCGAGGCGTAGAAGAAATTGGCGTTGCCTGAACCGGAGTAGAGCCATAGGTGGTGGAAAGAAGGGAGTAAGGCGAGGGCGTAAAGCGTTAAACCAAAATAGACCAGGGGTCGAGTAATATCTGTCATGACTCACAAAGGAAGGCGTTAGTATCTAGAGCAGGAGTGGGCCGATCGTAGGCGCTTACGAGATGCGAGCTCGCTGTAGAGGGCCAGAACGGCGTGCCAGAGCGCAAAGTCGCCGAGAGCGGTGTAGGACTTGAATAAGGCAATGATGCCGACCATGAGCACCAAAGCGAACATCGGATCCGACCTAGAAGAAGGGTTCATACAGTCTAATGAGCACCACTTCGAAGTAGATCCATGGCGGGATATACTCGCCGGAAGGCAAATGTCAGGGGAGCGACATAGATGAGGACATGTATTTGAAAGACGCCGACGAAGAAGGCACGGAAGTGATCAAACATCTCGATGAAGAAGTACCAGCTGATACCGATGTTGGGCGTGAGATCGGGGATTGTCAAGCTGGGCACACCGAAGGAAGAGCGAGTTTCGGTTATCGCGCTATTCCTGGGCCTAAGGGATCATGGGAGGGACTCACATGACACCATATACACTCGAGAGAAAGTTCCAGGATCCAGCCAAGTAGTACGAGAGGCCCAGCACGACTGCTTGATGGGACACAAAGGCGGCGCTGGCGAAGATTGCAGCTCGGGCTATGGAAGTCGAGCGAGGATTTTGACGGTGAGCGAGTACGACGAGTGGAGGGAGTAGCAGTACGGGATATAGGGAAAGGTGCGATGCGATGGAGATGGCAAAGACGGCAGAATAGGCATTGCCTGCGCGGTTTTGACAAGTGTGAGGAGGTTCATGTCAGCACCGACGAAAGGAGGGCAAGGTGGAGAATGATGTACCTTGAATGGCGGAGAGGAGGGCAAAGACTACGAAATGATGCGAAAATACTTGTGTCGAAAGTGAAAGGCCGGTCGCGATCGAGAAGGGATGGAGGCAGTACCTTTGCTCGAACAAGGAGGGGATTGAGCCAGGCACATTATGTTCAGCTAAAGGGAGGATGACGTACAAAGCCGCGACAGAGGACGGTGACCACAGTCGCTCATCGTCCTTGAGAACAGCTTCTTTGGTTCTTCGTTGAACAACTCGTGCGAGGTAGTAAGCGGTGACGAGGTCGGTCGCGGTCCACGCGAGATGGGCGAACAGGGGCCGAGCCTTGGGGGATACGAGTTGGCCTAGCAGCAGTAGCAGCGGCGGGTGATGGAATGATCCTCCCAAGTATGGATCCTGCTGGAGTGTGTTGACGAGATAGAAGCCTTCTTGTACTGTGAGATGCAGTAGGCAAGCGTGAGCTGAGGACCACGAAAGTGGGGGGGCTGCGAAGACTTCAGACCGACGCGTGCTCCAGTGCAGAGAGTGCTTACACCGCGTGAAGGAAGTGATGGGCGTCACGAGTTCATTCCGATCCCGTAGAACCTCGGCTAGGCTGGTCGTACTCAATGCCAACCTCAGGGCAGCTCCGCCTGCGAGCACGGACCACAGTCGCACTGAACTGTCCGTAGTGGCCGCAGCGATCCGAGGCGATGGCATGGCTGGCCCTTGTGAATCGAGCTGCTGAAAGTTGAGAACGGCGAAGCCCTTTGACGCTGCTCCGCTTCGGTGCTTGGCGCAGCGCTCGACACGTTGTGCTGCGCGATCCCTATAAAGCGAGGCCGAGCGAGTCCGGTAGCGCGCCGTAGCGCGCCCCTGCGCGCCCCGGCCTGCCCCGGCAGTAGCGGGGTCGATGCGGGACCGCAGGGCCGCGCCGTAGCGCGAGTGGTCCGCCCTTTCTTTCTCCGATCCTCCACGTCAGAACCGAGCGTATGTCCGGGCCAGAGCCTGCAGCTCGGGCAATAGGCGGTGTTTGGTGGACGTCCAGGCTGCTAGTGGGTCGTTGGGCGTCTGGAGGAGGGCTTCGTTGTAGAGGTTGCGGACGGTGGAACTGAGGTATTCGCAGGTCGCATCGCCCTCGATCACGTGCAAACCCAGCTTGAATTTGCCCGGACCAATGTCGATTGCGCCCGGAATTTGAAACCGTGCCACCACCATCGAGTGCGTCGATTTGAGGACAAGAGCCCATATTTTGTGGTCGTGGAAGAGGTCGATCCAGTCAGGCGAGACATAGATGCGGTCAAGGCGTCGGCACGTGCCGGGCGCTGAGCGATTCGTCGTGTCTCGTCCTTTGGGATGATGGAGCCGATGGACGTCGAAAAGATTGTTTGCCGTGGCAAGGTCACGCATCCCCTGGCCCCCGTAATTCATACCTTTTGGGTTCTCCGAATCGAGGGGTTGGGACTCCACACAATTCCAGTCGCCCCCGACAAGGAGCGCAGGCGGGGAGGGGTCGTCGCGCACAACTTGTCGGCGGTCGCAGGGCGATGCTGAGGTGTGAGAGGAAGCGTTTTTTGTCTGGCTTGTCGGAGGAGGGCGCGTATATTGATACAACCCGGACTTTTGAGTCGCCCACATGAAAAGTGGCGTCGGAGACTCGGTCCGGAAAAGAGAAAGAAGCACGAAGAAAGTTAGGAGGCGACTCGGGATCAACAGTAATGACCGGCGAGTCACTCTTCCAGAGTATGGCAGTATTGTTGAAGGGAGTGAAAAGAGCGGAAAGCTTCAAGTCTCGGCACTCCTGAGTCCACTGGGCAACCCGATCAGGGGAAGGTCGGCCAGTTTCGCTCAAGAGGAAGACATCGGCGTTATGGGATCGGAGATTGGAGAAAAGAGAGGCACGCTTACGGTCTTCATTGATTGACTGCACGTTGGCAGCAACAAAAGACACGTTTGGGATCTTAGTTGTGCTCATCATCTTGATCCATAGCGTCTTCCGCATCCTCGATGGGGGGTGCTCGTTGCTCTTTGGCTTCTTCGTCGGCTTCGTTTCGTCGTCGGCGTCGGCGTCATCGGGTCGGGTTCTGGGCGCGGCTGAGGGCATCGGCTTGGGCGAGGAGGGCTCGGGGGTCGGCGAGGAGGCTTCGAGGGCAGTAAGAGGGGCTTTAGGGGTGGCTGGGGTGGTGGGGGCGGCAATCGACTTGGATCGAGTCATGATCGTCTTCGGCGTGGCCGGAGGAAAATTTGAGGACGGAGAGATGTTCTCTGAGCTGGGGGACTCGGGAGGATTTTTCAACGAGGGAAGAGGCAGTTCCCTGGATGGAGGAGGGCTGGGGGGCAGCTTGGGTGGCAGCATGGGGAGGAAAATTGAATGAGAATTCGGGACGAGCGGTGTTTGACGAAGATTCAGGCAAGGGACGAGCGCTGTTCGACGAAGATTCAGGCAAGGGACGAGCGCTGTTCGGCGAAAGTTCAGGCTGGGTAGTCAGATCCTGTTCCACTCGGCGATTTTTGGTCGTGCGGTCCGGCACCGATGCCGCGGGGACCGACTTGGATCCGGCGGAGGCTTGCGTGGCACGTGACGTGGGGGAGTCCTGGGGGCTCGACGCGTGGCGGCCCGGACAATGCTGGGAGGCGTGCGAGGTGCTTGCGCATGTCTTGCACGCAGGGGCGACAGGGCAGTCCTTACGGACATGAGCCGTGGAGCGGCAGAAGACGCAGTGGCGCATGCTGCCGGTGATCCTCAGAGGGATTCGCTCGGTAACTCCGTCGCGTTCAATGGAAATAGAAGCGGGAGGCAAGGTGTTTGCATCCTGAAGGGCGAGGAAAAAGGCATACACCCCAGAGATGTGCTTCGTCTTCCCAATGTACTGGATGCGACGAAGGAGGACCGTGCCAAAGGCAGCGATCTGCTCGTTGAAGAGGCGGAGGCCCTCGGCGTCCGAGAAGAAGCCCGTAAGGGTGCACTGAATTACACCCCCTTTAGTAGAGGCAAAAAGCTTCTCCACTTGGCAGAGAGTCTTGCCGACAGGAAGACCGTTGGCAGTCAGGGTGTCGAGATCGGCGTCTTTGGGAAAGCGGAGGGCGCGCTGACTCTTGATGACGCAGGGCATTGCGCCGGCAAGGGCGGGGTAGTGTTTGTCGAGCGCGAGGAGGACTTGCTCGATTGAGGTTGAGGGTGGGGCTTTTATGATGACACAGTTTTCGATGTTGTGCATCATGGGTTGGGAGGCTACCGCGGTCGAGGTGGTCGTGGTAGCGTTGCTGCCAGGCTTCGCAGGGATACGGGCGCTGACCGCGGCGGAGTAGGATTTGGTGGCGGTAGCGGGGACTCGGCCGGGAGGATCGGGGGGGGGGGGGGGGGGGGGGTCAGGGCGAGGAGGTGAAATACCAGCAGGGCTGGCGTTGTTGGTATTGGTGTTGTTGTCCATCGGGTGTTGTTCTCTTTCCAAACCCTTCGGCTAACCCAGGGAGATCCAAAAAATATAAGGAGACATTTACCAGTCTTCATGGCTTTGGGTACCAATTTTTTTCTAAATATCACTAGGTTCGGCGACGCGCCACCTCACCACCGTCCACACACGATCGCAGAACACCGTGCCTATCGGGTTCAGCCAGAAATATTCGGGGCTCGCCTCGTTCGCGGGCTTGGGCTTGAGCATCTGGATGTATGCGGAAGACAAAAGTGACGGGAATCACTCCCGGGTGCGCTCACCACATCCTGCTGACGCACAGGATTGACCGCCAGAAAATAATGGGTGGCAGGCGGAGTGACAAGGCGGCTGAGAGCCAACGTTCGGCGCTACTGGTGGACCTAGAGCGTCAGAGAAGTCTGCAGTCGAGCCACATGAACAATGCGTTCGAAGAGCAAAACGCCAAGATGATCTCCTGCAGTGGATCCTGATGGCGACGCACCTCTGCCGCCGCCTAGAAAAGGCAACTGTCGAGTTCGAGGCCAGATGTGAGCACCAGACCCCTCAGTGGACGCACGAGTATCGCTCCCGTGACTCATCAGGGCCTTTCTTCCTGGATTCACAGCTCAACTTGGAAAGAGGACTGGGAGCGAGGGTCGACTCGTGTAAAAGCGAGTGGGAGTTCATGAGATGGTGGCAGACACTCGGTGAAGAGACTCGCGAGTCCCTTGCGGCGCAATCTATACATCTATGATCTCCTTACTTGAATAAGCCACAAAAACCCGCTTCTTGAACGAGTAAAGAGTCGATCGCACATCTCCGCCTGTGTCCGAATGTCGAGCGAAACTGAGTTCCGAACTCAACCCGGTCTTAAAACCTAGGATCCACAAAACATCTTATTGACCGCATGAGCTTGGTGATCTACGCTGGATGAAACTGGGGCTGTAGATCAAACCCAGCGTTGGGGCGACATGAACCTCTGGACCTCCGTTGATCTGAGGAGCACGAGGAGACCGCACTCGGCTTCTCTGCGCTGTGGGACAGGAGCCCGTGGCTAGACGCTGCTAGACGTGGCTGCGGGACAGCGGACTCGGAGGACAGCGGAGGACAGCGGCGCTATCTCCTGAAAATGAGGGCATTGAGAGAACTGACACAAACTTCAGGACTGGAACCCCCCAATTATCGAAAGGAAACCCTCAGCCCTGAAGACCTCCAGGGATTGAGTGTGAGCAGTCGTGAAAGTGGCAACTGCCCGTGCCAACAGACGCGCTCGCCAAGTGGACTGAACTCCGGGCCGACATCTTCCACCAATGACTGACCTGCAATGACTGACTCAAGCATAAAACTAAGCAGAGTCGATTGAGAGGAGTTATCGATGAGGTTGATCTGAACGTACCCGAGGGATGCGAATTTTCGGCTTTTGCCACTCGGCGATTTGTTTCCAGCAAGAAGTCGAATTGGATGGGAACGAACGTTAATGACCGCTGTGGAAGGGAGATGCAAAAGTGAATACCTTTGCGATAATAGGTCAACACTAGGAGGTCTACTCGGGAATTGCTGGTAAGCTCAAACAGTATACACGATTGACGACGCGCTTAAATTTCCGATCCGTAAATTTGCTCGAGTTGGGTTCGACATCCATCAGGCGTGGCCCAGCAGGCCAAGCTGAGATAACGATCTTTAGAGAAAAAAAAAATGGTACCCATAGCCATGAAGGCTGGTAAGTGTATCATGGCAGTACAGCCTGACTGAGTTTCGGGACGGGGTCGTCGTCGTCTCAGGGTGCGTTTCGATATACAATGTCTCAGATCGAAGATCAATCAACGTGAAAGGAGAACATTGATCTGGTCTGTAAGCCTTGACGTCGACAGAAGTTTTTGGTTGTACTAGGGCTCGAGGGCGCTCTGTGCGCTCTGCTGCGTAATTGAAGGTCGTTGCGAGCTCCGCCCGCACCTCCCGGACCGTAGACCAGTGGGAACCCGTTAAACTAACGGAACGGGAGGATGAAATTCAACTAGCAGGAGAATCGAACAATGTATGATTTGAGCAGAGATTAAAAAACAATACGGAGTACAGCAAAGACATGATTCTCCATTCATCACCGAAACAGCCTGCCCGTTGCTTGTTGCCGGACTTGGCTTTGAGCACTCGTGCAATGAGATCCGGACGGTTGCATGCTTGGTCGTTCGGGCCCAGTGCAGCCTTGATTTTCGGCCATTCGGGGTTGCACGTCACCGTGATGAACAGCGAAGGCTTTCCATATTTGACGACGCAGGCCATCGCATCTTGGTAACCCTGCGTGAACTCCCGCGGGCTATTCTTGAACGTCGAGCCCAAAATCACCGAACGTCCAATTTGAAACGGGGTCAAGCCGTCGGCAACAGCGTCCGTGATGCCTTGGGCCGTGGTGAAGCGGAGGCTTTCTTGATGCAACCAGATGTAGTCGAGTCGATCGGTCTCGACTTGAGACACGCTCGGTGCAATGCGGGATTAAAAAGTAGTCATCGCGGGTCGTGCAAGTAATAAGCGAAGAATTGAGAACGCGAGACTCGAGTTGATCCACCTCGACCCCTTCTCCTTTACCTTCGTCCTAGATGTTTAAACGTTCTACGTCAGTCTGTGCTTGCATCTTAACAGAAAGGAACACGTGAGAAAGAGCCGAAGACGCTTACGTTCACCATCACCATTCTCTTCGTCCCCTTCTTCGCCGTCTTCATCCTCATCGTCCTCCTCTTCGTCTTCTTCATCCGGACGAAGACCGGCAAGTACCTCGCCCAATTGGACACCATTGTCGATCTGCTCTCGGTTTCTGGCGATTGGCGGCCCAGCTTGGTTGAACCCGCAAAGAGGAATGTTGGGGTGGAAGCCATCTTCCCCTGCAGGAAATAGTAGTGGGTAACGGAGAGGCATCGCGGACGGATGGAGCGAGCTGAATATTTGGTACTTGTGCCGACCATCGGAACATCGATCACCGTGCACCTGAGGAATACGATCTTGCGGTCCACGATCTCCCGTGTTGGTGTCGGAATCGCAGATAAGCATCGCCATTTCCGTGCTTGACGTAGGAAGGTTGTGGGTGCGTCGGTCTCGGCCTGGTGGTAGGCAGAGGCGCAGGATCCACTCTTTTGGCCGTATTCCAACCTGCGCGAGCTTTGGCCGATGCGAACCCCCTCACAAAGCGATTGCCGGTATGCAACATGGATTCGAGCTTGGTCAACGTAGAACTTTGTATGCGACTGTCTGCGCCGTCGGGTCCCAAGTCGAGTGTCGGTGGCCTCGGTCGGCTCGATGAGCCATGTCTGAGCAAAGGCTGGGCGTTGATTTACGGCAGGGAGCAGAGCGCCGAATCGATGATAGAGGCGACCAAACACGCGAAACTCGGGGGGTCCTAGAGTGCCCAGTCGTGTCTGGTCGAAGTGAGCAGCGAGCGAAGTGAAGGACAGTGCGTTGTAGTACGACCGGGCATTCTCGCGGAACGTCGGAATGCCTTAGGTTCTGTGTAGGTGGGTCGCACAGTTCAGCACGTGGGTCTACTACAGACGAATGTCGTTGGACGGAGAGACTGACCGCTATCCGAGCCTTCAAGTAGCTGTTGAAAGTCCGGATCAGGCCGGAGAGAGGGAGGCAGCTGCACCTTGCCCTGCGAGCAGCACGTGCTGAAGTGTCCGGTAGACTTTGTCCTTTCGCACTCCGAGTGTCGAGCCTTGCAATGGGTACATACGGCCGTCTGGGTGCCGAGGTAGTCGCGGATCGAAACGTGGGGCTTGAGGGTTTGAGCGCGATTCGAGCCCTGCGCACGCGCCTTCGCGCAGGGGGTGGTGGTGGGGCGAGCTCAGCGTCGGGTCGGCCATCGCGCTGACCACGCTGTCCGTTCTGCACAGCTGCACGGCGGGCTCGTATATGTGTCGCAATACAAAGTTCGGTTGGATTGTTGTCACGAGGCGCGGGGGGCTGATTATGTTGATCGGAGCGGGACGAAGAGGAGGGTCGAGCAGCGGGGCGCCCAGTAGTGGGCGCTTGAGCAGGCCTATGGTACTCTATGGTACTACTACTATATATGGTACTCCCATAGTACGGCGCTACCCTCGCGCCCAAGACGCGCGAGGCGTCTCGAAAAGACGCACCGCCGCTTTCCCCGGGTCCGGTGGCCTCGGTTCCTCCGAGCCGGGTCGTGTCACGATACTTAGCGCTTGGAATTGTCTCGCGCTTCCCGTGCTTACCCAATTTTTCGTGCACATGTTTTAGAGCCTGCAAGTGGGGTTTTGTCTGTTTTGGTTTGAAACTCTTTACGACCGCCGACGTGATCCCGCCGACATATTAGGAAGATCCGATGATCCGGGGGCTCGGTCCCCGGCATAACCTCATGAGATGCCTCGGCTCATTCGGAAGGCGGCCTAAGCGTACCTCGCCACGATCATTTGCCGGGGACGATCATCATAGCCGGCGCGTTGGTCTTTCTGAGTTTGCACTCCGTCCATCCTTTCCCACATTGACATCTAGAAAACATGCCATCCACCTCTCTCCTTCGACAGCCTCGTGGCTCCTTGACCCCTTACGCCGAGAACCAATGGGTTAGAGGGGTGCGTCCATTCGTTGCTACGGCCGCCAACCTCCGCCGTGAAGAACGCCGCCTTGGCAGGGGCGCGCGGCTCCACATTTCATCCCCACCTCACAACAGCTTGCCGGATGAACGACGCGCTGCGATCACGCATTGACTCTTTCCCCTCTCCCTTACCAGATTCCTAGTCCCTACTACAACGAGTCGCACGAGAAGCTGCGCCTCGCCGCTCGAGCATGGACGGAGGAACACCTCATGGACGTCGGTTTCGAATGGGAGGAGAACCGCGAGATCGATCATAGCGTTTATCAGCAACTCGCCAAGGATGGCTTGCTCGTGTGCTTGGCCTTTGGTGCCAAGATCCCCAAGAAGTGGGCCAATGCAAAGGGAGAAGGTGGGGCATCGTCGTCTCTGAACGACTCAAAGCTCACTTCGAGCTGATCGGACTCCTCACGGACGTTCGTAATCGCAGTCTTTGGCGGCATCAAGGTCGAGCAATGGGATGGCTTCCATGATGCGATCCTCATTGACGAGATGCTTCGTTGCGGATCGCTTGGTGCGGTGCAAGGTCTCATGGGTGGGCTGCAGAGTGAGTTTGCCGACTCGGTTGATATCATCACGCTGAGATCGTCTGACCCCACATCTTCCCCTCGCCGCGCGCAGTTGGTCTTCCCCCCGTCTTCCACTATGGATCTCAGGAGCTTCAGAATCGCATCTTGCCCGACGTCTTTTCGGGCAAGAAGCGCATCTGTCTCGCCATCACGGAGCCTGAGGCCGGCAGTGATGTTAAGAATCTGAGCACCTCCGCCAAACTCAGCTCCGACGGCAAGCAGTGAGTGGCAACTCTGGGACCAGGGTCTTCGCATCACCGGAAGCTAAGGTGCTGATGAACGGATTCTTTACAGCTTCATTGTCAACGGTGTCAAGAAGTGGATCACGAATGGAATTTACAGCGACTACTTTACGGCCCTCGTCCGAACCTCGGGCAAGGCGGGCCAACAAGCCGGCATCTCCTTCTTGCTCATCCCTAACGGTCCCGGTGTCACACGTCGCAAGATGCTCATGTCAGGTCAATGGTGCGCCGGTACGACCTACCTGACCTTTGAGGACGTCAAGGTCCCCGTCGAGAACCTGATCGGTGCCAAGGATCAAGGCTTCAAGCTCGCCATGCAAAACTTCAACCACGAACGTCTGATGATTGTGTACAACTCGCACCGTTTGGCTCGCGTCTGCCTCGAGGATTCGATCAACTATGCGATCAAGCGCAAGGTCTTTGGCAAGGCTTTAATTGAGTCCGAGGTCATTCGCCTCAAGATTGCGCACATGGCGAGGGAGGTTGATGCGATGCAGACTTGGATCGAGTCGATCGTGTACGCGGTCGATACAATGCCGCATGACGAAGCGAACGCCCAACTGGGTGGTACGACGGCGATGCTGAAAGCGCATGCTTCGCTCGTCTTGGAGATCGTTGCGAGGGAAGCCGTGCAGATTTTGGGTGGGATCGGCATCACCCGAGGGGGTGTCGGAGAGAGGATCGAGAGGGTTCGAAGGGACGTCAAGGGCATTGCGATCCCGGGAGGGTCCGAGGAGGTGATGCTCATGCAGTCGAGCAAAGTCGCGATCCAGCGGTTCCAAGCCGCGCTTAAGGCGGCCGAACAGAACCAGGCCAAATTGTAAATCTCGGGGGATAAACGTTTGTGCCTTCTTTGCTTAGTGTTTTAGTGAAGCATGGGGTTGCAATGGGGACTGCATGATTTTGCTGTCTTACGTCGCACTCGCACGGACGCACACGCGCAGCACAAGGTGGACTCTGGTCACCTATATCAAACGCTGTCTCGGCCAAGGCTTACTGCAAATTTGAAACTTGATTGGCCATCGCCGACGATCGTAAAGTGGGGATTTCCATGAGTCGATGAACAACACACTACGTGACCACAGAAAATATTGGCCGCAAAGGTGGCCTGTGACGCCGGCCGAGAATCCCTTGCAGTGCCCGAAGTTTAGCAAGGGATCGGTGACGGAAGCCGCTCTGAGAAACCGCGAGTCCTCCCAAGTCCGAGCCCCCACCCGGAGGTTTGGCCTCCTCGCCCTCTCCACAGCACATCTCGGTCGCTCAGCCTTGTTAGCGACCACCACTACGTTCCAGCGATGCCGGTGACCGCGCGTCCCTCCATTTCGGCAAGGAGGAAATCCTCGACCCGTCTGTTGATGGAACCTCTTCAAGTTCGTGCGGGTGGCTCGGGCTTAGGTGGTGCCTCGCAGGGTGCCTCGCAGGGTGCCTCGCAGGGTGCCTCGCAGGGTGCCTCGCAGGGAGCTTACACGGACCATCCCGACGACGACGACTATTCCACCGGTCGTAGATCGGCTCGTCGACCTTCGACGTTGCAGCAGACTTTACATACGAGCTTATTACCCATCCGAAGGAAACGAGGGAGGTGCAGATGCTTGGCTATCGTGAGTCGCGAAGTCCCGTGATCGAGCCGTGATCGGCGGGTCGTTTCGCCAAGCTGGGGGCTGACCTCACCGCGCTTGGTGACTTATCCGTCAATTCCTAATCGGCCGCATCTTCTTCGGGCAGATGGCCACCTTTCTTGCAACACTCACTATGATTATTGTGACTGTGATAAGACCGCAACATGATCCATCCGGTCCTCGATCCAAATTGGCGCAACCCTTCGTCGCCGGCTTGAAGAAACTTCAAGACTCGGCAACCCATTTCGTCGATTCCAGTCGAATCTGTCCCCCACGGCCCCCACCCTGCCCAACATGCCCCAAACCCATCGTCGTCAATGCGTCCGTGGACAAGCACGCCACTGCGAACTGGAGACCAGGGTTGGTCGTCGAAGAAACGGAAGAACGGTTAAGAGCGGAGGGTCAGCCGGTTTTGAACCAAAAGCACGTGCAGGAGATTGAGGACGGGTGGAAGTTACACGAGGATGATATAGGACGGGGGAATAATGATCAAGGGTATTCGGAACCTTTATACCCGCCGGTAGAAGGGTATGGAGCGCTGAGTCGATCGGATAATCCGTGGAGGGAGAGGTTCCTCGTTCCGACGTATGCTTGCAACGAGCAGGTGAGCTTCCGATCCGGGTGCCAAGGGATAATTCTGGAGGTGCTGAAGTTTTCGTTCATCACAGGAAACGGGGAGCCAAATACACGTTCGTCAGTTATTGCACCTGGCCAAGGCGCTGAATCGTACGCTGGTTTTGCCGAATTGGGGTTTTGGAGTGAGTGTCGAGGGCGCGCCCACGAACGAGACACAAGCCGCTGTAGCTGAATCCTGTTGTTCATTCCGTATCTTTGAAGATCCCTACGGTCTCGTGAGTCAATCTCTGTGCCTCCGAAACGATGCTAAAACCCTTCGTTGACATGTATTCTTCCGCTGCGCAACCAGAAACTGTCGACCGTACTCGTTCGACACGATCTACGAGACCGAATCGACCAACAGCGTCGGATTGTGGTCCATCACTTATCCAAGATGGATCAAGTACATCCGCAACTCGGAAAGAAAGTTTAATGCAAGGTGAGGTTCGGAAAGCTTCTGAACGACACGCGCAGGAACGTCACACTGAGCTGCCTCAATTCATTTCTTCGCTCTCTTAGAATCAGCGTCATCTTTTTTCGCAATACGCACAAGGTTCTATCCGAGACGATTGGAATCGATGACGCCACAACACTGAAGGATGCATGCGTCGATCCTGAACCTTTCGACATCTCGGACCCCCCTATCTACGTCGCGACGAACCAAGATACGACGCTCTCGTACATGGTCCGACATTTGCGCGAAACCGATAACCTCTCAACGCTCTTCGTTCACTTTAATCACTACTCGGACATTCGGATCGCCGATGGGAAACCTTTCCCTGATCCCTTGTTGCAAGTTCGCCCGAAGGAATGGGGGTTCTGGGTTGGTGCTGCTTGGCCTCAGGTACGCAGTGAACTTTGGATCGGTCTTGGCATGAAGAGACCGTCACTGATCACCTTCCGACGTTTAGTGGAATTACTCTACCCAAGTCCAACAGATGTTCCGCACGGCCCAAGCCCATCTCCCCAAGCAATACGGCGGAGTCCAATGGCGCATGGAACTGATTGGCCCCTCAGTCCTGAAGAACTGTTCGAACCTTTTCGCCGATTCGGTCATCGAAGGCATGCGTCAACGTGGTTTGAAAACGATTTACATCGCCTCCGACATGCCATTAACAACTCAACGCAAGAATTCGAAATCCGCTTCCTTCAATTGGGACAAAGTTCTCCAAGCGAAAGAAGCGCTCGATAACCTCGTTGAGCGATTAAAGGGGGCGCATTTGTCGATCATGACGTGGAACGATATCAAACCTTCTCCGAACGCTCGAGACGTTATTGAAGGTCTGGCGGATACGGCGAGTGGGATCTTTGATAAGTTGGTCCTGGGTCAATCGGAGAGGCTGTGGGCAGCGAATCCGCATTGTGGGATGCATAGTTCGTTCTTGGTAAGACTCACCCCCCATCGTCCCCGCCACCACCACCATTCACTCATGATACTTACCCTTATTGTTTTATTTCCTTCAGGGAACCCTCCAGATCTTACGCCAGGACCGAATCGGGGATCCGACGGAAGAGGATTGGGAAAAGCTGGGGATCAGTTGGATTGGCGAACCGATCAAGCAGAGGTTTTGGTGGCATATCAAGGGTGGGCAGAAGGATTATACCGGGTAGTGTGTAGTGCATTTGGGGGGAGTGGATATATTTATGCCCCTCGTCAGTGAGAGTGCTGTGTTGGTGATGTCTTTGGCTCCCGAGACGAGTTATTGTAAAAAGTGGCAAGACTCGGTTAGGAACGAAATTCACGCCTCCGCGGCCGTGAGTAGTTTAAGCTTCGAAGTACTTCGGATCGATCGTGATAAAAGTGGACATTTGCAAGGCGGAAGATGTACAATACGTTCTATCCAAAAATGAATGGGGCCAACGAAGAGATTCTGTAAAAGTAAGATGTGGGTGAAAGGCACGAACAAAGGGAAGGGTCGTATCGGGACCAGGAAGTAAAGGTGGGGCGGAAGAATGCGAGGAGAGGCGTGTACAGGGACGAGGTGGTGGTAACGTTACTGGTGGGTCACGAAGCAGAGAAGAAAGACCAGTGTCTTTTGATGAAGGAACGTTGAAAGGGAAGAGAGATGGATCGTAAGATGTCATAAAGTGAAAAACGTGGGGTATACCTGGCAAGAGAGCCTAAGCCAACATCATCGTCGTTTTGGTCGAACAAGTGGAGCTCCTTTAACCGAACAAGGAATGTTTGCCGAACCCTTCGCAAATCTCATGGTCGGTCAAGAGGTCACGAGCGAGGATGTCGATGTAGGCGGAGCCGTAATCGCCCTGATAGCACATCAGAAAAATGCTTTCAGAGTCAGTATCGTGGGGATCGTCGCTTTTGTGGCTTCATACAACTCACCACTCCGAAAGAAGTGACGATTGTATCGTCAAGGAAGCCATGGTTCAGCCCCAGACCATGTCGATCGGACGGATGATCCCCTGTACAAAGTCCCCAAATTCGGTCAGCATTCTCGTTCACTTGTAGCCAATCGCGTTTCGAGGTTTAGACTGACATGCAATCGAGACGGTAAAGATCGGATCGGCCTGGTTCGTCCCACTGTACGTGAGTGGTTTGGATACGCTCAAGTAGTTGTAAGGAGCTGTGACGTTCCATGTTACGATGCGTCGTTCATAGAAGAGGTAGGGCTAATTTGAAATGAATGCAACCAAACAGTTCAGCAAACAGTCTTCTTCGGAACGAGACTCTGCTGGCTTCGACCCACCTCGGGATGATACTTGACGTGAATCATACCAAACAAGACCGTATTATGAATATCCGGTTTGCACTCCCCACGACGACACAACGTCGCTCTCAACAACGGTGTCGCATGATGGAACTTGACGCGGTTCATTTGCGCATTCACGATGCTCGTCAAGCAGTTGTGTTTCGGCGGGTTGGGGTCCAGCGCTCGTAATGTCATCCCGGGGACGTATTTGTACACTTCTTGAGGTACGAGCGAGACGTGGAAATGCAGCTGGTGGAATCAGACCCGACAAGAGCTCTGGTTCAGCCACCTTTTTCAAATTATCGAGTTGAAGGATCACCCACCTCATCCTTTTCCCCCAAGAACGGGGCCCAATTTTTCTCGATATTGAACTGGTTATCGCGAATCAAATCCGTTTGTTCCGAAAACACGATTGGAGCGTTCCATCCTCCTTTCTTCAAGGCCTTGCTCAACCCCGGTACGACGACCCTCGCGTCGATGAGGTAAATGGCCCGACAAATGTTGGGTGATCGACCCGTTTGCGAGTAGATGAGGAGCGGTTGTCCATCGTTGGTGAAGAACAGTCGAGGGTCTTCGGGGCCAATGAACTGCAGAAAGCGACGAACGCTGCAGGGTCAGTACCTTTCTTGCTCTTGCGGGGTCATCGATTTTCTTGGAAGTTGCCTTCAACCCGCTCACCTGATCAAATATGGGGTCATGGCATCGCAGGTATTCGACTTTCCGCTTTGCCGGCAGTTTGAGCGTTTCCAACTCGGTCTCCCTCGCGAGGTAAGGAAGGTTGAGGTGGGCCCGTTTCAGGACGATCATAAAGCACCTGCAGTAGAAGGAACATCAGTTCCTGGTGGTTTAAAACCCCCTAGCAGCCCAAGGATGTGGAAGGACTGACCCTAATACATGCTCCCACCTCGTATCGTCCCCATCAATGACCTCATACTTTTCCGGCCCCCTCGCCACGAACAAGAATCTCCGATCGTTGCCAACCGTATCAGGCAAGACCAAAATCGAAGGATTGAACACCCCTCCCGCATACGGATCGATCAGGTTCATGAACCCATACGGATTCGTGAAGGATTCCAGGACCTTGGCCTTGTTCGCACTTCGATGGGTACCCGTCGTGCGATCGATGATGGCTCCGCTCACACCGGAATCTCGGAGAATGGCGTGGGCTTTTTCGTTGCCTACTGAGTTGGAGTTGCCTCGCGAGAAGAGGAGGAATAGGAGAATGACGACGAGCGTAAGGAGGGCTAGAGCTCGTCGACGTGGTGGTGCGCGTGCGAGCTGGGAGGGCACCGCTGTATGCCGCCATTTTTGTTGAAGGCTGTAGAGTTAAACCAGAAACATCAATACGGAGAACCAGTATGAAAACCGGCCATATCGCTTCGCGACACGGGTTCCCAGGGAAAACGACACGATCGAGATCGGGATCGGACTCCGCGAAGGTTGGATCAAACCCCGTGACCACGCTCACGAGAGAGCACCCCAGCACGATCCGAAACCTACCCAGCTAACCCATCCTTATCCCACACCCTCTTACATTGCCTTAACACCGTCCCTGCCCTCATCTTGAAAGACTCCCATTCCATTCCCCCTGCGCCCGGACTCGCGTTGGACGTTGAGGTCGATGAAGCGACGATCGATGCTGCGGATAGAGCCCTGTTGGATTTCTTGTGCGGTAGGGAACGAACACCCCCCTGTTTGGTGTCCGTGTCGATACCATTGAGATAACCGTACGTAGGTGGTAGATGAGTGGGCAGAGTTTGTGTAGGATGGATGTGGATCTGGTTCGAGAAAGGCGGAATAACGTTCCCGTTCCCGTTACTTGCGCTAGGGCTGTCAAGACCCACGATCATCGTCGGCGTCGTCGTCACGATTGGTGTGCTCGATCTTGCTGTTGAATTCGAAGGTTTGCTAAAGGTACCTTCCTCCAATGCTTGTGCATCCTGGGCATCGAAACCCAGTGGTGTAGACGCCATTCGGTCCTGTCGAAGCTGTGCTCGAGAAGCGCGAAGGGAAACCCAACCCCGTGGACGTGGACGTTGTTGGCCTCGACCCGTGTCCGTGCCATGCGTGACTGAGCGTGACGACAGGCCAAAGGCACGTCGGATCCCGTCGACTTGAGCGTGCCGCGCGAGCTCTCTCGGCCGCGCTCAGCCTCGCTCAGCGCTTCACTTGCTCCCCGTTACCGCAGCAGGTTGGCAGTTGATGCGCAGTAAGTATATAGCATGACCCCTCTTTCTGCTACCCAGGATTCATTCGTGCGTTCAGTCTCGGTCAAGGGTCAGGGATTGCTTTGTTGTGTTTGTACCAAACCAAATGAACGCCGTTGCAAGTAACAAGAGAAGTGAAAACGAAAAAAAAACCAGAAAAAAGAGGCGAAAAAAGACTCGAGAGTAGAAAGGGAACGAGCACGAGACATGACCTCTCGTATTCGAGAGGATAGAGCGACCCCCAAAAGCAAGGGATTCGCAACTACCACTTTTGAATCCATCCCCGCCTCTGAAGGACTCCCTTGAGCTCTGCTCATCTCTCCTCCGTCCCTAGGATCTCTTTCCCCCCCTTCCATCGATCCCTTCATTTATTCCTCCGGTTGAACGACCGACGTCTTTTCGCTCACGTAGATGCCGTCCAAGAACTTCCGGATATCCTTGTTCTTGACGAGGCACGAGCCGTGGATGGCCGCGGCGGATTGCGAGACCTTGTCAATGTCGTTACCGGCCAAGAGCAGCTCGTCCTTGACGTTCTTCGACTCCTCGATCGTCACACCTTCGAGCATGGAAATGTTGCGGGCAATCTGTGCAGGCGCATAAAGCGAATCAGTGGCTGTGCCGCGAGCGGTGAAAGCTATGTTTCGCGGAAAGACCGACCTTCTCTCCGAGGAAGTTGCGGATCTCGACCGAGGTCTTGTCGTCGCTGATGATGGCGTTGATGGGGAAATGGGCGTACACGAGGCGCATCTTGTACAGGAAGCCGTAGCGGACACCCTGGATCATGTTCTCGATCGCGGATCGGACCGTTCGCAGGCAAGCGACGTGCTTGCGCCCACCGTGCCAGACGACCAGCTTGACCTTGTGCTGGGGCTTGACGGCCCTTTCGGAGGGGGCGGTCACTCGCATCGACATATCAATATGTTGCAAGTTCTGTTTCGTTCGAGTCGGTGTAGGCGAGGTGAGTTGGCGTACGCGGGTGCGAGCGTAGGTCCAGCGGAGGATGACAAGAGGTGGACACATGCGTCAGCTCCCAAGTCTCGAACGCCGATTACGGGTGGTACTGACCTTTTGGAGTGTTCCTCGGGGGCCGGTGACGGTGATGATTCGGGCCTTGATGGCGACCTTGACTCCCTCGCTGTTGAACGGTCGCATCAAGCCAAGATCAGTGCCGTGGTCCTTCCAAGCCGAGTCCAACGAGACGCAACGTACGGGATGACGAGCTCCTCTTCCTTGTAGATTTGCTTCATTTCGATCTGTTCGAGGAAGAGAGGGGGTGGAGGAAGAGAGGGGGAGAGAGAAAGCGAGTGGAAATCAGCGCGCTGCTTGGCCCGGGTTAAGTGCGCAGTTGAAGCGCCGGCTGGGCCACAATTGTGCGAGCTGCGAGCTGGGCCGTGTCGGGCTGCACCGCCGTCGAGCGTTGCGACAGGCGTGGGAGGCGATGGTCGAGGCGCTTTCGTGGGTGATGATCCGGATCAATCGTTCTGCGTCGTACTGCACAGGATAATGTGGTGCAAGCAGAGTGGTGCAGGCTGTGTACATGCGCCGACTGCCGTACGAGCCAGAAAGAAGCACGCATCGCATCGGCACCCATCCCACATCCGTCCACACCAGCTGCTGCAGCACAGCACGTGGTATTCTTTCCGTCTCTATTTATTTCCATCGATCGTGTCGTTGGGTGATTGTCAAAGGTTGATCATTGAGGTAGTAGTAGATTCGTGGTCGTGGTCGTCGTCGGCCTCATGGCCCGCTCAACGCCCCTACGCCCCCGGGGCGCCTGTGGCCCTCCTCGCAACGCCTGCCGCCGCCGCCGCCCGCGAAAAAAAGCTCTGCAGCCCGCAGAGCGCTCTCGCCCGCGCGCATGCACACGACGGCCTCCAGCTCAGCTCCACCCAGCCCATCCGACACCGTTCCTCCTCCGCCCCTCCCTTCCAAGTCGATGCAGTGGCCAGGTCGAAGAGGTCGTCGTGGATCGAGTCGAAGCTGATCCAAGTCGAATGATGCTGGGTGTACTTACATGCGGCCGACTGTAACGGGATGACGAGGGGACGGGGAGCAAAGGACGAGCTCGAGTCGATTCGCGCCGTTGGGCGCCGCCGGGCCTTTGCGCTAGCTTTTGCGCTTGGAAACAAAATTGGCCCAGATTGGCCTGGCCCCACTCGCGCGCGGCAGAGGGCGGCAGGGGCGGCGGAAAAGGGCTGGTTTCGTAATCGTGCGAAATTATTCCCTACAAAGTGCGACCCCAACTAATGTTCCAATTGTTTGCGAATCGCAACGGCGCTCCACTTGACACGGGGGGCCTCCGCCGCCGTTCGTCGCTCCACCATTTCCCACCACCACCACCACACCGAGTTGAATTCCAAGTCAGCCGAGGTTGAAAAGATGTCGTGGTACCCACCACCGGGACCTAATCAAGACCCTTACCACAATGGAGCATACGGTGGTTATCCGCCCTCCGCCTCGACCGCCGGTGTAGGACCTCCTGGTCCGGGTCAACATCGGTTCGATTACGGACCTCAAGCTGCAGCCGCTGCTGCGGCAGCTATGGCCGCTACTTTGGGAGGTGGAGGAGCACACCCACTGTCTTCGAACCCATACGCTCATCAAGCACCGATGGGGTATCCACCCAACTCGTACCCACCTCCGCCCATGCACTACGGAGCCCCCGCGCCGGTGCCACCGCATCACCACCCTGCCCCATCCTCCAGTACTTCCCAAGGCGTTCTCCCCACCCCACCCCACGACGTCTCGACCGACCCCAATGCGTTCCGACGTTATTTCAAGTCCCAGCTCGCCGCGTTGAGCTTCAACTCGAAACCGTTGATTACGAATCTGACGCTGTTCGCGCATGAGCATCTCGTGAGGATGGCACCCGTCGTGGCCTCCTGTTTGGAGGATCATCTCAAAGTGGTGAGTACATGCATTCGACCTCTCTGAAGAAGGCTGTCTACGCGATGCGATGGAATACCAAAATCATGCCCCCCCCCCAAGGACGCGTCAAGAAGAGGGAGAGCACAGCACCGCCGTGCCGAGAGCTTTGTACCACACGCATGATGTGAACAACATACTGACCACCATCTCGCACCCCATGCTTCATCCGATATCTCAAAATATGTCGCGCATACCCGCCGGTCAACTCCTCCGTCCCCCACCAGTCCCCACCCTCCTTCAAGCTCCCAGCTCTCTATCTCCTCGACTCGATCTCGAAGAACATCGGACCCCCTTACCTGGCCCTCTTCGCGCGTTTCATCAAACGAGGTTTCGTCGACGCATACCACGTATCGGACCCAGCCACGCGCGTCAAGATGGAAGAACTGCTAGGTACCTGGAGAACGGGAGGCGCCGATGGCGGCGAGTTGTTTCGCGGTCATGACCAGGGCGAACATGATAGTGTGCAGAGGGTGATTGAGGCTGCTTTGTTTGGTACGTTCGGGAGAGGGGGTGGTATGGGAGCGAATGGGAGATCGGTGCAGGAGAGTGAATCGTTTCAATCCGGGGTGAGTCGCATTTCTCTTGCGGGGGCAGGAAAGGACCAAAAATTTGTGATCTGAACGGGAAAAAAGTCTTTTGCGCGTAATTAGATGCAGCAAATCACACCGACGGCTTCGAACGGCGAACGTTCGGGCATCTTGTTTGATTTGAGAAGGTTGTTGCAACTTCGATTGGACCAAGCGGCGCAAAAGCCTTCGGACGAGGTCAATCAGAGTCAGATTGAAGCGTTGAGAAAGGTGCGCACCACCGTCCGTTATTGAGATTGTCGGAGAGAGACTAACACTTTTTCTTCTCGGCAATCAAAGTTGGAGTACCTCGTCCTCAACACCCAATTAACAACAGACCAAGTCGATCGAATCCGCGGCCAACTCGCCGCGTTAGCACCCAAAGAAACCTCCGTCGAACCTCGCCCCCACAAACGTGGCACCTCTTCCCAGCCGCCACAGTCTCTCCTCGCTCCTTCTTCCCTGGCCCAACTGACACAATTGGCAAGAAGTCTTTCCCCTCCTGTTTTGGGAACTCCTCCACCGCCTTCTGCTCATCAATCCATGGTGATCCCAACGGGTACTCAAAGTCGGGATCCAACACCTTCCACTCTGGGTGTACCACCTGGTTTATCAGCCCCTTCGATGGGAAGTTCATCATCAACGACTTCGATAGGAGGGATTGATTTCTCTCTACTCAATTCGCTGCAAGCGAACGGATCGCTCAATTCGCTTCTCGCCTCCGTACGAGCGACCCCCCCACCCCCCCACCACCTCCAAGCTCAACCGAGACCAAAGTCCACCTCGATACGCAACCCCACCTTCTGACCGTCGACCCCTTGGCGGAAGAATATCATCATTCACTCCTCTCCCTCTCTTTACCCCTCACGACCTCTTCCTTACTCAAAAGTTCGCCTTCCCGAACCCCTTTCGAATTCATCTACGATCGGTTCCGACTCCAATGTCAACAATGCGGTTTGAGGTTCTTCGATTCGGTTCAAGGGAAGAACGAATTGGACGCACATCTGGATTGGCATTTCGTGAAGAAGAGGAGGATCAGGGAAGGGGTTGCGAGAACGCAGGGTAGGAGTTGGTTGAGTTTGGAAGAGGATTGGTTCGTTGCTTCGTTGGATGATGACGAACTAAATTCGACGACGGAATTTAAGAAAGGAGGAGGAGGAGGAGGAACTGAACAAAGTCGAAAAGAATTCAAAGCCTCTCAAGATGCCAAGTTGGATTTACAGATGTTGAGGAAGAGTAAGGTCGTCGCTCCTAGTGGAGGGGATGAGAGGAGGTGTGGGATTTGTAGGGAAAAGTTCAAGAGCGAGTGGAGTGAGGAGGAGGAGGAATGGGTTTATTGGAATGCGGTCAGAGTTGAGGGGACGGTGAGTTTTTTCTTTTATTTTTGTTGGAGAGAAGGTTTCGATTTGGGTGTGGGGTTGAGAAAGGGGGTGCTGATTGTGTGCGGATTGGTTCGTGGTAGATTTACCATGCGACATGTTACGCCGAAGCGAAAGCTGCGACGAACGCGGCGAGGTTACGAGCTGAAGAAGCGCACCAAACTTCAAGTCGGGAAGCGACACCTTCGGACCCGGCAATTGCGGCTAAGAAGAGAAAGATACAGGAGGAGGGGGAAGGGGTCAAGGCTGAGGAGGAGTCGATCAAGGCAGAGCCAGGTGCGGATAATCGGTTGGACGAAGGGGAAAGCCCGATGAAGAAGGTCAAAAGTGAGGAATGAAGAGGGGGTTTGCATGCTTGTAGCGTGTCTCTCGTGAAGTACGGTATTGCAATTTCATGTTGAGCCCGTATCAATGGGAAGCCGACTGCGTGGATAATACAGACTAACTCTGTTTGGGCTTGCAATTTGAGATTTACTAGATACAACACACACACACGTACTAGCATTCGTACAACACACCGGCAGACACCCAACCGCATTGTCGATCCCCTTTCACGAGCCTGGACCTACTTCCTCACCGCCCCAATCCTCTCCAACATCCCCATCAACACCGCCACATACCTGACCATATCATCATAGTCCTTCTCCGTCGGTTCATCGACGCCATACCGTGCTCGTTGGAGGATCTGTTCGTACGCTTGAGCTACGGCGACGATCGGAGGGGGCAATACACCGGCTTTGAGGAGAGGGGTTAAGGGGGAGAGGGGGGATGACCGGGAGTGGGTTGAGTGGTAGGATGAGAGGGGCCCTGAGGAGAGAGTTGATTCTGGATAGGGACGTTGGAAAGAATAGAAGAGGGCGGTAAGGTGGGAGAATTTTTATTCGTTTTTATGGTGCAGGGGGTGCTCACCTAGGGCGGGAATAGTAGCGAGGATAGAGGTACGGAAATGGACGTTCTCGTGTGGTGTACCTTTCAGAGTAGAGTGACATCCCAATCAGTCATGCAATCCCAGTGATCTTCGAATATGTCCTCCAGGGACTGACCTGGTCTGCCCCATCCTTGCTGAGTGCGATGGCGAGGTTGCGAGATATGAGTGATGACGGCCGCGCGATCGTATTCGTTCGAGATGAGATCGAAAGCAGGCTGGATGAGCAACGCCGAGCAGAAGGTTGTCAGCGTTCGAGAGACGAAGGAAGGGGGGAAAGAAGGGCGAGGAAACGAACCTGGGGCACGTCGGTGGACTGGATAGGGATGTAGCCTTTGGGAATGGAGGTGTATTCTTTGGAAAGGGCGAACCTCCTCGAGATCATGATCGAGATGCCAATCAAGATCTACCACACCAGCCCAGCCCGAACGACCGTCAGCTGCGCTCGACACCAAAGTCGAGCATGTCACGTGCGCGTCGACTGACCACAGCGACATACGCGCCCAAGACGAGAACGAGATCACTGATCTTGCTCGAATGAGTACTCCTCGGTACTTGGACTCCTATGTCGTACAAGGCCGTCAGGAGTGCGGCGATGATGAGGATCACGACGAACAAGAGAGCGGCTCGACGTGCGATCGCGTGGTAGTCTGTACGGGGCCGGTGCGGGTAGGTGTACCGCCGGGTGGTGGCGACCGCTTGGCGCAGTTCTTTCACTTTGGGTCGCTTCATCCTGAAGATGGAGGATGCGGGGCGAGGGCCACGGGTCGCCTCCGCCGGGACGAGGCGAAGCGCAAGAGCGCGAGATCACAGCCAGGGGCAATTCCAAGCAGGCAGTTCCAAGCGCACGCTAATGAGGACTAATGCGGACTAAATGCGCACGCTTCAAAAGTCTTCAAATAGTTCAAAGTTGGCGCGTCGAGTCGAGTCGGCCCGAGTCCGCATTGCCTCGGATCAACGTGCAGTGGGTCCGTGGGAATAGGAGATGACCGACGATATCTTTCGCATCTCCCGACCAGGCCTCGTCGACCTAGGTCAATGGCAGCAGCAAGAACGGAAAGCTGCGACTCGACGCCTCGCGAACAGAGGAGACGACGACGTCATCGCCGGCACTCCCAACACTGCGGGGGTCCGGGTCAGGTCGGCCACCACGAGCGACCAGGATCGAATCAACGCGACTGATCTTGGGCAAGCTGCTACTCGACTGAAAAGAGCTCTGCCATCCCACACCCAATCGTCAAGCAGCGGCCAACCGGCTGACGTGCAAGCTCATGAGGACGATCCAAGACATGCCAAGACACCCCGAACGGAGGCACCCAACAAGAGCACCCGAAGAAGATACACTGCTCAAGATTACTATGCCTGGCATGCCTCCGAAGCTCACATACAGACGTCGGTCCCCCTCCAGGCTCCATTGATCAGTCGCAAGGTGGTGCCCCGCCAACCGATTCCAGACTGACGACTCACAAAACATCTCTTCCAACAGCTGCTTCTCCCACCACCCCTGCCTCTCCCAAAGAAACTTTTACGTCATCCAAAACCACCACGCCACCGCAAAGCACTACGACCTCCGACTCCACCTTGATGGCGGCACACTCTCATGGGCGATCCCGAAAGGATTATCCGATTGGGATCCTTCAAGAGGGACTGAACATCGCTTGGCGATAGAGACCTATCCCCATGCCCTTGATTATACGCTTTATGAAGGGAGTAGGGTAGGAACTACGGCCGTGTGGGATCTGGGGACATACAAGGTGTGTCTTGCAGGAAAGAACGAATTTTCCTTTTCGGTCTCCGGCTCACACTTGCTGGTCTTTCCCCACCAGGTCCTCCCGACATTCAAAAAACAACGTCTCAAAACCAAACTCGATCAAGAAGGCTTTGACCTAGACCATGACACCTCTGAAGAGGAGGATGACGACGCCGATCTCACCAATCTCGATGTCGCTCACCCGACAGCGGCAGATTATCTCGAAGAGGACAAACTCTCGCGCAAGTATCATTACGCCGCTTTCTTACCCACTCCAGCGAGGTACGATCAAGACGCGAAACCGGCGCAGCGCGATGTCGAAGGGTCGCATAGGGGTTTCGTGTTGGAATTGGTGAGGAGCCTTTTCACGCCTTGGGTTTGAGCAATAGTGGAACTGATCTCGGCCTTTCAACAGCAAGGTAAACGCTATCGAGGGCTTAGGATCAGGTTCCACCGAACAGCCAAAGATATCAAGTGAGCCCCAACCCCTTCGCTCCCGCAGTCTCAGACTACCGTTCAATCAGACGACTAACATTTCCATTGTCGCCGCTTGATCAGACACATCACGTACGCCCCGACCCACTCACTCCCACCAGTCCGCCACCCAAACCTGCTCTTATATATTCCATCTCCCCTCCCCTCTCTTCTCCAGTTTCCCAAAAGCCTACGCCCGCGCGAACCCCACAGACCCTCGAGCTCAGCCCGGTGCTCCTCTCGAAGTACAACGAAGGGTAAGCTATGCGCCAACTCAAGCCTCCTTGCCTTCCATTCCCTGATCCGCGCTGAGACTCCTTCTTCACCTTACCGTATTTACTGTCATAGTGGATGATTGACCTCGTCACTCAAGGATACGAAGATCGGTCGATAGGACACGTCTCCCTTTTGACAGGTCGATCGATCGAGCAAATCAAAGCGGCAGCGGAGTCCGAACAAAACTCCTCGGGGGATACAGCGCAAAGTGAGGAAGAAGAGTTGTGGCGTATTGGGATCCTTGCATGAAATGTAATGATGCGCAAAAGTGCTCTCGGTGATGAGTAAGGCTTAGTGCCATTGTGTGCAATAAGCATAGCGTGTTCTGAGTGTTACAAATATTGAAGAGAACCCGTACCCTTCGCAGGCCAACTAAAAGAGTCTCAAAAACGATGATGAAAACAAACAAACATGAACGTCCATCCCAATCCAAATATACAACCACCCTTTCCCCGCCCCCACTCAACTCTTAGAACAAGCCCGCCATCGCCAACCTCCTCTCCAAGTCCTTCACCCTCTCCTCCAGCCTCTTATTCTCCCCCTCCAATTCAACGTTCCTCTCCTCCAACTCGGCCAACCTCTCTTGTTTTCTCTGCCTCGACTTGCGCGCCGATAAAGTATTCTGCAACCTCTTCTTCTCGACAGCTTCAACGAGATCCTCCGGTAGGGTCGAATCCATTTCCTCCTTCAAAGTCGACGACGCAACTTCGCACACCACTTCCGCCTCTTTCTTGAGCGGTTCGATTTCGACGATCAACCTCTTTGCCAATTCCCTCTCCACGGCCATCGTCTTGCGTTTCCTTGCGGTGACGGAAGGCACGACATAAGTCCTTTGTTGGATAGGCGCGTCGAGCGCGGTTAATTTGGTGTGCACGCCTCGGAAGCCGGTCGCTTTCGTTCGACGGGTCCTGGTCGTGGGTTGAGGAACGTCGGTCGAAGTGGAAGGTGTAGGAGCGGTGGTCTCGTACGATGAAGCGGGTGTGAGAGTCGACGAAGTTGTAGACGGGGCGGCGAAGGTGGAAGGGAACGAGAGGTCAAAGGGGGTTTCGATCGACGCTTGTTGGGATGTCGCCGACGGAGGTGAAGGGACGACGGATGCGTGCGTGGGTTCTTGTACGAAAGAGTCAAAGTCCAAAGGAGGAAGCTCATCGAGATCGTCCTCATCGAATAATCCACCAGCAGCTTCAGAGTCGGGACTGTCAAAGCCGAGGGGGGAGTCGAGGCCTTGGTCGAACGAGAGCGCCGTTTCGCGGGGCGATTTGCGGGCTTCGGGGGCCAGGACTTCGGGCAGGACGAAAGGGTCAAAAGGGGGCAGAGGGGCGGCGAGAGCATTGGAGGGGAAAGTGGGTCCGAATCCAGAGACGGGCTTGTCCATCGGCATGTTCATAAAGTCTGAGAGCGGGCGGGAAGGGGAGGGGGCGCAAGACAGGGGATAGGTTTTAGTGCGCGTTCGGACCGTTTCGGCCGCGCAGGTGGTAGAACCTCGATCATCGATGATGTACTGACTTTGCATGAACGTTTGAGTGACATCGTCACCGGCTTTGGAATCTCCATAGTCGAATTGGTAGAAGAGCTCGGCTGATGCCAAATCGAGTTGCTGTTGCTGCTGCGTCGCAAATGCACCGGTGGGAATTGCGCCGACGGTGGTGGGCATCTGAAATTCAAAGTGGGGCGTCGCGGCGGCAGCGGCGGCAGAGAAGGGCGACGACGATGGCGACGCCGACGACGCCGATGTAAGCGCGTTCGACTGGGAGCAGTCGAGCGACATGTCCACGTTGAGACCACCGAAGGCGAGCTTGGTCACGGAAGCGATCGAGTCGGGCATCATGTTTGTGTTCATCGAAGTCGAAGTCCTCGGCGCTGCGCTGGCTCGCGAGCTCACAAGCACCGCCGCCGCATCGTGGGCCGGGTGAAGCATCGCGGAGAAGGGGTACATCCAAGTCTACTGTAGGGTGACCGTGTCGGTCGATCGGTCTGTATTCGCTGGACGATGCTCTAGGGTGTGGGCTTTGCGATAGATCGAGGCGGAGGGCTCGGGTGGGGGTCGGCGGTCGGTTGGTCGTCTGAGATAGGCGATCGGGTGTCACGCGGTTACGCCGTCGTCAGCGCGTCAGCAGTCGGCGCGGCGAGCGCGGGAGCGGAGGGAGCGGTCGACGGCGGTGTGTCGGTGGGCAACGAACGGACTGTGAGCAAGCGGGCTCTGTACTGCGATGGGGTCCAAGTCGTTTCGAAGGTGTGAATGACGTGTCGAGTGCGAGTCCAACGCAGTGTGAGAAGGCGAAGCCGATCTGGCACCTGGTGCGTGATCTAAATGACTCGACTGCCTCGGGCCCTTCGCTGCCCTTCGCTGCCCTTCGTTCGACCGTGGCGCGCCGGCCCGCGCTGCCTCGGGCCTGACGCAGCGCAGCCAACAAGCTCAATGTATGCCGATCCATTTCCAATCCGGCTTAACCCCGTCTTCGGATGGAAAGAGTTCGCAGGACATCGAATCCTCACGTCATACAATTCCTTAGGCACCGATACGCTACAAGTCACATGATCGACCATCAAATAGATTCTCGGCCCACCTTCAAACGGCCCACGCTGCGTTGGCCTGCCATCGGCCACAAAACCCAAAAGCGCCGAATCGCCACGACATCTCCAAACTAGGCTTCACACACCATCACAGGTTAACAACACACTCCGATCCTCCCGTAAGGAGAACTGTCAACGCACGATAAAGAAGCCATTCAGTTCGACCGCTCTCACCCTCGGGGTTCAAGGGGTAGGACTCACTAGCCAAAAGCTCGGTAGCGGCGTTGACGAAGCGGCGTTGTGCTTGCGGATTTGTTGTCGGATTGAGGCGATGTAGACTCGCTTCGTATTGGGAGCGTGTTGGATGACGCTTCGATACGCTTCGTCGCTGTGGGTGGGGAAGGCATTCGTCAAGACAGGCACTCGGCGGTGGCCAAGTGAGGACCGCGACCTACTCATCGACCCATGCTGCCGATTCGCACATCTTGCGATAAGCTTGCCCATCCACGTCGACAGCAACTAAAGGAGTATATACTCATCTCGCACTTCAGCCTGATGGTCCTCCAAAGTCTCTCTCCACCTTGCACAACTCACAAACAGGAGCCTCCGCGGCCGCCTGAGCCGCCTGTTCCACCGATTTCTGTGCCCTCGAAGCGATCATCGACTTCTGCTTGGCTCTCCCTTTTTGCCTCACGTCTTCATCCGCAAGGATGGGATAGATATTCTGCAAAGACTTGGCTTGTTCGGCCAAAGACCCGACGGTGTCAAAGGCCTCGTTGGACGATTCGTCGGCGATTTGTTGTTCGCGCATCTCCTTCGACAGGAAGGAGGTGAGTTCTGAGCGAGGCACTGTAGAACGTCGACGCATGCAACGAAACGGGTCGTCAGCGGATATTCAGTTCATCTCGCTTCATGCGCAGGGGTGGACTCGCCTTCTTCTTCGTAGCCACGTAGTACACTCTTGACCTTGAGTGTGCGTTCGGCGTCGTCGAGGGCATGCCGCCCATGCGCGGCCGCCGCTTGACCTGGCTTGACAATGACAATCCACATCACCCCCTCTCGTCGACAAGCACTTTGCAGCTGTTCGGGTGTGAGCGAGAGGAAGTCGTCGTCGTACATCTACCAAATGCGGTCACTCGTCAGGGAGGGAACCACCATGTAGCAGAAGTGTCTCGGGGCTTACTAGATCGGCCTTGATCCCCGCCTTCCACAAATCCTTGACCACGTCCCACCTTGCCTCGATCAAGTTCGCGACGAAAGAAACCACATAGACGTCGCAGCGTCTCACGGACCAAGGGCCGTACGATCGTGTCGATTCGTCGCGTCGGTTCATCAAACTCTTGCTCGCGGCCGCATTCGCGTCCGCCGCCGCTTGGGAGAGCTTGGCGACCGAGATGGAGACACCGACGACGTGAGGCACTCGACCGGAGTATCGCACCTCCGGCGCAGCAAGTCGCGATACCACCTCGTCGAATCTGTCAATACGGCAAACGTCTAGATGAGAACGATATCTCTCCGCTCCCTAGATCAGCATAGCATACTCACCTTCCACCAGCTGCTACGACCTCTCGCATCTTGCCCCGGATGTGATGCGTCTCGAACAACACCCCATCGCGATGAAAGTCCCAATTGGTCGCGAGGAGAGGCGAGATCTTGATGTTCTTGATCCCAAGCTGTTGGCTAAAGTTGAGGATCTCTTGCAATTCGTCGAACCCTTCTTGAACGACGTGCTTGAGTCGAGGCGAGGCGACGACGAGCGATCGAATCTCGGCGAGGGTGCCTGCTCGAACGAATCACGATGACAGACAAGATCAGATGGTGTGCACTCTAAAAGCACGGATCTTCGATGACTGACCAGACGTGTTCAACAGCCCAAACTCATCGCACATTGACTTGGTTACCCCTGGGATCTTGAGTAATTCACTCGAAGTCTTAACCCAAGAGCGCTGCAGCCGTCCATGCTGCTGCAAGACCTCCAGCACGGCCTCGCGTTGCTTCTCGGGTACTCGATCGACGACCGCATCAAGGAGCTTGGAATGGTTGAGCACGTGAACTTTCTGACCCGTAAGGGGGAACGCGGCGAGAATCTCTTCGACGACGATCAGGATCTCGGCTTCGGTTGCGGCCGTGACGGCGTCGGTGACGATGTCAAAGGCGGCATTGAGGACGGCGCGCGGTTGCTGTGAGACCCGAGGCAGATGTTCAATTAGCTGGGTCAACTTCTGCAAGATAAATCCACCTGCTCTTGCATGCCTTACCCCTCCCGCCTTGGTATGTCGATACACAGGTGCGATAGTCCACCTCTTGAGTCGAGTGAGTGACGTGTCCCTCGCAACCATTCGACAAAACGGGATATTGAGATGAAATGGCAAGCAAGCGACCGTGCCATCCGAGTCGAGCAACCGGACAGGATCCCTCGCACCATAGATATTAGAGTGCGGCATCAACAGTGGACTGTCCATCGAGACCGCACCTTTTTGCCGAAAGATCCGACTCAGCTTATCCCTCACGAGTTCAGCATAAGGGTCATTGTCGACTTTGGCACCTTCGCCATCGTAGAAATCGTACGAGAAATCCTTGCGGATCCGATCTTCGGCGGTTTGGTTGAACAAGGCCGTAATGAGCGTCTGGGCGTGGGTCGTTCCCGAATGCGAGAGCAGTCGGATCGTTTCCTCGATCGAATCGTCCCCGACTCGAGGAGGGAGGAGATCCGATGCGAGCAGATCTTTAGGCGATGCTCGCTTTTCGGGATCGTGCTGCAAGCACGTTTGGACGATCTTGGTATGTCGAGCGAGTCGCACCATATCCCATGACGAAGGGAACCGGATCTCTGGTTCCCGCAGTCCGCGAAGAACGTGGATCCGTTCCATGCCCGTCTTGAACGGTCCATGGAACATCTCGAAGAACACTACCCCAAGCGAATACACTGTGGGCTCGCGATGAAAAGTGAGTGACTATCTCAACACATGTCGTCTCACATCCTCGCGGAACTCACTATCAATCTTGTTCGAGTATTTGATGGACCGCTCCGTGCGCGTCTTGGACAGCGTCTCTGGCGCGATGTACAACGACGTCCCGACACCCGAAGTGAAGTCCGACTCGTCCATCGACGAATCCATACTGAGCAACCCATCTGTCGGATCCGACACCCCACCCTGATTGACCGCCAAACCAAAGTCACCGATTCTGACATCCTCCTTGCCGTCGATGAAGATGTTGGATGGTTTGAGATCTCGATGAATAATGTTGAGCGAAGTGAAATGCAACATGGCGCTCAAGATCTGGTTCATGAATCGCCAAGAGGCAATTTCGGAAAGGCCTTCTTCAATCGCTTCCCGCAAGGTGAGCTTCTCGACGTACTCCATCTGAATGTACAGCGTGCGAGTTTGCTTCGGCGTCGCAGGTATTGCAGGCGAGTTGTACCTCGTGGAATGCTTTGAATGCCGAGAGACGGCAGGACTGATCCGACCATCCGTCGAAACATCGTCTTCGTTGCCGAAGTGGATGCTCGGGTAAGAGACGCTCTTCGAGTGACCGGCGGAAAGGAAGTCGACATCGTCGAGATCATCCAGCCCCAGATCGATATCCAGATCATGTCCCGGTGTCGCGGCGGCATCGGAGTCATCGGAGTCAAAGTCGACAGGACCCGAGTCGTTGTCCGAGTCCGAATCACCGGTCGCTTCGTTGGCCGTCGAAACCGACTCCGTTGAAGGCGCCGAGGTATCAACAGTTGGTTGCGTCGACCCTTCCCCATCAATGACGTAGCTCGACTGCGAGACATCTTCCGTCTCCGTCCAAGCAGTATGATACCGAACGATGTTGGGATGGTTCATGCGCGACCAGATCGTCACCTCTCGCAGAATCTTGATCTCGGCCTGTTTGTCCGTTGGCAGTCGGATCTTCTTGACTGCGTAGAGATGACCATCGAGTCGGTTGCGCGCTTTGACGACTTGACCCCCACCCCCACGGCCGAGGAACTCGAGTTCCTCAAACTCGCTACGGTACCGCGATCCGGTAGGACGAGGTTGCCAGAAGAAGCCGACTTGGGACGACTCGGCCATCTGGCTCTCTTTCGAGCCGACACCAGGCGAGAACATGGGCGTGCCGGGCCCTCGAGCCTTGTTCGGCCACGCAGCAACGTTGTTCGTTGGAGTTGTCGAGAGGATCATCGGGGGGAGGGAGACGCCGCTATCGTGGGCACCCCCATTGCTACTTAGTTCGAGCAGCTGAGCTGACAGTCGCGCTGCCGTCGGACGCTTCTTGGCCTCGGTCAAGAGTAGGTCGGAGAGGACCTTGCGCAGCACTGGTGGCGAGTTGCGAGGGATACTTTGCAAAAGGTCGGCAGGCGATGCGTATCGACGGTGGACGTCGGTACCAAAGACCATGTGGGCAAACACGATGCCGACATCCCACCTGGTGGTAGTACCGAAGCAAGCAATGTCAGCTGTGGTACACGTAGAGCCTGGTCATGCGAGGCCGAGCACTCACATATCTCGTGACCGATCGTACGCGAACGGATCATCCACGACCTCGGGGCACATCCAAGATTCCGGCAAATCATCCTGACTCGGCGCAGCAACCCACGGTTCGGCCTTGTTCAAATCGATGATGCGCTGGAACCAAGCTACATCCCCCAATTTGATCGAAACGGTGCTGTTCCCTACAGGTGATCGCTCATTGCAAACCCAGATCGCCTTAGGTCGTATCGATCGATGGGTCACGTTCGAGAGGTGTAGGTACTCGACGGCCGCTACGAGCTGCTGGAGACACGTGATGGCCTTTTCGAGCTTTAGTTCGCCGACCGTTGCCAAGAGATATTCGAGCGTTTGGGCCGCGGTTGGCACCTGCTCGTGCAAGACGATGAGGGACCACCCAGCTGTGGTCCGAAGTAGTGGTTGCGAGCTCGGATTATCTGGGAAGAAAGAGGGCGTGTAGCGAGCCAAGACGGAGCCATAGAGAGAGAGTATGTTGGGATGCCGCAGGGCCCGAGCTCGAGTCAGATCCGTGTCCACTTTAGATAGTTTCCGCTTGCCTTTAGGATGAGATAGGGTGAGAATCAGGGGGAAGATGCTCCGAGCGAGAGCCTCACGGTTCCATACATACCCTGCGGAGTGAGGTAGTAGGGCCCAAGAACATCGATGACGTAGGCATTCGCACTGAGCGCCGCTTCCATGCCCATCATGAGCTCGACCGGCAGCATCCGTCCAATCCAGTCTGCACACGTGTCCCAAGTAAGCATCCGAACTTGAAGCGAGGAACAAGCAGCACGCCGCACTTACCAGTGCCCGAAGGCATCCCAAGCTTAGCCACAACCTCCTTCGTTCCATGCCCATCCGTACTGATCAACATCTTGACCTTCCTCTCCCCACCTTCCCCAACCTGCAAGCTCTCCCCCTCAAGCCCTTCCCTCTCCTTCAACTTCTCCTGCCTATCCCGCTCGGCTCGAAGTTCTTCTTTGCGCTTGACGTCGCCCGAGATGAGTTGGGCCATACGGGCGGCTTCCGCGGCTTGCTCGCGCTGCTTTTGCGCCTCGGCTCGTTCGAGAGCTTCCCGATTCGCCTACGAGTAGAGAGCGAGATGCTCAGTCGGTTGGTGGGACCAATGAAACATCACCCTCGTAACACACCCACCTTCTCTTCCTCTTGAGATCGTTGCTTCCTTTGGTCCTCCAAGCTGTTCTTGTTCATATCCGTATGTCGATCCGTAATAAATGTCGCCGCGATCGAGCACAGTTCGTAAATCATCTCCGAACCTAGCAAAGTCGTCGTCGATTCTCTTTGCAACAAGGTGCGCTGTCCGCAGTGTGTATTCTTAGGATGAGCTTTCATCCCTCTCGTACAGTAAAATGAAGCTGCACGGACCAAAGCATTGAGATGATTCGTCTCGAGTCCGACCGGTTCATCGAGTGTAAAAGTCGGAGCCTGCTTCGGGTACTTGAGAGGAAGTCTATGCAATTGTTAAAATGACGTGGAAATGTCAGCTTTGATCGCCTCACGTAGTGTGATCTCCCCAGAAGAGATCTCTGTGAGCCTGGGCCGACGACGCACTTGAAATGGATCTTGACGTTGACGATCTCCTTCAACGGTTCTTCGACCGGACGAACTCGGACTCGGAATTCGTGCGCGGCGTTGACGGACTGAAAGGGGAAGAGGTGACCACATACATCAGCAATTGCATACCCTTCCAGAGTGAGTCGTGCAACCTTGCCTTCCAAGCCGTCCTCGTCTCGACACTTTCGAAATCATCGCCATAGATAGCTACGCATACACCCCGTGGTCGTAGGCCGTGATCAGCCTCAACACGTGTCCCAGGGCTCCGACACAGGCTACGCAGGTATGATATCTTACACCGAAGGACCTCAATCTCTCCTTCCTGTAATTCCTTGAACTCGTCCATCACAGGCATCTTGCGGGGAAGAGGGAGTTACGAGCTCACAATCGGTAGCTCGGGCAAGCCGGGGTTGGGGTGGGGGTTGGATGAGCTCGGCTGAGCCGGATCGACTCGAGTCGGTGTGTGCAAATGGCGATGAAGTGCGATTTAGTAGGTGATGACAAGCCGCACTAGTTCAATGTACGTAGAACGCATGAGGTATCTCGGTGATCGTTGACGTGGGTAGCATCGAAGCTTATCGATGGCGGCGGCGCGGTCTGATTGACGAATGCGGAGAAGCCAAAGCCCGGAGTTTGCGAAACAGGCCCGCTCGGCAACGTCAGCGGCTCCGACATGCTTCGACGAGCTTCTATGAGTGGATCGTATGTGGGGAAGCGAGCAACGCCATGGGTTTGATGAAGGAATTCTGTTGTCGTCTTTCGTGGGGATATAAAATCCCGTGTGGTCAACTGAGCGTCTCTGACAACTCTCACAGTAGATCAAATCTGCAGCGCACCTATGCTCGAGCCTCGGCCTCGGCACAGGAGAACAGCACAGGACACAATTCGCCACGATGGTGAAAAACTCGTATATAGAACAAGAAAATTTCGGGCAAAGAACGAGAGACATACTACTACTGCGACGAGTCCATATTGAACGATAGAACGAGACGTGGGAAGTGAGAGAACTCGGGAAAGTACTCAAAGAAACCGTGCAATTGGCGAGGGTTAAGGTTGAGTTACTGTAAAGGGCGGAGAAGCTTTCTTCATCAGCTCATATTTGTGAGGAGAATGGCAAGATAGGTTGTACTGACAATGGAGTTGGTAGCGTCCACCTCGATTGTCGGCACTAGAAGTCAAACCCACATCACTTTGTCAGCTCTCATCCTCGAAACGTAATCCGTCTTACAAACTCACCAATCGAGCTCATAAACTTGAGGAACACGACCAAATACTGATCTACCCTCAACCCCTCCGGACCTTCCTCCTCCGTACCACCCGTCTTAGCAGCGTCCTCCTTCTTCCCCGTCGCTTTCCCCACCAATCCCGCCCACTTGCCACCTTTCGAACCCGTCGTCGCAACAGGGGCTGGTCCAGCAGGGTTGTTCTTCTTCTCTCTTCGTTGTAGTTCGACGACGTTCTTGTCCATGCGTTCAATGACTTTCTTCATCACGGACGAATGCTTGCAAGGGTGCACCGAGGCCATGGATAGCGAGCCGTGCGGGAAAGGTTCGATCGTCACCGTCTTCTGGGCGTGGTCAGACGAGACGTCCTCAAAAGCGGAAGAAGGGGGAAGAGATGTCTTGTGCTGCAGGCGAGAGTTGGGTTACGACGGATGGCTCAGCAGATGCGTGAGCGCCGAGAGCGAAAGTTCATGAACGCACCTCGTCGTAACCAGAGAGCCAGAATCGAGGTGTTTGGTAGTACTTGTCATAAGTGATGAAGCAATCGTAAGTTCTGACCTGGATCAGATTATCCGATCTGCTACCCCATAAATCACAGCCGTCAGCGCCAGCTCTCCTCCACAGCACGAAGACCTCTCTGAGTCAAAAGGCAGCAACTTACGTTCCCGTGGTATCCTTACCCCCTGTCGACGGCGTAGCCCTCAACGCAGATTCATCCTCTTCCTCGACCAAGCCCCCGCCCATCCCATCCTCGTCATCGTCGTCCATATCGGGAATATCATCCATATCCGGCATCTCCTCGGGCTCTTGCTCGTCCGCATCCACAGTTTTAGCTCCAGAGCTCAGCAAAGTTGACGCGAAGGCTTCCTCGAGATCGGGTATATCACCCATCGCTGGTGCGGGCTTTGTGGCCATGGGATCTGTCAACATACCCAAAGTCGGGAGTGGTCAGCCAAAGCCTTCTTCCGAGCCGAAGCCGCCGAGTTTTCCGGTCCCCGATCCAAGGTTGCCCGCCCGGTGGACTTGCACAACTACTCACCCTTTGAGCTCGTATGCGTCGCGACCCAGTCCTCTCCGTCGTCAGCACCTCGACCATCGAGATCCTGAGCGAAGGACATCATCGTCTCGGCATCCTCGTCGGCGCCTCCGCCGCCGAAAGCGAGTTGCGAGACTCGGCGTAGACATGGGACTGCGGGAGCGACAGAGTGATGTTTCAGTAATCGTATCATGCAACGCACCCTTCTTGTAGCCCCATCAAAGCATGCCTGTCTGGTCCCACTTTCCGGGCTAGTTCGCGCACGTTACTCGTGTTCCAACGCCGCATCAAAGTCGAAATGAAAATGAAAAAAACAGCCATGCGAATACGATGGACTCACCGTTCCTCTGCATCAAGTACTGCTTCTCCCTGGGCAAGAAATCCCTCGTCTTGGCCTCCTCTTTCGCGGCTTGCCAAGACCAGGTCGGGAATTTGTAAACGAGGTAATCGCCCGCGGCGACGAACTCGTCCGGAGTCAGCCGACCGGATTCTTTGAATTTCGAGTCGCGCAGCACGGGGGATAGGTAGTCGCGGACGGCCCAGAATTGGGTCTGGGGGGAGGGGAAGGGGGGTGTCAGTGATGGGAAGTATAGATGGGGATGGGATGGTGAGTGGAGGGGACGCGTGGCGACGCGAGGTGAGGATGAATCAACCGCCTCGAGATCGCCGGCGCTTCTGACGGCACTCTGCCGGACACAACGCGGCGAATGACTGACCTGCAATGAGCCTAGCATGTTGTTCGATCGAGAGAGAGAGAGAACGGTGGTCACGAAGTAGAGGGGTGGGCGTTGCAAAGGGTGAGACGTTGAGCGCCCCGGGGATGACGATGGTGTCACGCGCCGCCCGATTTGAGCTTGGACCCTCCCTGCTCGGGCACCATCATTCGTCATGGTCATCATGATCCAAGATAAACTCTTGGGATAAAAATTTGCTCTATACTGTGGTGAACTTTACCTCGTGGACTGTTTCGGATACAAGAGTAATGTCTCTATTCGCCGAGCTTGCGCCGAGCTCGACTTGGTCGCTGCGAGACGATCCAGGCGCCGCTCTTCCTCCGCTTCCCATCCTCGCCAAGCTAAACAATGTCGCACCTCCACCCCTTGGTCAGTAGCACCCAATCAACCACAAGTTGCTTTCATGCGCTGACCGCCCCATCCTATCCTCTATGACCCACTAGGCCGGTCCTTTACTCCCCTACCTCCAAAAGTACCCCCCGCAAGCGTCCTCGCTCTTCCAAGCCTATCAGGATCTCTACTTGGGTGAGCTAGCGCAAGACACCACTTTTGTAAATAGACTTCTAAAATCCTCGGTTCTGACAACCTGTATTCGGACGCTACAGCGCAAACATGGCAAGACCTTGAGTTGGTGGATCTTCCTTCGTGCGAGTGTGTGGTCATCAAGGGGAGACCTCAGAAGAAGGTCAGTTGCATCATCGACTTTGAGAAGACACACAATGCTCCTATATCATGCAAAGTAAACTCAGCACCCCTTCGTCGTCAGACCGTCGCCTCTTTTGCCCTCCCCATCAACCTCAGCACAGCAACCTCGCTCCGATCGTCAGTCTCCCAAAGCCACCCTCGAGAGGCCCCATACCGCTCAACTAACTTTCCCCGCCATCTCCACAGCCTCTCCAACATCTTCGAAGCCCTCGACAAACTCCCCTCCGAAACAAAAGTCTCTGCGACCGATACCCAAACCGAATCCCCGACAATCTACCTCGCCATCGCGGAGAGGGACAGTTCGATCGTTTATTACGTCCTCAGGCATGGGATCGTCAGTCCCAAGGAGGTGCCCGAGTAGGGCAGGGATTTGGACAGCATTGACCGATTCTTTATACGTGGGGTGTGGTCCTTGTCATGTTGTTGTAACAACATCCTTACCGGTGCGCGAACTCTCCTCTCGAGGCATTCCGAAAATCTTTTTAGTGCGCGCTCCCGTCAGATCGTCAACTGCTCTCGCGAAACTCGGGCGCAGCCCTGAAAGTTACGGTTCATTACAAAGCTTCCACTTCAGTTCCCCGAATTCTCTTTGTCACCCGTCACCGCCCCCGACCCTGCCGCATCTTTCAAACTCTTCGAGCTCTTTCTCCTCCTCAAACTTCCCCCTTCCTTATCCCTCGTCCCGACAACTCCACCACCAACAGGCGCGGACCTCAACCCCACTCCACTCGTCCCCAACGCCGTCCCACTCGAATTCGAGCCCGCGCCCGAACCCGCCGCCGCAGCAGACGCCACCGGTCCACCGACCCTCTCGACCCTTTCGACGAGATGCGCTCGTCGTACCCACGCCCTTCTTCGAGTATATTTGCCCAAGCCTCCTTTGGCAGAAGCGTGTTCCCACGAGTTGTCGGAATAGGCCCAACCGTTATTATCGACGAGGTAGTTGTTCTCAAAGAAGTAGTCCTCGACTAGAGCAGGGAATAGAGGGGTGTCGTCTTCCCCTGTTGCTCCTTCGCCGGTAGTGGAAGGATGATCAGTGTCGGGCTTGGTCGTTGAGGAAATGTAGGATTGTAAAGCGGCAGAGAGTGAAGGTGACCTCGGCATATGGGCGTTCGTCGCGGAGGAAGCATTCGCGATGATCGACCCATCGGCATTCGTCGCAGCAGCAGAGGAACCAATCGCGTTCGCTTGGCCCGAAGATGAGCGCATCACCCGCCATTCGGTGTCCAACCACTTCCATTCCGTCGTGCGCTTGAGTCGTGAGGTTGGGTCCGATCGGGTCGGTGAAGAGGTGTAGGTCACCGATCCGGGAGGAAGCACGAAGGAAACGGGAGGGATAGCGGGGTGTAGCGCCACGTCCGTCCTGATGGAGGGCAAAGTTAAGCAATCACTCAGTTACTGATGACCCGGCTTTACAAGAGACGGGAAACACTCACCAACTAGCCCTCTCACCGGGCAACAACGCATGCGTCCAGTCCAACCCGACCCACCACCGCTGGTTCTCAAAGATGGTAAACTGAACCTGAACATCCTCTTCCGAACCTGCGGGGTCGACCACTCCTGCACCCGCCTTGACGTCCTTCTTGGTCAGACCGACAGCAGACTGCACTCCAGATCCTCCCACTTTGACCGGCTTCTCCTGGACGACGATAACTTGCTTGGCTTGCTTTTTGGACCCTAATAGACCCGGAATCCCAACTCCCTTTCGTGCTCGTCGTAGCTCTTGACTCAATCCTCGCCCTCCCGTGATCGAAGCGATCGTGATCCTCGCGATCCAGCGCACGAACGCCGAGCTCCACAAGGTCACTCGAAGCGTTTGGAAGAAGGGCGCGTTCCACAACAAGCCGACACTGCCGAGGGCGAGAAAGATGAGCCGCATAGGAACAAAGTACGTCAGGGCGAGGTAGAAGGGGTAAGACGTCAAGACGATCCACGCCGTGTGGTAAGCCGGGGCGGCTCGACCGGGGTGGGTGGGCACGAAGCTCAATCGGACCGAGAGCGGGTGAATTAGTTCGGCGCGGAGGGATTGTACGTCATTGGCAAGGATTTGTGATGAATGCAGCAGCGAGTGGAACGCCGCTGGTGTCAAAGGTGCTTGTCGATGTCGGGACCGCGTCAAGGCGACCTTATTCGGCGCCGTGCCGGGCACCGGTCGCGACGAGAAGGAGCCGAGGTAGGTGAAGAGGATGTAGGCGAGCACGAGCGCAGGTGCACCGTATCGCAGGATGAATTCGCCGAACAGGCAAATAGCCCACCACGCGAGAAGGAGCAGGAGTGAGGAAAAGAAATGGCCCTCCCAGTTGATGAGGTGCGAGATGAAGGTCAGACCGTGGATGACCGGGGCAGCCAGGGTCAGGAACTTGAGCACTGCCGGTGGTGTCGCCAGCAGCAAGTCCGTCGGGGTGGGTTCCTCGGTATTCGGTACGGAGGAGGAGAGTAGGGAGCTGGCATGACGACTCGGCGAGATGGCCGGTCCGCTGGCTCCGATCGCGGTCGCGGAGGATGACGACGAGGATGAGAGCGTCGCCAAGGACATCGCTCGCGTTGGGGAAGGGGGCATCGCCCTGGTCGATTGAGCAATGATTCGCAGCGATGGATCGGTCCACAAGGTATCCAGGGTGGCTGCTCAGAGAGGTGCTTTGACCCGGGCGACGACGCAGATGTCGTGGCCAGAATCAGAACACTCGGCGAAAGCTGACCGCGGCGCGGGGTCGAACGGCGGCTCGGCTTGTAGAGCAGTGTGGAGCTGCTTTCGACTGCTAAGGCCGAGTCCGAGTCCGAGCGCTCAGTACCTCGTAATGATGGGGAGTTTCAAGATTGCTGCAACAAAGGTGAAGATCTCGACCTAGACGACCCAAAAAATCTTCGGTCAGCTAGGGTGATTTCGCTTCCCACTTGACAGCCTAGGACGCGAGGTTGGCTTCTATGCGCCGCCTGCTATGACGACAATTCGCCCCACCGGCCGGCAACCTCGAGCTGAAGAAGCCGACTCGGAGGAACGAGCGCGTACTACTGGCGAGTACACTTGACCGGCGGGACTGGGGATGCAGGAAGTGGGTAATATGATCGGTTTGACCTACGCACAAATAACGATGGATCTCGGTCGCTGTCGAGGCGAACCAGCGAAAGATGGAGCCGGGGGAAGAGCCTCGCAGCCCGGATGCCGATCGTGTGATTGGTGTCGAACGAAAGCGTGTGAAAGTCGCGTTCGAGGTCGCTCGGGTCGTTGCTGCAATGGGACTTGGCAATAATTGACAGTATTCTCTAACTGGAGGAATGCTCTATCCCTTTTTTTCAATGCCCCTTCTTCTCAGTGAAAGACTCAGTGAGAAATCGCGATATTGAGATACAGTATCTGCAGTGCACCAAGGGTTAATTAAACATTTCCACCGTCAAGGGGGCAAGGAAAGACTCGTGACAAAATTTCCGATGACTCACTCCAGCTAGAATTGATCCAATACGCTGTTCAGTTCCTGGTCCTAGAGGTGGAGCACCGAGATCTTCGAAGTCGGAGACCGTGAAACGTAGTCGGTCAATGCATAGTTATCGTCGTTTTTGTTCGTGATGGCTAGGCCATCGAGGTTTCCCCGATGGGCAACATTCATCGTTACACAATCCAGCATTTAAGATTTAAAGAAGTTGTTGATCTCCCGGCCCGGCCAGGTACCTCATTGGAATTTGGAACACGCGATGCGTCAGCCGACGTGACAGGACTCGGCAGTAGCGTGAGCGCTTGAGCGCGTAGGAGCGCGTGCTCTCCCCTCACACGCGCAGGCGAGACGATCGATCGCCTTTTGGCGTTGTGCTACCCATTACAATCGACCCTTGCGACGTACAACCTGCTTACGCACTATGCCAGTATCCGAGAGGCTGGAATCGGATCAACGCTTCTTCGATGATCTTGTAGAGAAATCAGGTTGCTCATGATGCTTGTGGTCGCCGCGCCGCGCATTTTCGACGCTCTGACTGGGGCTCAACCTTGAATCCTTCGCTGCCTTCTCTACCACAGAAGCAATCATCAGCATAACGAATTCTTCCAGGAGCATCGGATACCGCTGCGCAGTCTGCCCTCGACATAAGGATCGACGGCTGAGCCTTGCCCAAGCCCGGGCCCATTTCAAGACGAATGTGCACAAAGAACAAGTCCAACTGCAAACTATCGGTGTTGGGGGTCTTACCTGGATATCATCCCCCGACAATGACGACCTTTTATTCGAAACCAACAATTCTGTCTCTTCTGTGAGCGAGCGGAGGTCTTCCAGTGTTGAGACTACGCGATCTGATGCGTCTGCATCTGCCCTAAAACCAGCTCGGCAGCGATGGGTCACCCTCGTCGGGCACACCCCACTTCGACTACAGTGCGCAACCTTTTGCACAGAATGACGACGATAATAGCTCTGACAGCGATTATGGCTTTGAAGATACGTCGGCTGCGTACGAGAGTTTAGACGACTCTGAATTAAACCGTGGGGGTGATGTCAGCGCGTCCGAAGACGACGACGGGGGTACCTTTAACAGTGCGGTCATCAAAAAAGATCTCCAGTCGCGAGGCCTCCAATGCACGGACTATATGATCGAGTATGCCCGTGTGAGAACAGCACCACTCTGTTAGAGGTAGAAGTCAACGTCTTACATGTGATCTGTTGACTACAGCTTGGAAGACAAGCAGGAGGGTCCCTCACGCGCCGGCTTCAAGGCGAAATGATGATGAACATGCTCATCAAGGTCCATAATCAAATGTGCCAACCCGTGGCTGCCCTCACTGCCAGAGATTTCAAGGTTCGTTGTACGGTGTAGAATTCCCGCTACTCCTGTGATCGGCGCCAATTCTCATGCGTCAAAGTTTGCTAACTGGCGATGAAGTTCATCCTTTACCACAGTCAAAGTTCAGATCACATGCCAGAACCATGTTGAGTACGCCTCGCCTCACCGACTTCTATAGCGGGGCAACGGGGGCTCTCAGAGTTAGTCAGCTTCACAACCATGCTCGGCTTCACAACCATGAGATTCGTGTCTCCCTGGTCGTCGGGTCTGAATGTTTGACAAGCAATACCCACAGAAGTACCTGCTTGCAAATCAAATCATCGACAGCGGTAGAGATGAACACGACGATGGTTATCGTAAAGTGGTCTCTGCGGCGATCGCAGAGGTTGTGGCTGATGCGCGAAAGGAATTTGCCGGGCGTGTACGTGAGACTCCCTGCTCGGCCACCTTCGAGTGCATCTGTGCCGAACTCGCCATTGCATGCTTTGCATCCCGCTTACATTCATCTTCTATCCACCCCAGATTCAAGATATAATATCCTTCAGTAAGGATCCTCTGCTTGTGATGAAGGAGTGGCCGTCGACCGAAGCATGTTTGACGGACGATCATGTCATCCATTGGTGCCTGGCCGTGAGTTTTAGATTTTCGGAGATCATGACGAGCGCAGGGACCTGGGGAAGTCTGCTAACACAAGTATACACGCCACAGATACAATATTCTATTGAGTGGGTAAAGGAAGATAAGGGCAGCCGCTCTAAATTCTTCATTGGTCTGCAAAACTACCTCGTCAAAGTCGGGAAGAGGCTCGGAGCCAAGCTGGACAAAGAGGCAGATTTCAGCATTCGGTCGTATGTACCTATTTTCATTGACTACCTGTCTCGGACACCTTTCCATTCTGCCTTCTGGCTGAGTGCGACAAGACAACCAATTAGGACGAGCATTAACGTACTGACATCCGTCCATCTTGCTGCTCTCCTTCAGTTACCTTTGGGCCAAGTACGTCGAGCCCACTCGCCGCTCGGCCGCTGCCTCGAAGTTCGGCACCGCCAACTCCAAGGACTGGAAGCAGCCTCTCGCGCGATTACAGACAACGAAAAAAGATGCCCAGTCGCAAATGTTCCTACTTGTTGTTAAGACCGATCTTGACATTCATCAAGTTGCAAAGGTCAGTCGAGGCCACTGCCATTTGGTCTTCAGTGCTCACCTATTCTCAGTTTCGTCACGCTGATCGGACCTTCGCGCGCCTGCCGTGTTCGATTACTTGGTTGGTCAGAAACTGGCTACCAAGAGTTCGCGATCGACAGCACCCACAGCTGGTGGGCGTGGGAATGCACATGGTTCGAGATCGTGGAGCCGAGGTGAGCCTATTTTCAAATTGGTAACACGGGAGGCAGCTGGGCTGACGTGTTTTCACTCTCGCGCCAACTCTCCACTTAACTGGCACCCTTCCAATATGACTAGGCTTCTAGGGATTTGCTCAGGTATGAGTTACATACCAGAAGGCCAACAGAATTGCTTCATTGGGTCAAGTATTCAGCCTATTCGATTTTCATTCCTAATTTCAATTTGAATCAAGATTTTTGAAGTGCTTTTAGTAGGGGGTACATCCTGCCGAGAGAGATCCTGTAGGGCTTTCTGATGCTTTCACTGTACGCGCTCGAAGGGATAAAGTGATACTATGAATGTAGTATATGATATCGCGAGAACGGATCCGCAAGCAGAGCCTGGTACCCGCACTCCCAAAACGGTCTCTACGGGATTCCCAGGTCGTCACCCGCCTGGTTTACAGACGGGGGAGCCTTCCGCCTGACACCCTAATGTAGAAGTCCTGAATATTCCGCGATCTGCGCGCAAATCGCGGGATAATTCCGCGGAAAGGGCTTGGGCGTGTAGTTTCGATCATTCGATCTCGGATCAACGACCGAGCTCACGTGACCCCTCGCACCGGCGACCAAACGTTCCAAAACGTCGTCCAAACAAACCGGTCTGATCACATGCGACTACTTTTATTTCCCAAACGATAGTGAGTATGTCAATTCTTTCAATTAAGACTCGCCCCTTCGCATGATGTAGACATCTTCGATCGGAAGATCGGCCCGACCGGCGGGAAGCTCCTGAAGCCTCCTTGGAATAAGAAGCAAGGACCTCCTTTCCACGCGTTCAGTTGACCCCGAATCCCGTCCGTCCCCGCGCGCTGCATGTATGCCTCTGGATTCTCTCCTCCCCCTCCCCACCTCGGACTTCAGTCAGCAAGACCAGAATGCATCTGAGCCATGAACAACACGTCAATATTCCTTCTTACCCTGCGTTCGCGAACCGGCTGCAGTCGTCCGCGTCAACGCGTCGAAGCGCCCTGAGCGACCCACCCCGCCTCCCTCTTCAAGCCGACATCATCAATCAGACCTGGCTCCAGCAAAAGGACCACGGTCGCTCGCCCTCAATCAGTGACCCTTGTCACCCTTGGCAACACTACCCTTCACCCGAGTCCATCACCAGTGATCTTCCGCCGCTGCTCGCACCAGGCTCGACGTCAGTGTTCGGCGCCCCACCTCACGTCGCTGCGTCATCGCGCTCAGTGCCGTCCGTCGTTGAACAAGGGCCCGCTTCCGGCGCGGGTGCACGCGATGTCAAACAATCTTTATCGGACGGTTCCACATCCCCACCTCCACCTCCTCACAAGCGCACCCGAACTCGCTCCTACTCCATCTCATCGGCTACCTCGAACCCCGACACCCATCGTTCAGTCAGGTCCAGTTCGTATGGAACATCCTTCTCCGGCACCAGTGCCGGCACTGGTCTGAGCACGACCAAGTGTCGATCTTCAGCCAGCTCGCGTGCGATCTCCAAGGCGTACGAGTCACGACGATATGTCGCCGAGGCACTGCGTGCTGCGATTCAATCGGGGAGGGTCAACGCTGCGACCGTTTCGAACGATACTGTTTCTCGAATCGTCGAAGGTGCGCGCAAGAAGGCTGCGAAAGAAGGCTTGGCTGGGAAGCGAGCTCAGGGGCGATCAAGAGCAAGACAGGAGAGCGGTCAGCCCGACGAGCAGGCCGAACTGAGGGTTCGTAACAAGGTCAAGCAAGTCGTAAGGAATGCCGTCAGTGTCGAGGAAGATGGCGAGATCGAGGTCAATTGGGACGAACTGAGTACGCTCGGACAAGATGGCCGCAAGAGGAGGCGAGCCAACAAGACGACAACCGTGATGGCCGTGCCCGTCTAAAAGTGGCATGTTGAGCTGCTTGAAGGTGTCACTTCTGGTCGCACCTCTTCTGCAATTATTTGCTCTCCTCTTGTACAGTTTTATGTAGCAATATGCTTGTCGCGCACTTCAACATCAGATTTTTACCTCTCGCAGTTAGTACTCGTGAGCTTTGAAGAGAGGAATGATATCTTCAAATCGCATTACGAATGAAGTAACTACATAAAGAAATAACCGTTAACCCTGCAGCAGTGTTCGCTACCAGTCCAACTTGTACTTTTTGGCCGACTGCATCGGGATCTTTCCTCGGTACCCAATTCCATCCAGCCAAGGTCGTTGTTCGGATCGCTTGGCCTCAAAGGCCTTGATCGCGTCTTCGTGAGCGAGCGTCAACGAGATCTCATCGAGACCATTGACGAGGCAGTGCTTGGTAAAGTCGTTGACCTGGAAGGGGAACTCCTCGCCATTGGGGCGGCGAACGACCTGCTTGGGAAGGTCGACCTCGATCTCCTTGCCCGCGCGAGCGTCCTCGAGCAGCTTGGCGATGTCCTCCTCGGACAGAACGACGGGGAGCGAGCCATTCTTGTACATGTTGTTGTTGAAGATATCGGCAAAACTCGAAGCGATGACGCAGCGGATACCAAAGTCGAGTAAAGCCCACGGCGCGTGCTCACGCGACGAACCGCACCCAAAGTTGCCTCCCGAGACGACGAGAATCTTGGACTGGCGGTACCGTTCCTGGTTGAGGATAAAGTCGGGTTTCTCAGAACCATCGTCGTTGTATCGGAGCGACGAAAAGAGGGCCGTGCCGAGACCGGTGCGCTTGATCGTCTTAAGGAAACGAGCGGGGATGATCAAATCGGTGTCGATGTTGGCACGTTCAAGAGGAGCGGCGATGCCCTTGTAGACGGTGAAGGCGGGGATGCCCGCAGCGGTACCCGCGGCGGGAGCCGAGGGCTTCGGGGAACCATCGGACTGGGCGAGACCGTCATCGGCAGCGTCGGTGGTTTGCACCTCGTTGTCGGGCTTGTCGCCCGAGGTCGGTGCGGTAACGACGACCGGTTTCGGGCTCGTCGATCGACCGTTGGGGGCGTACTTGCGAGCATCGACGAGATGCCCAGCAATGGCGGCAGCGGCGGCCATGACGGGTGACATGAGATGTGTGCGACCACCGGGGCCTTGACGACCCTCGAAATTGCGGTTCGAAGTCGAAGCGCAGCGCTGTCCGGGCTCGAGCATGTCGGGGTTCATGCCCAAGCACATCGAGCAACCGGCCTCACGCCAATCAAACCCGGCGTCAATGAAGATGCGGTCCAAGCCTTCGGCCTGGGCCTGCGACTTGACCAGACCCGAACCGGGCACGACCATGGCGTAGACGCCATCGGCGACCTGGCGACCCTCGGCGATGGCAGCGGCGGCGCGAAGATCCTCAATACGGGAGTTGGTGCACGAGCCGATGAAGGCGTTGGTGATTTTGATATCCTCAATCTTCATGCCGGCCTCGAGGCCCATGTACTTGAGAGCGCGTTCGACTTGGCCGCGCTTCTCGGGGTTCGCCGCGTCCTTGGGGTCGGGAACGTTGCCGGTGACGGGAGCAACGTCTTGCGGCGACGTACCCCACGAAACGGTCGGGGCGATGTCATCTGACGAGATCTTGACGACCTTGTCCCACTTGGCGCCTTCGTCGGACTTGAGCGTTTTCCAAAAAGCAAGGGCAGCGTCCCAGTCGGCACCCTTGGGCGCCAGAGGTCGACCCTCGAGATACTTGAAGGTCTTCTCGTCAGGCGCGACCATACCCGCACGAGCACCACCCTCGATCGACATGTTGCATAGCGTGAGACGGCCTTCAATGGAAAGCGACTCAATCGTCGTACCGCAAAACTCCATGACACTACCCGTTCCACCCGCGGTGCCGATCGTGCCGATGATGTGGAGCGCGACGTCCTTGGCCGTCACGCCGGGGGCAAGAGGGCCATCGACCTGGATGCGCATGTTCTTGGATCGCTTTTGGCCGACGGTCTGAGTCGCAAGGACGTGCTCGACCTCGGAGGTACCGATACCGAACGCAAGAGCACCGAAAGCTCCGTGGGTCGAGGTGTGTGAGTCACCGCAGACGATCGTCGCTCCGGGCAGAGTGAAGCCTTGTTCGGGGCCAATGACCTGAGTGCAATGATGCAGAGCATGAGCAGTGTCAGTAATCCGCGATACTAGCGTTCTGAGATAATCCGTAGGTAGCACACTCACGTGAACAATACCTTGTCGCTTGTCGGTCATGCTGAGGATCACGAGGAAAAGAAAAAACAGGGGGTGAGCTCGATAGATCGGCAAAGTGGGCCTGACGACGTAAGTGAGAAGATTGCTGACCCGAAAAAGTTCAATCCTAGTTTCTTGACGTTCTCCTCGAGGGTGACGACTTGTGTCCGTGAATCGGACCTGTGGATCGAATGAGCCGGGGTCAACTCCTTGCTCACGAGGGCGGACTATGCGATCGCTGAACTGACTCCTTGATGAACGAAGACGAGTCGGTAAACTGTTTTCTACTCGAGGTCGGGATATTGTGGTCGACGGTGGCGAGGGTGCAGTCGATGCGGCGCACATTTCGGCCGGCGTTGCGAAGGCCTTCGAAAGCTTGTGGCGAAGTCACCTCGTGGACGATGTGCCTGTGGTGCGAAAGACGAGCCAGGTAGGTGGGAAGGACGTCAGTCAGCAGTGCAGGTCAATGGAAGCGGCCCCTGTTCGGCTTCAAGGGCATCTTGAGCCATCGCGATGACGTGTCAGAAATCACATAGCTCCTTCCAGGTGTCGAACCCGACGCCGGCGTCGATGCCGAACTTTGGCGAGTGGACTTTTTGTCCGCGTGGTTGAGGCACTCACCGATCAATGTAGAGGGTGGCTGTTCCGTCGTCTCCCATACGGACGACATGTTCATCAAAGACCTGTGGGGCGTGGTTGTAGATACTACAGATCAGCTCTGGTGCCTGAGGGAAGCAAAGTGGGGAGCCCTGTCCGCTCTTCCCCCACGCTGAGCCCCACGCTGAGCTGCAGCGTCATTCCTGGCCGAGTCTCTCACCTTGTCGTAAAGCGTGCGAGGGCCAGACTGCAGGAGGTGTAAATGCGTAGTCAGTACAGGTACGAGCATGGCTCGGAGTGGTTTGGACGTACTTGAGAAGCCATCGTGATGACAAGTGTTGCTAGGTGTGGAGGTAAAGAAGAGCAGGGAAAGCCACACGGGCCGCGTCGAGGTCGTCCGGTCTCGATCGGAGTTAGCGCTCGGTCGACGCGTTCGGGCTTTTCGGACGGTTCAAACGGCGTACACGCGCTCTACACAGCCCCGCAATGAACGTTTTTTGGGAGGTTTAACATTCGTTTGACTCGCCCGGTCGCTGGCTTGAGTCATCCTAGTGCACAACATTGTTTTTTGGAGGGTTTCGGACGACTGGCCCCCCTCAGCTGTATGCCGGCCGCGGGATGCCGAAACACGCGACAAACGTCGCTCTTTCTTCGCATCAAATAATAAGGCTCATTTCTCACCTCTTTCCAGTGTATACACTACTGTAAGACTCCAATTTTATAACGCGTTCTTAGCGCCTCAGTCGACGCCACGGTCGGCCCCAGCTACCGACAATTTGACCCCTATGGTGCCGCCGGCGGGTCCAGCGTTTTGAGGATGCGAGCGGGCGTTCCACCGATCACGCAGTTGTCCGGAAACGTTCCCCGGACCTGGTAAATGCAGTCGGTTTAAGTTGTGGTTTGGTTCAGCATCAGCATCGACATGTGCAACCCAGCTGACATATCCAAAACCTGAAGCGCAAATGTTTCCCCCGAGTCCAACTTACGACGGCCCCAGCAGTGACCGTACATCCATTACCGATGGTGCAGGGCCCAATCAATACTGCACTCCCACCGATCCAGCAATCATCCCCCACCGTTACGGGGTAAGCCCGCTCGAGACCCGCTTGGCGCTCGGCGACGTCGACAGAGTGAGTCGCGGCGTAGACTTGAACGTTCGGAGCGACGATGACCCGTTCGCCCCACGTCACTTCGGCGCAGTCGAGGATCGTCAGTCCGAAGTTGGAGTAGAACTGGGGGTGTAGGGTCAATTGAAACGTGGGGGGAGTTATTTTAATGAGAAGGGAACAGCGCGGGAAAGGCATGGAAGGAACCTCGGTAGACGTTCGCTCACCTCGCCCTTGAACTTGATGTTGCATCCGTAGTCGCAGTAGAAAGGAGGCTCGATAGCAATTTTCTTCATCTTTTCGAGTGGGATTTGGAACAGCTCGGCCAAAATGGACCACCGCGAGTCGGGTCCTGCGCAGGCGCGGCACGAGAGCAATCATCGAGAGTCAGTCTTCGACTCCTGGCCTCAGAAAGAGTATCCAACCCCTGCAAAGAGAAAGGAACCAAGGAGAGTGCCGCAATTCTCACCGAAATACTCTGCGCCGTTCATCCCTTTGACGTAAGTAGCGGGTGGATGATGGTTGTAAGCCTGCGCGAGAGGTGAAGTCAATTGCCCGAGGTGGGGCCCCATCAACATCCGGCCACGACTATCTCACCTAGGCGGCGCCGGCCTTAAAAGCTCATAAAGCCATATGTCGGTCCGGTACCATAAGGGTCGCTCACATGCAATAGATGACGAGCATTCAGTCGTCCTGCAAGTAGACCTTGGTCTTGCATCGAATCGTAACTGTCGCATTGGAGAGAGACTTGGGTAAGCGACATCCGGATGAACTCGACCGAGCTGACGTGGGTTCGCCCGGTGCCCGCCGGCCCCACCGCGATGCACAGGGAGGCTGAGATGCCCTGTGAATCGGCATGGCACAGCAATACACAACTCACGCTTCACCAGCCAACATTTTCTTCCTCTCGATCAACGCCCGTTCTGCAGCGGCAGCATCTTCCGCGGAGTCCGACGAGGCTTTTGAATTCGTCGCCGCGGCTGGGATCTGCGATTGAGGTTGGAGCGTTTGGGGCAGCATTGTCCTTTGGCGAGAGGTTTCTACGTGCTTCGGCACTTTGGACAGAGGTCAGAAGCTGTGTAAGAAGAGGAGAAGGAGGTTGACACTCTCCTCCCCGACCCCTGACAATTGACCGGCGGTGCCAGCAGGTGCCACGGCCGAAGACGACGGACGAGTTTAGCCGTTGAATTGATTGGCTTGGCACACGGCACCAGTGTGGCAGCACCGCCCGCGGAGACCACGTAGCATGAAGAACCGACATTCATCCTGGCACGGATAAACCTTTGAAAGCCTGTTGTAAGTTTTCGTCCACCCCATCGTACCCTTTATAGGCGCGTATTTCGCAAGCCTGTGAAGTTTGAGTCCCTTCCAATCCTTGTCTAGTCCTCCGAGAATTGGGCAAAGATTGCACCGAAGACACCGGGCACCGGCAGACCCGGTTTACTCTCCGACTGAATAGATTAGGCAAGTTGCTTGACCTCGGCAGGTATATTCAAAGACAAAAAACTGGAAATGGACCTTAAACTTGACATCCGGCAGTTATCTAGTCGCTCCAGCAAGCTTTTCCATCAGGCGACTTTCATCAAGGGCTCTGGTTCGTCGAATAAGGAGCCGGTAAATAAATTGAGCAAGACATGGCAACATATCCTGGTTGGTGTGGGTATATCTCACGCCCGATTGAAACAGGCTTCCGCTGACCCGCATTGCTATAGCTCCGATAATCGAGAAAGTCTACGGTCCTGCCACTTTTCGCAGGAACCTCTGTTCGCAAGCAAACTAATGAAAGAAGTGCTTGGGGGTCTCGTGAGCTGCAAGCACGAGGATTCGAAAGGGACACAACTACTCACTCTTCTTACTGAAGCGCGCTCCAGCGGCTTAGTGGCCTTGGGCTGCATGAGTCATACACCTTGAACGGGGCCGCAAACCCTCGAAAATGCACAGCCGTTCTCGGACCTTTTGACGTGGATTCGTCGGATCCAGCGCAAGTTCGCAGGTGTGAAGGTGGCTTCCGAAGTCCGACGTTACAAACCCAACCGGCCGAGTATATACTACGAATCGGAGACCCCCATCCATCCCATTCTATCCGCGGAACGGAGGCGGGGGCGGTGGTGTCTGACTCGCGAACCCAAACGAGTCCAAGCTCATCTGACCTTTCCCCGGACCAGGTTTGTAAGGCGACGAAGTCGTGGTATTCCAAGGGGAGACGATCGGGGCAGGGCCGAACGTACCATCATTCATGACTGGTCGTTTTCCGTTGGTAACAGCTGAAGTCCAAAGTTGAGAAAGGAGGGATTCGAGTAGTTCGGGTGTCATGGCGTTCGAGGGAGGTAAAGGACGGAGGATCATGAGGCTGTCAAAGCCTTCGTTGGGGTGGGGTTCTTGCCATTGTTTGAGAAATTGGTTCAAGAGCCGAATACCGAGTTGGGCATCTTTGATCGTCGGGTGATCTTGGCGGTACATGAGACGTGATTTGCAATCCTAGTCGACGACGTGAACCCCCCCACATCAGCAGAGCGACCGCCACCTGAGATCCCATTCGAGCCGACTGACCTCCAAACTGGTTCCCATAACCCAAGCCCCGACTCTAACCCCTTTGAACTCCCTCGCTAATTGCACCCAAACCTTTCTCTGCGCCCGATCAAAGTTCTGCCGATCGATCAACACATTATGCCCCCTCGCCAACGCCGAACGAGCAATCGCTTCGCACGTCCTTCGATCGCCCGATTCATCTTGGTTCACTCGGACCCATTGACGACGTGTGGTGGTTGGGGGAAGAAGCTGGACGAGGGAGGTGGAAAGGGTCGATTTGCCGGATCCTATGAGGCCGCAGAGGACGATCAGTTCTTGAGGCGGGAGTGTGGGGGGGAGGTTCGGTTGGAGTGACGAGGATGAGGAGGGTGAATGTGCACCGTTCGAGGTGATGGATGGGATGGCAGGTGACGGACGATCCATCTTGGAGGAATGTGTGAAGTACACCGGTGATTTGGGGTGTGACGCGGACTTGGGATGGACGTGGGCAAGAGCCAAGAGAGCCAAGGTTCGAACGTGCCGGCAAACTGCCCGGGCAACAGGCAAATCGGTTCGGTGCCCACTCCGACCCTACCACTCCGAGTATGTAGTAGCGGAAAATCGACAATCCGTGTGGAGCCTTCAACAGGGGCCAAGACGTGAGAACACTTCAAGAATACTTCAAGCAACTCTCTCAAAACACATAGCGGCATGTTACTAGTATTGACGGCATCGCTATCGCATCCCAACAGCTTTTTCGAGATCGGCAAACGCCGACGACCGCGACGGACCATCCCGACGGCGTCTGTAAGCATCATCCTCGTCATCATCTTCCCGTCTCCTTCTCCTGTCATCATATGCACCACGGTCACGGTCACGCTCGCGATCATCGTCCCTTCTCCTCCTGGATCCGTCGCCATAACCATCCCTGGCCCTGCCTGCGCCACGCTCGCGGTCCCGATCCCGACCCCGATCCGAGTAAGGCTCTGCCCTCCGCCTCTTGTCCTCCTCTCGACTGCTCCTATGCCCATCCTCGATCCTTCTCTCGCCCCTCCCAGCATCATCTCTCCTCTCCCTCCCTTCCTTCTCACTCCTCCTCGTCGATGTGTCCTCCCCCCTTCTCTTCCCCTCCTTTCTCCTGGCCCGTTCGTCCTTGATCCTCCTCTTCTCCTCCCTCCTCTTCCTCCTCTCTTCCTTACTCTCTCCCTCATGTTTCGATTTCGAAGATTTGCTAGATTTCTTCCCCTTGGCTCGGGCTTGTTGGATGAGATAGTCCCTCATGGGGTCGTCGGGGTCGATAGAAGGGTGGGACGAATCCGAATCGGACGCGGCTTCGTCGTCGGTATCTGCTTTCGGTGGGGCCCAGTGTCGATCTGGGTGAGCAGCCAGGCTGAACAAATGCATCGAAAGAAAAAGAAGAAAAAAGAAAGCTCGTCAGCAACCCCCGAACGAAGCAGCGCAGAAAGCATAGAAACGCATCCGTTCCGTAAACTGACCTCTGTTGCTCTCGTTCCTTCATCTTTCCGGTCTCCTCATCCCTCTCCAATTGCTTGTAATTCAACACGTGATCGACCCTCAAAGTTCTTTCCAACACTTTGGCTCCTCCCAAGTTATCGACGGCGAGTACGGTCGAACGTTGGTCGGCGTACATGAGGAAGGCGAACCCGCGCGGTTTTTGGGTCGCGGGGTCACGGGGCATGGATATGTCGACTATTTCACCGTATCTGTGGGAACGGGGGAGCACGTCAGTCTGGGAAAAGACCTTTTTTATGTGGAGGGGTGACTTGCTGTGAGAAGATGGTGATGACGTCGCCTTCGGTTAATTGGAAGGGGAGACCGCCGACGTAGATGTAGGCCGAGTCTTTGTACTGTGGATTTGGCAGGGCCAGGGTGCAGAGAGTCAGTTCAGTTCCAAATTCACAACTTTCGAATGCTTCGCTGACGTACTTGATCGTGCCATGAACCTGCCTCGCCCAAGTCGAGCTGCTTGGCATTGATGCGCTTGATCTCCTGTGCGGAAGAAGGGAAAGGAGGATACAGTTGGCATTGGCTTGTCGACTACGTTGAGGTACACGGTTGACTCGCCTGTATTGTGTTCATCCCGAGAGGCGAGTTTGACCCCAAGCGTGGGCTGATGTGAAACGAAAGAGGCCAAACCCCGGCAGGAGCGTAACTAAGCGCGACGGGCCAAGTGTCACACGTCAGACGGCCGCCGTGCCCGGGGACATTTGTTTCCTGACTTTGTGCGTGTTGGGGTGCACTTTTAAGCAGTTTTAAGACCACTTTTTAGGGAAATCCTCAGCCATTCTGAAAGTCTCCCTAAGAGTGCTTAAAAGTGGCGTGTACGGTTGCGTCGCTAAAAGTCCCTGAAAGTGACCTTTAGGGGACCATTCCTTAAAAGTGGTCCGAGGGCACTTATAGCACTTTTAGGGACGCACTCCGAGCTTCGACCCGCTTAAAAAAAAAAGGCCGGCGGGGCGCCTGGGACGCGCTCGGACCGCTCAAGCTGGCCTCGGTTGCAGCATTGGATCACGGGCGCGTCGGTTGGCCTTCGTCGCATCACGTCGTGCGCTGTCGACCATGGCCAAGAAATCCGCCTTATCACACTCAGCAAGCGACGACGACAGCGAGAACCACACCGAGCACACCGCTCATTCGAACACTCTGCGCAAAAAGAACAAGAGCAAACAGGCAAGAGCAAGAGCAAGAGCAAGTCGAGAGGGACGCGAACGGAGAACTGGTCCGTTGCGCAGACCACATTTTTTTGGTCCACCTCTATGGCAACAAAATGCTGTTCCCCGAGCTTCCTCTGAAGTTTCCGGCCTGGAACATCACTTTCGCTGCGTGGTGAAGCAACACCCCGAGGGCAAAGAGAACTGTAGCCGAGACCAAGTGAAAGCTCTCTGGTTCAAGGTGAGCCGTGTGGCGACGTGAAGAGACGCGTCGCCAGTGACCGCATCCGTCCGTCATGTACTTCAACTAACCCTGTCGTTCTCTGGTTTTGTAGAAAAGACACAGAAAATGACGAGACGTTTCAATAGATTGCATCTCACGGGCGGTGGGTGGGACCACGTGCTCCATCGACCGGCATACTCGGACGAACGATGGGCTGCCGTGGGTCCGAATGGCCCTGACCCTGCCCCAGCTCCCGTCAATTTGGACGCACTGATAAACGCGTGTACGAATGATGTACTTCATCAGCTCGAGGAAAGGACCCGGAGTGGAGTCAGGTGCACTCAGGCTCGTTTCCGTGGTACTGGGACGCAACAAAGATCATTGGTATCAGCTACGCTCGCGGCACCGACATCACCGACATCAACACGCTATTCAACCCCGGGAAGAAGACCGCTTCCTCATCAAAGAAACGAGCGCACTCACCACAATCTGAGCAGTCTGTAGCAGACCTAGGCCAAGACGCGGAAAGCGAAGGCGAAGACTCACCAGGCCCTTCGCTCGCCCGACTGGGCGTGCAGGACTTGTCGCGTCCCTTCTGGTCACCCTCGCCTGCTGCTGGCGCGCAGGCTCGTGTGCACGTGAGTACCTATTGCCAGGAGCTCTCCCCACGTCGCAACCCGGGAATATACATCAAGTATGTGGCCTGTGATGTTCTGCGCCACTGATCCGTTCGCATTATGCCCCGTAGACAAAGGCCGCCTTCGCTTCGCTGCTGAAACCGCTCGACCCGTGCCAGTCTTCGGAATCGGCTATGAGCAGCAGCAACGGTGGGAGCAAGGCAAAGCGCGAGATCCGTGGAAACCGCGAGCGATTTACCTACTTTCAAGACGATCCAATGCTCAAAGACGCCGTAGCCAATCTCGCCGGCCTTCAGAACGCCACCACATCAGAGAGGCTGTCCCACTTCTCGAAACTAGTGGGCACACTCAGCCTAGAAGCAGACGATGTTCCCCTGCTAGCCGATCATGCTCTTCTCACGCCGACTCCGCAAGACATCCAGAAGGTGCTACTCCTGGCTGCCGCGGGAGTGTTGATTGATCTCCGCGTCAGGCAAATGATCAATCGCCTCTCATTTCAACCGGTATCGTCGAGCAACGCGCTGCCGAGCCACGAGGCGCCGCAGTTCCCACTCCCCCCGATTCGCTTTAAACCCGGAATCAACCGTACATATTCTCCCTCGACGTCTATGCCCGGCGCGGCCCCTCTTTACGGCAACTGGTCCACTACCTACTCTGGCAGTCCCGCAAGCGACGGTCAATGTTCTGAGAGATCCGACGGATGCCTGCCCTCGCCTTTTGGTCTATCGGGTTGATCATGCTGCATCAACCGTGGCAAGCTCAACATCCACTTCACTTGCTCTATCAGATGTATTTTGAATGTTTAATTCGTAGTGGTCATCGTTGCAATACACTCTGAATGTGAGGAACAAGCCGAATCAATTCCCTCTGGTCCATAGCAAGTAGAGCTCCCTGAGTTCCGCTCTCCGTGACGATCGCTCATCTGGCGCGTGTGCAGCCAGTCGGCGGGCCTCCGCTTTGTATGTAAGTCTGTCAATCCGCTCGGTGATGTTGTTGAAGAGTCCATAACGAAGATCAGGCCGGTTCGGACCGAAATTTGCCGAGGCAAGGGCGGGTTTCGTCTTTCTTTGGCCGTTTCGTCGAGGAGACGGCGTTGCAGACGCCATTCAGTATACTTCTGCAGTATGTACGCTGCCGATTCGACAGCAGAGTCTATCTGCTCGTCGGATAGCGACTGGAGGGGTGTATCCATGACTTTGAGATGTTCGCATGCAGGGATGCGCATGACAGAAGCAAGACACGCGTCTCCAAGTTGTGCAGGGTGTTGCGCTTCGAATTTCGACAACCCATGCCAGGTTCAAACACGTGACCTGAACTCGTCCGGTGAGCTCTCGCCCGTCAGATCGTTCCCGGCCTCCGCATCTTAAAAGTGTTTCCTAAAAGTGAGGTGTTCGGCTGCTAAAAGTGGACCTTAACCGCGGCGCGCGCCTCTTTCAGCTAAAAGTGAGAAGGTCCTAAAAGAACTTTTCCAGCCGAACACGTCCTTTTTTATCGTTGCGACGTGCAGCGATGAGGATCGATACGGCCATGCACGCCACTCCACCACCATCAGAAGTAGCGCCAATAGCTTCGACCTCGACGGCTCATACTCTGACCCACGCCCAACCACCTACTCGTGTGACGCCGTCGCCGTCCTCCTCGTCATCATCCACCACTCGTCGACGCGTCGCTCCATCGTCCCACGATCCTCATTCCTCCCCTACGCGTCTTCGGGCCGTAGCCTCAGCGCCGAACGGGGATCCTTCTACCGGCCCTAGTTATCAGCTCAAGTACACGCTCCGAGGACACACCAAGCCCATCTCGGTCGTGCAATTCTCACCGGACGGGAAAGCGTTTGCGACGGCCAGTAAGTTCGACCGCGGAAGGCTCAACTTGAAACTCGTCTGAGCCTCCTTCAGCCCTAATCCTCTCCCCAATCCCAATCCCAATCCCGAACCCCCAGGCTCCGACACTTGCATCCATCTCCATCGTCTTCCCCACTTTCCCCTCGTCCGAACCCTCGACTCTCACACCAAGGGTATCTCCCACCTAAGTTTCTCCTTCGACTCGCGCTACCTCGCCTCCACCTCCGACGACAAGACCGTTCGCATATGGGACCTCACAGCACCTTATACCTCTGATACGCCTTCCTTGGTCGGCAAGAGGAGCTTGGAGCAAAGGCACGAAGCGAGTCAGAGGGTTCTCCATGGTCATTTGAGCGCCGTGTTTTGTGTCGCTTGGAATCCGAGGGGGGATCTAGTCGCGAGTGGGGGCATGGATGAGACCGTGAGGGTGTGGGATGTACAAAAGGGTCAGTCCTAAGTCTTCTGGGACGAAATTCGGTTGGAGGCGATGCAGAACAGCTGGCGGAAACGAAAAACCTAACTTGCTTCCGGTCTACAGGCACCTGTATGAAAGTCCTGCCCGCACATTCCGATCCCGTCAGTTCGGTCCAGTTCAATCGAGACGGCACCATCATCGTCAGCTGTTCGTGGGATGGATACATGTGAGCTGTTCGGCGAGGCTATGGGCGAACGCTCGCGCACCCGTTGGGAAACTGTCCAGCTCACGTGACCACCCCTCACCTCGTGATCCGCGCCCACAGTCGTATCTGGGATACAGCCACGGGACAATGTCTCAAAACGCTCGTCAATGACGATAATACACCCGTGTACGTAACTCAACCGACCCTGCAAGACTAAACTACTCTTCCCCAACTAACACCTTCCTACTACTCCAGTTCGCACGTCTGCTTCACCCCGAACGCCAAATTCATCTTCACCTCGACGTTGGATTCCCAAATCCGACTCTGGGATTATCAGAACGATTTGACGCTCAAGAACTATGCGGGGCATGTCAACAGGAAGTACGTCGACAACCTGCTCCAAGGTGGCTGGCTGCGTGCGGAAGGAGAAGCAAGCTCTAAAACTGACATGCTTTTGCGTTTGGACCCTCCCCCCCCCCCCCTCCCCCTTCCTGCCCAGGTATTGCATTCCCATGGTGCTCGACTCAACTGGACGCTGCATCATCACCGGATCGGAAGATCATCGTGTCCTGATCTGGGATCTACAAACGAGAAAAGTCGTGCAAACTTGGGAAGCGCATCAAGGTGGAAACCCTTTCATTCATTGTCTTTCCGCGAAAAGCCAAGAATAGGGATCGCTGATGCTTTGCCTTTGTGGGGGAGGTGTTTTTTATACTTAGATGTGGTGATTTGCGTCGCCAGTCATCCTAGTTTCAAGATGCTCGCAAGTGCCGGATTGGAGAAAGTGAGTTGCGCAGTTCGCCGGCGACATAAGCGCATGTTTTTTCAAATTGACTGAGTGCCATTTATTGCCAAACTTACAGGACCCCACGATCAAGATTTGGGTGGATGGGGAAGGGATGGTGAATGAGGAGCAGGAGCAGGAGCAGGAGCAGGAGCAGGAGCAAGAAGTAGAGGAGCAACAAGAGCACCAAGAAGAAGAGGCGTACGAGGAAGATGATGAGTACGACGAGGACGAGGACGAGAGGGATACCGAACTCGTTTCACCACCACCTCCCAAAGTACAACAGACGATGATCGAGGGTTCGCAAGAGGATAAAGACGAAGAAATGGCGGACGCTCCAACGATCCGACCGGCTGCGACGTCTTCTTGATCTTCTTCAGGAGCCAGTAGTTCACTCACGCTGATGTAGACCCCGATGAAGCAAGGCATCGTAGAAAATGGGAGAATTACAACAAAAGCCTTCCAAACGAACACATCCAGAAACACGCATCTAGAAGAAACTCGCCTCCTTGATCCCCCTCCTCGAATCCTGCTTCATCTTGCTCCCCTTCTGCCTCCCCAACACATTCGCCGTAACAGGTTTCTTACCGTGGTGGCGTCGTTCGGTAGATGATTTTTGTTTCTTCAGGGAAGAGGTGACTATGGATGAGACGTCGGGTGTTTCGCGTGGGATCCGACGCGCTGAGGGTCGGTGTTGGCGGTGATTCGGCAGGTCGGATTCGGATGCCGAGTTGGATTCGCCTTCCGATTCTTCGCCGTCGACTTCGTCCCGCTCTTCAACATCCCCCTCGCCCTCTTCTTGCCCGTCCTCTTCTCCCTCCTTTTCATCTTTCAAGCTCAACCCGGCCACTTCCAATTCCTCCTCCTCCTCGTCCTCACTCCCCTCCCCATCCTCATCCTCGCTCTCACTACCCTCCAACCCTTCCTGCCCCTCCCGTTCCCTCAACTCATCCAAATACCCCTGCAACACTTCCCTATCGCCCTTTGTGAATCCACTCGCAGCAACCTCGACGTCCAAATCGAATTCCCTCGCTCCCTCACTCATGATCGTCGAGAACCTCGGATAAAGTGCCGATTCGTACTTGAACCTACGGAGGAAGAACGTGCGGATGCAAGAAACGTCGCGATTGAAATAACTGCGTGGGGGGAATGTGGGGCCGGAAGATGAGTACCCAACAGCCAAAGAAGCGCGCAAGTTTGAATCGTGGTTTGGGTGAGATAAGAACTGGGTGAGATAAGAACTAACTATTCGGCATCGGTATGATCGATCGATACCATCTGAGGGAAATCGATCAAAACCGGTTCGACCAAAACCCCCTTCCTCCTCATCTCACTCATCGTCTCCCCCTCCCCCTCCCACTCCAAAACATCAACGATCACGGGGAAATCCCCGCCTTCCCTTTCGATCCTTTCGATTCGTTCTTGCGCACTTTCGTCATCACGTTCTTTCTCGGCTTGGGTACGGTGATCACGGATGAGGATGTTGAATTCGTTGAAATCGCCGTGGATGAGACCCGATTTGGCGAGGCGAACGATCAGGTCCATCAATTGGGAATAGAGGGTTCCGGGAGAGGGGAGGGAGGCGATTTGGCGTCTTTTCGAATGGAAAGGGGGCTTAATAAGCCTCTGATTGAAAGATTCGGGCGAGACGATCGTTTACTCACAGTGGGAAGGCATCGATGAGTTCCATGATGAGACAATGACGGGATTGGTCGATCGGCGAAGGGACGGGGAACCCATGTTCGTGCAAGACCTATCGGACCCCCCACGAGGCCCACAAGAATTTGATCAGTCCAACGATCGCTCGACTGCGCTTGAGGGTTGAAGGATCGATGACTGGAAAAATAAAATAAGAAAAACGAACCTTCATGAAAGCAAATTCCTTGATCGCGGCCAAACGGGACATGTACATCCATGAAGCCGATTGCCCCTTTCTCAAATAGTCACGTTTGGATTTGATTGTTCGGAAGGAGAGACGACCCAAGCTGTAGAGGGATCGGACTCAGATGCTGAGCTGGGTTTGAGGGGTCGGGGGATGAAGACTGACCGATGAATCTTCATGACCATTTGTGCGCCATCGTCATCCGCTACGACGTAGATGTCTGTATTCACCGCATAGAGTAAGATCAGTGAAACAGCTCACGATAAAGTGGCTGCTGAACCGAGAAAGGTATCTTACCGCTCTCCTTTCCGGTGCCGATCTGATTCCCGACCGAATAAATGGTGCCTCGTTTCGCAAAGGTGCGGCAGGCCAAAAAGTCGTACCCACCGTAGGTGAGACGATATCCTTCGTCTGACCAAGTATCAAACCCATCCACGAGGCGGTCAGCGCTCTCAGGTGCTCTCTCTCTCGATGATTCGCCGTCCTCCTAGCGATGCAAGGTAACCTACATTTCGCATTCTGAATCTTGCCGACCAATTTCCTCTTACTCAATTCGCCCAGAGCTTTATTCACACCCCCCGAACGAGCACCCGAAATCTGAGCGATCAACGACGTCGGTACGAGTTCATGGTTCTTGCTTCCTTGTTCGACCTGACCCACGAAACGGAGGAGGGAGGGAGGGCTTTAGGTGCGGAGGGAAAGGGGGACGTGTACGTGTGCGGGGTCGGCTTACGGCTGATAAGACTCGGAAAGCATCGGCGGAGATGTAGCGCAGGTCGGTGGCGTCCAACTTCATCGTGGAGCAGAGCGGGCGCGGGCGCGACTTCGCAAGCGGGCCTTGGATCGAGATGGGCTGCTGTTGCAGAGACTTGTGCTCGGTGGGTGGAAGTGGAGGTGGCTTTGGTGTGATCTGCGGTAGGGGGGTGTTGACTTGCTTTTGTCTCGAAAAGTTGCCAACGAAACGGTTGATGAAAGCGAAAGAGAGAGTCGAGATGAGCTTGGCCTTCGCAACTGCGCCTCGTGCAGCCTCAGCCTCATACTCTCTCGTGCTGTCCGATCACGCGCTCGGCTTTGGAGGCGCTCTCGGCGATTTTTTTTTTTTTTTTCAGAGCGCAAGAAATCAAACTCGATCACGAGTTGACCATTTTAGGAATTGTTACATGTTTTTTATTTTTTCATACGTTTTACACCCCAGCCTCCCCGTCCCCTACCGTTCAAGTTCAAGCGGAGGATTCTGTCGCCTCCTCCGGGCCCGACCCCGGCACGAGCATGCACACGTTGTTGCCGTTCAACAAGGTCGATCCGGTCAGTTTGGTCGCGATGCGTTCGCCTGTTGGTGTGGTTTCACTGTTGTGATCAAGGACAGAGGAATTAGCACAGGTTTGGGTGGGTGCCAGAGGGTGGGTGAGGTGAAGCGATTCCTGGGTGGGGAGCGTACTATTCGGTAACATCGTCCAGAACCATGTCTGTCAACACGATGATCAGTGCGAGTGGCCTTTTCTCCCTCGAGTGGTGCCGGTGCACTCACTAACGTAGTCATCAAAGCCCAGTAAAGTGCCCGTAAACTCTCGTTCTATCCTCGTCCCCACCGGAGCAGAGTCGACTGATCAGCTCAAGACAGCGCATACGTTTTATCGAGCGACGGTGAGCTCTGACCTGTCTTCATGATGACCCAGATCTTGGACCCGATCGCCTTGTCGATCAGTTCCAACGGCAACGTCGTCGAGCTCATCGTCGTCAACGGTGTACGGAGGAGAGAGGCTGTACTCTCAGATCAGGAGGGCGTCAGCTTTGCAATACAGTGCAGCCTCACTTGAAAGGGTCTCTTACGTGATCGTGCTGTGTGGGCAGACGTGCGAGTGTACGCAAGAGATAGGGCAAGCTGCCTGGTGTCGAAAACAGCGCGTCACCGGTCTATTACTGCAATTGCTCATCACAAACAGCTACAAACTCGCAGACGAAGCCACAAACCCAGACTGGCGCGTTCGTGGCTTCCAAGCTGGCGACTGCCCCGAAGAGTCACGCCCGTCACGCCCCAACACGCACACATTGAAGGTGTTCACATGATCCCGTGATCGACGCCCTGGTTCCGAGAACGATGCGATGCAGGTGTGAGCCTACCCGTCTCGTACTCGCCCCCGCTCGAACACGAGCACGAGCACGACGATCTGTGGTTTCTCCCCACTCCGTCACGACCGCGCTCGCTTCCCCACTATGGACGAGCGGTCGCTCACCCACCGTCACGGCGACGACGACGACGACGACGACGACGACGACGACGCGACGAGCTACGACCGCGTTCGGGACTGCACCCAGCCCCGTTTCGAGTAGGCGTTTGAGTACGGTCCAACAGTTCAGGACCGCGAATGGGAATATCAAGGTTGACCTCGTGAGTCGGAGAAAGCTTCTTGCGCCGCGGACGACGGGCCACATGAGATGAAGACGGACATCCCGAGGCGTGAAAGGTGGCGTGGGCTTCGAGGGGCTGCAAGGTCGGACCAAATCGTACATCCAGAACAATCCGGTCGAACGTACACGGTGGCGACACTCGATGGGCCCCCTCCGCGAGACCAGAGCTCGCCTCACCCTCGCCTCGCCTCGCCTCGCCTCCCCCACGTCCCGCTTGGACTAACCTCGACCATGCGCATGCTCTGACCGGAGCAGCAAACCCGGTCCTTCATCTCTCATGAGCTGATCAACTTCTCTTCGTCTCCCCTCCTCCTTCGCCGTCATCAGAAAAACAAGCACACGATCGGCATCGCCCAGTCCCGAGGAGAAAGGCCGTACGTCCCCACGGAGAAACTCCCTCAGGACGTCGACCACCTCAAGTCCCCGGTACTCACATCATATCATTATTCTTCCGCGATCAGATACCAAGAAGATGCCTACTCGGTCGCTTCGTTGGGTCTACCGCAGCAGGCACTCAAGAGGAATTTACTCAATGTCAAACAAGGTCCGTTGCCGCAGTTCGGTACCGTGGTCAATCGAGTGGAGAGCAGACCTAATCCAGCCCATGTTCGACTGTTTCCCAGGTGCGGGCTGGAATAACGATACGTTGGAAGGATTCGCCAAGGAGAACGAGGAAGGGCAAGAACGGTTACGACAAGTCGCCTGCTTCGGAGTATTCGATGGGTAAGCTAACAGGCTGCGCAAACCCGTCCCAAAAAACCTCCCCGAAACCTGAACCCCTCCCCATCCACTTCACCTCCCGCAGCCACGGCGGCAATCAAGTCGCCAAGTACCTCGAAGCCCACCTCGCGAAACGTTTAGAAGACTGTTCCGTATCCGACATCACGCCGACCATATCCAAATACCGTGCACTAGGAGGTTATCTCCGTCGATACCGCGGTGGTATTCTAGATCGATTCCGACCCAACGCTGGGTCCAACATCATTGAGATTGATCCGAAAGCGAAAACACCTTCCGTCGAATCGACAACTGCAGTCACTGCGGCTGCGGCTGCGTTGGTGGATTCGAACGAACTCAAGTTGGGTTTGGACGATATGTGCGTTCTCACGTTCCTCATGATCGATAATGAGATCTTGGCGGACAAGACCAAAGCCAAAGTTGGATCCGTGGCCACAGTAGCCTTATTACATTCGCTCGACCTCCCCCACGCTCTACCTTTTTACGCCTCTCAACACCTCAGTCTCACCATCGCCCATTTAGGCGATACGCGCGCGATCCTCGCTTCCTCCTCCTCAGGTCGAGCCAAAGCGCTCACAGAAACCCACCACGCCGATTCGCGTATCGAATCCGAACGATTGCGTCAATCGGGAACGGGTCTCGTCACCGATTCGTTCGGTGAATCACGTTGGGGAGGTACGTTGGCGAACACGCGAGGTTTGGGCGATGGCGAATTCAAAACTTTGGGCGTGATAGGTGAACCGGAAGTTCATTCGATCGTTCTCAAAGCCGCCGAATGGAGTTTCCTCGTACTCGTTTCGGACGGAGTGACGGACGTCATGTCCGATCAAGAGATCGTTGATCTCGTACGTGGAGTCAAGGATCCACACGAAGCGGCGAAGAGGATCGTAGGCTTTGCGGAGGAAGTCGGCGCAGAGGATAATTTGACCTGTTTGGTGGTACCGCTTTTGGGATGGGGGAAGATGGGTGGCGTCGACGTGAGTGCTTCGAGGAGGGAGTATAGGTTGGGTCAAGCGCAAGGGACTAGTAGTCGGCAAAAGAGAATGTAGAGTTTGGGCCAAAGGGAGGCGATGTTTTTAGTTGGATTGGGTTGGATTGGGATTGGCTTAGATTGGATTTTGTCGGGTAGAGATGAGTGAAGTGGGATTCTGGAATTGCCAACAGTGTGCTATTAGATGATACGGGATGCTAGTGAGGAACGGGAGATGGTGAGATGGGAGGGAATGCAGAAATGCTCTAAAGACAGAAGATAATACATCTTTGGATTGGGAGAAGAGAAATGAGTGGTGCAAACAGACAAGCTGAGAGTAGGGGTTGATAAAAAGTTGATACAAACCGTGAAGAATGGAACAGATGCCTTGAGCTGAGGAGATGTGGTTGCGAGCGAACGAGTGGTGATGCGATGCTGACAATGCTGTGAGGCGACGACACCGAGTCGAATCAAACTCTTGATCAAAACTCAGCATCCGTCCTAAACTCATGCTCCTTCCTCCTCGAAGACCAACTCCCATCCGACCCTTCTCGGTTTCCGCCGAACCCGCTCAATTGGTACGACGAGACGCGGTTCTCGAAGAAATTGGCTTTGCGTTCGAGCGAGATGGATTCCATGAACTGTATCGTGGAGAGGCGTGGGAAGGCGTGGGGAGGATCAGTCGGATTGACCGGGGGCAGAAAGGTTTGTGAAGGAAAAGAGAACCTACGTCGAGTGAGTTGGGCGTGCCGTAGATTTTATCGAATCCGAGTGAGACGACCAAGCGATCGGCGACGAATTCAATGTACCTACATTCCAAACAATTCAGTAGCTGACCCAACGAACTCTCATCCTGCTCGCCGCCGGAACACTCACTTGCAAGCCAACCCCGAATTCATACCAATCAACGCCACAGGCAGAGCCTCGGTCAAGAACTCCTTCTCGATATCAACCGCCTCCTTCACGATCCGATGCACCAATCCTTGACCTGGTCTCTTGTTCAAATGACTGAACAAGAGGACGGCGAATTCGGTATGAAGACCTTCGTCGCGGGATATGAGCTCGTTGGAGAAACAGAGGCCGGGCATGAGGCCTCGTTTTTTGAGCCAAAAGATGGAGGCGAAGGAGCCTGAATTGAATGAAAGGAAAGGTCAGTCAACTCTCTGATCGGTTGAGGGAAGATTGACTTTGTCTTGCTCGGACCCACCAGAGAAGAAGATGCCCTCGACGCAAGCGAAAGCGATCAAGCGTTCAGCAAAGGTTGATTCCTGGTCCTCGATCCAACGTAATGCCCAATCTGCCTTTTTCTTGATGCAAGGCACTGTTAATTCGCCATTTCGAGGGTCAAGTCAGCCCAATCGCTCTCCTGCACTCCGAGAACGCTGTCCGAGGAAGGTGAGAAGACTGACCCGTCTCGATCGCATGGAACAAATGTTGCCTCTCGACAGGGTCCCGGATGTATGTGTCGATCAACAACGAGTACACTTCCGAGTGGACGTTCTCCCTATTTGAACAGACCGGCATCCAGATCAGCGATGCTACTTTCTCCGAAAAACTTGTCTCTGCGCTTTGAACTGACATCATGATCTGAAACCCATAAAAGCACCTCGCCTCGGCGAACTGCACCTCGCTCGAGAACCTCTCGACCAAATTCTCATTCACGACCCCATCCGAAGCGGCGAAGAAGGCGAGCACGTGGGCGATAAAGTAGCGTTCGTCGTTGTTGAGCTTGTGGTGCCAGTCGTGGAGGTCGTTGCCGAGATCGATCTCTTCGGCGGACCAAAAGGACGCTTGGGCTTGTTTGTACATGGCCCAGATCTGGGGTGATGAGCATGGAAGTCGGTAAGTACGCCGTGGTTCCCATACAGAGCATGTCGTTCTGGGCTGACCTCATGGTACTGTATCGGGAAGAGTACGAAGCGCGACGACGAAGCACTGTCGATCCGATCGGGACACGCCTGCCATCAGCTATTCCACTCCCAAACCCAAGCACCGCTCTGCAAGCAACTCACGCCAACAAAGGTTCGTCCTCATCATCCTTCTTGGTCAGCTTGCGCTCCTGGTCTCGCTCACCCTCCTCCCCCTGATCCCGATCTACTCCCTCTCGCTCTTGATCCTCCAAACTCAACCTCTGCAACTCCATCAAGCGCTCCTCACTCGCTCCGACTTCCTTCCCCTTCCCCTTCCCATCCCTCTTCCTAGGTGGTGTAGGCGAAGGCGTCAAAGGGTAGCTCTGACCCCTCGCGGAGGTCGAAGCGAGGTGCGCCTCGAGTGGCGTCGCTTCCTGATCGGGTTCGTCCTTGAACTGCGCTGGCGACGACGACGAAGTCGACTGCCATGTCCCCTTCCGTGGTGGTGTATGCGGTGGTGTATCGTACGTATACGTCGAGGCCATGATCGTCCTACTAGGGTCGGGGTCAGGGAGGCGGAGAGGGCGCTGCGAAGTTGAAAGTGAAGGAAGGCGGACCTGAAAGGATCGGATCTGAAAGGGGTAAATGACAGGCAGCGCGCCTCTCGCGAGCTCTCGCGAGCTCTCGCGCGGGAGGATCCATTAGCGATCGAGAAAATTAAACAAGCCGCGCGGACGGGTGAGGCCGGTGAGGCGTCGGTTCCTTTTTTGGGGGGGTTCCCCCCAGGGTTTCAGACCGAGGTTTTGGGGGGTGTAAAAGGGAAAACTTGCAAAACCGCGTTTCATCGTTCACGATCATCTCTCCTCGCGTTCATAGGGGTGAGGATGAATTCAAAAGCGCTAAAAAAATACATCCATCATCTTCTACACCCAATTCTAAAGAGCGCCCATGCCCTCCACGCTGAGACGCCCCTTTCCTCATCAATCCTTGACGTCGACATGCCCATAATCCTCCGTCTTCATATCGTTCAAACCCAACTCCTCATTTTGTTCGTGCGTGCGTTCATAAATCTCCACTGTCATATTCGGATCGTCGTCTGGTGCGTAAAGGTTTTGGATGTACGAGTTGGACAAGGGGTCGTCGAGTATGACGGTGAATTGCATGCGCGCTTCCATCACCTGTTCGTGACAAGGACAAGATCCACAGTAGCTGTCAACGTCAGGATCCCGCACATTCGATACTCGAATCGTACGTACCAACTTTAACTGCTCCAAAAATTTCTTCATCTGATCCGTCTCCCCTACGACCGCCGCGTCCCCCCTCGCGAAAACCTTCTCGTCCAGCTCTTCGTACACCTGTTGTAAGAGACCTTCCAACGTCGTGAATCGCCCTCCTAATGTCCCCGGGTTCAATTCGAGATCGATCTCGGGGATTTCTAATCCGGCCGTATCGGACTGGGGATGAAAAAGGGAGGCAGTCAAGATCAGACAAGAGCCGATGAAGGGGTGAAAGGGCGTGCGCTTAACTGACCTTTAGGATATCCCGACTTAGATCATCGGCATCGTCGACCTTGAGCGTGATCTTGCGTCCCTTGTCGGCCGTCGCACCACCGGACTTGACCTCGTTGTCCCGGTAGCCACAGTCGTGGCAATTGGTCGACATGAGAATGATGTCCTGAGGGAGAGGGAAAGCAAGTCTGGCGTCAGTTTCCGGTATTCCTTCGACCTGGACGCTATACGGGCCTAGCACCCACCTTGAAATGGGGGATGTTGACCGTCTTCATCAAGGTCTCCATCTCACTCCCACACAAAGCGCACGTGCCGGGGAAGCTCAACACCTCTTCGGGATAATGACTCGTCTCCTTTCCACCGTGGGTCTTGGAAATGGAGTCCGGATCATCGGGTGCGAGTCCGAGCGATTCGTTCTGCGCTGCATCTCGTTGATACTCCCTCTTGGACCACTTGGGGTCGGTCAACCCTCCTTGCGTCTCGATGAAAGAGTTGCCTGCAGGGTCGTCGAGTTTGATCGTAAAGACGGGCATCGGTCGATCGATCTTCTTGGCCTTGACTTGGCCCGCCCCTTCCACCTCTTCCTCTTCCTCTTCAGGATCAACGATCATCCTCAACCTCGTCAACCAGGTCTGAATCTTTTCGTACACATCGGGGTGTTGGATCTTGCGAACCGGTTGATCGTGACCCAAATCACGAATCGTATCCGCGATCACGCCTTCGACGGTGGTGAACTGTCCCCTGCCCGCGGGGATTTGGAGTTGGTATTCCGGGATGGTGATGACGCATGAAGGCGATTTGACGAGCTGGCGATCGAGGTCGGCGCGGGTCGTGATCTTGACGGTGTAGACTGAGCCTAGGGGTTGGATCTCGCCGGCGGATTGAATGTCGTTGTTCGTGTAGCCTGCAGGGGATGAGGGTTAGGCAAAGTTGGGGGAAGTGGAGCAGAGCCAGGGTGTATGTTTACGGTAGACTGACCGCAGTGCTCGCATCGGAATGAACAGACGATCACTTCCTTGAAGTAGGGGATCACGGTCAAGAGCATGCGAGTGATACCCTGCCCCCCGTGCGAAAGCGAGCCAGGACGAAATGATGAGGATGAGGTCAGCGAAAGGGGGGGAACGAAGCCGACCGAAGGCTAGACTGGGATGAGGTATGACTGACCTGCTCGTGGCACTCGTAGCACAAGGATTCAATCACGTCGACTGGCATGACAGGGCGGGCATATGAGCTGGGATGATCAGCTCCTGCAGGTGCGTCTCGGGTGTGGCGAAGGCGGCCAGAGTCAGCAGACTGACCAGGCAGATCCCCTGCACCGACGGCTTCACCGATCGTTCGCCATTGTTCGACGGGTACGTGCTCGGGTTGGAGCGAAGTCATGTTCGCAGTGAGTGAAGGTGGAGTGTTGTGGGCGGGAGGAGGTGGAAGAGCCGACTGCTCGGGGACTGGCAGTGTCCGACAGGCTGAGCGCTTGAATTGAGCATTACAAATGCGCGATCAGCGATCACTTTGACTGCTTTCCCGAGTTGTAATGCCCGGTAATGCCCTCCGCTCTCGCACCCCGCCTATCCGCCTCTCCGCCTATCCGCACGGTCGCCTCTCAGCACATCACACCCCACCCCACAGCACCTCAATCATGTCACGCCTCTTGATGACCCGGGCTCTGACACCCATGTTGCGCTCTACACCAAAGACGATGATCGGCGCCCGATCCGCTTCGGCGGGCCAACAGTACAACCCGCCGACTGGCTATCTCTTTGGCGAGAAGGTGCGAACGATGCCTCCTTACCCTTGGTGCTACCCATCAGAGGATGCTGACTTTGGACTGTATTCTCGTACCTCCTCAGCCACCCGCCAAAGGCAAGTCAAACGCCAAGCTCGGCATCGGCATTGAGCGACCGCGGAGAGGAGTCGGGAAGGGAAAGCGATGAACACCCTCACACGAATTCCGTACTGACTCCCAACATTGCTTTGCTTCCTATACTCACAGGTCAAAAACGCGTACGAGAGGATTGGGAGTTGATCTTCTACTGGGGGTTCGGAGGTGGAATCGCCCTCGCGGCCGTGCTCAAGTTCTACCAACCTGATACGAGGTAAGCACCAAATACGCTGCGCACGACGCTTTTCAACGCGTCCATGGCCTCATTCTTGACCGAATCCTTGGGTGATGACAGTCTGGAAGGATGGGCACGCAAGGAAGCGAAGGCCAAGATGGCGGCGGCGGGCGAGACGGTCAGTCGTCTTGATCTCTCGAGAATGGGTAAAGGAGTCGAAGGAATGATCTGAATCCGAATTTGCTCTATGTTGATAGCCTTCATACACCAAGTCGTAGAGCAAGCGAAAGATATCGGTTGGTGACCAGAGCAGGGGCAGACCTCCGCCGGATTCGAGACGGCAACACGACGATCAAGGCGCTGTGGAACGGATGGGGAGATATGAGTGTGTGTGCGTGCGCGTGCGCGTTGGTTTGGATTGATACATTTTTTTTCTCTCTCTCTCTTTGTAATTGCATTCAAGAAGGACAACCGAAACGGCATTACAACGTTGGGGAGAAGAAGGACGACCGAAGCGGCGTTATAAAGTTGAGAAGTTTTCGACCGGGTTGCACGCGCTGGCATAGTGTCAAATGTACCCATCTCAGAGTTTTAGCTGTACGACTGACCTCGACTGACTCCAACGTGCCACGAGTAGTCCCGAGTAATATTCTTCGCCAGTAGTGGAGGCAGCACGCTTTGCAGAGATCGATGAAGACTCCCACCACTGCTGGCGGCCTGCTGCGCGAACCATCGTTCCAAGAGGGTTTCCAGTGATTCTCGGAATCGATTCGGTCTCCCGAGTCGGTTCAAGATCTGACTCGAAGTTGTACCTGAATTCAATATCATATAGAGATTCATGATCGACCCCACGTCGAATGTTGAATGGTTTTGCTACAAATTGGGCCACATGCTGGGTCGCGCCGGATCTGGTCTGGCCTCCGGACCCAGAAGTGGCCCCGGCCTGCCCCGGCCTGCCCCGGCCACACCTTAAAATGCATTGGCCGGCACGCTTGCCGCGAGCTGGACGCGTTCTGTCGAGTCTTCGTTGGCGAGCTCCGGCCGTGCTCACGAATTCTGTAAGTTCGCTACTCACACTCACAGCCTGCTGCAGTGCTTGACTGCTGCTTCACTTGCTCGACCAGCATCAATCTAAACTATCCCTACGACTACGCTTGACCAAACTTGTGAGCTCTTGTACCTCTAACTCTGCCCGTATCTCATTCTCAGTGCCGGAAGAGCAGGCGTTCGAATCGACCGCTCGACCTGCTATGGGGTCCGGCTCGCTCTCCCTGGCCGCCGGTGCTCGATGTGCAGTGCCTGCAAGAGTCACAGCCTGGCAAAGGCCCGATCAGCGATCGAGCACTCTTGCCTTGCTGTCCCGCTGACTTTCTTCGGTAAGTCACGAGCCTCGTCTCCACGTGCATTCGCCGTAGCACTGTGTTAACGCAAGCTCATCGCCCAGTATCAGGAGACCCAGGACCGGGAGGAGCGCCAAGCAAAAGACTCGGAATGTAAAAAATTGTGGTCAAGCTCGGCTGAAGTGGGGAGAAGACTGGACGAGCTCCGTGCTCTCCTCTCGGAAAGGAGCGACGAGGAGTACGAGAAAAAGAAGAGCGAGGGCGAGAGGATGGTCTGAGTTGACTTTGTGAGGACCTGTTAGAGAACTTATAGAACCTTGCTTGTAAATCTTCACAGTGAGGCCGAGCTACCGGAGCTGCGGCAGAAGGGTGACGCAGAGTACAATTGGGACTTAGAGTCGACGAGTTGCAACTTTAGCCTGGCAGCTGTTCAAAAGTCCAAGGGGAAGTGTTGAAGGTGTTAGTAGACCTTGCATTGATATTAGGGGCCGGATAGCTCAGTAGGTCAAAGCTTTTCCAATGAATGGAAGCGACCCAGGTTCGACTCCTAGTCTAACCGTTCTCTTCTTTTGTCAAGCATTCCAGAATCATTGTTGATTTCAACAGACCTGAGTTGAAATTGGGCAACCTCTATGTTGACTCAAGCTTTTGGAGAGATCGGATCGCGTGAGTCGAGCTCCTTTGGCGAAGATTGAGCTTCCCACGAAATACACTGGCGCGGACGACCGTCCAGCCACACTGCGCGTGTGGAAGGGAGACGTGGACTCATATCTCAAGACGATGGGCTCTCAACCCCGAGGCTTATGCTGCGATCCCATACATCCACATCGCATTGGCCGGGGCAGCGAAGGAAGCAAACGCCGAGTGGCGTGAGATGATGAACCGAAGCTGGCCTCAAAGGGGTCAGGACGAGACGATGGCCGAATATCCCCTGATCAGAGCTGTTCGACGAGTCCACCGAGGCTACGTGTCTCCGACTCTCGCAGAGAAGCAGAGACGAAGTGGAACCGGTTTCATCAGCAACGATCAGATGGAGTTCTGAGAAAAATAATCTGAAGTGGTCATGGAGAGATTGTTCGACAGTCTAAAGATCGACGCGCCTCAAGCAAGCGCGATATGACGAGAAAGCTTTCTGATGCTTTGAACCCACGCATGCTACAACATGTAAACATGTTTGGGGGAGACACGGATTTGTCTTCTTGGAACAACATGCGTGAGATTGTCCGAAAGGCGTAATTGATCTTCAACATCCAGCAGCCACTGACCGCTCTGTCACAGAAACTACCTCCGGAACTGAGGATGTTGGATTACGAAGCAGCAACCAGAGGGAGCACGATGAACCGTATATTGCGAAAGGCGACGAGGAACATTTCGAATTTAGCGAAACAAGACACGACGAAAGAGACGACGGAGGAGGACACCCGAACGTGGAAGGATGATCGCAGAGAGGTTACGCAGCAGATCAGATCGAACGCTGCAACCTCCCGATCTTCTCCGACACACGACACTGGCGACACTTCGAGACAGGAACGCGCGGCTCCACGACGACACTTGACGGCAAAGCAAGAAGCGCAGTTTAAGCGAGCTGAATGTTTCAAATGCGGTGAGCATGGTCATCTGGCACGCGAATGCCCAGGCTCCGAGCTGGGAGAAGCGCCGAGTGAGAATGTGATGCAGTGCTCAAACTCGGACTCAGGAGACGGGGATACGGAGGAGGATGATGTCGGATGACGAAGATTCTGAATATTACGACTGATTTGGCATCCACACTCCTCCTTTTCCGGTGATATTGACGATCTCACGGTATAACGACAGGCCAGTTTGGACTTGGGACCTTGAAGGAGGATACGAGGGGTGCGTCGCCACTCCCACGGGTCTTGCCTACAACTGAGACAAGCTGTCCGCTCCTTATTTGAATAAATTGGTCACAGTACCTCTGGATAGTCGTTCTTTCCTTTCTGTCCTGGAGAGAACTTGGACCCTTTGGAGCATCCTGAAACGACCCGAACACGTCAACAGTCTTTAGCAGTGGTTCTCGCGTCTTGCAACAGTTCTCGCGTCAAACCCTTACACAGTGATACACATCGACAAGCGCTCGGACTCGCACTTTGTTGAGTGTGCCATCGGAATCAAAAAACGCTCGCTTGTGAGGCAAGTTGACGTTGGTCTCGAACTCACGAGGCGTGGTGCGCCCGGTCTTGAGGTGTGCGTTGCTCGGGGTGGCGGGGGCCATGTGGGCCGAGAGGAGGACCAGCGCCGACAAGATCGAGGCGAGGAGCATCTTTTAAACGAGTTCCTCGCGAAATGAACCGAGGTTATTGCCGATAGGACTTTGGGACCGAGTGACGAGTCAAGGCCTTTGGGGTTTCGAAAACAAGGGAGGGAGGGTTTTTTTGAGCAACAACGATGTGAGTCCGAGCGCACTGAACAAGGGAGGAAGAGAGGGACGCGCAGTCGCTTACCAAAGGACATTAGAGAGTTCTTCCTATAGCTACTTTGCCTAACGATCGCGGCCGGTCACCGGAAGCTGTCCCGCACAGATCTCGGTGATCGACCGGGAAGAGTCTCGCTAGCCCGCTAAGTCCTCATCGATCATCCTCGCCCCTCGAAACCGCGCTAAGGGGTCCCATCGGGCCACCGGTCGCGATATGAATCCTTAGGTTATTCTTCTATTCCGCTTGAAGAAACGCGTCCACTTGAAAGCTTGGGCGATAGGGCCCTACCGACGACGGCGACGGGTTCGAGGTCCACCCTGCGTCTCCGACTGGACCTGTGTGGGGACACCCAAGACCGTGGACTTGACGTAGATTGAACCTAGGTAATTCCCCACGAAGTCCGTGCAGAGTGGGTTCCGTCCAGTCCTCTTCATCCGCAATGATCGTTCATGTCCAAGGCCCTCCCGCCTTAATTGACCGCCGGTTGAGTACAGGATCCATACATATCCGGCGCAGGAGTGTGGGTCGGGAGTCGGAAAAGGAACTGTTCAGACTATACCCGCGCCGAAGAATACTCACTGCATGCAATATCAGCTCTCATCACGATCCACCTGATCCCCTGACATACTTCCCCAAGTGTCGCCTCTCGCCATCCACGGCGGCCGCTCCTCGTGGTTGGGATCCGTCATCGCATCTGAGCGTTGCCTCCCTGGGTTGTTGGAACCACCATGTTCGCAATTTCAAACACAGTGCTTCTGATGCACTCCCTCTAGTCGTACACACATCCCGAAGATCCTCCACACCTGCGATGTCGCACTCGTTCATTACGCCTCCGCCCAACAACGCGTTCGAATACGATAATTCGTCGCGCTCATGACTCGAAATCGAGTTTCCTGAAGCCCTCGATCTATCAAAGTGTCATCAAAGGATCTCGTCAGCATCGCACCCCCTCAAACCGAACGAAGCACGCGCGGTCCTTTGCGACGCAAGCGAGTCCGATCCCAACCTCAGGCAAACGAACCTTGCTCGTCCTCAATAAGGTGAGGTACTTTTGCGTCAGGTCGTAGCATTGCTCGTAGTGGTTCACGCCCTCGGTGCGCCAGCACTTTTGCAGCTCCTCTCGCACCAAGCGCGCCTCCATAACGTTGATCCACGATTGCCGGATCTTTTCCTCGCGCGAAGCGATGATGTCTAGAATGGTGCACAGGACGTGTCGACAGTGTCAGTACAGGACTAGCATTGGGTAGGCATAGGAGGCAAGCAGTCAATGAGCCGGTCGACGGACCCGCGTAGTTGGAGGGGATACCGGAGGGTGGTGCCGACATGGTGGGAGTGGTGGTATTGGTGGCGATGTGAGGAGGAGGACGAAACGTGGAGAGTATTCAGGAGCTAGTCCCAAGAGCGAAAGTGGAAGACGGGCGACGGCGGAGCTTCGGAGCGATGGAGTGGACGATCGAGAGCCCTGAGCCAACTTGCGCGCGGGACATCGGCCGAGCACGATGCCGAGTTTCACGCTACTCTACGACTACTCGACGCAGTACGCAGCTCTACGCTACGTTCTCGCTACCTCCACGCTGGCTGGCCCGCGAGCCAGAGTGGCCGCTCTCAGCCTCACTCCCAACACGTCGCTCAACCCGTTTCCGGGCTCACTTTCGAAGCGTCGAGTCTTCTCCGTTCCACTTCCATACCACGCACTCCAACCATGTCCCTGTCTGCACCGCACGAGACATTGATCCGCCATCGCTCGCTGTCGCATCCACGCCCGTCGCCGACACACGTCTTCGCGTATGGCACCGCCGGATTTCGATGCGCGTAAGTCGCCCGCGAGTCGCGTATCAACGCGTGACAAGTCGCACGCGTGACAAGTAGCTATGAGCATTTCAGGCTGACTCTCGAGTCTCTATGCTTCCATGTGTGTCCTACCCATCACGACCGAATCGTCCGCGGGCATGCGCACTCGCCGGGATGTGTTTCGCATTCCCCCCCCCCACTTGTGGGACGGACTGGGCTGCCTGACCGCTAGTGCCGACTTGCTCGAATCGGTCGTCTTCCGAGTCGGCCTCCTCGCCGCTCTCAGGTCCAAGAAACTGGGCAAGACAGTCGGAGTCATGATTACGGCTAGTCACAACGTGGAAACGGTCAGTCGCTTTGACCTCTATTCCGAACCGCACTGACCCCTTTGCGAACCGTGTGCAAATCTTTTTTCCCCGAAAACCACACGACAGGACAATGGCGTCAAAGTCGTCGACCCACACGGCGAGATGTTGACTTCATCATGGGAAGCCCACGCAACGACGCTCGCTAACGCACGCAACGAAGAACAACTCTACAAAGCCTTGCTCGATCTCATCTCGTCCGAAAAGATCGACTTCAGCAGCTCCGGCCACGTCGTCTTTGGGTACGATACGAGGCCGTCTTGTCCTGCTTTGGTCAAGGCGTTACATGATGGGTTGGATAGTATGGTCGTCAGAGAGACGAATGCGGGATTGGTCACGACGCCGCAGTTGCACTACCTCGTGAGGTGCTACACCACCGAAGGGACCAAGGAGGCATACGGCGAACCGACCCTCGACGGGTACTACCACAAGTTGGCCAAGGCCTACGCAACACTTGCTGTGGGTTGGCACTCTGTCTGGATTATCTCATCCCCTCGCCAGTGTTGCTGATGCATCCAATACCTTCAATAGACGGGCCGACCGCTTCTCCCTGCTCTGACAGTCGACTGCGCCAATGGCGTCGGATCCCAAGCCGTCTCCTCCTTCCTTCCCATCGTCACCCCCTCGATCCTCCCCTTGATTCTCGTCAAAACAGCCACCACGACCCGAGGGGCTCTTAACCACGACTGTGGAGCCGACTACGTCAAGATCCGTCAAACTTCTCCACCGGGGATTCAAATGATCCCTGGTCAACGGTATTGCTCCTTTGATGGGGATGCCGATCGGATCGTTTACTACTTTGCCGATGGGGAAGGGACGTTCCACTTGTTGGATGGGGATAAGATTGCTACTCTGGCGGCCAAGTTCCTGATCGATCTGGTGGACAGGGCAGGATTGCAAGGCGGGGTCAAGGTCGGGGTCGTGCAGACCGCATATGCGAACGGGGCTTCGACGGAGTATTTGACCGAGATATTGGTCAGTCCGATCGACGTGGTTGTGATCTTTCAGTGGCACCAAAGTCTCAATTTATTCTCCTACGCCTACAGAAAGTACCCGTAACCTGCACTCCAACAGGAGTCAAGTACCTTCACCACGCCGCGGAATCCTACGACATCGGCGTTTACTTTGAAGCCAACGGGCATGGCACCGTACTTTTCTCCCCTCGATGCCTATCCCTCATCGAAGCGAGCGCAATCCCCTCCACCGCCTCCGAAGCATCCAAGAATCTATTCGCCTTGACCCAACTGATCAACCAAACTGTTGGTGATGCATTATCGGACCTTTTGCTCGTCGAGACCGTCTTGCTTCATCTTCAATGGAGTCCCTACGATTGGGATGCGTCGTATACCGATCTCCCGAATCGACTTGTCAAAGTTCTCGTTCAGGATAGGACCATCTTTGAGACGACGGATGCGGAGAGGAAAGTTGTCAAACCGGAGGGGTTACAGGCTAAGGTTGATGAGGTCGTAGGGAAGGTCGAGAAGGGGAGGAGTTTCGTCAGACCTAGTGGGACCGAGGATTGCGTGAGGGTTTATGCTGAGGCCAAGACGAGGAAGGACGCCGACGGTAAGTCGTATTGGGTTTTTTATTTGTTGAGTATGATGCTGACTAGTTGCACGTATTGGTGACAGATCTCGCACAAGCGATCGCTTCGCTCGTCTTTGATCAGTATGGTAAAGGGCCCAAGCCGGCGTTGTTCAAGTGATCGTTCGATGATCTCGACACCCTGAAACGCATCACAGACAATGTAGACACGACAGTAGAAATGCAAATGACTTCGTAGCACCCTTCACTTTCTTCGACAAGATCGAGTGAAGTTCCGGTCGATTATTTTCACAATGTCCAAACGCACTGAAAGGCTCTAGTTTAACAAAGGCCCTACATCCATCTACTTCCTCTCCTTCTTCCTCTTCTTCTTGTCCCTTCCCTCATCGTTCCCCCCAACCCTCGACTTCTTCTGCCAAATCCTCTCCAACGCCCTCCTCGTCTCCCCTTTAGGGAACGTATTGTAATCATAGTAATTCGTCGCAAACTCGATCAACCACTCGGGCTTGACCTCGGTGACCGTACGAATGAAATTCCTCGTCGTCAAGACGAACTCGTTGTAAAGGACCCACTCGGGGGACGTGTCCAACCCTGTTGAAGGGTGCAACCCGACGATTTGGTTGTCCTTTACGGTGACGTAACCATTCTTATCCCCTTCCTTATGGGCGACTTGCATGAAGAAACCACACGTGATGGCTTTACGAATGTTGTCGTAATAGCTCTTGTCCTCGAACGCGGTCGAAACGAGATCCAAATCCAACTTCTCCATCGAGCGTTTCAGTTGTTGACGCACGTTATCGGCTTGTTGCATCGCCCTGAAGGAGACGTAGTTGGACCAACACCATTGCGAATCGGGGTTCCCTCGATAAGCATGGTAAAGATTGAGCAGGGAGAGATGGTCGCCGTTGGGGTGGGCGAATTGGGCTTTGGCTTCATCGGCTTCCCTTCGTTGACTGTTGGGGCGGAGGTAAGGGTTCGGAACGGAGAGCATCGCCGCGATTGAAAGCACTTCGTTCGAGCAGTTGAATTCGGGAGAAACGATCAACATCTTGGCCAGTTGGGGTTCGAGAGGGAAAGTCGACATGAGGTCGCCCAAGGGCGTGAGGTTGCCGTCGTCGTCGAAGGCGGCGAGGTAGTTGAGCAGTTCCAAGGCACGCATGACCGTCTCAGGGGCGGGAGGGTCCATGTAGTCAAAGTGGACGAGATCGTCGATGCCGAGCTTTTTCAGTTCAAGAATGACCGAAGCGAGGTTGCATCGCAAGATTTCGGGATAGGTTTGTTCTTCCAACTGGTGGGTTGCAAAGAGACCAAAGCGTGGAATCAGCTTCTGCGGACGCACGGCAGAACACACATCATACATGCGCCTCGACTCACCTCCTTGACGAAATCAGCCTCCGTGTACAAGCGAAAGCATTTCCCCGGTCGGGTCCTACCGGCTCGTCCGGCCCTCTGTTGAGCCGAAGCCTTCGAAATAGGCGACACCAACAAACTCTCGACCCTGATCCTAGGGTTGTAAATCTTTTGCTTAGAGAAACCAGGATCGACGACATAGACGATTCCATCGATCGTCAGAGACGTCTCGGCGATATTGGTCGAAATGACAACTTTCCTCCCCGGTGGACCGTCGGGAGTGCGAGGCGGGGGCGCCTTGTCAAAGATGCGTTGTTGTTGTTGAGGTGGGAGGGACGAGTATAAAGGAACGGCTTTGAGAGGACCAATCGAATGAAGGAGGTTGTCGGCCTCGAGGGAGATCTTGCGGCACGCGTCTTCAATCTCCTCTTCACCGGTGAGGAACACGAGGATGTCGCCTTCGGGTTCGGCCTGGTGGATCATGAGCACCGTACGGATCGCGGCTTCGAGGTAGTCCGGTTCGGGTTCGGGGGTGTAGAACCTGTTTGAGAAGGTTTGGTTAGTCTCACGTGCTCAGGCCCGAGATCCAGGCGGCGGGAGGGAAAACTCACACTTCGACGGAGAAGGTCCGCCCGGGCACCTTGAGCAGGGGAGCGCCGAAGAAGTAGTTTTGGAACTTGGCCGCATCGAGGGTCGCACTCATGACGACTATTTTGAGGTCCGGTCGTCGTTTGGCGATGTCCTTGAGCAAGCCCATGAGGATATCGGTTGCGAGCGTCCTTTCGTGGGCCTCGTCGAGGATGACGGTCGAGTACCTCGAGAGCATGTGGTCGTTCATCGCCTCGCGCAGGAGCATACCGTCGGTCATGTACTTGAGGAAGGTGTTGTTGGAGGTGCAATCCTCGAAACGAATCGAGTAGCCGACCTGTTCACCGAGGGTGACGTCCATCTCGTCGGCGACACGCTTCGCAACCGACATGGCCGCGACTCGACGCGGTTGAGTGCAAGCGACTTGGAGACCCGGTCGACGGAGATGAGGCAGGTCCGAGTAGGCGACATATTGCGGGATCTGGGTTGTCTTGCCCGACCCGGTCTCGCCGACCATGACGACGAACTGGTTCGTGTTGAAGAGCTCGAGGAACTCGGACATTTGCTGGTGCACGGGCAGGTTCTCACGCACCTTGAGGATGTCCATGTACCGCTTTGAATGCGGACGAAGAGTCCAGGGGTTCGTTTCGCCAAACTGCCGTACACGGTGTATAACGGACGAGGCGAGTCAGTGGCTGGCACGAGGCATACGCCCAGAACAGAACCACAGAACTGAATCAACACTGACCATGGCCTTCTTGACCATCGTGCCATCGACCTTGTTCTTGATCCAGCCATCAAAGGGGGCAGCCGCCCCGTTGGAGGAGGAGGAGGCACTGCCACCCGTCATGCGCTGATGAGGCTGGTTGAGGTGCGCGAGGTACGGGTTGTCGACCGCGGAGGACGAGGTCGATTGCGAAGTCGTTTTGGCCCGTTTCGACGACGGCTCGTCGGCCATGGCGTTGGACGACATGGGTTGAGTCTAGTAAACTATCACGGAGAGGTTGTCACAGTTGATGCACTATGAGTGAAGGAGAAGGGCGAGGTAGGGGATCGATGAGGGCAAAGGAGAGCCAAGGTGGGCCGATCGCCGTGGCTTGGTCGAAGCAAAGAACTCTCTGTAGAATTTTTGCCTTGCTCTGCAAGCCGATACTTGATTTGATCGTGAGAGATCCGTTCACTGGGCCATACCACCACCAATGTTGGCACATTATGAGTCTATCTGATCACAAGCTCAGACACAGTCCGGTCTCTTGGGTGTATTTCAGCTTCTGCCAAAGTGCATACGAAAGATCCCGCTTAGACTTCACCCGCCTCGTCCCGTTCTCCCCCTTGCTTTCATAACGAGTCTCCAGTCCACGAAGCTTCGTATCCACGCTGTCGAGCAATTTTTTGAGCTCGATTTGCCTTTCGCGGGGTGTCTGGCCGATGGAGAACCGCATTAGCATGCTACTATGTTGCCGCGACCGCATGCGGCGATGAGCCTCATGACGTACCGGCACGTAGAAACTCCTCGCGATGTATGCACATTGGATCAGAGCGACGGCCACAATAAAGTTACCGGCAGTTCTGCGGAGCAAGGGTTCTGGGACGGATAACATGGCAACCCGCACCTGCATCCGAGACGTATGTGAGGAATCGGTGAGCACGAGCGGGCGCACGGACCCAACAGCTAGGTAGCAGTGATGCCGCCTTGGCACACCGAAGCCGAGTGGCGGCTAGGGCTTGATACAGCAAGCCCAGGTGAGAGACTCACGGTAGTTATGATAGTGAGAGGGTCTACAACAATACAATGAAGAGCATCAGCGGACTGTAATGCAAGAGTGCTCGGTCGGCGATCGCCGACTGGCGGATCTTTATCTTTGGGGCGGTACCGGTGCCGGGGGGTGCGCTTGCGCTAACCTCCCAGGCGCGCGCGGAGGGTTAGCGCACTCGATTGCGCTAACCTCCCTGCGCCAAATCGCTGCCTCGAGGTTGGCGCAATCGGAGGTTAGCGCAATGGGCCTGAGTTGGCCTGAGTTGGCCTGAGTTGGCGCAGGCTGGCTGACACGCGGCGCGAGCTGGAGCGTGTCGTCCCTTCTTGTGTTTCTTGCCGTTTGTGCAATGCATTGCATGCCAACAACATGCAGCTATCACTCTCATTCTGGAACCTGGAACCGAAACGGCTCTGTCGCTGCCGCTACCTCTTCTCCGCCAGCCTCAACATCAAGCCAGGGCAGCGGGATCGGTTCCAGTCGCGACACTCGCGACGGTGCAACCCAATCTCGGGCCGACAAGCGTCGCATTAATGAACTTTCAAACGATGGGCAGGATTCATACAGCCAGTCCAAGATCGAGTCCAGGATCATGCTGAATCGACATCGAACGGTTCGGACGCGCATGGACTGCAGCAAAATACGGATGGCGATGGCAAAAACATTCACTCCGGCGCCTACAACATCGTCAACGATAACGACCAACATGCAGTGGAAGACTCGCCGATAGAGGATCACGATCACGACCGCGACCGCAACAACGGCGACATTGCCGGACCTGCAGAGATTGCGGCGGCACTCAAATTCAGAAGACCGAAGCAGCTGGCAAATCCATCTGGGGCAAAGCGCCTACTAGCAAAGGTGAGTTGCACTGCATCAGCTTCGGCTTTGATTTGCGACGCCCAAGCTCATGCTTTTGAGTTTTCCTCATCCATCAGTCCTTTCGTCCGACGATGTTGCCGTGCGTATCTTATTGGATTCTTGGCACTTCTTCGATCAAATCTACGTCTCCAAAAAACACGGCGCCGCCAAGGCCTTTGCTCGCGCCTTCTCCGATGCGGTTTTCATTCCCAACTCCGATGATCGGGTCCTGCTGGAGGCTCGATTAGCGAAGCTCGGAATCACGTGGGAGGAGGCCGTCCGATCGCCTGTTTGGAACAAAAAGCTGTGGAGGCGCGTTCATCGATGGATCCCCCCGCCGAGTGTTCTCGAGCCTTTAATCCGGGAGGTCTTCGAGAAATTCGGGGCGTTGATCGATGCGAAGACCAAGCAACCGCTCTTCAACAAGGCAGCGCACGAGGCAGCAAAGCGATGTCTTGAGGCGATACGCAAAGGCCAAGTTTCCGATCCTGTTGGCATCGAACTGTACACCGACCATGGGCCTTGCGGAGGACCAGACGGAAAGGCGGATGACGGTGTGCGTGTCTACTCGTGCCAGCGCGGCACAAATAGTCTTGAGGGAGGGATCCACCGAAACCGTCGTCAAAGGTTCTCAAAGTCCGGTGTCACTCCGTACCATGCCAATGCTTGCCTTTCGGACTATGTGCTCGTGCACAACTCCACAGTAAGTCTGTACAGCCGTGCTCATACACGCTGGAACTGAATTTGTTTTACCTATGCGTGTGCTTGTTTCACAGGTTGGGACGTTTAATCGGACAGGGAAGGCATATGTAGGGCACTTCGACCTTTGGCTCACTGTAGAGCTTCATCGTATGCGGCGCAAAACGGCGGCATACCTCCCAGCCCACCCTACGAATATGTCGGAAACTGTCAACCCGCTTCTCTACGCTCCGTCCACGGAGACATTCGGGATTGTGCCTATTGTGGAGGTGGCTCAAAAGTCCAACAACATCGAACCCTATTCCGTCGAGAGTGGCGCTTTCCGTTTCGAGCCCCTCAAATGGTCGCCGCGGAATTTGCTGCACAAGAACATGGGACGAACAATTCAGCAGATGCAAATCCAGCTGCCAGCCTATCGCAAACTCCGTCACACCTGGCTTGCAAAACGCCAAGGTACTCGGTTTGCGGTATTGCACGTTCACACACCAACCGAATGAGCGCTGTACAAGCATATCTTGTCCCATCTGGAACTATCAACTTCTCGAGACCAGCGAGCCATCCGAATCGCCGAGCGCTGGAACGCTTATGCCAACGGCATTGATATATTTTACAAAGTGAGTCGCTATTTCGTCGTGCCTCTGAATTTAAGACCGAGCTGAGTGCTTGAAAATTCATACGTAGATACCGGAACACATAAGTAGTTGGGAATCCAGATGGTCGTCTCTGGCCAATGCTCAAGCCATAATGAATATGGCCGAGAACGACGTCAAAGCGACCCAAGCGATGATCACCGACCCCTCCCGCGGTCGCAATGTCAGCCCGCCGCCCGCCAAGCCGTTGCTCGGCCACAAACCTCCGGTCTCGGGGATGCTCACCGATGCAGAGGTCGAAGCGTCCAATCCTCAAACATCATTCATCCGCCCATCCGGGGCGATGGACACAAACAACAATGGTCCGCGTGCAGGGATTGCTACCAGTGGCAGTTCAGTGAGCGTAGTCACCGGGAAAGTAATGCGGCACTGTCGGTTCTGCGGTCAAGCCTCTTGCAAGTTCAAGGGATCAGCGTCAGCCCGACAGGGATCGGATATTCTGTGTGAAAACCCATGTGTGGATTGGCTTGAGTGAAGAGAGGGATCCGAATAACCCAGAATCGCCGAGGTTTTGCAAGGGGCTGACCACGGCTGAGATGGGTGGTCGAGCTCGGGATAAGAAGAAGTGTCATAATCATAAACCGCTGTGACATTGTGAAGACACTCTTATTCCTATTGCAATTGCATATCATGTACCACTTATCTTTTTCGTTCCTTCTCCTTCCTTTCCCTTTCGAACCTTCCCTTTTTTTTTCTCTCCTTCCTCCTTTTTTCCCTCCCTTTCTTTTTCTTTTCTTTTTCTTTTTTTTTCTTTTTCCTCCCAGCCCCCCCCCCCACCCCCCGGCACGGGTACGGGCCCAAAATTCTGAGGAGCCTCGACGCTTTGGAGCAGTCGAGAGTCGAGACGTCGAGCGACAACAATAGTGCGTGGCAGTGTCATAATGGCTTGCCGCGAGCTGCCGCGAGATGACGCGTCACGTGCCGAGACGCCGGACTGACGCGCGCTTTTCCCCTCCGATGTCTCGATCGGATGCCAATGGGGTTCTCGAGCGCGGGAAGGGAATTGCGACCTTCCTTGTGTATCTTTCGGTTTGTTTGGTTGTGTTGGGATGAGGAAGATGATTAATCTTCCTGGACGAGACCCTGGGATGATGCGTACACCCCAATTCCCGAGCCCTCGGTTCGGACAGGCGCCCTGGCGCCGGACGCGTACCACAGGTCACGCCCCCCACATTCACAACCAAAGAAACACAGCGAAAGATGCCTACGTTACAACGCATTCAGGCTCTAACCGAATCGAATGCAAGCTTGCCAGCCTTGCTCAGCACTTGGATCGCAATCTCCTTGTGCCGCCGCCAATACCTGTCAAAGGCATTCGATGACCAACGGCCAAGGTTTCGGATGTGATCCGTGTGTACACCTTCTCGAAGGTAAAACGTGGCCCCACCGGACCTAAAGGAGTGGTTATTCAAGGGCGCCCTTCCGCTCGCCTCGAGAATGTCTCTGATTCGTCGCGAGAACGCCGAGGAGGTCAGCTGTCGATGACCTCCCTCGCGCGCCCGATATGAGAACAACCGCCCTGGTGGAGGTCGTTTAGGCGGAAATGGTTATCGATGCCACCGACCGGGCAGAAGGGCTCGCCGTCTCGCGCCGAGACTACCAGCGTGCGGCCGACACGCCGGCGCACCTTGTCGAACGGGAGGTCCAACTCGTATCGGAGAGGAGCTTCGCTCGTCGCATCGATCCGGCGTGCATTGGCCACCGCTAGATGCCGCTCGGCTATGAACTCTTCGTCCGCCGAACCCGCCGTAAACTCGCCCAATCTCGCCATCGCGAAGAACGCCGCACACGCTGCAGCAAACACGGCCGTATCGAACGGACTGCACTTATCGATCCCCGCGGCCAAGCACCTGAGGTCGTCCAAAGTCGCCGCCAATCGGTTTGGGGCCTGGAGCTGTGGCCGCAGCCGCAGCCAGTTGCATCGTCCACATCTTCGGATCATAGTTCATACGCAGCCCATGCGTCGTGTGCCAAAATTCTAGGGCGGTACGGAATCGGCGGAAGTGGCTGACGCTATAGGCTCCGACGCCATTTCCCGACAACGCGATCCGAGTGAGAAATCGCCTGACGACGTCAGGATGTGCGGGGAATCGATCCCTCCGGTCGACCAAGGAGCGGACGTTGGACCGGAGTCGTCGGTGTGAGAACGAGGATTCGGTTGATGCCTCGATACGCCTTGGCGAACGCGGCGCACAGCCGCTCCTCCGGCGTGCAATTCGTGGATGAAGCCATCGGGGCCATCTCGTTCCCGTCTGCCTCAGGTAGGTAAACGACGATGTCCCCCGAATGGGAACTGCGCAACATCGGCAATCTTGGGTTCGACGTCGACGTGAATCCCAAACAAGTCCCTGGACTACAATCTAGTTTCACAATCGGAGGTGGCGCCGCAGCCGGTGCTCCATCGCGCAGCGCCGAACTCGACGCGTCGGCCCGACCGGTGAGCGCTCTTCCAGACTTGAACGCGCGCTCCCTAACGGCCATCGTCGGGTACGGAACGGCTCGTTGACGAAGCCTCGACGCGGCTCGTGAATCCTCGAAAGACATCTGTATTTTCCAGACGGCGTGCGACCCCCTCGTCTGACAAAGTGGGGGGGGAGGCCGAACGTGCCAAGCACGCGCCTACGCTCACGCGATTCTCTCGCGGCGGAGACGGGATAGGACCGGATAACCGCACAGCCGCAACCGAGGCATAAGAGCGCGGCTCTGAGTCATGATAGCGTGACATTGACAAAACAGGACGCAAGAGGGTTCGACCTCACAAACAAGCAAAGGTACACGACCTCGCAGACACAGGGATACGCAACTCCGTACGAACGAGGCTCCACCTTCCACGAAGGGAGTCAGATATCTCAGCCTATCGCCCAGAGGGGCTCTCCCGCCGCCAGCAGCAACTCGCGCCCCGCCGGAAACTTCGACAGTGGGTGCGCGATCATGAACGGGAACGGTTCGTACTACCGCGGGCGGTCTGGCTGCCGGGACACGACGTCCGCGGGGTTCACCTTCGTGTTGATGTATTAAATCGACCACTTCACACCTCGAATTTCCTCAAGGCTGCGCAGGTTTGAAAGCGACGAGTTCAACAAGGGATTCATCGAATGCCCTTTCCTCCATCCAAGCACAACCCCGGTGTTGTCGCATTGTAGAACGAAATGTCTATCGTCTTTAGACATTCGTAACGCAGCCTCGGCCAGCGCCTCGACCGCCCACGCCTCTGCGTTCGTGATCGAGACCGAGTGTCGAGGCGGTGGCAGATCCGTCCACCCCTCGGGGAGAGCGAAGTACGCGGAGTATCCGGTGATGACGATGCCTAGTCCGTGCATACAGGCATCCCACGCTAGCGCAAGCTTCGATGGGATCGGGAGGGCCTCGAACGACGTGGAGAATGGGCCTTCCGACGAGAGGGACCTTCTCCAGTATTCGAGTTGATCGTACGTGCGACGGTCCAGGCGACGCGCCCGCGATACCGCCTTCCGGTCCCCGTGCGCGATACACTGTCTGTATAGACAGTTGAGATGGGTCCGTAATGCAGGTAGGATGTAGGCGACATACCCCAACGACCCAGTGACCGACTCGACCTCCGAGCGTTCCTTCTGATCGGCGCAGCTACCTTTCACCAAGGCGTCGATGTAGCGCATCTGATCGGTGACCCTCGCAGTCATTAGATCCAAATCCCAGTCAATCCCGACGTGGACAAACTGACGCGTCCACGTGAATCCTTTCTGCTCCGCGAGGCGCCAGCCGAGGGATCGTACGAAATGAAGAATGGCTTCTTGCGATATGGCATCCGACGTTCGGACCGCGCAAACATCGTCAACCATCTTGAAGATTGACACGCCGGGGAACTTCCATTCGACCAAGTCTTGGGTCAGGTCCGCAACGTTCCCAAAGACACCGGGAGTAGTCCTGCCACCGAAGCATGGGACTCGTCGTACGAAGATGAGGCCGCGCCACAAGATGCACATGCTCGATCGCTGGTCCCATCGCAAAGGGAGCTGGTAGAACGCATCGGCGAAATCCCAACCGCAGACTTCCGCCGTCAAGGGAAGCTCGCGAAACTTGCGGTACAACATGGGCAAGGTCGTCCAACGGCAAGGGAAATCCGCAGATTTCAGGTCGTCATTAATGGAAACGAGTTTCGGACGGCTAGACGAAGCATTCCGTTGCGACGGTCCATGCCCGCTCGTCGACGGATGATTCGCTTCGTCAGGGTCTGTGGTTCGAACGATCGGTTTCGCCTTCGGGTAAGACCGGCATTCCGGGCGCTACTGACTTCGGCACATAGCTGATCGGATTCGTGCGGAAAGGACCGACCGCGGCCTCGAGCTCGTCCTTGTCGTACGGGCCCGCGATGTACCCGAGATCGAGCATGCGCTCCATCTCGCCGTCCATGACCAGTTGTTGCTCCTCACTGAGCGGTGCGTTCTTCGCGATGTGACGCTCCGACGGAGGGTCCTTGATGCCGAAATCAAAGCCCTCTCGGATCTGCTTCGGTATAGCGGCCAGGTACGGCGCGACGTGCGCGACCTTTGCGAGTGCCTTAATTTTGGCTTCGAACACACCAGCATCGAGCGGCGTAACAATCTTGTACATCGCATCATGGAACGAGTCGACTTAGCGAGCCATGATTCGCATGCGAGCGGAAGTTTCGGGCGCTGGCGACGAGCCCGGCCAGAACAGAACCGAATCAACACTGACCATGGCCTTCTCTCTTGACGATCGTGCCATCGACCTTGTTCTTGATTCAGCCATCAAAGGGGGCACCCCGTTGGAGGACGAGGCACTGCCACCCGTCATGCGCTGATGAGGTTGGTTGAGGTGCGCGATGTACGGGTGGTTGACCGCGGAGGACGAGCTCGATTGGCGAAGTCGTTTTGGCCCGTTTCGACGACGGCTCGTCGGCCAAGGCATCGGATGACATGGGTTCGATCTAGTTGACTGTCACGGGAGAGGTCGTCACATGCACTATGAGTGAGGGGGACGATCGCCGTGACTTGGACGATGGAAAGAACTCTGTAGAATCTTTGCCTTGCTGTGCAAGCCGAGACTTGATTTGATCGGTAGAGATCCGTTCACTAGGCCATACCACCACCAATGTTGGCACATTATGAGTCTATCTCTTCACGAGCTTACACACAGGCCGGTCTCTTGGGTGTATTGCAGCTCCTGCTTACGTGCAAACGAAAGGGCCCGGTCAGAGTTCACCATCACGCCAACCTCGTTCCCTAGTCCGCCCTCGCCCCGTTCTCCCCCTTGCTTTCAAAAAGAGCCTTGACTTTAGCTACTCGTTCCTGCAGATTCTCGAACCTCTCCCGATTCTCTGAAGCCAGGTCCCTGTCCGCGCGGTCCACGCGCGCTTTCTCGTCGGACTGGCCGATGAGGAACCGCGTTAGCACGCTACTATATTGCCGCGACTGCATGGCCGATGAGACTCATAACCTACCGGCATGTAGTAGTCCCTCACGAGATCTACAGAGGTGACAAGAGCAGACCCAATGACCACTATTTCCGCGGCTCTTTGGACCAAAGGTCAATGGACGAACGACATGGCAACCCGCACCTGCATCCGAGGCGTATGCGAAAATCCGGTGAGCACGAGCGGGCGCACGGCTCCGAGAGCTAGGTATCAGTGATGCCGCCTTGGCACACTGAAGCCGAGTGGCGGCTAGGGCTTGATACAGCAAGCCCAGGTGAGAGACTCGCGGTAGTTATGATAGTGAGAGGGTCTACAACGATACAATGAAGAGCATCAGCGGACTGTAATGCAAGAGTGCTCGGTCGGCGATCGCCGACTGGCGGATCTTTGCCCAGGCCGTGACCAGTACACGAGTTCATGCGGCACCGGCGGCCAAGTGGAGTGACATGGGCATCGACAGGCTGACAACGAGGGGTGAAACGCCTGTGCTTCCGATACAGAGGAGAGCGGACAGAGATGGAGGCACAAGGACTCACAGTGGGAAGTTTTAATTCTGGGCAGAGGATGACGGAGACTAGCACGAGCACTGGGGTTGCAGCAGAAGCAGGAGAGCAAGAGCAGGAGCAGGAGCAGCGAACGTCGAGCGACAAGACTGCGACAAGCGCCACGGGTGGGCCGCCCCCCTGGGGGTGGCGCGCATGCGCTTAGAGTGAAGTAAGGCGAGAGAAATGCCTGTTCGCTTCTGCACCTTATTCGTTTCGCTCGAACGGCAGTGCTCATTGCCTCTACACTCGCGAAACTTTTCAACCCTGTCAGTACCGGCAATGACGACTGCTTCGACCTCAACCAACGACCACGCCGCGACGGCCCCGCAATTGCCCCCGATGCAACTCTCCGGCGCCCTAGACACGACGGCGTGTACCACTTACGACGGCGCTTTGTTCCGATGTCGTGTCTGTCACGACACCAACAAGTCAAGATGAGTCTGAACTATGGTGTGGGTCTCAAGGCGCGGTAGGAGGCGGGTCTGGTCTTCGACGGTTGCCTGCCGCGCACGCATATTGGCAGGACGCGCGCTGTTCCTATGTGCTCCTTATCAATGGTCGCCCCGATGACGGCCTCGACCATCGTCCGAGGCGCACAGTTGCCTTCGGAGATGTTTGACCGCCACTCGGAGTCCGTTGCGATGCGGACCTGTGACTCGAACTGGTACATCATGCGGAAATACGACTTGATGGTTCGTTCTTTGTGATGGTCGAGATTCAAGGTCTCGAAGATAAAGGGTGTCGGACCTCTCGACCAGTCGATCATGGCTCACGCGCTCACGTCTCGGCTGCCCTCAACGTGCCCTCGAAGTGGGCTGAGCTCGCGGCCGAGCAACAGGCATCGTGGGCCCGGGCGATGGAGCGCCCGGTGGACGATCTCATCCAGGCGCGTGGCCGCATTCAAGCCATGGAGGCCGCAACGCTAGGGGACGAGGATTGGAAGCCGATTCTTCCTCTCCTCAAACCTGTAGTGGTGCGCCTGCAGCGGTAGTCGTAACTTCGGTGGTTCCGCTCAGCGCTGCGGCTGCCGCGAGCGGCAGCCTGCACCAGCGTTCGTGAACACGCGTGTTCTTTCTGTAAAGGCCAGCACGAGGCTTATACCCACGTCGGGTCCGCATAACCCAGTTGGCGCGTCTGTATCACCATCCTTTCCCTCTTCTCGTGTCGTGCCGTCACTTCCGCCTCATGTCCGCGTACGTGTAGATGCCTGGTCCCGACGGGCCCTGTGCCCCTTTCTGAGGTCGTTACCTCTCAGGCATCGCGTCGCGTGCCTCCGTTCTCTGGTTCAGGGGTCGAATCCCCCGCCGTTCGCGCCTCCTCACGTCCGCGTACGTGTAGATGCCCGGTCCCGACGGACCGGAGGGGCGTTGCCACTTCCTGCACAGCCGAGGGCTGACGTGCTGGATTTGTATTTCCAGACCCGCTAACCGAAAGGAGACGTCCCGTTCGTGTCTTCAATGCCCGCGGCATGCCTCGTGCCAGCCACTGACTCGCCTCGTCCGTTATACACCGTGTACGGCAGTTTGGCGAAACGAACCCCTGGACTCTTCGTCCGCATTCAAAGCGGTACATGGACATCCTCAAGGTGCGCGAGAACCTGCCCGTGCACCAGCAAATGTCCGAGTTCCTCGAGCTCTTCAACACGAACCAGTTCGTCGTCATGGTCGGCGAGACCGGGTCGGGCAAGACAACCCAGATCCCGCAATATGTCGCCTACTCGGACCTGCCTCATCTCCGTCGACCGGGTCTCCCAGTCGCGTTTACTCAACCGCGTCGAGCCGCGGCCAGGGTCGCGAAGCGGGTCGCCGACGAGATGGACGTCACCCTCGGTGAACAGGTCGGCTACTCGATCCGTTTCGAGGATTGCACCTCCAACAACATCTTCCTCAAGTCCATGACCGACGGTATGCTCCTGCGCGAGGCGGTCCACGAAAGGACGCTCGCGACCGATATCCACCCCAAGTGCGATGGCCAAATCGAAAGAACGAACCAGATCCTCGAGCACCACCTACGCCACTTCTGCGGATACGAGCATGGGGATGACTCCTTTCTTCACCTCTCGCGGTTACCACCCAAGGCTTGAAGTCACCCTCCCGGAGACCCCAGTTCCCGACGTTCGACAACATCTTACCTGGCGCCGATCGTATTCAGCATCTTGCGGAGCTCGACGCTTTGACCTGGGGTAACTGTTGTGAATGGGATTTCCGCCTTCCAGTATCTGGAACTCGCGGGTCCCTACTCGAACGCCTCGCTCGTGGTGCGTCTCGCCCTTCGCGCGCCTTCCGCTACGCCCCTCTTCCTTTTGCCTCCGCTGTCTCTCTCTCTCTCCACTCTCGCCTTCCTTTCCAGCCTCCAGCTCTTAAAATCGTTCTCAAATATTCAGCCTCGCTCTCGACTCTCAACTGTTGCCACATCCGGCACATTGTCACAAGCCTCCTCAAGCTCGGTCCCGGACTTACCCGTCTCGTCTGGTTTAGCTTCCCCAGTTCCGTAGCTCGCTTCTCTCTCTCCTTTCTGCAACCCAAATCTCGTCAAAGGTCACATCCTTGCTCTCGTCCCCCGTCCTCGTCTCTCGTGAGAAGCCTCTAGAACATCTCTCGACTCGTCCCTCGTCCTTCGCCCCTTCGTACGGCTCCCCTCTCCTATCTTTGTCCTTCATGTTACCCAGGGGTCAGCGGCGCCGGCGCGGAGTCGTTCGAGATCCTGGTTCCCTACGAGAAGTTGCGGAAGACGGGGAAAGCTCGTTGATTGTTCCGGGACAGTCGGATTGGCGCATTTGCCAGGTGCGTGCTTGTGCGTGCTCTGCGGCAACACCTCGATCTGCAGTAAACGCCGCCGCTCCGGGCGATTTGTCGTTCACAGCGCTGAGTTCATCTCGCGGCCCCCAGTGCCCATCCCTCCCGTTTCACCCTCGTAAAGCCGGCCCTTGCAGGGTTGCAGCCAGCGCCCGCCGCGCGAAATGCCCAAGGGTCAAGCCAGCGGCGCCAGAGGGCCTAGCTAGTGCCCAGCTTCCAGGTCGGAGCGTCGAGGCGCGTGCTCATTCCAATTTCCGGAGCTTGCCCTGCTGCAAACTCCAGAGCCTGTATTCGACCTCCGGTTGCCCTCCCTCTCCCTCAGTCTCCCTCCCTGCGCGCTCGCCCTGTTCCTTCTGGCTTTTCTGCCCAGTGCCTCCTTCCCACTCCCCTTCATTTTCCGCAAGCTCTCGCGCTTCCTCTACGATTTGCCAGTCCGGGAACGCAGTCCGGGAACGCAGTTGCAACAACTTTTCCAACGACCGGACGAGAAGACTGCCCCCTCCCCCCTCCCCCCTTCCCCCCTTGCCCCTGCCCGCCGCCGCTGCAGGGAGTCGCCCCTCCGGGATCTTCCGTGGGACGGCTGGCTGCCCCAAGAGACACTGCGGGTACTGTGTGTTACATGATGATAACTGCCCCCGTCTCACGAACTCTCTACTCACCTAGCTTATGCTGTATTCATCTCTCTAACTGTGCTGTGCAATAGTCCGCCCGGCCGAGAGCAAAGGTTCCCGCCATCACCGACCGCCGTGGTCGGGTCGGGGAGTATGCCCAGCGGCGGCTGCAAGAACAAGTCGAAGACGCCACGAACCGAAGAGAATGGTTCACGGCTATGCTTTCGAGCAGGGGAAAGGGACGAGTGTAGTGTTACCCAGTGGGCGCTCAGGGCCGCACCTCGAAGCGACTGGCCGAGCGTGATCTGAGGCGATGCCGTAACCGCAGTAAGTACTGGTACGCCTTTGTCGTGCCCGAGCACAGCATTTCCATGAGGCATAGTCCCTGATTCATTCTATCCCGAGTGCAGGTCGGCAGGGTTTCGACGAGTCGGAAAGTTGGTCGATCCGACGCCTGCAGTGTCAGTCGTTTCGCTCTGGCTTGGAGCGCGATACGCTTTCCGCCTGTCAAGAGTGCACGGGTTTCGATTCTGTGTTCGTCGACCGGACTCCCATTGCAACTTGACAGGTCTGGCAATGCGGCAGAGTGGGGCCGTCCTATCGCTCGCTTCGGTTTTGCACCGACCGGCCCGAGAAAACGCGCTGTCAGGCTACAAAGAGGAACGTGTGGGCGTACAGCTCCGATGCTGCTATTGGGCTCGGACGTAGCTGGGATCGGGGCGTGGGTAGGTTGTCCCTCGTGCTGCCAGAGCTGGTCATGCCGCCAGCATCGGCGAGTACAAATGCGCGCCCCCACTTTTGACTCGCCGAGGTCCGACCAGGATGCCGAACCACGCAACACGAGAATGCGAGGGCCGATGCGTGTCAAGAGCACCGTTTCCGGAGGGACGATGTACGTGAGGCGACGACGCGACTGTATCCTCCGCACCTTGAAGATGGTATCGGCCCCAGAGCAAGCATCACCGATCTGGTCCGGAGGCCGTGACGCAATCCGGGCGCGAGCTGCCGCCTGGTACTGAATCGAGCGCTTACCGCGACCCACGAATCTGACCGCGCCAGAGGGTCAAGCAATACCGCCCGACGTGGACAGTACAGGGAGAGGCTCGCCAGGCACCTGCTCGGCGCGCTGATCGACCTCCTTCCTCTCCTTCCTCCTACCGCCTGGGTTGGGATCGGAACATTCCTCTCGGAAACGTTTGCGTGTGAGTCAGTGCAGTCTGTTTCCACTCAGCGCATACGTTACCTGCACGGGTCCAGTCGCTGGATGCGCTGGCTTCGTCGAGCTTCGGGCTCCGTGGACTTTCCGGCCTCGATTACTCAACCTGGCTCCAGCATCGTGGCTTGGCTTGGCTTGTGACTCGTGCTTTGGTTCTCGTGCTACATCAGGGATCAGCCTGTCGATGAACATCTTCCTCAAGTCCATGACCGACGGTATGCTCCTGCGCGACTGCTGCAGTTTGTCGACGTTGTCCTTGACCTCCTCGATGCGAGGATACTGACCGTGGTGTGCGTTAATGTGCTTGCGTTAGCATGCTACAGCGATTGCATGTGGGGGCAAAGCTGTCCACTTGCGTCCCAACGTTTCTGGAGCATACCCGCTGCCGCACCACTAGTATGGAAATTGAATAGGGAAGACAAGAAGTGCTACCAGTATAGATTTGGAGAATGCAAAGTGAGGTCGTGAACGGCCTACCAAACAGCTTGAACGATGGTGGAACAGCAGGGTGGGATAGGGCTTCTAGGGTCCGAAGTTATGCACTTAATAGGTTCGATCATCCTTACTAGAAGCCCTATCCGCACCCTGCTGTTCCACTATCGTTCAAGCCGGCAGGTAGGCTGTTCACGAACTCAATATGCATTCTCCAAATTCATCCTGGTAGCACTTCTCGCCTTGCCCATTCTATTTCCATACTGGGCGTTTCGTTTCTCGCAATGGTCCCCGCGTCTTCTCAATTCATCGTGAATCTGCATTGCATACAAATGAAGGACCCGAGAACGTGTACTTCGAACAGTGGAAGCACGACTAACGTCTCTGCGGCAACAGCTTTTTGTCCTTTTGGGCCGTCTTTTTGCGCTTCTTTTCGATCGTCTTGCGCAGCTGCTTCTTGTCCTGTGCCAATACGTCAAACTTGGCCTTGAGCAGCAATGCCTTGCGTTCGGCTGGACAGCGGAGGAAAACAAATTATGATGATCAGTCGCCATCGTCCTGACGCGATACCTATTCCGCTCAGTACCAACGTACCACTCTTGAGATGGAACGCTTGTTTGCCCTGCTGCCTCTTCTCCAACTCCTCCTTTTTCCAAGCCCTAAGCGCCTCTTGGTCCCTCGCCTTGTTCTTCCTACTAATCTCCCTACTTTCCATCCTCTGCAAAGCATCCTCCATCCTCTCCTTCTCTTCTTCAGAACCTCCCTTCTTGCGCGCCAAGGCGACGGTCTTACGTAAGGCTTCGAGTTCGGCGGTTTGTTGATCGGCTAGGAATCCGTAGGATCGAGAGAAGAGGTCGGACTTGATGTTTCCTGAAAGGGAGTCGAAGCGGGGGTCACGAGCTTTCTGTGGAGTTATAGACGAAGAGAGTAGGATCAGCTGCCCGAATGTGGGGAGTTGTGAACGTGGGAGGGCTTTCACGCACGTTGGCTTGTACCTCGATGACTTGGCGATTGCGTGTGACAGGCTTCTTCGAGCTTAACTCCATGGGCCTTTATAAACATCGGGAATATAACTCGTCAGCGTATCTGTGTTAAGTCCAGCCCAACTCGATTCCCAAGGGCGGACGTACGCATGCTTGCTCGAGCGTTGATTAGCATTCACTTTGGCCTTGCCTTTGCCCTTCCTATCCTTCAGCAAAGAAACCTTGGGCCGACCTCCTTGTTCTGTACCATCTTCTTCTGAATTCCCTTCCAAGTCCGATTCGTCGTCGTCATTCCCCGACGGTTTCCGCCTGAACCGAGCTTGGGCTTGCTGCTTGTTGAGCTTGCGTTGGGCTTTGACGAGCGTGCCGAAAGGGATGGAGGCCAGTTCTGTGATAAAGAGCCAATACAGCTTGTCTCAAAATAAAGATCGAGCTGGTGCAGGATGTGTTGTACAACTCACGCTTGCCCAAGTTGGTCTAAAGGAGCGGTGAGGACACGGCGGGGTCAGTCGATTCACCAGCAAATGCCCTGCACATCACCTCAAACACAACGCACCTCTTCGTCCTCACTCTCAAACACCTCGCCCTCATCCTCTTCAAACTGTGCTACCCCATCCTCTTCGTCGTCCTCGTCGCCGTCCTCATCCGGTTGATATTGGCCCGGGAACGACGAAGTTCCGACCCGCTGACGATCTTCTTGCCATTCATCCGGTTCATCATCGGTGATGTCTTGCATTTCTGGGTCAGAATCATCGGGGTCGAAGGGTGAAGGTGATCTTGGTGGTGGAGCGGCTTTGCGTGCCTTTTTGAGTGCCATGACTTGGGGGCCGGATCAAGTGCGAAGTCGTGTCGTTCGGAGCGAATGCGGAGGCGAGGCCGACTGCGAAATCGAAGCTCTGGCCAGTGATTACATACATCCTCCGCCGCGATCCCATTTGCAAACAAGTTGCTACAAGTGCTTATGTCGACTCTTTGAAAATTTCCGAAATATTCATGATCAAGTCAGGTACATCATCTGCATTTTTCTTTTTTTCTTTTTCTTCCCAAGATGTCTCCTGACGAACGACCGTTTACCCACAAACACGTGCAAAAAGGGGAACACGGCCGTGGCAAAACGTCATGCCAGCCTCACCTCGGGCGCGCGCGTGCGGAGAGACGCGCTGACTGGCGCTGACTGACACGGAAGCACCGCCTCGTGGGGTGTCTGGGCCCTCTCCTTTCGGCCTTCTCTCCCCGTTCCCGACCTTCCTTCTTTACCCCGTACGCCCCCATCCCACTTGTACACATCTGCACACTCTTACACAGTACAGCTACTCATACTCAAACATGGCGAGCGTCGACCCCATCACTGCGGACAACATCGGTCTCGGTCCGGACGGGGAGAAGATTGTCGATCCGAGCTACTACCTCATCCTCGGCGTCAAGGGCGACGTCGATCAAGAGACCCTCAGGAAGCAGTACAGGAAGTTGGCCCTCAAGTGAGTATAGAACGCATGTGCAGGGCAGGTCTTGCTTCGCTTCTGACCTCTCGTTCCTCACGTGGAACCACGCCAAAGGAACCACCCCGATCGGAATATTGGAGACGAGTCCGCCGCTGCGAGGTTCCAAGAGATCGGCGAAGCTTATGGTCCGTGACTCATCGTACCATAGTCACGCGGAGGATATTCCACACTCATATCCATCTACTTTCTATATCGTACCAGCCATCTTGTCCGACTCAAACGCACGAGCGGTGTACAACAAGCAGGTACGTCTTGCATCTCATCACTGAACCCGTGCCGTCGGTCACGCATACATCACTCGGATTCGCTGACGATGCCCCCACACCTCATTCGATACCATTCAACAGGGCAAAAAGTCAGCCGTTAATGAAGCCGGTGGCGAAGCGGCGATGCCCGACCCGGGAGAGATGTTTGGTCAGATCTTTGGCGGCAAGGCCTTCGAGGATTGGATCGGCGAGATCTCGCTCGGAAAAGATGTGTCCAAGGCATTCGTAAGTCAAGCACGAAGTTGAAGCCACTGTCGTTCAAATGGAATGACTGATGCTTAATTGGTGGTCGGCAGGAAATGAGCACGACAGAAGAGGAGCGTGAACAGCTCAAGGCCGAGATGATGGGTACAGATCCTTCCAAAAAGGCCGCCGACCCAACCGCGACCCTCGGCGCCACATCTACTGCAGCAGATACAACAAGTACGATGGGAATCGAAAACAACACGACCGTGCCGCCTCCCCAAAGTTACATCAGTCACTCGACCGCCGATGATATTCCTGCGGGTCCGGGCGTAACGACGACTGGACCGGCTTCGACGGAAGGCAAGTCCGCGCCGACGACATCGACTTCTTTAGGTACCGCCACAGCTACTTCGCCCATCCCAGGTGCCTCGACCGCTGCTGCGGGTGCTCACGCCTCGTTGTCAGCTGCCGACGCGGCCGAAGAGAAGGAGAAGAAGCGCAAGCTCGAAGCCGAGAAGCGTGAAAAGATGGAGCAGTTCGAGCGGGAAAGGACCGAGGAGAAGAAGCAACGCATCAAGGTGCTCTCATCCAAACTCAAGGATCGTATCCGTCCTTTTGTTGAAGCCAAGAACCCCGGGGCGAACGACGATCCGGAAACGCAGCGCTACCTCGCGAGGATCAAAGAGGAGACAATGGACTTGGCCTTGGAGAGCTTTGGTGTCGAGTTGTGCCACTTGATTGGCCAGATCTATATGCAAAAGGCATCATCGTACCTCAAACTGCACAAAAAGTCATTCTTCTCCAACGCGCTCGGTGTGCCGGGGTGGTGGTCCAGGGTCAAGGAGAAGGGGCAGATGGTCAAAGAGGGGTGGTCGTTCCTTAGCGTCGGGATGGAGGTGCAACGCTCGATGGCCGAGATGGAGAAACGACAAGAGAAGGGCGAATTGGATGAAGCTGAGGCTAAGAAGATTGAGGCCGACATGAGTGGGAAGCTGTTGCTCGTCGCTTGGAAGGGGTCCAAGTTCGAGTTGTCGACCGTGTTGCGACAGGTCGTTGATGCTGGTGAGTACACTCCTTTTTATTATCGAAGATTGTTGGGACGTACTCTGATTGATCCACTTCCCACCCTGTAGTGCTCGTCAAGGATTCACCCGAGGTGACGGACGCGATCTTGACCCGCCGGGCTCAGGCCATCATGTTCACGGGAGCGATCCTCAAGACGGTCAAACCCGAGGAAGGCGACGATGAGAGGAGAGAACTGGAGAAGCTCGTGGCTGAGGCATCTAGGAAGCGAAAAGAGAAAAAGTCGGGTCCCAAGCCGGTCAAGGAGTGAGGAGGGTTGTTCGAGGCGACGAGGGCCTTTTTCTTACCGCCGACTTGGGAGACGACATGTGACGGGATGACGATGCAATACCTATTTTTCCCCAATTTACTTGTTACTCTCACCTTTTACATTTGTCTAGAGGTTTTGTCTTCACTGTTTCCAACCAACCCGGTTCTAATCTAATCTTTTGAGCTCTACTTCGAATATGAAACGCTTCTTAACGATCCCTCTTGCCGTGTGCCTGGTCGGCCTGGACAGTGTCAGCAGGTTCAGGCGTAGACGAGTGCAATTCTTTCCTGACTTGTTCCCTTTGAGCCTGCGTTCATCAAGGTACAACAAGAAGTGTACTAGAGTTCACATCATGAGCTCATCCAAACCAGCAGGCTCGTGTGATGTTCTCTGTTCGTCGTTCTGGCTGGCGGATGGGGCCTGGGCATAAAGGCCCGGTTGGTTAATTTGTAAAGAGCGATCGACGTCGAGCATTGCCGGAAGCGGCGAAACACGCTGCAACTTCAACTGCGAGAACTTGAAGCCGGGCTTCGGAACACCGTCGTAATTCGAAATGATCGGGACTAACCAGTGCTTAATTGGTCGATCCCTCTTCCTTGTAGAAATGCCGACTGGAGGAAGACTTGTCCTCACACAGCTGCAGTGGCGCAGGCACTCGGCCCTGGTAGCGCGCGGGCGGCTCGGAGTCGGGCACAAGCTGCGGGACGGGCACAAGCTGCGGGACGGGCTTCGCTCGGAGTCGACCCTCGGACGTCGCAATCTCAACAACCCGGATCCTGATTCATCTGGCTTCCTCTCTTCATCTCGTGTTCGACGTCAACCGTCTCTTTGCCCTTATCCCTCCTCTAGGTTGGTTGACCGGGTGTCACCCAGCTTTCTATCCTTTCCTCCAATCCGACTGGTTTCGGATCCTTCTCAAGCTCGTCCGGTTCAGGACATCCGACAAAGGGGCGCTTTCCCTCGAACTCGGTCTCGACCCTCCGGAACCCGACTCGCTCGTTTCAAGCCGTCCTCGCACATCATTCCATCATCCTACTCGATGGTCGCAATTCCCGAAGGACGTGCACTGGTGCACAGGAGTCTACCCCTTGAGCAAGAACATGTTGTCGAGATGATGACGAACGAGGAGCATCGCCAGGTGCATGCGAATCTGCAGATCATCATTGGGTACCAGGTCAGTTACCATCGCGCGGAAAGGTGGCCCGGGGATCGATCGCGCGCCGTCTGCCCTCAACGGATGCAGAAATCCACCCCGGCTTGCTGCTGCTTTCGGCCTAGGTCCATAGAGGTCGATAAATTCTGCGTTGTTGAACGTTGAGACTTTACAATGCTACATTTACTGATGCTCAATCGGTCTCTCATTTTTTTAGTGGATCATCTTAGGTGTAATCGGTGTATCAATGCTCCGACATCTCATTTATACCGTCAAACGACGTCATCGGGTCAGTGCGCGTTTTCGGCGTGAAAGTCTCGCAGTAGCTCACTCGTCGACGGCTTCCACATACAGGCATGGCGTTTAGCACTACACAAAATCCGAGCCATGAACGACGAGATCCGAGGTTTCCACCGTCTCGAACCCCCGCCGAGGACACGCAACTTGGTCGAACACTTCGAGGCGCTCCTCTTGACCCCTTTGGCGTCGAAATGGTGGCTGGGATTGGCAAACCCTCTGCAGGTTGGTTTGATCGTCTTGTTGCTGGTTGTGAACACCGTTTCTGTTTTGGTCATCTCGATCGACTGGAGACAAGCCAATGATGCGCATTGGAATGCGATTCGTGAGTGATGGAATTGCTGCAAAGACCCCTAGAACGACCGGCGCTCAAGCTAACCCGACCTCGCGCACGCTTGCTTTATCCCTCCTCAGACGTCGTCGCTCTTCGATGCGGTTGGCTCTCACTTGCTCAACTCCCCGCCATCGTCGCTTTGGCGGGTCGCAACTCACTCGTCCAACTTGTTACGGGCATCCAATATCAGCATCTCCGATTCGCGCATCGAGCTTTCGCCTGGTGGATGGTCCTCTTTGGAGCCTTGCACACGATCGAGGCATCGATCGCCACGAGCAAATGGTTTGGTAGGGAAGGGGTTGAGAGGCTGTATCGTAAAAATTACCTTGGTATCACGGGGCTGGTCATTGTTGGTGGATGTTTCCTCCTCGTCTTCTTCAGCTTGCCGGCCATTCGAAGACGGTGTTATGAGCTCTTTTTGCTCATGCATATCGCTGGAGCGGGCCTGATTATCGGTGGTCTCGCCTATCGTAAGCCCCAGAAACGAGCGCAACGTCGGAGCTCAAAAGTCTGATTATCGCTTTCTACCTCGTACAGATATCTCGTCGAGTAAGGTTCTCCTGTGGGTGGCGATCGGCCTGTGGGGCGTCGAGCGCCTCTTGCGGCTGTGCAAACTCGTCTCGATTCGACTCCTAACTCGGCTCCAGTTACGACCTCCCGTCGTCAAAGCTTCCGCAACCTTGATCGAAGGAGCCATCGTTCTCCGCGTCCCCTTCCATGGCACCTGGGAAGCAGGTCAACATGCATATATCGGTATTTGGGATAAGGCCTTCGCCTCTCAACCGCAAGTCTATGGCCAGCTGCACCCTTTCTCGATCGCCAACGTTCCTCGTTCGGGGACCTTGGACGAATGGGAAGAGATCCAACTCGCCAAATTCAAAGGGGTCCGACAAGCAGGACATACACCCACAGCGCATGAGATGTTATTCATCATTCGGACGAGGGAGGGGATGACCAGGATCGTGGCGGATCGATTGGCGCAGAGTCCGACGGCGTCGAAGGAATTGATGGTTAGTGTGGAGGGACCTTATGGTGGCGCGGTGGATACGGAAGAGTTTCAAGAAATTCTCTTTTTGGCTGGGGGGACCGGTATTTCGCATATCATGAGTAGTAAGTTTGAGTTATACCGTGTGGGACCCACTGAGTGAGGGGAAGCTGACTGGATGCTCCGTTGGTCCTGACAGTGCTCGAGGACGTGATCCACAAGGCGCGGGTCTTCTATTCCAAAGCGCGAGTCATTCGACTCATTTGGACCGTCCAATCAGTCGGTGAGTTGATTGTCAGAGCTGAGGTTCGATGAATTCATCACCAAGCTCACTCCGTCTTTCACCCCTCAGAACAATCCATCTGGACACTCTCCTCCCTTCTCGAAAGCGCGAAAGAAGCCTTCGAAGCCGACGTCGAACTCCGGCTCGAACTCTACGTCACCCGAACCCCTTCCGGAACTCGAGTCTCTTCAGAACACGAAGCGATTCATTCTTCGAAATCAAGTTCCTCGACAACAATGACAATATCCTCAAGGGAGAAAGCTCTCCCTCTTCCACCACCCCTGACGGCTCTCATCGCTCGAACAGGAATTATCTCAACTTCAGCCGCGGCCGCAGCAGCGGTCATGTCCCCCGAATTAGACGAACTGATGGAAACATCACCTATGGCCGATGCTTTAACCGTATCCGCCGGACGACCGTATTGGCCTGGCTTGTTACCCAGCTTCGTTGGAGGTGCAGAAGGGAAGAGTTTGGTCGTAGCATGTGGTCCGGGAACAATGGGACAGGAGGTGAGATGGGAAGTGAGCAAATTGGCGAGGGAGTATCCGGTTAGCTTGGATGTGGCGCTGTTCGAGTGTTAATTTGATTCAAGTAGAGCGCTTTGTCCTTTCATGACGTCCATCTGATGACTGCATTCAATTACGCAACATATTGAGCCCGTCCATGAGAGCTTGTAGTCCTTCACACAGCCTACGTCACCTTCCAATTGCGTAGCTATTCGGCCTCAAGATACTGTTACAAGGATGAACGCCTACTAAATGAAAGTTACATTACCTTAAATCACCCGACATCAGAGCATAAGCAAAGAAAGCGACCGAATAAGCCGGGACTGTGATCGAACGAAAAAATCAGCAGCCGCACATATCATCAGCCCCCGTTCATCTCTAGAGGCCTCAACGTCTGTTCGGTGAACTTACCATAAGCCAACACCCTCGTAGCTCTCGCCAACAAACCTCTCTCAGCACCATGCACCATCTTCGCCTTGGCATCCCGCGCTCGAGCACTCAATCGCGTCGGACCGAAATGACGGCCTTTCATTCCTGAAGGGAGTCGAGGACCGGTCCCAGTGGCTCGATTTGAGGTTGAAGATCCGAGTGATGCTGTGGAACCGAAGAAGAAGTTGATGGGCCCTGCTTGACGAGCGGCTTCGGAGACGAGGTGGAATGCCGAGGGATTGGGGTGGAGTTTGGCGGAAGCGGGGTTGGGGAACGAGGATGCCGAGATCGGTTTCGGTTTCGGTTCGAAAGGTCGAGCAAGGAAGGCCTTGGCCGAGAGCGACGAAAGTCGTGATCTCCCTCGTGCGCGTAAGGTTCGTATGTGCTCCTTCTGGTTTCCTCTTGAAGAGCAAGGGGCTCGAGCTTTGGAGGTCCCTTTTTTCACCGGAGACGAGTTCCCATTCCCATTCCCCTCCCCTCGTCTCTCAATTTCCTGCTTAACCCTCTCCTCCCTCTCCAAAGCCTTCATCCTTCCTTCATAAATAACCATCCTCATCCTGTCAAAAGGTCTTGCGACCAAGGCGAAGCACAAACCCGCTACTCCACCAGCGGTGAGAATGCCCAAACTTTGAAGGAGCAAACTTGCCGCGCTGCGTCGTTTCTTTTTGACCGCAGGATCGTTCGATGGTGTCGGTGTAGGTACGACTTGATTCTTTTCTTCATCCCAATCGTTCTCCTCGACTTGATCACCTTCTTGAATCCCATCCCAAGCCAACCCCATCCTCCTCGACACCGATCGTCCGACTTCGAACGTCGCGAAGAACGCCCCAAACCCCAACCCATCCTTGATCAACGTCAACACCCAGAGCGTATACCCTCTCCTCACTTTCTGCGCATTCGACAACTTCTCCGTCGATCCTGTGTTGAGGAAGACGGCATCCCTCAATAAAGGCCACCAACTGACGAAAGGTTTAGAGTTCGGTCGACCGGGCTGGTTTCGGGATGTTCGATGACCGTAGAGACGGAGATGGTGTTGTCGACGAAGGAGGAGGAGGCGGGCGTTATCGAGGGGCGCGGAGATGATCGATTGGGATGCACCGGCCAGAGTACCGGAGATGAAAGGGATCAAAACTTGGGTCGAGGGGTGGGAGAGCACGTCGGGTGGGAGATGCGAGTTGAGGTAACTTTCGGAGGACTGGTGAGAAGACCATCCAAAACGAGGTGTCATTTGATGCAGGGCGCCCTGCCTTACTTGCCTACTCACGGTATAGACGCCGAAAAGGGTCAGGCCGATCAGGCCATTGACCAAGACAGGGGGTACCAGATGCCTCGGGATGAAACTCCAGCCTTGTTTGCGGATCAGACTTCGTACGAACGCCGGGGTGACTTTTGAATGACCATGTTCGTGAGCGATGGCTTGAAGACCTGTCCAGGTGGAAATCTTGACGGGGCGAAAGAGGCGGATCGGGCGCTTGAAGAGGAACGCCAAAGAGAGGAACAAGGCGCGAGTGAGGGCGGCCAAGACGGAGCTCGAACTGCCCGATTTGGTCTGAGAGGAGGAGGTAGAGGTGGGGTCGACTGGAGTGGAGGATTGGGGGACTATGACGAGCGCATCTTGGGATTGGGTCGTCGTGTCGGTGCTGACGTTCTCGAGTACTTCGGCGATCACCTCGCTCATAGCGCCGGCCCCGAGACAAGTGGGGGTGACGCGCACCGTGCGGAGCGACCCGCGACCACCAGCTGATCGGGACGCGGGGAGAGAGGAAAGTATGGAGTGCTAGGCTACCGTAAGGTATGGTCCATGGAAAAGTGGCCTTCCGGGTGGGTCGGGACTCGTAAAGGTGGCACACGCGGGTGAGGATGCAAGCTGAAAGGGAGCACGGAGCGCCGGGTCACGGGAATCCCGGCCCGCCGAACGACTTCGCAAGCCCCACCGCCGCACGCACGGACCTCTTTCTCACTTCCGCCTCATCGTCCCGGGCTCTGATCTACTCGCACCTCCACAATGGCAGCACCTACCGCTGAGCATCTCGCTCAACAGCTAGCCCGAGTCTCATCCTTGCCCGAAGAGCTTATCCAAGTCGTCAAGACTGCTCGTCTCGCCCTCCGCGATGACATCCAACTCAGGTTCGTTCGTGCGGAGCTCCCAGGGGAGGTCATGCCGGCATTCGTGCTCAGTAGGAAACTAATTCTTTCCTGATACTCCACAGATCCATCTATGGCCAATCTTCATCGTTCTGGACCTCGTTTGCCCAAGTTTGGCGCAATCAAGCTCAACTGCTCGCCCGGGGCGATTCGACGAGCGAGTTGGCTTCTACTTCAAGACAAGCGATCACCTCGTTGGCGTATTTGCTCTTGAGCATCTGTACGAATGATCAGCACAATCAAAGAAACGCAGCGTGAGTCAGCACTAGTCTCGGAACGTGGGGCAATCTGGTGGTCTCTTTAACGCGCAGAATTGTCACCCCTCTGTCCCATCCCTCGAGACAGCTCCAAGATCGAACCCCATCTTCGCTCCGTCCTGCTCACTGCTTCATCGCTGACTAATCTCGAAAATGAGCAGTGTGAGCTTGGTGAAGTATTCGCCTATCTTCCAAGAGCTCGACTGATCTCAACCCACTTTGGCTCTCCCAGTCACCCCTATGACAAGAGCTTGCTGTCAAGCGCTCGCGAACCTCATCACCGGCAACGAAGACTTGGCAACCCAGGTCCTTAAAGCAAGGCTCGTGCTGGAAAAGGACGACAAACTGATTTCGTGAGACGCGTACAGGTACCTCCACGAACGATCATCAGAACTTAAATGATTTGTGCCTTTTACAGTCGATTGTTCGCAAGTCAAGATTCTCAAACGCTCGAAGCATTGCTCATTTTTCTGCTCAACGTCATTCATGGGAGTCAGGAGCGATCGTGAGTCGAAATGCTCACAATATCAGGTGTATTCAAAACTGACTTGCTTATCCCGACCATGCCATCAGAACCCTCTTGGCGACCTGGGGTGACGGGCCCAAAGTGCTCGATCGGATGCTCGTCCTCATTGATTCGTTCACCAGTGACGAAGAGCAAGTTGATGGCGCGGATCCAAGTGCTGTCAAAGGGAAAGAAGCTGTGTTCAGTCTTGGGTCAGTAACATCATGGCGCGTTGAGGTAGGGCGTGGATAGGGATGGCGAGGCTGACGATGCCTTTGTCCGGTCGACAGATACGCGATCGGGCAGCAATTAATTGAAAATGGAGCTTGGCCACAAGCCTATGAGAATCAGCGAGCGTGAGTCTTGATCACAAGTTCTACATCTTCGCCCTGTCGGAAAGTTCAACTGATCGACCATTCCTTGCGCCCAACTCTCTGCCTACAGTATGTCAGGCTTCATCATCTCAGCCTCGCAAACGACCCTTCTCAAATTCCTCGACGGCTACCTCTCCGAACACTTCCAAAGCACCCCTTCGCCACCCTCACCATCCATACTCTCTCTCCCTTCCTCTCTCACCCAACTTCTCGCATCCTTCACTCAAGATCTATCAACTCGGGACCGATCTAAAGATGGAAGGGATGCGAATACCCTTCAAGGTGCCGTCTTGGCCGTCACGTGTTTGAATAGTTTGGGGTTGCATGGGACGGAAGGGAGGGAAGCAATTGCGGTGGGGATTGGGCCAACGATTGGTGAGTACTGCGGTTATCTCTTTTTCGGAGAAGAGGAAGCTCATGCATTCGGGTTCCATGCGGACTTTGATTTTGAATTTTGCAGCCCTCCTCGCCTTCGCCAACTCGCTCCCCACCCAAACACCTCAGATGCCTTTACCCAAAATATCGCCCATAGCAGAAGATACCTCCACATCACCAACACAGACATGGCTAGACCCCCCAGCGATAGGGCAAATCAAACGCGAATGCGTGCGTTTCCTCGCCATCGCGTCATCGGATCATTTCAAAGCCCAAGAAGAGATTCGCGAGAAAGGGGGTTTGGTGATGGTGTTGGGTATGTGTCAAATTGATGATTCGAATCCCAGTGAGTTTTGGGTGTGGTGCGAGAAGATTGGGTTGGGACTTGGGGTGGCAAACTGATGGGTTGGGTTTTGATTGGTGTTTTCTTAGCGTTGAGAGAACTTGCCTTGTTCGCAATACGGAATTTGCTCAAGGGAAATGAGAGGAATCAGGCTCTCGTGTGAGTGAAGGCTTTCTTCCGGGGCGTATTGTCGCACGATACCAACTCGCTGACTACCATCGCCTCGGATTCTCCCGCAGAGCCGGCCTCGAGCCACGCTACGTCGTCGGTCGGAATGGCGAGTTGAGGGATCTGCCAGCGGCTCTCCGACCTGATGGTCGTCACACCCAAGATTTCTAGATGTCATCTTCGCTTGTATAGCATTTGCGTTTCATTTCAATTTTGGAATCCACCCCGCTTCAACCTCATCGCACACACCCTATTTACTCGTCCTCATCCGATTCGACAACCAAGCGTCTCCTCGGAGCCGGAACCGGTTCACTCGCCTCGTTGTTCGACGCTTGTGTATCCTTCCCCGCACTGTGTCCCAACCTCTTCTCCTCCTTCTTCTTTCTCCGTTCCAACTCCATCGCTTTTTCAGCCCTTTCCATCTGATCATCGACGTCCATCCGTTCGTCATCATCATCGTCTTGTCGACCGCCTTCCCTTTCTTCCTCTTCTTCATCATCAGGTCGAATGAAGCCATCATCATCGTCGTCGTCGTCGTCGTCGTCATAGTCCTGAGCCAAAGGACCCCCTCTCCCGCGCTTGGGTTGACTTCTGCCGGCGCCTCCCCTCGCCCCGCCGATCCCGCCGTCTTCCCCGTCCTCATCACTCGAAAACTCAATCCCTTCCAACCTAACGGCCCCTCTATTCCTTCTCCCCCCTCTCGGACCGACGCCACCTTGGGCCTTTTTACGTTCCTTGTGCGCCTTCTTCCTCTTGTGCTCTTCCATCCGCTCCCTCTGAGCCTTCAACTTTTCGGGATCGAACGCGGGCAAGTCGGCGATCTTGGTTCGTACGCTCTTGAGATTCCTCGCATGGATGTGACCGGCCAACCTTCGATGAGTCGCGGATTGTAAAGTGGTAGGTCGGAAAGTGAGGGTGCCGTGTACGGAAGCTTGGGCTTCGAGTAGTTCGGTATAGTCGTGCGAAGCGACGAGGTAAGTGAGGCCGTGAGCTCGGTCGGAAGAGGTCGTGAGGGAGAGCGAAGTGGTCGACGAAGGCATGACGGGGATCGTGGAAGAGGAGGACGATAAGAGCGCGGATTGGTCGAGCGCGACGGACATGTCGAAGAGTTCGGAACCGAGTTGGAGGGACAGGGACCCGTCGGACCAGCGTACGATGCGCGCGTTGGATTGCTTGATCTGGCGAGAGGCAAGGCAGCGAAGCGGTTCTCAGTGGGGTGGCGAGGGTTTTTCAGTGGTGTGATCGATTCAAAGCGTATACAGTGTTGACTCACCACCTGGTCCAGCTTGTGCTTTGACCACCTCCACCTAATCACATTCTCATCCATCATCTCGTGCGCTTGATTCGCCGCCGGTGGTTCCCACATGAGATCATCGAAGGGCTGCGTCTCCAAGCCCAAGAAATGAGGCAGCCTCGCATGCCACACTTTACCCCCCTGGGGAACGTCCAAGTTGGCGAGAGGCAGGGCGACTTTGGTCTCGGTCTTGGTGACGAAGGTGCCGGGGGAGGGCGTGCGTTCGCCGTATTCGAGTTGGCGACGACGGGCGGCTTCTTCGGGCGTGAGAGCTTGGTCGTCTTGTTCGTCGTCATCGATGAAGTCGTTCATCTCGTTCATCTCGTTTGCGGTGTCGTGGTCGGAAAAGAGTTCGGGCAAGGGTACGGCCTCGGTGGTGGTCGTGGTGGGGTCTGCTTCGGCCGGGCTGCGCGGTCGCGAGCCATGAAGTGAGTTTCGTTGTTCGCTGCATCGTCTGATCCTGATCCAAACTCACTCGTCGTCGTCGTCATCGTCGTCATCGTCGTCATCATCCCCAAACAGATCCTTGGCCAGATCGCCGTCGTGCTGTTGTTCCTGTTGCCCGTCGTCGCGCTCGTCGTCGCGCTCGTCGTCGCCCTGGTCGTGCTCCTGGTCGTGCTCCTGACCGGCTTGATGCTCCTGTACGATCGTGGCCGCGTCCGAGTCCGAAGCTTTCGGTGGGAAAGCACCTTTGGTCGTGCGCGTTCCCAAGGCTTCGACGAGGGCGTCGGCTTGGGAGGGGTCGTGGTCGAGGTCCATCGTGGCTGTGGCTGTGGCTGTGGCTGCGGCTGTGGCTGTGGCTGTGGCTGCGGCTGTGGCTGTGGCTGTGGCTGCGGCTGTGGTGCGTGGCTGTGGCTGTGGTGCGTTCGAGCAAGAGGCGTGAAGCGCGTGAAGGACGGGGGGTCGACAGCCGGTGAATTGGCCCAGTATATATACAAAGCGCGTTGCTATAATGACGGATCAAAACCCGCTTTGCGCGCGAGTTCCCCAACACGTCGTCGTCGGGTCGCCGCGCTTCCCTTCCCGACCCCACATCTCGCCCATCTCGCCCATCTCGCCGCGGTAGGACCTGTCCGGAGCATGTCCATCCGAGCGAGCACCTCTCGCCTCAGTCTCGAAGACTGGGACCAATCCTGTCCGCTCCGCACATCCGAAGCGGCGTTGATCTCTCGCGTCCAGCACGCTTCCTCGAGCAAGCCGATCCCTGCGCAGGTGAGCGTGGGCGGTGTACCCCGTCCCCGCACGAGCCTGAGCCTGAGCCTGAGCCTGAGCCTGAGCCTGAGCCTGAGCCTGACCGCGCCTCTGTCTGGCACTCTTGTCCCAGCTACTCTCGCAAGCGCGGTCGGGTCGGCTCAATCCGAACACGAATCGGTCCAGGCCGACGACGCCTTCCATCCTGAGGAGCGCCGCTTCCCACGTCAGCCTCACTGCATCACCCGTGCTGAACCGATCTTCCTCGCCTTCGACCCCACCCCGCCCTTTGCACACCGAGCCCACCACCCCACAACAGCGAGCCCAGCGAGCCGAGCAGGAACCGACCTGGGCGCCGATCACGACCACCCAACAATTCCACGACTGGTTCGCGCTCGTCGAACGCTCGCTCGAGATCGAACAAGAGCAAGTCTACGTCAACCACCTCGAAACTCTCTCCCACCACCTCGCCGCGTGTGAGCATGTTTTGGAGAACTTGGACGACGCGAGGGGTCTGTTGAGTGAGATCGAAGCCAACTATCGGTTCGTCGAGGACAATTCGAGGGCGTTGCAGTTGGCGTGCGAGACCATGTTGGATGAGCAGGTACGTCGCAAAGATCTGCTCGTGTCTTGCTCCTCTGACCACTCTGCTCTTTCGTGCACGTCCACGTCCACGTCCACGTCCACGCAGAAACATCTGATCCAAGTCACCGAAGCGCTTTCGGCTCGGCTCGAATACTTTCGGCAACTCGAAACGGCGACGCGCATGTTGAACCTCCCCGGAGAGGACCTCGTCCTGCAGGAAGAGTTCCTCAACGTACTCGACCGCTTGGACCTGTGTTTGGATTACCTAAAGGCCAATGTACCTTGCTCCGTCTCAGAACCCGCCGCCCCTCGGACCACCCTGGCTAACCCCCAACATTCTTCCCCCCCTCTCTCTCTCTCTCTCTCTCTCCAGCGCGACTTTAAAGACGCCGAAATCTACCTCATCCGCTTCCAACAATGCCTCACCCGTTCCATGACCCTCATCAAAATGTACTTTGTCTCGACCATAAAGCGACTCACCACCGAAGTCCTCGACAAGATGACCATCAACGACCTCTCCGAAACCGCTTCCCACGCCCTCCTCTACACCAAATTCTCCACCACCGCAGAAACGTTGAGGATCCTGACCTACGAGTTGGAAAAGAGGGCGAGCGTCGATCGGAACGAGTACGGGAGTTTGTTGGGCGAGTGTTATACGGTTTGGTTCGCGAGTCGGGGACAGTTGTTGAGCGCCGAATTGCAGGAAGAGGTCAGGAGGATGGATCCGGTAACGAGTGATTTGATCAAGTTGGTGCGTCGGCGACTCGGACCCCCCATTTCCGGACTTTGACTGATCATTCTCCCCTTCACTCCCCTCACAGGCCAAAGCAGGCTGTAATCACCTCCGTTCGGTCTGCATGGCCGAATGGGACCTCTACAAACAACTCTTCGCGACCGGCGAAGTCGAAGCCTATCGATTCCTCGAATCCTTATGCGATTATTTGTACGACTCGTTGAGGCCCCGGATCTTGCACGAACCCAAGTTGGAAACGTTGTGCGAGTTGTGTACGATCCTCGGCGCGATGGGTGGGTTGGATGCGGAAATGGGGGAAGATGAAGAGGACGATGAGGTCGGGGGCAGAGGTTTGGAGCAAGGGGATACGTCGCTTGAGCTTCGCTGGGGGAACCAGACCGCTTCGGCCGCGACTTTCGTCTCCCCGAACTCGACGACGATAACACCATTGGGTCGTCTCAAATTCTCCAAACTCCTTCAAACGATCCAACAAGACGCTCAAACACGTCTCGTCTTCCGAGCCCAAGCCGTCATTCAATCCGAAGTACTGCACTACACACCAACATTAGAAGACCTCGATTACCCTGCCAAACTACTTGATTCGGAAGGGAGAACGAAGGACTTGGCGTTGTGGACGGAGGATGAGAGGAAGAGGGAGACGGAGGGCGGTGGAGGCGCTTTTAGGGTCCCGAGGGAGGAGGTGCAGGGGGATTGGTACCCGACCTTGAAGAGGACGGTTTGGGTGTTGAGTAAATTGAATACTTATGTTAACGTGAGTCCGGAGGGGTGGATGGGGTGGGAAGTTGAGACGGGCTGTATCCAAGCTGATCTTCGTTTGCGTTTCTGCGTCGAACAGAATGCCATCTTCGAAGACTTTGCTGGAGAAGCCGTCACATTGTGTCGCCAGTCCCTCTCGACCGCCGCAGCTCAAATTCGGTCCCGACCCTTGCCCATCAAATCCGCCGTACCGTCCGAAGAACCCACCACGACCTCAACCAATTTGAACGACGAAGATCCGCGCCAACTGGACGGGCAATTGTTCTTGATCCGTCATTTGTTGTTGTTGAAGGAGATGATTCGGAGTGTCGATATGGTCCAGATTGAAAGGGCAGCGGATTTCTCCACCGTCACTGGTAAGCCACTTCCACACCCTACCCTCGCAGCGAAACGCGAAGCTAAACCCGCCCCGCCCTTCCCTCCACCACAAAAACAGACGCCCTCATCAACCTCCTCCGTAACACCTCCGTCATCTTTAACCGCAACGCCCTATTCGAACTCGCGTCGAGGGGAATCCCTTCCTTCACCGAAACGATGCGCGATGCGAAAACCGACTTGGATTCGGCGTTGAAAAGCGCATGTGAGGAATTGATCGCCGAAACAGCCCGGACTATAGGCAGGGATATACAAGGCTTTCTGGACGAGTGCGGGACCTACTTGTCCGCTGGAACGACTGGGACTGCAATTGGGGCGGGGGCGGGGCAAGGGAAGGATCTTTCAAGTCAAGGTTGGGCTTCGGCGGAAAGAGTGATGGGTTTGCATGATGCGTTCGTTGGAGGGGTTCAGGGGAAGGTCGTAAGGGTCGCGATGAGGTTGAAGGTCTATTTGAACGATCCGAAAACGAGTGCGGTGTTGTTGCCGCCTTTGTTGGTCAGTCACGCTATCGGGCTTGGTCGTGTCTCGGAGTGGGAAGGCTGACGTCTTTGGATCTTGACGGGATATCACAGGACGAGATCCTCGATACCTATTCGACTTTCTATAACCGTACGTCCACTTCCAACTTCTCCTACATATGGGTAGCAGCAGCATCTAAGCCTCTCCTTACGCAGTGATCCGTTCCGAATACGGCTTCGTCACCACTTCAGCGATGACGACCCCCGGTGTCGTCAGGGACAAGTTGCAAGAAGCGGTACAGCAGGTCGCATAAGCGGAGGGAGGAGCTCGAGCAAAGTTGGGGGGTCCTTTAATTTTGGGCTTTTCGTGTAATAAAGAAGTTTTGTTTCGTGAAGCAGCATAGGTTACGATCGAGTGTACATGCCGATCATTTCAAGATCCGTTCAGTTCAATCCCCCGATCGCCACGAATTTGATGATCTGATACTCCGAGAGACCACTTTAAAAAAGGGAACCATTACCGCAAACGTGCATCAGCTTCGTCGTCACACTCAGTCTCGATGACCAAATCGCAACAACGTACTACTTCGACCCCTCCCTCCCGAACCCAGATTGTTTGACGCCGCCGAACGGGATCCCAGCTTGCGAGATGGCCCCCGTGTTCGCACCGACCATTCCCGTTTCTAAAGCCGCGGATACGCGATGCATGCGCGAGATGTTCTCGGTGAAGATGTAGCTGAGAGGATAAAAGTCAGATCAGGTAGATGCCTGCATGGGGAGGCGAGGATTGTGCTTACGCAGCCAGACCAACATCAGGCTCATTCGCTCGTTCGATCGCTTCGGCCTCAGTCTTGAAGCGGTACAAGGCCGCGAGCGGACCTAAGAGAAAGGGAAAGGATATACGCCCCAAGGCGAACCATCAGCTTTCTGGGAAGCATTGTTGTGTCTACTTGTACTTCCTTCTCACCAAAGGTTTCGTCCTCGTCGATGGCGCAGCGTTGGACTTCGATGAGAACCGTTGGCTGTTTTCGTGTTCGAATTGAGGTCGTCAGTTCAATCTCCCTGCAATTCGAAGCAACTCCTTACTCTTACGACTGACCTGGAAGAAGTACCCCGGCAAATCCAACACATCCCCCCCAACAACGACCTTGGCTCCTTTCTTCTTCGCATCCTCAACATGGGATTTGACCTTCTTGACCGCATTCTCATGGATCAAAGGACCATGCGTGATCCCCTCTCCCGTCCCTTCCCCGACTTTGAACTTGCGTACGGCGTCGGCGAGTTTGGACGCGAATCTGTCGTATACGCCATCCTGGACGAGGATACGGTTCGCGCAGACGCTGATCGGCGAGAGAGTCCTCGTTTAGTCCGACCTGTGTTTGGCAAAAGGTTGATGGCTCGATTTCGCGAACTGACCAAGTCTGACCACTCAAACGAAATTTGGAAACGATCGTCCCCGCCACGGCCTTGTCGAGATCGGCATCATTAAACACAATCAACGGCGCATTCCCACCTGTGTGCGAAAGACGAGCCCGTGAGGCAGGATCCCAAAACGCCCCGCCGGTGCGAACGTACGTACCCAATTCCATGCTCAACTTCTTCAACGATTCACTCGATTGCTTCATCAAGATCTTACCGACCCTCGTCGAACCGGTGAAGGAAACTTTGTGGACCTTGGGGTTCTCGCAAAGTTCTTTCCCGACGGCAGAAGTGGATTCTTGCGTGAGGATGACGTTGATGACACCGTCGGGGACGCCGGCTCGTTTGGCGATCTCGGCGATAGCGAGGATCGAGTAGGGTGTTTCGGAAGGCGCCTGAGGTGGGACAAAAGTTTCAGGCCCGAAAAACTGTGGACGATCGTACACTCGCTATGCTGACCTTGATGACGACGGTGCAGCCTGCGGCAAGGGCGGCTCCGACCTTTCTTGTGACCATGGCGTTGGGGAACTGCAAACCCATACATTCGATCAGTTGGATAATGAAGATTGAAGTAATGATGAAAAGTAGGTATGACTCGCGTTCCAAGGAGTGACTGAGATTGGAGTAGATGGGTTGAGCTGGAGCTTTCAGCAAGAGGCCTAGGCAGTGATGGGCAACTCACTGATACCACACACGCCGACAGGCTGCTTGATGACGGTGTTTTGGACTCCCGGAACCGAGCTAGGAATGATGTCGCCGTAGCTTCGGACAGCTTCTCCAGCATACCATTCCCAGAAGGATCCACCGTAACTAATTTCGCCTCGAGCATCGACGAGAGGTTTGCCGTTCTCGGCGGTCAGGATTTGCGCCAAATCTTCGGCGGACTCATTAGTCAATCTGGGGGTGGAGCCGGAGTGTTAAATCAGGGTCCTTTTTCCCACTGTCAGAGAGGTCAGATGATGATGATCGTCGACTGACTGGAACATCTTGGCGAGGATCTTGCTCCGCTCGTACTCGGAGGTTTTGCCCCACGTCTGGAAGGCTTCGTATGCTCTGTCGATGGCTTGCTTGGTATCATCCAAGCCCATATCAGGCAGAGTACCAATTTGCTTTCCTGTACCAGGATCTGTGGAATGGATACAGTGGAATGAAGCCGCCGCCCACCGACCGCTGGGTGGAACTTTACGTTCAGAGTAGACTGACTCATGACGGAGAAGGTCTTGGTCGCCGTTCCAGAGGTCCATTCGCCGTTGATCAACCCCGACGTGATCCACAAGCCAGTATCCTGGAGCTGTAGGCACCGCAAGCGGTCCAGCGTGCGAACTGACGTCAGTGCCAACTCCATCATGGCGCGTCAATCAGCCGCAGCCGGTCTCGGGCAGCATGGAGTCCGTACCTTGGGAGCATCGGAAGCTGTGGACAACGTGACATCTGATCAGCGAACCGATGGCTACTGCGCGAGGTGGCTGTACTCACAGGTGGAAGAGGTCGAAGCTGATCGAGCGCCAATCGGTGCCGGTCGCCAAGTGGGGCTGCAGTTCGGAGCGATTCGACCGATGGCTACTCCAACAAGGGGCACCCGAGATGAGGAAGCAACCGAGGATAAGGCCCTGGATTTGATGGCCAGATTGGCTGTGGTGGTGAGTGATCGCCGAAGCATGGTGTGGTGTCGCAGATCTGGGGTGACGCAGCAGAGCTCGAGAGGAGACCGGCAATGACCGAATGTGGAGCCCGCGCTTCTCACCCACCGGACATAAACGATCCGGATTATCCGCCGCATTTTCACCGTGCAGCTGATTCGATAAAACCTGGGTAGATCAGTGAAGGCGTCGTACTTTTTTGTTTATCAAGTATGGATTCTAGCAGCGATTGGACGGAGATCGAGATCGAGATAACGAGATACACAGCCAGTGCCAGCCTGATGGGAGCACGGGAGTCGAGGCAGCCGGTAGAGGAGAGAAGGTCGGAAGCGAACCGAATGAGGAACTACGATGTAGAGAGTCGAAGGCCCAAAGCCAGGGATTATGTTTTACTCTGTGTTGTAAGAGTTATTCGTCTGCTCTAAGGAATAATTTTCAAAGTGAGGAACCATGAACGACGCGTCGACCAAAGCTCTCGAATTCGTAGACGGTTTCCAATCCGGCGTCAAGCGGTAGGGTGTACCAGAAGCGAACATCTCGTCCAGTTCCTCGAGCGACCATCCTGACGTTTCAGGAACGCAGAAGAACGTCCAAATGGCTCCCATGAAGGTGGTGACGAACCAAACGAAGGCGATGCGTGAACCCATGGCGAGCTCGTTTGGGTCGGTCAGATAGGGGACCGAGAACGTGACGGCCCAGCTCCAGAGCCAGTGCGAGGCCGTGGCGAGCGACATCGCCTTGCCCCGAAGACGAAGAGGGTACAGCTCTATCGGGGTCAAGATCAGCGCCGATATGCTGATGAGTCACCTGGCATGCTCCTCAATCCGCCAGTGGCACCCCCAAGCTTACCCGAGATCAGTACCCACGTCCCACAACCCCACGTCGAGGCGAATCCAGCGACGAAGAAGGCTGTGAAAGCGATAAGAACGCTATGTGCCGCGCTTGAACCCTCGTCAAAGCCGATGCTGACCGCGCCAATGATGAGTTGACACATCGACATCCACAAGGCCCCACTCAGCATCAATTTGCGCCGACCGAGCCTCTCGACTAGCATGATACCTGGGGCGGTCATGCACACGTTCACGATGCTGAGCGCCACCGAAGCGAGGTATGGCTCCGAGATGCCCACTTGGGTGAAAAATTGTGTGCTATAGTACCAGACGAAATTGACGCCCGTGAGTTGTTGAAACGCTCCAGCGAAGACGCCGCATAGCGTTCGCTTGAGCATGATCCTGCTTCTGAAGCAATCGAGGAGGGAGCCTTGGTCGATCACTTTCTCGGCCTCGATGCTGGCGAGGATCTCCTTGTACTCAGCGGTGACAATTTCGCTGTTTTCGGCTCGACCGCGCATCGTAGCGAGCGAGCGACGACCTTGGGTGAGCTTGCCCTGGTTGATCAAATGTCGGGGCGATTCGGGCAGTGCGAAGGTCCCGCCCATCAAGAGCAGACCCCATAGGATTTGGACGCCGATCGGAATACGCCAGGATGCCGTCGATTCGATGCTTCGGGTGACGCTGGAAATGACTTGAGAGCCGAAGATACCGAGCGTAATTGAGAGCTGGTAGCATGAGACGATAGCCCCTCGAAGTTGAGGTGGCGCAGCTTCGGCTTGGTACATGGGAACGAGCATCGACACTGAGCCGACGCCGAGCCCCGCGACAACGCGACCGACGATGAGCCCCACGATGTTGGTGAAAAATACCTGCATAGAGCCTCCGACAAGGAACAGGAGCAAGGAAAAGAGAACACCCCCTCGGCGACCGCAGTCGTCCGCGACGACCCCACCGGAGAGAGCGCCGACGAGTGTGCCGAGGGAAAGCAGCGACGTGATGAGCGCACGATCCAGCGAGCTGATGCAGTAGATGCCTCCTTGATACTTGGCTTGCAAGGCGCATCCCACGCCGTCGGCGGACCTATATCCGAATGTGTAAAGCCAGTTCTGCAGGATCCAGCATCATGGTACGACATTGCGAGTCAGCCCGGGCCCGGTGCGAGAGTATTGGCGGGCAGGAAGCTCGCAGAACGCTGCGGGGCCCCGCCTACACGTACTGGCATGGAAAGTATTCCGTTGATATCGGTAGCATGGTATCTGGGGAATAAATACGAGTCGACAGATAAGTTCATTAGTCATTCAAATGGACGCAGTTCCCCTTCGGTTACTGAAGCGCTGCGAGTAACGCAAATCGATACCGGAACGTCGCCGGTATGGCATCCCAAACGAGGGCACCCTATTAAGTCACCAACACCGGCACAAAGTGATCCGAGCCTCAAAGTCAGGAAACTAACTTCAGTTCCACCACTCACCCAAAAATAAAGCCACCTGAACAATAGTCAAGACAACACTGGGGTCAGCCTCGGCACGTTTGGCCTCCTGCGAGCACCGCACATCCGGCGCTATCTCAGGGGGTCACAATCCATGGACAGTGCGTGCGCAGTAAGCTGGCCCTGGCAAAGTCGAGGATGGATGGGGCGTACCGAAACCGACAAAGATGCACGTGAAGGCGGCTCTCAGTCCGTAATCTGCAATACTTAGTATTGTCGTTCGCATACCATGCGCACTGTCGTCCCACGCGAACGTTGTCTCGTCAGGTTAAGCGCCGTGGGGAACGGGTGAGCAACTACGACGTGTGTGATCTCAGAGCACATGTGAGACCGGCCGCTGCCGCCGAGTCCAAACTACTAGCGCTGGGGCCCTCCCCGAATCTTCCCTACTTAAAACGCCAGGGGCTCAAATAGTCGAGCCTATCCAATCCCCCGTCGAGAAAGTCTGTCTATCCGGGATCTGAGGTGATGTGACATGAGGACTTGTTAGTGAGAGGTTGATGTGATTTGAGCCGCGCATCTAATGCAGTGGAGAGTCGCGCTTGAAGGTTGAAGCTCGGGCAATCCGTGTTCACGAGTCAGTGCGTCAAGGAGGCCCGTGCTTTATAACCTAATCACAACCCTCCATCCGCTTTCAGTGTCGTCGAATCGGTGGAATCGGCCATGCGAGCACACCGGAGAAGCGAGATCAGCGGCGGCCCGGGCTCCATATTTCCGCTAGAGCATCGCCTCCCCAAGTCACGTTTCCGAAGGGGCATATTGCCCACACTTCACATTCACACCTCATTCGTCCCACGCCAAGCAACATCAAGGCGGTGGAGAAGCACCACCCCTAGCTGCCACCGAAGACCTGAATGTCTCGAAGGGAGCTCAAGAGACGAAGAAAATGTTCCACGCCAACACAGTGAGGGCCGTGGGAAAGGCCTCAAAGTCGCGAACACTGCCTGTCGCCCCTCACCACTGCAAGACGTTTCCTGGAGCGGAATGTAAGGTGGACTCATCGGTCCCTGCGGGTCCCCCAATATCCATTTCGTGCTCGGAATTGATGGGCTCAATTACGTTCCCCGATTGCGCTTGTCAGCTTTCGCTATTGACACACTGAAACTGACAGGCGTTTCTGCATTGACTCAAGCGCCAAAAACTGGCAGTGTTTTCGCCAAAGGGTCAGCCAGTAACCCACGAAGTACAGTACTTACGGTTCAGCTGGATGTGTGGCAATGAGGCTTAGTACAAGTGCTTCGATCTAGTCTCCGACCCGCAATCCCAAAAGCACGTCACCGCCGATCTCTGGTGCGACATCTCCTCATCGTTCTTGCGACCTTCAAACTTTCACGTCGTGCATGCGTTTGCGCACAAGAAGATGGGCCCGGCTCACGATATCGCCTGCGCCAAAAATTGCCGATTATAGTCTACGCCTTACATGTGGCATCAATAAGGGGCTCTTCAAGTTGCCTCCGTTCTGCCACTGCTCGTTACTTTTGCTCCGATGCGCCCTCCTTGCCCGCAGCCTTTCACATTAGGCTTCTTTCTCGCACAACCAGCTAACGGTTTGTCCCTCATTTGATGCTGCTTTCCTCCTTCTGCTGCGGTACCCACCTACCGCGTCCTTCGTTGCCCTGCTTCTCTAAAGCTCTTCCCGCGAGATAATCCATAGTCCAACTGTGTCCATTACAAGCCTTCCTTCCACCTTACGAATAAACGCTATGTGTCAACAAAGGCTGAGGATTATGCGTTGACATCCTCGTCAAGTCCCTTAAGAGAGGGAGATCAACGCGGCGCGTGAACTTGACGAAGACGTGGGGAGCGTGGTGGGACAATCGTTCGAGGCAGGCGACACAGGCGTCGAAGGCGGGACAGTGGCCTGGGTTGGGGAGAGAAGGTCCTTGATGATCAGCCCCATCTCTCTTCGAGGGGCCGAAGAAGGGAAAGGCAACTCACAACATCGTAACCAAGGTCCCTGAATCAACTCGTCACAGATATCGCAATACACCTGACGGTGCAACACCACCGAGTCCAACGAATCGGAGTCGTGATCCGGGTCTGATGTTTCCTGATCGCGAGGTGATAAGGACGACGTCGGGGAGCTGTCATCGCTTCCTCGCGCGGTGACCTCTTTGCCTCGCCTTGGAGGAGGGAACAACGGGTCGTAGAGGATCGGGAGAAGTTGACTTAGGGATGGGAGGGGCTTCTGAAGGGGTTGGGTTAGACGCTATGGGGCGGGCATGAAGACGAGAAGTTTCTTTAGTATGCGAGTACGCCCTTGGTACCCAATAAAACGTACCAGGAAGCAATGTAGTGGGTCATGTAAGTCGTGCGATGAGGGCTCGCAGTTCGAACACTGCACACAAACAGAAGACGCGTCAGTCGTCAACCTGGCCCTATCCTATATGGAGAAAACCCTACCAAATCATAAGTGGACGGAACGGACGGGCACTGCGCGCACGTCCACCTCGTCCCTCTAATATACCTCTCCCCACATCCCTGACAAGGTACATGATGCACCACCGCCGACCAAGCCGGAGGCTGTGCCGCACTCTGCGCTCCTCCCGCAAGAGCCGAATGAGCATACCCGGCAGGTGATGATCCACCCCATGGAGTCGTTAGTTGTAGATGATGACGTCGAAGATCCATCCCGTTCGGAGAGAAAGATGAGTGATGCCCATGAGTCCAAGGGTTGAATCCCGATCTCGTAGCTAGAGGACCAGTGAACCACCTTGGCCCAGGTCGTCCGTGGGTATTGCCATGGATAACCCGTGGGCTATGAGTTAGACTTTGTGCTCGATGAGCGGCTTCGTCCAATACTTCGGATTTAGAAACGGGTATGTTGATCTTGAGGAGGATGTGGGCGGGGGTATGACGGCCTTGCGATAGTTCGATGCCGAGGTCATTCGCTTCGCACTGCATTGACAGCATCAAAGCCATCAGGGCTCCGTTACTCTAGGCCTTGCATTTCCGAACATACCTGCGTGCACAGATCGAACGACGGGCAAACGGAACACGAGTACCTAGCCCCCACAATATCCTGCGAGCATCCAAAGCACACCACCCCTTCATGCCTGACCATCGAGCTTGACGGTGTCGTCGGACTCGTAAGGAACGAGTTGTCCCCATTCAGCATATACCGAGAATGCTCAACCCCTCGCGTGTTGAGCGGTGAAAAGCCGAAACTCTCGTCCTGACTATTCATCCCGAAGCTATGGTTGCCGGTGGGTGATATCTTCGGCCGTGCGGGTCGATCAGGGATGGTGAGGAAGGAATGGATAGGGTGGATGTCCTCAACGTTGCGGTAGCACGAAAGGCAGAGCTCGAACTTGCTGCATGAAAGGCACTTGAACCGATTGGTCTGTACTGGACCTGTACCGCACGTCGAGCAATGGACGTCGTCGTCGTAGTCTGCCAATTTAAGGAGCCCGTTCAAATCAGTCGCCGTGCAAGCACGATCTGAAGACCCAGTACATTGAACTGACCGACTTCTCTCCACCCATGAGTAGCACTCATCTTGACGACCTCTTCAAAAGCATGCGACAACTCCATACTGTACACGCTCGTCCGCACCGTCTCGCTCAGCTCATCCACCGCAACCATCTGATCCCCATTCTCTCCACTCCCATTGCGCGCGAAAACGGCACGCTCTTTCTCCAATGCCCTCATCGCATTCGCATGCCTCACGCCCTCGGTCTCGACGCAGTCTGAACAGAGTTCGAAGCCGCCTCGTTCATCATGGCCATAGTGGTGGTGCGCTTCTTCGTGTTGTAGAAGGTCGGAGCTCGTGCCTTCGTGCGGGTGCGTATGGAGTGGGGAAGAGGCGTCATGGTGATGAGATGGTGACTCGGCCCTTGCCTTTCCTTTCGATGCATCCGAATTCCAAACGTTGACCCCAAGTGGATCCTCATGTACTTTCGCCGCGTCTTGCTCTTCCCGCTCCGAGACCTTTCCGTTTGAAGCAGAGTCGGAAGTTGTTGATCCAATTTGAGTGCCATCATCGCTCGTCGCCATCCCATCCGGTAAGATAGGCCCACAGCTCGCGCAGATGTACCGAAAGCTGACCATAACCTTGGCGCAACCGCAACACCTCAACAAACCGTCCCTCGCGGCCGACAGGACCGAAGGTGCGGGCAAGCTCGAGCGAGATAGATCGGCGAGGAATCCGGGGAGATCAAAGTTAGTGTGGTTGGTATGCGAAGAGGAAGGAAGGACATTATCGAGCAGACGGGCGTTGAGGTGCGTTTCGACTGGGGAGATCTCTTCAGAAGGATAAGCTCCGATCATTCGCTCCGTACCTCTCCCACTCGCGCCCTCATTGAGGTTGAGGCGAGCCAGAAGATGCTCCTCTTCGCCGTGCCGTGGCCGACCTGAACGCTCACCCAGTGAGGGGCCGGACCCTGTCGACCCATTCGAGCTACCACTCATATACGTCGGTGGTGCCGAAAAGAGCTTTCCCGTAGAGCCAGCAACTTTGGACGATACGGACGATCCTGTGACTCTCGAAGCCCAGCCCGTTGATGAAACCTGATCGACTGTGGAAGCCGTCCGGACCGATTCGCTGTCAGAGGCAGGTCGGGAAGGGTACGATGGCGGTGCCACGTTCGCAGGTCGACCGGGGGGCACCGCATACGAGAGCACGTCGCTCCCGGAATCCATGAAAGGGTTGACGGTGGCATTCCGTGGGGTCTGGGCCGGTGGAGAGAGTTGCCATCGAGCTGGGGGAAAGTCGGACTGAGCGAAGGGGGTTGGAGATGCCGAGGGGTGAAGCGGGTAGGCGTGCGGTTCGTACCGATTCGGATACGGGTATGAATAAGGATCGATGCCCGGCCGCGAGGGTGAATGCCTCGAGGTCGGCTGTTTCGGGTGGTCATCGCCGCCGTAGATCTGACCTCTGTCGCCCCTGTCTTGGCCATAGCTCCGTCGCGTTTCGTGTTCATTCGTCCTGTTGGATGCGGAAGAATGCGACAAGGATACCAGAGACTGCGCATCCCCGTCATGGTCGTACCCACGGTGGTTCCCAACGTCCTGACTCCAACTATCGGCATTCCGACTCCCCTCATCGAACCTAGACGAGCGACTCGTCGAACCCCTGCCCGAAGCAGTCTCAGTCCTCGTTTTCCCACCATACATCGATTCGGCACCATAATCGCTCAACGGCGGCCCAGCATAATCAACGAGGATGTAGACCTTCATCGTGATCTTCTTTCTCGATGTGGACGGTGAAGATCGATCGGTCGGTGGGGGGGAAGAAGCACCGTCGTACGCAGAGGCCGACTCATCGTCGGCGAAAAAGTGGATGGCTTCGATGAGATCGTCCGAGGTGAAGATCTCGGTTTGGTCCCCATCGTCGTCGCGGTCTGTGTGCGAGGATGGGAAGCCTGGATCAGTGGTGGGATCCTTGTTGTGGGGGTCGTGTCGTGTCGTCTACGCCCTGAGCGGCAGCGCAGTGTAGAGAGTCGTGGCTGCTCACATGCGATCCGAAAAGCTTCGGGTAGCGAGAAGCATTGTCGAATCTTTTCCTTGAACGCCTCGATATAGACCTGTAACAGACGACCATGCCTCGTTATCAGTCCAGCGAGCGGCCTGGCCGCCTGCCGGGCGCTGGAGCTGATCGAGCAGCAACTCAATTTCCGTGACTCACGGTGTCCAAGTTGGGGAAGGTCACTCTACGACTGAGCGAGCTATTGGGTCCGAACTGGGCTTTGACGATCAACGAGGTCATCGCGACGAGTGGTCGACCCTGTACCTGGCCCGTCCCGCGGTCCCGTGGCACGGCTACTCGCCGAAGGGGGAGAAGCTGCCCTTTGCCAACAGGACGCTCGAGTGGTGTAGAGTCGATAAAATAACGCGGTGGAGGCTGCCTGACGAGCAGGCGAATCAGAGCGTAGACGAAAATGAAGGACGTCGGGCTGGGGCGGCCGTCGGGGTTTGGACATCGCGCATTTCTAATCCCCGAATAAGCTTGATGACCGGGTTTCTGTTTCTATTTCCAGCGCCGCGCCCGCGCGACATTTAACGCGCCCACGCCTGCAGGCTGCAGATTGACTGTCTGAACTGTGCCCATCCACAAGCGTAGACACGACCATGTCGTAAGGTGCTCGACTCGTCCCGTTCTGCACAGTGTAGCTCAGACTGATCCGTTCCTTTCTCACGCACAGCTCCGCAACACCCCCCACCGCTACCTCTGACGCCTCGAACTCGCAGCCGACCGGCGCGGACGTCGCTCCGACCACCGCCGCTTCCGAAGCAGCTCGAGCTGAACCCGCAACAGCGCCTACAGAGCCACCCGAGGGCGACGCCGATGCGGAAGATGCGCCTATCGACATTGCGGAATGCATGGCCGCTGCGACCCGTCATTTCGCATTGAAGCAATGGTCCCTCGCGGCTGAGCAGGCCAGTTATGCGATCGAAGCCATGTCAGTGCTCGACGTTCTCGTTCGGCCACGTCGCGACGCGTCGATGAACGGCGCGAGCTGGTCAAATGACGGGGCGACCGCAGCCTCGGTGGGTGGGGGCGACCCGCTTGCACTTCCCATGACTGACCCTTTTGCACCTTGTGTTTTCCTCATCACAACAACAGTGAGAAGCAACATGGCGAACTCTCGAAAGAGTCGGCCGATGCGTTGATGCTCTATGGCAAAGCCGCCTTGCAGAACGCCATCAGTCAATCCGCCGTCCTGGGTGGCGGCAACGCCAAAGCCGAGCAGACCGAGGAGGCCGTTCGTGAGTCAAACACTATGCACTGTTATGGTCAATACAGCTCATCACAGAGTCTAACCATGAGCAACACCCAGAACAAGCCGTTGGATCCTCATCCTCCGCTACGAACCCTCAAGCCGTCGCCGCTTCATGGAAGTTCTCATTCGGTGGGGATGCCGAGGACGATGACGACGAAGAAGGGGCAGAAGGCGACGACGAAGACGGTGGCGATGAAGCCATGATGGTCGATCGTGACGACGAACTCGAGGGCGCCTACTCGGCTTTCGAGATGGTGCGAGCGATCTGGTCCAGAGATAATGATGGGAGCAAGGAGACTCAGATCAAGATCGCCGAAGCTCAGAGGATGTGTGGTGAGGTAGAACGTGAATCAGGTCAGTTCCCATCGCACGACCCCTTGAAAGCGCGTCTTTCCTCGTGTTGTACTGACCTTTCCATTTTCACCGCGAGCTAGAGAAATTCGATCTGGCCATCAAGGAATACGAATCGGCACTCGCGATCCTCACCTCCGTCCTCGAACCGTCGAACCGAACACTCTCGGAACTACATATGCTCATCGCCCTAGCCTACGACATGATACCCGACTCGGTACCTCAAGCCGTTCATCACGCCGAGCAATCTAAGGCCGTGTTGTTGACCAAATTGGCCGAGTTGGAAAAGGCCCAGAAGGAGGGTGGTGACGCCGGTGCTGGCGATGATCGAGTACAGAAGGAAATTATCGATATCAAGGAGTTGATTGGGGAATTGGAAGAAAAGGTCGGTACGCTTGAACGAGCGGATCCCTGTATGTTGGCGACAGATCGAACTGATGATCTATTGTTGGGTCACCGGGGCGCCGGCAGATTGAAGACCTCAAGTTCGTCCCAGAGGAAGCACCCAAGACGGAAGCAGAGAAGCAGATTGATGCTTTGCTTCAGAATTCCAACTTTACGAACGCGCTCAAGTCGGGGCAGGTCAATAACCTCAACTCGCTCGTCAAAAAGAAGAAGCTACCTGCCGCGCCGGTCGCAGAATCTGCTGCTTCCGCGGAAAAGAGGGAGGAAGGGGCTCAAGGGACATCAGCGTCAAGTACGAACGGTACGAGTGGGTCCAAAAGGAAAGTGGACGAGATTGAGATTGGGACTGGCCAGGGCAGTGCTGGGGCCAGTGTCGAGGGTGAGAGCGAGGTCAAGAGGAATAAGGCCGAAGAAGCGTGAACAGCATCTGCTTTTGCGACGACGACACCCCAATTTGCTTGTGCATTGTAGCCATCTGTCTCGAGTCATGAAAATACAAGAATTCCGAAGGACCCACTGAAAACGTGACTGCAAAGACCGACTGTCTGCTCAAAACCGCGTCTACATCTCAAAATCGACAATCGACCATTGAGCTTGGGCCGCGCTCGCGAGCCCTCACGCCGGAGATCCCGAGATCTTGAGAGCAGACGAGCGCCACGTCGGCTTGCTTTGGTCTCTTGGCGCCTCTCTCGTTCTCATCCCATCATTCACCACCCCTCTCCCCGGCAACGTTGTACGTTCTAATACGCAAGTTGTTCTAACCGAGAGCCTGACTCGCAAAACACACCGCCGGTCCAGCCACCACCACCTCCATCGCCGCCGACGATGAACGCCGCTCCCCAAAGCGTCGGTGTGGACGACTCGTTCATCACTTTCGTCCCTCTCAAAGTGAACACAACCGTCCAGACCCCGACGCCGATCACTTTTGACGGCACCCCACCCCCCAACTTCACCCCCTCGGACCTCACCCCCCTGAACCAACTCGCCCGCGTATTGCTCTCGAACCCGAAAGCGATCTTCCCCCCTCCGCCCGTCCCACAACCGAACGAACGTTCGACCCAAGTCGCCCAGGCCAAGGAAGAAGGCAACAAACACTTTCGCGTTAAGAACTGGACCGAAGCGATCAAGTTCTACACCCTGTCAGCGGACATCGCCGCCAGTCGACCCGTTTTCGAAGCCGGCGTTTACGCAAGGGACGAACTGGCTCTCACTTTGAGCAATAGGTCCGCGGCGTACATGGGTGCAGGGCAATATGTCAACGCTTTGGTCGATGCGGATACGGTGATTCAGATCAAGAGGCCGTGGATGAAGGGTCATTTCAGGAGGGGGAAGGCCTTGGCCGCGATGGGCAGGTTGCACGAGGCGAGGGAGGCCTTCTTGTTGGGATTGCAGTTCGATCCGACAGCTGAGGTGAGTTACATTGGACGTCGTACCGCTCTCTTCGTGGATGTCCCCCACCACACCGAGCCTGCGTCCACTGGGTCGACTCTGCGCATACCGAACGGAGCGCTGACGTGTCCACGCTGATGTCCCGGGAACAGGAGGTGCGTACGGCCGTCGACGAGGTCAACAAGCAACTTTTGGCACAACAAGATAAAGACGCATCGACGACGACGAAGACAGCAGCAGCACCCGTGACAGCCTAAAAGTTGTAACAGTTTCTTGAGGGCGTTCCCTACCTTTCCTGTACATGCCACTTCTATTCGCAAATACCCCACATCCCAAACGCATGGACCGAGCAGTTTGGCTTCTGTCCGAGAGCACGTGCCTGGCTGACATACAACACAACGAACACATTCCATCACCCGAAACCAACTTCTAATATATGAAAAACCCGAGTCAACCAACCGGCGCCCCACCCTCTCAACGCACTCTATCACTCGGCACCCCTCCCGTCTGCCCAAACTTGATCACCTCCAACGCCTCCTTCTCCACCTCCTTTCCATGCCTAAAGATCTTGAGCAAAATCCCCCTTGGCAACTTTCTCTCCGCCTCGGCGATACGCGCATAGAACGTGTCGATACGCACTTGTGCGTCTTCCGCTACGGTGGGGGTCATGGGTGTTGCTCGAAGGGGGTTGTTGGGTGAGAGAGGATCCGAGTCCGCGTCGATGAGAGGGGGTGAAGAGGGTCTTGAATTCGTTCCTCGACGGAGGAAAGAGGGTCGTTTCGAGCCGGCCGTGGGACGGGGAGGAATTGGAGGTCGGACCGATTTTTTAGTTGGGTTCGCCTGTCCGTTGTCCATCGAGTCCAATTTATTGTGCGGCGGATGTTGGGAGGACAAATGAGTGAGATCGAAATGGGCGTTGGGTGCAAAGGGTGTGGTCACGTCTCGGATGTAGATGGCGAGAATGTGGTCTGGGTATTCGCTCGCGAGTTGAGTGTAGAGCTCGAGGTCCTGTTCTCCCGAGTCACCGATCAAGATGAATCTAGAAACGACAGACGTTTCAGCACGATTCCTGCCTCAACATAATTGAAAGCCAAGTGTACTCACTGCGAATGATGAAACTCCTTGATGATATTCTCGACGTTGGCCCTCTTCCTCATCCCTGGTTCCTCCCACAACTTGGCCAACGCCGATCCCGCCCCACCATACTCTTTGAGCGTCACGCTTCCCTTGGGGAACTTGGCCAAGTCCAAAAACGTCCGAATGACGGGCCACAACTCCCAAGGCGAGTTGGAGACGTAGTGGAAAGCGCATCGTTGCGCTTCCATCTTGCGGAACCAGGATGACATCCCGGGGACTTGCACCTCGTAGAGTTCTCGTACAAAGACGTTCCTGAACAGGGTCTTGGTGCCTTCGACGACTTGACTATGTTTGCACGTATCGTCAACATCCGAGATGACCCGGACACCCCCGTCATGCGCCACGGCCAACTCTGTAAAGTCCTCGGCGACGACCTTCATCCCTTGATCGCCGGTAAAGGCACCTCCACCCATCGCATCGACGATCGGATCATGTTCGAGCAGCTCAGCGACAATTCGGACCCTCAACGTTTCGAGCGATTCGACGCCTTTGCCCGTGGCTTCGAGCAAGCGACGTAACTCCTTGGAACGCATCTCGAGAACCGTTCTAAAAGCCCCACCACCAAGAGTCGATACGACTTTGGTCGCCAGAGGGCGGTCCCACGCCGGGTCGGCGTCATCAAACACGGGTACGACCGAGAGCCTGACCTTGCGATTCGGCAACTTCTGACCGAAGAAGGGTAAGAGACGATCTTGCAGGTTCGAGTGTAGCCTAGGGAGATCGCTGTCGGTGAATTCGAACGGCTTGGGCCATTCTTCACGATAGACGGCGTCGCGGTAAGGTGAAGAGGGCCGGGTTGGAGCAGTTCGACTCGAGAGGGTCGTGGCTTGCGATGAGATGGATGAGGCCCGAGAGGGTCTCGAGGAAGAAGAAGAAGTCGACGGCATTGTGCTCGCTCGATCGGCATGCGTTCTCGATGGTGGAGTCATGGTGTGCTGAGCCGAACTCGTAAATGACGCTGGAGTGACATGGACCTGGGGTTGACCGCGGGTATCCTCGGTCGCACGGGCATGCATCTGTGCAGGAGTGAGGGCAACACGGTGTGACGAATCTTGGTCCGTAGTAGCCCCTGGCTTGAACGGGCTTTTAGCCTGCTCCTCCAACGTCATAGTCTCCGGCTCAGCCGCAATTTCAGTTGCTCGAGCAAGCTCCGCTTCTTCCTCCGAGGTGCCTTCTCGTCCACCGATGTCGAGCAAGCGCTCAAAAATGTTGCCATCCAGCAAGGCCTCGTCTTTGATAGCCTCCGGTGGTGGTAGGTTATCCATCGATTGTGTCGAGTCGATTTGACCATTCGGTGGAAGCTGGGTCGATAAACGCGGCAAGGCGGCGAACGACCGAGCGAGGGAGCCAAAGACTCGCTGCGAGCGCGAGGCTTGCGAGAGCGGTCGTAGTCGGTACGCATATCCATGTGCCACGATCTCGAGCACGAGAGCGGGTTCTGATGCTGAATGTGCCGAAGGCCGCAACGTCGCCCACTGTTCATGAGGGAACGAGCATGTCAGCGGGTTCGAGATATTTCGACAAGTGAGGCCGACAACTAAGAGAGCCACTCACGCCTGGAAAGCAGACGACCTTCTCATCCGTGTATGCCGATGTGCTCGCCTGTCGACTCGACGAAGGACCGCCGTTCCCCCCGCCCCCAAAGTAGCTCGACACGCCCGCGATCCACCGCGACCGTTCCCTCGTCGAGGTCGGAGAAGCGGACACGGTCGAACTGGAGCTATCCCTCCTCGTCGGATCGGCATAATCACGTCGCCTCTGCTTGACCTGCTCGGCCATCCTCGGATCATCGCCCCACGCATCGCGATCATGTTGCAGGTCCCTCAGTTGTGCGAGCTTGCCGGCTGCGGACTGCTTGGCCGATTCGAGGTGGGGCGAGACGTCGTGGGTGAACTTGTGTACCTTGGCCAGTGCTCGTGCACGCAAGAAAGAGCCCGTGTACGACGTCGGTCCAGGCATGGCTGAGTCTCCCTGTGCAGCAGCTGGGGTGCGCGGACGCGTTGTCGGAGGCGTGAGCGGCGCGATGTGAGCTGCGGCCGGCGGTTGAAGCAGTGGGGGAGCCCCGGCTGACGTCGTCGACGATGATGATGGTCTCGTGCCAGAGGTGCCGGATGACGAGGCAGCAGCAGCAGCCGACGACTTTGGGCGAGGAGTGTACGCAGCGTAGGATGTACTCGTACTCATAATGCGTGCTTGGGGGTCATTACACCCCTTGAGCTGGGTCGAGGCGTGTCGCAGTGGCAGTGATGGGACCCCGAGAAGCGGCCGAGACGTATCGGCGAGAGCAGGCAGGCGCAGGCAGGAGCAGCAGGAGCAGGCACGCGACACGCGACTGCGACTGCGATGACGTTGCTCGGCTCCAGGATCCAGCAGTAGAGCCCATCGGCAGATCCCGCGCGATTTGGCACGAGCAGAGTTCCAAGTCCGACGCCGAATATTCCAGCTCTCGGCTAGCCCTGATCGACGACAGTGAAAAATCCGGAAAATATATGAGCACAATTTGACGAGGACGAAGAAGGGTCTTTGTATAGACTGGCCAATGGAAATGAGCGCTGGACTCGGCGCTACTAGCTCAGCGCCGAATGGACGCGCTTGGCATGGCTCGGCGGTTCGAGCGCTTGGCGATGCGATAGTGAGCCGACTTCAACTTTATGCCACATCGTTGACTCAGTAATGATGGACGCCTATCCCCTCACACAAGATTGAATCCCTACCCTTCGTAACCCTACGTTCCTGCCATCAACACTCTTTGCTTTGACAGCTTCTTACTTCATCGTGACCAGCAACACCCGACCGGTTCGACAGAGATCGCCAACTGGCAGCTCGGTGAACGCCTGACCACCATCTAGTGGGCCACTCTAGGAGCTCAATCATTCGAACGCACTCCCAAGATCAATCGTCGTCCAACAAACGAAAACTTGCCACGCCCCGCACCTGTAGCCATGACCAAGATACACAATTCGATCGCCGAGAACGTCCTCGGCACGATAGGCGCCATCTTTTGGTCGCTGCAGCTTGTACCCCAGCTCTGGAAGTCGTACCACGATGGCAAGACCGAAGGACTATCTTCGGCTCTGTTGTTGATCTGGTTCGCATCGGGGATCTTCCTCGGGGCCTACGCGCTCATCAAAAACCTCGCGATACCCCTTCTCATCCAGTAAGGGTTTTCGCAGCAGTCTAGGGTCCGTCGACTACAACACCCATTGACAAGCCTTCTTTCTGTCTGTAGACCCCAACTCTTTTCCTTTTTCACCGCCATCGCATGGGGTCAGACCCTCTACTACGACAACAACGTGTCCAAGTGGCGCTCCATCGTGCTCGTCACCACTCTCTCGGTGCTCGGCGGAGCGTTGGAAGTGCTATTCTACTTTCTCCCGAGGGTAGGTCACAACTCGGAGACCTAGGACTTACAACACCAGCTGACATCGCACCTTTCGCCTCCCCTAGATCGCTCACAACGACCGACCCACGACAGCATGGGGCGTTCTGAGCGCAACATTCATCGTCCTCGGCCTCTTGCCCCAGTACATTCTCATCTTCCGAATGGGCTATGTCACGGGTATATCATACCTTTTCCTCTGCGTCGACATCACCGGTGGTGTCTTCTCGACCCTCGCTTTGGCTTTCAGCGAAGGCTCATTCGATGCGCTTGCTTCGGCTTCGGTGAGTTTGATCTCTGACACTCGACTTCGGGAATTACCGGCCAGGACACAGAGTGTTGAGATGAGCACCCTCCATATCCATTCAGTACATCGCCGTCGTCGTACTGGAGATCGGCATATTCATCCTTGCCGCGATCTTGAACCCCCGGCACCAGCGAAAGATGGGTCTGAAGGGGGAAACCGAGTTCAAGTCCGAAACATCGTCGACAGCTCGCGGTCTAGAAGAATCAAATATAGGAGCCGGGGATTTAAGTGCAGGGACTCAGGCTGTGAATGAAGGAAGATGAGTTGAGATGGTGCGAGATCGAAGCGGAAGGAGACGGTTGCTGTTTCATCGATCGCATTTACAAGGGATTCAACAACTTTAGAAGGACGGACCATAGACCATGCACCGACAATGTCGTACATTACTAGCACACCGCGGTCGTAAAACTGTTACATGTTGTCAGCTTGACAAATAGATCGATGGATCCGAATAGGAGACTGCGCAAAGCCTCTGTCCGAAATTTCGACAATTGACGAGTCGTAGGCCTACAATCGTGCGCGTAGAGGAGTCACTCACCTCTAGGTAGGTGTATATATCATAGTCAGTGCAACTAGTTCCGTGGACCTCTGCAGGAGTCTCGAGTGACAATGCGCAAAGGGTGCTCAAAAGGCAAGCCAGCCGATGGGCTTCGGAGCTTCGGCGCTTACCAGCATTTCAGGCTTTAATTTCCGGAAATTTCTTCGCGCGTTGAGGCGGCTTTATGTTGGTCGATTCGAAGGGAGGTTTCAGTGGCTAGTGAAATTCTTGAAGCTAATGATGGCTGTTAGGCGCTCCAAGACACCACAATTTTGGGTCATCAGCTCAAGCTGACGGGTGGCCCGTGCCAGCGGCGCGTCTCGGATCGTTTGGCTCGACTGGCGCGCTTACGGCGCTTAGCGCGGCGGCTGGCGGCAGCTGGCGGCGTGCCGGATGCAGCGAGCTGAACAGAACCTCGGCTTTCCTCCCCCTCGTCTCAACTCACTACAACACCACTCACAATCCCAATTACGAAGAGACGGGGATGTACGCGAACGCCGTGTTGGAGAACTTGTTTGGTACGATCGGGGCGATCCTATGGAGCATTCAATTGATCCCGCAACTGGTGAGTTTCATCGTTCCATTGCCGAGCGCTGTCAAGCGCCCACCGCACTTTCGCAGCGGCTTCGACTAGACTAGAGCCGACGGAATGCGAGGCACGCAGTCATTGGTCACCGAGCTACTTTGGGGCTCGCCACGGGTGCATGTGATCGTCGTTGGACATGTGCTTTCCACGTTCTTCACGGGTGAGAATCCCGGTACTATTTTGTCAACTTGTTTTTGTCCTCAGTGGAAGTCGTACAGGCGGAAGAACACGGCCGGGTTGTCAAGCGCGATGCTCGGGATCTGGTTTTTTGCAGGCATCTGGCTTGGTGGGTCATCTACAACACTTTTTGGACCAATGCGATTCGAGTTGAGCTGACATGTCGCCGTCAATCGCCATCTCCACCTCCTTCAGGTGCCTACGTGCTCATTGAAAACCTTTCGATCCCGCTGCTCATACAGTGAGTTGTCTTTCCCACGACACTCGTGCTGGGCCTTTCACATTGCATCCGGACTGCCGTAACGCCCATCAAGTGGCTGCAAGACGCCGCGAGCCGTCGCTGACATGATTCTACCTTTCGCTCCTGGTGCATCAGACCGCAGCTTTTCTGTTTTTTCGCCGCCATCGCCTACGCACAATGCCTCTACTACGACCAGAACAGGTCCGCCACGTTCGCGACAACTGTTTGCGTCGTCTGCTGCTCCCTCGCTGGTGGACTTGAGGCTGGTCTCATCTTTGCGGCTAGGGTGAGCCTCATTCCCACCCGCGCGCCCCTGTCTCCGCATTCCACGGCCGACGAAGCGCTAACCCTTGTCGCTTCTCCTTTCGATTGACCCCACCACAAACAGCATCTCGAAAGCCGCGGCAACACGCGCCTCACAACCGCGATCGGGACCATCTCAGCCATCTTCATCGTCCTCGGTCTCTTACCCCAATACTACGAGATCTACCAATACCGCGCCGTGATCGGCATCTCGCTCATTTTCATCACCATCGATCTCGTCGGTGGAGTCATGTCGACGCTTTCCCTCGTCTTCGCAAAAGGTTCTTTCGACACTTTGGCAGCATTGTCCTATGCCGCTGTCGTGGTGTTGGAGATTGGGATACTGGCGTTGGTGCCGGTGTTGAACCCGCGGTATCATCGAAGGCAGGAGGAGCGGAAACCGGAAGAGGATGAAGCCCTGTCAAAGGGGACAATCGACACCATCATGTGTGAAACCCCGGAATCGTTAGGAAAAGTGGTGTAGAGGGTTCATCGCATTGGACGTTGTGTCGATTTGCGCCTATATTACGAGCGCCTGTAGTACAAAATGGGGATCCAGCTTGGTTTCTGGCGGCAAATAACCGCATCCATAAAAGCCCAATCAGCAGGACGCGTGATCTGTTTTAGCTTTATACAGTTCTTTGAAATATCGTAAATTAGAGGACGGCGCGAGGCATTTGCTTGGACGCCTGACGGACTGCGAACATGATCGAGAGAAAATGGTCAACATCAGCGAGTACGGCATGGCCGAAGTCCACACAAGGAGCACACGCACCACCGAGCTGAGCCAAAACCTCTTCGGAACCACCGAGGATCGAGTCAAACTTATACGTTCGTTGCGCCTGCTCGATGTACACGCCCATCCCTGACGCGGTAATACCACGACCACCCCATATCTGGACCGCCTCATCAACAATCTCACCCTGGGATCTCGACAAGAAGTACTTGAGAAGCGCCATCGGTCCCGCCAACATCTTGGACTGTTGCTCGTACTTCATGTTGCACATCTGGAAGGTCAAGTTCTCGAGCCAAGTTTGACCGGCTTCGATCTTAGCCAACATGAGGGCGAACTTGGCTCGGACGACGGGTTGTTCGATCAAAGGCTTGCCAAAGACTTTACGCAAATGGGCCCATTTAAAGGTTTCTTCGTAGATGACCCGAGAGTAGCGAGCGATGCGGCAGCAGATGACCCATCGTTCGTGGTTAAAGTTGGACAAGATGACCTTGAGACCATTGCCTTCGCCACCGAGTACGTTCTCAACGGGGACCAAAACCTTGTCGAAAGTGACCCAGGCCGTTCCTGCCGCCGAAGAGTACGACGTCTTGATGATGCGGGTGTCGACGCCGTCGCCTCGGGTCTCGCACTTGCGAGGAATGAGCATCATGGACAATTGCCCGGGACCGGTGCGCACACCCGTCATGAAGTAGTCGGAATAGTGACCGCACGTGATCCACTTCTTGTTACCCGTGACCTCCCAGTACTTTCCATCGGCCGTCTTAGTGCCCTTGGTCGTCATCCCTTGCACGTCCGAGCCTGCTGCAGCCTCCGATATAGCAAGCGAAATGATGGTTTTCCCTCGCAGGATGTCGGGCAGGACCTCTTTGCGCATCTTTTCGGAACCAAAGTTGAGGACGGGAGGGAGGCCAATGACCATCCCAGCGTTGAGACCGGCCATGTACCCCGGTGCGCCGACTCGTACGAGCTCCTGGATGACGACGAGCTCGTGGAAGTAGGTGAACTCCTCGGGTTTGATGCCTCCCGGTAATTTTCGGCCTTGGAGATGAGGTCCGGGTCCCATTCGCATCGCGTCTAAGGTAACGAAAAAGCGATACATTAGTACGGAGATTCTGTGATGTTTAAAAGCCACTCGGGAGGACACTCACTAATCTCCCACTCGGGCGAACCCATCAGCTCCATGACGCGCTGAGAGGGCCTCTCAGCGGCACCTTCGTTGACTCTCGCCTCAGGCTTGACCTCGGTATCAAAGAACTTCCTCATCTCCCTCTGCAACCTCCGATGACTATCATCGTAGTAAGGTGTCCTGAAATCCTTGACCAACCATCCCGGTTCAGCCATGGGAACAGGCGATAATTCTCCTGCGATGGGAAGTAAATACGGTCGACTTTTCGGGTCCGATACGCGGCCGATCTTGAGGCGTTGGTATTTGGTCAAGACTTCGGAGCGGTGCATGGAGAAGAAGGCTTCGGATGAATCACCTCCTGCGATAGCTGTCGCGAGCAAGACGTTGGTGCCGCCCGGGTGCATGTCGATGAACTTGGTCAAGCTGGTTGGCACGGGATGTGATGTGGGGCAGTGAGGGGAGATCAGTGGGGGGGATCCGGCGAGATTATCACGAGCAGAAGGACGGCAGGGTGTGGGATACTCACTCATAAACATCGCCATTGATGACGGTCCAGAGGTCTTTTTCGGTGTTGTGCTGCATCAAAAATTCCACGATCATCGAGGTCAGCTGGCATTTATGAAGGCCCCTATGCACAGAACCCCAATTGCGGGGGAGGGATGCGTCTCGTTGTCAGAGTATAGGTGGGGTACATCTCCTTCTGACACTGACCTTGGCAACTTCATCGGCTGTGAAAGATTTTGACATGTTCGGCGGCTTCTTGTGCTCTGAATGCGTGCGGCGAGAGGACAAAAGTCGAAATGGCCCGAAGGGGTCAGTCGCGGCCCCCGGGTCCGGGACGTAGATTGAGCCGAACGGGCCACCTCGGGCAGACATAAAAAGTACGCCTCAACAGGCGCGCGCGCAGCGCCCTCCCACGCGCCTTCCAAGCCACAAGCCCGGCGGGTTGCAACCTTGCTACCCCAGGTAGCAGATTAGGCCCAGGTCAGGTATGCCCTCCTCGATGTCGAGTTGCCGAGACGTTCACTCCCACTACAACTCCATCGAAGACCTGGGAACAAAGGCGCAGTCAGCGAACAATAGTGTATTCGGATTTTTGGAGATTTTTCGAGAGTTATTGTTGTCCTCTGCAAGCTGAACAGGCGCTCTACCTCGAACACGTGATTCGTCACCCGGCACTGGTAAGGGACACCGCCGAGCCATCTTGTTCGGAAGAAGGGCTTGCACGCACATGCCAACTTTGCTATTTAACCCTGTCCGAGGGTAGGAGATACATTCTCTATACTGCCCAAACCCACTCACCCATTTTCACGTGGCAGACATTCTAGGTACTCGAGCAGGTGCATGCGCTTTGATTGAAAAGTCACCCGGCACTGGTAAGGGAAACCGCCGAGCCATCTTGTTCGGAAGAAGGGCTTACACGCACATGCCAACTTTGCTATTTAACCCTGTCCGAGGGTAGGAGATACATTCTCTATGTTGACCAAACCCACTCACCCATTTTCATGTGGTAGACATTCTAGGTACTCGAGCATTTGCATGCGCTTTAACTGAAACGTCACCCGGCAAGTCACCCGGCAGGAGTAAGGCAGGCGCAGCCCAGAGATTAGGTCTGACAATATTTCTCTCTGAGACGTCTCTGAGACGGTGATATTACTCTCACCCACCGCAATTGAGACGACTTTAGTTTTCAAAGACCATGTCCATTGTTCCAACATTAACTTGCTCCACCAATTCAATCTAAATCAGAAGCTGGTCTAAACGCCCGAGAAGTATTCGTCTTCCTGACCAGCAAAGTCATCGCCGTAGCTTTCATCCGAAGAGCTGCCCATCTCACCGTCCTGCTCGAGGAGTTATGCGGAGAAAGGCCCCACCTCCTTTGCGAGTTGAGCCTCGTCGTTCATATCCATCTGCGCCTGAATGACCCGCACTTGCTGAACGTCACGGGCCAGCGATGGAGGCCGCGCCGAGTCGTCGAGCCAGATGTCTCCATAGGACCGCGTGTTCCCGATCGATTATGTACAGGTAGCTGGTGATGTTTCGCCTTCTTGACACTTCTTCCCGTCGCGTTCAATCGTTGATGTAAACCACGAAATTCTGACAGTGCAGGAGGCATGGGCTCGGAATCGCCCTCTGACTGCCCGCGAGTGTCGAGCCAAACATCGAAGAAATGGTCGTTCTGGGACCAAGAACATTCGCGCAACTGAAGAAGCTCCATCCGGCGATCCAGTAAAATGAGCGCGCGGTCTCGGATCTCTTCAACATCTTCAGTGCCGAATATGGACTTGGCATCAGCTGGGTCGATCGATTCAGAAAGGGTATCTGTTGGGATGGTTTGAAAGATGTCAGGGCGACATAAGAGGTGATATGGAGCACGCTGTATCGAAAACTTACCCGACACTTTAGTCCAAAGTGTTTGGCAACTAGTGATACGAGTCTTTTCATCTTCGATCCAAGCCAAAGCTTGCCGCACCTCGGCGCCGATCCGCGCTTCCTCCTCACCGACTCGAGCCTTGGCGCGCACAGCTGCTACTCCTCGGAATGAGCGACCGTAGCCCGCTCCACAATCGCTCATAGCCCTCTCCATCAGTCAACCCGAAGTTCGGAATGAGGCGGGGGTTGAACTCGACTTGGCAGGACCAGATATGGGCGTATGCATGGAAGACGCTCGTGGCGAACTCCAGTCGCTTGAAAAGCTTTGGCAGGAGCTGCCTCGGGTGACAAATGATAGGAAAGTAGGCGCATTTGGTCTGTGCCAACGAGACTGAGGAGGAAGGGACGCGTCGTGATCGAAGCATACCTTTTCAATGTGGTGCTTGAAGTTACAAGCAATGTCGTATAAGACTCCAATCTTGGCGTTTTCAGGAAGGCGCTCTGAGATGCACTTGAGGATGGCAAGCGCATAGTATAATCTGAGCGGTCGGAGGGGAATATGCGCATTAGTACTGGGAGAGGAAAGCGGAAGCGACTACGTCCCAACCAGACAGCTCTGCGCTCACTTTTCACCAGACCTCTCAAGATTGACCATTTTCAGGTTTACATCATGACGGCATACGCAGGCAACGAGTCCAGTGTCGACTACTCGTGACGAGGTTGAGCCAGCTCCGTCGTCGGCAGCCTTCCACGACTCTGTGCACGCCTACGAGGGTTGGGTGGGTGTAGAGGTAAGCGATCCCATTAAGGCAAATGCAAAGAGCGGCATTACTCACCTTTTTGGTCGGCCGCACCGAAGCTTCAACCTCGGCCTTCATCGCCTGAACCTCTTCCTCACCCAGGAAAATGTCCGGAACGATCTGGTCGTGCTTCGAAGTTTTGTCACGCGTTTGCCGAAAGTTGCCGTCGTATGCAAGCACGCAATCCAATGGGACGTCGTGACAAGGTTGATTAAGTCACGTTGGCCCGAAGCACGCGGGACCCTTGTTGGAACGAATCGACGGTGCCTACGAGAAGGTCCCCGCTGTCCTGCTCGCATGTTTCGAGAGCGCGGTACTCGTCGATCGCGTTGCTTCCGAAGGTCTTTGTCCTGCATGCGCGGAAGGCAGGCTTTAAGCATCTGCCCCTGAAACGATGGCGGCGTCCAAACTGACCCAAGGATGTCCTGTATAGTGACCCCGAACCCACCCACAACGGGAGTAATACTCTTTGAGGCCGTCCGCATAGCCGGTGAGAGCGCGGGGGCTGACCCTCCAGCTCGCGTGGGTCTGCTCGACCAGTCGAAATGAGAAGGTGGTCATCGGCATTGAAGCGGTCGAAAAGATGAACCCTAGTTGGGCCAAGCGTTCGACGTCCTTAGCACACCGCGACTCGGAGGCACAGAGGGTGACCTGCAGTTTGTAGACCAACGGTTTGGACTTGTATCTTCTCTTCGGCGGCATGGCGATGCCAACTCAATGAAAGGCACGCTGTCTCGGACAGCGGAGCCTCACTGGTGACCGAAGATGACAGGTGCAAGTTATATGGATTACAACTAGCTTCTGGTGTCAGCTCGATGAGATACGATAGTGCTGAGATAGGGAACACCAGTACTCACCTAGCTTCTGGTGTCAGCTCGATGAAGAGAGAGCTGAAGAAGCTAGGCGCGCGCAAGCTCTATTTCTAATGCCTGTGGCCCGTCGTAAGGCCTTGCCTTACACTCTCCCCTCCTTGACACAAAGCTCCCCTCTGAAAAAACACTCTCATTCCTCGTTCCGATGTTCCCAACGGTCCAATGCCTCCGTGTCCTCCAGTGCCTCGGCAGGCTCCCATGAATCGCTATCCGACGGCCATGAAACCCAAGAGACCAAATATTGAGTCTTCCCCGCTCGGACCCTTTCATCGACGATGTCCTCGATGACCCACTCGGGTTCTCCACCTACGTCCACCGGTCCCGGGCGCGCGGGTTCTCGGCTTGGGAACAATTCCGAATCATTTGAGCGGTAGGCCTTGAGCTTGCCCGTGTGGAAGAACGGTACCGCGGAATCGTCCTTGTTGAGTTGCAAGGTGTACGTGGAGATCCCTGGCTGCGCTGCAACAATGCGATAAGGGCCGTCGAAACGGTCCATGAGCTTGGCTGCGCGGCGCTTGCGGGTGTGAAGTCGCTTCCTGCGGTCACTTGAGTCGAGCAGCACAAGGTCCCCGACGGCCCATGAAGGTTCATCCGCGCGGTCCTTGTTGGCTTGGGCGGCTTGACGAACTTTGGACACAGCGAGTTGGTCTCGTGCCTCCTCGCATGACTGGAAGCGAAGTGCGAGCAGCTCCTCAACCGATGGGAGCTCCTCGTCGCCCTCAATAGGGGCAAGCGGGGCGAGGGTGGGTGTGTACCCCAGGACAAGCTCAAACGGGGTCTTCCCCGTCGAAACGTTGACCGACGAGTTGATGGCATACTCACAAGCGGTGAGACATTCAACCCAATTGGATTGTTCCCTGTTGACAAGCGAGCGTAGGATCTGGAATGCGGTCTTGTTCGTCTTCTCGCTGCGCCCGTCAGTCTCGGGGTGGAACGCCGAGGAAAGTTGCAGCTTGATGTTCAGACGCTTGTGCAGGGCGGACCAGAACTTGCTCGTGAACAACTTGTCACGATCCGAGACAATGCGTTGAGGCAGGCCAAAAAAACGATGCCACCCCTCATGAAAGCGGTTGGCAACATCCGCCGCTGTGTCGGCTTCGCGCGCAGGGATGAGGCGGACATATCCCGACAGTCGATCGGTGATCGTCAAGACACGGTCGAACCCCTTGTTTGTTGGCAACGGTCCGACAAAGTCAACGGCGATGTCCGTCATGGGGCGCACTGGAACGGGAAGGGAGTGAAGCTTGCCCGCGACGCGAGTGGTACGGGCCTTGGTTCGTTGACATGAGTCACATTGTTGCACGTATTGCTTGACGTGGCGGGACATGTTCGGCCAAAAGTACGTCTGTATAACAGTCTGGTACGTTTTTACATCACCTAGGTGCCCCAGCGCGTCATGAGCATCGTGAAGGATGGACTCACGGAGCGGGGCTAGTAGTGGAATGACAAGCCGGCCCCGTAAATACAGCAATGCGTCAATAATCTTGATCTCCGATGCGACCGACGCGATGTTGTTCAGGGCTTGCTGGCAGAATGCGTCGGTTTTGTACGCGTCGACAATTTGCTGCTTGACAACATCCGAGAGCGAGACTTGCGAAATGTTGGCCACAATGACGGGAAGTGGCTCGGGAAAGGAGTACCTGCTCATCGCGTCGGCTACAATGTTCTCCCTGCCCGGGAGATACTGGAGGTCGTAATCGAATTCGGCCAAGGTGTCAAGCCAGCGCGCCTGGCGTCGCGAGATGACCGTGCGCTGCGTCTGAAAGTGCTCAAGTGTGGAATGGTCGGTAAGGATGTGAAAATGGCCACCCAGGAGATCAATGCGCCATTCCTTGAGAGCCTCGACAATAGCTAGGAGTTCCTGCTCGTGCGTAGGGTAGTTGCGTTCAGCTGGGATGTATTGACGCGACCAGTAGGCAATGGGGTGTGCGGTCTTCCAATGCGAGCCCTGCAGGAGCACACCTCCGATACCTTGAAGACTGGCGTCGGTCATCACCCAGAATGGCATGGCATCGGCAGAGTGGTCGGGCGGGCGTAGGCAGTCAAGGGAGACGACAATGGACTTGATGGCTTCGAAGTGACGGACCGTTGGAGTTGTCCAGAGGTTGCCGATGGATGTCAGCCCTTTGATTGTCAACGGGGTCAGCGCAGCGGTATGCTCGGCAAGGCCCGGAATGAACCTGCGGAGGTACTGCACCAAACAGAGAAACCCCTTCAATTCCGTGACGGTCGCTGGGAGATGCCAGTCGTGGATGCGCTTGATCTTCTTGGGGTCGGCGTGTACGCCGGAGCGGTTGATGATGTGGCCAAGAAACTCACACTCCGAGGTGGCGAGGTTGGTCTTTGATGGCGAGCAGTAGAGTTCGGCTCGGCGCAGGGCGTCCAGAACTTGGCAAACACGGGCCTCGTGCTCCTCCAGCGTATCGGCGAAGATGGTGATGTCGTCAAGGTAGACGAAGCAGATGGTGCCGAGTAATCCGTGCAGGGCGTCGTTGACGCGGCGCTGGTGGGTGGCGGGCGCGTTGCAGAGTCCCATGGGCATGACCGTCCATTCGTACAAACCCCAGGGTGTCGAAACCGCGGTCTTTGCTATATCCTCTTCCGCCATCTTGGTCTGAAAGAAGGAGTTGGTCATGTCAATCTTGGCCCAGAACTGCGCTTTGGAGCACGTCGACAGGATGTCATCGGCCAGGGGCAAGGGTGTGCGGTCCTTGATGGTGTGCCGATTGAGGTGGCGGTAGTCGTTCACCCATCGCGGTGAAATGGTCGGGTCCACATCCGAGCCCTTCTTGGGGATGATGAACGCCGGTGACGCGTACGGCGAACGTGAGGGGCGAAGACGGCCACTTGCGAGGTGCTTTTGAAGCAGCAGGTACCATGCCTGGCGATGGCGTTTGGCGACCGGATAGCCGCGCAGGTTGATCACAGTGCGCGGGTTGTCAAGCTCGATATGGTGTCGCACCGGGGATTGATAGGTGGCAACCGGTGGAATGTCGTCAGGGAAGCGATCAGCGTAAACCGCGCGCAGGCGCTGGTCGAGCGCGGCAAGGCGGAGCTGTTCGTCTTCGTTGACGGGCGCGATAGCGGCCACGGGCGACGTGCCGCGCGGCTGGGACGATAGTTCAAGCAGGTCAATTGGCTCCTCCGGGTTATTCTTACACGTGAGGTGGGGGTGGGGGAAATGACCTAGGTCAATCTTGTGCGTGTAGATGAAGTTGCCTCCCAGAATAAGCTCGAGGTCCCTCCCAAGGGGCGCCACTTCGGCGTACGTGGGGCCCGCCGCCCAACGTCCATTAGCCAGTTCGACCGGAACTCGCACAAAATGCGTGCAGGTGAAGACGGTGGGAACTTGGTTCTGCATTGCAAGAGTGTACTTCGTGTGCTGTTCCAAGGCCCGTTTTTCCAATCCCAATCGCTGAACGAAGTCCTCACTGAGGAACGTTTGAGGCGACCCCGAATCTACGAGGGCCGAGGCAGTGAGGGTACCATGAGCACCACGCAGAGAGACGGGGTAAAGGCGGGAACGAGCGAGGGGCGTACGAGTAATCATCGTCTTCCGAGTCACTGTTGAGGCCAGCAAACGCGGTTGAATCACCCGTTTCTTGGAACGTCTGGATGGCCGCCACCATACCAGGACGAGTGCGAGCGGCGGGAGCGGTCGACAGGGGAGTCGACGAGGTGGCGGGCGCTCCGGGAGCAGGGACATATCGAGGGCAGTTGCTCGACATGTGATCCGCATTAAGGGCGCGGCAGCGATAGCACCCATGGTTCGCGTCTAGGTAGGCGCGCTCCTCGGCGGTGAGCCGGGGACGGGGTCCCCCCGAGGCTGGGGCGGTGGTGGGGACTGGTCGCATCGTCGCCGTTGCGAAGGCCGTCGGTCGTGTGTTCGGCCGCTGTTGTTGGAGTGCGGCGACTTGGGTCGCAATGGCCGCTCGGCGTTGCGCGATGACGCCCCACTCTTCGCGTCCAATCCGTTCGAATACTTGATAATCGAACTCCCCGGGTTGCTCCGCCGGTGCATCGCTGTAGACGTCGGTTTCCGAGACCACAGCTGGGGCGGGAGCATCGAGAGCGAGTCTCTCGAGTGAGAGATCGGACCATCCAGCTAGCGACGAGACGACATGCGTGCGGAGGAGTCGGCACAGCTCGGGATCGGTGCCGAGGAGAACAAGCTTGGCGAGTTCCTGATCGAGACGACCTGGAACCCAATCTCCATCTGGAGGACGCGCATTCGATCGGAGAAGTCCTGGAACGCGTGTACATCGTGACCCGTCACTTGGCGTTGCCGGTGCAACACCTCGAGTTGCGTCCAGACGAAATCGGCGGGCACGGCGCGGCGGATCAACTCCGACTTGAATTGGGCGTACGGTTTAGCAAGGTGTTTGCTCAACCCTTGAGAGAACCAGGTTTTGAGCGCCAGGACTTGCAACCCCATACCAGCGCCTTCGATCTTGTCGTGGTCGGAAGTGACGGGTACACGGGCCACGCGCCGGTTGTAGTAATCCAGGCGCATGAAGTATTCCCGAAGAGCCTCCATCGAAGTTTGATGCAGCTGAGGTGGGTCGCTGGCTTTGTATACGTGCGTGGGCGGGACAGGAGTGGACATGGCGGGCGTGCTGGGCTGGGCTGGGGGGGGGGGGGGGCGCGTGTGAATTTTTGTGTCAATTGCGTCTTCTTGCGGAGGCGGAGTGCGTGTGGGCTTGTGCGGAGGCGGGGCGTGTGCGGGCGGGGCTGGTGCGGGCGTGCTGGGCTGGGCTGGGGTGGGGCGCTGGGCTGCTAGTGCTGCAGGGTCGTCTTGATTTGAACGATCCTGGCTAGTCGATTGGTTCGATGGTTCGAGTACGGCCGGACCTGATGAGCGTAGGCCGTATCGTTGGGGTACCAATGAACTCGACGTTGTCAAAAAAAAAGTGAAAGGCACGCTGTCTCGGACAGCGGAGCCTCACTGGTGAACGAAGATGACAGGTGCAAGTTATATGGATTACAACTAGCTTCTGGTGTCAGCTCGATGAGATACGATAGTGCTGAGATAGGGAACACCAGTACTCACCTAGCTTCTGGTGTCAGCTCGATGAAGAGAGAGCTGAAGAAGCTAGGCGCGCGCAAGCTCTATTTCTAATGCCTGTGGCCCGTCGTAAGGCCTTGCCTTACACTCTCCAGGTACCGGAGGACACCGACCTGCAAACGCGAGCGGACGACGAGGAGCCAATCCTGGTAGCCCGCCGAGTCGCGGAGGAGTTCCGTCGCGGCAAACGAGGCCGGCTGCTGCGGTGGACGAGCGACGATAGGGGCGATGGCGGCCTCAAGGGCGGCGTCGGGCTTGGAAATAGCGCCGGGGCTGACTTGGAAGGCATAGCGGGGGCGGCGCAAGCGTGCGAAGTTCGAGAAAGAAAAACGAAACGGACGCGAAAGCGACCGTGCTGGTAGATTGTTTGGGCTTATAACCTATGAGAGGTAGAAGCAACGCACAGACCTGCTCAAGCAGTGGTAAGTCTCTGATCGACGGACCAAGGGAGACCAGACCAAGAAGTTGCTTGAGCAGGAGAGAGAGAGTCGCGCGGGGCCAGCTAGCTGAGAGCAAGTGCGCGAGTCTGGCCAGAATGCGGAAGATAGACGGCAAAGCCGGGTCAAGAAGGAGAATAAGGGAAGAGACACAGGGGCCATGATGCTAGAAGGAAATAAGAGAGAATTAAAGTACTTTGAGAATCTCACAAGCCGCAGCCAACGCGTGTGCTCGGACCCTTCGATCTCGGGACCGAAATCCCGGCGCGCGACCGCTTCGGACACGTGACATTGACGACATCCGAAAGATGCGAGAAAAAGATGAAGGAAGGAATGCATCTACTACGCACTTTCTTTATCAATCTAGCAGCTGTGAGAGTGTTGTGTGTACACAGAATCGACTCGAAGCAGGGAGTTGGGCGCAACCTGGGCCTAATCTGCTACCTGGGGTAGCAAGGTTGCAACCCGCCGGGATTGTGGCTTGGAAGGCGCGTGGGAGGGCGCTGCGCGCGCGCCTGTTGAGGCGTACTTTTTATGTCTGCCCGAGGTGGTGCTGACACCGAGTCGGACTCTCCTATTGCGCTCATAGGCAGGGTCCTCCCATCCGGGGGAGCATTGTTTAAAGTTTAAAGCCATAAATTCCAGCTAGTCTTATTCAAAGACAAAATCTAACAAACGCTAGATCCGCTGGACCACCATAACATGTGTCATATATCATACACCCATATTGTATTGCCTCGCTGGGATTAGGACTGATGCCCCCATTTCTCAGGGCTTACATCAGTTTTCCCTCCTTCCCCTCAGCTCCCGGCTCCTGAGGGTAGATGGGGCAAGGTTGCCACCATCGCCTCCACTGTTCGCACCAATCGGCGCTGATATCGGGCTCTCCTATTGGGGCTTCGACAGCCACGCGCGTGTACCTATGCGGGTCAAATTAAGCCTGCCAAAAAAACTAGGTCGCGCGCAACGCGTTAAGGCTTGTTTGAAATTTGGCCCAGAAAAACGTTGGTACATGCCTGGTATACCATTCCTCCCCCACCGCCCGCGCCCGGAGGCAAAATAGCGGCTAAGTAAGTAGTGCACTTGCTACTCGCATACGTTAATCGGCCCTTTGCCTCAGCACACACTGGCACCCCCCACCTTCAAGCTTCAACCCTCCCTCACGGCCTTGCACCCACCGAAGTCGCTTCAAGCATGGACTCCCTGCGACACACACCGCCACTACCACAAGCAAATCCAGCGTCCCTAGTAGGGAGAGATAAGGAAAAAGAGACCAAGACCAAGCGTAAGAAATTCACGAGAAGGAGGAAGAAGAAGGCGGCTGACACGATCATCGAGAACGAGGCGACCACGGGACCAGAGGAGGGCGCGAAGAAGAAAAAGAAAAAGAAAAAGATGAGGTCATGGCCTGTGCGAGAACGAGAAAAGGAGCAAGTCTTGTCCCCGGCGAAGAGCGAGGCGTCTGTAAAATCCTCCGGCTACGCTGTGAAAGGCACGAGATTGCTCTCGAGCCTCACTGATTCCGAATCCAAACAGAAAGGATCAAATGGTGTATTCGCAGGCGAAGAAAGACTACCAAAAGGACTAAGGTCAAGAGGCGCCCGTGGCGCCGCGCGCAAGTAAAGCTTAGGCCGCTGAGGTTGGCTTGAGTTGTCGTGAGGCGTAAGCGGAGCGGCGCCTTACACGCTGCTGGTATTATGGTATAACGATCAAAAAAATTATCGATCAAGGATGGTATGATAATATAAGGGCTAAGGTATGACTAAGAGCTTTAAGACACCCAAGGCGAGAGACACCAGAGACTGGGGGTAGAGCCGAGAAGCGAGGTGACCGAGTTTGAGAACGAAACGCTGAGATCGGAGATTGGAGACATTCCCTCCAGGGACCTGAGACACGCAAAGTGAGAGACGTGTAAAATTTTGTATTGGATCCTGGAAGTCTACATGAAAACAAGAAGCGAACTCCCCTCGAACGTCCCGGACGTTCAAACCGCTGCTCTCTTCATTCCCCTTCCGAGTCACCGCTTGATCCACACATCGGGCCCGGTCTTCCTTCCAATTCCTGCCCTACTGATCCCACTATTGCTCGTCGTTTTCCGAGTCTTTGCGGCGCAAAAGTAAAGGCTCGTAAAATACCACCTCCTCTTCCTCTCCCAGGCTCCAGTAAGCCGCCTTTAGCCTCCCTCCTCTCATGGCCGCCGGAAAGGCGCCCAGGTCGAAAACTTGCTGCCGCTACGACTTCTATTAACCTTGACAGGTTGAAATGGAGGATGCGACCGGATCCCGAATACCACAGTATCCACGGCATCCCGACGAGGCGGCGTCCAAAACGCCGACCGGGACCTCCTCCATCGCCATCGATCCCGAGCCTTGTTTACCTGTGGCAGTGCCAGTGCACCCAGGACGCGGGCGAACAACAGAAGTGTGCGCCGAACTTCGGATTTCGTGTACCGACGACGCTGAACTTTTTCAGCGAACGACAGCTGATGACTTGCCGAATTTGACTTCGTTTGCCGGCAGCCCTGGTGACATGATTGATGAGACGGACGACAACACGGACGAACGAGCTGACTTTGACATGAGTGATCATTCGAGCGACGATTCGAGTCATTGCTCGCCACAGACAACGGTGCATGTAGGCTTGAGGAGTGGGACTTCAATGCGGATGATGATGGCAGTGATGACGAAACTTCGTGAAATCTTTAATTGCTGTCTGGACTCGAGGGCTCTTGTTCCAAAAGCCTCGATCCAAACAGATGATGCGACTGCGCTCGCGTGCTTTTGCCTTTCTATTAACTATTGTCTCTTCATGTCAGACAATATGACCCTTCCCGGGGAAGTGCAGAGGATTCAAAGTAGCAACAATACGACTGAGAGGCGACCAACGCTGGCAGGAGTTGGCCACCGCTTAAATGCGGTGAAGCCCGCTTGAAATGGTTACTGCCCAGCAGGAGTGCTGACAGCGGGAAGTCTATCAGGTCAGCTAGAGATCCAGGAGGAAAGCTCTCTGCTGCTGGCGATAAGATAAGCGGGCATTCTTCTTGGCTGCACTTAGTGAGTGCGCTTTCCAATTTCCGCCGTTGCGTTCACCAGTGTTTATAGCGTGCGCCGTCAGGCCAGTCAGATGCCCGAAGTCCGTGCCGGGTCTTTGCTGATACCTCCTGAGATCTCAGCAGAGATCACATTGCTAAGTCTCAGACTCCATTGACCCCCACTTGAATTCTAATGTGTACTTGAACGTAGGCTAAACTGGGCCCATACTCAATCTGTTTTTCGGTGCTTTTCAATGGTGTTGTCTTGGCCACTTTAAGCCACGCAGCCACTAAGATAGTTGAATGTTTGCGTCGACACTGGACTCTCGATTTCAGATACATGACGACGTACTCAATACCCCTGACCGGGTGTTCGTGTATAATCGAACTCATTCTAGTTTGAGAATGAGGAACGAGTTTGACAATACACCCATAATCTCTGTCCCGTGTGCTGAGAAACAAGTGACTTTGATGCCAGTCACACCTGCGCATTTCATGTGCTCTCAGTGCCGTGTGACCCGATCCGTTGCGTGCTCTCACCGGTACATGTACTACAACATGGTAAAGGCAGAAGCTCAGAGTCAGCTATGGACAGAAGAGTGGGGTGTAAACTCCTGAACGAACGTCATTGAGTCAGGATCACGATGTTGTTCTTCGTACTCTACCATTCCCCCTCGCATCAGAGTGCACGAGTGGCCTGCGAGCTATTGCAGGCCTCCGACTGTTTCTACTGTCGACCAACGCAGCCTTTGCAGATGACAGTTCTGGTGGTATCTCAATCGGTCCTGTTTGCTTGAAATCCTCTTTGTGAAAACGACGGTCATCACTCGTACTGTAGTGGCACTGAAAGTGACTAGGCTTTTGAGTCAGAATACCTGGCGCGGGCAGAATCCACCGGTGGTCAACATTGTGATCAAAATCGTCTTGAGCACTCGGGTTTCCACATGGCAAATAAATTTGTGAGATCGAACCTGAGACTTACCAGTCGCCCTCTGTATTGTATTTCCCATCAAGTCGCCCACAGCCTTCTACTGCACTGTCCGATGCTGCGTTGGGTGCGCAGCTGAGGGTCAGGCGGTAATGCACGCATTGCGAAAAGTGCAATTTGTCAGAAGTCAAGTCTCACTTCAGAGAATAGGACATAATCAGGTGAAGAGATAATGAAGAGCTCTACACCCAAATTCGAGACGTCCTACCGAAAATGTCACCCACCTGTGTGCTTCGTGTCAACTATCGAGATGCGGAACAATGACAAAATGATCATTGGTTAAGATGCGAGGCGCGAGAGACAGCGATGAGGTCGTGTTTGGACAATGTGTAGGATTGCTCCCAATCGAGCATTGCGGAAGAACAAGAACAGGAACATGAACCAGAAGAGGGACCAATTATCAACCTGAAGTGAGGAGCATTTAGTCACCCAGTGTGCGTCGACGCGTCGATGTGCTTAGGCCAAGGTCAACCTGATGGAGGGAACCGTGAGCCCCCCTTTTTTTAATAAACTTCAATAACAGCAAGTGACCAGCCAGCTTTTTGGTCCCAATACCATTAATACCATTTAAGCCCCAGTTGGGCCCAATACGACTCGGCTAAAGGAAATTCCCATTCTTCGAGATCCGACGCTCCGAAGCTGTCCTAGCCAGTGTGCTTAACTGCATTCCCTCCGAATTTTCCAAAGGTTTTTAGGCATGTAATTATACTATGCATATAATTATAATATTATTGAAATCTATCAAAAAAAAGGGGGGGGGGGTTAGTAAGTAGTGAGTGAAGAAAAGCAGAAATTAGGAGGGGGGGGGGGGGCAGAAGGTCAATACAGCAGCTATCTTACCTGTATTACTTGGTTGTCCTCCATCTCGTCAGCGGGTGGTATTGGGTACAACAGCTATATTGCATTTCGGTTCGGAATTTGACTCTTGGGAACATTGGTAGGAATATTGGTATTGTCTATAAGGATAGGTCTAACACCTTATAAGCTTTCGCTTCACGGCTTGTGGGATGCCCAGAGAGGTGCACCGTGCCAGGGTGGGCGAGGAGGGGGCAACAATGGTATACCATCCCTCTACCAAGCTTCCCCCGGGCCAAAAAAACAGAAAAGCTGCCACCTCTGGCTATATTTCTAAGCACACCAAAAAGTGGCGCGCGCGGCGCCCCTCCCAGCGCCGCTCTTAAGCGGCGTACCCATACAGGTTGCCCCCCCCTGCAACCCGGGTTGGCCTCTGGCGCCAGGCCAAGATTAACTTGCTAATGAGATTGAGCATTTAGTGACTAGTATGCCCGCAGACCTGTCTCTTTTAGCTTCCGCTCAGCGCCAAGTGAGACCCGCCTCAGTTCTAACCAGAGCATCAACTATCGAGACACCCTTCCTAAATCTCGAAGCTACGCAATTCACATCGACGATGGGCAGGCATCGATGGAGACCTTTCAAGGTCCGTCTGGACTACTTTGAGGAGCATCCTTCCTATAGGCCTCAAGGCCTCCGATCGGACGCCCGACTCCGCACCAACATCCCCGGAACCCGGCACCGTGTTACTTACACTGCCCGCCAAATCCAGCAAGGAACCTTCGATGATTTTGGCGAAGCTAGCTCGCCGTCTCCTCAGCGTCCAATGGCCCTTCCAATTCAGGCCGATTCCGACGAAGCCGCGAGTGACGCCGCCAACCCGAGTGGGATGGATTGGGATGAAGAGCGTTACAGCGAGTACGGTGGTGGCTTCGAACACGACTTCGATCCAGCCCCATACTCTCCGGATCGAACATCCCATTTCCCAATCTCGCCTGACTATAGTGCAATCGCCGAGCGATTATCACTGGCTGACCTGCGCCAAGTCGAAAGTTTCGAATCAGCTACACGTGGTCAGTCGAAGCAAGAAACGTACAAGCAATTCGTGTTCAACGACGCTCGCCTTAGGCGCTTGGAACGGCCAGCGCTTCTGCGCCAGTACATCGCGTTTTGCGCTGGGGTCAAAGGTCATCTACGGCCCTTGATTGACGTGGACGAGGAGCTGTGCCAGGGTTCGGTCGCTAGCGAAGTGCCGCCGCCTTGTTCATGCAAGAGTCCCCTCACGTTACGGCTTGACGTGTACGACCTCATAAGCTGTATGTGAATCAGGCGAATTGGGTCGCTGTGTCGAACGTTGCGCTGACAAGGTCGAATGGTTGAATCAATGCAGTGGTCGAGGTGCCGATCGCTTTTTGTCCGAGATCCAGCAGCGATAGCCCATGCCTTATGTACGCCGAGCGCCTTGCTCAGATCGGATTAATCGGATCGACCGCAGCTGCTCTTCGCTCTGCATTCACCTTTCGACTTCTCCAATTTTTCGACTCCTGGTGGAGCACCGCGCCGTTTCCTGTCGATGGAGCAGCTCGCGGGCTCGACATTTTCTATGAGCAAACTGGATGGGGTCGGCCGGGCCTGAGTCAGCATAAATTCGTGAGTTCGACCTCCTGTCATGATTGCTATTGAGCATTATCTGATGTTTATCATCGTTTGCGCAGGACAAGGAGTTGCGAAAGCAACTCCAGCGCGCCCTTGACGAATTTCGGGCTCTCACGACATCCGAGCGAGAATTGGGCGACCTCGTCCTCGGTGTCG